CCCAAATTAGGTATCATAATCGAAAAGCGGCAACCCTTGTTGATCTAGTCAACTATTGTCATTACCTTGTTGCCTCTTTGTCGGACCGCGATCAACACCATTCGCACATTAGTCTTTTTCAATGGAAACCTACTTGCCCTTTTTGAGGGTGTCAATTTATATTGCCGCTGGAGCCTATGAGCCAGGCTCGAATCTAGCCAAGGTCGGAGATTATTGAAATTTGAGTACCGAGTACACTGGGTTGGTTTCTGGTCCCCTCTCCCGCTATTATGGAGGGACATAATGACAGGTCTTGACGGCCATGCAGAGTGGACACGTTGCCAGCTAGGCGCCAGAATACTACAGAGTAGGGCAAGTCTGCAGCCTACTTTGCATTTCTGTGGTACTTCAAGAATCAGCCAATAACGACAATGGTGCATTTTGGATACTACTCTTTTAGGAGAGGCGCGTATGCTACCCTCAGCTCGTAGCACTAGCTAACGCAGTAAGCGCAAAAGCCTACCACATATAGACTAGACGGATGTGCGGCCATGAAACCAGACGGGGGACCCCGACGTGAGTCCTAGAACTTGCAAGGGTGCTATGCATTGGGGCAGGGGAGAAACGTGGCCTGATCGCTCACCAACGTGGGCGGAAATTTAATGAACAGGACCAGAGGGAGGATCGCCCACTAAATAGTAAGGAGCCAGCAGTCGGTGGCGTGAGTATCCTTGGATTGAGTCGATATTCGATGTCGACGAGAGGACTTAGTTGACTCCCCCACCCCTTGAACAGTGCGTGGTACCCGTAGGGCCAGGACACTTGTTGTCTACTACTCCGGAGTAGGCTGGGCGAGAAGACCTTCCCCGTCATCAGGTACCTATCATCGGTGCGAGGGCCGTATAGCAGTCGATCCTATATGATCGCCTAGGCGATGAACTAGCGCACTTGATGAAAAAGAGAGAAACTGCCAACCACGCGCTCGGCTCTGATTTGCAAGACTCCTATCTACGATGCAACGAATAGTCTCCAAGCGACCAGTTGATTAGCTGAAAGGATTCAGACCCCGGATGACCGCATCAAACCCCTACCTGGGATCAACCCATGGCGAGCGACCAGGAATAAATGACGACTAATTAGCGGGCGCTGGATGGATTCGTCGGGCGTTCTTAGGCGGAACGATGCCTCCTATCCCCACCTCATGGCTGCCTTGACATTCCGGGGGCCAGGGGTAATTGATGAAACATCCGACCACACGTGCGCAAGAGCCTCGTCTGTTTGGGGGATCGTGCAGCAATCGAACGTCGGAGAGCATCTGGGAAAGGCATTAACGACGAAAGAGTCAGCCTAGAGGATGGCTCCAGGCATCACTACAATTCTCCTGAGAGTCCCTAGGGTATAACTCACACGGGAGAGAGAGAGAGAGAGAAAGAGAGACATTGAATCCCACCGGTCTATCAACAAGGCAGTGTTAACCGTTCAACCGTGGAAGGAAGATTAGCATTCCCCATCGAAAGAGGGGACGACGGGGAATCAGAGGATGAAAGGGCATTGAGTTCTCCGGTCTCCAGTCTGCAGTTCTCCGAATGAGCAAATAATCGTGGCTACTAATTACTACTAACCTAGTACTAAGTAGAATAAGTACTAGATAGAGAGAAACCCTCTGCAAATCATCGACCCGTCCGGCCTCATTCCGGGCCTGACTCCCCCTGCCTATTCTGGAAAACCGTTCAATTTCCTAATCAGGCATGACGTCGGGCCAATCAGGTCCGGTGTTTTGCCAGTGCCAAGATAAAAATCGCCGCTAACCGGATTCGTCTATGGGCAAGGTGGTGGCCTCAGGAATCAGAATCGGTCGTAGAGAGATCCTCATGGGAGGCCAAGTTGGTAATGTTATTGATCCTCCCTTCCTGTGGGATTGGCGATTAGATTTGGAATACGATACGATATGGCATCTGAAGGTTCTTAATTTGATGTCAGCGGATATTATTGCGGAGCATAACGTAGCTATTATATTGCATCGATATATCAACCAGTTCTTCGGCTACAACACAGTAAACAGGGAATAATACATAGTAGAATATAGTATTTTAAAAAATAAATAATAATAAAATCCGTATTAGATCTCTACCTTCTGCCATCAGGACCATCTACCAATGCAAGCCTTCCATATCTCGAAACAGGATACGAGACCTGGAAGAATATGAATCAGAGAAAGAAAAGACACAATGTATACAAGATACATGAGACCTTGTATATATATACCTACGATTTATCCTTATCCCTTTGAAATTACTGACAAAATACTCTTCTAAATCCAAAACAACAATAACAACATCTATTCCTATTGAGTCCAATCCAAGCCAGCTACTTATACGGAGTGTATATAGTAAATATGCAGTCTAATATACGCAGCATAAGCGGTAAGATACAACGCTGATGGCCAACACGAACATTTATACGAGGTGTGCGTGCGTGCATTTACGCACACATACATACATACATATATATGTAAAAGAATTAAGGATATATCCAGGAATCTGAATCCGGTATACAGACGCGAGACAACGCATCATGACAGGGATAAGAAGCACTGTGCAGGTTTGTTGGACTTTATATTATGTATGACATGCAGGAAATGTCTAGCGAGGGATGAGGAGTCAGGGGATGGTAGATGGGAATGATGTGTCTGTGAGATAGATATAGATGTGGGTAATTAAGAGGTAGGAGCTGGAGACTTCTATAAGGTATACACGGTATATAATTTTTGGGTGAAAACATATACAAGATATAGTGATTTGAGGTAAATATAGTATCAGGTGGGTTTATTCCGACATTCTAGTGCTCTATACAGCTTCACACTATCTATCTATATAGAATTCAGTTTATAGTAAAGACTCATCCAACTAAGTACCATGCACCGAAAGAATATAAAAACCCCAAGCCCGTACTCATACACCTGGACAGTTGGCTGAATAAGCACATTTCTTGGATAAGAAAATATTCAATATATATATCAATCTATTAGCATAGTACCGCCATAGACCGATACAATATCACAGTCCACGATATCAGTCGTATTCTTCTCCATCAGAAGCCTGATAGTTCAGTCTAGAAGTGACACATGCGAGAGTCAACTCCGTTAATAGACATATACAAGCTGGAGAATAATCATGTGCTTCATAATCTACAACCATGCTCAGTTCTTGTTTTAGATCAGATAACAGCAGGAACTCGTATCTCTCCAGCAGGCGATCCGTGACACTGTACCTACTGCGTACGGAGGTCAGGCAATTCCAAATGTTGAGAGGGAACTAGAACAGCCCCTGAACCGGGATGAGTCTTCAAATTAGACTCCAATGAATGAGCCTGTGGCATGGAATAGACACTGAAGATGAATGATACATACATCTTGAACTAACCCAGGCCGAGCCAACCGCATCAAACTGTAAAGGTACCAACGGTATAAAGAAGGGTATAAAGAAGCAGGGAATGCGCAACGCAAGTCGTCTAAGGAGATAAACATCCTTGATTGCAATCTTTGTGATGGTAGGCCGGCTTCATCCTTTTCATTCCATCACCAATCGATCTTCCTATGGAGCTCAAAGCATAGCGCTCAGACGATACAGAGTTATCCTCGAGACGGTACGACAGTGACACAGTAAAGCAAGACAGTTTGACATATTGCATATCGCAAGTATTCAATGACATTCTAAAGGTTGTTTCCGACCCTTGGTTGATGCCTCACCTATGTGTATTGGCAAATAGATATAGTGTACCACGAATATGTATGTCCCTGGTGAAAAGTGTAGAAAGGAACGAACTCCAAGATAAACAGAAGGATCTAGAGATCCAACGTGACATAAGCCGGTTTGTATGTGAAACGATGCCTTCTCATGGACTCCCTTCGAGTGAGAAAAAGGGGCGCAGATGTCAAGGTACTGCATATCAAGATAGAGTTGATGATTCGAAGAATAATGAATGACGAACTAATTTGAATGGTTAGACCTGAAGTAATCAGGATTGGGTTGAGTAAATGACGCAAAGTGTAGAAATAACACTTCTCGACCTATTGCTTCATGTCTTGCCTACTTATTGCTGAGTAGGCGAGGATAGGCGATATGTAGTCGAAAGAATAAACAATGGTCGACACAGAAGACAAGTCATAGGTGTCGCTGGGCATACGCTGGTTACCTGCTATGAGATTATAATGAGCCTAGATCTTTCAACATAGGCACCAAGACAACAGGCATCATTCACAGTGGTATCCATTCATCCTCACATTAACTATAGACCAGGCCACTTTACTTACAATTCCCCCAGGTAAACCAGCAGATTAGGGAGACTGTGATGGTTCTCAGATATAAACAGAAACATCACAGAGCAAAGGAAAGTAAACGCAGGGGTAATGCCGACTGACGAGCAATAGATATGGGAAGCAGAAGAGGATAAAACATATCAGAAGTCCACGAGAATAATCTCAATCCCCCAACCCACATGAAACGCCTTTTCAAGAAACAAGATTCCTAGCTGACATACCTTCGGTCCAACCCAGTGGAAAGCGCTTGACCTTCCCAACATCCTTGTGGTAAGTAGAATACAGATTCCATAAGACGAGCGTCTTAATTATAGCTCCAGGACCAAAACAAAGGATCCATTTGATTTAACTGAACCGGGTTCGGTAGAGAATTTGGCTGAACCACTTGCAGATTTATCCACTGTCGTACCACCTTGGTTACGAACCACGGTGTATAAACGTGAGGAGAGGATCACAAGGTCGAACAGCGCTCTCAGGTAGAGTCTAATCGGGGGTAAGGCGTCGCGATTAGTTCGCGGGATATATTTCGGGGATATCGCAAGATCGCTAAAATAAACACGGTAGAGATAAAGGGTGCAAATAGAATCAGGAATAAGATATGATGAGCAAAGATACACGTGAATAGTGAAAACATGAATCAGATGTGTATAAGGTGTTGCATCGTGCTATATGAGGTTGCCTGGGCTGGGTGCATGGTGTCGTCCTAACGGCGATCGGGGTTGGTGACCTATTCCATGTAAGTCACCCTCCAATGAGTTCTTATGTAGGGATGGCAATTACCTGCAGAATCCGACGGGAGAAGTCCTGATCATCGTCGATACTGCCATTGCTTTGACGCCTCTGCGCCATGAAATCACCGTCGAATCTCGAGTCCGACATGGAACTTTGAGACATAGGCTTGCCAGCAGCGTAATTGTCAACACCAACGCTGTGGCGATATTGTTCTTCGGTGGCCTTGCGGTTTCTGAAACGCCGTAGAAAGAAGATGGCGCCAACGAGGGCACAGAATCCTACAACGCCCACGACGACGCCGGCGGCAATAGCGGCAGTGTTCGGGCCAGAGTCCTTCTTGTCTTCTTTGTTCATTTCTGTAGCCGCCTCTGCATTCGAGGTCGACGTTTTGATAACCGTTTGCCCAGCCTGCGAACTCTTGTCGGATGGTGCCGTGGTCGCCGTTCCGCTCTGGGTGCTCGAACTTGAGCTTGAGGACGAGTCCTTGTCGACTTTCGATTTAACGCCTGTGAGGTAGATAGAATATGCATTTTTACCTCCGCCTGCACGGGGGGAATCGTAAGTATGTGAATAACTAGAGCGATACGGTAAAGGCAAGGGACATAGCATAGAAACATACACTTGGTAGCAGGCCAACCAGCACATTCCTTGTCACAGTTACTGTCTGACGTCTTTGCCGAGTCAGCGGGTAGCTTGTTTCCACAGAGACAGTGTGTTCCTGCATGCAGGGCAAAAACCCCATAGTCGCCGTCCGAACAAAGCTTCCGGCAGTATCCGTCACTTTGGTATGTGTAGGAGCCTTGATCCTCTAATGATCCTGCATCGCTGTAGCAACCTTGTAGATCTTGAGCATTCGCAGCTGGCCACCCAACGGCAAGGAAGAGAGCTGCCGCGGCGAAGGCCGATCGCATCGTGAATGATTTCATGTTGTAATAGGTTTGTTAGGTGGGAACGACTGATAGACACGAGTGACTGGACGCCGGGTTTCCAGACACGACAGTAGTTGTATTGGCGTTGCAAGCGAAGGAAAAGGGACGACCCGCGTAGCCCTTTGAAAACCCGTGTTTCCACTGAGTGCTAAGTGCTTGTTTGAGGGTACTGGATGATTTGACTTGATTGCACTAGCCCTTTGAGTCGATGTTGTGGCAAGTCCTTGAGGTCAGGCCTGATTAAGACGTGCCCTAGGGTGAAGGGGCGATAAGAGGAGTTCTGAGACGTTGTAGATGACAACAAGGGAGGTAATGGGGTGGAGTGGTGATAGCAGGGGAAAAGAATGCTGAGGTGTTCCGGAGACGACAGTCCCTGGCGGGGGAAGATTCTGCGGACCGGTTGTTTCAAACTCCCCTTTCTACCGAGAGGAGTTTAATGAACGTTCTGAATGGGCTACGAAGTGCAAATGTGACCCCAAAGGAGCCACAAATTTGGGCGGGGGAAAACAGAAAAGCTCTGGTTTGGTTTGTTTGTTGTTTTATTTCATTGATTTGTCGATAAATTCTTAATGAGAGCGACAGGAATCACATCCCACTGAATGGGAGAGGGGGGAATGAGTCAAAATCAAAACAAAAAAAAATAAAGAGTGTCGTTTTGGACTGCAGGGTAGAAGAGGAAATCCAAGGAGCGGAAGGGGAAGGAAGGAGAAGGAATGAATAGAGACTAAGCGACTTCACTTAACTGAACTGCAGCAGGAAGAGAGGGACACAGAGCGAAAAGGGATTAAGCGACGCACTGACGGGGCGATGAAGGTCGAGTCGTTCAAGGGGGGACTGAATGTCCCAAACGGGGTGAGGGACAAACAATGTGCCGTATCACAGATACACAATCGTCGCACCTTCCTCCAATAATAGCTCGCAGAATCATACGCTGTACAGTTTTCCATGTTTCCTGTACTCCTTACCAAGCCCAGACGGGACCAGTTCCCAAACGGAACCTGACCCTGGTGCGCAGAGGGGTAATTTACATCCCGCGTACCAGTCTTCGCTGGTCCAATAAGGGCCCTCGCAACCGCATGATGTAAGCGGTCCCATGCGTTGACGAAGTTGGAAACATCCAGGGGTACTCCGTACGGCATATCGATTCCCGTTTTGGAATGCGAGAGGACAAGACGGAGCAGAACGGACTACCTAAGGGTCATAGGTGGGCAGACTTGATGTTTTGTGGCGGCAATGTATTAATGAAAGGAGGGTATGTCCCCATTTTATTGCCATAGGCTTTCTTGTTATTTTCTTTATCAGATACCGACAGTACGGAGTAGCTTACTGGGGTTCTCCACGTCAGAATCCCTTAGTGTGTATATCAGAGTCTTGTGTATGGAGTACGGACTCCGTACTTGCTTTGTACACAGTGCCTAGGTACTATGAATATGGGGTATTGAGTACCTACTCTGTGAATGACCTAGCAGGGTAATAAGCGATACTTTTTGACTCTACAGAGTATAAATAAAATGGGGCAAAATTCTCTGTACTATGTATAAGTAGTTACCAAGATGAAATCGGACGAATACATTCGAACCACGGATCAAAGCCCAAAAAGTTGCACGATTACCCAAGCTCGCAGGGAAAAGTACTCCGCATCATGGATGCCGAGAATTCAGTGCTTGCAAAGGTATCCACACTCCGTCACTTCCGTACTCTGTATACATATATGTATGTATGCATAAACAAATACATACAAGTCCTTACTTCAACGCCACAGATAGTGTCGACGAAGAGAACCGCAATTACCTAGGTATTTGCAGAAATATGATTCTGCATTGGGAGACGAATTTCGACAATGAAAAGCAACGTTATGCGGCAGGAATATCTTCAGAATATGTATTACTCGCATCATCAGTGGAACACAGAGTATCGCCGAGGCGTGGCAAGTGAGATCAAATAGTCAGGCACCATTACCATTGTCTTGCAATGAGGACACTAGGACCTTTTTTTAGATTCTGATGTACGGATGGAAGCCAGTTAGAATCCAGTCTTAGGCCCACAGTTGACCAGTATCCGTTAAACTGCGGAAACCCGACCCGCTCATGGACCACCTGCCTATGGAGTAAGATAGGACGGACGGGCTGTCACCTGCCCTATCTAGGGTTCATATGGTGAGGCTGGTGACCGACTTAAAACTTAAATGTTAAACAAGTACCCCATGCCAATGGATACCTTAGATTTGAGTCGAATGTACTTGATTGACTATGTTGTTGAACAGAAATGTTTTGATCTGGAAGGAAAAACTCGGAGCTCCCATGGGTTGAAACGGACGCTCCCGTTGGTGGACCTGGATCCTGTAAGTTCCTGTAAGAAATGTACTATTTCTCTGTAATCTCATTACTGAGATGAGAAGGTGATTCCATGGTAGGGGAAAGTTTATTTTAGTACCTAAAGTAGGTCGGTAGGTCCGACCACTTACCTCCTCTGTACCTATGGAAATGTCCAATGTCAATGAGAAATACCATAGGATCGTCTTCAGTGTCAAGGATACCCTGTATGGTGATTGTCATGTGCCCTATGCATATGAGAGCGCTTAGGCATGGAGCAAACCCTTGAACATTCCAACGATCATCCTCATTATCCATATCCACACCCACGCCTAGAGAGGAGCATATCTGTGGGTGTGCATACGTGTGCCATGAGAGATTGCCACCAAGCAGTAAGTATCTAGCTTGCAAGGTAACCAGTCCATGCTCAGGCGACTTAACAGATGCCGTCCATGGATGCTTCATATGCGCTCCCTCCCCCCTGTTGGTTGCTTAACATGCGGCACTCTCTCATTTATTTCCATTGTCAGTAGAGAACGGAGATAATATTGGGAATGAGGATTAAGTTTATTTGTTGTGGTTTCATGTAACCTCTTGCCTCCATGGATAATCCATGGAAGGGACCATTCATGCCGTAACTACGGCATACACAAATAATAGTGTATGTAGTAAGCAAATACTTATAGCAAACACATTTCCGTGGCCCACACTAAGTAAATTAAGGGAAATGATATTCCAGGGTACAGAGTACAATTCAAATGGGTTTCATACTGACTGGGTATTTTGTACAGAGCACCCATCAACGACCTCGAGTATGTCACGCTTTTTATTTAACGGAATCTCAACATATTGACAGCATCATTCAGTCTTGTTTGTAACTAATCAGTAAATGATACATCAGCTGGAGGAAGAACAAAATATGTCCTGAGATGTAAGGCACTTTGTACTGAAGCACGGAGTACAAATATGAAACAGGAAAACCCGCCGGTCCCGACATAAATCCGATAAACTCCCTATTTGCTCCGGACTCCGTACCTGGGGAAGAATAAAACAACGGGCAATAGTAGGATAGGTATTAATATCTAAGTGTATATAAAAACCTCTGTATAGCAGATTAGGTATCCGTCTATCTATATTTTTACGACGCATCTTGGGCTAGAAGTAAAATAAAAACAGCACCTTGTGGATACTAGACAGGTGGCTCTCGCCAGGTCTAGAACCTATTACGACCCACGTGATATCTCTCAGTTCCGACAAGAATTTCATGCCCTGGACCCCTTCTCAATTCAAGGATTCTTTTTTCCCCCTTTCGATCTGGTACTTTATTTAGCAGGTTTTCCTGTCACTCTGTCCGGAATTTCTAGGTATAAAAAGGGGTGTTAATTGTTAAACATGTCTTACGGAATGCAGTATTGGTCCGATAGGGTAATTGGAATAGCATTGTTTAATATGCAGGAAATATCAAAAGATCATTCTCTGCATGTTTCCTGATGTGGTTATCGGCTCAAATACCTACCTGCCAAGTTGGTACAGAGTCTCGAGCCTGGTTCTAGCTTGTACCACCATGCAATGAGCAGTGGATGCTATGCATGGGTTTGGTACGCACATACAAAATTTATGCTACTATTGGCATAATTCATGCTTTTCTTGACGAGACATTTCAAACAGGACCTTTAGACTTGATCCAGGATTGAATCGTGGTGGCTTGCGTTTTTACGGGGTGCAGAGTAAATCAAAACTAGTATTCATTTTAGGCTGCCATGAAAAATTCATGAGAAGCAAAAGATGCCTCAGTCGGCTTAAATTGTTTCGTCATAATGAAGAACTTGAGTTTAGGCTAAGTTTGCCATTAGATATTATCTTGTTATTAAATGCTGCTCCAGAGCGGTGATATTTACACACCAGGAAATGGAAATGGAAACGGAAACCAAAAAAAGATATTTGCACTCTATGCTTTCATTCTTCATCAAACCGCATTATCTCACTAAATGCCACACATCCACTTTCCTTGTAAGGCTTTCCCCTCTTTATATATGCTCGTAGAAATTTCTCCATCTAGAAAGAAATTCTGGCTCGGGAAAGTATTCCACTAGTCTGTACAGATCTCGGCCTTCAGGGCTTGGGGATATGTATGGTTTTACTGACCATAAGACAGCCGTGCAAAACAAATAATAGTGTCACAGGGTGAAATTCAAAGATACTGCCTTGTGCGACAAGCCCTAGTGGCAGGTCCTCCTGAATCCATCCCTGGGAAACCCAATAAGCCATCAGGGAAGCAATAGACAACGTCGTGGGAATCGGTGTGCCTTCAAAATACTTCGACTTGCCAGACTTGTCCTTCGGCAATACAGCGACGGTCACGTTAAACCGAGCCAAACGGGTCAGACCGCAGAGAACAAAGAACGAAAGCATTAGGTGGTCAAAGGGGGTGCGGATTCCGAGCGCGAATGCTGCAGCAGCTGGTGCCATGCCGAATGATATCTGAACAGAGAAAAGGCGATCAGTATATTCTAAAACCTGATCGAATGATGACATGGCCTACCAGGTCCGCCAGAGAGTCAAGTTCTTGTCCCATTAGAGAGGACTTCCTTCGCCACCGTGCAATCTTTCCGTCCATGAAATCGAAAAACAGCCCAAAAGGCATAAAAGAAAGGGCGGCATATATGGCACCATATTCATGAGGATCTCCTAGACAGTACCGCATGGATGAGAGGACTGACATCACTGTGTCCAGAGTCAGCCACATTTCCGAGAGGTATGGAGGGCAGGTCGAGGACAGGCTTGCCTCCGCAGAAACCTGAAGCACGGTGTCAGCAAACCATGAAAGAGATTTTTTTTTTTTTTTTATTGGAATTATATAAGGTATTACCGTTGAGTTCAGTCACCAAGTCCGCAAGATGTAAAGCCCTGGAGCACGGAAATTAGCCGATTTAACCTCCCGAATAGAGACACGGCAACCTACTTGATCATGCTGAAATGGCCAGTTTCCGAAGAAAGAAGCATCTTCTGCTTTTCTTGACCTACTAGTCTTGAGTCTCTGTAGCTTATGGAATATCTTTTGCTGATCTGAACTCACCTCCATCATTCGCAGGCGTGACACCGCTATTCGTGGAAGCGCTCGAAGACATGACTGATGTCCTACGAGACATGCTCAATTTGAGAATATGGAAGAAATGATCAAAGGACCGATGACTGATATATTCTAATTCCTCAGATATCTGGTAGAATAGCGGGAATGAAGTGGGAAAAGTCGATGCAGGGGATGCTGGGCAAAGAGTATGTTGACAGACAAAGACGCACAGATTCTACGGCTCGGCATGTGCCGCCAGACGTCATTTCCCGGTGCAGAGCTGCGCCACAGCCCACTAGCCACATTTCCGAAACAGTTTTTACTACGAAGAGCGACTGCAGGCCATAGTGGAGGTTCCACAAGATATATATTGTCGTAAGATGTCCATTCATTGGCCGGATCTATTCTACAGCCTCCGTAGACGGGCAAATGTTTCGAGAACGCACACGAATATCGAGACAAAAAAGTTCCTGCAAGAGCACCCGTTTTCCCAAAACGCCGTAATAAGACAGTACTAAGCAAGACAAGAGACTGTCTAACGTCGGAAGCCTCCACGAGGTGCTCCTCTGCCACCTCCTCTGGAGAAACCACCGCTGCCACCACGGGAGAAACCACCACCGCGAGGTCCTCCTCTGCCACCACCCCTAGAGAAACCACCGCTGCCGCCACGGGAGAAACCGCCACGCGGAGCACCGCGTCCACCGCCTCGTCCACCACGCATGCCGCCCCTGGCACCACCAGCCCTCTTGGGCTTCGCAGCACCTAGATGGATTGTCAGTAATAAGTTCCATACTATACTGCGGTCGGGTGGTCTGCTGTCCTACCTGGTGGGGCCTTAGGCTTGGGAAGAAACCTGTTTTTGTCAATCAGTAATGGGCGCATGATAGCCGCAAGTGAGAGCGGCACATACTTTTCCAAAGGAAGTAGCTTATCTCCACCGATGTAGACCTTGTCGCCCGGCTTGAACGAGGTAGCGACAATTCCTTCCTGGGGTTTGATGGTAAAATAAACTTGGTTTATGGGACCTAGGACCTCGTCGATCTTCCCGATGGGCGTCTGTGCAACATGACATGTTAGCCCATACCAATCTCCCTGAGCAGCGTACTTGGAGCTATATCCCCACCTTGTTCTCCAGGTAGATGGGGGCGTTGAAGTATGGGATTTTGGGGTTGACCGATTCGCAAACCATCTCGCCTTCACAAGCATGCATGAACGATCCCAGTTCTAACAATATATCAGCCAGCTGTCACACTTCAATACCACTTATTTGCGGATCCAATTACCTAGAACCTGTGCAGGTGGGCCGAATGACTGCTGCTGGAAGCCTCCGCGGCCTGTCCGACGAAAATTTCGTTAACGCGACATATCCCAGTCTGGACATAGATCTGCAGATATAGTTGCTACTCACCACCACGGCCACCGAAACTTCCACCGCGGTTGGCACCAGAGGCAAAGCCACGACCCCCTCGAAAAGACATGCTGGCTGTGTTGTTAATGTTGACGTCGTGATGAACGGAGTCCGAAGAAGTTTTCAAATGGTGGGAAGCTCGAAACGGTAAAGTGTCGCTAGCCGCCAGGGCAGTTTGAAGTCACGTGCCTCACCGCCTTCCGTTCCTCACGAGGTCGATTTGAATATACGATGCCGACGGAGACTCCATGCATAAGGCGTGAGTCACTGTCACCCTTTTTCCACGCCTCTCTTTGATCTGCGACTTCCGAATTCTTTCTCCTGTAGGGCTACAGGAAACAACCATGGTTGCTGAAGGCTCGAAGGACCTTCCCGTCAGGTCTGCGGAGGCGAATGGTGAGCATTCAGTTACCCCGCAAATTTCTACATAGGACCCCTCCTGATCAGTTGAAATGCGCACGGTGCAGATTCCCTCCCCAATTTTATCGTCGAACGGAACAAGCTGTTTGAGGAGTTGTGGCAGCAGTATCTCGAAGACCTCAAGAACAAGCCACACCCCGATATTAATGTCACTCTGGACTTTCGTAACGGAGATACTTCCGTCGTTACTGCTAAGGCCTGGGAGACCACCCCGGCCCAGCTTCTCAAAAATGTGCCCAAGGAGCTGAGTGCCACGGTTGTCATCGCAAAGCTCAATGGAAAGGAACTGTGGGATTTGAATCGTCCCTTGGAAAGTGACTGCACAGTTACCTATATCCCGTTCGAAGATCCCGAGGGAAGGGAGGTTTTCTGGCACTCTAGTGCCCACTGTCTGGGTGAAGCTTGCGAGTGTGAATACGGATGTCTCCTTTCCCATGGACCTCCTACCCCTCAGGGTTTCTTTTACGACATGGCCATGCCTGATGGGTACGTACTAAAGGGATCCGGGGTGGAGAACAAATAAATCGTGCAGCAATGCGACCCGGAAACTGACTTTGGGAACAGCCGTGTCGTTCGAGAATCTGATTGGAAGTCGCTGGACTCCAAGGCCTCCCGGATATTTAAGGAGAAGCAGAGCTTCGATCGATTGGAAGTCACGAAAGAGAACCTCCGCAAAATGTTCTCGTACAGCAAATACAAGCTCCACTATATTGACAAACTGGTTACTGGAGAGAAGAGCACTGTTTACAGGTGTGGAACCTTGGTCGATCTCTGCCGAGGTCCTCACATTCAAAGCACAGGCAAGGTTAAGACCTTCAAGATCATGCAGGTATGGGCGTGAATATACAATGGCACTTGCGGTCATACTAATTTTTTTTTTTTTTTTTTGAAGAACTCCTCCGCATATTTCTTGGGTGACCAGTCCAATGACTCTTTGCAACGAATTCGTGGCGTGGCTTTCCCCGACAAAAAGCAGATGCAGGAACACCTGAAGTTCCTGGAGGAGGCGGAGAAGCGTAACCACTTGCGGATCGGCAAGGAGCAGGAGCTCTTCTTCTTTGACGATGTTTCTCCGGGTTGCGCCTTTTTGCTTCCTAACGGTACGAAGATTTTCAATGCCATCCAGTCTCTCCTGCGGTCGGAATACCGCAAGAGAGGTTACCAGGAGGTCCAGACCCCTAACATGTACGACGTGGGAATCTGGAAGACCTCGGGTCACTGGGCCCATTACAAGGATGACATGTTTAAGCTTGACGTCGAGAAAAGAGAGTGGGCGCTTAAACCCATGAATTGCCCTGGTCATTTCGTGCTTTTCGGCCACCGTGAGAGAAGCTACCGGGAGCTGCCATTGAGAATTGCGGACTTTGGTGTTTTGCATCGAAATGAGGCGTCGGGAGCCTTGAGTGGTCTTACCCGTGTGCGGAAGTTCCAGCAAGATGACACTCACATCTTCTGTACCCAAGATCAGGTAAGATATGCTGGGGATACATTGCCCTGCACGGGATGGGACTAATCATGGGTAGATCATTTCGGAAATTGAGGGTCTCTTCGACTTCCTCAAGTCCATCTACGGTCTTTTCGGCTTCACCTTCAAGCTGAAACTCTCCACTCGCCCCGAGAAGTATCTTGGCGAGATTGAGACTTGGAACTATGCCGAGGAACAGCTGAAGGCCGCAATGACCAAGTTCATGGGCAATGACTGGGAAATGAACGAGGGCGATGGCGCGTTCTACGGGCCGAAGATCGACATCACCATCGCCGATGCCCTCAAGCGAGAGTTCCAGTGTGCCACCATCCAGCTTGACTACCAGGCTCCGATAAACTTCAAGCTTGAGTACATGACCAACGAGAAGGGCGAGAAGGTCCCCGTGGCCACGGAGAATGCTCAGAAAGAGAGTCAGGCCAAGAGCAACGAACTCGGACCGGGCCGTGCCCGCCCGGTCGTCATCCACCGTGCCATCATCGGTAGCTTCGAACGATTCCTGGGTATTCTGATCGAGCACTTTGGCGGCAAGTGGCCCTTCTGGATCAGCCCGCGCCAAATTCTGATCGTACCGGTCATGCCCGCCGTGAATGACTATGTGGAGGAGCTGCAGCAGATCTTCCGGGATGACAAGATGAACGTGGACATCGATATTAGTGGCAACACCATGCAGAAGAAGATCCGGACAGGCCAGTTGGCACAGTACAATTTCATCTTCGGTAGGTTCCCTCCCTTGTGTGTGTTTCGGCTCCTGTGCTGACGAGACTGTGATTAGTTGTCGGTGCCCAGGAGAAGGAGTCTCGCTCCGTCAACATCCGCAACCGGGACGATCCCGCCACGCAGAATAAGGGCATCATGGTTCCCCTTGAGGAGGCACGCACGAAACTGCGGGCCCTGCGCAAGGAAAGAAGGCTCGTTAACAGCCTGTAGAGGTGTTTGCATCCGTACATCCTGCCTCGGGATTCGGGAGTTGGTTGGGATTGGCTTTTGATGCATGATGACGGAAGTTAAAAAAAAAAAAAAAGGGGGTATAGGCGATGAGGATATGAAGGGAGATGATGATTTGACCGATGTTTACTAGCAGAGCTATATATTGCGCTAGACTCATTCAATCTATCGATAGATCGTGCACTTCCTGTAGATAGTTGGCGGCTCGGCACGGAGCGAGCGATCGGCCGTTTTGACGCCCCCATACGCGCGTTTCACCATCCCTTGGAGTGATGGATCTGCAGTCCTCTTCTGCCCGTCCCGTTGCTCTTGATCTCTTCTTCGCAAACGTTCAACCACCATGTCTTGGTCGCGATGCAGGCTCTCCATCGTCACCTGTTTCAATTGCGCCAGACGAGGCTCCTGCGGCTCGTTGCTGTGACCGCTGCGGTGTTGCTGGGCTACACTACAGTCTACCTTCTATATCTACGCGATGATTTCCCCGATGACGGCGTCAGTCTTTCGAGCAACCCTTCTACCAACTACGTCAACAGTACCTGCTCCGTCGATCTCGACCGGCTCCGAGCCCACGCCCCCAATGCCTCCGTGGTGCAATACGCACGCCTCGAGATCGTGGTGGCACGAACCCGTACCTTCACCGGCTACTCGGATTCCCTCAACGTATCCCTCCCTACATACCAGTCCGTCCGATTGGACACGGACCGCAAGCGAGAAAGACTTCCGGAAGAACGCTGCGCTACATCCGTGACCATTCCGGGTCCTGTGGATAGCGCCCCTGCCAATGCCTCGCACTTGATTTTCGGCGTTGCGACGTCGATGGAGAGACTGAACGCGTCCCTGGATGCCTTTGCCCATTGGGCGGGCGGAACCAACGCCCAGATCGTCGCCGTCGTCGACAAGGGAGGGTCACTCCTAACACCGACCATGGAGCGTGCAAACGCGTTGGGAATCCGTCTTACCGTCGTTGAACAACAGGACGAAGTCCTGGACCGATATTTCTCCCTGATTCGCATCCTGATGGACCGCCGGGAGGAGTCGACCCAATGGGCGGTTCTTATCGACGACGATACGTTCTTCCCTTCCATGCAGAACCTGGTAAACCGACTGGCATCGTACGATGCCACTCAACCGCAGTATATCGGAGCGTTGTCGGAGGATATGTCGCAGATGTACGGGGCGGGCCATATCGCGTACGGCGGCGCGGGCGTCTTCCTGTCCATACCGTTAATGCAGGAGCTTCACGAGGTCTTCGATGATTGTTATCTCTTCAAGGGGGCAGGGGATGGGATGGTCGCGCAGTGTATCTATGAGCACACAACAACGAAACTTACGTGGGACCGAGACCTGCACCAGCTGGATCTGCGCGGGGACGCGTCGGGGTTCTATGAGTCGGGTCGTCCGCTGCCTCTGTCGCTGCACCACTGGAAATCATGGCACCATGCGGACATGGTGGCGCTGGGAAAGGTGGCCGCGGTGTGTGGCGAAGGATGCCTGCTTCGACGGTTGCAGTTGGCAGACGATTGGTATCTCGTCAATGGGTTTTCGGTCATCAAGTACTCCCGACCCCTGCGGGACCCCAACGTGATGGAGCAGACGTGGGAAGACAGCCAATACCAAGGGGTTGGACCGTTCGCATATAGCTTGGGACCGCTTCGGGGTCGAGACGAGGACAAGGTTTCCTTGCGGATGCGGGAGGCTCAGGTGGAAGGACCCGGTCGGGTGCGACAGGTGTACGTCCGCGAGGATGAGGATGCTCAGGTGCTAGACGTGGTGTGGAAAGTAGCGTCCTGAAGCATGCCCTAAGCCAACGCCAAATGTCTGTGATGAAAGATGTTTCACGTTGGATACTGCAGGGGGCCTGAGGCAACCATATATCGGATGATGAAAACAAAACAAAGCACAGCAAAACAAACAAAGGGAGAAAAAAAAAAGGGCAAAAAAAAAGCAATAAAATAAAATGAAAATGAAAATAAAAACAAAAAGAGAGAGAGAGAGAGAGAGACCGAAAGAAAGAAGAGAGGCAAATGAAGGTCAGGAAGAAAGCAACAAAGAACAGCCTGACTGGAATGAATCCATATTGAAGGCTGTCAACTGCGGGGCAGCGCGGGTTTCCATCGATTCCCTCCCAATCTTTCGTCTGCTTCTTCTCCTCCTTTTCCGGCGCTTATTTATTTGTGGAGCAACAAAGAATATTCATCTCATCTTCCCAGAACGTAGCAAAGCGCTCGACTGAAGATCATCTGCTCCTCTTCTCCCCTTCCTTTTTTATCTCATCTACATCGCTCGTCCCCTCCTCCCCGCCGCCAGTCTGGCTGATCGCTCTGTGGGATAGCGAAGATGTCTGATTTACAGGGTCGGAAGATCTTCAAGGTCTTCAACCAAGACTTCATTGTCGACGATCGCTATAACGTGACCAAGGAGTTGGGACAGGGTGCTTATGGCATTGTCTGGTACGTTCGTATCTCGATCCCGGTGGACTGGGTGGGCTGGCTAACTAACTTGTCCCCGCCTGATAGTGCGGCACAAAACGTCCAGACTGGCGAGGGTGTCGCAATCAAGAAGGTTACCAATGTCTTCAGCAAGAAGATTCTGGCCAAGCGAGCCCTGAGAGAAATCAAACTGCTCCAGCACTTTAGAGGCCATCGCAACGTTCGTCCTCGTCCTCTTCCCCCCACCTCGTCACCATCTGACGGAGTTGATGCAGATTACTTGTCTGTATGATATGGACATTCCACGACCAGATAACTTCAACGAGACGTATCTCTATGAAGGTGAGGATACCGTCCATGTTTTGGTTCCTGTGACTGACGTTTTGTCTCGCCTCCTCTAGAGCTGATGGAGTGCGATCTGGCCGCCATCATCCGTTCTGGACAGCCTCTCACCGACGCCCATTTCCAGTCCTTCATCTACCAGATCCTGTGTGGTCTTAAATACATCCACTCCGCCAATGTCTTGCACCGTGACTTGAAACCCGGTAACCTCCTGGTCAACGCCGACTGCGAGCTCAAAATCTGTGATTTCGGTCTGGCCCGTGGCTTCTCGATCGACCCCGAGGAGAACGCCGGTTATATGACTGAATATGTTGCTACTCGATGGTATCGTGCTCCAGAGATTATGCTAAGTTTCCAAAGCTACACCAAAGCCAGTAGGTTCCTTCCCATCTCCTAGTGTATACTTTCCCGGTATCTAGACTAACCTTCGAACCAGTCGACGTGTGGTCGGTGGGCTGCATTCTGGCCGAGCTTCTCGGGGGACGCCCTTTCTTCAAGGGTCGTGACTACGTTGATCAGCTCAACCAGATCCTGCACTACCTGGGCACACCCAATGAGGAGACGCTGGGCCGCATCGGCTCTCCCCGAGCCCAAGAATATGTGCGCAACCTGCCCTTCATGCCCAAGATCCCCTTCCAGCGGCTGTTCCCTAACGCGAATCCGGATGCGCTCGACCTGCTTGACCGCATGCTGGCGTTTGACCCGACGTCCCGCATCTCGGTCGAGGAGGCCCTGGAGCACCCGTACCTGCATATTTGGCACGACGCGTCGGACGAGCCCACCTGCCCCTCGACCTTCGACTTCCACTTCGAAGTCGTCGAAGACGTCCATGAGATGCGTCGCATGATCTATGACGAGGTGGTGCGGTTCCGTTCCGTCGTGAGGCAGCAATCCCAGGCGCAGGCCGCCGCCGCCCAGCAGCAGCAGATCGCGCAGCAGACCAATGTTCCCATCCCGGAGAACCAGCAGGGCGTCTGGAAACAAGACGAACCAAAGCCCCAGGAAGCGCTGGCCGCAGGCGGGAACCACCCCAATGATCTGGAATCGTCGTTGCAGGGCGGAATGGATGTCCACCGGTAAAACCTGATGGGTTGTGTACGTGTGTGGAGTGGGATGGGCTTGCATGACGGTGCATGTGTATGTGCATGGTCCTGAGATTCGTTGGTTGGTTAGCTGTTTGATTGAATATATCCCATTTCCTCGCGCTGGAAATCGCGGGCGTTTCCCGGGGAATGTCACATAAATAAGACAATTGATATATTTTGTGTGGTGTGAACTGTCTGTTATTATTCTTTAGTCCCTTGTTTGGTACTCGTAGGAGAGAAATGGAAGCTAGGATGTAGTCATTATCTATTATTCTCTTTCCTGGTTCTATTTTTATCTGCTCATCTATCTATCTGGCTCAACCCAGCGAATTCATCTCATTGCCTGGTTTGAACCATATATGAATACTGGTATATCAATGCTGCTCTTGTTCATGGCCCTAGCAATTCTGGAAGACAAATAAAACAAAAGAAAAAAAGTAGAAATAAAGAAAAAAGGCATAAAGATCATCAATCATCAATCATTCACCGATATCCCAGGCTCATCCATAGATATAAAGGACAGGTCTGGCCACAGAGTTCCAGTTGGACAAATAGAAATGGCGACAAGCCAGTGCAGTTGCAGGCCAGATAAAGATATAAAAAAAAAAAAATAAAATAAAACTCCCAAACAGAATGCAATGCATCACAAAAATAATCAGAAAAACAAAAAGGTCTATTATCAGTAATAATATCCGCGCCACCATACCGCCATACAAGCGGCCACCGCCAAATCCAACATCTTGATACCCTCGTCTTCGATGACAAGTTTTCCGAGTTTGGCGCTCTTGCCGCGCATGCCGCCGCCGGCGTTTTCGCGCGCCAGAGTGAAATCCAACCGGTCTTCACTGGGGAGGAGACGGGGACGGGGACGGGGGCGGGTCTGCGCCTCGCTGTTGGAGGAGGGACCGTCGATGTCAGCGCTGCTGATGCTGCTGAGGGAGGACTTATGCGTGACACCCGGGGGCGTGGACGGGGGTGGTGGCAGCGAGTGCGTGCTGGCGGCGGAGCGCGAGCGCGGCCGATTCGAGAGGCCGTCGAGGATTTGCGCCAGAGAGCTACGCTTGACGTGAGGTGAGGAGGTCGTCCCCTCGGGGCCACTGTCGAGGGCACCCGTGAGGTCTTTGAAGCCGGCGATCTGGCTGAGGGTGAACGGGGAGAGGTGCAAGGGTCCGGGCTGATGGGGGAGATTGCTTGGCTGGAAAGGTGTGTTGAAACGGATTTCCGCGACAGTTACGGCCGGGTTGTCGTTGCCTGGCTGGGGAGAGAAGCCTGGCATGGAGACCATGTGTTTGCACTTCAGGCTGCGGCCGTTGGCGCTGCTAGAGAACGTGCAGGTCCCGTTCCACGGCGACTGGAAGGTGTAATAGCCGCTCTTGAGCTTGGAGTGCCCCGCGCCCTGGCTCCCAGGTCGGCCCAGGCTGTCGAGGGAGGGCCGGGAACCGGCCAGGTCCAACGACCCGCGGGCTTCTTCCTGCGGCCGGGACACGCACAGCTTGCGATGGAACCGGCGTGGTAGCGGCGGCGCGTCACCGTTCTCGCCGGACTCGGCCGGTGGAGGCGCAATCCCCGACAACGAAAGGGAATTGAGCGCCTCCGCGGGGAGGTTTATCCCGAGATTTGCCAAGGAGAACGGTTCCTTTTGCGTAGCGAATCGCTTATATCCGGGCGTGAACACCTCGATGTCGATGGCACCGCCGTCCATCCGGGGCGTCGACATCGTCGCCACATTCCACTGGCTGCCGTGAGAAGGATCACGGCGAATCAGCGTGATATGAAAGCCCGGCTGATCAGGTGGCCGGCTCTCAGGAGGGTTTCTGGTGGGAGATTGGCCGGGGCTGCGTCCTGGGGAACCCATGCGCGTGTACGAGGAACTCGCATGAGCCGTATTCGGGCCCATCTGAGGCTCTCGGGAGTCCAAGCTGTGACGCCCAGTAGAGAGCGCTTCGTATTTCTCTTTCCAGATCTCTGGGCCGCGCGAGAAGTAGCCTCCGAGAGCACTCCACCGATTGCCCTTCTTCAGATCGCGGTCCTCGGGGGCATCAAATGCACTCTCGTCTCGGGGCACTGGAGGAAGCGGTCGGCGCGATGGCGCGGTCGTCTGATCGTCCGGGGGATTCCCGAGGAAGCTATGGCGATCCGGAGGCGTTGCACCGGTGAAATCGACCGAAGATCTCGCTGATAGAGGTGGACGTGGCGGCATGGGAGGCGGTTGAAGCGAGGTCGAAGACACCAGGGAACGAGCAGGCAGAGCTGGAGGCACGGAAGGGGGGGAAGCAGCAGCAACAGGAGGAGGAGGAGCACCTCCACCACCTGGCACCGGCTTTCGCCGTACATGGTTCAGTCGCGCGAATTCCGAGGGCAGATCAGCCTCTTCGTCATCCAGGCCCTCGCGTCGAAGCCGGGCACGTTCCTCACGTTCCTGCTCATATTCCTGGAGTAAAACCTCATCGTCGGGGGTGGCCACATGTAAGTAGTAGAGGGAGGCATTGATGGCCTCGGCGGAAACGCTGGCCTTGGTGGGGGGTTTGAGGGGCGACAGGAAGACGTCTGTAAGAGAAGGACATCAGCAGGAGATCGTGCTGGATCGCACAGGGAACCGCGTATACCTTTACTGCCGGGAACTCGCACGATATAGAGCACCAGCGGGTCGAGTTTCTTCTGGCTGGGATTCCGAGGGTAGGTGGGAGGTTGCGAGGCGATGGAGGTGATGGAGGACAGCGACCGCGCCTCAACAGGCCCACGGGCAACGTCACCGGAATCCTCATCCACCGCCATTTCCCAGAAAGGGGACGGAGCTAAAGAGAGAGGGAGGGAGGGAGACACAAGGAAGAGAGAGGGAGAGATACAAAGAGGGAAGATGGAGCAAGCTCAACAAAGTAAGTAGTGAAGTGGCGGAAATAATGCCAAGAAGGAAGAAACACATCGGCCAAGAGCTGAGCAGCAAAGAAAGATAGATCGAAAGAGAAAGAAAGTTTCTAGATCCAGATCGAGTCTAGGAGAACAGAATACGAGACAGCAAGCGTACAAGAACTGAAAGAGAGCAAAACACAGTTGCCTGGAGGCCACGCCAGCTGATGGTAAATCCGGCCCAACGAGACCAGCTCAAATTTGGTATCTCAAAAGAGTATAAAAAATAAGAAGCAATCCCAAATGGACTCCTCCTAAATAGCTACAGCTCAAAAAAACATGCAAATTAATACGCAAGGAAATGCCCGGGTCCAAAGGGGCATGATCACCAGCACCAAAACATACACAATGAACCACAAACGCTCCGGCTCCAAAGCTCCAACATTAAGTGGGGATGACGATGATGAATTATAGATAGAATAATACCATTGCGCCTGGTACATAACAGAACTTAGACGACGGTCTCCGATCGCTCGCCTTCTGCAACAACCGGAACCCCCAGGCCTCGGTCCGGGCTCTGCAATACGAGCTGTTCGTGTCGGCGCGCTCGCAGGAAATCGCTAATGGCTCGGATCAGGATAAACCACCCTACAATCATCAAGACGTACGAGATCCAGTCGCTCGTGCTGATACCGCCGCTGCCGCCGCCGCTATCGCCGCCTTCGTTGACCGAGCTCGGGTCGAAGTTGTGGTTATTGGGATCGGAAGGCGTCACATACTGATCCGAGCTATCATCCGACCCTCTCGACTCACTCCCGCCCTTCATGTAGAACCCGTACTGCACCAGTGTGAGGCCTAGACCTGCCCGACTTCCATTCTTCGCCGCATGCGTGGTGTGCAGAAGATATGTCAACAAGAACCCTACCAGTTGGAACGACATCGAGATCATCGCATTCCAAACAAACGAAAACACCGATCCTACCGGCAGTCCATCGACAAAAACCTCGTCGGACGAAATCCCCGGCGCTAGAATGGTCGTCTCCCAGTAAGGAGGTGTGGCATCGGCGGCGGCTTCCTCGTAGGACTAAACATTTGACAAATACGTTTCCCCCGGTTAGCAATCTCTCTCACATCCACGCGATAACACAAGAGACATGTCGTACCGGAGGCATATCCTCATTCTTTTCCCCCCGTTCCGGCTTGGCCGCCAAATTCGCAAAGACGCCGTCGTTGGAGGAACTGATCATGCGACCGGGGCCGGAGCTGGAAGGACTAAACGACGGCAAGATCGTCTGTCGTCTTTGCATCCCAGAGGCCCGCTGCCTTTCCTGGGACGGTTGCTGGGTACTGGTCCCCGACGAGGATGCACCCGTGGCAGAGTTGCTATCCGACATTGATTGGGGCTCGGGTTGGGCCCGCATTAGCCGCTGCCGGTCATCGGGTTCGTCATCTGCTTCGGAGTCGCTTTCATCGCCAAAAGCTGCGGCGAGGGTCTGGTCGGCATCGCTACCGTGAGGATCATCCCGGAGAAGATGTCGAGACGAGGGAGACGAAGAACGAGAGTGAAATGAAGGGGGCGGAGACGAGGGGGTTAAGGAGCTGGATCGGTGAGGGATCGATGAATGGGACTGCGGCGCCTCCTCGTCGTCATGGGCGTTCACCTGTATCGCTTTGTATAAGTAATCCAACTCCAGGTGACCCCAAGATGCGAGGATTCTGAAATGGCGTGACTCTTACCCGTTGGTAACGCTGGGAGCTCATGACGAGCGGAACGAGGGGGCGGCGATCGGAAGATGAGAGAAAGGACACGACCAAGAACACACAAGTGATATTAAGGCTCGGGGCAAAGGAATGTCAGGGAAAGGGAAGCCGAGGAAGGTGAGCCAAATGGAAGATGAGATGGAAGGATGGAAAGAGAGTGGTAGAGTGTCAGAGAGCGAGACCGGGCGAGAGTAAGAAAGAGGTTAAGGCAGTGTTGCTGCCTGGGGCATTCATCCCGTGACCTGGCCCCGTGATTGGATCGTGAATTTGATTTTCGACCTCATCGAGTCTGGCATCAATCACTCACCTTGCTCTTGGGGATTCTTAGGAAGTGATCTCTCTTTTTCCACCTGCTGTACCACCCAGAAACGTTCATCTTCTCTCCTCCTATCCATCCATCCATCCATCATTCATCATGACCAAACCTCCCGTACGCCCAGCTATCCATTACCAAAGACAAAACACCAGGAACAAATTAACAATGGCCTAGAATCTCCGTCCCCAGTCCATTCAGGCGCGCATTACCCATCTTCTCAATCATTGGCCCTCCGATCCAGTCCGCCCGGCCTCTGTCTCCGTCCAAAATTACCTTCGATCTCGCCTTCCTCCTTCCTCTGAACTCCCACCCAACAACCGGCAGCAACGGCAGTCCGCATCGCAGGGCGGCGAGATCTCAGAGACCTCGTTAGATGCGCTTTCATCGTTGTTAGAGAATCGCTATGCCCGCCAGTATCCATTACCGCCGAAGTTACGACGACCCGCCAGTAATCCCGACCACTATGATAATGTCATTAGGGAGTTTGCTGAGGCGCCGTCGCGAGACTGGACGGGTCGGTTAGGGAAGAGGTTAAAGGGTCTATTCCGGTTCAAATAACAGGATGAATTCTTTTTCTTTCGTTCTCTGTATTATTATAATGCTTTGGGATGATGAGATCGATATGTGGATCGATATGTATGTGTATATATAGTGACGAACAAAGGAGAGCAAAAGATACCTATCTCTCTATAGTGTTCATAGAACTGTGCATCATGATAATCAATAAATAACAGCGCGCAAAAAAAAGACTCCTAAAAGGTATATACAATTGGATGTCGTCCTGTTTTTGCTCCATCCTATAATAGTTCAAACCAGCCACCATGCATGAAAGATATAAAAGAAAAGAAAAAAGGAAAGGAAAAAAATTCCATCACAACATGGGCTTCACATCATCTGCCACTTTGAACGAAGCCTCCGTCTTGCTGCGAACCTCATCCACCGTGACTCCATCAGCCAGCTCGACCAGAGTCAACCCCTGGGCAAAGTCGACATCGAACACGCAGAGTTCAGTGATGATACGACTGACACAGGCCCTACCGGTCAGGGGGAACTCGCACTGCTTGACAATCTTGGGGTTACCCTTCTTGTCGGTATGTTCCATCGTCACCACCACCTTGGTCGCCGACGGGTTGGAGACTAGGTCCATGGCACCGCCGAATCCCTTGATCTTACCAGGAAGCATCCAGTTGGCCAGGTCGCCGCGGGCACTGACCTGCATGGCCCCGAGGATCGTCAGGTCAATCCTTCCGGAACGGATCATCCCGAAGGATTCCTCGCTACCAAAGCAAGCAGCCCCCGGAGACAGAGTGACGGTCTCTTTGCCGGCGTTGATGAGATCCGGGTCCTCCTGGCCCTTCTTGGGATAGGGGCCCAGACCCAGGATGCCATTCTCGGACTGTAGCATCACCTCCACTGAAGGATCCACAAAATTGGGAGCCAGCATTGGCATCCCAATGCCCAAATTCGCGTACATGCCGTTCTTGAACTCCTTCGCGGCGCGCCGGACAATCCGCTCCCGCTTGGCGGCGGTGTCCCCCTTGCCCAGGGCAGCGGTATCCTCGCCCTCATCTTTGGCAAAGGTGTACTTCTCAATGTTCTTGGGCTCAGAGCTTTGGATGACGCGCTTGACGTAGATCCCTGGCAGATGGATGGCCGCCGGCTCAATCTCGCCGGGCTCCACGATGTGCTCCGCCTCTACAATGGTCATCTTCGCGTTGCGCCCCATGGCCCCGTTGAAGTTGGCGGCGGCGTAGCGGAACTGGCAATTCCCGAGTTTGTCGGCCTTGTAGGCCTTGACGAAGGCATAGTCTCCCTTGATTGCCTCCTCCATCACGTAGCTCTTGTTATCAAAGACTTTGACGTCACGAGGCTGGCTGTACTGCGCAACCGTACCGTCGGCATTGTGCTTTAGGGGCAGCTCACCCGTCTGCACCACCGTTCCGGAGGCAGCTGGGGTGTAGAAGGCCGGGATGCCTGCACCGCCGGACCGGCAACGTTCCGCCAAGGTGCCTTGAGGCGTCAACTCCAGTTCGATCTCGCCAGTCAAGTACATGCGCTCGAAGGTCTTATTCTCGCCCACGTAGCTCGCAACCATCTTCTTGATCTGTCGCGTCTGAAGAAGAAGACCCAAACCGGCTCCATCAACCCCAGCATTGTTACTGACGACCGTCAATCCCGTAATCGATGGATTAGCTTGCACCGCTTTGATCAGCGTATCCGGAACCCCCGAGAGTCCGAAGCCACCTGCCAACAGTGTGGAGTTGGACTTCATGTCCTTGATGGCAAGGTCCGCCGAAGAAACAACCTTGTTGATTTCCGGCCGCAGGACGCTGCTGGAGAAAGCCCGTGCCAGAAACCGTTGGTGCTAGAAGTTCCGCCATGATGTCAGTATTTGAGGCACCTCTAGGTCAGAAGGCATGGGACAGGGGGGGTTCGGTACCTTGGCGGGTTTGGTAGAGAACTGTCGCGCCAGGCGCAGACAAGTGGCCACCTGTGAAGGCATGGTGATTCGAAGCAAACAGGGTATGTTGGCAAGAGCTACAGCCACTATCGGTCTTACTAGAAACAAAGCAAAGCTGACCTTCCGATGGCGGGTGAAGAGGGCAAATTGCCAGCGTGGAGTGCAGATGCAGATGGATACATATAACTAGGCGCGCGGCGGGCAGCTGCGGAGATGCGGAAAGACACCCGCCTTCCCCGGAACAGCCCCGCATCTTGGAAAACAGCTGGGCCTTAGGTAGTCAGGCAATGGCTGCGGACTTCTCCACAGATTCGAGCCACAATGGACCTAGAATTTATCCTACATTGCTTGCCTGGGCTATTCTTTAGAAACGAGATACTGATATGGCTTGTTTTTACAATCACTCTCATCCCTCCATCTTGACGGATATATGCATGAAAAATTGCCGTCGCCAGCCGACAGACAAAGTGGCGCTTCTGGTGCCGATCCGCGGCCCGCCCTCGGGTCTTCTGCTGACTCAGCACCCAGTAAACACGAAGTTTCGCGCTGACACTCAACTCAATCGTTTCGTCCACTATGTACAGGGAAAATATGCCTATGGAAGGAGGGAGAAACAAAAAAAAAGAGAGAGAGAAAACAGAACCCTCTACCATGCACAGGGAAACAATATCGTAACACCCTCAAATAGCCACAAAGAAATAACAGGTCGCTGATTCCCTCGCTGGTTCATCATATCCATCGTAAACGGGTATTGCAGATGCATCTATCGGCTTTAAATCACGTCAATTGATTACGGACACCAACTGGCATCTTCCGGGCCTTTATTCTCATACGTTTCAACGGATTTCGTGCCACAACTCCGGCCGACAGGTTCGTCTCGGAGCCTACCAATGCACGTCCTTGGAGTTAGTTTCTCTGCTTGACGCCCATTGTTTGGCTGCCTTGCCGCCGTTCGTCTCTTGATTTTCTACATGGAGTTGATCTCCCATACCTGATGCACCCTTGTCGGCACATGCCTCATCATATGTTGGGGGCTTCACGTCCGCATCTTCTGTTCCTGCCGGTGCAGTGGTCCCTTCCGTCAGCGTATGAGGCAGGGAAGTGTTCTGGGCCACCTGTCGGCGCAACGGATTGACGAGACGGTCCTTTTTGTCGTCGTTGACATATACAACGAAGTAAGGTGTGGGCGGATCCTTGCCGCCCGGGTTAGAGAAGATCTCATCCAGGTCATGCACCTCGGTCACGTAGCTGTCATTGTACTTGCGCCAGATATTTCGCTCGAAGTCGCGAATGTAGATGTAGTAATGGCCGACCTCTACGCTCCCACGGTGCACGAAGACGGCGTAGATGCGATAAGGCAGAAACCTGTAGTCAGCAAACTGACTGGAGATCATGGTTTGTGTATTTTTAATCTCTTGGTCGATACCTGAAATATGTCAGCGCATTTGGCCACACTACTTTTTTTTTTTTTTTCTTTTTCTGTAATAAAGCACTCACTGTTCAGCTCAGATCTCGCTATCTCGGATAGTTGGCCAAGTCCACGGACCAACTCTGGGTGGATATCGATAGAAGCCTCCGCAGTGTCGAGATTCTCCTTCAAGGAATTCAAATCCTCAAGCACATCGTGGGCGCCATCCATCAATGCCGATATGTCTAGGTTGCGCACTTTCTGTGCCCAATATTAGTAACTCCCATCCCTCCCATATTCAAGCAAGGGTGTTTGGGGTTTGGATTCATACAGGAGGTTGTAACAATTCCGTCCGACGAGCTTCAAGCATCCTCAACTTGTCCTTCCATTCCCAGCACTGGCGCCGCCTATTCAAGATTTCTGGCTGTTGTGTGTCCATATAGCGATCGAGGTAGATAGTTTCTTTCAGTTCTAAGTGATGCGTTGATTTGAACTGGCTCTTCGTCACAGGGTCAAACTGCACCCGCTGAACTTGGATCTGAAGCACAGGTGGTAGCTTGCTTATGGCACCGAATTGTTCTGCCACAGAGTTGCCGACATGAACCTTCTGGACGTCAAAGGCACCATCAATGGCTGTGTAAATATCGCGAGGCCCAGTTGCAACGTCGACCTTGATATCACACCACCACTCTTCCTTGGACCGCGTGCCTTCCTTCGACAGGATATAAGACTTGGCTTTTCCGTAGAACAAACTATTTGAGAAAACAGATCAGTTCAAATCCGGGGCGTCAAAGTAGAGGAGGACTCACTCCTTGACTCGATCAATCTGCTCCCCATCTGCAGCGATCGAGCTTGGCCGAATAGCACATTGGCTTTGGAAAAGTAAGTTGTTGATTACTTCCGTTACATCTTGCTGTGCTCCTATCGCGACTTCGTCTAGTTCTTGCTGCCTTTGTGGATCACCTTGGGGGGTAGGTCGAGGAGGCACAGGTGGGGGTTTAGCAGGTGATGGGGCTTGCTTTGTGGAGGCTGTGTGGTTGGGGCGACTATGCTCAAGTGGTTCGGGGACAGATCCACCCTGGGCGTCCGTCATCACTGCATCGGCAAGTGGTGGCTCATTTTCCTTGTCCTCGCTCGGAGCAACGGGGGCGTCATTCTTGGCGCCCTCAACGAGAGTGGCCTCGCTGTCAAGATCGCTTGTTGCTGAGCGTTGGGTGGTGTCCGTATCAATGGCCATCAAGTCTTTGACCTCACCGTCTGAAGTCGACTGCGGCGGACCAAGAGGGCCCATGATCGCCAGACCGTTAATTTCACCGAGACCGACGGGCCGGTTTACAGATTTTGTTGAGCGACGACGTATGGCGGCTTCGCTGGAAGGGCTAAACAAGGTTAGTTTTGCTAACTTCGTTTCAGGAGGAACGTCGAGATCCGGAGAAGTAATCATGTCGTGGAACAAGGCCCGCAGCTCCCTCAAGACTGAGGATAAAGCAATTGTCAGTCTTCCGCTTGTTGCACACTAAGCATCTACCACTTACACTCTTGAGATCGCTCAACCTCTTTTTGGGCGACTTTGCGGGATCCCACTTGTTTTTTGTTCAAGCTCTCATCGTCAACGGCCATCTTGAAATCGTCGAAGTTTAGAACCATCTCGCGGAATGGACGCACAGAGAAATAGAACTGTAGCAGGCTATTAAGATAGCAGGTGTTACCGATATTTCTTAGGCCTACCGGCCATTCGGACATATCCCGGTCTGACCTCACGGCCGAACAAGATATTGCATTGCTCAATAGAGGGTTGTTCATTTCCTTTGCAATGATCTGCAATGCCTGGTTGTAGGTATCGATCTGTGCCGGGGCTTCATCCACACATATGGTGTAGGCTGCCATGATTGCGTCTTCATCTACGGTGCGATCGGGTATCTGCAGAAGACGATAGGCATCTCCGATATCCATCTCACCCGCCGTCATTTCGCCAGTTTTGAGAAAGTGTTTCAATGCACTTGACTTTCGCGCTTCGGCTATAAGTTCAACAGCTCGTCGCGCGGGATCTCGGGTCGATGGGCTATCGTTGACCTAGATCGCATATCAGCACCCATACTTCGAGACTGGATCTTATCCGGAAACCGGGTACCTTAGCAGTATACATTGCCATAATAAAGTCGTCGCTTGTATCATCGCCGACGCCGAGAAAGACTTGAGCTTGTTCTACGGTCGACACCCCTTATCTCTTCCATTAGTCGCTTATACACCACCGGAATGTAATCCTCAGAAAGAGGCGTTGCAAAGCAAACTTACTATCCTCGGCCGCCGATTTGATTCGCTCACTCCTTCTACTATTTCCAATCCTCCAAAGCTGTTGACGGGTCTCATGCTCCTGGTTAGTTGAGCTTAGATAGGCATAGAACTTTCCGATTATGCTGTCTTCGGTAAGACGTGTATCGTCGTGGCTCAGCCCAAAATACCTGTAGGCATTAACGACGTCTTCGTTCGTGTATTTGCCTTCTGCGTAGGCTACCTGGACCGCCTGCTCGATAAGATCACCATCCTCTCCCCCTCGGAGGTTTCCTATCGACTTGAGGCACTCCAAATAAATAGACGATCTTGCTGGGTCTACCGATACTTGCCGGTTGAAGGCGTCTATGATTAAGGATGATGACATGTCCTCAACAGCACCCAAATCGTCATAGTACCTAGGTCACGCATCAGCACTCATTCTCGGCGACAGCTGTCATGGGGCTACACAAACGGTTCAGGTGCCATCTGGAATTCGTTCGACCGCAAAGCTTTTGGGTCTAGAGAGTATATTTAGTTGTGGGCGCGGGAAAATGATATCAGGATACACTTACAGTCAAGAGCCCCAAGAGCTGAAAGCAGGTCATTTGAAGCAGGATTGAACTTGAATTCTATTTGCTGAGCTTTCTTCTCCTCCAGTGGTCTCTGTTCTATAAGTGCAGTAAGTTCGTGAATCGTGTCATCGAGGAAAATTTTCAGCTGATCACGGTAGGGAAATTCTGTCCAAGGACTGGGTCGCGGAGGTTCCCAGAACCCTTCGTTCTGGTCCAAGGCATCAGTGGTCGTCACACGCACAAAATTTGAAGGACACACCTTAACTGAAAACTCCAGGAATTCAAGCAGATCTTTACAAGGCATTCCTTCAACACCGAAACAAGTCATAAATCTCTTGTTGACTGCCGATATCGACTTGCTATGCTGGCCATTATTGAGGGCGTTATAGAGGTATGCACGCAAGTTCAACAGAACATTGATTGGCAGGGGTAAGGCAACGCCTTCTAAACGATCAGGATAGCTTGCTATCGCCTCTTCCGCGCGCTCTCGCAGTAACTCCGGGTCGGTCAACAGTCGCACACTGTCCTGGTTGAGCACAGGAGAAGCGACTCGGACAAGTATGCCGGTGGAACAGCTGAGATAGGAACACTCATAGTGGTAGGTCTCTACTATCTGCCCTTTTGGAGTAATCTCTTCGGGAGATGTCCCACCTCTGTGCTTCCCTGATTTATATATCAAATGATGGAGATGATCTGCAAGACCCTGGCCGGAAGTACCGAGAGCAGATGTACGGCTCACAACAACCTGTAGGTGACAACGACACTTCAAGCACATGGCGGACACTGTTGGCGGGGATCCGGCTCCCTGTTGCAAAAAGCTTTGACCCGGCTTGGTCACGTAGCCATGGCGACATGCTGATGGTGAAATATACTCGGGTGGCCCACTATATCGTTCAGTGAAAACCGGTGGGACGTCGGAGAGAAGGTTGCGGCCTGTACTTGGAGGATTGAAGAAGTCATAGTCAAGGATATCTTGTACAAGACGCGGGGCAGTCTTGCCTGCGGAGTTATAGCAACCCAGTCAGTATCACGTGCATATAGCTTCCCTGATGATGGGAGGACTGGTGTGTACGTACCTGACCTCTGGAAGGACGACATGAGTAGGCTCTTAGGAGCTTACAAGGTAACCGGAGGATCAGGCGCCAGGGTCCAAAGACAAAGCAAACACTTTCCCATGCACTCTAATGCGCCGTCACAGAATTTGACAGAGATAAATCCGTAACGATGGACCACCTCAGGTCCTGGAATTATTCAATATTCAAATATGCCTAGAGAATGGACCGGCAAATAGAACAGCGGGGAGCCAGGCAGCGGCAAGCTAGGGAATTAGATCACCAACACCCAACTGCTGATTGTGGCAGAGTGACAAGAGAAAATTCGCGGAAATGTTGAATCACCGGAAGAAGGCCAGTTGTAGACAAACCACTGGGACAATTAAAACCCCTCCTGTCACAGGGAAAGGGCTTTGGAGAAGGGATCATCTACCACCATCCAACCCGCCAGGAAGCTGCATCAGAGCCCCCGGCAAGCGGTGGCGCACGGCAGAAAGTGCGACTTCCAAAATCCCATCATAGCCAGCCGGACCACTGCAAGCAACAGACCACTCCCACTCCATCCGCCACCATGGCTACCCACACTGAGGAGCATACCTACCACCCCAAGGATACGATCCAGGCGGCATTGAAGACTACCATGCTCACTGGTAGCGTGGGTCTTTTCGCTTCCGCAGTTCAGAATACCCTCGTCAGGAAGAATGTTGGACCCTGGGGTGTGTTCGTGAGGAGCGGCGGCACCATCGGTGTTTTCGGTATGAATGCAATGGAATCCTTGAATTGTGCATATCGCGTTTACTGACATTGTTGTCCAGCGGCAATGGGTGGTACCTATGAGTTCGTGAAGAATGCCTCGGCCAACTTGCGGGAGAAGGACGACCACTGGAACGTCGCTCTGGGAGGCTTCTTCTCTGGTGCTATCCTGGGTCTCCGAGGTATGTGATCTTAATTTTCTCGGGTTTGAATGTGGTTGTCAGGCAATTGATCTGACTGCGGTACAGCCCGGACTTTCCCCGCCCTTCTAGGCTATGGTGCCGCTCTGGCAGCCGCTATGGGCGCTTTCGAATTCACGGGTGGCTCGTTGTGGGGTAACAAGAGGGACGTTACTGTTGATGAGTTTGAGCGTCGGCAACAGCTGAGGAAAGCATACCGAACTCCAGGGGAAGAGACGCTCGCCGAGCTGGGTGAAGGACGAGGTAGGCTCATTGGACGTTTGCCATTGGAGCGCTAACCATACTAACCTGGTCTCTGCAGGCATTTACGGCCCTGGATATGCCGAGAGACGACGAGAGAGGATCAAGGAGGCATATGGTATTGACGTTCCCACATCTGCAGTTCCCGCATCATGAAGATGATCCGGTTCGATGTTCCTTGTCCTGTCTACCGATTCCCAGTCTCCTTGTGTAAAATTACCACTACATGTCGACAGCTTTTAGCTAGCATTTTGGCACCTTCTACAATGAAATTTTCTCTTTTTCCCTCTTCTTTTATATCCTGCCATCAAATTTGTTTGCGACCTGCCCCTCTATTTTGTGAACTGGAGATTGCCATTGCAATATATCCTGCATTGGTAAGGATTGATTGTTATCCAACTCTCTACGAGGGATAGCTCAAACCAGTGACTGAAGCTACAGGTCATATGATAGTGTCAATCTGCAAGCTGAGAGTTATAGGGGATAGCACTTTTGTTTTCCCCTGTCATAGTAAATATCAAATAAGCTACGTACAGGGAATGTAAAACAACATGGTGAAAGCACTCCATAGCCACGCATGAACCTTCACCAGATGGTAGGAGAAAATGGACCAATCACAGAGCTAGCTTATCAAATCAACAATTTGGAAGTATAAACCTCGGGGTCCAGGAGACAATGAAGGCAAGGAAACAAGAAACTATAGCATTGAATTGACTGACAGGCTATTTTTTTTTTTATTTTCTATGGCCTATCGATCGGGCCCTGACAATCTTCAATGTCGATCTGGGAGGCGTGGTATTCAACGCTGATACCACGCGCGAGTTGGAGTTAATGGCTAGACATCTACATGATTCACAATGCAAGAGACTAAGGCTTGTAACCATCTTGAGTTTCGGGATCGACCCGTTTAAGTGAGACTCTTCCCCGAGGCAAATATCGAGGTGAAAGGGTCGTGTCCCTTCGAAGCGCACCCTGAACCCTTGATGCTGGAGCTCTGGCGTACGCAGGGAATTGAATCCTTGATTAGTGATGTTTCTATTTATTATAGAGTACTCCGTATATCCTGATCTTTACTGTGTATTTCATCATAGAAACCATGAAGAGATTGACAGAGATGATGAACCGTGCATGACATCGAAGGTCAACAGGAATTCACAGGGAGGTTAAGTTGCTACCTCCGCCTTTCCCGAAAGGGGGAAGAGCAAAGACTGTGGGATTGTCCATCGGAAATCTCCTTTTTTGCCTCCGCACTGTGTACGGAGTATTCCTCCAGATTCAGAAGAGCTCAGGGGTTTGCCACAACTGAAAAGGGGGTGGGGAGGACTCGATGGAAGCTGTGTAGAACGATAGAATGAGCGACGATGATGTCGCCGTTTCATTGCGGCGGACTATACCGGGTGGTGATTGGTTGCTGGGCCCAGCGGGGCTCAGCCACAACTTTCTTTCCAGCCACGCCATTGACCGAAAAGGGGAGGGGGTACTTTCATTGCTACTGGCAGATACCGTGGATGCCGGTTTTAGGCACTAATAGCAAATCCGCAGTATTCCTTGGCAAGAATGAGGAACCCATTTACTTCAATTACTTCATTGTGGCTCAGTCCTGATGGTAGGCAACAGGAGGCATTCCTAGCAGGTCTTAGTTGTAAGGATTCAGAACAAGACAAATAAGGATTTTCTGTAGATTACACAGTCATTTGTATAACTATACACAGTACAGTAGCTATGTTACTTAATATAAACATCCAACCTAATCTCTGGAGTACTAGGAAGGTATCTAGTCCATCCTGATCCCGTATCACTAAACATTACGTATTCCGGAGAACCTCATTCAGAGTTCACTTTCGCTCTCCAGCTCCGCTCCTATCAGGCTCTGAGGATTCCGTACCGTAGTTGTTATCAAGCAATAGAGACGGCATTGGGTCGTCATAACGTCGCATTGTTTGGCCGGTTGCTCGGCGTAGACGTCATCCGGAACCGTCCAAGAGATTACGCCCAAGTACCCCTCATTGAATTTTGCTCTTATACCTGCCGTCGATCGGGTCTATTCCGAAGTAAAAGAAAGAAAAAAGAACAGTAAAAAAAGGCAAGAAAAGAAGAAAAGACATTCTTTTCGATGGGTCTATCGATCCCGATTGACTGATTTCTTCCCCTATTCTATAATCTATTCTACTCCTATAGCGCCTCCTAGACCGAGTGGGACCTGGTCTAGTATCAACTATAGGCCGCGACGACTGCACCTTTTTAACGACTCAGATTGTGTTACTCTGGTGACTATTTTCTTAGTGATTCTTATTAAGTCTGTTAGGAGGAAGACTGCTGGGTTTTGCCCCCGCAAAACAGTTTGCTCCAGACCTCCTGCCACACCACTTTACCAGAATCATCGGTCGCTTGGTAACCAACCCCAGCCAGGAGAGACGCCATTTCGGGCTCATCTTGGATGCTCTCCGTCTCCTTTTTCTTTTTCTTTCTTTCTTTCTTTCTTTTTTTTTTTTAATTAATTCCAATTCGTAATATTTGGGAGGTGAATTCACTCCCTCCCCTCTCCCCCCTCCCCTATCTTCCTATTATACTTTTTTTCCTCTATCTCCATCGCATCCCCAAGAGAAGAGCACCGCCGCTTATATAGCCTTATCTCAGCCCTCGGTTGGATTGATTCTCGATCACAGGACTGGGACTGCGCTGTCCGATTCTTCTCTGCTGCCTCGTCTGGTACCACGTACTTTGTTGTCTCACCCCTTTCCTCTCTTTTGCCTCTCTCCTCCTCTTTCCAACTATGGCCACCCTTGTCCGGTCGCAAACGCCCGTGCAGGATGCATACGGTGCCACAATGCAGCCCTCCGACCCCGTCATGTCCAGTCGAGTTTACGGCACGCGATCGGGCTCCCGGCCAAATTCGTTCGTCGCCAGCACATCCGGTTACAACGCTGCTCACATGGCCGTCGGAGAACCCTCCTCACTTGCCCGCAACGGTCGCTTCCATGAAGATTTCGATGCTCCCAGTCAGCGCGGCTCGATTGTTCTCGATGGTCCATCCTCGGCAGGCATGCAGCGTTCCTCGTCGCAAATGTCCAGTCGTTCCGTGACCCCCACTCGATCCGGTACCCTGAAAAAGAAGTCGTCGCTCAGCAAAAGAGGTAGTATGCGTCGTAGTGGGAGCAAGAGAAGTTTGCGCGCAGGCAGTGTGCGCAGTCTAGTTCTGGGGGATAAAGAGAAATATGGTGTCGACGGCGCGGATGATCAGAACAGCGCCTTCTATATCCCCATCCCTACAGATGGGACGCCAACTGAAGTCCTGGCGAATCGCTTTCAGGGTGAGTCCTTTGCTACGTACCTTTTTTGCGCGGTTGGCTGATGTGCAACAGCTTGGCGCAAGATCCTCAAGGATCTCATCGTCTTTTTCCGGGAAGTCCAGAGATCCTACGAGACCAGAGCAAAAATATTTCTATCCGCGTCGAACGTCGTGAACAACACCGCAATGCCTCCCACGTTCCTGAAATCCGGAGGTCTGGGGGATGCGACCGAGGTCTTGCGAAATTTCTACCGCCAAGGACATTTGGAAGCGAACAAAGCTGCAGAGGTGGAAAACGAGGTTGTCAACCAGTTGATTGGTCTCCGAGGTGACCTGCAAAAGAAGACCAAAGAAATCCGGACCCTCTCCGGGGATTTTCGGAACTCCATGGACAAGGAGGTCGAGGCCACCCGTAAGACTGTACGGCACCTGCACGAATCACTAGGGTTGGTCGATACCGACCCATCAGCCACGTCGGGCAAGGGAGATCCATTCATCGTCCGCCTGAGCGTCGATAAGCAGATTGAGAAGCAGATTGAGGAAGAGAATTATCTGCACCGAGTACGATTCCCTCCCTTTTGATACACCCATTGCGGGATGTGAGCTAACGCGTGGGTTGGGTCTCCAGGCGTTTTTGAACTTGGAAAGTTCAGGCCGAGAGTTAGAGTCCATTGTAGTCAGTGAAATTCAGAAGGCCTACAACGCATATGCCAGCATTCTCAAGCGGGAAGCGGATGAGACGTACGATGCTGTGAACAAGCTGCGCACGGGTCCGATTTCGATGCCTCGCGATCACGAATGGAACTCATTCATTGCCAATACCGATGAACTAGTCGATCCGCGAGTCCCTCTTCGCGATGTGGAGAACATCACGTACCCGGGCAAAGACCATCCTGCTGCCGCAGAAGTTCGATCGGGGATGCTCGAGCGGAAGAGCAAGTACCTGAAGAGCTATCAACCGGGCTGGTACGTGTTGTCACCGACCCATCTTCATGAATTCAAGTCGGCGGATCGCGTGGCGTGGCAGACCCCTGTAATGTCCTTGTACCTTCCGGAGCAGAAGCTGGGCACGCACTCGCAACCTGACTCGACCTCGCATAAATTCATGTTGAAGGGACGGCAGACGGGCACTATGCATCGGGGTCACTCGTGGGTATTCCGCGCGGAGTCTCACGAGACCATGATGGCATGGTACGAGGATATCGAGAGTCTGATCTCCAAGACCGGCGAGGCTCGGAATGCGTTTGTGAGACGGCACGTACGAACCGTGAGTGGCAATAGCTATCGGACTAGCATTGACGGAGTGATGGATGAAGACGAAGCCGACCGAACCCCGTACTCTGCAGAATCGGCTGTCTTACATCAGGGACGACCGACGTCTCAACCCCGGGAGCCGGGAGGCCGTTTCCCCAGCGATGTGCAGATAGACCGCCATTTACACGCCCCACTGTCTCCCTCGAGCGGAGAAAGTTCCGGTGAAAGAGACCTGTTGGCCGTCGCCGGATCCTTCCACGACGGTGGACTTCCCTTGAACGCCGCCGGGCGTCCTCTATCCGATCCAGGGTTGGGAGCTGTAGAAGCAACCCAACCCGCGACATCGAATGACGGACTGTCACGGGGGACTCTCTTCGCACGACACGACAGTTCCTACGGTGGCTGGATGCACCCTGCCGACGCAGCGGGCTTCCAGAGACAGCAACAGGTGCGACAAGCCTACGCCTCATCCGAACCTCGAGAGACAGAGAGGTACGATGGAGGCAAAGACGACACGCATACATTCCTCGTTTCCAGTTTAGGCTCGCGAGGCTCGCTGGATTCATCCGTGGTGCGACAGCGGAATCGTGGCGAGAGTGCATCGACGGCACCCACGACGACCAATGTGACAGATCACACGTACAATACCGTTACCACATCGATCGACGAGGGACCCGAGCCCTCGATTCCCAAGTCAGAGAGAGCCGCGGATGGCGATGGCGTGAAACACGTGCCTGTTGATTCCAGTGTCGACGTCTCCTCGGCCAAGAGTGAGCCCGTATCGAACGGGGCTCCTAAGCGTCCTCCGGTGCAGAGCAAGAACAGTGGATTGTCGTCTCTGGAGTTGCGAATTCCGGGTCATTATCCTCCGGCCAATGTTTCAGCTTAGGAGTTGAACTTTTTTTTTTTTATCTTCATGTATATTTATTTCAATCTTCATATCTGGTTTGAATGCGGAGTGTGGTTTTTCTTTTCTCTTATCCTTTTTCCTTTGTTATTTCCTTTGTTATCGTCTACTATGATTGACAGGAGGGCGTCGATCTGATTCTGGCGTTGGTCCATGGCAAGACAGGACCGGTTTAGGATTGGATAGCTGGTGGATGTATATGGATGGGATATGGATTTCCTTTGCTGGATTGCATTTGCTTTTTGATATGACTCTTGATCGATCGTGTTTCACTTCATCTGTACGATATTCTGGGATCTTTCGGCCATGTATTCTTCTGGTAGGAATCGTCATTTGGTTGAGCAATCTAAATTAGTACCTACCTAGTCCTTGGAGACTGTTTCTTATAGTCTATTTCTAGTAGTCCTATCCTTGTAAACCTACTGTCTATAAATCTCTTAAATATTGATCAGCAAGATTTTATATCCCAGTCTCGTCTCTCACTTCCATTCAGCCCAGATCAAGGGCAGGAGAAGCACTACCGCGCTGAGTGGTGACGACCAAGAAGACCCGCATAGCCCTGATAGTGAAGGTAAGGTGTGTAGATATTAGGGAAGATATTGGAGAGAGTTTATTCTTTGAACTTATGTAGATGGTGATGATTAGGCCTACTAGAGACACATTCACCCTCAGATCCTAGGAATGGTGTTCACGATGGGGAAATAGATATTGGATGAGAGAGGAGAGAAAGAATCGGCTAGAATAAAGATGGCATCTGGGGTTTGGTTAGGATGTCACTGATATGGTTCAGGCATGTTTATTACCTGAGTAGAAGCCGGTTCCAATCTTCCTTGGTAGACAGTGATGAGAAGACTTTGCCCATTATGGGAAGATGAATATATACCTAGTCACTTCAAGGGCTGTATTCCCTGACGACCGAATTACTGACCAAGTGGATGAATGAATTAGTGAAAAGGATAGCGCCATATCGAACATCTACCTGATGATTGTGATTTTCTTCGAGGGTTACCAGTCACTACGTCCGGACGATGCAGCTTTCCAAGCGGAGGTGTGAGTCATTATTAGATTAAAGAAGCCCAGGGTTTACATCAAGTGGGAATATCTATATAGAAATCAAGAGAATCTTCTTTGAAATTCCCTACTTACCAAATCAAGGGATTTTGTGGCAGAACCCTGCTCTTTCCTTTTTGGAACTTACAACTCTACTTTCCGTATTCGTCCTCCTCACTTCTTCCTTTTCTCCTTTCTTTTGTCATTCTCTTCTTCCTTCTCACTAGATCCGGCTCCGTACCAAACTCCCAATTGGCACTTGGTTGGGCTTGATTTCCAACATGATTTATTATCGTTGTACTTTCCTCTCTCCTGTCTGTGGGCCCCGTAGCCAATGGGCTCGGGGACAACCCTCTCTCACCTGTAACACTGACAGGAGAGAGGGATACGTTTGGAATGGTCGGATCTCGTCTTTGACAAGATAGAAGAATTGCTGGAGGATAAGATATTCAGGTAAGTAGATACTATGGTCCTCCATGTAAGTTCTTGCTTTACTGACTCGGGAATAGGAAAAGTATGATCGACTCCGGTGTATATGATGAGAGGCAATCTATAGAACTGAAACTGGAAGCTGGAGCAACTAAAGCCTCTGCTGTTAACAATACATCTGACCAGGTGTAAGATAATAGAAGAGGAGCATCGTTGTGACATTTGGGTAAATCCAACTTTCATTTAATACTTCTCTGGCCTATTCCTGTGCTATACAGTGACAGCTATATGACCTACTCCAATCACTCACTATTCTATCACCTTCGTTCTTTTTAAACCTCTATTATATTTCCCCCACAGTGAATCGTTTCTTCACTATCTTACCTTTATACTAATCATCGTTCAAAGGTCGATCCAAATTCTGTTTGTACATGTCTCCCGGTGCATTTAAGTCACATGAAGATTTTCTGCAACATATTTTGCAATGGATAGAGTAGGCAGAAGGCCATACGGATGTTCAGTATAATGGGATAAGGTTGGAATGGGCCGAGATCGCCTTTCTGTAAGATAGAAGAACTGTGGGCAGGTAGAAGATCCAGGTAGGTAGATGCTGTTATCCTCCAGGCAAGTTCCTGCATACTAACTCTCCGAAAATAGGAAACACTATAACTCAGTGACTCGGGAGTTCTGGATAAGAGTTATCCCCACTTTGTTTCATGGTTGTCACCTGTCCCGATATAGACACTGCGAGCAAGATTGGAGGAGAGGAGTGTTGACGAGGGATGAGATACAAGTTGTAGAATGGGTCTGGGGCGAGTAAGCATCTATCGTTGACTCTGTTTACACTGCATTTGATTGGATGTATAGCAATCGAGTCCACAAGGGGGTTGTATGCAGGGTCAAGACAACAACCCGGTCTTATGATTCGTCCCGGCACATCACGTTATCCAGCCATCGTCTTCGAGTCGTCACCCGAGACTCATGAGGGACGTCCACACCTAATTACTAGGATTGGCCGGAAATGTCCACTGCGTCATCTTTCTCACATGGTTTCACAACCCTGCCTCAGGTAAAGTCTTTGGATATGTCGAATCCTACGTCTCCTGCCCTGACAGAACACCGTGCGTCGACAGAGAGAGGTATGTGCCTACCTTATATTCTTGTACTTCATGGCCCAAACTAATAGAATACAGCAAATGTTCTCACGACCTAAAAATGGTCTTTCCCAGAGCATCTCGATAACTCGCAAAATATTCGGGGGGGCATGTATTTCCGATCCGTGTCCTTCTGATATAGTTTACCTCAACATGGATGGACTTCGCAAAGCTACGGCAAGCTCACCTTTCCTTGGTGGGTCTCGTTCCTCAATACCTGAGACAACTTTCCGGCGACTCTGCTACTGTACTAAATTAGTAGTATAGTGAAATGGTAACATGACGTTAGCTGTTGAAAATAATAGCGTTGATGTGGTCTTCGAATAATATATTCGAGAGACCTTCCAGACTTTGGCATTCCCACCTAAAGATAATGGAATCAGACAGGCTGTTATCCGCGTTGTATGGGTGAAGCACCCTCAAGATACGAGAAGCTTTGTGGACATGTTTCATGACGAAGCTCATAGATATGAGCAATTTGATGGATTGATGGATTCTTGATTAGATTCATTATTATTCTTGACTACTTTACATGAATATGGCTTCAACTGTGTGGGAGGTCGCTTATGAGGGCGTTAGTTTACCAATTTGCGTGCTTTCTGGCACCATATGCTACTGTGCGAAGAGCAAGGGCCACGTCAATCCAATCTGCCCTTTCTTGCATCGTACACAAAGAAATCTCTCAGAATGGACATCGTAACCACATGAGAGACCAACAATGCTGCGTTGGTAGTTGCCATTGACTCGGAACGCATCAGCAGTCAATGGGGTGCAAAAGACAATTCTCACTTCGTGCAGGAAGGGAAAATCTTTGAGTTGATAAGCTCATCCACACCAGACTCAGGGAGTGTACGCCATCGTGCTCAATCACACGCAGTTTACATGATCTCATAAATTCCACTGGATTAGAAAGTGGCCAAGATCACTAAATAGCCAGGGAAATCCCTGAAATATTGACAGGAAGTACTGGAGAATTCGTCTCGATAGCCGAGTTAACAAAGGAAAGACGTACCACTCGTATTCAAAGGCGTTGTTCCAGTAGGAATATGTTTACTGATATTCAAAGGAGTAGCTTGAGTAGGCACGGTAAGGTAGGATATGGATGAAGATATTAGGCAAATATAGTTTGATAGAGTACATGGAAAGAGAAAGTGTCTACTAGGATCAAGGATAATACAGCTGAGGAGGATCAAAAGAGAATATGAGAAGATGATGAGGAAGAGGAAAATGTGGAGGAAGTGGAAGATGACAATTTTTAAACGAGCCTGAGGATCAGAAAGCTCGCTTAAACAGCTTCAAGTGAGGATGACTATAACAAATATCATTTAATTCTTCACTCTTGGAAGCCAGTGAAGTCCATATCAATAAGAAGCTCATCTTCACGGAATCTCTCAATCTTCATTGTCTATCTCCATTCATACGGACTCCCCCGAACTATTTCTAGAAAGTTCAGTGACTATATCAGGCCATGGCCCCTTCCAATGAATGGTCCACTAGCCCTAATTGAAGGAACATAGATCCAATCTGGTACACTGGAATGAAGGGAATGAGCCCGGGAATCTCGACTGGCAGCCGACTTTGTCCCGAGCCAACTACCTAGTGTCAGTATCTCATTTTTTTTTTTTTTTTTTTCCTCCGCGGCCATCCAGAACTTCCAATATGCGTCGTCTGATGCTTCGGGACTACTAGACTAGAAGTAGTGGGAAGAGAAACCAGCCATCATCAAAGAAACCCCGGAATCATTCTTTAAAACTGTCTGTTGGTCCCTGTGGGTTGGATGCATTTGTGGCTGCATGTTTATTAAGAGTGATGATAATCGGGATATAGTCTTTTTATCCAGAGTATATCAATGGCTTGTAGGCTTCAATACATCATAGTTAGCATACCAGTAAACAGGATAACACGGGGATGAAGACCGTAGAGGGACACAAGGCCCTGGCACAGCTGTCAGGTTCATTGTATGAGTGACAATTCGTTAGGCAATCTCCTCAGATACGTGGCAGGTTTGGGTCTCGATATCGGGCATCATGGCCACTCAAAAGTTCGGTCTTGAGATCAGCATGGGACGTCATTAATTCTGCACTGATTTGGTTCTGGGGTTCTATCATTTCGCAGGCTTCGCAAAGTTTTCTCTTTACTTCATTGAGCTCTTAGCGTAGCGAGGAAATTTCTTCATCTGAACTCAAGTATGACATGTTTTCTTCTCTTGTTTCCGCCAACTATTTCTCTTGGATGTGTTCAACATAGATGTTGTCCATGGAAAAAGTGCCAGGGACAAACCTTAGGGATGATGGCAGAGTGATGAGTTTATTAACTAGGACATGTTGGGGATACTCCTTCGGTAATTGTCCTATGGATAAATAACTACCAGTCTCTACATACTACTACTAGGCAGGTCCGACCAAGCACGAGGTATTTGAATCGAGAAAATCGTGGAAAGTGCGAATGAAACTTCCATATATATTAGGGAAGCCCCAGTGACTTAAGCAGGATAGCGTCCTACGGGATACTATCACAAATACAAGCGTACAACCTTGACCAACAATTCAACGGTCCTACAATTTCTACCCAAGTCCAGTCTAACCACCAGTCAAGGGTTCTCATCCTCAAGCCAAAAGACAGGATAAAAACAAGATAAAAACAAGAGATTCAATACCATTGGTCCCATGCACAAATCAGACCGCCGAGAAGAGAAGCACGCAGAGCACAAGACAACAGTGACAAGGGGAAGGGAATCAAATGACATGCAACAGCACACGCAAGGCCACCGGAACGGACATCACAAACTTTTTCCTCCTTGCCTCACCCGCGGTGAAATCCATCCAATGAACAGTACAATTACATGATCTGATCCTGGGTGATTCCTCCAGTCGGGTCGGCCCCGTCCATGGTGTCTCCCTGAACCGAGGATTCGCCATTCATGTATTTGACGAAAGTGATGCCGAGAGGCCGCCCACCGTACTGGTAACCCGTGAATTTGGCTACACCTCTATTAGCAAAATAAATCCGAAGAATGGGAAGCGGCGACACCTACCGATCGCGGTTTCCGCGGTATCGGCGCTGTCAAACCGTACCACGCCCGTGCCACGCGAGCGGCCGTTCGGCTCGTACTGAATCTCAGCACGTTCCACCTTACCGATGGTCGAGAACAAGTCCACCAGATCCTCATTGCAGGTCGACCAGGGCAGCTATGACAGCAACATGTCAGTCCAGGGTTCCTCCTCGCCACACTAGGACCCGACACGCCAAGTACTCACATTGCGGACATAAATGGTGGGACCCTTGTCACCTCCAGAGGTTGCAAAGTCTGTGAACTGGTTGGGAGGCACCGAACCAACTGGCTCGAAGTTCGAGGGACCACCACCGTAGCCACCGGCGAAACCGCCACGGCCACCAAAACTGCCTACGAAGCCGCCACGACCAGCGAAGCCACCACGCACAAAGCCACCGCGGCCGCCAAAGCCGCCTCCAAAACCACCACGCCCACCGAAGCCTACTCCGGCACCGGCAAAGCGGTCCTCACGCACCTCCAAGGTCCGGCCCTGCCAGTCGTACCCATTGAAGTGTTGAATGGCATTGCGAGCGTCATCAGGCGACTCAAACGCGACGATCCCAGAGCCCTTGGGACGGCCGCTGGCATCAGTGTGGACGTCGGCACGAATGACAGCACCTTGTTGGGCTACAGCGGGGGTTCGAGGTTAACACATGGCCCAATGCCACACGTAAAAGGGGGAGGGCCAACGGCAAGGGAAACCGCGCGGATCAAGACTTACCTGCTTGGCGGAACAGATCCTTCAGGTCTTGCCAGCCAACGTTGAATGGGAGCTAAACAGAACGGAGTAGTCAATACCTCCGATATCATATCACCCCAAGGGAACCACTGAGGGGGGGAACAACAAACATTGGCTACATAGAGCTGTCTGCCACCGCCACCACCGCCGTAACCGCCTCCAAAGCCACCGCGACCAGCGCCACCGAAATCTCCGCGAGAGGGTCCGCCAGTGAAGCGAGGCTCCGGTTCACGGTCCTGAATGTAATGAGATTAGTACATCTGTTACGGCGCAAACGGAAGCGCCTGACCCACGTACCTCGCGGACATAGACGAGTCGACCCATCAGGTTCTGGTTGCTAAGCGTGTTGACAGCATTCTGCGCTTGCTCCCTGGTCGCGTATTCCACAATCCTGATACCAGCTGTCAGCAACGCGACACAACGGTCGGACCCAAGGGGAGACTCACCCGCATCCCTACAGTATTCCGGACAGCCAGGCCCAGCCCGTCAACCCAACAGTCCATCAAAACAAGCCAATGAGGGGAGGGGAGGGGAGGAAGGCCAGAAACAACAAGGGAACAGAAAGAACGGAACAAAAAAACCAGTCGCACTACGCATTGGCGCCCACCTTCGACATTCCATTAGGAAGCAGTAAGACGTCGGCAAAGATAACTTCTCCAGCTGTACGTGGAAAGATAGTAACCCCCTCCAGGTCAGCCACTGATTCCAATCCAACAGATGATGACTTCAAAAAGAAAAAAAAAAAAAAAAAAAACACATCACACGCCCGACACGATATGACCCTGCTCACCCTGTCTCATGAAATCTTTCAGATGATGCCACTTGACATCGTAGGATAGATTGCCCACATAGACGCGACGGTCTTGCTGGGACGACTCGCGCACGGATTGCATCATTTGTTCTTTGGCGACTGCACGATCCTCGAACGATCTCGGGGGAGGTGGGTAGTTGCGCCCACCGTAACCAAAACCAGACTGTCCTCCAGAGGCGCCGGGAGCAGCACTCATAGGCGAGCGAGAGCGGCGTTCGGAGCGGCGATAATCGTCACGGCTGCGAGAACGACTGCGCGGCGAATAGGAGCGACGGCTGCTGCGTCGAGGGCTACGCGAACGACGACGGGGAGAACGAGACCTCTCGCGCTGCGCGTGGTCAGTATCGGAGAAGGAGGCCGGCATCGACACAGGAAGCGCGTCGAACGAGCTCAGATAAAGTAGTCGAAAGGGGAAAGGAGGGAGGGAAGGAAAAGAGGGGAAAGACGAGTTTCAAGGATGGCGGAAAGGTTAGTTGACAAATGGTCGACCCGTTTGGAACCGAATCCAAGGACTCGACCTGAACGAGGGCGGTCAGGTGACACGGCTGGGGCAGGTGACAAAGCGAGGACCCAGGGAGACTCTCCACTTCGCTATGGGGCGGACGGAACGACAAGACGAGATCCAGCAATGCCGAATGACGCCTCCTAGGAGTGGATACGGTTTAGGCAACTAGAACAACGGCGAAAGCGTCGTCTAGAACCTTTTTGACCGCCAGGGGGAATTAACCCTAGCTGTCGCATACTTCGGAGTATGCACAGAACCGTCGATCCCACCACCATGGACTTTCCTTTGACAGAGGGGGTGGGACTACTCTCCACGAAAGACGGATCGACCAGGAGAGAAGGCAGGGGAACCATGGACGAGGGGAAGCATAAGGAGAAGAGGGGGGAGGGGGGGAGGTAAGAAGACGGGGGAAGGGAAATCATGGGAATGATAGCAATAACATCATCATGCGAAACAGGGGCCGGATAGCGAAAATATTATTTTTAAAGAAGGATAGAAAAGACTTACTTGATGAGGTCGATAGACGTCGGCTAGAGATCGCCTTGAAAGTAAGCCACAACGACAGGATAGAATAGACGGGAGTAAAGGGCGCAAGAGAAGAGGGAGAGGATCGAGAAAAGCAAGAACGAGGGGAAGGAAAGGAAATAAGAAGACGACGACTGCGACGACCAGATCAAGGAGGGAGGGAGGGAAGCAGGGGTGGAGGAAAGGAAAGAGAAAAAGGGAAAAGCAAAACGCCAGGAAATCAGCCAGCCAACGGCCTCGTTAGTAGTGCCGCCTGCCTTGTCCGACACAGCAGCAGTGCATAACCGGTGTGATTGGTGTTTCCCGTGGGACTCCGGGATGCAGGAATGGATGGGATCATGGGATGGGCCTTACATAGCTGGGTACGGTCCTTTGTGGATTCTACAAAGGGGATATAGGAAGGGGATGCGAGTATAGAAAGGAGAGAGGGGGAATAAGACAGGGAAAAAAGGGAAAAAGGATAACCACGGATGGATGAATCCAGTCCAATCAGAGTGGATGTCAACAAGGACCTCGGGAGAGGGAAATGGATTGGTGGATGAGGACCTGGATAGATAGAGAGTGTGATAGTAATGGAGAGGATAGTAACAGAGAGAGTGTGTGGTAGTAAGAGAGAGAGACTCACCCATGATGGAGAGAGGTCAAAAACCTGACAGAATGATGGATGGACTGATTGGCTGATAACCAGAGAACAAAGGGAAGAAGAGGTTAAGAGAGGAAAGAGTTGAGATGGTGATGGACAGGGATGGGACTTATTAATTCTGATAATTAAAAGAAGAAGAAGATGAGAAGAGAAGAAAAAGAGAAAACAAAACAAGAAAGCAGTCGGAAGGGGCAAAACCGCCAAACCTGCAGCTGTCCAACAGTACACAGTAGAAAGAAAGCAGTCAAAGAACTCCACAGGATTCTTCGAGTCATCAGAGCATCATCAGGGTTTACTCTCTATCCGAACTGTTATTTATACAGTATCAAACCACCCCTACTATAGACTCTGTATTGACAAGAGAGGATATAGTAATCGAAATACGGTCACCACAGTAAGGTAATATGCAGGTATTCCATATAGATCAATGCACGTCTCAATAGATCCTTGAATCATATAAACTATGTATTGATCCCAATCATTCCAATTCCAATCGAATCCATCCAGAAGACAGTTATTCTACCTGTCATTCACCAGAAATCTCCCAATCAGTCTTGGCTCCGCTTAGGCCACCGCTTAAGCCCACCCAGAATCCAAATTTCATCCATCACCAACCATCACTTCTATAACCACTACATTTAATATCATGACCATGGCACACCCAATTCTCTCTCGTCCTCTCTTCTTAACCCCCCGAAGATCCCTCATCTCTCTCTCCTCCTGTCCATCCAAATCCCGTCGACTCCATCTTCTGTGTCCCGCAATCACCACTCCGACTCCGCCTACCACCAAAACTCCCCGTCAACGACAATCCCTCTCTAGGAAAGGAGAACTACATCCCCGCCCCTATCATTCCCAACATCATCCAGACCCCCCAGTACATGGATACACCAATTCGCAAACAGCCATCCTCTCCGCAGCTCTGCATCACATCCCCCGTCATGGCTTCACCCGCGACGCTTTGACGCTCGGCGTTCGTGACGCCGGCTTTCTCGACGTCTCCATTCAATTGTTCCCCCGCGCCGAGTTCGATCTCATCCTGTTCTGGCTGGCTAGTCGGCGGGGATTGTTGCGCGCCAGCGTCGATGACGGGCTCTTGGATTCGAATGGCTCCGTGGATGAGAAGATTAAAGTCTTGATTCTGGAACGGCTACGTATGAATTTGGAGGTTAGACATCAATGGCAAGATGTATGTCACCCACCCACTCACTTATACACAAATATGCAACATATATATATCTATATATGAATGTATTTATGTATATCGTATGGATGCTAACGATATCAGGCTCTCGCTCTCATGTCCCTCCCCTCGAATATTCCCCTCTCCCTTTCCGAACTCCACGCCTTATCTGACGATATCCTGCATCTCGCTGGGGATCGCTCCGTCGATCAGTCATGGTATACCAGGCGATTGGCGGTGTCGGCGGTCTATGCCTCCGCGGAGGTTGTCATGACGCGCGACTCTGGGTCCGATTTTGCGACGACCGAGGCGTTCGTCGATCGCCGTCTGGAGGATACCAAGGCCATTGGTGATAAGTTGAGTTGCATGAAACAGTGTCTGGGATTTATGGGGTCGACGGCGGTCGGACTGGGGAGGAGTTGGGGGTTGAAGATTTGATCTTACCCACCCAATATATGTATGTATATTTATTGTATTAGTATGATGGGTTATTTATTTCTATCTTTGTACGGAGAGTACTCTGCATCCAGTTGATATATTATACTATTTACATCCCCGATTCTAGTCCATCTTCCACTCCGTATTCTTCCGAGCCTGTTGCTCCTGCACCCGACTCTTCAGTCGATCAATCCATCCATCCTTCACCAGTAATGCCCGCATTGCCTTGCGGTTCGGCGCCAGATCCCACCACGCGTTTCGCGGTTGGTGCAGTTCCCCCCGCATCCGTCGCCAATGCTGCTTGAGGTCGCGACTCCGCTGCTCCACGATACCATCCAGCAGCATGCACGTCCGTTGATTCGGTTCCACGCCCGTTACCTCCATCTCATGCAGGAGAGACACCACCCCGGGCAGATCTTGGCATCCGCGCCAGTAGAAATAGATCATCTCATTGTACAGTTCCGTCGAGCTCCCGAGTACCGCCGACGTGCGCCCATGCGACTTGATCGTCGACCGGAATTGGCTGATCACCGGCGACTGCGGGAAGTGTAGATTCAGTAGACGAAACGACACTAGGAGCATCTTGGGATATAGAGTCGCCACCACGGGTTCCACGGGTACTCCCTGCGGTACTTCCAGAACCCATGGGAGGGAGGAGGAGGAGGAGGAGGAGGAGGAGGAGGAGGTGGTGGTGGTGGTCGGGCTGTCTTCAAGATGACGGATCATGGAGAAGATTCGTTCCTTGCAGACCTCCCATACGCCGTTATCGCCAATACCAGCATCAATAGCGCCCTGGAGCGCGGTCTCGGTTTTGGTCGATTCCCGTTTAATGACGGCGGTGATTGCTCGGTCCATCGAAATCTTGTGGCTGTTGAGCAGTTCCGAGATCACCGCGTTGTCGTAATTCGACTCACGGAGTCTTGTTTCAACAGCAGCTGCGGCATCGTCTGTGCTCGCTACTTTGGACGAAGCAGGTATCGGTCGTGCTGTGTCGTCAACCTGGCCCGCTGGTTTATGGTCTCGTATTCGCATGTCCTTCAGCACAGTGTCGAATATCGAGGAGATCTGAGCAATCTCGATGCGGCTCTCCTCGCTCAGGGACGATGATTTCCATTTCTGTGGGGACTGTGTGCCATCCGCTGACAGCCCCGGTGTCGCTGGCTTGTCTGCCCCGAATTGCTCCAGCAGTTCGCTGAAGACTTGCTTCTCACTATGGGTCAAGGTCGGTGTGTCCGACGGGTCTGGCCAGACACGGGGGTCAGCTTGTGATATCGAGGCCGCTCGTCTCTGTAGGTAACTTGTTCGTGGTTTTGGTCCGGGGGGCTTGTCATCTTTGGAATCTTGCGTAGAAACGACGTCGTCGTCGTCTGCTGTTGGGGTGGAGGATTTTGGCGTAGAATACGGCCGGACACGCAGCGATGTTTGACGGTTCAAAAATGCAGAGAGAGTGCGCGTCTGATACAGAAATGGAGCGAAGGAATTGCGCGCTGACAGCGCCAGCCAGGAGTGAGACATTTGACACGGGATGGAATGTGTGAATATGATGACATCGATTTTTCTGTAGGAAGGACGAATAACTGGAGTAAAACCTAGTTATAAGCAATTGGACCGTCTCGGCCCGGAGATTGCTTATATCGGGTTACATTTACTAGAGCACTGCAACATGGCATTTATATAATCTTTTATATTTAAAATCACTTCTCCATTCCTATAATTATTTCAGAAATTACAGAACATTATTATAATATCTAGCTCAGTCATGTGCCTGTTAACATAGGGTTGAACTGCTGACCTCGTTTATCGAGGAAAGCAGGACCCGTTCAGCCGAAGAGAGCTCGGATATCTTTTTGTTGCTGTTCAGCTTGCCTTTCCTCTTAATAAGGACCCGTTCATGGCGTAAAAGAAGTTGTATGAATGCCCTATCTGCATCAGCTTGCTGCTCTTCGTATAGGCGGAGCTTCTGAAGGCTTTCTAACGCGTCAGAAGCCGAGATAGTTGGTAAAGCCTCCCAGCCGTCATCCTCTTCCTCCTCGGGCGTGGTAAACTGGCATAAAACCATTCTATCAATGTCTTCTAAATTGTCCGTAACTTGCTCTTCTGCAGAATCCAGGAACTGATTGATATTCATGGCCTCATTTATACGATTTGTGAGTTGTAACCGCTGAACTTCCTGCTGAATTTCTCTAACAAGCTGGCTATTGTCAATATTAATAGCTGTTGTATCCCCAGCAGCAAGAGCCTTTCTGAAGCAACTGATGATTGTATCAGCAGGGACATCTAGATTCCAGGCAGATATAGCCCATTGAATCGCTTTTAGAACCGTCATCGTCAATACAGGATCATATCCGCGTTCAAATTCGGCCATTATAAAGGACATCCACTCGCGTTTCCAGTACGCTTTCCATGTTCGGATGATTCCTTGCTCAAGAGGTTGGTATTGATTGGTGGGAAGCCATACAATAAGCGTGTTCTGCAATTGCAAACGGGTTTCCTTAAATCCAGTCTCGTGGGCTGAAAAATTGTCCAGTAAGAGGGCGACTTTTCGGCCAACCATCATTTGATCAAACCAGATAAGCCATTCTTTGAAGATATCACCAGTTATCCAAGCATACCGATGACTACGCCAAACACAGCCGAGATTCTCAATATTAATACTCGCCGCAGTAAATGCTTTAGGCCGTTCAGCTGTTCCAACAAACCAGATAGGGAGACGTTCAGAGGCATCCGAGTTGCAACAGAAGAGAGCGTTGATTCGAGAACTTTCCTTCTTGCGGCCCGGAATCTGACACGTATACAGACTCTGGCCAGGGATCATTCTCCAGAAAAGACCAGACTCATCACAATTAAAGATATCTTGGGGTGCGTAAGCACGTAAGACCTGGCGAATTGGAACCATCTCGGCTTCTGCATCTTGTGATAGACTTCCTGGTTTACCTTGTAGACTTCTGCGCTTTATATTCCTTCGTGATTGAAAAGAGTGGAGCCAGCCATTGCTTAAACTAGGCATCTCCTTATCTGGATAGATGAGCGGCCAATATTGCCTCGCTTTCTCCCGTATGACATCTTGCGATATAGACGTCTTGCCTTGCGCTCGTTGTATCCAGTCAAAGAGTACTTTTTCAAGCTCCGGCCAGTTTTCTGTACGACGTCGTTTATCTTTTAGTTGGTGGTCCTCGACGGTATCGAGGAAATCGAACTTAGACGAGAGGATTCTAGAGATAGAGGAGGGACTCAGTCGCCGGCCGTGTGTATCCTGGAACCACTTCTGTAGATGTAGATTAGCATGGTGAGGATGCAACCGGTGTCGAGCTCGTAGAGCAGCTTTTTCCTTATTAGTGATGGCTTGTCTCCTTTGTTTGATCATTCTTAAGGACGACGACGTCGGAATATAGTTTGATTACTCGATATAAGCAATTTTGAAAGGAATTAAACAATTATATGGGAAATCAACTTGACCATGTAGTTCGATTGTTTATATCCAAGGAGGGTGTGGATTTAGCGCAACATTAGTGAACTGCTGATTTCTTAGTAAGCCCTCACCAACATCCCAGCACTGAAAGTAATTGATTTCACTTCAGACCACCAATTCAGTAGAGAATACCTGTATTAGAATAGTCTTGACATCCATAACCGTCCTAAGCAGACTACATCCTCCATATTAAACCACGGACTGTCTAGACGTACTCTGTATATACAAAGTTCTCCGTACTGCTAACGAAAATCTGAGACCACGTGACCACGCGGGCGTGTCAACACGCGTTTTCTTTGAATCCCCCATCATATCACATCGCTTTGTGCTATCCCAAACTCCCCAGCCCATAGAGCGAGAACACTATGGGCGAAGAGATATCCGAGTTCGAAAAGCAGCGTTTGGCGAACATCGCCGAACGCGATGCGCTTCTCAAGAAGCTCTCGCTGGAGACGCAATCCGCCGGGCTCTTTGGGCCTCAGAAACCCAGAATCTCGTCCGGGGACCAGACAAAGACCAAGAAAAAGACCCCCGTCAAGAAAATCAAGCAGGAGTCCGAGCCAGTGCTGCCCCGGCGCATGTCATCGCGGTTGAGAGGCATCAAGGCGGAGAGCGAGGTTGCGAAACGCAAGGCGGAGGAGCAGTATGAAGCTGCCCAGGAGGCGGAACGCGTGAAGCGGCTTCGAAAGTCGGATTCTTTCTCGTTCAATGAAATGGTCGTCTCGGGCCAGAAGCTAAGCGGTGATGGCCTGATCGGGGTGGACGTGGTTACCAAGGGCGTGGCGATGCCTTATCAGCGGACGTTTGATGATGAGGATATTAAGAAGACCACAGATAAGGATCTAAGAGCGTTGAGGGAGGAAATGAGTGGGCTGCAGCTGTGGGAAGCCTGGGAACCTAGTCGTAAGGACAACATGCATATCTAACTTGGGTCGTCACGGGTCATGTTAACAGTCAGCTGCTAAAAATCAGGGATCAAAATCACCCCCGAACGAGTCTATACGATGACGTTCCACCCGTCCGAGACCAAGCCTTTGATCTTCGCGGGCGACAAGATGGGCCATCTAGGTGTCTTGGACGCATCCCAGGAAAAACCTACCTCGGCCGTGAAGCAAGAGGACGAGGACGAGGACGAGGACGAAGATCCAGACCCGGTCCTTACCACGCTCAAACCACATACTCGCACCATCAGCTCGATGACGATTCATCCATTGAAGCCAACTCATCTCTACACCGCCAGCTACGACAGTTCCATCCGAGAAATGGACCTGGAAAAGACGACTTCTGTAGAACGATACGCACCCCAATCCACCTCAGAGGATGTCCCCATCTCCGGCGTAGACATGGCCGCCGACGATCCGAACTGTCTATACTGGACCACTCTGGAGGGTGAATTCGGCCGGTACGATATGCGTGCGCCTCGAACCAGCCCTATTTCGACCTGGCGTCTCTCCGAGAAGAAAATCGGAGGCTTTTCCCTGTGTCCTACACAACCTTACTACGTCGCAACAGCCAGTTTGGATCGCACGATGCGACTCTGGGATCTGCGAAAGCTGTCGCATCGGGACCCCGTTCCTATCGGTGAGCACCAGAGTCGATTGTCCGTGTCCCATGCGGCGTTCAACGGTGTCGGTCAGATCGCAACGTCGTCTTATGATGATACTCTGAAGATCTATGATTTTAGAGCCAAGGGTCTGTCGTCCTGGAAACCAGGCCATACGCTCTCTGATAACCAAATGAGGCCTGACACGGTTGTGCGGCATAATTGTCAGACCGGACGTTGGGTTACCATGTAGGTTCTAGAAGCTTTTCCTACCGCCCTCTTTATCGTCTTCTGCATCTTGTACAGTATTTATTGATAAACTGACGTTTTCTTTCCCTAACAGCCTCCGTCCACAATGGCAACAAAATCCACAATCCCACATCCAACGTTTCTGTATCGGGAACATGAACCGCTTCGTCGACATCTACAGCGGTTCAGGCGACCAGCTCGCTCAACTAGGCGGCGATGGCATCACGGCCGTACCTGCAGTCGCAGTCTTCCATCGGAGTCAGAATTGGGTTGCAGCGGGAACGGCGAGTGGGAAGGTTTGTTTGTGGATATGAACATGGGATTTTACGTCTGTATTTCAAATAAATCTGATGGGGAGATTTAAATCAATTATTTACTGCCTGATGTATACACATTTCTGAAGTATTGTACGCATACGCATATTCTTGAATATTGTCTGAATTTGACCCGCCGTCGGGAACTATGGCCGTCGAAGGAATGTATACCAATGTGTATGGAAGCACCCATGTTCATCTATGCCAGTATGGAAGAAGGGAGAAAGTGAGTCTATTTACACGATAGATAAAGAATGCTGTTTCGGTAACCATCGGGGTCGAAATGACATCGTCCACCCACAGCGGGCGAGAAATGAAAGATCTCCAGCACTCGTATGAGGTTTTCCAGTTTCCACGCATCAAGAAAAGAAAAGAAAAAAAAGTAGCAATCCGAGCAGGGTATCAACACCATGACAAATGCTTTCCAATAGAGGGACTTGAAGGTGCATTAAATCATGAGCACATGTGGAAAAAGGGAGGGGGGGTTTGATAGGAGAAAATTTACATCAGAAGATGCAGGGACTTGTTCATGAGACCCTTTGTGTTATACAAAAAATGAAATGAAATGAAATGGAAAGGAAGCGGGAAAGACTACTCCGCCTGCTACTTAAACCAGGCCTTTTATGTCTCAAACCAAAATCGACTCGAAATAAAATGGTGACTTTCAATGACTTTCACCCTGTATTGATCATGACAGTGGGGGTAACTAGGTCGAGGGGCAGCATAATTGGCATTACTGCTCCATGGTTATTTAGAATTCATTTCGAAGTTCTTCCCGGGATTGCTGTTGACCATTATCCCGGTCTTTTGCTTTGCGCCTGGATGGCGCCGGTACAAAGTCAAAGAATCGATACTTGCTCGAAGTTTCTCGGGTCATACTGGACCGGCGAGTTTTAGAGCTTTCGCCGGTATATTCAAGAGAATAAGTGGAGGAATTTTTTGAGCTGCTAGTACTATCGCGAGGGTCCCACCGTGGTATCGAGAAGGGCATCCGGCTTTGGTCCCAGGTGGCAGACGAGGAACTTGGCGGAGTGTCATCGTCGCCTTCGGCGCCATAGTCGGTGGACCGACGAGGGAGGGATGGTCGTGTCGCGAAGTACCCAATGGAATTTCGATGGTTGCCGCCGGCCAGAGACGCGGATCCCACCATGGCTGTCTCGGTGGCCGGAGTGGTGGGTTTCGAACTATCATCATAGAAGGTTACCGACCGTTCCATGGAGTCAACCAATTCTTCCCACTTGATCTCGAGGCTTCCACTCGGGCGCTCGGCCTGCTCGGCCTTGCCCATGCACTCTCTAGTGCGCTGATGAAGGCGAACTGCCATTTCGTGGAATTTCTTAACCGCCGAGTCGGTTTCTGCAATGTCATCTAGTCTTTCCGACGCCACTTCCAGCCATATGCTGATTAAATTGGCGAAACTGCGCGCATGGTCGATCAGGAACGGAAGGCTTGGGAAACCCTCGCGGGATGTGGGAGGCAAGCGACCTAGAATCTGGATCGGTGTAGCGTATGAGGGAGTGACAATGGGGGCCGGTCGGTCTGCCGGTATAGCGCAGATGGAATCGACGAATTGCTTGAACTCCGCACGACTGGTGACCAAGAACTTGTTCATCGGCTCCATCCACGGCTCCTTGCTACCGAACGTGGTCATATTGGCCAGGCCTTGCAACGCCTTCGCAATCAGGGTCAAAGTGCGTTGAGCGCGGGGGCGAGGGTGATCTATCTCCCCGTTAGAAGAGAGGCAGGATGGCTTTTTGAAGGAAGAAGAACACGTACCTTTAAGCAATCCAAAGAGCTTCGGATTCAGGATTGCCGGGCAGAAGAACCTCAAAAATAAAAAACCCGAGACACTGCTGTAGGTTACTGTGCGCAGAAAATCGCCATAGCGGTCCTCCGCACAGGCCCTGATATGTCTGAAGATAAGTCTCAGCTCGGAGGGACAACGAGACGCCGACCCAGCAATGGACTTCCATACACCAGTGGTGAGGGTGACCAGAGTTCTCCAGTTCCGATCAACATCGTCGGGACGTTGTACACGAGCAGGGTCAATTTCGCACTCTGGGTCGCTTTCATCGATGTCGCGTAGACGCTCTCCAATCGTCTCTTCCAGGTATTCTTTGCCTAGTCGGCGCATATGAAAATCCAGCGCCTTGGTGAGTAAGGAGTTTCCCCGGAACAATAGATTCGCTTCCACGGTAGCCGTCCGCCCCATGTCTCGAACTAGCACCTCCCGATCCTGTCCAGACTCTCTGGTGGTGTCGTTCGAATGGATTCTAGTAGTATACCTGAGCCGGTTCGCCGTTGACTCCTTGTGGACGCCGTCTATCTCGTCCTCAACCAACGCGGATATCCATTCGCCTGTGCTCCCCGACACTTGATATATGTTCAGGAGCGCGTCGGACAGTTGGTTGAGTTCGGAAGACATAATGTGAGCCATATTGATGGTGAGTCCGTTGGTGAAGGAGTGCAGTAGCTCAGATATCGGCGTGTACTCGTGGGACATGAGAACAACGGTTTCTTCCATCCGGACCTTCATCAGCATCTCACCTACGGGCTGGTCCCGGTCATCCAGGATTGGCCACCATTTCTCAACCTCCACTCCCGTTTCGAAATCATCGAGTCGCAAGTCTACCCGCCCATGCGTCGCATCGTGAGAGGAGAGCTCCACACCATCCAACGCCCGCAGAGGGTTCGTGTCCTGCGATAAGGGGTAAGATCCATGCGCGATAAGCGACCAGTCCTTCTGCGTGGGGTTAATGGTTTTGACAATGATCGAAACTTGCGACAAGACCGGGGGGAGATCATTGAATTCGAAATCTTCTCGCCAGAAAGGGTTTGCCGTGCGGTATTTGACGGCAGTTTTTGCTCGAATTTCACCATCTAGCAAGATTTCTGTGTAGCAATCACACACGGCGGACGCCGAACCGGAGCTGCTATGGGACCGGGACTGCTTTCGACTTCGTCGGGTCTCGTCCGCAGCCTTGTTCCGGAATAGTTTTGCCTCTGTTACTCGAAGGCTGAGCATCCTCTCAATCCGAAACATGTCTGTCATTGACGCGGTACTCGTTTCAGTCGATCCCGGCGTTTTCGTTGGGTCATCGGCGATCGAGGTCTCCGGGCCGTAGAGATCTGGGATTGTGAAGGCGCGTAGAAGCACATACCATACCTCGAATAAAACCCGGCTTTCCAGTGCAAGATAAACGGGACGGGTCAGTCCAGACACAGCATGGGCCGCGTATTGCGGATAGATGGCGATGCAGAATTCATCATCCAGCACCGAGGAGTTCAATTGCTGCACAGCACAGCGAGATAGCTGGGACAATTGAATGCACGCCACTAGGCTGATGTCCGACTCGGTGAAAAGCTTGAAGACACCATTCTCCTGTAGTGTGCAGCTCACTTTCTGCCACGACAACGACAGGGCTCGCTGCTGTCGGTAGGTTGAGACCCGCCGCCCCGACGAGGGTCGGACTCCCGACACACTCGGCCGGGTCCAGAGAAGCATCTTGCCCACTTTGATGATGGCAGCGTCTTTTTGAACTGTGCTTTCGGAGTTTCGCCGACGGTCAGCCGTTCGGCGGTCGCCTATTGCAACCGACTGGGGCTTGGTCATCTTGTTCTGGACGCCCTTCGGTCTGATCGGTTGCCAACACAGCAGCGCAGCAAGCCAGGAATCAAACGTCTCATTTACATGGGGTCTCAATTCCACGCCGAGGCCGGAGGTGAATGTGGACACACTGAGATAATTCGTCCGAAGTTCTGGGTCGACAAGAGAGCGAACCTGGCAGCCACGAAGATCGGGGATTAGAGTTTTGGCCAATGCAGGCTCCCCTTTCGCCTGGTAGATCAGACTCCCCGTGGCGACATTGATAGCGCAGTAGCCGGACGTCCAAGCTGTTGTGGACTCCGTCCGGAATGAAAGGATGCCATGCATCCGTCCGCAGGTGGTCTTCATTAGCTGCAGGATTTTGGGCGCATCAGTACTCGACAGCGGATTCGACGCTTGGCTCGTCGCCACGCTCGTGACGAGGCCCGAGCTCCCAGGCGGTTTGGTTGATCGTTGGCGACCGAGGGATTGGCTAAGTTGGGTTGGCGATTGTATCGAGGGATAACCGATGGAACCCGACTGCTCTTCGGACGTCTTCCCCTGCGACCCCGTGGTGTTAATGGAGCCGAGGCGGGTTCGGCTCCTGGTCAGGAACGAGCTAGGGGAAATTTCGCTGCGCTGATCATCCAACGTTGTCGTTCGAGAGCGCGCTCGCAGGCTCCTCGATTCCACCTGGGTCTCCTCCTCATCCCCCGCCGAGTGATAAGAGTGAAAATCGTGGGGCGGTTCTAGGTCGGAAGCTCTTGTTCGGGCGGTGACACGAGGGGAGGGAGCTGCGCTTGACGAAAGATACTCCGTCTCCGACAAAGGTGACTGGCTGGTGGCTTCATGGGTGGAGTCCGGCGTCACCGTTCGGATGCCAGTATCCCTGAAGCTGTCGGGGTAGACCATTCCATGACGGTCCTTCGACGATGATTTTTTGCTGGGGCGCCGTTCCACAGGGCGACTATATGATCCTTTGTTGACTGAGTTCCTTTTGAACCCATTTGACGATTCCGACTCCATCTTGTCGGGCCACACACGAAGAGAGGGTTGGGTGGCGGCGGCGGGACTGGCAGAGGGTCGGTAGGAAAACTCTCACACGCACACACACACAGAGACACACAATGACGAGACACACACTGGCACACAAACACTAGAGATTTTCAGCAGGAATTGTTACCTTGCAGCACGTTGGTATCCAACGTACGCTGCGCAACCGTCCTCGAATAATTGAGGGCCTTTGTCGTCCAATGGGTCGCTAGCTGAACGCATGGAGTACGGGAAGGAGAGAGATCGAGTCGCACATTCAGTCGAGGCCGGCGTGGATATACGGACGTGATGGACGAGGAGAGGAGACAACGATGCGGCGTAACGAGTTGACTTCAGGGGGCTTGGAGTGGGACGAGGAGGGATGGAACGGACGATGAGGGGAGAACGATAAAAAAAAAAATAATTTAAGAGAAATGAGGCAGTGATCAAGCAATATAAAAAACAATAATGAGTAAATAAATAAAAAGAAACAAGATCGCTAGCAAGTGCGGTGAGGGTCTCGTCCTCCAACAGCGAATGTACCGTGACGCTGTCGCTGTTGGCAAAGATGCATAATGGGAAGTGCGTTAGTCTGGAGAGAGAAGGAAGAAAGGAAGGGAAAGGATGGGATTCTCTGGTACGGACGGATTGGGAAGGTCGGGTGTTGGTTCAATCCGCCGATGTACCGTGATATTATTGGGGATTTGCGAGAAATTATGGAAAAAACATACCTTCATCAGCGAGTTTTGTTTGCGCCGTGATTGGAATTGGTAATTTTTTTTTTTTAAAAAAAAAAAAAAAAAATGCAATGCAATACGTAGAGAGATTAATTGAATCTGTAGATAATGAATAGATATTGATTGATGCCGGTGGAGGTGGTACTCTGACAGCCTGCGTTTGAACGCTGCAGATTGCTTATTTCGTACGACCCAGTCAACACGTCAATACTAAGGCGTGGGGAAAATCAGGGAGAGGATTCCATTGATCTAGTTGTTGTTCATCATAAGCAAGGGGGGGAGACAAGAAAGAGAAAGAATGAGAGATGGCGATGGAGAAAGAAAACGGGAGGCGGTGTTGAGCGTCTGGACGGGACAAGGAGGGGGTAAAAAACACCGCCCTGGATCTGGTTTGTTCATTCACAGCCCTTCCAATCTCTCTGAATATCCATCCTGTCCTCGACTCTCCCGATGAACAATGGCAATGCTAACTCGACTAGAGACTTCAATTGACCTTCCCCTTCCCTTTCATGATGGTTATCATTACTACAAAATACATGGTAGCCGAGGTCTTGCTGTCCCTTTCGTCTGGACTCTCTCTCTGTGTTGAGCCCCATGATGCGGTGGTATTATTAGCATCACCATGCCGTGCCTCTTTCGTCTGCCAAGAACCCATGGTCCCATTCTGATACTTCTGGAGACTGGTAGCTGAAAGCCTGAAAGGAACAACCCCCTCCCTTCTCGCCTCGTATCTGGCTTTCTATTCGGCCTGTCACCTCATCACCTCGCGCAACCAAATTGTTGGATGTGAGTCTATCCAGATCCACTTCGATCCTCGCCGCAACGTATCTGGATGTCGACCTTGCATTGACATCGTTTCCTACCCAAAGCGATACTTCGTAGGTCTAGATAGGATTTATTACCTGGATTGCCACTTGTCAAATAGTCCGTACCCATATTCGGGTATGTGTATGCAGTATAGGAAGTGTCAATTGGCGAACCATTCGCCATGATTCCGATTGATACTGATCTCGAAACGATTCGTTGGTTTCATAATAGCCATGTATCCACTTTCTCGCGCTGCCTTGGGTTCTCCCTCTTTTTTTTTTTTTTTTTTGTCCCTTCTCAAGATAAGCCCTCCACTCTTAATCCTTCCAAGGCCAACTCACCCTAAGTACGTACATAATTAAATATGGATCAGGTGAGACCACTATCTACTACAGTTGATAGTTGTCGCCCGTGGACAGGGAATTAGGCAAATCACTTCCAATGGGGACATGGTGGCCCTCGCCTGCAGGCCATTTGCGCTACGGGGCTTGGGGCTCAAGATCGTGGGCGCTAGGCTCACTAAGAGGGGTGGTTCCCACCAATATTGCCCATGCTTTACGTATAAACTTCCGATAGCACACTAATGGAACCAACCATGGCGAACAGAAAGTCCGAAACCCATCTGTCTGCAATCTGCCTTCTTTTTGCCTATTTCCAAAAATGTCAAGAAAAGAAAGAAAAAAGAAAAAAAGAAAAGAAAAGAAAAAGATACTATACACCTCTATTGTTTGTTTATACACGCAAAGGGATATCCCTCTCTCAAGCCATCAACTGGCAGTGGATCCCTGGTTGTAAATAAGTGAGCATTTCTTTCGTTCTCTTGTAATCAAGGCAAGGCTGATGACCTATTAGAGGTTTAGAACGAAGCACGGCCTCCTAAGAGACACGTATGGCCTACCTCCTCCGTACAGTACTGAAGTAGTAGAAACGAAGAATTGCCGTCCTTCCCCGTCCTGTCGTGAAACCATCACCTACTGGAATAGTGGTAGTGCCTGAGTATAGGGTCCTGATTTATCATACACCTCGGCTTCCCAATTTCCAGAAAGGCAATCCACCCCGCACGTACCAAATATGGAAAGTTTTCAGCCACCAGGACCCAGCCCAGTGACGCAAAGTGCGGCTGATCCCAAGTGCGACTGACTCGTGTCGTCACAGACTTGTGGCGTACGTAATTCCCCCTGCCGGAGATCAACTCCTCCCCGGTCCTCATCATGTGATTATTTGTGCCTTACTGCCTCAGGCATCGTTAATCATGCAGCGTGACCGCCTGCATCATCGGGCTTATCACAAGGGCGATCATCGACCCTCTCGCTCAAAGCGTATGCAGCCAAATAACCTCGCTCTCGTGAGCCAACAGAGTGTCCCTCGGATGGATCTACTTCCTTCTTATCCTGTCCACTTGATACTTTGGCGTCTCTTCAGTTGTCCACAGCCCCGTCTCGCTACTGATTCCGGCTCTCTTCCTCTCCGCATCACTACGTCCGCAGATCCATCCTCGACTTTATGATACTCTGAATGGCCCTTAACTGACCACAAAGGCTCCCGGCTCTCGGGCCGTCGTGACGTGCTAATGCTTTGACAGTTTATCTTATTGCAGTCTCTATATATGCCAAAAACGCCCTACCACCATCCAAGATGATGACATCCAACATTCTGTCCCGTTTCCTCCCTCCCAACGGCTCGCCGTCGGTGTACGAGACGATCCGACAACATGATGCAGACTCAGACTCTTCAGATATTGAGGAACGTGCAGGCTTGATGCCGGAACATGACCAGAATGAAGGGTTCAATGACCGTGAATTGGAAGAGTCCATGGCTGATGCAGGGAGAGATGGGTCGTCGAGCCCGACTCCGAGTGAACCATTTCTCAGTCAACGTAGTCCGCAAAGGGCTACCAGTAAAAGGGCCCACGGCTCGACGGGCTCTCGCCGTCGTAGGCTTAGACGGATGCAGGCATCTTCTCCACATCATGATCCTGATGATGCGGATGACGACGTCCCTGCCTCTCTCCTGGTAGAGGGGCGGCAGGATGACGATGAGTTAAAGACACGACTTCCTCCACCCCCACCATCTCATCATCGTCAAAACGACGAACCTCCTATCCCCGGGCCTTCATCTCGAGGGGACCGAGCTCGCTGGGAAACTACTCAAGGCCGACCGCCGTTGCACGCAGCCCCCCGAAGACACCGCCCAGGGATGATCTGGTCCCTACGACATCCGAGCTTGGCCACGGTCGATCCCAAAGAAAAGGCAATGTGGATGTGGGCCAACGTAGAAAACCTAGACAATTTCTTGAAAGATGTTTATACGTATTTTCTAGGCAACGGAATCTGGTCCATACTGCTGAATCGAGTTCTTGGCCTCCTGTACGTCTATTATCCCCTCGACTCGCCTTTGTTCTGATTTGGTATACTGATAAAGGTTCTAACAACGGGTGATAGAACGTTTGCGTTTGTTGTCGGGTTCAGTACGTTTCTCACGAATTGCATTGACTACCACAACGTTCGTGGAAGCAAGAAACTGGACGAGATCCTAATCCAGAAATGCACCAAAAAGATGTCCATGTCATCCACCTTACTACTCTGGCTGCTTACTCTGTTTTGGATCGGGAAGGCGTTTCAGTATCTATTGGACATCCGGAGGCTCAAGCAAATGCATGATTTCTATCACCATCTACTTGGAATATCTGACGCTGAGATTCAGACAATCTCATGGCAAGAGGTCGTTAGCCGGCTGATGACCCTCAGAGACTCGAATCCCGCAACGGCCGGGGCGCTTTCTGCGGCGCACCGCAAATTTATGGGCAGCCAGTCCAAGCAGCGGATGGATGCCCATGATATTGCTAATCGGCTGATGCGCAAAGAGAACTATCTAATTGCTCTAGTGAACAAGGATATCTTAGATCTGACGCTCCCCATCCCATTCCTTCGAAACCGACAGCTGTTTTCGCGGACCCTGGAATGGAACATCAACCTCTGCATTATGGACTACGTCTTCAATGATCAGGGCCAAGTGCGAACGTTGTTTTTGAAAGATACGCATCGGAAGGCACTGAGTGAGGGCTTACGGCGGCGGTTTATCTTTGCAGGCATTATGAACATTTTTGTCGCCCCTTTCATAGTTGTCTATTTTCTGATGCACTACTTCTTCCGTTATTTCAATGAGTTCAAGAAGAATCCGTCCCAGATCGGATCTCGGCAGTACACTCCCCTGGCCGAGTGGAAGTTCCGGGAGTTCAATGAACTCTGGCATCTCTTTGAGCGCCGACTGAACATGTCCTACCCCTTTAGCAGTCGCTATATCGATCAATTCCCCAAGGACAAATTGATTCAAGTTGCTGGCTTCGTGGCGTTCGTCTCCGGCGCCCTAGCTTCCGTATTGGCTCTGGTATCCATTGTGGACCCCGAATTGTTCCTGGGCTTCGAGATCACGCATGACCGCACTGTTCTTTTCTATCTCGGCATCTTTGGGTCTGTCTGGGCTTTTGCGCGGGGGGTGGTCCCGGAAGAAACGAACGTGTTTGATCCCGAATATGCGCTGCTAGAGGTGATCAATTTTACCCACTACTTTCCTAGCCATTGGAATGGTCGGTTGCACAGCGACGATGTTCGCCGGGACTTCGCGATGCTCTACCAGGTGAAGGTGGTGATTTTCCTCGAGGAGATCTTGAGCATGATATTCACGCCCTTTATCCTGTGGTTCAGTCTGCCCAAATGCAGCGATCGGCTCATCGACTTCTTCCGCGAATTCACCGTGCACGTCGATGGGATGGGGTATCTCTGTTCCTTTGCTGTGTTCGACTTCAAGAAGGGCACGAACGTGATATCTCAGGGCGATGCCGGGCGACAACACTCGGCGCGGCAAGATCCCCGGGCCGACTACTTTTCTACCAAGGACGGGAAGATGTTGGCGTCGTACTATGGATTTCTGGATCACTACGGTGGCACCAACCGCGCCGCCCACCCGTCCAGCAAACGGCCGTTCCATCCTCCCCCTGCGTTCCCGACGTTGGGGTCCCCCTCCGTGGTTGAAATGGGCCATGTCGGTGGCGACCGGGCGTCCACCCTCGGGCCGCGCTTTGGAGCGGCTGGCCTAGGAGATCATGCCTCCCCTGCCCCTTCAGTGCTCCTAGATCCCCATCATCAACCGTCCGCGTCGGGCTTTAGGACCGTTCCTCGCAATGCGGCATATTCCCGTTATCGGCTCTCACGGCCGGGACGGGCTATCTCGGACCCGATTGAGGATGACGACGAGTCCCCCTCCACAGAGACACGCAGTCCCGCGATGAGGAAATCGCTACACAGTGGGGCGACGGGAACTAGCGACAGTAACCTGGGGGATTCGTGGCGGATGAATGTGATGGGGGACATCGAGGATGACGAGGGGGAGGACGGAGGGGAGAATGTGGAAGCAATTGCCGGAGGGGCGGGAGTGTTGGGGCTTATCCAGCAGTTCCAGAAAGTACACCAGGACCGACGAGCGGTGGGGATATAGATATAGTCCGAATAATCTCTCTCTCTGATAAATCTCTCTTTTTTTCCCCTTTTTTTTTTTAAAAAAAAAAAAAAAAAAAAAAAAAAAAAATCTCAGGAATTATTCCTGGTCGATAGATGTAATCAATCTCCCTATGAAGATCAACCCCTTACGGAGATCTCCTGCCGCGGGATGCATAGTGGACCGGGAGAAGACTACATCCCTTTGTGTTATAAATAGAACTGCAGTATCACCATCCTCGATGGACTGGATGTCTAGATCTCGTCGTTCCGTACCCTGTAGATCGCGAATCGAGGAATTTGATCGAATGAGTTTCCGTGGAAGTCTGAGATTTTGACAATCCTCAAAATTGGACAATTCGGTCTCGGCCTCTTGGCTTTGCGGGTGCAACCGTGGCGGTTGGAGGATAATTATTATGATTCTTAGTCTTTCTCTCTCACTCTCTTCCTGTATTCTCCTTCTCTTCCTCCATTTCGTCCGTCATGGGGAGTGATTGATTCCCTTCAACTTCCTCTTTGTTGTTTCCAGCATGATCCCCTGCAGTCCTCGGATTAGCTAGTGAATTCATTTGTTGGTTCGTCAGGAGTATTTACCGTTTCATTTGACAGGATCGGATGCTTTTAGTCTCGTGATCCTTCTCCTGTCCCTCTTTTTTATCTTTTTTTTTTTTTTTATTTTCTTTTTTTTTATTTCTTTCTATTGTCACGATTCTATCCTCCTCCCCAAGCGATCATCATGTTTCGCGCCCGTCGATATCGGGTTTTTCTGGTGTTTGCAGCCATCTTCGTCTTGGCCTTCTTTCATTTCACTTCCTCTCGCGACTCTTCCACCGTTTCTCTTGACATTCCTCCGCCGCAGGTCGACACATCCCACGCCTTTCCCCATCCATCCACCTCGGAGAAACAGAAGAATCCCTCCGCGGATTCTCCTCCCCCGCCGCCCTCACTAGATCGCCCTCCTCAAGCCCCTCTATCTGAGGGGTCGAGGGGCTCGAATAGGCGCCCCGATTCCAATGCCGACCCTCCCACCACTCACGACGAGCCCGCTCTGCCATCGGACGACGAAGAGCAGAAAAGTAAATGGCCTACTCATCTCTACCCAGGTGCCCATGGCCTGGGTGCCCTCAAATTAGAACCCGTGACAAACCAACGACCTCACTGGGAGAAAGTGCCGGAGAATTTCCCTCTGGCTCCCGAAGAGTTGATCAAGTTGCCGGCCGGCAGGTCCAAAACTCTTCCAAAGCTGCAGGCCAAATTTCGGGATGAGACCTGGGTAGAGAAAGCGAAACGCCAGGATAGGCTACAGACCATCAGGGCCACTTTTGAGCATGCGTGGAGCGGCTATAAGGCGTCCGCCATGGGCCACGACGAGATCAAGCCCCTGCGGGGTGGATACCGCGACACATTCAATGGTTGGGGAGCCACGTTGGTGGATACCCTGGACACCCTGTGGATCATGGACCTGAGGGAGGAGTTCTCGATTGCGGTCGATGAGGTGAAGAAGATTGACTTCACGACCACCAAGTCCGATGAGATCCCCGTCTTTGAAGTGGCCATTCGGTATATGGGAGGTTTACTTGGCGCGTACGATATCTCGGGCCACAAGTATGAGGTCCTTCTAGAAAAGGCGACGCAGCTGGGGGAGATCTTGATCGGTGCCTTCGACACCCCTAACCGCATGCCGATGCTCTATTATAATTGGGCTCCGTAGGTTGCACCTCATCCCCGACGTGTGTTAGATGCTGACGTATATCAATTCGCTGCAGACACTACGCATCCAAACCGCACCATGCGGATAAGAAGGCGGTCCTGGCCGAACTGGGCTCCCTCTCCGTGGAACTTACCCGCCTGGCCCAGTTGACCAAGGATAACCGGTTCTACGATGCCGTCGCTCGTATCACGAACGAGTTGCAGAAGTATCAGAGTAAAACAAGTCTCCCGGGCCTGTGGCCCCTCGAGGTTGATGCCTCGGGGTGTCGGACCAATTCCCAGTCCCATCCGGCGGCGGAGCATGCACACGCCCCGACCCCTGTGCAGAAGGCCGGATCACCAATCACGGATGCGGAGAGCTACAGGAAGCTGTTCGAGCCACATCAAGCGCGGGGACTGCCAGATAACGCGGAGCCGGCGCCCTACAACGATCCTGCGCGGACTGCCCGTCCGAAACCCCTTGGAAATGGCGCACCACCGGCAGTGAGGGATTGCACGGCCGGCCTCGCCAGCCCGTCCTCCGCAGTTGATAAGTATGGGCTCGGGGCGCGAGGAGATTCGACGTATGAGTACCTGCCCAAGGAGTATATGCTTCTGGGCGGTCTCAACGAGCAATACCAGACCATGTACAAGGATGCCATGAACGCCGCGCGCAAGCATATTATCTACCAGCCGATGATCAAAGACGTTCGGAACATTCGATTTACCGCCACGGCCAGCGTGCCGAAGCCCGGACTAGGTCCGACGACGCATTCCTACGAGGCAACCCATCTAGCCTGCTTTGCCGGTGGCATGGTAGGCATTGGGTCCAAGATTTTTGGCATCGATGGTGACATGGATCTCGCCGCGAGACTCACGGATGGCTGTGTGTGGGCGTACGAGTCCACTAAGACCGGCATCATGCCCGAGAACTTCTACGTGGTGCCCTGCGAGGACGATCCATGCGTGTGGAACGAGACGGCATATTGGATGACGTTGGACCCTTATGCGGAGCAGCGGTTGAGACCCGTATTGACCGTCGCCGATCAGCCCCGAGATGAAAGGCAAGCCGAGGCGCAGGACCCCCCGGACATGTCGACCGGCACATATTCTCCTGCATCGCTGTCGGCCACGTCGGCCCCGGGCTCCCAGGAGGCCCTGGACAAGCGATCTCTGGAGCGAGGCAGTTGGCATGTGATTTCATCGCCTACGTCCTCGCCCAGTACTGAGGGCGACGCCGATACGGCGGGTCAGTATGTCAACGGGGAGCCGGACACCGTCTCTCACGAGGAATACGTCAGCGCACGGATTGAGAACGAGCGACTATTCCCCGGAGCAGTCAGTATTCCCCACCGCGAGTATCTTCTCCGACCCGAGGCGATCGAGTCGGTCTTTGTCATGTACCGTCTCACGGGCAACAACTACTGGCGCGAAAAGGGATGGAAGATGTTCGGAGCCGTGTCGAAGTACACCCGGACAGAATTGGCCCATAGTGCCATCAACGATGTCACGGTGGAAGAACCGCGGATGCAAGATCGCATGCAATCGTTCTGGTTGGCCGAGACCCTCAAGTACTTTTACCTACTCTTCAGCGATCCCAGCGTCGTCAGTCTCGACGAATACGTCCTGTAAGTGACGAGTTCCTCCACGTTCCCCGGCTAGCTACCTCGGAGACTAATCTTATGCCTTGTAGGAACAGCGAAGCTCATCCCTTGAAGCGGCCGGAGTTTTAATCCTTTGGCTCCACATCTCTGGAAAGAGAAGGAGAGGTATATCCCACTGTCATTCTTGTTGATTTTATTGTAAAAGCACACAGATACCACACGTGTTTTCCCAGTACATGATGTTCATATTGGCCTGGTCTGACGGGAGTTTTGCCATGAATTGTTTAATTCGTTTTCGTTCCTTCTTTTTTCTTTTCTTTTTCTTCTTCTTGTCAATCTTCCCCCTCTCCCGAGGGCCAGCATGGAAATACGGATAATGTATTATTGTTACATAGAGATAATTCCAAGGGAATTCCATCCATCCCAGGTGCTTAATTTTTCGCTGGCGCTGCACTGATTCCCGCCAGTACTCGTAGTGGATCCAGTCCCCGCCCGCCTTAACTTTCCGCCCAGTGTCATCATCGTCGTCTCTCCCTCGCTCTCTCTCGCTCAATTTACTCTCTCCTTCTCCTCCCTTTCAATCTCCCTCGTCGACCATTCGCTACGTGCGCAAGACGGGATGAGTGCAGAGTCTCAACACGCCCGACGACCGAGCTGTGGGAAATGGAGTCTGAGGTCGCATTGGACCACGAACACCAGTTCTGGGACGGTAAGCCTTTTCTTCACCTTACTTCATGTATACTCCGGCTCTTTTCTTTCTTCATTGGAATGGGATTGACGAAATGGATCGATGCGAATGCAGAACTTCAAGGGATTGTGTCCACCCCTTGCTCTTCTGAAGATCTCATTGACAACGCCCTCCGCTCATATCTGAGTTTGACCACGCTGTACAAAGGTCGGTCTACTCGAAAGCCACCTCCCCCCTCGAAAACCTGCATCCATAGACTGATGCGACAGTCCCCTGCCTCTTCCAGATGAATATCTCCGGACCGAGTTGGACGTTTCGCGCTGCTCATACAAGTTGCTCGCGTCGAGCATCTTTGCTGCGCATGGCGACTACGTACGAAGGCAGATGATTTATGGTTTATTGCAGGACGATGACCCGGACACGCTGCATCTGATTGTCTCGTTTCTGCTCTTCGACGGCCGACAGAATGAAGTCGCCTTCCACATGATGGACGAGGAGGGTTCATTCCCGCGGATGTTGGAGCTCCTGCAGGCGCAAGACAGACACATAGGGGATCAGGGAGCGCGCCTCCATCGGCTCCTAATGGAGTTGCTCTACGAGATGTCGCGGATTCAGAGGATCAGGATCCAAGATTTGGGTGGGTGATGGATGTCGTATATAATGGGAATGTTGGTTGGAGGCTGACTCGGTTTAGTTCTCGTGGACGACGATTTCATTCAGAGTCTTTTCAATATTATTGAGGATCTCTCGTATGATGCCAACGATCCGTATCATTACTCGGTTATTCGTATCCTGGTCAGGATGGCCCCTTCTTTTTGCTATGTTCCATGCTTATTAATTGATAGTTGGTCCTGAACGAGCAATTCATGATCTCCGCCCATGATCCAGTGGATGAGCGATCGTCGACTCCCTTGACCAACCGGGTGATCAAGGTGTTGTCGATGCATGGCAATCTCTACAAAACATTCGGCGAGAATATCATTCTCCTGATCAATCGAGAAGGTACACCCGCTCCAAAAACCTACCTGTCCGTCCTCCGGTTCTGACGAAGCCAGCTGAAACCTCGCTCCAGCTTCTTACCCTGAAGCTACTGTATCTCATCTTCACCACCCCTAGCACGTACGAGTACTTCTACACGAACGATCTCCACGTCCTGGTGGACATTCTGATCCGCAACCTTCTCGACTTGCCCGAGGAAGCCTCAGCTCTCCGTCACACCTATCTGCGCGTTCTGTACCCGCTGCTGGCTCACACGCAGTTGAAAAGCCCTCCACACTACAAGCGCGAGGAACTCAAACGGATGCTCAATATCCTTGTACGGGGCCAACTGTCCGGCGCAGAGCTCGACCGCGAGAAGATCATGCATTTCGAAGAGGTCGACGAGACGACTAGGAGACTGGTCAACCGATGTATAGCGGTCGACTGGATGCGGGACGAAGACGCACTCGAGACCACCGTCGAGGAAAGCTCCGCGGCTCCTCTTCCCCTGATGTCTATCTCTCCTACAAACACCAGCACCGAGAGCAGCTCCCCGGACACCTTGTCTGAACCGCACAAGCACAGCCAGATCGAACGACTCGGAGTCCACCACGAACCCGCCTCGTCCTCGTCCCTCAGCGTGCAGGAAGTCGCATCGCAGCACGAAAAACCCGGCATCATCACCCCCAGTCGCCACACCACCACCACCATCGAACCACCCAGACCAAAAATCAAGCCTCTACCCCCGAACCCTCGACGCTGGCGAGGACGACGGACCGTTGAAGACCCCGACACCACCAACATGAGTCTCAAAATCCCCGAAGAACCCACCACCACTACTCCCGACTCGACAACAACAACACCAATGACAGCCAGTCCCATCACCTTCGACCAACGAGACTCCACAACATCCAGCCTCGCTCCGCCACCGATGCCCGTGCACCCGCGCCGTTCGGCATCCAATCCACCCCCGGCTGTGCCTCCACCGCGTCGATCCACCCATCCAGCCGTGCAAGCACACCACGTCTCCAGCCACTGCACGCCCGTCACCAGTCCCTCGCGGAGCACCCACACCACCAAAGGTCAGAAGCCCGAACCACCGCGCACCCGCCGATGGGGTCGGAGGAAGGACTCGCAGTGTGAATCCAACAGAGTTTTTGATTCGACTCTTTGTCACCAGCAACAGCAGAGTCTGGACTCGAATGGGAATGAGAAACAGAGAGATCACACAGAGGGCACTGTTAGTGTGGAAGAGGCGGTACAGAATGTGTCTATTCAAGAGAATGATTCGTTGGGTAGATAAATAGTCTAGTCAGCCTGACTTGACTTATATATTCTGTATGATATGGCATACATGGTACGGTACAGATTGCATGGATGGTAGCATAGCGAGGAGAGGAAATTGGATTTATTCTGTATGAGTAGCAGGTATAGCGGATTAGAACAATTTATTGATATGCCCTAGTTAATAGGATGCGTAAGATGAATGGATTAATACTCGTTATTCAATGAATATGCATAGCTTGGGTTGGATTATGTCCATTGATCAAGAGTACATACAAATAGGTAATAAGCATAAGCATAAGCATAGGAGGATTCTAATCCTAGCCAGAAACCAGATATCTAGCTCATTCTCAACCCCCAGTACTTTTCTGCTCCAAAAGAATCCGGGGTATCTTTCTTCCATAGGTCATCAAACGCCGAATGGAAGATAAGGTCGTCGAATCGATTCCCGAACCGACGAGACAACATGCGAATAGCCATGTACTGATTCTTCCGGGACGGGATAGCCCTTCCATTCGGGGAACCATGATGCGGCCAACCCGTCTCGGTGATGACTGTTCGTTTCCCGCCAGCAGCGGCGGAGATCCTGCGCGCCTGATCGAGGACATAATCACCTGCATGGCCAGCGGACACGTCGCTGTTGAAAAAGGCATGGCAGTTTGCGGCGCAGTAGTCGGATACGTGACAGAGTTCCGGATGCTGGAGGAGCACGGAGAAGGTGTCGACTGTTACCACGGGGCCCTGGTAGCCTGCGGCGCGGAGGACACGACGGGCTGTGTTGACGGCATTTACGACATCCGGGACGGAGTTCTGGCCTTTGTTGATGAGTTCGTTGCCGATGCTGATGGTGTGGAAGGTAGACCAGTCACCTCCGGCTGCTGCTCCGACGTCAATGATCTGGTTCAGACTGGTTGGGAAGTCTTGCAGGTCGAAGATGCCCGTGAAGACACGCATCTTTCGTTCTCGAGCTGCTTGCACGACCTTGCGCGTCTGGTCACAGTCTACACCGTAGGTCCGTACAAACCCGTACAGGTGAGCCATCTCGTCCATGTCGCGGTTGACTTGTTCCTGGGACTTGCAGCTCCCGTCGTCGGTGTAGGGAGAGTAGGTGATGCCGAAACGGTCTTGTGCTTTTGTGGTGGTTAGAGGGTAGGGCAGAGGCTCGATTTCCTGGGGAGCTAGTAACGAAAGTTGGAGGCCGGTAGGAGGCTGCGATAGAGGGTTTAGCCTCCTATTCATCTTGCAGGATCGATGCATCGCCGTCACTCACATCGGCTGAGGCAGTGGCGGTTGCAATAAGGGTGCTAACATCAAGGGTCTGGCCGGCGTCGTTCACCAAAACAACCACAGTCGGTCTGACAATTTCCTGCGCGACATCCCATTTTTCGTCATCTACTTACCACATGTCCAGTCAGTCTGTCTGTCGGTAAACAAGTGTGGTTTTGCTTTGGCGAAGGACGACGTACCAGAGGGAAGCGCGACAGCTTGGAGGCTGAGCGAAAGCGCAGCGATCAAATGGAAAATCCAGTTCATTGTCAGTTGAGAATCTATTGGTAATTTAGGTTAATCTCCTAAGGCCCATAGACCTTTGGTTCGCACATAGGTCCCACCCTCGACACGAAGTTGCAGAACGTGTCTAATAAAACAAATCAATTATAATAGGACGCCAAGAGAGAGCAAGCAAGCACGAAAGATGGTTGTCCCTGCTCTGGATTGAGCTAGGAGGGCCAGCCAGAAATGAATCTCGCCCTTGTGGCAATTCACTCATACAGCCCTGGAGGCTGCACAAAGCCTCGACCATTAACTTGCAATTCCGAGTATTCTCCACATTTACTCCCTGCTTAGCCAGATCGCGGGAAGAATGTAGCAGATATTCACCGATGGAATGATGGCCCATACCTGCGGTATTCATTTCATACGCAAGAATGAATCAAGGGATGTCTGAAGGTCAAAGAGAGGCAGATCTCAGATCATCCTTTCTAGTCAGTAAAGACATAGGCGTGCCTTCCTTCCCCTTATATCCCTTATATATCCCTTTTTTCACACAAATAGAGAAAGAATTCAAACGAACAGAACAGGCTCTAATGAAATTTTATTATAAGGTAGCAGTCTAATAACGTGCGCAATGTCAAAATGCGAGACAACATGTAATTAAGGATTGGAAAGAAAAGAAACGATAAAAGAGAAAAACATCCGAAACATTATCTGCAATATTAATTAGAAATAAAGGGAAACAGTCGTTCCTGTATGTATGGCCCATCCCTGATATGTACGAATGGAAGTTTCCACCAAAAGGTTGCTATACAAGGGAACAAAACAGGGAGACAGGGCGAAGACAGCCAGCAAGGCTTGACGGACGGAATGAGAAGTACAAGAAGTCACAGAAGCATCACTGTTCATAGACAAAGATTTCGTGCAGGGAAAGCTCAAAGCAAAATGCAAGGAATCACTTCCTTTTGCTCAGAACTTTCGTAATAGCATGACGGATGGTGGTGCCAGCTTTTTCAATTTCTTTCCTCGTCAAGCCAATCGTCACACACACTTTCAATGCCGGCGAGACGACCTGCTTCGGTACAAAGTTGTCCTGGAGGGTCTTGAGGCGAGTAATGAGCACTCCGTTTGCAAGGCACTAGAGAAGAGGGTCAGCAATCCATATTCACCATGATTATGAGCACCTACCTCATCAACTACATCCTGCAGCAGGAATTGCTGGTCCTCGGCGGAAAGGCTCTTTGAAGAAACCACCTCTGGCTTAAGAACCAGTATCAAAATAGGGTTTTCCGGTGCACTGGTGCAGGAGACCCATTCACTACGGGGGTCTAGCTGCGCCCACATAGCCTTGGTATGCTCCCGTAGCTGTGACACTGTTTCCGGGCTGGTTTGGAGGAGGTTGATAGTGGCACTGGCGGTTGTGGATAGCAGGGCAGGCAGTGCTGCAGAGAAGGTGTAGGCGGCAGCAGAAATACGTTGGTGGTGAACAATCTCCTCAGAACCGGCACAGAAGCCACCTCCGGCGACTAATGGGCCCGCCAGCGAGCCCACGATCATATCAACTTCAGCTGCATCTACATTCTGATGCTCCGTCACACCGCGGCCAGTCCTTCCCAAGACACCAAATGACCAGGATTCATCAAGGATGAGTCGGAATTTATACTTAAGTTTCAACTCAATCTGTATCTCCCGGGTTAGCCGATTCACTTAGTCGTCCACAATAACAAACATCAGCGGTTGTACACATACGATTTTGGGCAAATCAACCATATCGCCGTACGATTCGAAGAGGCCTTCGGTGATGATAAATCGCCTTGTGAGCGGCTTTCGTGCCTGTTCCTTGGTGACTTTGGCGAGAACCCTTTCAAGATCTTCCATGTCATTGTGCTCATACCACCGAACCATACTGCGCGAGATCTGGATGCCCTTGCGGATGGCGAAGCTAACCCCCTTATCCGCAACAATAATATCCCCACGTTTCGAAAAGGCGGGAATGACACTCGAAATGGTAGAGAATGCCTGCGCGTAAATGATACACGCCGCAGTACCAAGGAAAGACGCAACGTCCGCTTCTGTCTTCATATGGACGTCCTGAGTGCCGTAGAACCCTCGAGGGCCACAAGGACCAACGCCATAGTTGCGGAGAGTCTGGATCGCCTTTTCTTTGAGGGATTCATTGGTGTTGAAGTTGTAGAAATTGTAGGAGGCAAGGTTTGCGACGGTCCGACCATTGGACAATTTCGACTTGGGACCAACCGGGCTGTAAGTCGCCAAAAATCAGCATATGAGGTACAAATTCCAAACAGCAGAATTCCGGGGAACTACCCAACAATCACAGTCCGCTTATCCACCTCCAGCTCCTCCAGGGGTGTTGGCTTCCCCACGAGCGGCTCTGGAGTCCACTCATCAACTAAATCGTCGATTTCATCCTCCGAGAGTTGGACGACGCCGGGTTTGGTCGAGTACTTTGGAGCGAGCAAATAACGAACCGCGAACAAGAAAAGGAATAGCTCAACTGCAGATCGAATTGGGTCATTTTGATAACTGGACTTTACATAGCGCAGGAATATTGCTGATCCGGGAACCCGGTGAAACAAGTTTGCAAGTTCATGAAGGTACTCCGTAAGGAGCCGCTGAGTCTCCTGGATATCCATGAAAGGGTGGAGCTTGACACGTAGCACTTAGACGCAAGGAATCGAGGAGGGTGTGCTCAGAAGTATGATATGAGGGACCCGCAATAAGAATCAAGTATCGGCACAAGATCCAGCCCAAGGGAATCAATCAATTCGAGGGTCAAGAAAGGTTGAGGCCGGAAGTGCTGCGTTTGTGCAATTTACTGCTCCGCACGGAATGGAGTGGTGACACGTGATGTCAGACGCCTTAAAGCGGCGATCTTCATGTGGCCCAGTGCAGACTACAGATGTGCATATAAATATACTCAAGGTCCCCAAAAGCCCATGCTTGATTTACACAGCATACAGCACTGCTAGTCTAGTCTCATTCCGACTGCTCCATCAAAATCAACAGACGTTCATTGGAAAGAGAGGCTAGACAAGTTGTGGCAACAGAGGAAACAAAGGGAAATACAAGTCTAACAGTCACACGTCAAGGGGCGACGAGAAAGAACACCTCCAAGGATACAGGCAGCGGTTTATAAGTATCGAATCCATTATTGTAAACAACAACAGAAGAAAGATTGTATGCGCAAAAAAAGTCCAGGCAAGGCAAACAAATGTATGGGGCGCGGCAGTAACTTCAACGCGCTGGATACTTTATACAGCTCATTTCCATGATTCCATTCCGAAAACAGCCAAACAAACAATTGAAAGAAAGAAACAGCAAGCTTTATAAAAGAAGATCCACTCATAACGCATTTCCTCTAGGTCGATGTTTCAGTGCCGGCGGCAGCGTCAGTTGGAGTTCCAGAAGGATACCACCGACTAAAGCCATGGGGGAGACCTGCGCCAGTGTATTTGTCCGTAGTGTCGTTGTTGCTGCTGTCAAGGGGCTGAAGGAGACCCTGGGGGATATTATTAAAGTCGCCGATGTCCATTTTACGGACAACGAGCGGTGCGATGAGGAGAACCAGGAACAAGAAGAGCATCGCAAAATACAAGATAGCGAACCGGATCACTCGCCTCTTCCGGAGCTTGGACTGTTTCATCGAGTAAATGGGAGGGCGGATTTGACGACTATTCCGAAGTTAGTATGGCGAAATAGGGTGGATCTAGACGGGGTCCGTTATCTTACCTTGGTCGCAACCAGAAAAGGATGACTGAATGGAATTTGTCGATGTATGGAACGCATAGGGCCGGCAGCATAATGAACAAGATGAGATGGCCCAAAACGAAGTCCCCAGCAAAGTAACCCAGTTCTGTAATCTTGCACAGGAACTCACGGCCAGGCTGAGAAACTGAATGCCAACCCATACTGTACCACTTTCCGGTCCACCATGCGATATTGGATTGATCATGTTTGAATTCACGGGTCAAGGCCAGAGCAATAATAAGCTTATAGACAAAACGCTGGATGGCAGCCATTGCAATCAAACCCATCACACATCGAGGCCAGGACCACCCCTCGAGGAAGAACAAGACCTCAAAGATGATAAGAAGCACAATCACTGCAATGGCATGTGCGATAGCAGCAAGGACAGCACCGAATTTCTTGCAGCACATGCTGAGGACTGGACCCATACAGCAAGCCATAGCAAAAAATACCATAGCAACACCGGCATTGATAGCAATGGGCCCAAAGGCAGCGACTGCAATACGAACAAGAGCATTAGAACTCTCTTTGTTGTCATCCGATACACCAGTTCTGGAATTGATGTAAAGGAATGGAACTAGTGTAACTGCAACATTAACCAAAGGCGCAATAATCTCACTGAAGAAGATATTGGTGATACGAGCCCTAGGAACATCACCGGAGCCCTTCTCCGATGGGACGCCTAGAAGCTTGCGTTTGTAACCTGTAATGCGGGTACGAGACAGGCGGCAGAAGGCGATCCAGGAAGACGTATGGGAACGTGAATTGCCACGGGAGAGCCAACGCAGATAGTCGCGGTAGTCGATGAAGAAGTCATTCCATGCGAACTGGTGAGGGTTGAAGAGGAATGGCGAGATACAGAGAGCGAGCAGCGACACCCAGAACCAAATAAGGGAAGCTGTCCAGACGGTGGATGTCGAGAACAGAAGCATAAGCAGTGACCGCGCACCGGCATATATCGAGGGGCCTGCAAATCGCGAATATAGCACACCAAACGGAATGCGGGCCGTGGCGAAGCCACGTCCAGTACCGATGTAGCGAGCACCACCGAAGGACAAGTTCTGGTGTACAGCATTGGCATAAATCTGGCAGACAAACACCTCGAACATGAATGAGAAAGAACCAAAATGCTTCGCCAAACGCATCGCCATACGCCACACACCTCGCTCCGTCAGTTCCTGCACAGCCAGAGGAACGAACGAAATGAAGAAGACAATGAAAATAGAGATAACGCAGCGATTAACCCAATCGACAATTGGCGTGAGATTGGCACAGAATGTCGGACGAAGGGGGTCAGTAATCGGAACATCGGGATTATAACGGCAGGTGATTGTCTCATGCTTCAGTGCGCCCAAGTTGACGAGAACGATCATAAACATCTGGACGGAGAGCATGATAAACATATTATTAAGATGGAAGCCAGGATGCGCGTAGTAGAAAGACAAGAACCGGTCAAGAGGCAGCTGGGTGCCAAGGTAATAATATTCTCTTGACAACATTTGCTCACCCATACCGGTACCAATCTTTGTGGTGAAGTTCAAGATAGAGCCAAATCCAAGATCACGACCCTTACCACACTGGAAGTACTCGCAGTGTTTAATGCGTCCACCACGGACCATTGCATTCATACCGGCATAGATATCCTCGTTCAAGTGAAGACCCTTCTGAGCTTTCGAGATACCACCTCTGGTACACATGAAAATGCCATTGAGGAAGTCAGGATGACCGTAGTGTAGCTTTCCACCAATTTGGGCGAGTGTCCGAGCAAAGAGAGTACCAAATGTTTGTTCCTTACTGGCCGCAACATCACCAAGGACACCTACATTCTCTGAGAAAATGTACTCGCGAGCACCAAGAATAGCAACCGGGTTTGTGTTGGCTGAGGGGATGCCAGGAGTGTACGGGGAAACGTTGTCAGTTGTCAACTCCTCAAACTCGGCAAGAACACTTCGGATCTTCAAGCATTCTTCGAGATAATTGTCTTGGTTAGCGTCGATAACTTGAATGTATTCGCCACGATAGAAGATGATCGCATGATTCTGGTTGTCGGACTTGCCATCGCCCAAAATAGGATTTCCAGAGAGCTGAATCCTAAATTTGGGCTTGCGCATGCCGTTATCGAGAAGCTCGCAATGCCCATCGATCAGGGCTGAGTACAACCGTGGCTCTTCCCCTTCGTTTACAGGAGGCTCTTCGTCGAGATAGGCAACCTGGAGGTCAGGGTATGCACGCAGAAGGAACTCGGTGTTTTCACGCTCTTCCTTGTTGAACTTGGCGTAACGCTGCATTGAAACGCAGATCTTGAACTTGCGACGTGCCATTCGCTCAAGTTCCCGTTCAAGTTTTTCCGAGTTACCACCAAACATTTGCACAACCTCGGGATTCTCAACGCGGTAGAGGAGTTTAATGGCCCGGCTGTAATTCATGAATCCAGAAACGGTTCTATACAGAGTCTGCGAGCGCAAGGATGACCAGATACGTGTGCGAAGGGTATATTCCGGCGCAGCTGACTTGAATCCAATACAGTAGAAAGGCAAGTCATCGACCTTGCTCTTTGCAACATCCTTATCACTTTTCTCGTATTCACCATTGAATTGAGAAGTTTCATCCGCAAGAATCTTGGTATCCTTGACAAAGCAGTCCCATTCATGTGGGTGAAGCTGCTTGAGGTATTCAAGAATTGTCACACGAGAGTAAGGCTCATCTTCACGGATAATCTCGCGGAGCGACAGAAGGATCTTTTCGCTGTAGTGCGGAATGAGCACAGTGAACGAGGGCATATTGTCGACCGGGAGAGGTTCAGGCATGGGTGTCGAGAGAGACTGGGCAAAGAAAGAGATGCGACGTTCAGCTTCACTGCCAGCGGGGAAAAACTCGGTTTTGAATGATTGATCCTCTTGGGAAACAAAAAATGTTGGGGCGCGCAAAGTCCGCTTGCCTTCTTGCTCAGATGGTACCTGGTGGTAGAGCAACTTTTGAACATGGTCGATAGCCAGCAAATGTTCTCTATACATGGAAATTATAATAGCGTTCCACACTTGAGAGATCAGGACTTTCGGCTTGTACTTGATTTCCATATCTGTAGTAGCAAGCACCTTGGAGTAAATACGCTTCGGGAGGCGAGAGAAAATATTCCTCCACGGTGACCAGATCGACACACCAAGGTAGAATGATCTAGCAACGGAGAAGACAGTGTTGCAAATAATATACCACAGATAGCTGTCGAGGAAGAACAATGTCAAGTCCATGAAGAACATCAGGCCCAGGAGAATCTGAGGCTGGGCGTGGCACAACGCGTTTGGAATAAATTTCACACCCGCGCACCGTCTAATCTTCATCGGTGACAGGATCCGAATAGGGTCTTTGAAGGACAGAGTCAGGAAAAAGTACGACTCTGCCAGCTTGGCACCAAAAACGCAAACCCAGAGACCATAAGACATCCACATATCATTTCCTGACAAGCGTGGGAAGCTGGCTGTGAAAGTCTGACTCGCAACGTATTGACGGCCGTGTTTCTTCAAATAACTACCGAAGAGGCCACCGAGAGGCATAACGGCAAAGAAGAAAAACGTTGCAAGAGCAATGAAGAAATGGACAATACCAATCACAAGGCAAACAGTGTTGTTGTTCAACTTGTCGTAGAATCCAAAGACAACAACACCGGGAGCCAGATTTATGATGAAGACCAGAAACAGAAACATCAGGCGCTTGCTGAGATGCTGAGCACCAGCCCAACGCCGAGGAACATATAACCATTCTGCCAGCGTGGCCAGAATTTGGATGAATGCACAAAGAGCACCACCAAAGCCAACAGCCGACCAAGCTTTCGCGCCAGGAGGCGGGTTGTTCAGTTGCTGCTGGTAATTCTTGGTATACAAAGTGGGTGCATTGTAAGCAGTGAAGAACCAAAAGGAGCCCAAGTGGATGACCCAAATACGGTTGAAGTTGGTGATCATATGGAACCAGGAGCGAGTCTCCCGGTAAGTCTTGAAGAAGGCTTTCTTCCAGTTAACCTCCTTTAGTTTCGACCATCTCTCAGCGGCTGGTACATCAACAAGTCGTGTCTTGTCCTCTAACGCAATGCGTTCAATACCCTCTGGGTACCAGAACAGTTGATTCATGTCATCGTATCCAATAATCTGGTTGTGGTCGCGCTCGCGGCGAACGTACCTCCCGTCGACGATTTCGTAGCCTTGATCACGACAGAATTGGTAGAGTGGTGTAATCACATCGTTCAGATATGTACCTTCTTCAACGGGCTCCACCCGGTTCTGGCATTCTGGCGACTGGTAATAGTCATCGGCGCACTTGAAGATGAAGCAGAGACATTCAGGAAGAAACCGGACTTGGTTAGCCTCACCCCAACACAACAAGAACAGCGCCAATTGGCGTACTCTGTCATGCTGAGACATCCGGTTCATCCTTGTCTTCCATCTGTACTCGGCAGCTTCCAGGCTGTTGTCGCCCTGAAGTGCTTCCAAGGTTTCCTCGACGTTTTCGGGATTCTGCTCTGCTGCCTTCTTGGCCGCCTTGCGAGCTTTCCTCGTTTTCCTATCTACCTTACCCAATTTCATATTCGCAAATCCAACAGCATCGTCGAGATCCAGATGCGCTGCAAAGTACCAGCGTCGGTAGTTTGCATTGTCACCGCCAATGTAGTCAGCGTGTAACGACAGTAAGGCCTGGTTTGGCGTCATACGGGAAGCACGCGAATCTAATTGTGTCATAAGGTGATCGTACATATTGCGCATGCTGTCCCGTTGGAAACCGAATTTGTTCACCAAGTCGATGAAAATATCTTCGACTTCTTCCTTAGAGACTGGAATCTGACCATCTGACGCCCACGCTGGGTACGGCTCTCGCGATCGTTGCCCAGCCGGTAAAGCGTTTCCGTAGTCCATACCATACACTGGGGTTGAGGCACCGGATGACCGATTAGCACCGTAAGAGATCTGAGATGAGGGGGGGCGGTAGCCGCCGTATCCGCGACCATATTGGCTGTCAGCGTAGCTGTTGTAACGTTCATCCCCACGGCCATAATAATCCATGTCTGCTGCGCGTGCAGTTTCAGATCTCATGGTGAAATCACTAAACGTCTCCGAGTCATCCTCTGAATCGCCTCTGCGCCTTCCCCTACCTCCTTGACCGTTTCCCTGATCATAATACTGCTCGCCATAGTAGTCATCGTGGTGACCGGCATCATAGTACCCGGCATCAGGGTGATACCCATTTTGATCCGCGTAGTAGCCACTTTCAGGAGTCAATCACTCACAATCCATTTCGCCTATTCTGCAAATGTGAACATACCCTCTATCGTAGTAGCCATCACCATAATCGTTGGTGTCATAATAGCCCTGGCCATGTTCGTCCTGGTAGTACGAATCACCATGGCCATGATGGCCGTAGCCATCATCGTAGTGGCCTCCTCCTGGATGGCCTGACATGCTTATAACCCGATATTCCCAAAAGGTTCACGAATTCTAATTTGAGACTGGTATTAGTCAATAGCCCATACGACAAGATCGGGTACTAGCGAGGCAGTAAATAAACGATAGACCAAACCTACATGAACAACTACCCATGAAAATCCCCGTTAACTAGCCCACAATTACTGACGCATAAAAACGGAGAGTTAGGATGTTGGCGTGGACAAATGGACCGAAGATCGAGATGAGATCGACGCGTCGTAAATCAACTTGAGTGTTGTGTTCTTTTCCGGAAGCACCAGTTCCAGACTGTAAGGTTGAACGTAGAATTCAAGGTCTACCGACTATCGTTCTCGTACACTTTTGACCGTGGTGGTGGTCTTTAAACGAATGGAAGGTGAAGCGGAAAGGTAGCGGCAAAGAGAATGATGAATGTAAGTATAGAAAAGAAGTACCGGACTGGACTATCTTAGCCAAGGACGACCCTTCCCACTCTTTCCTTAAACGAACGCAAGAAAGAAGGAAAGGAGTTCGACCAGAGTTGGGAGAGTAGTTCCCTGGGCGAAAACCGTAAAAGAGTGAATAGGGAGCCAGAAGCCAGGTCAAAAACAAATTAAGCAGAAAAGGGTAAAAAAAAAAAAAAAAAAAAAAAAGAGAGAGGGAGAGAGAGAGAGAGAGAAGAAAAGCGAAAAGGAGGGAACCTAGTAATGGGTGGTAGTAGGGAGGGAAGATGGGTTGAGTTGGACAGTAGTGGTGAAAAGGGAATCGATTTACCATCACGCAAAATACTGGCCACAACGGGGGCTGTGGTTATTTTGGGATCTGGAGCTGTTAATTTCCTACACAACAGTAGGGTAAGCAACCTGGTATGGTAAGTAATTTCCAACAGAAAGAACAAGGAGAGTGCCAGAGCGGGGAAGGGACGACACCAACTATAGCATCCATAGCAAGGTACCGTCGACGGGTCCTGTTTCCAAGGCAGTAAATTGTATTACCACATGGTATTATGAACAGAATTTCAGTATTTGTAACAACATCGAGACTTTCGCACCTCCCTTAGGTACGCACTGGCAGCCACTCTTATTGGAGGTCTATCTAGTAGGTTGGGTGGGCTCCTTGAATCCCACCTTCTTATTGGTCCGTATGTGATGGTGGCTTGGGTCGAGTCACCACACCTAATTATTTACGTATTGACGTACGTAAGAACAGCTCCTCGATATTCTGCCAAAGGCGCGTACCTACTCCGTACCTGCTCTAAACTTCAAACTCGTATTGGAATAAATATTTCCTAAAGAACGTAGTAGCCACATCATGTTGCTCCTTCTTTATTCCTGGACAGTTCTCTGAAATCACCACCTTCTTTCCCCCTCATACCCCGTACAAAACTATGGCTGAAGACGAAAAATCCCCCTTCAAAATTGGTCGGTGGACAACAAAGTTAGTACCACCAAGGCAGCGGTTGGTCTCGACTTCCCATGGAACTCTCAGACGGCCCCTGAAACAAGATCCACCTCCTACCTCTTATGATACACCAATACTGAGATTACATTGGGTCCGGAATAGTCTTACATAATGGTGTTTACCACTTTACCTACATTGTTTAGGTCTTCTGGTATGCAGGGATGGGGTATTTTACCAGGTACGGTGCCCATTCTTCGAATCCCAACGTCGGTGGATGATTTTTCAACCCGGTGGCAACATGACGAATGCGTTGCTATGCAGCTGTTGGCAGACGGAAATTTTCGTCTTATTTTTATTTTTATTATGAGCCCTGGTTGGTGACTGTCTTCGAATTACCGTTCCTGAGCCGGTACTCGATCGATCGATAACAATGGGTCAGCCAGCGTAATTGGAACCCAAATATTGAGTGATTATGATTACCTTCCACTTATTTTGAATGCCATCAACTTTATCCACCTGCTCTTACTCTGCCGTCCTCTTTTTACGGCTACATTTAAAGTTCAAATCTCTGCGGGTTTTCTAGATTTGCTAATCCCAAAGTTACCCAGCTACAGGTGTGGATCCTACTTTAAACACACTTGCCACCTCAAGACACGACAATCGCCCCAGTGGATTTTCCGCTACACCGACAACTCGGTGGTGGATAGAACCACGGAATAACTTATTTTGGCAAGTTGCTTATCAGTCAATTTCTGTCGTTAGCTCCGCATCGAGTCATGGTCAGGAAGTTCTGATAAACGCGAAAATATATAGCTTATGAGCTAGAGAGGACATAGGGATACTCAGATAGTGTCTATCCTAAAGTCAGAAAAGGACGGCAAGAACCTCTTTGCATGTATACTCACATTCACTTTCTGTTCTACAGAACATAGTTGACCTTCAAAAATGTCAAAGGAACCAACTCTAATACCTGTATACTGGAAAAAGTGCCAAACCTGCTGCTTGTCAACAAGCTGTCACTTTTGAGGTTACAAAAACTGCATTCTTTTTTTATACTTCTAGAATCTCCTCATTATATATTGCTTTTCTGGACTAATCTCCAAAGCATTGCAATAAAGTTAGTGTATAAATACATTGAACAAGCTTGATGAACCGTAGTATACGCGAGGGCTAGAAGGGTCATGTACAGCTGTATTCTTGCGACCACTTATATGAAGGAAATAACCCCCACTGGTTAATATCCCAAAGTTTGGTCCTTGAATGATTGGTTTTTCTTGTTCTCTAAATCTTGGATGCTTGCCTTCTGACATCAACACTAGGGTTTCTCTTTAAATATATGTATGATTGCCAGAACGTGCGTGCTCAATCAAGGCAAGTGTGAATCAAGCACGCTTGGCTGACTCGGGTAGTTGAACCCTGATGGTCCGTACATCGTACACTGTAACAGTATTAATCCATACCTAATTTCAGAATTTGGATATTTGGTACGGCCCCACATAGTTTAAATTACTAATTGTCTTACCAATCCGAGGTACAGTACAGAGCTGATAGATGCCATGAGGGAAATGCCCTGCAGTAAAGTCCCCTATTGGTATATTTAGAAGTGTATGAGGGACTATTGAATATCAATCCCGATTCTTCTAAGTTAGGATCTTTGTACGTCCTAGGGGTCATGCCGAGGAACTACCTACATATTTTCCAAAAATAAATGGATCGATGCTGAGAAACTAGAGATCTGCTTATCCATGGAACGAAGCAGCCACCACCTCACTGGAGCACGACTGTCAACCACGTCTCTGCGTTTTTCCAAATTAGAGTCTGTACACATTTAAACTCCAACAGAAATTATTGGTCGCATGTGATTGCAGATAGAAGACGGGTACTTAATCCTCCCTACCTGTCATCTACGTAGTATTAGATACCTTGCTGCTGCAGGCTGATGCGATAAGCATGATAACGGATGGGCTCGGACAGTGACTTTCAAATGTCTACCCTTGCAGGCCGTTCGCACTATTCACCAATAAGTGGGCTTGATATGATAACCTCTGTCCCAATGGATTATTAATAAGTGGGTTGGATTGACTCGTTAATGCTCCGGAGTTATTCCGGCATCTACGTTGATTCCGTATATACTAGTACGGGGTTCTCTGTACTAGCAGTTCTTTACTAGTACATCTTGGTGATGGTCTGCCAATGGCACACTTCTAGAAGATTTCATGTATACAGGATGTACGAAGTAATATGGGGAACGAAAAAATGAGATGAAATGAATGAAAAGTAAGCATAATAAATACAAATCCCACCCCACACGGATAAGGGGAGATATGCAACACAAAATACCGACGGATGGCAGGGTGCCGCTACTAATATCCAGTGACACCCACAGTCTTGCTCTGAATTAATTAGCAAGTTTCGCACTTGGATGATGGGCCAATCCGTAAACAGGGACAGTGGTGGGTGTTCTGAGTTAGGGTGGGCGCTAAAGCAGCCGTTGGCCAATCGGATCCATTAGACCGCTCAGATCCAACGGGTGGCAAGTCCATAGTTGTATGTGGTTAATTGGCTGACAAGGTCCAGGCCGGTCGAAGGATGTGGAACACACGGCGAGGGAGGGAAAATAAGGGGGCTTTCAAGTTTTGTTCCCTACAGCTTAGGCTGAGAATCACAGGTCAACCGGCATCCAGTTGGCTGTTACTAGAATGTGTCGGCTTCTTGGTTATTAATGTAATAGTTAATGGCACATCTATACCTGACAAATCCAGTGCACTTAGCTGATGTGGTGCTGTCATGATCCCTCCCTAGATAATGTAGTCAGGTAGTACTATTATCTAGGTAGACTTATTACGATTATGACAATCAAGTCCTGCCATGACTGATATTTTCTCGGACATTTTATCTAGGTACCAGATATATGGCAGATTCTTCGGTACACTATTCTGGACAGTTCATCACACAGTAGTCTAGTGCTCTTATAGCGACTTGGACCTCACCGGCTTTGTTCCACTGGGATTCCACAGAAACGAGAGACCTGTAATCATCTTTTCCTCTGGTTACGACTCGTGAGTGGCAGCCCCAAAAGCTTCGTCATGTCGAGCCACAATCCACTGACGGAGTTGGAAAGATCGTCATATCGGACGAAGTTTAGCGACCTATGCGGTTTACTGTGCCGTCCATCGCGAGGAAGGTATGTAGACACTCCGCAACGTTCATCTGCAGCCTGCTGCAGCACAGGTTTAAGATCAACATTCTTCGGAGCTGCAATCTTGAATGCAGTATTATTATTTATCGCGGTCAGTTAACGCGAGGCACACCGCATGCAGACACTGGTCCCATCATACCGCTGCTGCTGCATACCGATATCTATGAAGTGTAGTTTAACTCCCTACTTTCTGTTCACAGCGGTGCTAGGGAAAGACAGCTTAGCTAATCATCGCTTCTCATTTCGGTTCACTGACAAATGACAGGCCATGAGATGGTGCCTAGCTAAACATTATCAGAGATCAATTTCTCAATGGGTTATTTATAGAAGGGTAGCAAAAGGAGGCAATGGACGGCCGTGGAGATCATCTCGAGCAGGCATCTCTAGTAAGGCGGGTGAATATGGCTTCTATGCCGGCTATACTGAATCCCTCGGGCCTTGAGTGGTCACTTGCCATAGAAGATCACGAAGAGACCCTGAAATTGAGCCTGGGGGTGGATGATTGTAAAGCTCCAGCTGCTCGTTTGCTTTATTCTTCTATATCGACCGTAGTTATTCCTTGATCTGTGACTACTCTTCACATTCTTTTTCTGATCTTATTCGCGATCATTGAATTTCTCTTCCAATCCTTTCTTTAGTTACCTAGCCCACTTTTATATACTAGTTCCGTGTTCTATCAAACAATTGTATATTTACTATTTTTCGATATCCGGGAATATCTACATTGTTTTTGAATAGCCCGGTACACTGACCACGTCGCTATGAAGCTTTCTACTATTGTCGCAGGCGCAACCTTCTTTGCCAGCAATGTCCTTGCTACCGACTCAGACTCGATCATTATCAAGGCACACTGCCGTTCGTGGTGGTCGTACCTCGTTGCACAATCTAAGCTCTCAATCTATGCTGACGTCGGAGATTTTCAGGGCTTCAATTCTTCTACAAGAGTAACTACACACAGTTATATTTGAATTTGTCTACAACTGGTTTGAATAAATGTCTCGTGCTAATTGTAGATAACTAGTTACATCTGTGGTGTCGCTATCAGCGTATGTTAGGACTACTCCAGCCTCCCGGGTTGATGAGAATATCTATATGTACATGTGTACGCTCACTGCCGGCAGGAATACTCTGGTCCCAAGTCTTCCAGTACCAACTTCAAGGATCCACTGGCCAACTGCAAACGTGGCGTCCCTTACGTTGCGAATTAAACACAAACGACCTATGTCTATGCTTTCAAGTCGAATCACTCTGTGTGCATGAAGCTCCTGAGCGGCATCTACGTGATTGCGGATCTCTCCTCGCCCACTGAATCGCAAGACTCGCCGAGGCGTATGGCTGTCTCGGTCGTCGCGAGGAAGGCGTCGCTGCGGCTGAGAAAAGTGCCGCACGGCTGCAGCATCTCCTGGGTGAGAACCACATCCAGGTACTGGCTGCGGTGCTCTGTACCGCTGAGCTCGTCGTCTCTAAATGGGACAATGACCTGTACAACCGATACGTCAGCGTTGTTGAATTGGCTCAGTACAGCAACATCCAACGACAGTGGCTTCTGTACTAGAACGAATTGTCAAACACCAACATTCGTCAAAGCTGTCGTTCATGACATGAAAAATTATATCAAAGCAAAGAACTACCTTCCTATGGGGGTTGGATACACGAACGATGATTCAGACATCCGTGAAACATGGCAAACTACAACTGTGCCGAGGCGGATTCGAGCGTTGATTTCTTGGGCTTCCTGGTGCGGGTACTCCAGTTACGAGAAGTCGGGATAGAAGAGTAGAACCGGTGAAATTCTTATGCAGTACATGAGTCAACTCACTTCCGGAGGAGGGTTTGGAGGTGAGAATAGTGGAAGGAATTGGATTGAGGATGGCATGGTGTGGTTTGGAGGACTTGGTTTAGTATAAATATTCAACAGACAATGGACAAAAGTCATGGTCCACCTTCCTGCCAGAAGGCCTGCAAACCCATTGAAAGATTTTATCGGCGAGGTCACCACAGTGTCCTATATCGAGGGCACCCACATTGGCGAAGCTGCCAATGGATCGATCGACCACAACTACGAAATCATATCCCAGAGAGTGTCGTCGTGGGGCTTCCTTGCGAGCTGCCCCCAAGATCCTAGATGTCTATGGGTCCCAATGCACAGGTATAGCGCCGGTACTGACGATGAAATCGATCGGTTTGAAGATCATCTCTAGCAACTGGCAAGAATCAGACAGAAGATCTAAGCCGTGGTGCGAATCTCCCATCGAACCCGGTCCTGCGAACAGTGGACCTGGAAAGGATCCGGAGTCTGGCAAGGCGCCATCAAAAGATCATTTAGTGATGTGGTAAATAACCATCATTCCAAGTGATTCAGATAGACGTCGTTCTCAGGTACTTTCTTTGGTCGGTCCATCAAAGCGATATGGTAAGCTATTCGAGATCGAATAATCGAAAAACATCGTGCGTGTCCTTTCGGAGATTAGGAAATTAGTAGTTATTTTAATATATTAGTATCTAGAAGTAGAAGGCAATACAGACATCTGTGGACGACTTTCACCTTCATGTAGATTGCGTCCGCCTGTTCGAGGCATCTTCTGCCAGACACGAAGAGATCCCAACACGGTAGCCAGAAAGTCATTGTTGTGATAAGGCAGCCTTCTGGGTAAATGACTGCGGGAAGTATGGGCACTTTAGTCACTATTGTACACTGCTGGGGAGCCCCGTCCTAGCGATGTAATCATTAGGCTACAGAATTAACGATGAGTCGTTTTCGTTGTAAAGATATTCAAGAACAACAGTTTTCGGTATAGACGGGGTTAAAGATGAATTATTTCCCATTACCCAGGATAAGGTTAAAAAAAAGCTCTATGGGATCCAGCGGGATGGTCGTATAACTCTTCTAAAATTAGATTTTGCTTCGTCGAGTGGTATTCTTTTTGATTGTCCCCCCTATATCCTTGGACTGGTCCCCTGCATCTGCTAGACAGAGGCCGTTCCTCAAAGAATGTAGTTAGACCTCGACTCATCGAGCAACCATAACAGTTCCATGATCCTCGCCGTCGTACTCATTGAACGAGATGGCATGTAGCCGATTGGTATCTCGCAGTAGCTCGATAAGGCCGAGTACATTACCCTTCATTCTCAATTGCAAGTCGCGGTGCTTTCTCCCTTCATAGCCCTCCAGCGGTTCGTCAGTCCACCAGGGTGGATTCTGTTCAAAGGAGCCCAAGCATGAGCGTGGGCAACATCTACTCCGGAGCGTTTTGGCCAACGATGGACGATCTCGCTTCATTCAAGATATACCAATCATTCCACCATATCGAGAAACTACTACCAAGGTAGCCGTTGAAGAGATGTGGTCGGGTAAATAATGCATGCAGGACAAATATGCTTCCTTATGAATGACCGAAGAGAGCCTCTTGAAAACGACAGCTGTACGTATCGCGCTCTGACCATAGGTCGCACGACGTTCGAGATGAAGTCCAGAAAGCCAGAGTCACAAAATAAATATTGCATTCTCTGCACTGGGACTTAAGAGGGCTTCGAGAAGACTGTTACTTTAGAATCGAACTATTCTGACACCCAACAGTGCTACTCCGACACTCACGCTAAATTAGTCATTTTAGGAAAACGGTAGATTCTCGTTGCGTGGATCTATCCCTAAGCAGCGTAGACTGGGTGTTGGGTTATCAATACGGGGTGTTAGTTTAACATAGTCTGTTCATTGCTAGGGATTTTTCACGAGCTAACCAGATTGCCTGATGCGTGCATATTCCCTACTCGGACACCACTGCTACGTGGGCTTGTGTAATGCCCAGGGTCGGTGAAGCAGTTGCCTCGATAGCCTCCCATTTTGACAGGGAAGAGAGTTCCTAGTCTCACTAATAACTTGTTCTGGGATCTATACATCTGGTGGTCATTGCAACAGTAGCTAGTACTGCTAGGTTGGTAGTCTGTATGAGCCAATATTCGACCCCTGTTGATATTGTATTACATAGCCCATTTAGGCATATTACTCGGCTACATCACACTTAGGAAGTTGAGTTCCAAGAATGCTATAACACTGGCTAGTAATAAGTATCCTCTGGTGTGACTGGCTCCATATAACATAATTTTATCAATCTAATCAGAGAACAGAAGATCTACGTAGGTCAACCGGTCAACCAGGTTCCACGGTTACAGCTAGAACTACTAGCTCCTGGCTAAATCAGACTGATCTACTCTAGAACATTGCTTCTGGACATATCCATGTGCAGGGTTCCCTTTTCTAGATGATCGTTTGACGCTGCTCTGGTTATATTATGGCTGTTATTTGAATTAAATAACTTTAGTTTGGTAATTAATGACATGCTTGGATATCTGTCTCTTATTCCAAAGACGACGCCCACATATTTAATATCAGCAAGGCTACTGCCACGATACTCATTTATCCCTGGTAATCTGATACCTCACCTCTCCCTCTTCAATCCCAGGAGGACAGTCGTACTTATTATAAAAGTATAAGCATGCTTCAACCCACATACCGCCATGTTCGCCTGAGAAGCTGCATTAAAAGCCCTTGTTTCACCAAAAACCTCAGCGAGACCCAGTTCTTCAAAAGCACGACTCAGAAGTTCCTGCGCTCTTTCCTTTGCGTATCCCTGCCTCCAAAACCTTGGCAAGAGTCAGTAGCCGAAGTCGGCTCGCTCTGTGCCGAATTTCTCTAGATTGTCCTTGACTGGAGATGGTGCCAGCATCCTCCAGCCAACAAAGTCATCGACCACGAAATCAACCCAACAACCGAGGCCTGAAACGTGCGCAGTTGCCGGGTCTAGGTACTTGTGGACTTCGTTCACCCGGTTGAGGTCTAGTGGTGTGCCGTGGCCGATATGTTTCGTGGGATTCAAGTCTAGCTTGATGGCGAAGTCGCGGTGTTCCGGTCCGAGGGGGAGCAATTTGAGGCGTGTGGTATGCAAAGGGACTTGGACTTGGACTTTGGTTCATGGTTGTCATGGAAAATTGGGAGACTTTGTATGCGGTGTTGTCGTACAGCTGCAGCTTAAATATATCCGAACAGCTCATGCCTCACGTCTCCCTTTTATATTTTGGAACCGCCATCGTGGTACACCATCTCAGTGCATGATGGATATGCCCAGCAACCGCTGGAGCTGAGCTTACTGCCCGTTGTACTATCAAGAATTAGCAGGCTCCACTCTTCATTGGTTTCTCGAGTCTGGTGGACCAGGGGTATCATTGCACTTGTAGTAGTATCCTTGTATTTTGTATTATCCACCATTTACTGAGCCCAGATCTTTGCTCGTTGAATGATCTGATCGCTGGAAGTTGTTAAGAAGCTATCCTTTTGTTCAAGCACAACGTTGTAAAACTGAAGCAGCTGGCTTCTGATGATTTGCTCGTCACCCACTGTCAGCTACCAAGACTTGGACTTTTCGACGAGCTGCGAGTATATACCCAATAGTACATAGTGCACAATCTGTCCTCCATAGTCGTAAAGGGATGGTTGTAGGTGAAGTGGTACCACCTTGCAGGTAATACCAGATCATACAGCTTGTAATACATGGAGTGTATTGACATTTCTAGATAATACCGCCTTGGCCATCATCTTCTAGCCCTAACTCTTAAGCTAGACGAGATATCTTTCTCTGTACTACTTTAACTTCGTCCCACTCCAGAGTCTAACTTACTTTACTATGAGCTAGAATCTCCATAAGCCAAATATTGGCATAGAGCGGTTCACTAGGCTGACAGCACGGCCATAGGAATGATAGGATCATAGGATTCACGCTAGCAACGTCGCCCATGCTAATGAGATCGATCTCCCACCTCCAAGAGTCCAAAGTACGCCACATGAGTGTGACCTTTCGAGGTCGACTATCTCCTGTGGCTGCTCTGATTCTATCCCGGTTTTGTCGAATTACGAGAGGCAAGGATTCTCGGGCCTGAGCAACCGATTTCGGGGATTGACTTTCTTAACCCAATGCAGAAATTAAAAAAAAAAAAAAAAAAAAGGACTAGCAAAAACCTGGTTAAATCTGCAGTTCTTCGCTCTTCAGTCCACTTTTTTCTACGTGCACCGCGTCTTAACTTGTTGATTCAAAACAATTGCAATTCTTGATAAAAGTATTGACGAAAACAACAAGGAAGCTCTGATCCAGACCGCACAGGGTGGTATTCGGAAGATGGACGCCGTGTCTCTAGCGTGGTCGAAGAAATCGCTGGCCATCCAATGCACCCGAAGCACGAGATATCCCCTCCCAACAACATGACTAGATACGCTAAGGCCAGGAAGACCAGCATACCAGCCAGCTTGGGGTCCTTGATAAAGGCGACGACGTACGCGGTGACGAACAAGGAGACACTACTGATGACAAAACCAACCTTCTCGGATGTCCCTGCTGCACGACGGCAATGTCCCCTGTGATCCGGGGAGATATCTCTCCTGCTGGTAAGGTGTCGAAGAATGCAGAGTCCTGGCGTAGGCTGGCGCTGAAATACTTCTCGCGCAGTCGCTGAGCCAGTCGTTCCCCGGACGGATTCTAGCAGAAGACATAGACGTAGATAAGTGCGAAATACGTGATCCCAACGTATACTATCAGTAGGATCTTGTCGTTGATTCCAGTCTGGTAGCGTCCGGCGTTGGAGTCGTTAACGTTTCAGGTGGACGGGATGATTCCGTCGACTAGCTGTCCGAAACAATTGATATGATGGGGGGATCCCCGAGGCAAATGCAGAGACGAAGCCGCCCAAGAATTGAAGCAGATCGGAGGACGAAGAGTTGCCATATACCAGCAACCGACAGAAAGAATTAGCCCGGTGCATGATCTATGAGTATCGCGATGAGTCTTGGATATAGACAGAATGAATCAGGATTAAACAACTCTCGGTTTGGCTGATACTTCTACCCCCGCAGACGCTTCAGAGGTCGCCATAATGACCCAGACGTCCGCTCAGATCAGATGAAGGCAGTAAAGGGACAATCGAATAGTTCTTTGCAGGACGAACCTTCCAGTACTAGAATAAGATTCAACTCCCGACCTCGGACATAAGCACGCCGACTTTATTATCGGATCAGATAATCATTCCAATCGGCCTGAAGGTCTTCCTCGCAGTATGAATTGGAGGCATGGTGCATTTCACTACCGTACACTCTTGGTGCTCAATCTAGCGCGGCCTCTATTGCCCTTGGTTCCACAAACAGTCGTAATGTGGATGTTATGATCAAGTGCAGATGAAGACAGGGAGTAAAATAACCCAAATAACCCAGAACGATCCATCCCAGGCATCAAGTGAGCCATGCCAAGAGAATTCGGAGATACGCCAAGTGCTGGTTCAGTCTGGGCCATACTCTGTTAGCTAATTGTTATAGCCAAGCTCACGATCTTAACTATTCCACTGGACCAAAAGACCACTATATCTATTCCTGAGCACCTTATATAGTAGCGCACTGTAATGTTAGGTGACGCACCCACACCTAACACCACACCTAAGACTAATAGCTTGTGGATGGTGAATGCCCGGAAGTGCCAGTCCCGAATTATCCTAGTTTATCTAATCTAATCTAATCCTCCGTAGGATCGATTCCGTTGTATTGGTATTACATTTGTATTAAACGCTTGTGTTTTGCTTGTGTATTGCATGCATTGTGTATTCCCCTTGTCTGCTGACCAGATCGTGATCTTAGATGTCTTCCACAATGTTCCAATTCCGAGGCTGCCTAGATCTGGAATATATTGCCACAGGTTGCTGTGTTACATTATAGTATGCTTTACATGAGGCGGTGGAATTGGCTATGGATGAAAGATAAAATGTCAGCCCTGCACTACAGAGTAGGTACGGCACATATATATAGTTTATGTCTCATCCATAAACAGTACTCCTGGCAGTCTTCTTGTACCTAGCGATACACTCGAGAATAAATTGTAACACCTACTGGAACTATCAGAAACAGAAACATTATAGATTCACAGTACCATCATTGGCCATCCATGCATGTTGACGTCAAAGGACGGAGTTGAGTATATAAGAAGAAGAATCTACTTATAATGCCAAAAAACCAGATGTTCTTCAACAACAAGCCCGGGTGGTCTAGTGGTATGATTCTCGCTTAGGGATAACCCAAGCATATCTGCGAGAGGTCCCGCGTTCGATCCGCGGCTCGGGCCTTGTCTTTTTCACTTTGTTTTGTATTTTGACGGTGGATGGATGGTAGTGGTGCTTTATCTTTTCTAAGGGTGTTTTTTATTGATGCTCCGTGTGGTTTTCAAAGACTAACTCTGTTGCGTTGACCATCAAAGATGTCAGTGCCAGCCGTTGCCTGGCCAACTGTTTGCTACCCGTGGTTCTGCCCATCAACATCCGCCCAGGAAACCTGTCTGTCAATAATTAGCTCAGTAGTTACCTGCCTCATGCTGATTGATAGCTCCCTGTGAAGTTGACAGAGTCACACCCCTGTGTATGCTCACCCCTCTACCTAGGCTGAAAGCCGGTAGAAAGACGAGCCACATGCCAGACAAAGGCTTCTAGAACGACAACCATGGCCAGACTCAACACAACGAACCCCAACGAGGGCGAGATTCGAGACAGACCGAGATCCGTCCGGATGCTGGGACAGCGTGGCGTCCTTCAAAGCAGATCTAGAGAGACGCCGTCCGCATCAGACTTAAAGGGAGGTGAAGAGACACAATGGACGGCGGACTGGCAGCCACAAAGAAAGAGCCGGCATCAAAGGTCAGGGACAATGTCCAGCGGCATCTTTGACATCTTTTCAGACAGCGATGGCCTCAATGACCGGGAAGATAATGACACTACGGGGCGGGGAATGGCCCCCCTGGATCTAACTCGTGCCAATTCGCTCCTACGCCGGCCCTCACAGCGGTCGCGACACCGAACGATCCGGAAGTCCGAAAACTATAACTACGACAAGGAGAATGACCCCGTAGAGATAGAGGAGAGCGAAGATGACACCCACACGCAATCCTCCATCTCCAGGAACCCGTCTGACGCGTCAACACGACGATCCCCAGTCAGGAGCGCGCGCCAGACCCCGGCCAGAACCAGCAGTAACCGTCCATTCTCGCAGTATCGCCAACCGGAACCCCAGTCGGAGGACGAAGACAGTGGAGACAATGGTTATGATTCTTTGGATGACTTCATTGTCAGTGACAACGATGAACCCAGCTATCACGAGACATCCGACAATGAGACGGAAGAAGAGGAAGAGATACCTCCTCCTAAACCTAGAAGGAGGTTAATGAGAGGAAGAAGACCCAATCCTGAAGCCGAACTGATGAAGGCTCTTCAACGTTCACACCACGATGACCTTCGCCTGGAACCATCTCTGCCAACTGCCATTGCTCTACCATCCCCAGTGCATGAACGGACGTCCGCACGGCCACTTCAGCAGAACCTCTCTCTCTCCGGCAAGATGAACCAACTGAGTTTAGGGAACAATGGCCCTTCCTCGCAGCTCCAACAAGACCCATTTGGGTAAGACCTCAATCATACCGTTTCCAGCTATGCCCGAAGCTAATATCCCTCTAGGGTTGTAAGGGACTTCAAATCAAACTCGCCAGAACTAGAACCTGGACTACTGGTTCTGGAAACACCACCGGGCAGTCCTACTAGGAACCGTCTTCCTTCGCCATCCAAGGGGAAGACCGCTATTCCTCCCACTCCATATCGCGAGAGCGTTGACGCTTTCTGGAGCCAGGAGCTCACCAACGACTGGATCGACCGACACTCCCCACACAAAGTAGGCCGGCTCCTACAGGAGTTTGAGGACTCCGAGCATGAATTCGACCCAGATGCCATGCCCCGACGCCGGGTGGCAGTCAAAGAGCCCAAGACGCCGAGCAAAACAGCCCTGAAGAAAGCGGAGATTGAGAAGCGGAAGGCTGCTGTGGCGCTCAGAAAGTCATTCGACGACAAGAAGGCCGCCATCGCGGAGCACTTCTTCAAAGCCCTAGACGATGCCGTCACCGGCGGCCGAATCCAAGAGATCGCGCAACAGACGGGAGGTGTTCGTATTACGTGGAGTAAAACGCTGCAGACCACCGCTGGTCGAGCCAGCTGGAAATGGGAAGGATCCAGGCCCACCAGGGAAAAGGGATCACCAAACGGATCCCCGATGCATTATGCCGGCATTGAACTTGCAGCACGCATCATCGACGACGAGGACCGGTTGATCAACACCGTGGCCCACGAATACTGTCATCTGGCCAACTACATGATCTCCAACGTCACCGATAACCCCCATGGGACCAGCTTCAAGCTCTGGGGGCGCAAATGCAAGGAAGCGTTGAAGGACCATCCCGTCTACGGCGGACGCATCGAGGTCACCACGAAACACAGCTACAAGATCGACTGGAAGTACGTCTGGTGCTGTGTGGATTGCGGCCAGAGCTACGGACGACACTCCAAGAGCATCGATACCACCAAATGTCGATGTGGGAAGTGCCAGGGGCTCTTGCAGCAGATCAAACCGAAGCCACGGAATATGTCGCCGAAGAAGAAGCAACCGTTTGGCACGATGGACGTGGGGACGACTGTAAATTCTGGTTGATCTAGATCTAAAGATGTATGTAGATGAGCAGGTACGTGTTTAATGAATCGTTATTAGCCTATATATACCAATTCTCTCGTCAGTAGCGAGGTATTGTAGAGTTGATATTGCATATTGTCAGGAAAGGGGATAACAAAGCGGCAGGTGATGTAATCAGGTAGGATATATTAACCAACTGCATACAATGCTAAGCTGTCAGTTACTGGGTCGGTAGTCCTTCCGGATGATTTGGTCTCCTTTTTCTTCAGCTTTCTTTATGTAGGAACAATCAGTATACGCAGCACTGACGATGAAGCGCCGACGTTATCCCGTGAAGACATCACTTGTTCTGCTGCCAAAGAGCGCAATCAGCTTTTTGCACGTGTTGGCTTACCGGGACCAGCAACGCCAATGCTTCGAGGATTTATAAGGACACCATCATCTTATTGAAGCCACGGTTGCGCATCATTTGAACTTGGATTCGCCAAGCGATTGTCACGTCGCTGATCCGAAAGATTGGCTGTCTGGGAGTATTAATGTTTGCATCCCAGTCTATGTGGATGGCAGAGAACAGAGAACTACTCTGCTGTTTCGCCTGCCACTGCCGTATCGCGTCGGAGAAAGATTCTGTTCAGTAATGCTAGGAGAAAACACTCTGCGAGGCCGTGGCACCTACGTGTGGCTCCAGCATAGCTGCCCCAGTGTCCCTATTCCAGGGCTGTTTGGGTACGGGCTGTCAACCGGTCAGACGGTATGTGCTTTAGCTCCGTTCGACTGGGACCATAGCTAAAAAAAAAGGTGAAGTTTACTGCTTTAAACGACCTGCCTTTCCTTCCCCTCGTGTTTCAACTTTTGCATCGTCGGTTGTTGAAATTCCTGGGATATCTGGTCCCAACTTCCTATGTCCCTCACCGAAATAGACCGGGGTCACTAGGAATGGGGTATCTTCTAATCGAGTACATTGATCGATCCAGGGGGGAACTGCTCTCCGAGTCGTGGGGGAGGGGCGTCGCAATAGTCGACCGCGAGCTTTTTTTCACAGTTTGTCTTCTATAATGCTGGCGTTTGCACGCATTCCTCTACCGAGGATCGGCTCTTTCGATTTGGATGAAAGCGCTTTTTTAGGCTTAAGCAACAAGACTCTCACAGTTGAGATCCGGGAGTTGGGAAATGAAAATATGCCGGTGGATATCCGCGCAACTTAACTTGCTCTACAGTCGACGCCTATGTCAATGACATCCTTGCCTTCCATGAGAGCCCCCCTAGGCATCAAATTAATGCAGCAGACAGCATCCAGGACTGCTTTTTCCCGATGCCTGCTCTGACGGTAATGGGAACTGTTCGGATTTTTCTTTCACCCGGGCCTTCGTCGAGGTCCATTTTCATGAGATCGGTTCTCGCCCAGCAGAGATAATCCACCTTCCATATTGGCTAACAAACCAGTCTGTGGATGGGTTTAGCCTGGGCGACTATGGGAGCGTTCATACGGAGTTTATGAGGGTCTTTGGCCAACAAGAACTCGAGAGTATTTTGACGTGGGAGGAAGAACGACTTCACCCTGTATTGCAGGAAGGATGGGAGAAAGGCACATTCTGGTACTCTCTTGCACTTGATAGCCCGACTGTCCGGCAAAACCAAAAGACAAAGAGAAATATAGTCAACTTTTGCTTGAAGCTTTCGCTGCCTAGTTCCTGGCTGTAGGCATAGTTTAATGGCTTCAATATACTAGGTCTCGGTAATCCGTAGTACTCAGAGCCTTAAGACCAACGAAATAGTTGTGGCATGCAAGGTTAACAATAGCTACTTACTTGCAATAATTAATAAACTTAGTTCTTTTTATATAAAGATACCTCTAATTTTTTCTTCCAGACCAACTTATTAAGTATAATAGGTCTGAGCTTGTGATCTATTTACATATGAATCCCCCTTCCATTCCATAACACCAACACCATCAGATCCAATTTAAGCAAACAACCCCCAATCCACTACCTTCAACCTCACCACCAACTCTCCAATCAACCCCTCCGCCAACTTATTCTCCTCCTCCAGTCCGCGCACGTCTCCCCGCGCATCAAACTCCTCACTCGGCACATTCACAAACACCAACAGATCTGTCTCCTGCTCCTCCAACCTCACCAGTAAGTAATGACAATTCGTCGTCAACGCTGCCTGTCCTTGTGTCTGTCCCTCTCTCTGTTCGCGTCGATGCTGTCCCATTTTAGTCGCCGTCAACGCTACCACGCCTCGATAGGCGCTCGCTTTTGGGATCTCCTGCATCGGGACCTTCTGCGCGGGAACTAACACCTCCAATGTGTCTGATTCATCGCATAGATCATGAAGATGATACATGATGGCTGCTTTGTCGATTGTTTCTGGTAATGAATCTGTCGATAAGGGTTGTGTTCTTGTTGCTGAGAGGGCCTCGTCGCGGTCCACGCGCTGGTTGATCTCTATGATTTGGTTGCTGAGGGTTGTTGCGGAAAGGAAGATTTCTTGGTGGTCGGGGACTTCACGTAATGTGCTGATTATCATTATTATCATTTAGTATATATTTTGTTTTTCATATTTGTTTTTGATTTTTTATCTTGGGAATGAAGAACGTACCTCGCATCAATCCAGCCTTGCGGGATGACGCCTTTAATGGTGGATCCGTAGAATTCATGTGTTATAAATTTAGCCATGATGAGGTCTGATCGGTCTTCAGATAAATGGTGGGTTGCTGTGCTGGGAGGTTGAAGAAGATGGAAGAAATGACGTCCGTTAATTTGATGGTGGGGATAGTTTGGTGGGGTCTAGGCAAGCTACTCATAAATATACTCCGCACTATGCACTGTTAATAAGGTGCAGAAGTGATAGGTTAATTCCTATGTATCACGAGTTACAACCAATTGGTTGGATTCATATGTTTATATAGATAGATAGATAGATAGATATATCAAGTGGAACTACCTATGCCAACAACTCCTCGACATATTCATCCAGAGCAATAACCCGGAATCGCTCGCCCCATTTCGCCCGAAAGTCCCTCTTGCGATATGCATAGCTGGTCAACTGGGAGAAGCTCACCAGTTCCACATTCCACCCACGCTGCAGCGCGCGCTCCACCATCTTCATGAACCCGCCTGAGAATTCGGCTTCCGCCGCATCTCCCGTAGCGAGCACAATGGTCGACGGTTCGTCCGTATCCAAGAGGCTTTCTAGGATCTTTAGGTGCAGAATTTCGTCCACACCCTGCTCGACCCATCCCGGCACGTCGTTCGTTTCTGAACCACTGCCTCTATCGCGAGAGCTAGCCCGAGGATTCTTCCGAAAGCGCACCTGATGGCGAGTTGGCTGTTTCACCTTCTGCACTCGGTCGAGGATATTCGTCTCGTATCCAAGCTTCTCGCCCTCATTGATCGCCGCGAACCGATCGGAGCCTACCAACACCCGTTTGGCCGTGGGTCTCCCACGTTCCAGTATCAATGAAAAATTTTGGAAAGAGAGAGGCACACGCCGAGTTCGCGTCGTCGCCGGTATGTTTCGTGATACTTTCACAGCATCGTGAAACCCAACCATAATCTAGCTCAGGTGAGGGAATGTTAGACGGTTCAGAATGAACGCGGGTAGATCCAATGTCAGACTTACGTTAGACATGTCCACAAAGACATGAATCGGACGGGAGGCTTGTGTCGCCTGGTTATGGTTTGCAGGCCGCCCAAATTGTGCGACCGTCTCTGCATACTCCGGGAAAGACTTCAGGAGTTTTGTTAAAAGGCCAACCCTCCGGTCAGATGCTGACTTGTAGGCAAGTGGTTGAATGCGAGCGGGGCCACAAATAGGCAAGTGCTTGACGCCCTTGGGAGTAAATGTCTTCTCAGATTCGTCGTATGAAGAAGGTGGCGTCTCACAAGGGCGACTGGTAGCCGCGGATACCCCCACCTGTGAAGGGACCAAAGATAGGACGCCTTCCCTCTTTGAAAATGAAGGGTCAAAGATACTGAGGTTTCCATCCGACTCTGTCCCTGAACCACTATCCGGCGAGCTAGACTCGATGACACTTCTATTCTGGTGGGTAATGTGTTTGATCCCGCTGGACCTAACTGTGGATTTTCCAGAGTTGATGACCTCCGAACCTGGTACTGGCTTTGGCGGCGTCCTTAGAGGTTCCCCGCCGACACTTTCGCCGTTCCTACTTTTATTAGAGGGCCGTTTCAAGATCTCAAATTGTGGGGTCCTCTGGGGAGATTGCCCAGCAGCATCGTTCTGGACGTCCTGGTGCTGCCCAACTTCTCGTTGAGCAGAAGAGGGGGCATCGCCCAAAACATCCCAGAGAGAGCTAAAGTCGCCCAATTTTGGGGAGCGACTAGTCTCGTGTCTAGTGTTTGGATGATTCAGGACAATCTTGGATGTAGCTGTTGAGGGAGATGCGTTGTAAGGCTGGAAGTGGCGAGAAGCGTCAGGCTGGTAACCTTCGCCATAAGTGGGCGAGCGAAGTAGGTCAATCACCGGAGTGAAATCCCAGTTCGAAGAAGATGATAGAGCAGACAAGGGCATTGACAAATCGTACAATAGATCACACAGCTGTGAAGTTGGGAACCAAGGGGTGTCCTGTAGTGGGACGTCGGCGGTAAGTAGAACGAAGTTGCAAAGAATATATATATATATAAAACAAAAAGCAGATGGTCAAGTAGTAAAACAAAAAGAAGAGACTACCAATAAGCAAATCAACATGATGGTCGACTAGACCCGACCAGACAAGAGGAATGAAACATTGAATGAGTGAGATGCGTTGGCTGTATGGTATGACTGATATGCAGGAATGGCTCGTCGTGGCGGTGACCAACTACCCTGTTTTGCTGCTTTTCCCCGCCTTCCCTTTGTGGCTTTCAGCTGTTCTCAATGCACTAGTCCATTTGAAGAATAGCGGAATCGGCTTTCGGTAAAACAGATAATACGATAATCGTCGCAGCTAACCATTTATGGCTAGGAACATTATTATCATGGCAACGTCATGGCCCAGACGTGAATAACTTGTTTCTTCGATGGACCGTCAGGGTGACGTTAGTTGTCTAAATTGCATGAACCCTATTCACATGCGTGGGGAAATGACTAAGTAATTCCGAAGTCAAAGGGTATCAATCGGAGAACCATCAACATCTTCAATAAGCAAAGCTATATAAAGCCCTTGCATCTAGCTGTTGAAATTGATCTTTCTCATCATATCAGAAACAATCTGAGATTCACATCTAAACCTCAATTATTCCAATTTACTATCAAATCAATTAATCGACTCAACGTCCTTCATTATGTCTTGACACTGGTCGCAAGGATTTCACCACCCGATGATCCCCATGCTTGAACCGTCCATTGAATATATCATACAGTCTGCAGGGCCCAAGTAAGGAATCGACTCCGCCAAGTCCACCTAGGGTAAGATTAAGGAGGGTATTACCGACACCACCGACCGTATCGCCCATGGTGTGCAGTCCGATGAGTGCAAGTCCGCTACTCAGGATGCCGCGGATAAGGCTCAGCGCGTGAGCGACAGCAACGACTCTTCTATGTTTCAGGCACTAACAATTACTACAGCCTGAACAAGATCAAGAACGCCACCGGTCTAGGTGGTAGTGGCCAGTGAAGTGTAATAACGATGTTGTAATTTGGGATCTCGGATGCGTTTGTCATGGGCACATGAGAGTCACAGTATCGATATGTTCTTTCCTGTGTATCTAATTACGATTGATAGTATTCATAATGAGATATTGATAGTCCCTGAAACATGTTATCTTCCATTATCCCCTCACCTCTTATCCACTAGATTTTCAAACATCGAGTCGCGCCGCTGGGTGAGCTTGTCAAGCTCTTGCTCCAATTCCTTGTACTTTGCCCTCGCCCCCGGGATGTCTTTAGGAAGATCATGGAACATGTGGACTCTGTTTTCCAATGCCTGAACTGTTTCCATGAACCTCGTGACATCTGCCTCTTCAGCTTCTAACTCATCCAACGTAGGCCCCTTGTGTTTAGTCCTCTCCAAAGAGGCGATCCGGTCGTGGTATTCGCCGACCTTTGCGGTCAGCGTTTTCGTCCCCCTAGACCACTCCGCCGTGAGCGCCGGGAGATCAGCGGCTATCTCGTATGCTTTGTCAGAGTTCAGCTCCTCGAGATGGTTTTGTAGGGTTGCAAGCTCTCTCTCCAAGTAATTATGTATCGTTTCTACCTTGAACATCTGTTGCTGAACCCCGAACTCCTCCTTGGTCAGCTCGATAATCGATTGGCCTAGGTCTGTAGTCTCAGTGCCTAGGGCCCCTAGAACGGCGGTTGTTTCCGCCAAGTCATCCAGATCTTGTGCTCCTTTCCCATCAAGACATAGCTCTACCTCGTCCAGGATTTCGCGCTTCTGTTTATCTTCGGTACCTTCTCGGCGCTTATACCCCTGAACTCCTTGTTCGCGTGCATGATGGATCAACGTCGCCTCTTCGTCGGCTGCATCGTTGGCTGCAGCTAATGCCAGTAAGGTCCGTAGGGTGTCTTCATTTCGTTCAAAATTTGGGACTGTATTGGGGCCATATTGGCGACTCAGCCAGGAGTTCACATAGGCCCAGTCCTTCGCCTGGATGGCGGCCTGACGTGCCTTTGTGGGAGAGACGAGCGGGCTCTCCATTAATACCCATCAATAGAACAAATGGGCGAGTTGCAAAGACAGTTTTATGGATGCAGTTAGCACGATGGCTCTCGATCGACGTGCGTTGACGTCGTCTGATTATTATAGTAGTTAGCGTTGGTCGCTGAAAACAAACGCCGGGCAGGAGAATATCCGACTTCCTTTCCGCCTCAACTCCACGCCGCTTTTATTGGACCCCTTGTCGCATCCTCCAGAATCAATTCAGCCACCGACACTCCATGGCGAGCTATTTCCCCCCCGGAGCTGTCGCCAGCCATGCGTCTACTCGGACGTCTTCTCCAGCCGGTTCGCCACTCTTGCCGCCCAATCAACGATCCAATCCCTTGTCCAATCGTCTGACAAGTGTACTTTCTGCTTCGTATGCGGACTCCGACATACGCGATGCACTGGAGACTCTCAGTCTTCGAGGCGTACACAATACTGCAGAGGTTCGACGACAGTTGCGCCTGGATGTGCAGAAGGAGGTGGTCGATAGCAATGCAGAGATCGTGCGGGATTTTGGGAAGGTCGCCGAGGTAAGAAGTGTCGGGATAAACGATGGGAGAATTCCAATGGGGATACATGCTAACCCTTGCTCACTGGGTAGCAATTGAAACGAATTGGGACCGTAATCTCGAGTTTGAACCAGACATGCGAGGAAATGCGCAAACACATCGTGTTAGCGAGACAGGACACCACGCCTGTTCTGGAGGAAGCGTGCGTGTTGATGAGCCAAAAGAAGGACGTAGAGACAAAACAGCAACTGCTCGATGTGTTTAAAAAACACTTTGTCATATCAGAGGAGGAGCTGCTGATCCTGTCGTCGGTAGAGGAGCCCGTCAACGACCATTTCTTCGATGTGCTCGAGAGGGTGAAGCAGGTACACCGTGATTGTGAGGTTCTGCTAGGGGGAGAAAACCAGAGACTCGGCCTGGAGCTCATGGAGAAGAGCTCAAGGAATCTCAACTCGGCGTATCAGAAGCTCTATAAGTGGATCCAGAAGGAGTTCGAGTCTCTGAACCTCGAAGACCCCCGGATCAGTAGCTCAATCCGACGGGCCTTACGGGTGCTGGCAGAGAGACCTAGCTTGTTCCACAGTTGTTTGGATTTCTTCGCAGAAGCGCGCGACTACGTCCTGTCCGATGCTTTTCACTATGCGCTTACTGATGCCGTCTCCGGTACTGGTGGTGATTGCAATGTGAAACCTATCGAGTTCTCTGCACACGATCCCTTGAGGTACATCGGCGACATGCTTGCCTGGGTGCACTCCACAACGGTATCGGAGCGGGAAGCCCTGGAAGCCCTTTTTGTGGCTGATGGTGAAGAGCTAGCTAGGGGAATTCAGGCTGGACTGAGCAGTGAACCATGGTCCCGCATCGATGAAGACAAAGAAGTCTCTTTCGATGGACACAAAGCCCTCAGTGACCTTGTCAACCGCGACCTGATCGGGGTCTCACGGTCCTTGCGGCAGCGTGTTGAGCTGGTCATCCAAGGCCATGACGACCCAGTTACGTGTTACAAAGTCGTGAATTTATTATCCTTCTACCGGACGACATTTTCCAAACTGCTAGGACCTAGCTCCAATCTGACAGAATTGCTCGAGACACTGGAAAATTTTACGCTCGGCCATTTCGAACGTCTCATGCAGGACGGAGTGAACCAGCTCACCACCGACCATGCCGCCCTGACGCCCTCTGACGACCTGTCTACTCCGCAGTTCCTCCTGGACGCGTTTGAAGTTCTCACCTCCCTCATGAAAACTCACGAAGCCTCGTTCGGCGGCGGGGGTACCGAGTCCCCCTCTCCAGAGGGTAACGGGTTTACACCTGTGCTCCGCGCAGCGCTCGACCCTTTCCTAGAACTGGCCAAACAATCTGCGACCGAATTGCACGATCCCACCAGTCACGCAATCTATCTAACCAATATCCATCTTTCTGCGCGCTCCACCGTCTCCGCATATTCCTCTGCCAGCAGCACGCATCTAACACCTATTTCTACTGCACTCTCAACTCTGCGAATGGACCTCCTCGAGATCCAACACCGGTACCTCCTCGACGTCTCCGGCCTCCAAGTGCTGTTGAAAGCCCTCGAACCGTTCTCCCCACTATCGTCATCGACACGCATTCCATCCGAGGCCAAGAGCGCGCAACCCCAATCACCATCCCCATCCGACGACATGCAGCAACTGGAGCAGCACCCTCCTAACATCGCCGATATTGTCAACCTGCCTGCCTTCCAACCAGAAGCTCTCGTGGCTATCAGCCAGCAGCTGGACGATTTTCTACCGTCTGCGCTGATGGACGCCACCGATAATCTGAAATACGTGCGCAGTGCTACCTTCGTGAAGAGCGTTACCGAGGAGGCGGTCGAGGCGTTCTGTCGGGACTTCGAGTTCGTGGAGGGCATGATCATCGGGGCGGATGAGGCTTGCGGCAATATTGATATTGCCCGAGTTGGGAAGGGCGACGAATCCGGTGAGAGTGAAGGAGAAAGCGAGGTCAAGTGCAGAAAGGATCCGGAGGACAAAGATAAAGACTGGGGATTGAGAAGACTCTTTCCTCGCACTACTGGGGAGATCCGTGTATTGCTGAGCTGAGCTTGGAGGGTTTCCAAAAAAAAAAAGAAAAGAAAACAAAAGAAAACAAAAGAAAATCTCAAGCCTGGTAGTAGAATATTGCAGTTTGTTTCTGTACATAGGGTTCTATTTATTTACCCCAGTCATGTTATCACAATCAATCGCTATATACATCCATCCAGTACATGAAAACAACGAATTTAAGCCTGTCTGATCATGATCCCATACGGATCACGATCCCGCTTGCTAACATCAACGAAGACTTCTGCATCACCGTATGCCATCTCCAACGCTTCCACGACACCATCATTATCGTTCGGGGTCTCTCCTAGAGTCCTCAACCCCTCCGACCGGACCACCTCCCACTCCTTTTTCAGGGCGTCGGCCAGCTTCTCCCGCATCACCGCATGCAGATAGCCTCGCTCGGTGTTGGAATGCGCAAGCGCTACCACCACGGATCCCTGCTCAATGGCCGCCAACGCTTCATGATGACTTAGCTCACCGGTGAACAGGAGATCTGGAATCCCGCCGGGAGCCTTCAACAAGACACTCGACCCAGACCCGGGACAGACTCCCACAGTACGAATCTTCATGGTCTCCACCGAGGCTAACTGCGGGATAGCAATGGGAATGCCGCCGGGGTAACCGACTCCCTTTCCGATCCGATCCACAATGGAAGTGAGAAACTGCGGGGTATCAAATGTGACTAGTCGACCCATCCCGGCCGACTCCATACCCTCGGGGACTGGGGCCGGAGAAGGATGGATGGTTGTTCGGACGTGGGGCTGGGAGGAGACAGGAGAGACCGTGCCAGGTTGAGGATATGTGGGTTGGGAGTACGTGGCTGACGATGAAGACTTCGGAATGGAAGCAGCTGAGTCGGTGGATGGAGTGATTGCTCCCGTGACGATGTCGCAGAGCCAGTCGGCCATTCCTCCGGGAGTAGCATCCACAGAGGTGTGTGGCGAGTAAACGCTAATGCCTGCTTGGGCCAGTCGGAGGAGGGACTGCTGTTGGGAATCGTTCAGGGTGAGGGACTTTAATCCGCGGAAGATGATCGGGTCTGGAAGTTGGGACAGTCTTGAGTAAGCTGGGGCTCATGGATTGTGGGTGTATGGGGGAAGCAGGTGCTGCGTACGATAGGCGACTACCACCGAGTCCTTGCGCGCGATAGCTTCGTCAGCCACTGCCTTGGTCAGGTCAATGGCGAGAAGAACGGAATTCTTCTGTCTCCGTCCATGATTGTAGGGGGCTTCCAGAAGCACTGAGAGAGAGAGAGGTCAGATCTCACGTAGCGGGGTATATAGGAATGTAGCCGATTAAGACGCTTACTTACAGCCCGTGTTGTCAAAGCTCTTCTCCGCCAATGACTCTGGGTAGCTAACTGAAGAATCAGTATGGAATCCATCACACTGGCGTATATAAAAGAAAGCAACTGAAGGAGATGAGGTGGACATACAGCTTCCGCATGGAGCTCACCACAGCCCGTGTAAACGGAGAGGAAGTGGGGGAGAAAGATACAGCCATTGTTGAGTATAGACGGGGTATATGATGGTAAAAGGGTTTCATGAAAGATCTAAGGCAGATTGATTCTGTCTGTTGGATATAACCGGGCCAGACGTCGAGGTTGAAGCACTGTCTATCTACTTCGAAAAGAATGAAGCTGAAGAAGCTGACGCCACACTTCACCAGCCACACAGCAGGTGACCAAATCATCCACCGTTGTTCTTTACCATACCGTAAAATGGGTTTCCGATGATGAATAATACCCAATATGAGGTTCACTATTCCTAATTCAACCCTGACCACCAGCAACAGATCTTTTTACACCACACACAGCTCTAGAGGTTACTATTTCTATCCTCTAATCTAATCAAAGGCCCTCTCTGTTATCGCCTCCTGCGCCTTACCCCACCTGTGCCTAACCCCCTCCTCAACTACGCTTGATGTACTCCCGCACCACCACCTTATTGAGCAGAAGCTGCCGGTATCTTCTCCGCACTCCCATCCACCTGAAGTCGCCGTTTTCCATCTCCGCGCGCTCCTTCGCAGCCGTAAACGCAGCCATGGCGGATGCCACCTCGGGGGTTACTGCTGATTCACTGAAGAGCAAATTGATCGAACAGTTGCAGGCACAGCACGTTGAGATTGAGGATCTATCGGGTATGGAGAACCATGTTTGATTCTGATTTCCCTCGGGTTATCTATGGCATTTACATTGACACTCATTGTCCTGGACAGGTGGTTGTGGACAGGCATTCCAGGCGATTATCGTTTCGCCGCAATTCGAGAAGAAGACCATGCTCGCCCGCCATCGTTTAGTTAACGCTGCCTTGAAGACGGAAATTGCTGCCATCCACGCGTGGACGCCAAAATGCTATACCCCTGAGCAGTGGCAGGCGCTGCAGCAGGGAAGTGCCTAGTTCTAGGTGGATGTTGAGTGGGGAGGCGAATAAATAGTCTTGTGTTTTTCTATACTTCGGCTTGCAGAAAATTCAGATTTGGTTATATCCTAGGTATATGCGTGCTGTTCGGTGGCATGCTCTGGCGTTGGAAGGTTACTTGATATACATTGCCTTGCGCATCCAACCATGGGGTTGACTTATGTTAGGTTATGGTTGGTTGAATAGAAATATAACATTTCTTGTTATACATGGATGTATTATAAGTGCACATTTTAGATAGTTCCGTTAGCCCAGCACCTTCTCCGCCGCGGAAACTGTAATTCGATGTTAGTGGAACCTCATGTCCGTTTCATCCGAGCAAGTTCATACCATTGAGACCGGTGTTGTCAGGTTCAACAAAAGCCTCCTTGACTTTTCCATTCTCTACGACTAGAGCATAACGCTTACTGCGCTTGTTTCCGAAGAGCGAAGTACTATCAAAGATCACATCGAGCGCCTCAGAGAACTTGCCGGCGGGGTCACCCAGGAAGCGGATCTACGAGATCATATCAGTACGCAATGATCACCTCCGTATTCTTAAAGGAAGGGGCACGAATACATACACCACTCTTGCCCGACGGATCCAACGAGGCACCCCAAGCCTTAGTTCTAATAATATAGTCAGCTCATTCGAGCGAACTAGAAGACAACGAAGACGACGGCTAATTGCTACTTACACAAATGGGTCATTGACTGCAACCACGAAAACCTGGCCGGCTCCCTTGAGCTTTGGGTGATTGATATATCCCGGGACATGGCTGGCAGAGCACGCGGGACCTAGTGGTTACGGATTAATCATCAGCCAGTTCGTTTCTCTTTTTCTTTCCATCGATGTAGTGGCCATGCAATTGTCGAATCTCTCGGATGCAAAAAATTTGCAGGTACGGATTGAAAAACGCACTGAAAGCAGCCGGAACCCCGACGATGACACCCTTTCCCTTGAGCTCCTTGGCTAGATTGACCTTGTTCCCAGGAGAGTCCTCGACCAGCACATCGAGATCGGGGATCGAATCTCCTTTCTGAACGAAAGCTGGCGCAGTGTTGTGGAATAGCGCCCTCCGCGGCAAGGTGCGAGGGACGCTAGTAAGACGACGAGCGGCGAACATGGTGTGAGGGTGAAGAATTCCGACGGGGTGACTGGAAAACTGGTCGATAAAATACTAAGGATCCAATGGACTTGAAAGCTGGGTTTTAATATTGAAGGCGACTAGAACTTAGCAGTTGAGGTAGAGGTACCAGGTAGGATGGCGATCACTTGGGTGGATTATTGGTTGGTAGGGAGACGAGAGGACACTTCGGAGGGTTATTTCGTCATCGTCACTGTCTCCGCTTTCTCCGCTGCAACGCGCACGTCAGTTTGCAGAATGTGAGCCACCGTTGGAGTCGAAGGGAACGCACAAGCCATGAAGAGAATGTCACACCAAGATAAGTTGTTCTCTCCAGTCCTTTCTTTGTTTTTCTCCTTTTCTTGATATGGCGCAAAGGATCATTGCATTGTCCTCCATATTGTGGTAGTATTGTTCATTAATCCAAGGTAGCGAGTGTGTACACCATTATATGTCTAGCAAGAACCTTAACATATAATACCAGCTACTGGCTACTGTGTAATGTCTAAAGTTAAGGATGTTCCTGTGTTGTACCTAGGTTGGGGTTGTCTACCATGGGACTAAGTAGATCATCAGATCGTCATTACTCGAGCCATGAACCTTTTTGCCCGTTGCCACGACCGTTTTGACTTACCCAAGGGTCACCGATCAGAAAAAAAGGTAATAAATCGGAAGAATACATACCAGCAGCATTCGGCATATGTACCGGGGGAAGGGAAGAGAAAGGATGGACAAAGCGATCCAATTAGCTTGATCCACCAAACTCGAGTACGAGCCTAAGAGGAAATACGTCATGAGAATTAATTACTCCATACATATTTTGTACAGTACTTAATAATAATAACCCCTGTCATTAATACAAGTGTCATCATTCAACCCATGCCCTATGCCAATATATAGGGCGATCACCGGATGTGGCGCATGGATTTTCTCCCTACTCGACTGGATCTTACCTTTGAAACCATACAGTAAAAATAAAAGAAATAATTTTAAACAAAAGCCCCCTCAAAACACCTTTTTAGGAGGCGTTATACCACAGTGTCTCGTCTGCATACAAGTAGTGCCACCCTCGGATTGCACTAGGCTGCAGGTAGTTTTCTGTGAGGGATTGGCAGTTTACATTAGTAACGCAATTAGTAGTGTCCGGGTCTCTGCCAAGTATCCTCAATGGACTATACCTAGGGCCAAGTACTACCTAAGGAGGTACTTACTCCGTAAGTCGTGCTTGGTACAGACCTGCAATACAATACCTAGCATGATGGATGACTGAAGGGAGAGAGTTCCATTCATCCATACTGAACCAATTCTATAGAACCAATAGCAAAGAGGGGGGGACTGGAAAAAAGCTTTGACACGGCTACAATCCCCAAGTGCATCCATCCATCTTGTCCTGTCCTGCTAATACTAATTACTCCGTACCAAGAGAGGGAAGGAGGTGGTCGGATAGCCCCTCCTCCCACCAGAAACAGCCTATCTCCATCGCTTGTCTTCCCCCTTTACCTTCATCCTCTAGGTTTTCTTATTTCGCATCTGCATTGTTGAACGCACTGACGGCCTTTCTTTCCCTCCTCCCCACCTCCCATTCCCAAGGAGTGTCTCTCCTCTCAGTCTCAGCAATTCATTTCCCCCGAGGTCTATCCCACTGGGTCGTTCAATCTCCTCCTGCCTCCTACATCGTTCTCCTTACGTAGGGGGAAGTAAACCGATTAGTGTCAGTCAACGAAGTCGCGAGGAGATAAAAGCAAAGACCAAAGCCAAAGCACCCCGGATTTCGAAGACTTCAACAAAAAGGAAACACTGCTAGTAGATACTGTACTAAGATAAATCGAAGAAACTGTTGGTGGCTGGACCCAGTGGAAGAGACCCGCGGAACAGTCAGCACCAACAGCCCACCGTTCTGACCTTCAGCGTCCCACTCCGGACTGTACCTAACTAATACCTAGCGATCAGCCCTTCTCCCAAGTCCGTCGTTCTTTCTTCCTGATCTATTTCCTAGGACGGACGTGGACCAACCTATTCTTGTTGCGAACAAAGAGACTGACTTGTAACTAACTGGCTTTACTGGTTAGTTAAACTCCCACTGTGTCGTCGTACAGTCACTATTCCTCTTTTTTTTGACCCTCCCCTCCTCCCTCTTCTTAATTCATTCCCACTTTTAGGGCCGGTCACCCATCTCTCTTTTTTTTATTCATTATTAGTGATTATTATTATTATTATTATTATTTTACTATTATTTTTATTATTTTTATTTTTCTTTCCATCTCATTTTCTTTCGTTACCTACCACCATTTCTTCTTTTTTTCCCTTTTCTTCTCTTCATCATTTTCTTTCTTTGTGTTTCTATATACTTATCTTTATCTTTATTTTATTCTATTCTATTATTTTGTATTCCCTCTCCTTCCTCTTCCCCGCCGATCACTCGATTCCCTTGAACTCTGATCTCCCATCCTCTGCCGGGATTCTCGAAGTTCTGCGACGTGAGCCTGTTCTTCTTCGATCGGTCGCGACCCATCTAGCCCACGATGGAGGGTGGCCAGGCCTCGACCAACACCACCCCCGCAGGCAACTCCAGCGATTTTGTACGTGTGGCCTCGATGAATGCCGTTGGGACTAGAATGATGATCGATCATCCTCCATACTGATGATTGTCATTATGCTACTTTCTATTCGGATGCTAACACGATATCTAGGTGCGAAAGCTCTACAAGTGAGCCCATCCCCCCTCTTCCGATTTGTTTTTTTTTTTTACGCCCAGCAATCGCCCCGGCCTGTTTCTTTTCCGTCGCTTGATTAATTGGAAGATGTCGCACATCATCTGGACCCTCGATAGCTAACCGATTTTAATTCAAGAATGCTGGAAGACCCCTCATATTCGGAGATTGTGCGTTGGGGGGATGAAGGTGACAGTTTTGTGGTCTTGGAGGTAATCCGCCACCTTGGAATCCGCCATCGCCCCAGCTAAACCGGTCGCAGTGCGAAAAATTCACCAAGACCATCCTTCCCAAACACTTCAAACACAGCAATTTCGCCAGTTTCGTGCGACAGCTGAACAAGTACGATTTCCACAAAGTGAGGCAAAATAATGAGGAGAATGGGCAGTCGCCATACGGCCAGAATGTAAGGCTGCGGTGTTTACGGACAATGAATGCACCTCGATTGACTAGGACTCTAGGCATGGGAGTTCAAGCATCCCGAATTCCGGGCCAACAGCAAGGATTCGCTCGACAATATTCGACGAAAGGCGCCAGCCCCCCGTAAACAGGCCCAGAACAATGAGGACTCGGTCCCCACGCAGCAGATCGATCTTTTGAACCAGCAAATCGTGGCACAGCAGCAACAGATCCAACACCTTTCCGACCGATATGCGCAGTTGACGGTCGACCACCAGCTTATGCTACAGGAGGTCATGAGAGTCCAGAAGACAGTTCTCAATCACGAACATGTAATTCACCAGGTCATGAATTATCTCCTGTCGGTGGACGCCCGCCAAAGGCGCGACAGCAAAGCGGGAGCGCCTTTCCAGAGCCAGGGCCAGGGCGGCTCGACCGTGAGCCCTTCCCAGGTGGCGTCAATGGATGATGAGCCCTCGTCTCCCTTGCAGCAAGCCTCCAAGCTTTTGAACGACATGAATGCCGAAATTCAATTCAGTCTCGGCAGCCTCGACTCCGTGACCACCGATCCCTCCAAGACGGCCCCCGTCGCGTCCACTCCTTCCCTGGAAACCGCGCCCCGGAATGGCGTGGCGCGCCCACCCACCGCGGCGGCCGCAAACCCGGCGCTGGTCTATCCCAAGATGAACGGGGAAATCGAACCTGTGGTGTATCCCGTTGGCGCAACAAACGGAATCGATCCTATGTACAGCGAGCATGTGAATAACGTCCCGTATCCTATGCCTCCAAAACAGGAGATCGACGAGAGCCGAAAACAGTTCCCCGACAACCGGAAAAAGAGTACGAATGTCGACCCCGGTTGGATGCGCAGCCCGCATATTTTACTTGTGGAGGACGACGCCACCTGTCGCCAAATTGGCGGAAAGTTCCTTTATTCCTTCTCCTGTGTCATTGATACCGCGGTAAGTTTCGTTCGCGCGGGGAGTCCGGCCAATTGGGCCCTAATTAACAGCGTCACAGTTCGATGGGCTCGAGGCTGTAAACAAGATCCAAGACGGCTCCAAATATGATCTTATATTGATGGATATCATCATGCCGAACTTGGACGGTGTTTCTGCGTGCCATTTGATTCGGCAGTTTGACCGAACACCGATTATCGCTATGACTTCGAACATTCGAAGTGATGATATTCAGCTTTATTTCCAGCATGGTACTGATCTCTGACATCGGGCCCAGAATTATGATTGCTTGACTGACGAAAAATCAGGAATGGATGATGTGCTTCCGAAACCTTTTACACGGAAGAGTCTTCTCGACATGTTAGAAAAACACTTGGTTCATCTGAAAAATATGTCCCAGGGCATCGAAGCTTCGCAGGCTACACCAGCAGCGGTCACCATGGCCACTCAAAGTTCAGCTGGGCAATCAGTCAAGGAGGACAGCTCCCCCGGCCAATCGCCCGCAGCATCGATGAACAACTGGCAGTCTCCAGGCCAGTTCCAAGGCATGGCTGCAGTTCATCCTAATATGCAGCCAGTTCAAGGCCAGTATGTGCCTCCTACCCCGACTGCTGCCGCGTATGCAGTGGATCAAAATGGGGTGCAATACCCGACAGCAGCGCCTGTAGCAATCCCTGCGGCAGCTGCGGCACGACCACAGCCCCGACGGCCAGTTTCGGATATGTCCAGCACAGCCGAAAACCCCAATGTTGCCAAGCGACCACGGGTTTTTGCACATCAACAAACCCAGCCGATGGTAAATCCCTTGCAGGCTACGCGAACGGGCTAAACACGCATATCTATTCATCCTGTATATTTTCCACGTCCTTCAGATCAACTGTCCGATATTCACCTGGTCTTCCCCTCCACTCGTTTCCGCCACACTGTAACCTCACCACCATCCTGTCCTTCTCAAGTGATGAATTCCATATATCCTTAATGAAGTCGAATCGTATGATACTATATTGTTTTCTCATGGGGTGGTTCTTCGACAGATTTTGGCGTTTGCGGAGGGTCACCGGCTGCCTACTTGCGGTACTTTTCTTTACTGTGTTTGTCTGTATTTTGCGAATACTCCCTTTGTCAGGTTGCTCTGTCGGGTCATATTTACTACATGCGATGATTGTATTAAAAATGATGGGTATAGTTATGGCAAGGGACACATCTAGAGTGTTTACACGAACCCGACAAATTATGGGCTCGATTCTGATTTTCACCCGTTCTTTTTTCTTTAATTTTTTTTTATCTTCTACCTTCCTCGCAATTGTCGCAATTCCAAAATTTCAAGCATGTCCACCGCTTCATGTTGATTAACTGGTCAAATTCATGGCTCGCAAGAGACTGTACAAATGCAAACCAATCTACCTTGAATTGAATCCGGACCACACAGTCAGATCAATGCAGAGCCCTTAACTTCAGTCAATCGACTATATCTACCTATTGAGGATGGACATGATGGGAGATGGACGGCATATCGGGGAGCAGATTTCAATCGCTTCGATCACCCACCCTCCCGCTATACTTTATTTCCTACGTTCAAAGGGCAGTTAGCCTGTTAGATCATCGTAGCACACGTTCTAGACCGCGGGTCACTGGACAAGGGATATCACTCCAAAGTCCAGGAGGGCCCAGGCTCCATGATCGTGTTCTGGACTTTTGGGGGCTGGGGCTTTCCAGGTGTGGCTCGCATAATGGTCACGTGTGTCACGTGTGTGATTCGTGGCGCAGAACTCAAACAGCGCAAACAGCGCAAACAGGTAAAATCTCCCACCGAAAGTGGGATGTATGACTCCGTTGACTGGGTGAGCTTGGCGGAGTTTTCCTAAGAGTCGAATTTCCTAGGAGGAGCTTCTGCACGGTCGTCTATGCGCCAGCTCTCCTATATTCCTGCTGGCAAACCGCGTTGTCTGTCTCCAGATCGCCTCTTATAAGTGAAGTGGAGGTCGCAGAGTTTCACCGATGTGAGTCGCAACTGTGCGGGTGCTTCTTTGGTTCTGTGCAATGTACGCTAACCCGTGCGTTCCTTTTTTTTTTTTTTTATTTCTTTTAGCCAATGGGTCCGAAGCAAAAAGGAGGTAACTCGTCAAAACCAAGGGGGAGTGCAGCGGAAGAGGTGGAGGAGACCCTGCAGGCTGTTGTACGTCTATCTTTTTCTTTTCAGATTGGCTATCATGAAAATCGCCGGTAGCTGATGCGCTGTGCTTTTCAGGTACTTGCAGATACGTTTGAGACCAAGTTCGAACCGTTCATCCTGGACAAACCTCGGGTATGTATTGTGATGAAACAATCATATTGGGAAGCGGTAAATGGGAGGTTGACACAGAATGTTGTGGACTAATGCACCGCACGCAACAGTGCCTTTTACCATTGGCGAATACTCCGTTGATCGAATATACCCTCGAGTTTCTTGCCAACGCGGGCGTTGAGGATGTCTTTCTATACGGCGGTGCCCATTCCGACAAGCTAGAGAAATACATCAAGTATGTGGACTTTGCTTGACATCCTGTATTAATGGTGATCGGTATTCGTGGGGTTAACATGGAATATTACAGTGCGTCAAAATGGAGATCGCCCTCATCGCCTTTCAAGCAATTGGCCTTTCTGAAGTCTACCTCTACGTCTGTCGGAGACGTCATGCGTGATCTCGACGGGAAGCATCTCATCACCGGCGATTTCATCGTTGTGAGCGGTGATGTGATTAGCAATTTGCCAATTGAGGGCGCTTTGGCCAAGCATCGTGCTCGTCGCGAGGCAGATAAGAATGCTATCATGACCATGATCCTGCGGGAAGCCGGCCGGAACCATAGGACGAAGTCCTCCTCGGTGTCGCCTGTGTTCGTTGTCGATCCCACTAAAGACCGCTGTCTGCACTACGAGGAGATCGATCAATATGCGCCTGAGTCCTCTCGCTTGAATATTGACACGGACATTATCTTGTCGCACCAGGAGCTTGATATCCGCCAGGACCTGATCGACTGCAACATTGACATTTGCACTCCTGATGTGCTGAGCTTGTGGTCTGATAGCTTCGACTACCAAGCCCCGCGGAAGCAGTTCTTATTCGGTGTTCTGAAAGATTACGAGCTAAACGGGAAGACGATCCACACACATATCATCAAGGACTACTACGCAGCAAGGGTGAGGAATTTGAAGGCTTACGATGCTGTCAGCAAGGATGTTATCTCACGATGGACATACCCCCTGTGTCCTGACACCAACTTGCTCCCTGGACACAGCTTCGATCTTCGAAAGGGGTATCTGTATCAAGAGCGAGGTGTAACATTGGCTCGCTCGTGTGTCATCGGCCGACGAACGGTCATAGGACAGGGCACAAGCATCGGAGATAAGACAACCATCAAGGACACAGTCCTAGGAAGGAATTGTAAGGTGGGCAAAAATGTCACCTTGGACGGTGCCTACATTTGGGACGGGGCTATCATAGGAGATGGAACGACTGTCCACCGGGCCATTATTGCGGACAACGTTGTCATAGGAAATAAGTGCACGGTCGAGTCTGGCGCCCTTCTCTCATTTGGGGTGATAATCGCCGACGGAATGACAATCAGCGAAGGAAAACGCATCACGAGAGCTGCGCGGGAGGAAGATGGGGTTATGCCAGCCAGCGAACCAGCAGTGGTCGGCAAAGGCGGAGAAGGCTATGAATACGTTCCGTATGAAGACGAGGATGAAGATGATACTGAGAGCAATGCTTCGTCTGGTTTAGGTGAGCTTTGCCTCCTAAGGTCCCTCTACTTGTTTAGCAGCGCTAACCTAAATCATAGTTTACAACATGGCACATCTTTCTCTTTCTACAGAATCGATCTCAACCCTATCTTCCGATGTATCGGACTTTGGCGGATCTCGTTCAGGAAGCTTCAATGACTCTGACTCTGACGATGAGCGCGAAGACCATTTCGTCCATGACGCAGCTGTCAGTGTGTACGACAGCTTGCGGGATGGCGTGACCTCAGACGTGGTGCAACTTGAGCTGGTCAGTCTGCGAATGACGGCCAACGCCTCGGACCATCAAGTGCGACGCGCCGTAGTGTCGGCCTTTATGAAACGGATCCAGCAGCTGATGGACGACGGCAAAGGAGCCGGAGAGGCAGTCCGGGACATTTTTGGCACATATCGGGAAATCATAGAACGGGCATTATTTGACCGCGACAGAGAGGCCAAACCCGACCAAGTGGATCTCCTGCTTCTCCTGCAACAGGACCTGGCGGGCCGGCCGCGAGGCGAGACGGTCCTTCTGTTCACTGCCAAGGAACTATACGACCTTGAGATCGTGGAGGAGGAAGCATACGAACAGTGGTGGAACGATGAGCGATCCAGCAGCAACGAGGAGTTGAAAACAGTGCGTAGCCAAACTCAACAGTTTGTTGATTGGCTCGCCAATGCTGAAGAGGAGGAAAGCAGTGAGGAAGAGTCGGATGAGGAGTAATTATGGCCTGTCAGGATATAGAATAGAAGCTATTCATAGCTAGAATAGATCAGTCCTGTTCTGGTTACTTTTTCGATTTCATTACACCTTGACTTTTATAGGCAAATATTGAACTCATACACAGTATTCTAAGGCAAGATGGCCGAGCGGTCTAAGGCGCTAGGGTCAGGCTATCTGATCTCAAATATCCTCATAAGGAATATTCCTAGTCTCGAAAGGGGCGTGGGTTCGAATCCCACTCTTGTCATTTCTTTGTATTAGGGGTTATTTATCCCCCCACTATTCAATGAGCTTTCTTTTTCTTTCTCTCATTTCTATTTTGCTACTCTCAGTAACTTGTATTACTCTGGTTTACATTTGCTTATTCCATTGTTAGCGTCTTAACTAGGCCACAGGTGCAGCAGCTATCCTGTTTGATGCATTGTTTATATATTTCTAGGTCTGTTACATGTACAGCTGCTGGAAAGGTGTGGATAATCAGTCATGTGCTCTATACTGAATAGAGATAACAGAGATAATATGTATGTAGAATACAGGACCCGTTACTCCATACTCGGGTATGTAGTTGTTCAATCTGGCAGTTACTATCAGGTAGCATAGTTTTTCACCCAGTACTATATCTAACCTGGAATAGTGGTTATCTGTCCACTTGATGTGTCTAGTAACCTGTGATCTAGTAATATGTGCTACCTAGTACATAGCCAGGAGTATATTGTGTTAATATGTGAGCTGTATAGATATCAGTGCATGTATGTTATATGCGCTACTAGATTCCAGGTATTCAGGGATGGGAGTATATGTCATTTTACTCCAGTAAATATTATAGATGATAAGTACTCCATACAATATAGCAAAATTAAGTCAACTTCCAGTCAGTGATATCTAGAATAGTATTGGCAACATAAGCTTGAGCAAGGGACTAACTACTCAAGAGCTACAGGCCTATCAATCGTTAGAGTCTTTAAATGGATGTGTTTGCAAACTGGACCCTCCTCGGCTGTATTTTGACAAGCCACCACTAACAATTATCCCAGTCTGGAAAGTATTACATCCACATAAAGAAGAGAACCTCTATAATTGTATGGTTATAATTATAGTATATACACTATTAGCGCCCATACTCTTAGTCTATGCTTCTAGTGTCATACATAAATGGAAGCCTGATGCAAAGGCTTGGTTTCTATGCGCTAGCATAGGATAACCCATTTTGCCAAAACGGTGTGAAGACGACCGATTCTTCAATTGGTAGCCTCCAGTGCCCTACATAGCAGCGAAGGCCTTAGCCTGAACAATATTCTGAGTTTAACACATGATACTAGAGTACATTTGGTCTATATACCAGTTTAGTTGCTATGGACAGGGTAACTGGACACGGAAAGAGAAAGGAAAGAACCGAATAAGGTGGAAATGAAACAAGGAAAGAGGAGAAATTCGTAGCTTGGTCATTGTAGAGATGTTGAATCAGATACAATAGCTTGGTGTGGATGGCGATCCTGATAACTCTTGATGATTGTGATATATTATTAACTATGGAGTACATACAAGCGGATGGTTGTGGAATGGCCTTTAACAAACAAGCTTACGTGTATAGGGTACTAATATAGAAACTAATGGTTATTATAATTAGAAAAACATATCTTATGTAATTCTATAATAACACGCAAGTATGGCGTTGCTTTGATATTTATAAAATTTACGAAGGTTCTCTAATCTATTTTTTTGTTTGAAACAAAACTTCTAATCATGGCAAGATGGCCGAGCGGTCTAAGGCGCTAGGGTCAGGCTATCTGATCTCAAATATCCTCGTCAGGAATATTCCTAGTCTCGAAAGGGGCGTGGGTTCGAATCCCACTCTTGTCATATATTTATTTTTTTTCCGTCCATTTGGGATATTTTGGCTTCATCTAGTATTTAGTGCCCATCTGGTCTTTTTTATAGAGGAATGGAGTGTTCTGACTATCTGTCATATACAATTATGCTGTTAGCCTGCTTGGACTAGCTCGGAGAATCTAGGTGCTCATTCTAGATGGAAATCTATATTTCCTCTTTAAGACTTAAGACTGCAAACTGTCTGATACGATCAGGAAGACATCAAACATATCACCATTAGGAGGAATAGGTTATGTATGTATAGATTCGGAAGAGGTTTATGATCTGGCATATTTCTTTTACCAGGTGAAGAACAACGAGCACACTTGGGCTCTTAAAACTGTCTTCCCAGCATCCGGACGAGTGGAGGTCTGCAATTTTCGGTGCCAGAGGGAAGGAAGTTAGTATAGACATGTCTATTACAGTCTTCCATAGACTAACCTGGGAAGGCATTTCAAAGAACTCGCAGATCTCGGCATGAAGAAGGAATCAAACGAAAGGAAGCTGACCGGGGTGATTTGGACCCTGAAGGAGCAGAGAGGACCAGGGACGCGGCGAAGGGATAGAAGTTGACTTGAACCTGCCAGAATACCACATCAATGAGCGGTAGTTATCAAATGGGGTGAGTGTTCTTCGTCGCATTCACAATTCCCCTGGACCCGGAAGAATGGTTCGACATCCTTAATGATGATATATGGGTAGGAAATATACGACCTATCAGCCATACATTTTTATGGCCGAAAGCAGATTTATTATTTGGGCCAGAAAAGTCAGCACTCGTCTATGATTGACCGGGGAATTCCATGATAGAATTGAACGTAACGATGCATCTGGACACTGGACAATGGGAATTTGTCACAGCAAGCTAGTTCACTCGTCTAAAGGTCGTAGTCCTAGAGATGAGATGGAGGGATATGAAGGATAGATGTATAACTCAAAAAATTCAGTATAACAAAGAGACAATCCAATGAGAATAGCATTGAGGGGGAAAAATAGCATAATATCGATAAGAATGCATCTAAAAACAAATGCTACAAGATCAAAAAATAAGCATGTCTAGAAGTTCTCTAATACAGTGACCCAGAACCTATCCCAGAACCGAACAAAAGGCAACCAGACGCCAGGATTCAAATAAAACCAGAGGGTATAAAATCGTCCCACTAAAGACCGATAATCCATGGACCACGACAAGAACCGCTTCCAAAATGAACTGTGGAGGAAACACGATCACCACCAGAAACAAGAAAATAAAAAAGGACCCCGGGGGGAAATTTATCCCTGAAACCAATAGAAGCCGAAGGAGTAGGCTATGTTCTCTCCTAGACATAGTCCTAAAGACATGTCATCGAATAGACATAGACAGTACAAAAGGGCAGTGCTTGAGATTGAAATTTCATGCAAAGCAACTGCGTCGGGAATAGGAGAGGCAATTGAGTCATCCAAGAAAATTGTTAGGTGTAGGAGGTCTGGAGGAGAGCCCGGGTTCATGTCTAGTTTTGAAATTCATGGTAAATTATCTGCCATCTTTGAATTGATGGGCTCAGCCGATGCACTTGACATGGGCTGTGGGGCCAGAGACTGTTAATACACAAGCAGAATATAGATGTACATAGTTATTCAAGGGATGTTGTTTATATACCATGAGGGGTAAATAAACTGGCTCTCCTATAAAGCCTTAGATTTCCAGGGTTTGACGTTAGAACTTCTATCTCAGCGCTGAGTCATAGACTACAACGGCTGAGAACCACCAGAGGACCAGAGGATATACAAATGTATGACCACACTGGTGGGCGAAGCAGAGTGTCTGCCACGGAAGGGCTTTTGCTCGCGAGAAAGGCCAGAATGACATTCGCCACCGTCTATTCCAGATTGATGCAGCTTGCACTTCGTGTTCGCGTTTCTGATATATAGCATGAGAGTGCTACCAGAAGGTTTCTTTTTTTTTTTAAATTTTTTTTCTCTTGTTCATGTCTCTGAGAGATTTCGAATGTTTTCTTTCAGTTGTCTTTGATTTTCATTTTAATTTTTTTCTTTGTCGACGGAAAGCTTCAGCCGAGGCCAAAGGAGACTGCTGGAAATGTAGTGAATCAGATTCATGCGATCGGGTCAGTGGGAAGAGACAGTATCTTAGTCCACCTGGCGCTTAAAGTACGCCTTGGCCATTTCGTAAGACGTCCTACAGGGGATCGTTAGTGAGGCTGAACGATAAAGAAGAGAAAAGAAATCACTCACCAGCAAATGGCGGTACTGGGCATTGTGGAAATAATGCGGGGGCGAGCGCCACGGAGGAAACCACTCCAGCCAAACTGGCGTTTGATGATGGCGGCCGCGTTGAACAGCCCCTTAGCTGACCGGATTTCCTCGTTCTGCGCCAAACCCCGGGTTTGAAGAAGGGTCTTCACCACGTCCAGAGGTGTAGTGATGCCGGCGGCGACGGCTCCTGCCAGACCGCCTGAAATGCAATGGGTGAAGGGATCGTAGTCCTGGGAGGGGTTTATTACTTTTGAAATGGATTCGTATGCGACAAATTGAGTAGCGGTGAAGGGAACGGTCATGCAAAGCGTCGTAGGATACGACACGTAGAACGCCTGAAGTCCCTCTGTCCTGTATACGGTTCTGGCGCATTGCAAAAGGCTCTTGTGTACAGAACCATGGACTTGCATCCGTTGTTTTATCACTGTTCTCGTTAGATTTTTTTTTTTTTTTTAACGGCGCAAACGTCGGAAAAAAAAAAGGGACGCACCGTCAAAGGGGTTCATCAATGCATCGCTGGCAATCGTCGCGGCGGAACCACTCAGAGCTAACCGAAGTCAGAACTTCACCATTTGCCAGAAGGTCAAAAAGTCACTTTACCTGCAGCTATCGGATGGTGACCCTCGTCGACATTCCCACCTGCAAGTTCCTTGACAACTTCATATGTACCAAAGTACACTGCATGGGCCGGGCCTAACAGGTTTTTAAAAAAAGAAAAAAAATCCATATTAGCAATCCACCGTTCGCACAGACCACTATTGTCTCGGCTTACCAGCGCCAACAATCACACTCGAAACCCCTTTCCATAGTGTCCGCCAGCCTTCGATCCGGTATATTGTGGATACCGCGTTCGTAATCCCCGTGTAGAGGCCTCCGGTCGTGGGGTGCAAGACTTGCATGCGAGTCTACCGTCAAGAAAAGTCACTGTTAGGGTCCCATTCTAATTTCCCCCCACCACGCACACAAAGCCAGATCGACTATCTGTATGATTGCAGACCACGTAAAGTCCAGGCCGACATACCTTCAATAAATCCACGGGATACATCACGGCGTGTTCCTGGGCTACCAATCAGCATGCTCCGCAACTCATGCGGTATTCTCTGAACCATACCGCGATACCAGCGAACGCGCCGGCCAGCATATTCCGGCCGAGGCCGTAATTCGAAGGAAGGGCTTCATAACTATCACAACCATTCAGTCAGCATTGGATCGCACGTCACATTGCCACAAAATTATCCGCGAAGCTGACGAAACAGGAACGACGCAATCGAAAGATCCTTCACAGGAAGAAGAAAAATACTTCAACGAGGAGAAATGCGGTCGCAAGCGAGGGATTGACCTGGTTGGGAGGTGAAGGGGGGAAAAAAATTTGACAGCCACAACGAAAGACGGAGGAGCCTGGCACATACTCATATTCCTGCCCGGGAACTTGCTCGGGGATCGCCATGAAGCTCCGATAGCTCTCGACTGTGCGGTAGCTGCAGAAGGGCAGATGGCAATAACAAGGAGTATGGAAGAGCGATTCCTAGGGTGTCGGAGAAGAAACCGGAACTGCGGAGTGGAGAGTTGGGAGTAGAGAAGTTGGCAAAGCACCCCTAGTAGTCAGGTGAAAAGAGAAGAGAGGAGAAGAAAAGAATCAAGTAGAGATAGAAGAGACCTGTCTTAACCACAAGTTCAGGTAGGAGAAATAATTACACAATGCCAAGGGGAGAGAGGGAGAAGGAAGAGGCGAGCTGGTCGGAGGAGAAAAAGAATAATAGTGAACTAATTAAGAATTTTGGAACCGATGAAGCTGTATGTATGTTACGGTACGGTACGGCCTCGTATTGGAATACGGCTCGGATCTGACAACGATTATTTCCCCCGTCGGGGTCGGCTTTTTGGATGGATCTGATGGAGAGCCGTGGATTTCTAAGGATTGAGATCTGGATGTTGTATTGATTCTTGATTTTTGATTCTTTCATCCATGGCCGTGGGGAAGAGGACGCCAAATACATTCCCCCCCTCCCAAAAAAAAGGTTAGTTACTGCAGCTCTACAGTTGCTGAATCAGCTCTCCGGCCTAGAATAACCAACAAACTACTCGGATCGTACTTCGGATTAGCTTACCTACTTGGGCAGAGTATGTCCGATGACGGAGTGAACTTTTTTCTCTCCTTTGTTATGTATTAACTTTTTTTTTTTCTCCCCAAATAATTAACTTCCGAGTCAAACGTCCGACGACTCTTCACTCTCCAAGACATATTGTAAACTTCTTCTGCCATGTGACCAATGACTCAGGAGAAGCGCTTGCTATCATCCAGAACCGCCGAACCCCGGAGAAGGAACCTAAGGATCCCGTGGACCCAGCCAAAAGGCTAGTTTCTTATCTGATCCTCACTAACCCTAAAATATCTGCCGCCCGCCTCCGAGGAACTCCCTCGGATTACAGAGGAAGAATATCTGTGACTAACAGTAACAGTGGCTGCAACTGCTGCATCCAAGTATCCACGTTCTGCATGAACTATGATCCACGGATGAGAATGGAATAGTACCTATGTATGTACTTTTACCATGACTCCTCCCCCATCCTCTTCATCTCATCGTGGTAGGCAACCAACAATCCCCCACCGACGAGCCTTGTAAACCAGGCACCTTCTCGGGTAGAGCTTTACACCATAGTACACCCAAGAATAAAAAAGGAAGAAAAGTTTTCCCCAGAAATAATATGCAAAAAAAAAAAAGAAAAGAAAAGAAAAGAAAAGAAAACGAAACAAAGAAAGCAAGCTCTCAGTGCCAGGCTCAAAAACAACAAAATGACCGGATAATTCCACAGAAGAACAAGATAAACCCCGTATCACATCAGCTAATCGATTCGCCCTGGAATATAGTACTCGATACATGGAATAAATAAGAAACAACTCTGGCATTCCTCAATACTTGGCGGTCCAGAATCGGGCTGGGAAATGTGGAAATCGTATGCTCTAGTCATGCAAGTCGTGAAAGTCATCGGCCCTCCGCCCCCTGTCACCCGAGGATCCTCGGCCCCGGTGGTCATAGTTATGTCTGGTCAGTTCTATCTGTATAGGCATTTTACCACTCCACGTTGAAAGACCATTCCCCTAGGAAGAGAAAACCCACGTTAGTACAAAGTCTAAGAAGAAAATAAAAGAAGCATCCAGGGTCAGCGTACCATTTTTCAGGTTCTCGGCCGTGTCGCTCAACAGAATCACCCGTCGCTTGTTACAATATGCCGTCTTGTCCAGAATATCCACCTTCAAATTGGCCAATTCCGGAACCGGCTTTTCAAACATCTCGCTCAGACTTTCCACCGCAAGCTCGAGGTCCTTCTGGTTATCCTCGAAGATCTCAGTCAGGTTATTTCGGGCAAGGTAATAGGCAAAGGCATAGGTCCATTTCAGCGTCTGTCGGCATTGCTGAAGTGCCTGCGATGCAGTGTCGAGGAATTGCACCTCGATCCACGATAGACCGGACTGCGACTGAAGGCTGGTCATCTTCTTCTCCGTCTTGAGATACAAATCCTTGTCAAGCTTGGCCGACTGCTCGTGGTTGGCATATCGGTTGTAGTAGTGAAGGTATCTCTCCAGCGAAGCTCGCGATTTGGCCTGTTCGGAACGCGCCTCGGAGCCGGACTTCTCCTCATAACGGTTACAATTATACCAGCTGGTGCCGTGCTCGGACCATAGGCCCATACACATCCAGCAGAACTCATGTTTGCATTTCCGGCACGTCATGTGGTTGCATCCTCCGTTCTTCTCTATTGTTGAATGACATCGAGGGCATTCCTTCGTATTCGCCGAGATCCAGTTGGCCGTTTCCGAGTCATCTTCGCATTTCTGGAGCCACATTTTCACCAACGTGCACGGCGACGGTTGATGGTCATTCAGCGTGCAGCCGAAACAGAAGTAGTGCTTGCAAAAGCATTGCACTGTAGGGACGATACGACGAAGATCGCGTTGCTTGGTGGGACAGTCAACCGCGTACTCACAGTTCGGAGCTGGGCACCATTTCAGATTCTCATTGTCATCAACATAGGTCCGAATCAGTAATGTTTGGTACCTGTAGAACCGTGTGTCAGTAAGGGCCATTGATAAGGCCGGGTGTTGAACTTGAAGCGCCCTCACCTATCTCTGAGATCGCGCGTAACGAGGAGGTTTAGGGTTTTGGCGTCCACTATCATATGACAACTATCGCCCGGGCACTCGATCCGGGCTGCCTCTCCTTCCTCACGAATCTTCTGTCCGAGATACTGTCGGTAGCAGCCGGTGCAAAAACGATGACCACAACGCATTGCATACGTCTCGAGGTCATCGCCATCCTCGCAGCAGATATCGCACATGAAGCCCGGTACTTTTTCGGTCTTTGGTGTGCCTTTGAAATCCGTCCCAAGGCCAGCCTCTTCTAATGTCTCCTCCGGGTGGTCCATGTACGATTCGATTAGTTTCTCCCGGTTCCACCGTCCATATCGTAAGAGAATGGCTGACGACTCTGGTGGTAGACCCAAGATGGAGGAAACCTCGTTAATCTGTAGGTTTTGTTCTCGCTCAATATCACCGGGGCTCAGGACTCGAAAGTCGACCTCGTAGGGCTTTCGAGACGTCGCTATAATATCTTTATCCTTGGAAAAGCCGCCATCGAAATCGTCCCCGAAATCTAGCCACGAGGGGAAAGAGAAGGTATATGATCAGCAGGCATTCAGTCATTGCAACCAAGTACACACGCATATACCTTCGCCTAGACTATCATCATCGCTCCCTTGGGTGCCCAAAAAGTCATCGGCACTAGACGCGATACTCATAAAGTCCTCATCCGACTCCATGCTGGTGGACGCCGGCGTAACCAGATCAGGTCCCTTCTTCCGGTCGGAAACCGAAAACGCTCCGGACGTCACCGAAGTGGAATCAGTCCCGGGATCGTACGTAACGGGTTTTTTCTCTTTATGAGACCTGGTCGTGTGGTCTGACGACGTAGAGCCTGTAGCGGCTCGCGAACGGGCGGCAGTTTTGGTGGACAGGTCGTTATCTGTAATCGCCGCGTCCGCCGCCTTTCTCTTTCTCGTTAAAGGAGGCGTGGTGACGGAGTAATTCAGTGGCAAGCCGGTATGTGCTGACACCGAAAAAAAAAGTAGGCCTCCGATGCTGAGACCCTCACTTTTTTTCCGGGACAACACAAGGCACAGCTTACCAATAGGTGGTCAAGGGCAAGAAATGCGCAGAAGGGAGGGAGGGCACAGAGCACTAGCCCTCGACCGATCGTTGCGTAACAGCTTGACTATGAGCCTGTTTTTGTGGAGGGTGTGTTTTTTGGGGGGGGAAGCAAAGAGTTGGAAGAGTGGGGGGTGACTGAAGGATGGCTGGACGTCACGGGGAACAGTGGTGGGGATCAAATCATCGACAGGAAAGGGAAACAAAAAATGGCTGAACTAAAGAAATCCTATAATTGGACTGTCGAGGAATTAAATAGGGGTAGGTAGTTAAGGAACAGAGAACAGAAGTGATTGGCTAGAGGAACCTTTCAAGAGGGCTGGAGAAGAGAGACCGGACTGAATCAAGCGATGAATCAATCTTGAATCCAAGGATCATCGATATCTAGAATGAAAAGACGGGAAAAGGGAGGAATCTTGGGAGTTGGAACCGGATAATTCTGCGGGAGCGACCGTTACGTGGATGACAAAGGAGAGTCTGTCAGGTCAGGCGCAGTGATGTCAGATCCCGCAGATCGTAAGTATGCGAAGAGACAACACTGTGAAGAGCATTCCAATGCTGGAGAATTTATTCCTCTCTCCTCCTTTTCTATTAGGCAAGTACAGAGTACTTCGTTAACGACTCTATTTCTAGTAGAAGACAAGATGGCCGAGATAACCACTCCATCACTGACTAACAAATTACCGAGTATCTACCTAATTCAGGCAACCAGGCAGCCAGGTAATCAGGCAGGCATGAAAAAGGGCGAAGAAAGAAATAGGTAGACAAGAAACCAGTTCACTCCCGTCAGAGTCTGCTCAATATCAACCTTGATCAATGGTAAGTCGTCCATGCTGTTCAACCGCCGTCCCAAAGAAAAGCTGCCCCCTTATATCCGGATCATTCGTGGTAGCTTGGGATGATAGCTAGATAATATATGCCTTTCACTAACTGAATGAACTGGTAGATGTCAGACGTTGGATGTCGTGGGACCAGCTTCAGCCAGAACCGACAAAATCCTCCTGTTGCACTGATATTCCAGCCTGGATTTATCTCCTCCGCAATCAACTCGGTGGATCTTTTCAAGACCAATTTACTATGATCCTAATTACTCAGCCTCCTTCTTCTCCATTTGATTCCACCGAGCGTGGAATAGACCTACCTGACGTGATGGAAAGCATGACTAAGAGTTAGCAATCCGCCCATCGAGGAAAACTGGATTATTAACGACCATGTCAATTTGGCCAAATTTTTGCACGGCACACGAAAGGCTTGGGGCTATATCCTCCTTAAAGGTGACATTTGATGAGTATAAGTACAGTTGGCTGGTTCAAAGTGCGACAATGTTGCGAATGGTTGCTGTCAGGCGATGGCCGTCATTGCAATCGTCCTTGAATAGGCTTTTTTACGACCAGTGGAGCATTCGGTTGCTAGCCCGGTCAGACCCTGGAATTGATCATGGGGTATGGTATTTCTACAAGCCAGACAGTGAGGGACCTCAGCTTCTTCGATGGGACCGACATTTCAGATTTCAGTGCGGGACGATATGGATAATATCGATCATATCTTGTTAAGATTAAAGAGCTATCCTGAGAGGTTCTGATGCTCGGTTTATACCTCTTTATCTTGCAATGTCTCACGATATTTGTTCTCCTTCCCTTCAAGAGTGGGTATATTGCTCTGAAAGCACAGTTCAGTTTAACCTGATTGGGCATTCAAGCACTAAATTAGTATCCACACAGCCCACGGCAATCTATGCGGAACTACATCATATCTTGGTCTCATGAGCGTTAAACAGTCACTTGGGATTGTTGAACGGATCCTTAGGAAGGATGCACGAAGCCTGCAGCATACAATTATTGCAGCCCTGATCTCTGTTTTGGTTTTTTTTGTGCGTACCGTCTACTCCATTCGGATTTTGAAAAATCCTGCTAGCATGGTTCTGCACAGTTGGTCGATGACGAGAGGGAATATTTTTTTTTTTTTTTACCGTAGTAAAAAAGGTATATATGAGGGCCCTGTCCTATATATCTCCAGATCAATACGACCAGCTGGAATCTCCAGATCATTGTCGAGGGATTAGAGGGCGGAGGCATTAAGGGCGGATTGGGACTTCGGGCATGATATTCTTTCTCGTCGGGCCGCAGGCGAACAGAAGGATAGAATAGTCATCCATCAAGCACAGTTGACTTCCATAGAATATCTATACTATATTTATGATTCATGACTGCCTAGCGATGACTAAACATCCACTAACTGCATCTCTAAGTGATCACCGTTCAAGAAATGGCCTCAAAGTGATACCAAGGCCTACATGATTCCTTGAAAATATCGACATATCCTCCGTCATGAATTCCATCCATCTCCAAGTCAAAGAGGATGACCCTCCCAGCTACTACCTACAGATACACTCCATCATCGATTACTCCATCCAGTCATCCTCCACCTGCTCCGCCAAAGACGCAGCTATAGCCCTGGACGCCATATACGTCGAACACGCAGCAGGCCCCGAAGGCGATAGCGAGAGCTTCCTCTACGCCTTCTGGGACCTACTGCACAGTTCGCGCGCCAAATCCCCCACGATAGCACCCAACAGGATGCGTTGGTTGCGACTATCTGTGAACTGGTGCAATTTCCACCGAAAACGCTCCGGTACCATCTCGGAGGCGAGTATCAGCAATGGAGAGGGATTTGGCCTTTTTTGGGGCGGAGATTACCCAGACCTGGATGGGTAAGATAGATGAGGATCGAAACCCTCCCCTCCGATCTGTTTCTACATACGATGGGGGACTATATACTGATATGGAAGACTACGATAGTTGAAACCGGATCTTCCAGCGATGACAAAAAGAAGCAACGGTTCTTGAATCTGATGGCCTATGTGGCCCGAGTCATGGCCTTCAGTCGCATCCTCATGGAATCGAACGTCATATGGGCCCCGGAAGACGCCGTGGAGGGCATCATCATCCGCGTTTGAGGCAGTCTCGACCTCGTCACCTCGGATCCAAGAGCGGTGGACGATCTTCCGAATAAGACGGTGTTGGCGAAGGTGTGGATCACCCATGCTTGACATGTTCTGTACGAGCGAGATGAGGAAATTCCCGGCTCACAAGGAGGACCGTTGTATCGACGACCGAAACGGGAAGCGAAGAATTCCCGACGGAAGTGCAAGGGGACCCAGGGGTTGAGTCTGCAGCGGTAGATCTTGTGGAAGAAACAGTTTGAGGCGATTCGGGATTGTGCCGTGGTAGATATGGGGACAAAGAGGACGGCAGGAGAGGCGGTGCAGGTGATGGAGAATACTGAGGACCGACGACAAGACTTGTCAATATGAGAAGACTTTCATTGTAGCCTACTTGGTTCCATTTGTGGTTGCATTGCCTCGTGGGGCGGATCCAAAGACGAACCACCAACGTCACGCGGAAAACGCCCCTCTTCCTCACTTTCTTTCTCTCAGTCTCTCCCTGTCTTCCTGTCGTTCTGTCTCGCCTTCCACTCCCCTTTCCATCCCCATCGATTCAAATCTCCCATCCCACTTCTTCCTCGTATTCCCCCGCCGTGTCAATTGCATGGAGTGTGGGCACCACCCATGATGCGCCCGAAACCGGGGTCTTCACTGCAGAAGACCTATGATGACTGCTATCTGTTGTGCTCCACCGCCGTATATTTCGAGGGACAGGTTGGTTACTGTGTTTGTCGCTGCTGAATTCCCCTCCTGGCTAACTACTGGCTAGAATAACGAACAAGAGGCCCTGAAATCGTGGCGATCCGCGCTCGAGACCATCTACTACCACAACGCCTATCGGGTCCCCTCCAAGTACTCCCCCAAGAACGAAACCGAAAAGGCCCTACAGGATTCTATCCGCCAGTTAGAACTCCAATGCCGCGAGCGAGTGGACCTCCTGGAGGCTCTACGTGAGAGCCGTAAGGATTCTTCGGGGAAGTCGCCCCCATCCACTTCGCTCGGGTGGATAGGGGAGGGCACCGTGCCCGCCGTCGGATACACTGATCTCTCCAAACCGCCCACTATTCCCGGTCGCCCTGCTCCTCCAGCCAACACCCCCAGCTCCGACTCGCTTCGTGTCGATCTCCCAGCCGCCAGCCCCGGTGCGCTGGCCATGCACAAGTCACACTCCTCTTCCGCGAAAACCGATTCATCCCGCACCACGAGCCCCGAGCGACGGAAGTTGATGCCATCCACCCTCCGCTCTGCCGAGATCAAAAAGTCCACCAAGAAGAAGCTGAGCCCCCGCCGGAAGGACCTGCGACCGGCCGTAGCGTCCCAGGCGGCCGGCCTGGCCTGGGGAAGCCTGTACCCCGCCCCGCCGCCGCTAGAGAAGACGCCGAGTGATGTGGCTCTGGCGTCGTCCCGGCGCAGCGCTACAATAGACCCTGTCTTTCGAAAGGAGCCGGAGCCGCCACGGTCGAGATCGGGGGAGCAAGTCCATTCGAAGCGAGTCACCAAACCAGTGGAGCTGGGGGATGATCGTCAAACTGGGAGGAAACCTCGTACTGCGCCGGACCAGGCGATACGGCGATCGCCCGCGAAACCGTCGGTGACTTCTACGCCCCGACCGACGCCCTCTCATCAACCGAGCTCCCAGCAACAGTCCACCCCCCGGACTCGATCCGCCGCCCATTCCCTGGATTCGAGAAGCTCACCAGCCTCGTCGCGACCGTCCCCATCACGACCGTCGCCGAAGCCTTCGGTCAAGCCTAAACCGGTGGCATTACGGTCAGCGTTGCCGGCGCCGAGTTCGGGCGAGACCTCTAATGCGATGGATGTCACTGATGACACACGGCCAAGGTCTACCCCCAAACCCCCCGTAGTCCCGCCCTCTCCTTCGACGGGGGCCGATGCACTGCGTCCCAGCGTGAACCGCATGGCGATCTCCACCGGCAGCCCCAGTCGGCGGCCCCTACTGGCCAAGCGCACCATGACGCCCCCATCGAGCGATCCGGATTCCACGGACCCCAAATCAACCGACGTTGAAGAAGAAGATGCCGCGGAAGACAACGAGGACGATGCCTACTTGGATATCCTGAACAAACTTCCCAAGGGAGTGGACACGGTGGCGGCCCGACAGATCCTCAACGACATTGTGGTTCGCGGAGACGAAGTCCACTGGGATGATATCGCCGGCTTAAATGGCGCCAAAAAGGCCCTCAAGGAAGCTGTGGTCTATCCGTTTCTGCGCCCGGATCTCTTTTCCGGGCTCCGAGAGCCTGCGCGAGGAATGCTTCTTTTTGGGCCACCGGGCACCGGCAAGACCATGCTCGCGCGGGCGGTTGCGACGGAGTCCCATTCGACCTTCTTCTCCGTGTCGGCCTCGACCTTGACCTCCAAGTGGCACGGGGAGAGTGAGAAGCTCGTCCGGGCGCTGTTCGGACTGGCCAAGGCGCTGGCGCCCTCCATCATCTTCGTCGACGAGATCGATTCGCTCTTATCCGCCCGTTCGTCGGGTACGGAGAATGAGGCCTCTCGCCGGTCAAAGACCGAATTCCTCATCCAATGGTCGGATCTGCAGCGCGCAGCCGCCGGCCGCGAACAGCCCAGCAAGGACAAGAAATTCGGCGGCGATGCCAGTCGGGTGCTTGTGCTGGCGGCCACCAACATGCCCTGGGATATTGACGAGGCAGCGCGTCGTCGGTTCGTCCGTCGGCAATATATCCCTCTTCCGGAGCACGAGGTGCGTGAGCAGCAACTCCGGACGTTACTGGGTCATCAAGTGCACGATCTTTCCGACTCGGACATCCAAGCATTGGTTCAATCTACCGACGGTGATTCTCTCTCTATACATGTTTATATAATATTCAATGATTCTAATCTTTCTCAGGGTTCTCCGGTTCCGATGTCACCGCCCTTGCCAAAGATGCCGCCATGGGTCCCCTGCGTAATTTGGGGGAGGCCCTCCTTCACACTCCGATGGATCAAATCCGACCCATCCGATTCCAGGACTTCGAAGCCAGTTTGTCTTCCATCCGACCTAGTGTCAGCCAAGAGGGACTAAAGGAATATGAAGAGTGGGCCCGACAGTTTGGAGAACGAGGTGGATAGTTTTCCCTTTTTTTTTTTTTTTTTTTTTTTTTTTTTCAATTCTCTTTTACTTAATTCATGACTGGCGAAATGGATGGTATGGTTCGGTTGCATTCATCTAGGTATGGTTTGGTGGTATAGGCTTTGGGTTAATAACGAAGCATTCATGCTGTGCTATGCTATGCTCCGGATTGCTTGCTTGATTAGGTGGAAGGTCTTAGATGTAACATATGGGTTTTTGTTAGGGATACTGGGAAGGTTAGGTTGGATGGGATGGAATTGGGCTGGAGTATTTGAATGATACATATACCTGTTATGCAGCCCTATTTAATGTTAATTGTCTCTCTCTCCTTTTATAGTATTGATGGTTCCCTAGTAAGTATAATATATCAGCTAGATATGTATGATCCTTACTTGGTCGCTATAAAATATCTTCCCATCCAGAACTAAGGAACTGAGAAGGATCAATATACCCGGAGATCCTTTTACGTACTAAACTGAATTCTTGTCTCTCACAGCAGTTCATGCTTATAGCCTAATATATCCACTCTTTGACTACTCCAAGTATATTCTGTAGGCATAAAAACCCACTCGCAAACTAGAGACTAGTATACTTCCATCTGGGCATCATGTATACCTGATCAGGTAAGAAGGATATACTTAGTGTAGTATCCATTACCTACTGCTTGTCTGCTCGTCATCTACTCCACGCAGTGTATATACTCTCTTATTTCGTCTAGCCCTACAACCAATACTGCTATATCAGGGAGCTTATCCATCATTATTTCTCCTACTAACAGGGAGTATTAAAATAAAACTCAAGCCATGCGTGATTTCTTCGATTCCCACACAGGATAACTCCTACAATAATCTTATTTGCTGTGATCATCTATAACGGCTACTACAACTACATTGTTGTCCCCGAAGAATGCCCAACTCAATCATTTACTTAATACCAATTTCGTTGGGGTGTTCTATCTAACCTTTGCCTATCGAAGACGTGTCTTTGCTGAATAAATGGGGTTAAATGATTTCAATGAGCCTAGCCTCAATGATTGGGTATAAATAAACCTTGCGGGTGATGCGGGTGATGAGGCATGTTGGAAATACTAGTCTTTTAGGCTGGTCTGGGGAATACTGATTCTACGTAAGTCTTGTAAGTTTTTTTGTTGGCATTTGTATTATATATATTTATAGCCTGGGATCGACTTTGTACAAGGAGGCAAAATAAAGGGATGTCTCTCGCAGAGTATATTTGTACGATTTCTCTCTTTCTCTTGTGGACCGAGGGTGCTTGTGGATGGATATATACATACCTTGAATAAAGAAAGTAAGTCCGGGATAGACGACTCACCAGACTTCTGATAATATTATTGAATACTAGCTTATATACGATACGAAGGAAATAGGAAACAGGTAAGCAAGTAAATAGTAAGCAAGCAATATGGTATGGTAATCAGGTATAACGGCCCATCACAAATGAAAGATAAAAAAGTCTGACAAGGAAGTGAAATGGAGTACCTAACCGATCAACAAGGTCATAGTCATTGGAGAGGGATAAAAAAGAGAATAGAATAGGTAAGGAGTGAGAACAAGAGAGAGGGAAGAGAAGTAAATAACGAGAGAGTACAGAGACATGGTATCAGTAAAATCGGCTACAAATCTATCAAACTACCCCCCGCCTGCTGTTGCTGCGGGTACGCAGGCTGCCCACCCCAGGGGTTATTGGTAGGCTTTGCAAACCCAGTCTGCTGCGGTACAAATTGCTGTTGCTGGCTGTAGAATGGGTTGTTGCCCGTTTGGCTGGTCCGTAGACGGTCTAATCCTTGCCCTGCCGAATTGACAAAGGTGCCCGGAGCCGTATGCTGCGCGGGAATTCGTAGATCACCCACGTTGCCAAACGTATCCTGTCCCTCTCCCGTCGCCAGGAGGGCATTCAGGCGATTGTGGTGAGGATCATTCGTGGGCGGCGTGCTCTTCGGTGGAGCCGGGGCCATGGGAGCTTGGTAGTTGGCGATCGGGTTGACGGTCGAGAATTGGTTGGTTACGCGCTCCTCTGCCAGCGTGTTCAGCGACGGAGGTCCCGTCGAAGTGGCTGGTCGGGTCTGTAGCTGAGTTCGAGCGGCGAATGGGTTGTTCGATCCCGTGGGCATTGGCTTCAAGGCATCGGCGGACTGCGGACCGCCGGTGGCCCACGGGTTGTTGTGGCCCGGCGCGAGGAAGTTGTCCTGGAGCTGTTGTGGCTGCTGTTGCTGTTGCTGCTGGGAATACATGTCGGTGCCATAGGGGTTGTTCGTATTGAAGGCGGCGGTATGTTGTGGCTGCAGGGTGGCTTGCGGTTGCAAAAAGTTATTCATCGGCTGGCCGTACGGATTCTGATCGTAGATGGCGGGCTGTTGTTGTGTCGAGAATCCGTTAGTGTATCCATTGGGCATGCCAGTGGCCTGGCCTTGGAAGCCAGCCGGCTGCGCATATTGGTTATTCAGGTACCCGGTCGTCAAGGGTTGCTGGGTATTGATCGGATTGCCAAACCAGTCGACGGCGCTCTGTTGCTGGTATCCCTGGTTGTAGCCAGTAGGTTGGGCTGGGGTCGACTGCACGGGGGTATCATCGAACAGCGACTGCGCATTGCTTTCTTCCAGCTCACGCTTCCGGAGTTCCTCTTCTTCTTTGCTCAGCTTGATCGCCTTGGCCAGGTCCTCGTCATCATCCACTCCCATGGCATCTCTGGCCCGCCGCTTTCGCTCCTCTTCGGCCTCATGCTTGCTCGCCTCGATTGCCAAGCGGTATTCTGCGTCTTCATCGTCCGCGGGACGCCGGCGTTCGCGTCGCTCTGCTCGGCGGGGGGATAGCTCATTGCCATAGCTAGGGTGTTCATCCAGACCGCTCACTCGTGTCTTCCACAGCTTCCGGTCAGATCGCTCGCTTCGCAATCGGTCTTCGTCCATGACGAGGGAGGTGAGTTCCTTGGCCGCCACGCGAACTATATCGTCCGCCGTTAGTTTCCACAGGACCAAAGGCTGGGCTCGAAAAATAATTAAAACACAAGCACCTACCGTTCTGGCCCACATCGCGTCCATCCTCATCGATATACTGGAATTCGCGCAGGGTCTTGATTATGTAGACATTCTTGCGGGCCCATGTAACTACGAGTTCCGAACCCTCGTGGAGACAGTAATCCAAGACTTTCAGCGACTTCAACACATGGCGCCAATTTTTGCCCTTGTCATTCAGCCGTTTATCCAGCATATCCATGATCTCGTAGAAATCGGTGGGACTATCAATACACACAGTCGCGGTCAGTTGGGAGGAGGGGCGGCCAACGACTGGACAATGCCTACCTGCTGAAGGTCATCGAGGCAATCTCTGCCATCTCCGTACCGGTTGGACCCCAAGGGTCATTGCTCGTTGCTGTTGAGGGAAAGTCAGTCAGTGACTGGTCGATCGAGATGGAGGGGCTGGCGCGCAGGCAACTGGCGACCGGCGAATTGAACTAGGTCCGGGGTAAACGACAGGAACCTACCATTTCGAACCTTGACTTGCACCGACGAATAACCCTTGGTCACATTTTTCACACTGCGCACCACTTTGGACATTTTGACAATGGGACCACACCCTCAACCTCACGAAAAGGGATAGAGAATTCCGACCTCCTGATGCTTCAAGGAGCCCGTAGGGAAGAAGAGGAGGGGAGAGGAGGACGAGGAAAAGGGTCTAGTATGACGGAAAACAAAACAAAAAAACAAGCCCAGGGTGACAGGAAGAGACGATGCGACGGGGAGAAAGAAAGAGAGAGAGAGAGCCACAGTCCGAATCTCCTTATCGCTGGGTGGCAGTGACGGTGGCGTATGTAAGCGGCCGCAAACGTCCTGTGGCGTGAGAAAAGACGAAAGGAAGAAGAGAAGAAAAGAAAAGAAAGGAAAGGAGACGGATCAAAAACGATTACGATTTAGGATCAATAAAAAAATAAAACTGGATAAATTAACCCACAATCGGATGGGGAGAGAGAGAGAAAGTGGCGATGACGACGAAGGCCCCCTACTAGTTAGTAAGTCAGGAAGTGGAATCCCACGGCTGACGACGACGCGAGCTAAACGAGCTGTATTGGTCGGAAGAAGGGAAATCCGGACAGTCTCTCTCCTCTAGTTTGTCGACTGGGCCTGGAAGAGATTGATGAAGATAGAAGGGAAATAAGAGAGACAACAAAAAAGAAAGGCGCCCAATGGTCCAAAATCTTCAAATCTCGTCAACTTTACGTGGTGACTCTACGTGCTGCTTCGACGTCATCCCTCTCGCCAAGGAGATACGGCGTTTCATCCAGGCAACCGAATTCTCTTCATTGATGGATACAACGATCCAATCCTCTAATATGAATGAGTATAATGAACGAGCTTCATGTCTCTGACTATATATATATCCCGTCAAAAAGGTTCTGGAGCCGCCGAAAATCATCACAAGCATTGGAAACAGGCGCAAAAAAAATAAAATCATAAAAAATAACCTCGAAAAAAGAGAAGTGGAATCTATCTTTTCATTTCTCCTGTTCCATGCTCAGATACTTCGCTTCTGCTCCTTTGATGCACGCGATGTTCGCTCCCAGCTTGTTCAGTGTCTCCACGTATTCATCGTAGGGGTCCGAATCGAAGACAATCCCCCCTCCGGCTTGAAGATATGCCACTCCGTCCTTGACCAGCATCGTTCGCAGCGCAATGCAGGTGTCCATCGCCCCCGGAATCTCCGCGCCGCCATCTCCGCTGGAGATATTATACCCAAAGTAGCCCACGGCTCCCGCGTAGACTCCCCGTTTTTCGCCCTCGAGCTCGGCGATGAGCTGCATCGCCCGTACCTTGGGAGCGCCCGACACCGTCCCCGCCGGGAAGATTGACCGGAACGCGTCGAACCGGGTCTTGTCAGGGCGCAGAACCCCCGACACCTGCGACACCAGATGTTGCACATGCGAGAACTTCTCTACCACCATCAGCCGGTCGACCTGCGTCGTGGATGGGTCGCACACCCGGTTCACATCGTTGCGCGCTAGGTCCACCAACATAACGTGCTCGGCCCGATCCTTTAGACTTCCGCGTAGTTCGTCCGCCAGCTGCTCGTCTTCCTCGACCGTCTTGCCGCGCTTGACGGTCCCGGCAATGGGGTGGGTGATAATCCGGCCTTTTTCCTCCTTGGCCAGCAGCTCGGGGCTGGCGCCCACCAGCTGGAATGCCTCGCAGTCAATGTAGAAGAGGTATGGCGACGGGTTGACGGTGCGCAAATGGCGGAAGAGGTTGAAGGGATGTAGGGAGGTGGGGCGCGACAACCGTTGCGACGGCACCGTCTGGAAAATATCTCCTTTGGAAATGTGCTCCTTCAGCCTCGTCACATGTCGCTCGTAGCCCTCTTGTCCGATATTGGACGTATACTCCTGGTTTGGTACAATGGGACCCTGGGGAGGCAAGGGATACTCCGGCCGCAGCAGGGTCTCGATGATGTGCTGGATGGTTTCTTCACCGCGGTGGTATTCAGTCTCGAGATCCGCACCCGTCTTAGCGATGGGAATATATGTAATGATCTTGACGACCTGGAAAAAGTGATCGAAAGCAATAATTGTATTGAACAACATGAACAAAGACTCCGGGATCTCGAGCACGTCCTTGAGCGGCCGTGCCGTCTTGGGCTCGAAGTAGCGCACGCAGTCGTATCCAACATAGCCGATCGCACCGGCCGTGAGGGGAGGTAGAGTCAAGCCGGGGACTGTCGCCACGCGGAATCCAGAGAGCTCCTTCTCCAGAATGGGAAGGGGGTCGCATTCGGGTCCATGGCCGGGACCGGTTTTGAGAACCTTATAGGGATCTGAATGAAGAACTGTTAACGCAAGGCACTCTGGGCTTCAACGTCATCGTCGTCGTAAGAAGAGGTATCCTGCGTACCGGCACCGACAAAGCTGTATCTCCCAATCGTCTCGGTAGTTGCCGCGCTTTCGTAGAGAAAGGACAATTTCGACCTGTCGAGAGAAGGGGGTTGGTTGGTTAGTCCTCGTCTGCTTCCTCTTCGCGGTACCGGGATAGTTATTACTCACTTCTCCGCGATTTTCAGATATGCCAACGTCGGGGTCAAAAGATCGGCAGGAATCGATGCAGTGATCGGGAGAAAGTTCGGGGGATAACTCGAGTCTTTGTATCGATCGACAACATCTTTGGCTGTCTCCAATGACGGCACGATGGTAACCTGAGTCACAGCGGAAATGGGATCAGATCAGCATTCGGGTACGCCATGTCCAAGAGAGAAGGAAATGTGAGAAAGAAAATGCATTGTCCAGCGTTCTGGGCATCATGTAAGAACGGCAGCGGACGGGTTACAGCGGTGTCACCTACCGGTGGTGCCATCTTGTAGATTCAGTTGATCTCTGGTGGGAAAAAGGACTGGCTTGTGCGGGGAGGAAGAAGGGAAGGAAAATCGTCGGAGGCCGAAAACGGGAGAATCAACCAACGGTCGATGGACAGAGAGAGCCACCAGCTGACGTGAACGGGTACAACGATCAAGGAAGAAGCGAGGGAAAGAGAGACGGGACTTGAAGATTAACAGCTGGAAGATACGGAGTAGATCGGGCAATTTTAAGCGTGCAGGTGCTTGCAGAGGGAGGCTGGTGGGCTGAAGACTTCAGCTTGCAAATTCCACCAGTCAGTGAGTTCAGCGATCACTGCGGACCACGTTTCTCTGTTCTTTTTGTTTCCTTTTCTCTCTCTATTTTTATTTTTATTTATTTTTATTCTTTTCTTCAGCCCTTCACCAGTTCCCATCACATGTTGATAATAGACTAACCAGCCATTTTCCCTGGCCTCGTTCGTGATCGACCGTTGGATCTAGACCCATATGCAGGTCAGCCTTAGCTGTACACATCCAGCGTGATAAAGGAAACAGAAGAGAAAAGAAAACAAAAAAATCATTTATTTATTGATTTGTGAGAAGACAGACAACCACTATGGAACATTCCCCCTCTCCACCAACTTTGGTGCAACCATCGCCTCCGCATTCCACCGTCAGCCAGAGGGATCATGATGTCGCCGATCCGGAGAACAATGCGACGTCCTCTTTGCCGGAGCGCTTTTCCAGACTGGCAGATCTATTATCGCAGAGTTCCCCCATGTCACCAGACGACTCCATGACTCTGCACCAGCATCTCGATGCTCTCGAGTCTCTCCTTGACCCTCGTCCAAGCCTGACCCGGGAGATTGCCAAATGTCGCCCTCGAAGTTCCCCGCTAGGTGCTACAACACTACCTACTGACTCTCTTCCTCCAATCGACCCGATCCATTCCATCAACGACCGATCGCATTCTCAGCTCACGGCCGTCCTCACCGAGGTGACGACGCTTGGCACCGAAATATGCCATCGCCGCAAAGAATCATCGCACATCTATGACCTCTTCACTCGCGAACGCCAAGAACTGGCGCGAAGGATATTGGACCTGGAACAAGAAGTGGATGAGTTGTGAGTTGACCCCCACCACGGAGAGCTTTCCCTGGAATTCTTTGGGGACTAATGCATCCATTCCTATCTCCCACTGCAGGAAGGCCGACATCGCGGAAGGATCGGCGGAGCGGGAAGCACTGAAAGGCACCGTTCATGGATTCGAAAGCTGGATCCTGAGGGGGCAAAAGCACGATTGGGCATCGGCCAAGCGACTCAGTCGAACCTCGCGACAGAAGTGGACAAACAAGGAGACTGAGGACCTCAATGAGAGCAACATGGAATCGCTGCTAGAGGGGATCACTGCATGGTTGCGGGGATGGAATGATATCGAAGAAGGCTTTCATAACCGAGAAAGAGAACGCAAACTGCGAAGGGATGAGAGACAAAACATGCAACCCGGGATTGCTAGACCTGAGTCGCGGGAACTAGAAGGGTATCCAATTGATTAACACGCACATGCGGACTACCTAGTTGTCGCTCAAGACCGTAGCAAACCTGTCGGCCTTCGTAGTAACAGAACCAGACCCAACCATTCGCCAGAACCGGTATTGCGTTGAAGATAAATAAGAGTGATCTGACATTCAGTAGCCATGGCGAGTAAAAATAGTACAAGTGAAAGGGTTAAAGGAAACGATTGTGAAAAGATAATATAAAAAGAACAAACACTATGTCCACCGTAAGGCACGCTATTCGCCACCCGCCACTTTTCGATCATAAATCCCAATATTCTGCGCCGTTGTGTACCGTCTAACCCAAAAAAATGTACCGAAGTAGATGTTGTAATGAAGTAGATGATGGCAGAGAAGGCACTACCAAGTTTGTAAGTTTACGCGGGTTATTAGTTGGGCTGCTATTCGATGTATCGCAGCTATAGTCGTGCTCCCAATGTCTCGTGATTTCCAACAGCCAGAATTGGCGGAATGCGCCTGATAGCCCAACGGGAGGAACAAGTCCCCCACAAGAGGTACCGGTGGTCGGCTGCATAAGCAAGTCCGCATGCTAGTTTTCCCTTCTGGAGGCCGAAGCACAAGGTATTCGTGTATGCCAATAATAGCATTACTTAGCAGACAGAGACCGTTACGCCGCCGTGGAATCAAGTTCTATTGTGGCGTACGAGAGATATCAGCGTTGCAGGTTGATTATTGCCATCTATGTACGGTGATCAGCATAATCGTTCGTCTTCAGATAATCGGAGATATAGAATGTACCTGTTTGCCAAAGCCGAAAGCAAGCCGTTTACTGTCAGTGTCCCATGCCAGTGAACGATCAGGAACCGACTCAGAGGTCCCGTTGTGACCATTTGTAATAGGACTGGGATCTTCTTCTTTTTTGGTCTCCTGAACGCCTGGTACTACCCAGGTCGCCATCGCCGTGCCTCCTCTTTGAGCATTCCAAATAAATAGTTGGTCCTTGCTGGCGGCGGCTAGAGCGTATCCATCTGGAGAGAAGCCTCCGGCGAGGGCGGGTGAACTGGAGCCGAGAAACAGGCGATGAACGCAGTGAAACCGTTTCGATTCCAGGTCAATATGCCAAATCTTGACTGTGTCATCCGTGGAGGTGGACGCAAGGACCAACGGATGATCCTGTTGCGATGGACTAGCTGAGTTGGGCTTGAGCTCTATCAATGTGATATCGCCTTCGTGTGCCTGGTCGAGATGAAAATCATGGGTGGGGATCCAGAATGCGGAGTCGGACGACGAAGCAGCCACTGCCACGGACGCCGAGCCCACAGTGGTGCACCGAACGAATGTCCAAGGCCTGCTGGCGTCACTGGACGAGAATGTCTTGGCAATACGTATGCTGGAGTCAACGTCGCATTGATAAATCACCCCGGTGCCGCAGGCATAAGCTTGAGTTCGGCCCAACCAGCTGAGATCATACACAGACCCGTCAATCACCTGCGGGGGAGGAAACTCGTCGGGTCGCAGCGAATCATCCCAGAGAGCCAGCTCGGAGACTTTGCTGTCGGACGCCACGACGATCAAATGAGGGCCACTTTCCGCCCAATGCAGGCCCGTGATCATGCGAGGGACTTCGGGTAAGAGATCCACGGCATTTCCTGCCACATCGTACATGGTAATCGAGCCTCTCATGTCATTGTAGGTGGCTACGGCCAACTTCTGGCCCGTGGGGTCCCAGGCTACAGCAGAGACGCAGGCGTTGTCGCCTTTGCTTTCCACAAGCTTCTCTTGCACCGGGGCTGCTGATAACGAGATCTTCCATAAGCTACAGAACGAATCCCCCGCTACAACGACAACGGTTGGATCTCCAGGGCGCCACAGTGTGCGAGTCACGTGATCATACTCAGCCACATCTAGAACGGCGGTGTCGGGGCTAAGGTCGGCGGCCTTGGCGGGGGTGATCTGGACGCCAACGCTGTGTCCAGTGGTCAGCGTAAAGGTTGGCGGCGGCGCCGGTTCCTGGTCCTGCGAATCCGGTCGGCCGCCCATATTCACATCTCCGTCGCCATCCACAACTGTGTCCACCAGGGCTGGCGATGCAGCAATAGCCGATTTGTTCTCATGGGCGACGCCGTTCGAATCAACATCCATGGGCATTTCATCCCCATTACTTGTGGTAGCCTCCCCACGATCGCTCTTGCGAGATTTCTTTGGGGCGGTTTGGGGTACGGTAGGGTCGGCTGTCAGATGACCGTTGATCCCAGCGCCATCTCGGGCGACTATGTTAGCAGACGAGACTGGCGCCTGGTCTGTGCCGCCGCCAACACCCTCACCCGAGCCACTTTGATTTTTAGGGATGTCCGGTTCAAGCGTTGCTGGCCCGAAAAAATAATTTGACGCTGAAGAAGGGATTGGATTCCCCTCCTATAAAGACTTTTTTAGGTCCAGTGCATTCAACCAGAGGGAGAAATCCAAAAAAAAAAAAAAAAAAAAAAAAAAAGTGGTGGAAAAGGTCTGGGAACGTACCTTATCGAGGGAATGTTCTAACTCGTAGTACTGTAGCCCCTTCTGAACAAGTGATACCAGTGCATGAGTTCTAATGTAAGGCGCAAAGGGTAAACTCTGCGGATCACGATTCCATGCGCGCTGCAGCGTCACAGCGGCTTCGCCATGACCTATGCGACTGGGTTAGATGACAATCCAAACGGGGGAGGAAATAAAGAAAAGAAGAAGAAAAAGAAGAAAGCAGATGAAAAAACTTCAGAAGGTTTAGACCAACCTGATTCTTGAAGGTACCTTAAAAAAAAAAATCAGTCACGGAGTCAGGCAGAGATATGAAAGGCAAGGGAAAGGGTAGAGAGGCTGATGACAAAAATGCTTGGTGATGAGAATCTGGAGGAGTTTCAACATACCTCCATATTAGGTAGTTAACGTGATGCGATGTGAGATCAGGCCGTGCCATTGTTACATGTATGACAGCTAGTAAAGTGGAGGATCCGCTAGCATTCCAGTGATGAGAGATATCTCCGCTGAACAAGGCACAAAAGAACACAGCAGGACAACTGAAGCTTAGGAAAAGCGGAGCCTTGGAGAAAAGGGCAAGTTAACCAGTCCACGAACTGAGAGGACTGTTCTTGCTGGGGGGTTCCTTGGTGAAGGGACCAAATTGCGAGATGCAGGAATTTCCGGTGGACAATCAAGGAAATACTGGCGCAGAGGGTCAAAGCTGCGACAGGGAAGGGAGGGAACGCGCCGTTGAATGGCGAGGATGAAAAGGGAAGAATGTCGGGGGGAACCAAGAGGATAGCAGTGTCAAAAAAAAGGCAAGGAACGGCGGACCATCCTATTGGCAGAAAGTACCCTTTGAGAAAGCGTTGATAGGTTCCCAGGGAAATGGGGGTATGGGTAACCGAGAAGTTGGAAAGAGAAAAGTGAAGAATGAATGAACGAATATCGGGACGGGATGAAACCGACACCAAAAGTGTGGCTTGAAGATAGCAGACCCGCTAGTGGACTGCGCAGGTTGGAAGCTGCAGGTAGAGGTAGGCAAGGTAGGTAGATTTGATGGCGAGAGGGCAAGAGAGGGGTGGATTCGGATGAGAGAAGGGAGAGAGAAGGAAAGAAAATCGAGGATCGAGACAAGAGATGAACGGGGAAGAGGTTGTTAGAACTTAGCAGATAAATCGATCGGTTCGTAAGGATACAAGGCAAGATTGAAATTGGTTAGTAGGTATGGGGATGAACATCAGCAGGACAGGACAAGGACAGGAGTGGACTGGAGAAGAGGGTTACCAACCCAACTAAGAAAAGCTGGGATTTCTCCAGGCGGCTCCGGGACGCTGTTTCGTAGTTTTTTTGACTCTGGGCCTGGGACTTTTGGGCTTGTCTCGTTGTGGCGTCTAGCCTATGGACTAGCGTGCAGTTGGGAAATCCACTGGGTCCCTTGTATTTAGTATTAAATGTACGGAGCAAGTTAAGTGCCTACTATAAGTTTGAGTGACTCTGGCTGTGACTGCGTTCTGACGGCCAAATGATCGGCCAGGGCGCTTGCCCACTTTTGGTGCTAGTGCCGGCCTGCTGGGGCTCCCTGGATGGGACTAGCGTGGACATCAGGTGATATGGAATCACTTGGAATTAGTCATCATTTGTCTACGAAATATCGGGACAGGCTAGTGAGGGCTTGGTATCGTTTCGACGAACCCTGGTTCAGCCTGGCCTTGGAGTCAGACCTAGTGGCACTACATCATAGAGAGAGTGTAAGAAAAAGAGAGAGATCCATGAAATTAGCCCATGCCATGCCAAGTAGATAAATTTTCATGTTCAAGGTAGGACGACCTTCCACCTTGCAGTAGGCGGACCTGTAGGCAATATGCTGGGCCAATCACCTCCCGGCGATCCATTACCAAACCACCCCCGACCCTGCGTTCTGCGTTATTGCCCGATATTCCACCCCGGCCGGCTGAACCACCGAGTACTATCTGCGACGCTTTTTCTTCATTCTCCTCCAACCCCAGTTGGGCTCTCATCGACGGCCTGCGGTCTGCGGTTCTTTCGGCAGCCGCAAGAGCTTTCCCTCCTCCAAGATGGCTCTCCGTGTGAATATTCCGCCAGCGACCCGGATCTGTCTCATCAGTCTGCTCACACTCTCCTTACTCTACAACATCGCCAGATGGCGTCAAATTGACACCACGGGGGGAACGCCTTCGGTCACTCCCATAATCCCCTACTTGACCCTCGTACCGTCGCTTTTTATCTTCTATCCCTGGACAATTCTCACGGCGACGTTTGTGGAACAGAATATCTTCACGGTGCTTTTGAACGCGGCCACCCTCTTCTACGGTGGGAAGTACTTGGAGCGCGCATGGAGTTCCCGCGAATTTGCGAAATTTATTCTCACCATTGCGGTTGTCCCAAATGTGGTGATCGTGCCTCTATTTCTTGTATGGTCGGCTATTAGAGGCAACTCAAGCAGCAGGTATGCGGATCTCTGATCCGGAATGTCGGGCATAATACGCTCTCGTTGCTGACTTTCGATTATATAGCGTAACCCAAATCTGCGGTGGGATATCTATCCAAGCCTCGTTCCTCGTCGCTTTCAAGCAGCTCGTACCGGAGCACACAGTAACGCTATTCAAGGGTCTGGTGAAAATGCGCGTCAAACATTTTCCCGCATTGTTTTTGCTGTTGAACACGCTCAACGGTGTGGTGTTTGGGACACACGTGGCAGCCATTCTTTCTTGGCTCGGATTATTGACCAGTTGGTCATATCTGCGGTTCTTCAAGCGGCAGCCAGATCTCACCGGCACCAGCACGGACGGGTTGGGTATTAAGGGTGATGCCAGCGAAACCTTTGCCTTCGCCTGTCTCTTCCCGGATGCGATCCAGCCGCCGATTGCATTCATCTCCGACCAGGTCTATTCTCTCCTCGTCGCGTTGAAGATATGCACACCATTTTCAGAAGAAGATATTGCATCAGGAAACCAACAAGTCCTCGCGAGAGGAGAGGCCGGCCTCCCCAGCCTTCTTAACAACCAGAGAGGTGGCATGAGGGGTATGGCGAAGCGGGAGGAGGCGGAGAGGCGACGTGCCCTGGCACTCAAAGCTTTGGACCAGCGACTTCAGGCTGCCGCTGCTGGGAGAGCACAATCCCAACCGGCCGCGTCGAGCCAGCCAGGACCCAGTCAAGCTCAGACAGCAACGCCGACTGTGTCAGCCGGGCAGGGTATGCTCGGTGAAACCAGTTACACGCCTGACCATTCGTGATTGTGGAGAATTGCGCGCTGCATTGTTCTTTAGGAGTTCGGTTGGTCATTGGAATAAATGGAGGAAGAGGAATGTATCAAGTGGTTCCGGATTTCATGATTTCGGTACAGAATCTGAATTAAGTGTGTTCAGGGGTTGGAGCTGTTTTGAGCTCCTATCCTCCATTGTTTGATGTCTGTGGGTGTATAAATGAATCTTCCATGGCATATCTTGGCATACTACATCACCCTCATAATGCACAGTAGTTGGGGGATCGAACACTGTGTGTCTAATACTATTCAATATCTATGGATCGATGAAAATAACGTGTGAGATGTGGGAATCCATTACAATGCGCAGAAGAAGACCCTAGAACTACATGATCGAAGTACAAGAAAGACAAAAAAGGCTATGCTACAACCGGCCATATATAACAATTCTAATTCCCCCAGACATACTTGGCAGGCACGAATAGACCCCAACCCTACAGCTCCCTCAACCTCTCAACCTCTCCCCTAGCTTCTTGGAGCATGCGCTCTTGATCCTTCTTCGCCTGCCGAATGCCTGCTACCCGAGCACGGTCTTTATCTGCTTGTTGGCGCATCTGCTCATATTTCCGCAACTCGGCCTCTTCCTCCGCGGTCGCAGGGATTTCCTGTGCTCCGGTCATGAGCTTGACCTTCCTCCAGATCTCCTTGTAGTCGAGGTTCTTCACGTCCATAACGGCGGTCTTCTCCGTTGATGATGGCTCTGGGGCATGCTTGTCGCTGATCGTCGAGGGATTCAAGGATGCGGCATTGCTTGTCTGTTCGGCGAAGTATATCGTCAGCGCAGCCGGTCCTTCTTGATCGCTGGTCTGCTTCACGGTCATCGGCACCGCCGGATTATGGTACTTGAGTCGAGGAAGGCAGTTTCGCCAGAAGTGTCGCGCCCCCTGGTGTCCGCCATAGATCTTGCTTGCGTATGTGAGGTGAAGGCGAGTGATGGCTGGGAATTCTTTGGTCGCGGAAGAAGCTGTAGGAAAGACGGCTGCACCAGTACCGACACGGACGTTGAGGAGCTATTGATTTTTTATAGTATTAGTCTTCTGGGTGTGTATTTCTCTCCTAGCCACTTGCGACATGTCACGATTGTATGTATGAGCCACGCCCGGAGCAATGAACTTGATCCTGATCCGGTCAAGTACCGGGGAATAATACAAAGGAAAGAAGGTGATGGAATGAAGACGTTACCCTCTGTTAAATTAATCTATTAGCTATCATGCTTTTATAAATGCATTTGTACAAGGAACAAAGCGGAACATACAGACTGAAGCTTCCGCATCCGCTTGAATAGATTCACCATGATGCCAGGGGAGAGCACAAAAGCTCAGTCTCCTTGCCAGAAGCAGAAAGCGGAGGTAGAGTCAAGGCAAGGAAAGACAATTGCGACCGGTTTTAGATCGGTTGGGATTGATCTTGACGGCGTGGACCTCTCACCTGATCTTTGGCGACTGTCGGCGGAAAGAAAACGATATCAGATCACGTGACATATTCTGGTGGGCGGCGAAGAAGGCAGGCGGTGAGTGACAGGCACTCTCTCCCACATAATCTTTCGAGTCAGAAGTTTGATAGAGCCTAACCCCGCGGTTGATCGACCTCTTGTCTTCCCCTCCCAGCACGCCTTCAGGGCTCTCCATTTCCGGTTTGCAACAGAGCAGACTCATTCTAGAGAGAGCCATGGCAGCCGCTGCTGCATCCGCTGCTGCGCTCGACCCGGGCAACAGCTCCAAGAACACTCTCAAACTCGAAAATGTTTGCAATTTACCCCTCTCTCTCTTTGGGAACCTGTGCGTTGTCTACATGAAACTAACCGTTGGAGACTGGCACAGACCGAGAAACGAGACACCCTTATCGCTATCGAACAGAAGTACCAGGCGCAATGGAAGGAGAAGAAGGTTTTCGAGGTCGACGCTCCCTCCTTGTCGGAGGTTCCTGCGGGATCGATGTCCGCTACTGAACTCCGCGAGAAACACCCTAAGTTTTTCGGAACCATGGCCTATCCATATATGAATGGAACCTTGCACGCAGGTCACAGTTTCACCGCCAGTAAAGTTGAGTTCATGACCGGTGTGGCCCGCATGGAGGGCAAGCGGGCACTCTTCCCCCTTGGATTCCACTGCACTGGTATGCCCATCAAGGCATGTGCGGATAAGCTCGCCGATGAAGTGAAGCAGTTTGGCCAGAACTTTGAGGGATATCAGGAAGAGCAGGAAGAAGACACGAAAGTAGCTCCCGCTCAGGAGGTGAAGGCCGAGCAACAAGAGAAGTTTTCCGGCAAGAAGAGCAAGGCCGCCGCCAAAACGGTGAAGATGAAGTATCAGTTCCAAATTATGCTTGCCATTGGCATCCCTCTGGAGGAAATCCATAAGTTTGCCGATGCAGCCCACTGGCTCCAGCACTTCCCGCCCCTTGCCATTCGTGACCTCGACAGCTTGGGCGCTAGAATCGATTGGCGTAGACAGTTCGTCACTACCGATGCGAACCCCTACTATGACGCATTCGTGCGCTGGCAGATGAACCGTCTCCACGAATTGGGCAAGATTCAGTACGGCAACCGTTATACCGTCTACTCCCCCAAGGATGGACAGCCTTGTATGGACCACGACCGAACTGAGGGCGAGGGAATTGGACCCCAGGAGTACACTGCTATGAAGCTCAGGGTCAAGGAATGGGCACCTCAAGTGGCTGAGTTGGTCAAGGGTAAGATTGAGGACGATGCCAATGTGTACTTTGTCCCTGCTACTCTGCGTCCTGAGACGATGTATGGACAGACCTGCTGCTTCCTGGGTCCTAAAATCGAATATGGTATCTTTAAAGTCAAGGAGAAAGAGTATTTCGTTGCCACTAAGAGAGCCGCTTGGAACATGGCATTCCAGGGCATTTTCTTCGACAGCGAGCACTTCCCCAAGTCTCAGGATCAGTTGCCGTTGGTCGTGGAGGCACCCGGATCTGCCTTTGTTGGCACCCTTGTCAACGCACCGCTTTCCTTCCACACTGAAGGCGTCCGTATTCTGCCCATGGAGGGTGTCTCTGCAAGCAAGGGTACTGGCGTTGTTACTTCCGTTCCCTCAGACAGCCCTGATGACTATGCCACTTTGCTTGATCTTGCGAAGAAGCCTGAATACTATGGCATCAAAAAGGAGTGGGCTGAGCTGGAGATTTTCCCTCTAATTGATACCCCAACTTATGGGAATCTTACTGCACCAGCGCTGATCAAGGAACTCAAGATTAACTCGCCCAAGGACGTCAACCAGCTCGCGACGGCCAAGGAGTTGGCATATGGTGAAGCATTTTATAAAGGCACCATGCTTGTGGGCGAATTCAAGGGCCAACCGGTGAGCGCTGCTAAGGATATGATCCGCAAGGCTCTGTACGATAGCGGTGACGCTTTCGCCTTTGCTGATCCTATGGGCAAGGTCGTCAGCAGAAGCGGAGATGATTGTGTGGTTGCCTATCTTGGCCAATGGTTCTTGAACTACGGAGAGAATGACTCGAAGTGGCAGCAAGACACCTTGAACCACGTTGTGAACACCCTCAATGCTTACTCGAATGAAACCAAGCACGGCTTTGAGAAGAACCTTGATTGGCTTAACCGCTGGGCTTGCGCTAGGACCTATGGCCTGGGCTCCAAGCTACCGTGGGATCCTCAATTCCTCGTTGAAAGTTTGAGTGATAGCACTGTCTACATGGCCTACTACACGATTTCTCACCTCCTTCACAGTGATCGTTACGGTACGCAGACTGGGCCGTTGGATGTGAAGGCAGAGCAGATGATCGATGAGGTTTGGGACTATGTGTTCACAAGACGCGAGCTCAGTGACGATCTTGTGTCGAAGAGTGGCATTAACAAAGACGCACTACAGCAGATGCGGAGAGAGTTCGAGTACTGGTACCCATTGGATGTCCGAGTGTCTGGAAAGGACCTCATCCAAAACCACTTGACTTTCTTCCTCTATATCCACGTTGCGCTCTTCCCGCCAGAGTACTGGCCTCGTGGTGTCCGTGCCAACGGACACTTGCTCCTGAATGGTGAGAAGATGAGCAAGAGCACAGGTAACTTCCTGACTCTCAAGGATTCTGTCGATAAGTTTGGTGCCGATGCGACTCGTATCGCCTTTGCCGACGCCGGTGATGGAATTGAAGATGCGAACTTCGAGGAAACTGTTGCAAACAGCAACATTCTGAGACTGCACACCCTCAAGGAGTGGGCTGAGGAAATTGCCAAGGACGAGAGCTTGCGTACGGGCCCTGCGGATTCATTCTGGGATAAGCTTTTCAACAATGAATTGAACAACCTGGCTCATGAAGCCATTAAAAATTATAAAGAGTGAGTTTCTATGCACGGCACGCCCCTTAAGATCCACTGAGGATGGCAGCTAATACCTACTTTAGCACAAATTTCAAACTTGCCTTGAAGTCTTCTCTGTATGACTTGACCGGTGCTCGTGACGTCTACCGTGAGGCAGCCACTGCGGCAGGTGTCGGAATGCACCGTGATATGATCCTTCGCTATATTGAGCTGCAGGCTCTTCTGATGGCCACCATAACTCCTCACTGGGCCGAATATATCTGGCTCGAGGTCCTCAAAAAGGTCAGTGTCCCACATCGCTGCTTCCAGAGTGTATATAGTTGACCTGCCTCTCCCCCAAACAGCCTGAGACTATCCACTTTGCTCGTTTCCCTGATGTCCCCGAGCCGTCTCCGGAACTGCTGGCTGCATCTAACTATGTCCGGAGCACATCCACCAGTATCACCTCTGCAGAAGCTGCATTCGCCAGGAAGCTTTCCAAGGGCAAATCGATTACTTTCGACCCTCGTAAGCCGAAGAAGATCACGATCTATGTCGCGAAGAAGTACCCTGAGTGGCAGGAGAAGTACATCGACCTTGTTCGAGAAGCCTTCGATGCTCTCAACATTTCGTTCAACGACAAGGAGCTGAACGCCAAGGTCGGTAAGCTGGGTGAGATGAAGAAGGCGATGCCATTCGTCCAGGGTCTGAAGAAGCGCCTGGTCCAGAACAAGGAGGCACCGGATACCGTCTTCGCTCGGAAGCTACCCTTCGATGAATTCGCTGTCCTGGAGGAAATGAAGGGTGGTTTGAAGCGGACGACAGGTTGCAAGGAGCTCGAAATTGTTGCCGTTGACGAAGGTGGCAAGACCGGCGAGGTCCTGGGCACTGGGGAGAGGAGAGAGGGTCTTCAGGCTGAAAATGCCGTGCCTGGTCAGCCTACTTTCCTGTTCGCCAACATTGCCGAGTAGATCAATGATTGCGAGTTGTTTTTACCAATTCGTCCTTTCTAGACATATCAAGACGATCTCTCTACATATACTAAACAAGATAAAGAAAGAAAGAAGCGCAATGATATTTGATGTTCACGTTCCAACACAGTTTCAATGCAATAAACATTCAAGATTATACGTCACCTGTTAGAATTCGTACGATATACATTGATAATAGAGAATAGGAAAAGAGGAGAGAAAGACTATACGAGAAAGTTACCAGATCGATGGGGGATAGTTAAATTATAAATAGTTAGACCTGATGTACAGAAAATTCCCCGTCTAAGTGTCCCTTTATGCCCTGCAAAACACCAATCGCTATGCTATGTAGATAATAGTAAACAGGGGTTGGTATGGATTCATTTGGAATCCTCACTCTTAGTATCCAACGACTACGACTCACGACGCGCGCCGCGCCCGTTTCATCTGGCCAATACTCTGCCGCCCTCTGGGTCCGTTTTTGCGCCTGTCGGAAGACTGCTTCTCAGCCGTGAAACGCCAACATTCAATCGGAGGCCGCGACCCGATGTATTGTCCGTTGGGACTGAAGACCTCGACTTGGGGTAGTGTACTGTCCTCAGAGCTGGGCGAATTGGCTCGTACCTGCACGGTGAGTTCGACCCATCCGCATCCCTCGATTAGGATGTCAGTCGACATCACTCTGTACGGCAGGGGGCGAGGTTTGATTCCTCGGTCCTCTACGGCTTTGGCGAGCGACACCGGTAGATGGGATTGAGTGACGTCCCATTTCAAGTCGAATACGCCAGCCGACGCTATGACGTCGCCAGTCCCTTCCTTCATGATGCTCTCTCCGGGGTATGTGCGCTGCTGTGTCTGCATCGGTATGGCCTTGTCGGTCCTAGTGAGATGTGCTTCCAAAGGAAGGAAACAAGCGGCCATCACCACGTCACCGGGGTTTACCGAGGTGATTCTGACAAGTCCTCCTCCAAGAAGTAAGGACTGGCCTGGTTTGATACTGTAGCGCTCAGGCTTGATCCGCTTGGTCATGATCAAATCACGCTTGTGGCCGTCCACAACATGGTCAGCGAGTTCACTGCGGTCGAGACCGGGAAGATCAATCATTTCTCCCCTGCCGCGACCGAACGGGATGCGAATAGGCGAAACGGTGGTTCCGGGAAGAGAGGACACGACAGGGAGGACAGGGTAGAGGTCTTCCCGAGGGGCAGGGGGTAACAGACTGTCCGAACTGAGAGCAGGCGAGTCGTACGGGTTGAGGATAGTCGACTCAGCCTTGCGTCGTTCCACCAGTTCCGTAAGTTTCTCGAGATTCTTTGAATCCTTGGGGAAGCACGCCTCGATGAAGCTACTCTTTCCTACATTGGCTTTGCCAACAACCCAAATGCCATTTCCGTGTTCCCTGATCTCTTCCTTCACCTTTTTGGTCCACCAGCCCCGGTGGGCACTGATCATATGCACATTACCCAGGCGGAAGTCCTCCATTTCCTGGTTAAGAGTCTCGCGGAGGATCGAGCGCACGAACTCCATCTTCGAGTCGACCTGCTCCTTCGTGGGCGCTAATAGGTCGGATCGTGTGATGACAAAGGTAATAGTCGGTAGTTTCTTTCCCTTGCGGTACTTCTCCAACGTTGCGCGACGGTTCCGCGAGCGTTGCTCTTGCAAGGAAAGTGCTTCATATATATTGTCCACAAGGGACATTGGAAAGTCCGCCGCGTCTATAACGTGGTAGATGCGATTATATTTATAGGGCGACTCGTCAAGGAGTTCCCGAATGGAATAGATTGAAGGCGAGACCGCAGGCACCGCCCTGTTATGATGTAACAGGTCGTGGCATCTGTCGCAAACATGCATCGAGATTCCTGACCTTTCTAGAAATTCGCTAGGCGGGGCTGTTGCGGTTTCAAGAAGTGCGTCATCTGGTGAACAAGCGCATCAGTCTTGTGGTCAGTGATGCAGAGCAGACGGACATTGTACATACGGTTTGGCTTAGGGGCAACCGCTTCGTTGCCTGATAATGAAATCGTGTCTGCTGCTTGCTCTTGCTCTCCCTTTACTCCCAAGTCCTCTAATTTCTCCAGCCCTCTCTGCCGTCCTGCACTCACCCTTTGCGCCTCGTACAGCAGCTTCCGTGTCTGCTTCCTGGATTTGCTGTAGTACCCCGGTTCGTGGGGCTCGACGGTATGGGAGAATGCACCACATCCTGGACAGCAAACGGGAAGTATATCCTCAGCACGGGGGAATGGATTTGCATGAGACTGGGTGGTTGAGGATAAACGCTGCTGTGGTTTGTAGATCTGTCTGGGAGAAAATTGCGGCCGCAAAAAAAAGTTCAAGCTCCGCGACGGCAGCTTCTGGGGAAGACATCGCAGTCGGTATGGCAGCCGAGAAGTAGCCTCGTTAAGCTGAAGAAGTCTTGGGATCATGCGCCCCAGACACGGCAACATGACGGAATAAAAGTGGATGCCACTGGGAGGTTGAACGAAGAAGGATGCGGCGATGAAGCCGATCGATCGTAATCGATCTGATTGATAGCATCGGCGGTCGGCGCGGATCGCCGTAAAAAGTCGCGGTGGCGAACCCATACTTCTTGCTCCACCAATACTGACGGATTTAGCAGCGGGAAGGACTGTGCTGTAATAAAAAAAGATGCTTGTTTCGTTGAAATGATATCATAAAATCCTATGCTATACAGAACATTCGCCATACTCCCTAGCCCTCCGCATTGAACGCTGAAGAAAAACACAAGACAACCGATAGAAACGTAGATCCCATGCAGACGCCATAAAAAAGTATTCCCAATCGTCCATCAAGCCTTTACCTTCCCCTTGCCCTTGGGGTCATCGGGTTGCTCGTCTTCCTCTTCGGAATCGCTCATGAACTCGTCATCCTCATCAAACCCAATGTACTTCCTTGGTGCTGCCACTGCAGGAACCGATGCAGATGGTCCTGGCGCACTGTCCATTTCCTGGTCACTCTCTTCGTCTGAGCTACTGGGAGTCTCTTGGCCACTGCCTTCGCTGGCGCTGGCGCTCGTACTAGATCCCCCCAAGATGGCGTCACGTAGGTTGTCCGTCCACTTGCCATCCTTCATAGCCAACAAAACAGCATCCCGTGCCTTCTCGTTCATCTCCTCCTTATCTTCCATCCACTGACCGTCGACCTTCTGGTTGCCACCACCGTTCTTCAACTCCTCCTGGCGCTTTTCCGCCGCCTCAACAATAGACTGCCACCTGCACCGACGCTCCTCTCTCTCTTTGCGGTCCATTTCCGGCTTGACAGCCAGGTATTCGGCCAACGCTTTGGCTTCATTGACTGTGCGGATACGACGGCCGTCGAGGTTTCGGCTTGATCCGTTGTCATCGCCCTGGTTGCGCTTTCGCTTACTCGACATGCGCCCTCCAGCTGCACGAAGCTGCGATCCAAAACCACCTTTTCCACCCCGCAGGGGTACTGAGAGGCGGAGGGGAAGCAGATTTGATGTCGTACTGGTTTCGCCATCAGGGGCAATCAGATCGCGTAGGTGACGTCCGGGTGAGGGGATGAGTTGTATATTGTTGGTAGTCGTTAGAACTAGTGACTGGAATGGGATAGATGATGGAATATATGAAGAAACCTTCTCTGTGAGATCCGAGATTGTAGAGGTCGAGGGAAGAGAGAAGGAAACTGTGGAGGGTAAAGAAAGTCCTGGGAAGGACGAAAGAAGAATGTTCACATTCGACGCCATGTTGGGCTTTGCAGGATATTTTGATTTAAATAACAGAAAACTTATTATATCCTGACAGTCAATGATCGGAAGGTGACGATGTCGCCACCAACTACTGAGAAGACTGAATATCTGCCTATATCGTCCTTACTAGGGAATATGAGTTCATCAATGATGAGAAAATAGGAGGAAACGATGACGGTGTGGGCACAAGGCAAAGTAGCTGATCAGTACGGTACATCATACTGGCCATCATGGCAATTCTAATTTGTGGCCTCAGGTATATAATCACCTGACTATGAATTCGATTTAATCCAAAACAAATTTAGCGCCATACTCAGGGCCAGAGCCCTAACCAACTTCCCGAACAGGAATCAGCGCACTTTTCACTTAACCGCAGCCCGCTCCACTCGACTGTATCGACATTTAAACCATACTCTTCGCGCGTTGTTAGAGCGATTCCCCGAAGAGCGCCAGGAACTCGCAACAATGTAAGTTAGGACTTTTTTTTTCTCGACCTATGAAATAATGATGGACTAACAATTATCTCAAGGCTTATCCCTAAGGAAGACCGCAAGAAGATCCACGAGTACCTCTTCCGCGGTATGTGAAAGTCCACTCCCACTCCAAACAGAGCCCTCGCCGCCCTTGGGCTAGACTTTCTGCATCGAATCATTCTTGGAAAGAAACTCCCATCGCTGACTGCTGTTTAATTGAATAGAGGGTGTGCTCGTGGCCAAGAAGGACTTTAACCTTCCCAAGCATGGCGACATTGACACCAAGAACCTTTACGTGATCAAGGCCTTGCAGTCCCTGAACTCCCGCGGCTATGTCAAGACCCAATTCTCGTGGCAGTACTACTACTACACCCTCACCCCCGAGGTACGTCTGATCGGAACCGGAGGGTTCCATTTCTTATATGAAGTTTTCCCAGGGCTAAACTAACACTCTTTTGATACAGGGTCTTGACTACCTCCGTGAGTGGCTGCACCTCCCCGCTGAGGTCGTCCCCGCCACCCACATCAAACAGCAGCGTTCCCACGCCCCCCCTCGTGGCATGATGGGCGGTGAGGAGCGTGAGCGTCGTCCCCGTGCCCCCCGTGAGGGTGGCTACAGACGCCGTGAGCAGGAGGGCAAGGAGGGCGGTGCCCCTGGCGAGTTCGCTCCTAGCTTCCGCGGTGGATTCGGCCGTGGCCGTGGCGCTCCCTCTTCGTAAAGAGATGTCGCTTGGTCTTAGGGCTGACGTGGATGGGTGCAAGCGTGGCTTGAGTAGGCTGGACTCTCCAATCTGAAATGGCTGCGTCTTGCGCATCCTAAAATGAAATAAAAGTGATTGTGCATTGTTGCTGTCTCGATATCACTGGGGTAGCTAGGATCAATGACATGATTATTACTTGATAACTTGACTTCATTTCTCGTAGACTAACTGCTACATGGATGTACTTTCGTTGCTGATGTATTATGGATGGACCACGCATCGAACAAAATTCATTATAGGCTGTGAATTACGCAGAGAATCTCTTCCGGTCGTACCGGATCACTGCTTGTAAAATGACGGACGCACCGGTGGCGCAATCTTCAGTAGAGCAGTACTCCTCCGGATGATGGCTTAACCCATCCTTACACGGCACGAAGACCATACTGGTGGGAACTCTTTTGGATGCGAAGACACTGTCATGGCCTGCACCGCTCATGATTGTCCGCACAAGGGACTTGGGCTCAGATGCATCGGCGACGACAGCCTCTGCGGACTCTTGTACGCAGGCAATGCAGTCTGGGTGGAATTTCACTGCCGGTGAGTCGAAATCTAGACTCCATTCAACGCGACAGGGCTTGCCGATACCCTTTCCTTCATCTGCTGCAATTGCGTCAAATTCCTGTTTCAATTGCGATTCAGTGGCCTTGACCAAGTCGTCTTCCGGCCCGCGGATGTCGAGCATGAAGCTGACAAGCCCGGGTACGGTATTCACACTACCAGGCTTGGCTTCTACGATGCCAACACTAGCCAGGCAACTGTGAGAAGAAGCGACTTCCCGGGCTCGCACCATCATGCGAGCAAAGGCATACAGAGCATCTGCGCGGTGTTCGAATGCCGTCGTACCGGTGTGGGTGTCTCTGCCGGTGATATTGACGCGATACCAGCGGTATGCTTGAACGGCGGTGACGACACCGACTCGTTGGTTTGCCGATACAAGATGAGGCCCCTGTTCGATATGCACTTCGAAGTGAGCTGCCATCGGAGTTGCCTTGTACGAGCACGGTACACTCCCTAGGTAGTTTATCTTTTCGAGAGCTGTTTTCATCGATTCTGGCGCCGATGACGCAGTGGGAAGAGACGCCACTGTTGGAACTTCTCTGAGGTTATGGGCTCGCTCAAGAGGTATGCACTCAGCCCATACGCCAGAGGAGACCATACTGATGGGGAAGCGGGCGCCCTCCTCGCTGTTTGCACATCAATCTATGTGCCTAGGTGTCTCAATCGTTCAGGTGTACTCACTTAGTCCAGTTTACAACCCCGACACCCCCTTCCGTTTCCAGTCCCATCTCATCCATCACCTTCAAAGCCTCAATACCGGAGAGAACGCCCAGTATCCCATCGTAGCGACCACCTGTTGGTTGCGTGTCTAGATGACTACCAATGAATACAGCAGGTACATCCTTGCGTCGTCCAGGGCGAACAGCAAAAATATTTCCCATCTCATCTACTGTGACATTGCATTTTAATGCCTTGGTTGTTTCAACGAACCAATCCCGCACTTTTTTGTCTTCCTCTGATAGTGCCAGACGCTGCATGCCTGTGTCGGTTGGCCCACTAAGATATCTATTAGCCTAGGTTCACGGATCTATATAATAACAGGGCTCGATGCGGCATAGCAATGCGGAGAAGAAGAAGTATACGTACTCTCCCCAGCGGATCCCAGGGCCCCACTGGCAGCTGTGATGGAGGTCTTTTGCCAGACGATCTTTATTAGCTCTCAACGCCGACACTTGAGCTTCGGACAACTCCGTCGACAGCATGGTTCGTGTCAAGGAGGCCGACAAAGATCTGTATGGTTGTCTGAGTGTGGCTCTTGGGGGTCGGAATGCTGTTCGCAGAACTGGCAGTCTAGCACTTAATGTTGTAAAGAACATGCTGGTTAAGGCGGACACTATGGTGTCAAGATACAGAGGGGTTTATATGCATACATCGGGTGGATAAAGTGGCCATTGCGTAGTGGAGAGCAACCGATAAGTTCTCAAGTGGGGGAACATTCCTTGGCCCTGCGATGGGTGACTTTGCCAACGTACAAGCCAATCGAAACAAGTCAATTCCATATTAGGTCTCCCATGAATTGTTGCTACTCCAAACTCACTGGTTGTCGGGGTAAATGTTATTGGAGACGCCTGTGTACCAAATAAGAGCGTCCTCGATAAGACTGTGGCAGACGGGGGAACTATAGATGTCTTTCGGGTTGATGGTGGAGAAGCTTGTTCGTGTCAAATGTCCTTGGAGGGCTCATCGGACAAATGTCCGCAGATATAATTATATAATTTGAAACAAAAATCGGATCGATACTGGCTGATGGAGACGTAGGTGACTCCCTTTCTGCCTGGGTTATTTAACAGTGCATAGACTAGGTTGGAGAGAGTTATCGACACAGCACTTTCACGCTATGGTACACGCACCTCAGACCGGAAATCCACCTGAAGTAGTCAGAAAACGACAGAAAAAAGGAGACGATAGGGAGGAGTAGCCCACATAACACATGTACAAAAAGAAAACAATAAAATCGACGACTATGTCGATAGAGGGTATCCAAAGATTGAGCAGAGGATATTGTGCGCAAACCACGGCCATCTCTGGTAAAAGGCAAGAAATGGGTTCTGAGCTAGTTTGTCGCAATCCTCGTAGTTTAGATCTTTTAATGATCCTTAACCCACCAAAGTGCCCCAGACAGCCGGCGTTCGAACCTGGGTATGTCCATCTCTTTTTTCCACCCTCCGCCGTTTTATTCCGTCCGGTACCCCGCATTCTATCAGTCTCTCTCAAACTCGTTGGGATACGCATATCTTGGTTACTCTTAGAGAACGAACGAATCCGCCAAGTATATCGCAAAATGTCTTCCGCTACGTGCCTCTTTTGCCGGATTATCAAGGGTAAATTTCTATCCATTGCCTTTGGTCCTTCCAGACGCTATGCTGCCGCGCCCTGACAAATACTCATGGGTGAAAACAAACAGGTGACGTAGCTGATGATTCCATGGATCACAGGTGAAATCCCTTCCTTCAAGCTCTTCGAGAGTGACAAGGTCTTCGCTTTCCTCGACATTCAGCCTCTTAGTCGTGGACATGCGGTAAGTAGATTTCTTCCGGATGACGCTGGATTCAACTCTCCCCGCATGGCCATCCGGTTCTCCCTTGGATGGATGGTGAATCAGTCGAACAACATTCAAACTTAAACACACCCTCTACACTTGAATTTATTCCCCACATTCTTCAGATTCATTGGGTGAAGAAGATGTTGCTAACAATGTGAACAATTCATCGTCAGTAACAGCTCGTAATTCCCAAGTTCCACGGCGAAAAACTCACCGATATCCCGGACGATCATCTCACTGAAATCTTGGTACGTAAACGGTGATGAGATCTAAAATGAGCCGGCGGGGAGGAGCATGGATCACCTTTATAGTCTCTACCAGGGACGTGGCAAATAACTGGGGACCTTGGGCGACCAGATCCACGACAATCTCCTCCCCGCAGGTATGGAGTACTGAGCTAACAGATGAACCTTTCCATCTAGCCCATCGCAAAGAAGCTGGCCAAAATCTCTGGTGCCCAGGATTTCAACATCTTACAGAACAATGGCGGCATTGCGCACCAGGTAGTCGGCCACGTAAGTTCCACATGGATACCTTTTCATAAGCTTGAACCTCGTATGCTGAACGTTGCTCTCAACCATGTTAGGTTCATTTTCACATGGTGAGTTTTCCCATCCCTTGAAATCCCATGGCCACAATCACGGACGGTGTCGCACATGCTGCGACCTCGGCCGCCTCGCCTCCCCTGTATGGCTTCTAACTCAAACGGATGGAAGAAACTAATTGTTGCGCAGATCCCCAAGCCGAACGAGAAGGAAGGTCTTGGTGTTGGATGGCCTGCCCAGGAAACGGACATGAAGAAGCTCGAAGCTCTGCATGAGGAACTCAAGTCTAAGATGTAAGGGTTGTACGCATGATCCGTGAACATACATCATAGCGTACGTCAGACTGCTAGAATAATGCAAAAGCATCTACTGTAATAGCTAAGCTACCTTCCAATGTTTGCTTAAATGCACCTGCCTGTAAACCCATTCCGGTAGAGTTTTAAACAATGGCGCACATGAACATAAGAAACTCAATTCCTATTCTCCAAGAAACTCGCGATTTCCTAACAGGATATTTTATGTACATACTATGTCACACTAAATATGCCAAGGGGTTCTCTATCACCAAGTTATATAGGATGGGGAAATTTTGTAACAGTCTAAAAAAACCCAACATGTTCTAACTCATTCAGTCTTTTCACCATTCACTTTTGCTTCTGCAGGATAAAAATCGATTTTACCACCGCCTTGGAGAATGTTCAGGCGATCATATAGTGAGCTGCCACGGATATATGGATCAAGCACCCAGTATTGAACCCTCAACTTCTCAATAAGCTCGTCTCTCTTCTCCGTAGCAGCCTTCACAGTTTCCTCATCTTTCTTCTGGTGGGCTGAAATCCATGCAATAGTGGCATCTTGGACCTCCTGGGAGAGTTTCTTTCTCTCTGCGAGCAACTCATCACGTTTGGCTGTGTCTTCCATGCATTTGTTCTCGCCGGGCTGAGGTTCGACGTATTTGAACTCCCAGTCCTCATCACCCTCAAGCTCCTTCATGATCTGATTCTTTGGAATGAATTTCTCCAGATCTTGAACATTCTTGGTGAAGTTAATTTTGGCCGCTACCACGGGATCAAGCCAGCCCTTGATGATACTCCAAATACCTGCACCAAGATTAGACAGAGTACACAATACAGCTATGAAGAGGAACAAATGGCGGGAAATCACGAACTCGAGAAAATCCAGGGGGCTTTATGGATGAGTACGACTCCTAGACACTCAGGATAGTTGGCTTCAAAGCACTTAATCATAAACTTCACCGGATGATAGTCCTAAAATAGATTAATCAGACATGTCTCTACAATAATTGTGAAAAGGACAAGTACCATATTTGCCAGGGAGAAGTTGGTCATATCGAAAATAACGCACTATAAACTGTTAGATGGCTGTCCGTAACGGACGCGGAAGCTGGACACTTACAGCTGTTTCAACGGGAGGTGCGAGCATCATCCGGGCCGACTCGATGGTATAAACAGTGTAGCGATCCAAAGCTTCCGTGCTTTGATCGCCTGGCTTGTGCAGACGTACTCTGACAACACAGATCGGCCGACCGAGCTTGTCGACACCATGCAGGAAGCCCTTGCCCATGCGCATTTGCATTAGGAACTCCTCACCGGCTTTCTTCTCTGCCGGATCCGAGCTTTGGCTCTGCTTCAAAGCAAGTTGTTCACCATTCTTCATGATATCATCGTCTACTTTGACATCCATTAACCGCCAACGGAGGGTAGAGATCAACATAATGAGCGCTTTCTGTACATCCCATTTGCGCGCCCGTAAGAAACGCAGAAGCAGAGTGTCTGGATTATCTTGTTTAACCATACCCCAGAGAGTGGCCCGGATTTCCTCTGGCTTCATATCCACAAGAGCTTGCTGGAATTCTTTCGATTGGCCATGTTTATCGTCGCCGTCGTTGATGTCAATAGAAGCAAGGCCGGAGGAGATCCCATTCGCTGACTTGCCACTTGCGGCATCCTCCTCTTTTCCACCACCGAAGAAACTGAACATCCGCTTCGGTGGCTGTTGCGGAGGTTGCTGCTTCTTCTGCGACGGGCTGGTAGAAGTGACAGTTGCGTCAATGCCTTCCAAGTTGACACCACACACTTTCAATAAAACCACCCAAAACTCTCGCAGTTTGATCTCCTGCTCGGGCGTAAGATTGCCCACTGTTCCAGGGTGTGCTTCCATATGCATTTTTTTGAGAGTATCGATTACTCCGAGAAAAGGCGGCTTTACCTCCTGGGTATCCGGTGTAGTCAATGAAGGGGGTGAATTGTCCCCGGAATTGTGGTATTTATCCTGAAGCCAGGTTCCTCCACAAATAAGGACCAAAGTGAATGTGATCGGCCAGAAAAGGGAGGCTTTCCTCGGTTGCTTAACCGGCGACAAGCGGGGAGTGGAGAGGGGCCGTCGGGGTGGGTATTGGAAAATCAAAGAGTATGACGGAGGGAATAACTGTGCGACCCCGGGTTGGTGCGGCTGATACGACGAAGGAAAGATGACTTTGACCGAGGATTGAGCGAGATGGCGGCGTAGGAGCGAACCAGCATGCATGTGCTAAGAACAATGAAGCACAGGGTGAGGAATGAGCTCAGTCCTGTGAGATAGAAGGCAGCTCTCGGCCCTCAATGGTGTCTCTCTTGGACGAATAAGGAGAGACGAAACAAGGAGAGACGAAGATCGGACCCCTGAGAAGTCTGACTGACGGGGGATGCGGGGAAACCAATCTAAACCAGCCAGAGCGAGCGAGAGAAGAGAGAGACAGTAATGAGAAAAAAGGCCCGAAGTGAAATACGGGATCCTCCAGTCATTGAATCCAGGGGGTTCCGGCCAGGCCTGAGGCCTTCCCGCTGACCGCCATCCTAAGCGGGGAATAATCCGACGGCATCAACAAACACGCTCGACAGCACAGATTTAGTAGTTAACCGACAATATTACCTAGGACTACTTCAAGGATGAATGCCGAGTGAACTAGGCTCAATTGGAGAATTGTATTTCTGCAGTTCTCCGTCTTGTTTACTCCATACTACTCTAGAGTATCTCCAAACCTCGGAATTGAGTTGTCAGGATGGATGCTACTGCTCCTCTTTCCCGCTCCTCGTCGCGTCCCCGTCCTTCATCTAGGCCTACAACTCCCCTCAGGCCCAGCTCTCGGTCATCATTCCGCGAGGGTCATGGATATGGAGCTAGTGTCAGCAATACAGGCTATACCGATCCTGCCATCAATGCCCTGGAACCCCAGTTTGCAGAGCTCGCTGACTCCATGGCCGATCTCGAGGCCAATTTCATGCATCTTCAGTTAATGCATGAGAGTCTGACGCGCTTCAGCGAAAGTTTTGCTAGCTTTTTGTATGGGCTAAACATGAACGCGTTTTGTGTGGACTTTCCCGAGGTATGACTCTCCGGTTGTCATCAACGCATGTACAACACTATTAATATGCAACAGGCCCCCATCCCTGAATCTTTCAGGAGAGCCAAACAAGCAGAGGTTGAGAGAGGTATTGCTCCTACACCCCAGACCCTGTGTGCCTGTTACTAACGACTCCGAAGAGCTTGAAACAGAACAAAATCGACCCATACATGAAGACGAGGCAACGTTTATGTGAGTACCATCCTTGTCTTTTTCCCTCTACCTTTTCTTGTTTTGTTTTGGATTGCTAGTTGCCCAAACTGATGACAAGTCTGCATATCAGGACCACCGACACTACATTTATTGAACATCCTCCTAGCACCACCTCCTCTAAACCAACGCCCAAGTCGTCCTCTGTTCCTTCGCGTGGAACCAGAAGAGGATCGAGTACGCGTGGTTCCACTGGCGGTCGTTATACTACGCGAGGGTCCAATCGAGGCCGTCCAAGCGCCTTGCCTCGGGGAAGAGGAATACGGTGAGCGCATGCGTTGGATAGAGATATAAACTTACGGGAGTGTGACATTCGGATACCCAGATAGGGACAGTCGACTCTGTTAGACATCCAAAAGCATCGGCTTGCAATCCCTGCATTCGGCGGACGAAAGTTAGCGGCCTTGTAATAACGCTTTCCAAACCGAGAAATGTTAGGTTCTGAAACAAGAGCCAATTGAGTCTGCTCGGTATACTTCAGACATAACGCTATGTTGAAGTCTGCTGTCTCCGAGACAATATCTTGAACTATGCGAGATTGATCGAGTTGGAACTTTGCGGTCGATATTGTTTTATTTCTTCGTTCTTTTTCAATGTTTTGTACATACATTTCTGTTGATTACATTAGCCGCAATGGCGTGTACATCAACCAATGTGGATCTAGGCTGGAGAATAGTAAAATCATTTCAAGACCGAATCACGGATGAGCAGAAAATACACGCTGTAGATTCACCGACGTCGATGCATCTGTTAAGACCAGAGGAAGTAGCATTGCGAGAGGCGACCACGTGGGGATGTTCGGATCAAATGCAATCCCGGTTTCTTATCGCCGCCGCGACCCTTGCGAAGAAAAGATCTGTCATGCTCTTGCTAGCTCCTCCGTCACCAGCGCCAGAACTTGGGAGAGTCCTATTCTAAGGAGGTATTCTTCCACCTCTTCAGACCATTGTTCCTCCCATTGGGTAGATCCATCGTTCCGGTGTCCCTCTGGTCGCTCTGAGAACGCCGCCACAAGGGCAGCTAAAGTTGGTAGCGCTCGGCAACGGATCCAACAGCGGAACACAACTGCTTCACTGTCCATTGACGATTCGCTGACGCTGTCGGCTTATTGGACCCCTCCATTGATGCCTGATTGGGAGACTGAATGCATAATGCTGGTCTAATGCATCAATGGTCCTTGACGGTGTTCATTCTATGGAGTGCTATTGTGCCTGCGCTTGAATGCAACATCATCCCATCCTCTCCTATACTATAGGGCCGAAATTCCTTGGCATCTCTGGACGGGCATCATATTCCAATCTGTCCCTGGAAGGTTGACGCTTCATTACACAAGCTCAACTACTGGACGAGAGCTCGGGAGATTCAAGTTCCGTCTCAATTCTGACACACATTACGCCTTCACAATGGCGAGTGTAGCTTCCGTGTCGCTCCTCTCAGAGGCTGAGTTTGGTTGTGGTATGTAATAATTGCCATGAGAGATTTCCCATCAAGAGTCATTCTTAGCACTAACCGGCTATAAGAGCATCTTGCCACACAACTCACACCGGCTGGAACTACTGCAGATCAGTTTAAAAGCGCCTTCATCAAGACGCACAATGCATTGTCCCCTCGTCCCAAACCAACAGAGCTACCTTCGAAACAAAGTGCTAGTGTTCGTGCTTCGGCTCTTCTAAGACCCAAGTACACCTGCTTAACGTGCGCCGAAATGTGCACTGATGTCGGTCGAAAGGCCCATGCCCAACAGACCGGGCACTCATTCTGTAAGTCCCGTTTGTTCGACGCTAACGACACCCAGCTAAGGTCGCGCTGTAGATATGGAGTCGAGAAATCGTGCTCTGTTTTGTCAAAGTTGCGAGGATCTCATTTACGACCACGGTCTAGAACGGCTGCGATCGTCAACATCTGATAGTGCACTTAAAGGTCAACATGCCACCTCCGACTCAAATTGTTGTCAAGCTAAAATGTAGCAGTTGCCCAAAAACGTCGGTTCAGCGAGAGCTCGGCCGATGAGCTTTATGTTAGAAGCAATGCTAACAAACGCACTTGTGCAAAACAGGGCGTGAGGGGCTTGTTTAATCTCGGGCAGACTTGCTACTTGAATGTCATTCTTCAAACGCTGCTGCACGACCCGATCCTGAACACCTATTTTCTCGGGAATGGTCATCAACCCCATGATTGCACTGTTTCTGACTGCGTAGGATGTGCCGTTGCAGAAGCATTTGCTGATTTCAACAGCAGCGACAAAGCGGAGGGGTTTGCGGCTCTGAGCCTTCTCATGGCATCATGGCGTGCTAGTTCGGTATGCGATTGAACGGGAATTCCCAAGGATCCCCACCAAAAGGTGCTAACTGCTTGCCAGAGTTTAGCAGGTTATCACCAACAAGATGCACACGAATATTACCAATTTCTTGTCGACAAGCTGCACGCGAGCACCGATGGGCATCAGGAAGACCATGAAAAAGGCTGCTCCTGCTTCTTCCACAAGACGTTCTACGGCAAGCTGCGAAGCAGTGTGACTTGTGATAAATGCGGGAATGTTACGCGAACAGAGGACCCTATGGTGGACCTGAGTCTGGATGTCCAAGTGCAGGCAAAGAAGCGGGCTATGGGCAGAGCTGGACCCTCATGTCTACCCACGCTAAGTGGATGCCTAGAGAGCTTCACTTCCCCGGAAAAGCTCATGGCCGGGGTCTACAATTGCAGTGGATGCGGTGACACGCCGCAAAAGGCGACGAAGCAACTGCGAATAAAAAAACTGCCGGCAATTCTGTGCATGCAGTTGAAGGTAGGTTTTTCTGGATTGGCGCACTCTAGAGAATCCCTTAGCTCATCTCGCAATAGCGTTATGAACATACGTTTTCGGTCTCCGAGAAGCTAGAAGGCAGGATAGATTTCCCACTGTCTATCAACATGCTTCCGTACACGACTAACCCGCAACCTCGGGTGGATAAATCAAGGTACATGTACGACCTTTTGTCTGCCGTGGTCCACAAGGGGAAGCTCGATGCAGGCCACTACCTAGTCTATTGCCGTCAAGGTGATCAGGTTCGCCACCCCCGTTCTGTGCAGATTATCACGTTGAATATACTGGCAATTCTAATATCCTATAGTGGATGTGTTTCAACGATGACCAAGTCACCCCAGTAAGTGAGGCTGACGTTCTCAAGGCTGACGCTTATCTTCTATTTTACAATATTCGATCTCTGGCTGGAGCTCCTCAATAGCAGTCTTGGATGGAGGGGGATGGTATCACTTGATGGATGGTTCTTTTTGACGTGGTTTAAATGTACATTGCATATTTGTTTTAGCGGTCTGGAGTTCATCGCAAGGAGTTAGTCTCTATTTGTATTCGAGGGTTGGGTTTGTTCGGGTGGTATCTCATTCAAGATGCAAAGACTACTCGTGCTAGACTGTCCGATGACTGGTATACCGTATCTGAATTAGAGCGACCATGTACAAACCTTGATGTCTACTTTTTATTCGACTGATCTACTTAGCGAGTGTCCTGGGTAAAGTTGACACGGCGCACATGATTGTCGTGATCTTGAAAGAAAATGGTGCACTCGCAAAGCCGGCAGAGTACAAAGATAAAATAACCACTCATGGCACAGTCAGGTTTGTCGAACGGAGTAAGAGCCAAGTATTAATACAAGGCCGATAATATGTATCTCAAATCCGATCCAACTATTTCACGACGAATCTCGACAGAAAAGAAAGATTTATCCCCAGGAGTGAATTGGTTAAGAGAATTTCCTCATTCAATTCAAGTACAGAATTAGAAGAAAGAAGGTTCCGACATGACACCTTAAAAAAAAAATGTCAACACCGACATCATCCACGCATAAACTTTCTTCTAGCTCTTTTTTCCCCTCCCTTGTCCTCCAATGCGTTTAAGGCAATTCCTTCCCTTTTTTGATCTTGTCCTGTCGGAGTCCAAATCGGTTTTCATCATGATTTACGTTCGCATGGTTTCTACCGAGCGCCCGAGCAACGTAACGATTCATCGTGAATAGGAAATTGGATCGAGATTAATTTATCGGTACTGCATAAGGTAAAGTTGGTTAGTGATTTGTGTTTCCAATTATCCCAACGAGTATTTCGTATTGTCTTTGTTCGGTTCGAGAGCTTTTTTCCTTCCATCTTCGATCCCAGGCCAGACCAATATCCATATTCGAGTGTGTGCTTGAGCCAAGTGACGTGACCAACCTTGTTGAAACCAATGTCCTGGGACTTCTCGCGGAAGCACTGACGGCAGATGTTCATCTATAAATCGAAATCCCTCCATCAGTATATAGATTCCCAAACAAAATACCACGAGAACTCAGTGATCCCATACCCCATACTTGCGGATGAGACCGGCGCGGTGCGAGCAAACACGGCTGTATCGATTGTAAAAATCACTCATCAGTCCCATTTCTGAACCCCAATTCCAATTCCATCATATTATTTCAAAACATGTTATCGGGATATTATCGTACCAGGAACGAGAGCCCTTGCCGAACCTATTGATAAAAAAGCGAACAATTAGCTCAACATTCTCTCCAATTCCCCGGGAAATGCAGGATCCTTACTTGCGAGGACGGCTGTACCAGACGGAGTCGTGAGTCATCTTGAAATTTGAGGCGTGGAATACCTGGACGTGACGGTGTCTGGCAGGCGGTTTGTCGTCGCTGGGCGTTGAGGTTGAACGGAAAGGTTAGGGTTGAAAATGCGTTGTGTGCTTCCACTCCCGACATGCGGGCTCGGACCACCTCGCTTGATTGTCGCTAAGCCTAGTTTGGATGTAGGCAGTATGGATCATGTGACTAAGTACCTTGCCCATAAAGGGATTAGCGTTCGTTTTCTCCGCGTGAATTCTGGATGCGGTAATAAGTTTCTCCGCACATCCTCTAACTATGGAGAGTATGGTTGCTCTTTGACCAAAGCAGGCTGGTTCATGCGTCATCTTAGGCTATGCTTTTCTTTTTTCTTGCTGTACTTGTCGACCATTACTGTACGGATAGAATGCTAAACATGATAGGATACTCGATTATTTGCAGACCTGCTTAGTGGCTGGATTATTCCAACCTCTGCTCAAAGAATAGATCGTATAGTATCATTGTTATACTCCCTCTTTTTGGGTATCAACCCGTCTGGTAAAGAAAGTGTAGTAATCTTGAATAAAGGGACAAAACATAATACTACTCCAAAGTATCAGTACAACCATATGATGACGCATTGCCTAAGTATCTAGAACTCAAAGTTTTATCCAGACACAAATTCCAGGCACCTCTAACCCAGGAAGTCACGCTTCGAACAGCATTACGGGGGTACATAGAAGACAACAAAATTGCTGAGAATATCTAGCGTAGGACCCTCTCCGACAGCCTAAGGAGAATTCGCTTCGAGCCAGCTCACGGGATTACCCGCGCAGTGTTATCCACAATCCCGTCGTCGAGTCCGGACAGCTGACAGGCACCCCCGTACAGGAAAATTCGGGACCTACTGTTCTGGACGGATTAAGTATTCTTTAGTCTTTGGGCAGTAGGTTCTCGTAGGCCGCCAGACAAACAACCCAAGTACGTATCTTGGTAGTGGTGTTGTGATTGGATGGAGACAGTTAACGAGCCTCGGAGATTGACCTGCCTGGTCTTTTTAAAGCCAGATTTCTATCGCATTATTTACTAAGAGGGGCATCATTCTTCGATCTCCATTTTTAACATAGCTTGCAGGGTTGGTCCGTACCCGGGAGTTATAAATTTCATATGTATACTGCCCAGATAGGCGCACGTGGAAGTGGATGACTGGAGGGATGACGTCAGACTAAAAATTACACAAGTTATTATTACTCAAGTATTATTGTCATTACTTGATTCGTATCCATAGGCCAAGGCTGCCTTGATCTTACGATTCTCCATTTACTTTGTAATTGTCTTTGTCTCACGGAAGTGACTAATTGGTACTGTACAATGACCCCGAGCTCCGAGTCAGAGTAGGCAATTAATCGATCGAATGATTAGGCATCCTCTGTGCGCCCGTGTTGGATCCACTCTTGAGAAAAAGTACTTTATATCCATGCCTCACCTAAGAAAATGCTGAATAACTAAAGACAATCGATAGATTATTAATCAAATGCCAGTACTTCGTGGCTTCGCTTTCATATCGAAAAGTCATAGCAGAGAATAGCTAACTACAGCTATCTTGAAATTAGTTATTACTACTCATAGTATGTACTCCGTTAGCTCGTGTCGAGGTGAAGAATGGGTGGATCCGCAAACCCTAAACAGCACGGGCGTTTGTGCTATAGCGTTGCGACAGGCATTTATATGGATATCCTTTTGGAGAGTGTACTCTAACTCTGTACCACCTGGATTGCGGAGATGCATGGTACAGCGGCGCCAAGTGTAACATGTCATGGACTTTCGGATGCATACACGATAGATTAAGCCACCGTCGATATCGTGTTGAGTGGGTTAGGCAAGCCGTTGGCAATAACATATCGAGTGAGTCATAACTCACCTGGGAAGAATGGGAAAGAAAGTGAGAGATGGAGAAGGAAAAAAAAAAAAATTTGAAAATTCGATTTCAAACCGTCCATGTCTTCCAAACCTGGAGAATGAACCGCGTGCAAATGACTCCTCCAGGTTGTATTTCCAACGGAAAAGTGCGTGCACATATTCGGGCACAATCCGCCGCACTGGGAGCTGTTCATTTACATTACATAGGTAATTAGTTGGGCGGCATGGAGTTGATCCGGAAGACCGCGGATGCAGGTGATGGATTCTAAGAGCTGTTCTAAGTACCTAGTCTACATAACCAGTCAATCATGCCAAGCCAGGATCGTCGGTTGGGTTGTCAGATGGGAAGCATCCCCTCTCTCGCCAGCCGTCTAAAAACAACACACAGCTAGCGACAGGGCTGGAGAAGAATTAAAAAAATATATATATATTAATAATAAAAAATTTAGTTCTTCAGTGTATTGAATTTACGAGACTGGTCAAACTATCCATCCAACGTAGAAGCGTCCACTTAGTGGAGTTTGCTTCCGAGGGTTGACGGCTGCATTTTACCGGTAGAGATCGACTCTTGTTGGCTGTACGATTCTTGGGACTGTCGCCAGCCATGTCTTCGGTGTATCCGTACAACGTACGGCATACTGTAAGTATGTACTGTAGCACACGCTCACACACCTCACGAGCTGAATACGATGTTCATTGTCCAGTATGCACCTACGATTCCCACGCGCGGGGACTTGGGGAAATTTATGATGCTTGACATGATGTCTCCGCCCTTGCATTGATATGTGTGGAGGCTAGGGAGGTATCCAGAGTATGTACATACCTACTCCGATGTTCTGGTTATAGGAGGATGATAGCGAAATTGGTGACCGAAGATGAAGCGCTCCTTACAGAGTGCTTCACTTCAGCTTTACGGATTGTCCACTCCCGGACCATTGTCACCAAACTGGTAGGAAAGACCGGGAGATGGGGAACGGGGACGGAAAACCCCTCTTCTGCATGAAGATCAATTGTCGTTCCATATCTCAGCCTGCCCCTCACGTACTCCTGCCGACAGAAACAGCTGTCGCTTAGTGAAGTAATGAAGCTTTATGGGGAGGAAGGGCTAAAGTAATGCAGGCTGTCGCAATAAGCGACAGGGCTCGAGGGAACAAGAATGTGCAGGCATTACGGAGTAAAAGCATTTATTATGTGTAACTTAGTAAATCATTGTAGACTAGTTATATGGCGTAAACAGTTGTGAATGATCTCAGCTCTTTTGTCTTTGAATGAATCCCCACGTCTCACCACATCCTTGCAACGAAGGTAGGGAGCAAAGATCGACAGGACTCATGTAGTTAGTCGCGGGTAGTTGTCTAGATGATGGTTGGCGAGGCACCTATCGTGTACCAGTCCAGTGTGATAACCACCAGGGTTTGTGCACAGGGTGGACAAATCAAAATCCCCTCAATGCAGGAATCCACGCTAGGTAGGGATGTGGCTCCATCATCAACCGATGACTTCCCTAGTCTGGGAGATATGGAAGGTGTCAAGAGAATAATACCAAGCATAAGAAAAATAACTGCGAGAATTATGTATCTATGGTAGGGTTGGTAAACTCCGGAGTACGGAGCTGTATAGGGGCCAAATTCCATCCTTGATAACGTGGAATCCGAGTCAACCACACCCTAGTAACCCCAGTGTTTTGATCTACCCTTGGCTGTACGTCCTGTATCCTCTTTGTTCCAGAGTCCTCTGTATAGTCAGTTACTCTATATACTCAGAATATCTAGAAGGTCTTCCCGAATCAAGTCAAAGAAATACGTAGACATGAGCAGGCGCATCCCCACTTAGGATGTGTAATTCCTATTGTACAGATTTGAAGCCTAGCAAGTCAGTTAGTAGTAGCTAGCTCTAGCCCGAATACTAGTACATAATTAGTGGTACTTTGGATGAAGTCATCACCCACGGTACAATCAGCCCGCCGTGACTTGGAAGGAAGTAACTTGCCGGGTAGCTCCGAACTTCCGAGAAGAAAGGAATACAGTAAAACCCCTATATAAGCAGCACCCGATTTAAGCAAAACTCCGGTATAAGCAAATGAACACGGTGTCTAATTTGATTTTCCATATTAATATGCTTAACCCCCCGATACAAGATCTTTGCTTAATTTTTCGCCCTTTCCTATATAAATTTGCCTATATCGAAGTCACAAAATTGCTTATTCAGATATCACACTTTGCTTTAAAGATGGCTAAGAGGACGCGTCGCGCTATTTCAAATAGCCAGAAGGCTGCCCTACGCGCTCAACATCATTTAAAGCCTTATCTTTCTCTGGCATCTCTTTCTAAGTGGTTTGAAGAGACATATAAACAGCCAATTGACCGCTCCTCGATTAGCCGAATCCTCTCCTCTCGATTTGCCTTCCTTGACGACATTCAAGCGCATCAATCTGAAGATAAACGACGCCGTACAGAATCCTGGCCAGAGCTAGAAAAGGCACTCTACAACTGGATACGGAGGGCTGAGGGACAAATAACAATATCTCAGGAGATTATTCGGCAAAAGCAAGGGATTTCTGGCCGGAGGTCTATCCAGAAAGGGAGATGCCGCAGTTTAGCAACGGCTGGCTTCGACGCTTTCAATCACGCAGAAATATTAAGTGGAGGAGTCAGCATGGTGAAGCTGGAAGTGTATCTGAAGATGCAGCTACTGAAATGGTTATAATCCGTCACGCTCTTAGTATATATGCGCCTCAGGATATCTTTAACTGCGATGAGTCAGGTCTATACTGGAGGATGATCCCGGACCGGAGTTTATCTACACGTTTGCTTCCTGGCCGCAAGAAAGAAAAGCTCGAATAACTGCGCATTTCTGTTGTAATTCAGACGCTTCAGAACTCCTTCCTATCTGGTTTATTGGGACAGCTAAACGCCAGAGCCTTTACTGCAGCTGGTATTATATTGAGAACCTTAACTGCACTTGGCGCTCAAATAAGAAGGCATGGATGACTGGTGATATCTTTAAAGAATGGCTGCTCTGGTTTGATAGAAGAATGCAAGGCCGAAAAGTTGCTCTTTTAATGGACAATTTTTCTGCACATGAAGCTGCATATAAAGAAGTAAACCCGCAGCTAAAGAATACACTGGTTATATGGCTTCCATCCTGCTCAACGTCACGGTATCAGCCCTTGATCAAGGGATTATACGCACTGGAAGGCATATTGGAAAAAACAGTGGGTTTTATATATGATGGCTGAGTACGACCGTGGTTTTGACCCGCTATCTACTATGACAATCTTACAAGCAATTCGATGGGCAATTTCTGCCTGGGAATTTGATTTGTCTAGAGATACAGTCAGAAACTGTTTTCAAAAGGCCCTTTCAATTGAATATGTCAATGAGCTTAATGATGAGCAACTTATTGACGATATAAAGCAAGGACTTCAACGCCTAAAACTCTCAAATAGTATCCAGGACATTATGGATATTAATCAGTTTTTGAATCCCACAGAGGAGCAGGTTGATGATAGTCTTATAGATATTGACTCCGCAGTTCTGTCTGAAATTGCACCGCCTCCAGCTTCAGATAGTGATGAGGAGGAAGATCTACAGCCTCTACCAATAATTACACCTACAGACGCTTTAGAGGGCTTATATAAACTACGACTCTATCAGGAACAGCAGGTTGATGGAGATAAGGCCCTTATTCGGCTTCTTACACACCAAGAAAGGCTCCTTCTGGAGAGAAGAGCTCAAGCTCAGCGTCAGACAGATATCCGGTCATTCTTTGCCTGACCACCCACCTCCACCTTATTAAGCTGCGGGGCCCCCTGGTTGCCAAAAACATGCAGAATATAGGTTATATCTTATAGAATGATTATAATAATTAATATATGCGTTCTTTAATTCAGTATGGTGCAGTAGATTTATATAAAGCTATATAAATATATATATTTATTACCTTGTTCGGTATAAGCAAAAATCCGGTATAAGCAAACTTTTAGCCGGTCCGAATTCTTTGCTTATATAGGGGTTTTACTGTAAAAAAATTCGCCAAGACCCCTTTAGTTTATACTGTTTGTTTCTTTTTCTTTTCTTTTCTTTTCTTTTTTTTTTTTTTCCGAATTTCTTAGTCCTGGTCCACTGCCAATCCAATATTCTGGAATGGTATGATGGGAAGTAAGGTGTGAAGGGAACACTTTTGGAAGTTTCTCCAGGCCCATGAAGGGAATCAGACAGGTGATATCATGACCGTTGCAGGATGCACCCTGTACTATGGAATATGGGAAATACCAGAGGAAGGTTTCATCTTAAAAAAATAAAAAAATAAAAAAATAAAAAAAGGGAAAAAATTTGTAAACCAAAAAATAAGGTTCCAGGCATACTGTACCAACCGATTCCCACGATCACCAACCACTGAGCAAGTCATCATGACGAAGGAATGCGTGGCTTAGAAATCCAAGACGCTGAAAACCACTAATTAGAACTATCCGCATCATCGTGATTGCCGATGAGTAAAAACCCATGACCTGACCTAATACTAATAATGATTAGACCCTGCGAGGTCGAATCGTCTGGAGCGGAGCTTGTGACTAGGAGAGCTTCTGGCAATCCACCTTTTGTTTCCACGGCCTTTTCGGCGTCATTGCGGCCTATCCCCGCCTGCTCCGAAAAAGTGCGACAGCTCTAACAGCACAAGCACAAGGGTCCTGATTAAAAACCACCTGAGCGACCCTGCTGCGGCTGCATCTTTTTTCCCTTTTCTTCCCTTTGATTTCTGTTGCCCGTCGCCTGGTTCGATTGTTCCCCTCGCCCTTCTCGCCGCTTGGCTCTCTTCCTCTCTTCCTCTTTTATACTTCAGCCCTATCAGCCGTGTTGATTTCCTTCCCCCCTTCTCAATCTGCCACTCTCCCGCCTGAATTACCAGGTCGGTTAAGCTGTGTAGCGCGTTGGTTCGGAGGGGTAGTAATACTGCTAGCTCCATATATATACATAAATCTTCAAATTGTTCGCGGGTGTTCTACGGCCAGAAAAAAAGGTGGAGTCTCTATTCACTCGCATTTGCCGTACACACAGGTCGCAACCGGATCGCGACTTGATGATTACCATTGCTTCTTTCGATTGCCTACGCTCTTAATATTACTCAATGCTAGAAAGCTTTTCGCTCATGTGGCAGAAAGCTTTTCATGCCGCGATTGCGGTGTCTTTCCTGTTTGCCTCTGTCGCAAGTGCGATTCCACATGGTGATGACCATTCTATGGATATGGGTACGGGCATGGACATGAATGGTACGAAGCAAGAAACTCAACCCGAGGCAAGCGATGAGTCTCCCATGAGTTATTTCGCATACGGCAAGTACTCTGGCACAATCATGGCTCACATCACCCTCATGGTTATTGCCTGGTGTTTCGCTTTACCGGTTGCTGTAATGTTCAGTATTGCTCGGTCACGGTACGCACTGGTTTCTCAATTCACCTTCTTAGTGTTGAATGCGGTGGGATTGCTGGTTGGGATCATTTACAACAGCCAAACCCCGGACCTCTACGAAAACAACGCACACCACAAGATCGGATGGATTGCGACCTGGGTCATCAGCGCACAAGTCATCTTGTCCCTAATCTTTGCATATGCCGGAAGAGGCGTTGCGGATTCAACCTCCTACGAACGTGTTGCGTTTTTGCCCGTATCGACCGACGAAATGGTCGAAAGCCCGGCTACTTTTCCAAGCGGCATTCACCACGAGTATCGCTGGTCTAGAGATAGTGGCCAGGGTTCTGAGAGGAATACGTCGTCTCTCCATAGTCGCCCTAGTTCCCCATCCTGCGCATCTCCTTCCGATGAGTACGATACTTTTGAGAAGCCAGAAAATGACATATCTGAGGAGCCTTCTGTCCGCAGTTGGCTTCGCTGTGCCTTTGTCGACCGCTTCTTGGCCAGTCGCGTACCGCGCTTAGTTTCGAGCAGAGTTCTCCGGATCCTTACCTTCATTTATCTGGTCATTGACAGAATCATTCTCCAATTTGGCTTCATTGCCATTGCTACCGGTGTCGTGACGTATGGTGGTATCATGGTTAGTGCACCCCCAGACTACGTCGACTCCCCATAAAATGGTATTTAGCTGACATCCACCATTCAGAGGGCCAACGAAGTCTTCAACGGCCTCGCTCACTTCATCAAAGGGGGTATCTTTTTCTGGTATGGTTTGCTGACCCTAGGCCGATTTATGGGGTGCTGGGCCGACTTGGGTTGGGCGTGGAACATCAAACCTTCAAGCGCGATTGTTGGCAAGTGGAAGGCCAAAATTCCATCGGCGGAGTTCACCGAGTCTTTTGTGATTTTCCTCTATGGCGCCAGCAACGTCTTTCTCGAGCATCTTTCTAGTTCGGGCGGCCCATGGACGGCCACCGATCTCGAGCACGTGTCGATCTCCATCCTGTTCTTCGGCGGTGGCTTATGTGGCATGCTTTTCGAATCCAAGAGTGTGAAGGACTGGCTGAACAGCACCGTTTTGCGACCTTCCTCTCCCGTTAATTCTCGTACCCTCAATGGCGCTTGGCATGCACCCGACACCCAGGGCGTTTCCCTCAACCCGATGCCGGCTCTGGTTATCCTTCTTTTGGGGATGATGATGGGATCCCATCATCAGACTAGCATGACCTCAACTATGGTGCACAAGCAATGGGGCAATCTTCTGGTTGGGTTTGCGCTGGCCAGATGCGCGACATATGTCTTGCTGTACATAAAGCCACCGACCTCGTATCTGCCAGCTCGACTCCCGACCGAGATCATTGCATCGTTCTGCTTGATTTCCGGTGGTTTGATCTTCATGTTGAGCGTAAGTAGTCGAAGTTGAGAGAAAAAGGGACTTGCGCTAACATGGGTCTAGACTCGTAATGTGATAAATTCTATGGAGTATTATGACCTCGATGCGATGTTCACATTTACCGTCAGCATGGGATTGACTGCCTTCATCATGGCGTGTGAAATCCTCGCGATTGCGATCAAAGCTTGGGCGGTGAAACGGGAGTCTCGCCCCCAGCTACCTCCTTATAAGTTCCCGGCCTAAGCGGGACGTTTCTCCATACGACACTAAGCATTATGCTACTTCATGCATATGATCCCAGCATACCTTCGACACCAAGTTTCTGCCTTTGGGCTAATTTCCTGGGGACGAAAAAACAAACCGAAAGGGGAAGAAAAAACAAAGTCATCTTGATTGTTACAGTTTTATACCCACTAAACCGTTGATTTTTTACGGCCTGGTAAGAACCGTGTCTTTTGATGGCACGTGTAATACCATCTTATCCCAGAGCCTTTTTTTTTTCTACATTAATTTATCTCACGTGCCCCTGTGTTTATGAATGACAACATTGACGGATGGATGTAATAATGAGGGTGGGAATTGGGTGATATAGTTCGATTTCGTGATAGTATCCTGATGGATTGACCTCGAGACATCAGAAATATGATGTTATAACTATTATACATATGAAATATTCCAGCTTGTAAAGCTTTGATGCCAAGGGCATAGGTAGCAACTTGACCATAATCGTTCTCAACGTCCCAGCGTTTAAAAGGGTCATGGACAATGGTGCCTTTTATTCTTTTTTTTTTTTTTAAAAAAAAAAAGGCTAGTCAAAAAGCGCACTGAGTGGGGACTGAGAAAGCTTGGTAGGGTTAAATAGTACGAGCAGGCAGTCGAACACTTACGCATAGTCAGGTACGTAGGTACTAAGTTACGTTGTTGTTGTCTTCGGAGTTTAACGACACTAAGGCCACTAAGCCCGACGGCACAGCGTGCCGGTCGTCGGCATATTTGTCAGGGCGAATACCTGTGCGGTGCCTTGGCTTTGGTGGCTGCAGGTCCGGGAAGACCCGTATTGCTGTGCTGATGGACTCGAAGCAATTACAGAAATGCAGAGTACTTATTATTTACTATGTTTACCGTGCTAAACCAATCGGAGGGAGAAATGCTGCTCACGTTTCTACCACCTCGTTAGTACGTACTACGAGGAGGGGAAGTGTGGGGCAGGATATCATCGACATTGCGAGCATTTAAGACGGGCGCTTATCCCACCCTAAGAACCGTAAAATCATTGTTATAGTTTTCACCTTTCTCTTTTCTCTTCAAACTCCTTCGTTCTTATTCTATAGTATCCAATTCAAAAATGGCGTCGAACCCCCCCGGAGCTTGCTGTGCCTCTGGCTTCAAGCATGAAGGCACTCCAATTGGCGAGACTAAGAACATTTCTGGTGGTAAGTTCGAAGTGCATTTGCTTTCCCGGGAGAGTGATAGTTACTAATTAGCGATCGTTTCGCAGTCGACACCTACATTGTTTATCCCAAGGATAACAAGACCCCCTGAGAAGGCCGTTGTCATTTTAAGTGATATCTTCGGCATCTATGTCAACTCCCAGCTCCTGGCCGATGAGTTCGCCGCCAATGGATACCTATGTATTATTCCGGACCTTTTCCGCGGCGACGCCATCAAGGTCAGCGATATGGAATCTGGAAATGTCGATTTAGCCTCCTGGATTAGTAAACACCAGTTTGCCGTTATCGACCCTGTCGTGGAGTCCACCATCAAATATGTTCGCGAGGACTTGGGTATCAAGAAAGTTGGTTCCGTCGGTTACTGTTTCGGAGGCAAGGTGAGTCGGTTGAAACGAGAGCAACAAACGGTGTATTTTCCGCTGACTCTAGGCTTGAATGGTAGTATGTCTGCCGTTTCTTGAAGCCCGGCAAGTTCGATGTCGGCTACACTGCTCATCCCTCTTTCGTGACCAACGAAGAGCTTGCCGGCATTGCCGGCCCTCTGTCTATTGCTGCCTCTGGTAAGTTACCTTTCGGAGATATATCGATACTGTCAAGGAGCGTAATAGTCTCGACTGACGACGGGCGTTTCCATGGTAGAAATCGATCAGATTTTCACCGCCGAACTCCGTCATGAATCTGAGGGCATCCTGATCAAGACCGGCCTGCCATGGCAGATCAACCTTTTCAGCGGCGTCTCCCACGGGTTCGCTGTCCGCGCCGATCTGAGCAACAAGCACTTCAAGTTCGCCAAGGAGCAGGCTTTTTGTCAAGCGGTGGTGTGGTTCAACCAGCACCTGTAAACATTGGCAGTCTAGTGTTAGATAGGTCATGCAGATTACCCATCAGGTAGTTCTTCAAATGAACACGAGAAATCAAAAGCTGAATGGAAGAGAATATGTACTCCTGCCAAGCAAGTAGAGGCGATAAGGCTGATGGAGCACGTGACAAGGGGATCCGCGCCAACCAAAAGATCGACCCGGAGAACAGGTCAGCGTCAAGCGTGGATAGATTATTTACTGTTGTTGCGCTGAAGCGACGAAGTCCCACGTTTCTCGTTGGGGGTGACTGGCTGTGTTTGCCAGTTTGCTCTCTTTTAGCTGCGACGACCGGCCTGCCTCGATTCGTTGATTTGACGTTGCGTGAATTCAACTTTGGGGATTGTCTGTGGTTTGGATTTATCCCTGGAATCTGTCGGCCTGGAAAATCTGCACCACGCTCTCTCTAATTGCATTACTCCCCAACAATTAACGAGATTTACATTTGTTTTTGAATTTCATTGCATCTAGCGCTATCTACCGTTTCATTCCCTTTTCGCCTCGGTACGAAGTGCTGTCGATCGGACTTGCCACCCAATTTATCTAGACGATAGAATTTCTCTGTCCTTCGTATCGGAAGACTGTTCACAGCAGCTTTAATTGTTCGGAGAATTAGACGAATTCGACTGCACGAGACAACATGCCTACCCCAGCCGCATTGCCTCCGTTGCCCTTCAACCCTGGAAGGGTACGATCATACCTTCTCCGTTTACCTTTATTCACGCGATTGGTGCTTTTGGTAATTATTGTGTTTTGGTTGTTGGAGCTGCAAACCATCTGGGGTGTGATACAGTGGGGATCTTTGACCCCGAATGAGATTGGGCTTGGCACCAGTACGTTCCCTAATATTTGCTACAGCAGCTTTTCTCTCCGGATGAGTACAATGGTGCATAATACTGACTTGGTGTAACAGTGTATCGTTTGAACACATATCCGCTCATCCACATAGGATTTTTCCATGCTCTACTAAATTTACTGGCACTTACACCGTTACTGGAGCGCTTTGAAGCCGAGCACGGCACATTGACTTCTGTTGCTCTGTTTATTGGGCGTAAGTCTGGCTGAGTTGACCTCGAATTTTTGACCAAGTATGCTGACTGGGTATTGCGCATAGCTCTTTCTACGTTCCCGGCGGGTCTTTACCTCTTGGTTGAAAAGGTTATCTTGCATAGGAATACTGCCGTGGTTGGCGCTAGGTGAGTTACTTGTCACCTGGGTTGTGTCCGGACTCGAACGTTAGTCACTGACAAGCTACGAAGTGTTTGGGTGTTCCTCCTTCTGGGATCTGAAGCCATTCGAACTTTTCGGTCTAATCCGTACTTCAGGTATTTCCTCCATTATTAATTTAAACTGCGTCCTTGATGCTGATATAGGATTAGTCTTGGGTCTTATAGGATTCCCACGTGGACATCGCCTCTGGTCGCGTGTGTCATGGTTTCGATCTTGATGCCAAACACTAGCTTTCTTGGCCATCTCTGCGCAATAGCTATTGGATACTTGTGTGAGTGTTACCTTCTTGATTCGCTATCTCCCGCTCGATACTGATACTACTACGTTAGTCGGTCTCGGATACCTCAAGTTCTTTGTCCCACCAGAGAAAGTTCTGAGATTCATCGAAGGGAAATTGAACCTTTTGGGACGACTACCGCATTACGTGTCTGTAGACCAAAAGACGTACGGACGGTATGGAGTGCTGCCGACGACCAACAACGGGTCAGAGAGGCCGACTCCGATGAGTTATTTGGGATCGACGCAGCGACTTGGTTCCACAGATTAAAGAAACCGGGCCTAGATCTTACATTTCTTGTGTATATTTGGTACTTATACGGCCTTGACTATAATCTCCTGCAAATGTTGGGCGAGAAAACAAAGGTTGACCTATAGAGAGTAATAAGTTTTGGCATCAAGTTGTGCAGAAGGTCTCTAGCGGCCGACGTAAAATTACATGTTCCTGTCGCGTATTACGGAGTTGGCGGAGCCATCTCCAGATTGCATGCACCACACGACAGGGGAGGACTTCCCCATCACGTTCAACTCTTCCCATGGCATTAAAATGTAAGTCGCATGGTCTGCAGCGTTTCCTTGTCAAGTCCGCTGTTCATGGACTCCACCGGCAATGCCTGTGCTCCCCCCAACAAAAGGACAGCTCAGGACAACCAACGCTGACCATGACAGCCGCAATCCGCAAATTGCGGAATAACCCTCATTTCCTCTTCGTTCGTCTGCCGCATATTCTCTCGTTCGTCTGCATAATCGCCGGAGTGATCTGGCTTCTTCTCCTCCCTCTCAACGAATACTCCCGTGGAACCTACATCTCCGAGAACGCGCTGTTACCCGGCCAGGTCCATGCCTATTTCTCAGGCAGCGAACAGCATATCTTCCGAGGATACAAGAATGAGTTAGGGGGTCTATTACCTGAGAGAGCCCAGGGGGAAGGGCAGGAGTGGACGAATGCTGAATTGACCCCAGTGTATGTTTGGATTGGCGCAAGGGTTCTCCCGCCACCTTCAGGATGATGCAGGATCGCTAAACCGTGAACGTACAATTAGGATTTGCGAAAAGATACAATCGATTCTACGAGCTGCTGGTCTGAAGGTCGCGATGCAGAATTACGAATACACTTCCTCGGGGATCACGCATCAAGGACAGAATGCGTATGGAATTATTCGCGCGCCGCGAGGGGATGCCACGGAGGCAATTGTTATAGTTGCAGCCTGGAAAACAATAGATGGCGAATTGAACCTGAATGGTGTCACTCTTGCGTTGACGCTGGCGAGATACTTTAAACGTGAGTGTAGAGGAGCCCAGGAGGTGAAGGGTCGTTATACATGGCTAACGGATTGTTAGGGTGGTCTCTATGGTCGAAGGACATTATCTTTTTGATCACTCCCGACAGTAAGACTGGTACACAGGCCTGGATCGATGCCTATCATGACATGCAGCCGCCGTCTGTCCAGCCTCTGCCGTTGAAGAGCGGTGCGTTGCAGGGAGGTCTGGTAGTCGAATACCCCTTCGATCATCGCTTTGAATCCTTGCACATCGTCTACGATGGAGTCAACGGTCAGCTGCCCAACTTGGATCTGTTCAATACGGCCGTGTCAATCGCTGGCGGCCAGATGGGGATTGGATCCAGTTTGCAGGAGATGTGGGACCATAATGATAGCTACGAAAAGCGCCTGCAAACCATCATGAGAAGCATGGTCAAGCAAGGATTCGGATACGCTACTGGGGCACATAGCAGCTTTATGCCCTACCATATCGATGCAATCACTTTGCAGACTAAGGGAGAAGGCTGGCAGGATGAAATGGCCTTGGGTCGGACGGTCGAGAGTCTCTGTCGCAGCTTGAACAACCTCCTGGAACATCTGCATCAGAGCTTCTTCTTCTACTTGCTGATGCAAACCAACCGCTTCGTCAGCATTGGCACCTATCTCCCTAGTGCGATGCTGATCGCCGGCAACTTCACTATCATGGCGATCGCCCTATGGATGCGGACTGGCTACTACAAGGATTCCCAGGCGATTCCTAACATTAGCTCTCGGGATGAGAGGTCACAGAATAAGCCAGTTAAGTCTCAAGACACTCGTGATGCGAACAATGACGTTCTTGAAGAGAAGACCGCTTCCCATGGCGTTACGGAACGTCAAGTAGCACTTCCGCTTACCTTCGTCTTGAGTCTTCACTTACTAGGCCTGGTTCCTCTATACATCTTTAACAGTCTATCCTACAAGGTTAGTACGGTTCTACATACCTCTCTCCATTCCTTCCCCCCCCCGCCCCCCCGGTGGGCCATTCTGACAATGATAATAGTATTTCACCAACGCTACCTACATCTGCATAGCAGCCGATGCCATCCTCCCCATCCTTCTCGCAACCATATTTACCCAAGGCACCGTATCGCTGAAACGTCAACAACAACACCTTCTGATCAAATCCTTCTCTCTCCTTCTTCTCGGACTTTTCCTCTCCACCCTCGCCATGCTGAACTTCTCTCTCGCATTCATGGTCGGCTTGCTCTGTGCCCCGCTCAGCTTTATCACTCACGTCAGCCCCCAGACCAATGCATCTCTCCGATACGCCCTCTCCACGAGCGGGCTCCTCATCCTGAATATACTTTCTCCCCCGGTTGTCCTTCTGGTGGCATGCTGGTATACGAGCATCTCGGTGGAGACTGTCTTGACTCAGGCCGCTTTCGGATGGGATGTCTGGGGCATGTGGACTCAGGTGGTGGTGTGGTGTGTGTGGTGGCCAGCTTGGTTGATTGGGTGTGCATTACTTGGATCTTCATTATTTTGAGACTTGTTCGATTTGATGAGCGTTGTATTCCTCCGGCCTTCCTCTTTCCTGGACCTTAGTTATTTATCTGTGTAGTCTGTGGGCTGTGTATTTTAGTTGGATTACTGATATACATCATGCATATATACCGATTTTCTAGCACCATTGCTTGCTTTCTCTTTCCGTTTTAGTGCTCAGGCCTAGCTCATACTTGCGACTTTTTTCTCCCCGAGTATATCTGATTTATGCCTTTCCATCTCTGCTGAAGACATTCTTGGCATTTTGGTCCACTGGTGGTGATTCCATGATGACCTTTACCGACGTGAGTGAGCCCGTTGCTCGTGGTGCTGCTATTGAGGGACTGATGAGCCGCCATACCGTGCTGTAGGGAGGGATAATGTCTAAAGGGAAATAACGGCTTCATATCCCTTATATCCCCCAGACACTGCTTCTGCTGCCATTCACAATGCCCCGAGAAGGGAATCCCGAACCCGAAGATACTTCGATCCACTAGCTCCGACCGGAAGGAAACCACCGAGATAAATCACCGAACTTCGCCGGGATATTAATCCAACTCTCGTCCCTCATGCTCTCGACAACTTCGAATCTCCGTTTTTCTCTCCTGAGCTGTCTATTGTCCGTTCCCCAATGTCCAACGACCACAGATCGAGTACCACTATGACTACACCGTCATCCCCGCGTAAGCGCCGGCGTCCCGCTCGGTCTTGTGAACAATGCCGTCGTCGAAAGGTCCGATGTGATCTTCAAATGCCCTGTGCAGGCTGTCGGATCTCTCGAGGATCCTTGACTTGCACCTACAGGGAATCTGGGCGCTCCAGCGCAAGAACCGATACAGATAACACGGGCTCCAGTGGATTACCATCGATCCCCGTCGTCTCTGCCCAGGAGGTTATAGAGGGTCTGAATACCCCATCGATATTTACCCTAAGAGACCAAATACAAGACGTCCAGCATCGGCTTCAGCACCTTGAGAGATCGACCGTACACGAAGGTCAACGGGATCCCACTCATGATAGAGCATTGGATCAAACCAATGTTGCTGTCCAAGATTTGACAAGCCGTCTTCGCAAGGCCGAAGAGCAATTGTCTGAGCTATCTCGGAATCATCAGGGCCAACCATCTTTTGCAAAGGGGAACCTGACTATACCCGCCACAATCCCTCGTCTCCGAAATACTACCGGCAAGGCCAAGCTGTTTGGACCCAGTCATTGGTTACATACGGCTGAAAAGGTACCTGCTACGCCCCCTTTCCGGGATACAAAGCTGATTCTTTTGTAGTTTAATTTGAGTCAGCTTGATGCCAAAGACCTAGAGCTAAGTTTTGTTGACAGCCAGGCCGAGTTAGCCGGCATGATCCAAGAGTGCCGAAATCTACGGAAGTCTGTGAAAAAACAGCAAGCTGTGCAACTAAATGATCCCATTCCGGATCTCCTCAGCACCTTTCCCCCCCGGGAAATCTGTGACCAACTGGTGGGCAATTACATGCGAACGTTCGAATTGATCTACCGCGTCGTACATATTCCATCATTCTGGAAGGAATACGAAATATTCTGGAAGCAGCCCCTATCTACCTCCATGCCCTTCCTGGTCAAGCTGGGCTTGATGCTTACCATTGGAATGACCTTCTATGCAGACCGTGATGAGCACTTAGCCCGGCTAGGCCGAATCTGGATCTATGCTGCACAGTGGTGGCTGGTTGGGCCCTCCGAGAAATCAACCGCGAATCTCGACGGACTTCAGGTATTCTGCCTCTTGCATGTGTCGCGACAAACCTGCTTCGTGGGAGCCTCTCCGTGGCTTTCTGAGGGCTCTCTATTGAGAATGGCCATGACCATGGGCTTGCACCGTGACCCTCGACTCTTTCACCTAACCCCATTCCACTCGGAAATTCGTACTCGGCTTTGGACAACAGTGCTGGAGCTAGTGATCCATGCTTCAACTGACGCCTCACTGCCTCTCCTCCTCTCGCCCTGTGATTTCGATGATCATGTGCCCCACAACGTCAAAGATGGCGACTTTAACTCGGAGACCAAGGACCTGTCTTTATCACAACCCCTGGAAGACTTCACAGAGTCATCTATTCAAATCCTTTTACGACAATCTCTACCTGTTCGGATTGAAGTAGCCAAGATACTGAACAACCACCACACTGAGCAGTCCTACGACACCGCAATTGACCTTGCTGCAAAGTTGCAAAGTGCATGTCGTGAGATTGCCGCTTTCTGTCAGCTGCATTGGTCTCAGTCTTTGACGATGCATTATAAGTTTTTAGACATGCAGTTCCGGCGGTATATATTACTACTCCATCGACCATACATGCTAAGAGCTCGCAAAGACCCCCGATTCTACCTCTCCCGGAAGATCTGCCTTGAATCTGCGATGATCATTGCCGCTTGTGCAGAGAATATCAAGATTCCATCTGATGTCCTAGACGATCTTTCCCGCATGATGATCTCAAGCACCGGGTCATTCCGCGGCGCTTTAACTCTGGATGTCATTTCTGCCCTAGCCATGGAAATAATCACTCAGCTGGAAGAGACAGGCATGGGGTCCTCTTCAAGTACTGGCGATCTGGCCGTCGATCCGCTAACAGAGATGGCCCGCGCGCAGCGAGAGCCTATAATCCAAATTCTGGCGCATATCGAGGAGCAACTGTTGCAGATTATCGGACTAGGCTATCCTAGCATGAAACGATACGTCTTCCTCGCTGGCATCTTGCGCCAGATCCGGGCCATGGAGTCGGGCCAGAGTGTGCAGCCTGCTGTGGTCAAGACCTTGCGTGACAGCTTGAAGAAATGTTGTGCAATGCTACGATCATCTCAGACTGCCAACGCTCCGCAGGACTCCTTCGAGACTCTAATCCATTCTGAACCCAGCTCCGGGCTATATTTCGACCCGATGGTATGTCCTACACATCCCTTATTCAAAAGCAAGCGCTGAACTAGGTAGGATCCCAACTTAGCCGTGGACTTTTCCAGTTTCCTTTTTACGACGTTTGGAGGGGAACACGAGGCAGGACTGTAACGGCAGTGTTGATGTAATATTTACTTTTATACTAGAATCCCTACTAGGACAGAATTCCTCATTGAAATGCGTCCATACCCTTTCATCCACGATGAGAAAGGGCTTTATGAAAGTTGCTTCACTAAAAAGTCCGATTCTGCAGGTTCCCCAGACATAATCTGTTTGGTACACCAGTCCTGGATTGGAATTCAGCAAGTCCAGGACAGAGATATTTCCTCCATCTACTGGAGAACTAAAGGTTAAAAGCCCTAAAATGATTCCTGCTTCTATTTCCCTCCCTCTAAGGATAGGGCCCTAATTACCTAACCTACTTTCTATGCTAGTTTTTATTTATTCAATCAGGTTACTCACAACTGCAATCCACCTTGGGGAGTCCTGGTTTTCATTGTCAATGAACGGCTCAATATGATGGGAGGATAGCCAGAGTAAACGATGTCCGCTCAGCCACAAAAGGCACTAAAAGCACTTTGTGAGCTTGAACTTCGACGTATATAGCCGAGCTATATTTATATAAACAGTCATGTAACCGGTAAGCGATAGGTAGAATAATATACACCTCTGTGATAGTGTTTGAGTTGGGTTTCATGCCTATTTCATACGGTTTCCGATTATGATGATTCTAGTACTGATTCGTACATACATGTCGTGTGTATAAAAAGTATGGTCTTTTTAAGATAATAAAAGAGATCGGTACTCATGCGGCCCACACATCCTTTCCTACACCCTCGATCCAGTGACCCAACTGGTTCACGCCCGCATCCCAGTCCTTGAGCCTGTTCCGCATGCCTTCGATCTGCGTCATGTCCAGAACCTTGGGCTGCACCCAGTGGATCTGGGCAACCTGGCCCACCTGGTCGATGGCGCCCTTGAGTAGGCCTAGAGACAGGGCCTTCATGATCAAATGCTCGATCTCATTGGGCTTGACCTTGGTCTCAGAGGAGATGGACGCGAAGGTCAGGTTGCGGTCGTGGGGGGGACGGCGGAAGACCATCTCCGTAAGAGCGGAGAGCGAGATTTTCTGGTACAGGAAGATGCGATGCTGCTCCAGCAGCTGGTTCTTGGAGATGTTGCCGGCGAGGACATCGTAGGCGGTGAGGTCGCCACGATTGAAGGCGAACAGTAGATCGCGCAGCCAGCTGTGCGGTGTCTCGGTGAGGGAGTCCAGGATGGGGTGCAGTAGCAGTTCACCGAAGTTGTAGATTGAGTCGGAGACAAGGGCGGCAACGCTAAGGTTGTATGCACGGGAGACGCGTTCAGATTCGCTAAGATCCTCCAATTTGATACAGGCAAGGTAGAGGAGGGCGTTCTTGTAAAAGGATGCGAATTCTTGTTTGGCCTGTTGGAAAGTCACACTGGTTAATGGGGTGTACCCGTAGGGGATTGGAATGGACCAACAAAGCACGTACATGATAGTAGTCGGCGTTGACTTTATAGAAGGATGCGTGCACGACAGTCTCGACTGAATCAAAGGAATCCAACACCTTCTGGCACGTCTCCAGGTCCTTTTGCGCTCCGTCCAGATTCTGCAGCCGTTGCTTGACATTGGCAACGTCCGCAAGGGCATAGATATAAGCATCTTGCGAGTCTGGCTTGTTCACTTTGTCCGCAAGTGATGTAAGGAAAGACAGTCGTTCTTGGTCGTCTATGTCAGAAGCCAGCGGTTAGATTACCTAGAGATTAATCCGACCAGTATTCCCCATGAGGCACTTACCAGCACACTCCGTCGATGCCATCAACCCGAGGGACACAAACTTGAGCTGATTAATCTTATCGGCGAAGCTCAGGACAAATATCTTGAATATCGGTAGCCGTTGGGGTGCGCTCTCTGGTATACGGAAGAACTCGATCAGAGCATTGGTAAGCTGATGCCATAGCTTACGCTCCCAATAGTCTTCGAAGCTGAGGAAGAAGGGTTGGCATTGTTCGGGAGCTTGCTGCAGCTGGTCGGCGAGGAAATCGGAGATCTTCTGGTTCTCCATGGTGGAGAGCGCGCAAGGCGGATCAAGACTAGGGGGTATCAAAGAGGAGATATAAGACGGGCGATGAATAATAAGCTTGAGGATATAGAAGAGGGCGGAGAAAGGACAAGGACGAGCTGTTCTGGTGGGAAGACCGACACAACAACGGGCGAGTTCTGGATGGAAGTCGAGCGGAAGGCGGTGTGCCACATGACATCTGCTTACTACCGATTCTACGAGATAGTTGTAGTTAACACTACTCCTACTCCTATATAAGGACGAATGGAACTATGCATTCCAGTCATCCTCGGGTTCAATCCAGATGGGTTTGGCTAAAAAAATGGCCCCGATGGTAGCCTCTTACCCTTGTCCTTGTGGAGCTATGACTGCTACAGAGTAGAGAAAGTATCCGATATCTCTCCGACAGCTTTTTTTTGGAGCAGGCTTGAAGCTATAAGTATGGCCTCTTCTACTTCTCATATTTCGTTCCTTTCGTAGTTCCTTGTTTTCGCATTTATCTATACAGACCCTTTAGTTCTCATTTGTGGCTCTTAGCCCGGCTCATCTTCTGCATTGCCCATACTTTGCGGATACCTTCTAACCATGGAAGACTTCAGCGAGAAGAATAGACGGGTCTTTGAGTGAGCATCCCTTCTACAGGCAAAGTAAAAAGTAATCTCATCAATAACGCACAGGCGAATGTCCAAGTCCTATAAGACCGACTTCAGCAGCGCGCTGGAAACGTTGTATCGCACAGTCCAGTCTCGTCGCCTCTGGATCAGTGACAAATGGACAGACACTGAGGCCGGAAAGGGAAAAGAAATCAAGGTATTGGAATATGCGTGTGGGCCAGGAACCACTTCACTGGTAAGAGTCAATTGATACAAACCGAAGACAACACATGTGGGCTGAAAACTGACATAATCCGAAGGCATTGGCACCCTTCGTCACTCAGCTCATTGGATTGGACATCGCTGATGGTATGGTCAATGATTACAACAATAACGCCCGTGAGGCCGGCCTAGCAGACAAGATGGTCGGCTACAAGGGTGATCTCCTCGCGGAAACCGTGCCCGCGGACCTCTCCGGTCCCGAATTCTTTGACTTTGACGTTGTGATCGTCAGTATGGCTCTCCATCACTTCGAGAAGCCGGATCTGGCCTTGAAACGGTTTGGAGAGCGGCTGAAAAAGGGCGGCACATGCTTCATTATCGACATGGTCCCAGACCATCATTCTCATGGCCACAGTCACTACGATCTCCCTAGTTTGAGTGACGAATTTAAGGAAACTGGAGAGACGATTAAGACTCATGGATTTGAGCGGGCAGATATGCAGAAGCTCTATGATGGGGCCGGAGTAGGGATGAATTTCGACTACCAAGTGGTGGATGAAACACTTGCGTTCAAGAAAGAGGGGCATGACTTTTCCAAGACCATTTTTGTCGCGCGGGCCCAGCGCCAGTAAGAGGGAAATCAATGTATCTATCTAATTGTTTGTCTATAACCGGAACATACATCCAGAGTACAGATTTGACGGCTATTACTATTACTACCGTAGAGCATTTCTATCTACCCTTTGGGGACTTTCCCTTTTGCTCCTGGTGATCAAGTGAGCAAACAGGAGCGTGTACTGAGCGCTCAGTGAGCAATTCCAGGGCAATCTGGAGGATTATCCAGGTAGTCCGGGATCATTCTGGATTAATCTCGGGTTAATCTCTGACCATCCCAAGCTGGCTGTACCCAAAAAATAATTCAGTCAAATAAAACCTGTACAGCCAAGCCGGAGGTTCTCCCAAGTCACCGACAAACCCTTGTATTTTATGGTCTATCCAGATCGTCAGCTATACTAGACCTCACGGACAGGGATGTGGGGCTCGTTGAAAGATAACAGATCACATTTACGTTTGATATAGGACACCTTGCATGTAAAGAGCTGGAGCCTATTTAACCTCTCGGGCCTATTATGCCTACTGTCCCTACTATCCCTATATCCCTTTCCTTCCTTCAGCGATTTCTTTGGTATATAGCCTATCCTATGGTTTCTAGTTTCTACAGGTTCAGCCACTGACATTGCATCACTGAGCCACTTTCTTTCCTCTAATAGGAGACTAAAATCAAAGCTGGCTAGCTTAGGTAAAGTGACGGTGCGGACGTCCCCTTTCTCCGCACTGATCAGGTCCCGCATCTTCAGGGAGGCCTTATTTAAATAAACCTGGGAATCGAGTCATGAACATGCAGGGCGACTCACAAAGATAAGAAAGTTTAGGGCAAATACCTGTAGTGCCTGACACGTCCTGTGTGAAAACGGTATGTGGATGGGGGATCGAAATACCCAAATATTCCAACGACGGGCAGTAATTTTGGATTTTGGAAATTTTGCCTAGGCCAACACTTAAAAAAAGCAGACCGTGAACCATAAGCACTTTCCCAATGACAGGGCGAGTGGTTCCCATGCTGCTGTGACATCATCTACTGACCATCAGGTGAATTTTCGAAAACACCAGTCTGAATCCAGCGCAGTAGAGAAGTTCTCTCAAAACATAAATTGCCTCTATCGATGGGTTCTTCCTCGTGATCTAGTGATGGCATGCGGCGCCAGTTTTTGACACAGCGAGCAAAATAATGAAATCCTTTCTTCCAGCTCTGCGTTTGGCGTAATTTAGATCGAAAGAGTCTAGTAAAGAGACAGCGCAGCATTATTGTGGCAAGCATGGTTTGCTAAGTATAAATGTCGCAAAGCTCCAGACAACAAGATTTAGACCTGCAAATCATTAGTAAATAACTCGATTCATTCACCATAGTCAGAAGAAAATGATGTCTTATACATAATCGACCATCAAGGACAGAACAACTGTGGGTATCAAGGGATTCTGTCACATTAGCCTAAGACAGTGTCATTACTGCCAATTGGCGCTATTAACATGCATCATCATGCTTAGGATTGCTTTGACCGTATGATGCGGACTATGTTGGGCCAGGCATGCCAGGCATCATGGGGTAGGGTAACATTTTATATTATTCGAATGGAATAGTTTTACCATGAATAGCAAAACACCACATCCTTCCCACCATCTGATAGTCACTGCATGATCCTGATGTGTTCCTCTATGTTCACACAGGAATAACATTTGCAAGCCATTATAGATAATAATAAAATCAAAAATTTTCACACCTGGTTATTATAATGCACGCATGAAAGTGGTAGTTAACTAAGGAGACTTATTGAATGATGAGTAATGACCCACAGACCAATCAGAATCCATCCATAGTCAGGCCAGAGGGTGCTTACCGATTCGGGACTAGCACCACAAGTCCCGTGCATGGGCAGTTCGGTTTGCGTTCTCCAGGCCGACGACCGACTTGAAGTCCAGCTTCCAGCATTAGTACTGCCTGCTGAGATTTGCTCTCTCCACTCTCTCGTTCTCTCTTACCTATCTCTGTGGTCTCGTCTGTTTCTCAAGTCGAACAGAGACCATGCAGAAGTGCCGGGCCGTCAATTCCGCCTTGGGGTCGAGGGCCATCGCCCCCCCCAGCGCTCGAGTCCAATTGCAAGCGCAGCGCCGAAATCTCCAGGATGTTGCTATTACTAGGACCGGAAAGCCGATCTTGAAGGTTCAGGGTGGGCGGTAAGGCACAATGGTGGCTGTGGCGTGGTTAGACATGGGCTGACTGAACTCTCGCACAGGTCGTCTTTAGGAGGTACCTTGCTCTTTTTCCCTGACGGGCCGTATCATCGGGAGAGAATTTAACTGGAATTGCATTTTAGGCCATACCGCGACTGTCTTCGGTGCCACTGGTTTCCTGGGCCGATACATTGTCAACAAGCTCGGTAGGCCACCTAGTCAACCAGCCGATCAGACATATGAGCTAGAAATTAACATCGCCCAGCTACGCAGGGATGCACTGTAGTGATTCCCTACCGCGAGGAGATGGCCAAGAGACACTTGAAGCCTACGGGTGATCTCGGACGGGTCATCTTTATGGTACGGCTATTCCGCGCTCGCTTGATTCTTGAGGACATGAGTGACTAATCTGACCACTTACCAGGAATATGATTTGCGTAACACTCAGTCGATCGAAGAGAGCGTCCGTCACTCCGATGTTGTTTACAACCTTGTCGGCCGTCAATACCCTACCAAGTCAGTGGAGAGACAGAGCTGATGGATCGAGACACTGCTAATAGGCGTCCAGGAATTTCTCCTACACCGATGTTCATGTCGACGGTGTGGAGCGCATTGCTGAAGCGGTCGCCAAATACGATGTCGACCGATTCGTTCATGTCTCCTCCTACAATGCCAGCCGAGATTCTCCCTCTGAGTACTTTTCGACCAAGGTTCGGGCGCTCCACATCTACAAGAGCGGCATGGATTGCTAATAAAATCACTGCAGGGATGGGGTGAGGAAATCGTCCGTTCGATCTATCCCGAGACCACCATCGTCCGGCCTGCCCCGATGTTCGGATTTGAGGACAACCTTCTTCACAAGCTTGCTGGCGTGACTAACCTTCTCACCTCTAACCATATGCAGGAACGCGCCTGGCCCGTTCACGTAAGCTCAAGTGCCGGGGAATGCGTTGCGATGAGATGCTGATATTCCAACAGGTTACCGACGTCGGTGCCGCTCTGGAGGCCATGCTCCATGATGAGAGCACTGCAGGTCAGACCTTTGAGCTCTACGGCCCGAAGAACTACTCAACGGCTGAAATTGCCGAACTTGTCGACCGGGAAATTATCAAGCACCGCCGCCACCTCAACATTCCCAAGGCCCTTATGAAACCCCTGGCGTACTACCTGAACAAGTTCATCTGGTGGCCCACCATGTCGGCCGACCAGGTGGAGCGGGAGTTCATCGACCAGCAGATTGACCCGAACGCTAAGACCTTCAAGGATCTGGGCATTGAGCCGGACGATCTGGCCAATCTCACCTTCTACTACCTGGTAAGTATGCCATGACTTTACCGTGATGACAGGGCGACTGACAATCGATGTAGAAAGGCTACCGCAGCTCCTCGTACTACGACCTCCCTCCAGCCACGGAGCGGGAGCAACGGGAGGAAAAGAAGTACCTGCACGTTCTGGATAGCCAGTAGTGAACTGTGTTTCTTTAATGTACATAAGCTTGCTAGACATCGAGTTTTTCTGTGTGTTGTCATAGTCAGCTAAAGCGAAGAGAGTAGAAGAAGTAGTGACGTAACCGCCCATATCCGAGGCTATCCATTTATTTACGTACTCTCCGTAACCATCAATCAACCCACTCACCACCAAATCACACCATGCCGCCATCTTTTTCCTTTCCCTCGTCTTCCACGACCCCAATTCTCCTCCTCAAAACCAAGTCCACCCCAGCAGACGGCTACAATGAATTCTTCTCCACCCACAACTACAACCCCGCCTTCATCCCGGTCCTAGAGCACCACTTCCACGACCAGAACCTCCAAACCGTCCGCCACCTATTCAAGTCAGGGGCATTAAACCCCGGTCCTGGCCGGAAATATGGCGGATTGATCTTCACTAGTCAACGCGCAGTCGAGGGATTTGCAAAATTACTAGATTCTCTTGACGGTAGGTCTACTCCATAACCTTCCCTTCCTGGAGGGAAGTAAAGAGAGAGATTAACCGTCGTACGAACAAAATAGAATCAATCTCCCATTCCGCCTCTCAAGATCTTATTCTATACACCGTCGGACCAGCTACCTCTCGCTCTTTGACTACCCTTCGCGATACTCATCTCCGGGGGGCAAGTATCCACGGCTCTGATTGCGGAAATGGCGAATCTCTAGCACGGTATATCCTCACCCATTACAACCGTCACTACAGTACCACATCGGCAGAAGCATTAGAAGAAGAAAAAGAAGAAAAAGTTACTACATACAAAAAGCCGCCGCCACCACTACTCTTCCTAGTCGGCGAACAACGCCGCGACATTATCTCGAAGACACTAATGGGCGCGGATCCCCCGCAACGCATCGCGGTCGACGAATTAGTGGTGTACGAGACGGGAGTGATGGAGTCATTCGAAGAGGAATTCGGGGCTGCGATGCGCAGCGCAAAGGAGTATCTTACTGTCGATACGGACCGGGTGGTTTGGGTGGTGGTGTTTTCGCCGACCGGGTGTGAGGCAATGTTAAAGGTTTTAGGAGCTACTAGCGATGATACTGATGGGAATAGGAGGATGGAGAGGGTGTTTGTTGCGACGATTGGACCGACGACGAGAGAACATCTTCGGAATCAATTTGGGTTTGTGCCTGAGGTTTGTGCGGAGAAACCGAGTCCGGAGGGCGTGGGGTTAGGTATTGAGATGTTTATGGAGAGAGCTGGGTTGTGAGTTTTTTTTAATTTTTAGTTGGACTACGTAGATTTTGTGTATATACCCATACAAAGCAGATATGTATATTCAGACGGGCTATGAAACATGTTAGGGCCGGCTTATCTCAAATAACTACTAAACTATGGTAGGAGCAGTAGACGCCGAACAATCAAAGTGTTAAAAAAGGCTAATGTCATTCGAGACAGTCGAGACAAATGTCGTAATTGGAATGCGTGAGCGTGATTGATTACCCTGGCATTCATCTATGCAACGGTGAAATTATGTGCGTGATTCAGTCAACCAACCCTCCATTGCTGGTCCTCTGCCTCGTCTCTGTTCTCTGCCAAACCCTATAATGTAGGCAGGCCCTGTATGGGCACATCCTGTTTAACCGGGACGTCTACCGCATGATTTCCTCGTAAATCAGGACTGCAGATACTTGTTAGTATAACTCGGACTACTCACGCTTGCTCAAAGGCTAGACTCACTCTTCAACTGCTCCTTGCTGAGAGCATCCTTGTTCTTGTCGAAATCAAAGAACCCTTCCGGGATTGGAGGAGCCGTGGGCTCATCCTCGGGATCATGGTAAGGCTCCAAATATGGATGGCGCAAAGCGTCTTCAACCGAGATACGCTTTGCAGGGTTGAACGCCAGAAGCTTCTCCAAGAGATCCAGCGCTAGCTCGTTGCTCTTGGGGAAAAGAGCCCGGAAGGGAATCTTCTTTTTGAAGGGAAGGGATCGGATGTACTCCCTAGCCCTTCGGGATTTGATTCCGTAGTAGTCCTCCATCGTTGGTGTCCCAAGGACGTCCAGAATGAGCGTCAATTGATGGTGGTCTAACGAAATCCTATGTCAGTTCGGTAGGTTTCGGTTTCATCCGGACCACATGAACCTACAGTCTTTGCCCGGGAATAGAGGCTTGCCGCTCAGCATCTCGGCCAAGATACAGCCAACACTCCACACATCGATCGCTTTGGTATACTCTTTAAAGGTCAACATAATTTCCGGCGCGCGGTACCATCGAGTCGCCACGTATTCCGTCATGAAGCCTGAATTGTCGTCGGTCGATGCAGCCGAACGGGCTAGGCCAAAGTCGCAGACCTTCAGGTCACAATTTGCATTCAGAAGAAGATTCGATGGCTTGAGATCACGGTGAAGAACATTCGCTGAGTGCATGGCTTTCAAAGCACGCAAGGTTTGGTAGATGAAGTATTGGCAATGATCATCAGAGAGGTCTTGGGTACGGATAACGCGATGCATGTCTGTTTCCATTAACTCCTATAATATCGGTCAGCAATTCAGTTTCTTCTCGAGGTCTCAGGAAAACAAAATCAGGCCAGGTTACCTGAATTAGATAGACTTCATTGAAGCTTTCGTAATTGCGAGGCCTCTGGATATCCAAGATAGAGATGATGTTCTCGTGGTTGAAATACCGCAGCAGCTTCATCTCACGCAAGGTTCGCAGGCAAAACATCGAATGGTCAAATGGAGTGATCTTCTTAATGGCGACTTTTTGGCCGGAGGGTTTATGAATAGCAGAGCTACGGAGGTTAGCACCAGTCACCTCCCCCGTCGTTTGTGCTGGCTCTTACCAGACAACACCGTAGGCACCTTCGCCAATGACATCTTGAATCTCATACTGGTCGGAAACGTTGAAGGAGATCTTGCGAGATCCTCCCTGGGGAGGCAATTGCTGCACCATGGTTGCTGACTATCCGAACTAGATCGACGTTAGTTCAGGTATGTACATGGCCGGAGCAGGCTCGTCGAGTGGGGGTTACTGCTGAATCAACCAGGAATAGGAAGGCAGCTAGAATTGATCCCAGTGCTTAGCAACAAAGGATCGGGATTCCAGACTGGATCCGGGTATATCATCACCAGCAAATTGACACGGCGCCAAGAACAGCAGGTCCATACTTGGCTTGAACAAGAAAATGGCGCTTACATTCGTTTACACTGTAAATAGTTCCCGGGAGTGGTTGTTGATAGCCTAGCTGCAGCAGTCTCGCATACCCTGACGGTGGGGAATAAATGACAGTCGCTCGAGAACTGTCAAGCTGGATGCGGGGTAGGATGTACTACTGAAACAGGCTGGGTTGTGTCCGATGCCGTCGAGTGCTCAGGAGGAAGAAATCCGGGAAGAAAGACGACTCGGCGCTGGATTTCAGGCGGTTGGATTTCCGCCGGGAGGGGGGGGGGGGTATTAACTAGGCCGGATGCGAAGAATGGACGGAGCGGAGCGTAAGCAGCACAAACAGAACTCAAGTCGGTCGTTGGCAGATATGATCCTGATACAGAATATCAGTACGTCAATGGTCAGGGTCAGGCGGGGGGTATTCAACAACAGTTGAGATTGATGCGGGTCTACAGCACAAAAAGGAGAAGAATATCCGTACCCTCTCAATCAGAACCCCGGGGTTTTAGCCCTGAAATTAATGTTTCACAGCTGCGTTCTATTTATAATCTCCTCGGCGGTGTGTCTGTCTCTTGCGTTCCGACTCGGGATTTATGAATGAGAGAAATAGGTCGTAGTGGTGGTGTCAAAGGACCAGTGGGTAACCTGGCCGGAGGAGGAAGAGGAGAGGAGAGGAGAAGGTGGAGGGGCTAGATGTAGAGCCCGAAAGATGGTAGTAATAATAGCAGGAAGTCACTAAGACCACTTACTAGGTAACTAAATAGGTACTAAGAATGATCAAATGCGAAGAATAAGGGAAGTTAATAAACCGGGTGCGGATCGGCCAGAGTGGGGTGGGGCCGCAATGGAGGGGGACGGCTTCTGATATCAAAAGCAACAGGGGGGAAATGAATGAAATGAGAATAGGCCCGGGATGGTAATGGTGATGATGGTGATGATGATGTTATTAATTGTTCCCATAAGATCAAGATCCAACCCGGATGAAGAGGACAGATCATGTGCCAAAGTGCAGGGTTCCTGGATCCTCGACTGTGATCGCCAGTCAGCTATCGATAGGGTCAATACGGCTAGGAACGGTAGGTCCTTCTGTACTCATTATGGACCTACATATATACATAACATACTATGTCCATACCTACTGGGATATCAGACCGTCCAACACCTGAAGGAGAGCAATTAGCAGATTAAACGCCCATTCCCTCCGTTGCTCGCTCCTCCTATTTCCATTACTTCTTGTTGTGATCACTTCCCATTCCTCTTCGGTACGGTATCTGAAATCCTGTATGGTATTGTACAGAACTGTCTTGGTTTGGTATGACTGGTATTGATAAACACCCACTTAAGAGCATGAATCGATTTATCGAGAATCAGCGGGAAATTAGTCAGAAGACATTAAAGGTTCGAGACATTTATCTGGGACGAAAGCCTGCCTGGAAATAAACTTCCGCAGACCCTGTACAAACAGTGGACAGAGTAGGCAGAGTCCTATGCCGGCCTTTCATAGGCTATACCTTTTATGGACTTTAGGTAGCATTAGGTATATACTGATACTGGCTTCTCTTAATCTTTTAGACCTCGACTTTTATTCTTTTGCATCCATATTAAATGATTTCAGTGTATTCCGTAAATATTTCCTGTAATAAAGAGCCTGCTCTCTCTGTAGATGTCAGATATGCTTGCCTCAATTGCCAAGTTTTCGCTGCCTAAATCTGGAGTATTGAACCAGTAACTTTATAATATTTATTTACTTAATTTGCAGAGGACATTTCAGATTACTCTCGAATCGAAATTATCACAGTTTTAATATGGAGCGCTTAGTTCGTAGGCATCTTTCTACAGCAGAGAACAAGTGTACATGAGAAATCAGTGTCTAATATTGAAGCCAGTAGGTAAGTACTAGTCTGTAAACATACCTACCAAGTAAACGATGTATACTTAAACTGTAAAGTTGCAGTCCAAATCTGCCTCAATTGCATTGCCTATTAATATACTTTAACTTTTGCTGACCTTGCTATAGTGGTATTCTTTGTACCCAGCCAGCGGTAGAAGATAGACATTGTCATTTAACAATATTCAAAGAGTCTCGAGCATTTATACTAGCAGACATCAAGCTTCCTCAAAGACAATCTCTGTACTACCCTAATAGCAGATAGATGTAGATCCTCAGTATATCAATTTTACCTCCTATCTCAGTACCAGACTTGGAGTCTAGAATCTTTTGGAAATTAACCATACAAAACAGTACGCTCACGTATTACTGTAATACGTAAATCCATTAAAGGGACCCATTTAGACGCCATGCCAAATCTTGTACCCCATAGTAACACGAGTTCAATCCAGCCTCATTTTTCTGACTTACAGGTATGCCAGATCGACTGAAACAGGCTGGTTCTCATTTCTCATGGTCCAGTCCAACTGTAACTAACGATTTCCTTCTCCAGCTGGGGGAGTCCAACTTTCCCGTCAACACTACTGTCTCAACCAGCGTTTCAATTCCACTTTTTTTTGCCCTCCACATCCACATTCCCCCTTATGCCCGACTAACTCGTCACGGCGCTAATCAACTTGCCCCTATGGGACTCGCATTGCATCCATGTTCGTTGTGGTTGTTTTTTTTTTTTTTTTAATCACCTTTTGAGAAACCAATAATAGTTACTATCGAGACACTCCATAGTACGGAAAAGAATCCAAATAGTTACTTATATGCAAGCTCAAGGTAAGCACCAACATGGAGGAGAGCCAATGTCCATTCATCTATGCTTCTCAGACGCTGCGCTACTGCTTTGGATCACAGTCGTCACAAGTCACTGCGTAAGGTGATTCGTGCGTGCGATTTTCTGCCTTGGCATAGTTCTGTTCCGTGTTGCACCGTTATTCCTGGTGCTGATTTGCTGTTATTGTACCGATGGGTCTGCCATGCTAAGCCGTGATCTAAAGTCTACTGTGCATGATCGGCCTAACAGACGCTGAGACCAATGCACGATGTTCCCATTGCACACAGGGCTCGGCGTCTATGGGCTGATAATCATGCATTGGGATCCAAAGGGAAAATAATCGACAAGAAACCGGAACTGGACTATACATACTTCGCATGTGTATGTATATCCTTTGCGTCCTTTTAGGCTTTGGGTCACCAAGAAAGAAAATAAAGGCCGAAAAGAGATAGAGTGAGGGGATTTAGAATATATGATGATTTGGGAGTGATACTACATGCCAATAAGACTAAAGAAAACAGGTGGATATGCAATATTCGTACAGTTCGAACACTCGAGTATGCCGACACCTGAATTCGAGACCGATAGACAAAAAACGGGATCGTTGGAATTTATTGATATCTTGCACGTATAATTTACCAAAATTCTTTGTAAAGACGGAACTATCATTACTGAACAACCTGTAGGCGTGTTCAACCTCGTCAGTCGAGTGACTTTCAGGTATGGGCACAAATGGCGAAGTACTGAGGGGAAAAATAGCTGGGGAACCAAAAGGAAAAAAGGGGAATCAAACCTTTTCGCGCAAAGACCCCATCCACTGCACCAAGCTGACACTTTGGTCGGCCCGGTCTTCCACAAGCATGGTTTGTGCCCACAGCCGGAGACCAGGTTCTCCATCCTCCTTCACGACGTACAGATGTGGTACCACAATGCTGCCAACGCCCTTCGACCGGTGGTCCCGGCTCTTCTCAACCACTGCCCGTACTCGTTGATTGAAATCATTGTCCAGTTCGGGCAAATTCTGCTTGCCCACGCGAAGTTGCGATTTGTCGGTAAGGCCGAAAACATCTATGATGAGCTGTGGGACCGCATCACGGCCAACCCAGAGGAATTGCGTCTGGCCATCGTCGATGAGGTAAAGTCCATAGGGGACAACGCGCTCAGAGGACAAGTTCACCGATGGGGGAAGAACAATTTCGCCCGTCTGCTCATCGGGCAACCCTGCGTTGTCCGGCATGTCATGGAGGGAGTACATCTTCGGGTAGATATATTGCATGAGAAGGGGTAGGGGAAGCGTCGACAACAAGCAAAGGGCGGCAGACCGCATGTCGGTCGGGATCTGTGCGGATTTCCGGAGGCCAAGCTACATAACAATGTCAGTCAACTGGCAAGCGAGTGCAGTGGGTTGGAAGGGGCACCTACGTTTTTGATCATGGCCAGGAAAAGAACTGGAAGCCCTCTCAAGTTCGATGGGAATTGAAGGCCACCACCACTGACGCTTCCACCGGCAAGCTCCTTTCGGTAGGTCGAGAGAAGCTCAATGATCTTGGCCTGCAACGCCTCACGGGCGGGTTCCAGACCACTTCCAAGTGTCCGTTCCACAGCCTTATGGCTAAAGTAAGTGGCGATCGCTTGCTGATCTGCCGATGCGTAAACATCGGGCAGGCTCTGAGTAGTAGGGAGGGCTAAGGTCAACACCCGGATTCTCCTCTCGCCGTTGCATGTAGTATGAAGGACAGCCGTCTGCATGCACACGACCGGCTTCGTGACCGTCTCATCGATGGCGACCTCCACAACATACGCTTGGTCGCGGGGAAAAGCCGGGAAGGCGCATAGGTCAGAGCTGCGATTGAAGAAGTTTCCATAGAATGTGTTCATGCGCAGACCGGTCGTAGCACGGACACGGAGCACAGCCTCCAACCCAATCTCTGACGAAAGGTAATCAGAGAACTCCCGAGCAAACTTGATTGCGTCTTCTCCACGAGCAGCGTTCCAGCCGGGATAGAAGTACGTCTGGCCTCCCGTATACCTTGGCAGGTTGCTGAGGGATGCCACGTCCTGATACTGAGAAGAGAACAAGAACATGTCCACAGAAACCTGTGCCTTTGAACACTCCACAGCAAAGCTCTTGTAGAAGCTGTTTGCCGTCTGCAGTAAGCTGCTCTCCTTGCTCGTTCCCAAAACCTTCTTGTCCTCTCTCATGGTCAAAGAACCATGTCCAATATTCGGGAGCGACGAGCTGAGTACGGTCATCTTTCCGCCAACAGGTGCGATCAACTTGTAACCAGCACGCAAAGCAGATCCCATTGCACAGCCATTATTCTGAGTGCTCTGGAACATCTCCTGCAGTTTATCAAGGAATGTCTCGATGTTTTCGCGGCATTCGCTCAACGTTACGAGAAGATCTCCAGGGATGGGGAGGAAAGGTTCGTCGAGGTCGCTGACAACGAGCATCCTAGGATCCGAATTTTCCGAGCCATCGCGGGGAATGCTGAAGTAATGTAGACTCGAGTCAACTGCGACGAAACCCAAACGCGTCCGGCGGTCCGCATTGGGGATTCGATCCAGGCTTTCCTTGATACACCGAGCACTCGTGGCCAAGAGGCCGTTGGTGACCGAAGCGTAGCTCACATCGATCAGGAAGAGATAGACAAGAGGTTGCGGAGGCCGGACCATGTATTCTTGGGGGGCAACAAACTCGACCACTGAGTGGTTTAGATCGGGCCTCAGCGATCTATCCGCGGGCTTTTGGAGGGTGGTGTCCCAATCAAAGGCTTGAGGCACGTCATTCGTCAAATTACACATGTTGCAACGCCAGCGGTGTCCATGATCAAGAAACGTCACGAAGGGATTGATGTAGGATCGGCAGCGTCGACAACGCGAGATCACTTGGTCTGGGATGACTGGGATAGGGTCTTCGGAATCGTGGAGGGCCGCATATGGCTGGATGACCAGAGCGAATGGCAGTTTCGACTTCTTCAGAAGAGAGTGAGTCGTCGGCACGGCATTCAGCGTTGACCGGACATATTTCGGAGGGCAATTGGCAGTAGGGGAGGGATACACGCTAGTCTAGCAAGAGGTCAGTGATGTGGCCGCGCACGTACGGAAGAGGATTCTTTGTGCATACCCCCGGTGGCAAAATAATGGGAGGAGGGGCTAAGTCAAGTTCCGCAACATTAAATGGCTGCGTGAGAAGATCCGTCGTATAGAGTTGGTTGAGGATAGGCCGTGGGATCTGGGGAGCCGGCTGGGGAGGCTGATTCGGCATGAGGTGCGGATCGGCCATACCCATTGCGCCAAATTGCTGGGTCATATGAGCGACCGGCCCGGCATATCCTGGAGCTGGAGCTGGAGCAGCAGCAGCAGCATGCATCTGGGTCGGATCGGCTCCGTATGCCGTCGGTTGCTGATATCCCGCAACTTGGGGCTGAGGTGGATAGGCTCCATAGCTACCACCGGCGGGCAGTTGACCTCCTAGAGCCGCATTGGCACCCGAACCAAACTCGAAGGCCTCTCCAGCGTATGCTCGCTTCTTTTTTCCTCCAGCTTGTCCTTGGGCAGGGGCGGGAACTACCCCCGCGGGTTGTTGAGTGGGAGACTCGTAACCGACCGGTTGACCGTACCCTTCTTGGGGAGGATAACCTCCTTGTGGTGCTGCCATGAAGGATTCTAAATAGTTGGTTTTCTCGGGATTTAGTGGAAGGTGAAATCTGTTGACGAAGTGGTTCGAAGATGAGCTAGGTATATGCAAGCGTCGCGGAAGTTCGTTAAACCCTCACTGTGCTTGCGGTCAGGACACCGAGGTCTGAGCAGGAGGGGAACTGAATTTCCCAGGGGGACTTTGCATACTAACAACGATAACCGAGCCTGACCAAGCCAAAGACTACAAACTCAGTCTGAAAGATAAACAATCAGACGACGCGTAGATGGCACAAGAACCGGTCAGCGTGTCCTTGTGGGGGAAACAAGTGAGAGGTTGTCACGACGGACTGACCTGGACTGACCTGGACTGGATGGTTTACGGTGGCCTTTGCAGCCGCCTTTGCTCGGGCCAATCAGCGAGCCCCACAGGTTGGCCGCCTTCACCAAGGAGGGAACTTACTGAATACTTGAGGGTTCGGAGAGGGGATAAATTCAAAGAGGACTGCTTCATGGGAATTATGGTCTGGGTACTGGTTAACTGACAGGTATGCTTCTCTTGTGTATGTTCATGACCGAAGATCTCATCAATAACTAATATATACTTCAACAGAATACGGAGATATTCATAGCTCATTCCATGCTCACAGAGCTCATATGTATGCAATACATACAGTGTGTGAGACCACTATAAAGAGTAGAAAGAGAGAAATAGTCAAGGTGGTATCTCGTCGGTGATCCATCCTGGAGGACCAATGTAGTCAGGCATATCATACTATAACAAGGATACTAGCGGATGGGGAGTTGATTGCACTCCATACATGTACAGTGGAGCTGTTTTAATATAATCCTGACCTGTTCGTCTTATCTTGAACCGTGCTGGACCCGTGGCTACCGTTCCTATACTATCTAGTTACCTCGATCCCCATGTGGAATGCCTGCGGAAGCTTGGCGTTGCCGTGCCAACAGCTGACCGCTGCTAATCGCACCAAAACGTCGTCTCCCTATCGCTCTCCAAAGAGCCTCTCCGTTCTTTTCAGCGTTACTCTGACATCCCCTAACGGACACTGGCTCTCATAGGAATAAGCCCCGATTTCCTTTTCTCTTTTTCTTCCGGGGCTGTCTCTTCTTTCATTCTTGCGTTTCGGCGTTTTTGCTTCACTGAAGAACTGGGGGGTTTTTATTTCCATTGGATCCAATAAGCGAAGTACTTTGGATTTGGACACCAGAGTTAAATTGCTCATAGTGCATTGACTATTGCACTTATTCCACGGCCATTGGTCTATATGCAGCACCTATAAATTCCAATCCGAGGATTGCAAGCGGCTCCGGAATCGCATACTGAACCACGCAGTTCAGTCCTACGGCATTGTCGTGATCAGCAGGATGAGCGTTCGGGTTGTTGCACGTATTCGCCCACTCTTGAAGTCAGAGCGAGAGTTGGACGTCATCCTCCGCAGCGGATCGAACCAAGTGGTACCCGGGAAGGTCGAGAAAAAGAGCTCACAGGAAAATGCAAAGTTGGCAGCATTAAGGGATCGGGATACTATGGTGCGGATCCCAAACCCAAAGAATGAAAACGAGGAGTATTCTTTCCAGTTCAATGCTGTGTACGACGCGGATGCCTCGCAGCAGGAGCTCTTCGACGCAGAAGGTTCGTGCCGTATCGCCTGATGCCTGGGATGGTCCTTAATATACTGACTCGCGTCGCAGTTGCACCTACAACCAAACACCTTTTCAACGGCTTTGATGTCACACTGTTCGCATATGGAGTGACAGGGACCGGGAAAACGCATACTATGCGAGGCGGTAAAAGCCTAGCGGATAGAGGCGTGATCCCCCGTTTTTTGAGTAGCATTTACAGGCGCAGCCGCAAGATTGAAAAGGATAGCGAAGGAAAGACGACAGTCAACGTTTCCTTAAGCTATTATGAGATTTACAATGACAAAGTCTACGACTTGTTCGAGCCTCCGGAGAAGAGAACATTTGCAGGGTTGCCCCTTCGAGATAATGGCGGGAAGACTGTAGTTGTAGGTCTGACGGAGAAACCTTGCTCGAATCTGAAGGAGTTTGAGGCCCTGTACGATCACGCAAACATAAACAGATCGACATCTGCAACGAAGGTCGGTACTTTCCAATGTGGAACATCTATGAGACATAGCTAACGTCCAGCATAGTTAAATGCTCACTCCTCGCGGTCTCATGCTATCCTATGTGTCAAGTTAACAATTGCTTCTGATGATAAGATTTGTGTCAGTACCGCATCCGCCATCGATCTAGCTGGCTCCGAAGACAACCGCCGGACAGACAATGACAAGGAGCGCATGGTTGAATCTGCCAGTATCAACAAAAGCCTTTTCGTTTTGGCACAGTGTGTGGAGGCGATCGGTAAAAAGCACCAAAGGATCCCGTACCGGGAATCTAAGATGACAAGAATCCTATCATTGGGCCAGAACAATGGGTTGACAGTGATGATTCTCAACCTTGCACCCGTGAAGTCCTATCATTTGGACACATTGAGCTCGCTCAATTTTGCTAATCGTACGAAGAAGATTGAGGTGCGTGAGGTGGAGAATGAGCCGATTTTCAAGGGACCTTCAAGACCAGCAACGCGGCCTTCCGTAACAAGCTCTCAACGACAACCTCTACGACCGTTGACAGCGTCTGTAAACGTGAGCCTTGCCGCCGCAACCAACAAGGACGCGGCCAAGCCTGGTGATGGTAAACCGGTGAAGGCATTCCACGTCTACTCTGATAAGCCTCTTCCGAGACAGTCCACGCAGTTCAAGAAGCCGGAAATGCCCAAACGACCCTCACTGACTTCTGATCCTCATTCATCTCGTCCCTTGAAGACCAGTCGCATTGCACAACCTATGCCAGTGCATAAGCACCATGAGGACATCTCCCCGTCGATGATCGAGGAAATGGTGGAAAAGAAAGTAGAGGAAATCCTAGCCGTCAGGGCTGCCAGTGAACAATCAAGACAAACTCAAGTCCGCGAATTGAACGAAAAAGTACAAAAGCGGCTTGAGCTTCTTGAACAGCGTATCGAGGGTACCGAGGACGCAAGGGCCGAGGGGCTGTCGTACCTGCTCATGGCTAAACAGCACCAGGGGCGTGGAGAAGATACCTATGCGCTGAAGATGTATCAGTTGGCGTTGCCCTTCTTCCCAAACAATGAGAAGCTTGCGACAAAGATTGCTAGATTAAAGGAACGTATCCAGGCCAAACTTCACTTGGATGCAGGACCCACAGGCACTCCGGCTCCTCCGTCAGCCAAAAGAGAGCTTGGAAGTATTCTATCCATTAAAAAGCAGCCCGCAAATGTAGGCACCAAGCGTCACGCTTGGGATATGGATTCAGACTACGAGAACCCAGGAGAGAATTTCGGGGGGATGAGCGATGACAACGACTTAGAAGCATATCATCCGAGACGCAAGAAGCGCACCAAGACCAAGTCTCGCATTGACGAGGAATCAGATATCGTCAAATGCGATGAGCCGACACCGTCCCCTCGGACAATCCACCTTCTATCGATCATTAACTCGCGCGATGTGAGCCAAATCAAACTATTGAAAGGCGTTGGGGTCAAGAAGGCAGAAGCCATCGTTGATTGTCTGTGTGAAATGGACCAAAACCCAGCCGGCCACGTCGACTCACCCCACGTGCAGATCAACAGTCTCACAGAACTGAGCAAGCTAAAGGGGGTGGGTGTAAAAACCGTTGAAAGCATGAGAAATGGGGTTTTGGTATAGACAAACGGTAAAAACAAGTTGAGATTTGCATTTCCCGGAGCCTCGAGAATGAGCATTGCTGGATCTGATCTTGACAGGTCTTGCATTTTGTCCTTTTTTCTTTTTTTTTAATGCATTCCGCTCAAGTTCGTTTGGAACTCAGCTTTTATTTTGGTGCATTATCATATGGACCATTTTGCATTGTGATGGTGCCTTTTTTTTTTTTTTTGTTTTGTTTTCTATTTTCCATCAGCGACGGCGTTGGTAGAGTTTTGTCCTTTTCTTGCTGTATGCATTTTGTGTCCTCTTGGGTACTTTTTCAAGATCTATTATGGTTTCAGGGCATTTATTTACATTTTTCTTTCCTTCTTCCTCCGTTTCCGAGGCGCTCTCCTGCTGGCTTTGATGTCAGTATACTAGTACGACACCTTACTAGTCTGAAATCTAAAACAGGGAGGGTTCAGCAGGTAGAGTTAAGAATGGCGCGTTTTCTAAATACTACAAACTCACAGAGCATTCTACCGAGAACATGGATCTGTGGTTGTCAGTTGGGCTACCAATATAAAAGATGGAATACGTGCCAGTGTTGAAGGCTAAAGTTGGGAAGGAAAGCCAAAAAAAAAAAAAAAAGATTCGTGTCAAATTTCACCATGCTCATTGTCTATAGTACATTGATTGACACTGTAGGGGCGACAAATATTGGATAGGTAATTCGCTCCATAGTCTACGCATCAAGGAGATAGCAGATCTTATAATTAGTTCTTCTGTCCTGCCTTCTCAAAGACCACTTGCCCATCCTTGGTAAGTTTGGCAATACTTTGACTTGTCCCTTTGAGTTCCATTTCTAGTTCTTCTATCGTCCTCGAAGGAGCAGGCGCAGCATGGAGAGCTTCCTCGGCTGTCTGTCTGAATTCTTCATCTGCGAATGGCTGTTGCTTTTCAGTCGGTCGTGCAGGGCCGGTGGTTAGTCCCCTGGGTGAGTCTGCAATCTCGTTTACTTCCTGTGAGGTCAGGACCTCGTTGATACGAGGGCCTCTGGTTTGTAGTATGATAGTGGTAGGGCCGTCAAATTGCAGGAAGAGCTGAATATTAGTAGCTATTAGTGTCTGCCATTGTTGGAGTGGTCCGAGTAGCGTATCACGTCAACTTACTCTGTCCCCCCAAATGGTCATCCGAGACCAAGTCCGGATCTTGTGCAATATCCTCATCGTTGTTTTCCACGTGTTCGAATCCGACATATCCCGGATGAATTTGGAATCCTGGACGAATTTCGGAAGACTCTTGAGGCCGGGTACTTGGAATTTCAAGGTCGTAGATTTGAAGCGGTAGGGACGAGGGGGGTTGGAGGAGATAGTGTACGCCACGACATTACTTAACACCGATTATTAGCATGATTATGTCCACATCGGAGGTGCACAAAAGAGCAAACGCATACCTTGGGTGTACAATGTACTGTTCTCCGGCTTTAAGCTCAATCGAATATAACTGACCGGTACCAACTAGTGCCAACAGTCCTCTGCCAGTGACCTCAGAACTACCCCAGTGAGCCAAGCTCTTCGCACGTTAGTCCGGATGTTCAGATCAAAGGCGCCATAGAGCGAAAACGTACCAGGCTTCTGTTGACTGTCGGCCGGACAGAGAGAGAACGTCCTGTCCAGGCGAGCAGTGCTTGTCTCTGGGCTACCATCCAGTCCACGGAGCCGTTGAGGTGAACAACCGCAAAAGATGTAACTGGAGACCGAACGGAAACCAGGGCAGTTACCGGCGTAGCCGAGGACACCTGCCACGATATCAATATAACATTCGGAGTGTTGACGGATTAAACGAACTTTCTGGTACAGAAAAGGTATTCCAACGGCTGCTCGTCGAAAGGGCTCCAAAATACTCAATGTCGAAACTACCTGAGTGTTCAGGCATCAATAATAGTCAATGGATGGGATCACCGAGTGTACCCAAGGGGGGAGGTTCCTGCATACATTATCTGCCTTCCCACTTAATCCCACCAAAGTCCCTCGTCGCGTGTACAGGTTCTGCGAGGCGGAAAGTGAAACTGACAAGAGGGAGTACGGGGCTCCGATGACATCGAACCGGGCGTCTACAATCGCAGCTCGTTAGCAGGGGATCCTTCGAAATGGAGATTAGGTAGGTAGGGAGGTGCCATTCACCCTATGACTACCTGGACACTGACACTGAAGGGGGCATACCAGTTGATTCAGCCGAGCTCGGAGAGCCGGCAAAGGGAAGGTGATCACCATTGCCTGACGCAGGCTGTTCCGCAGGAGTAGCGCGAATCTGAAGGCATCTTGTTTGCCATGCGCGGTGCAATGAAGACGCTCCGGGTCGCGCTCGTGGAGGGAGGACTCGGGTGCATGAGAGAGTCCCCACGCCTCTCCTCAAGGGTTGACTCATTGTCGTTCCTGAGGAAAACCGCGCAGAAAGAAGGACAGAGGAGGGGAAATGGGTTGGATGTGCTGCTCGTTCTGCGCAGTAATTCTTGCTGTTGCTGCTTCTGAAGGCTCCTAATCGGGAAAAGCGCTGGCCTGAGGCTTGGCACCCAGATGGCAGGGGGAAACGACTTTTATCAAATCACTACGCAGCACAGTCACTCCAGATATCTAGGTTGACTTGTATGAGGATAGCTTGGATGGTCTTGGGGGGTCTGAAATTTCATATCTCCTCCCGGAAATGCGATCCCAGGTGGAGGCTCAAGCATGTCATATTCTGCACTACGCTCCCTCTGATGTCATGGATACCTCAACTCTTCGATTCATAGTACAATTTGCATAAAAAGAGTCCGGAGATGCCTTTTTTTAAGCATTGCCTTGGGATACTATCAGAGAGCTACCTAACTCTCAGCTGAGAGGTATGTAGACATTTAGGGCAAAGGTTTCGGATATCGAGACCTTAATTAGTAGATACAGCACCATCCAACTCCATCAATTTTCGTACAGAAATGATCTGCCTACTTGTAGTTGCTAACCGGCGGTAGAACCTAGGAGTAAAAGGAACGAGACAGAGAAAACACCAAGGAGGAAGCTGGGAGGCTTCCAGGAATGCATCGGTGATTGCGACAGAAAGGCCGACGCTTCCCTCATCGACTCTTTTCCTCCGAACCCGGCGGTCCCAATCGCATTACCACACGACAACGCCGTTCGCTTCGACAAGGGCTGCACCTCCTGCACAATGCGCCATTGAATCGATTGGAAACCTTCAGCGTATCATCTCGCTTGTTTCGAAGAGTCTTTTACCGGCCATCATGCTGCCCAGGGCAGCTCGATCGCCTTGCGTGCGCATCCCCACACACTTCCTACAGCGCGGCCTGGTCGTACCGCACGCGTCACCATGGGCATCATCTACATGCTATGGGGCCCAACTGAGGGCGTTCTCGACCAGAGGAGGTCCGTTGAAGAAGCAGGCGGCGGACGAATCTCCAACGGAACGAAATACCCCACGTCCTAGTGCTCCATCCACATCACAACCGGTAGACGCGGCAGTTGTACAGAGTTCGAAAGATACCAGGAAGGACCCCAAGGCGAAGACGGAGGAGAAGAACCTGCTCGGCGAGACCATCGTCGTGAAAAAGGAACAGCGAAAGGCCGACTGGGCGATAATGAAAGAGATGGCTAAGTACCTGTGGCCTAAGGTAGGAGGAGCCCGAATAAGCCGTTATAGGCTGAAAATTTTCAGGTATTGATGGAGAAACCATATAGGATGACTGGGGAACAAAACTTCGTGTTGGAACTGCTTTGTCATTGCTTGTTGGAGCCAAGGTCAGGATGCGTCGACGGAGCCAGCTATTGCTGTGGTGATCGCTGACGATGAGTTGCAGATTCTCAATGTCGAAGTGCCCTTCTACTTCAAGAGCATCGTTGATTCGATGAATGTGGATTTTGCAGCGCTCGGTGGTACGGCATACACGGTGGCTGGGTCTATGATCATAGCCTGTAAGCAATGGCTGCCTCGTTTTCGAGCTCTACAGTGTCTAACGGCAGCCGTTCAGACGGAGCGACTAGGATATGTGCTACGCTCTTCCAAGAACTCCGAAATGCGGTCTTCGCCAGCGTTGCTCAGAAGGCAATCCGCAAAGTCGCACGGAATGTCTTCGAGCATCTACTACGACTGGACCTGAACTTCCACCTCACCCGACAGACTGGTGGATTGACGAGGGCGATTGATCGAGGAACAAAAGGAATTAGCTTCTTGCTGACATCCATGGTGTTCCACGTGGTCCCAACCGCGTTGGAAATTTCCATGGTGTGCGGAATATTGGTATGGCATGCAAATGTGTCCCTAGGAATCGACCACGAGCTTCGCTAACTGCGTTGGATAGACCTACCAGTATGGCTTCCAATTCGCGGCCATTACGGCCACCACCATGGTCGCGTACTCTGCGTTTACAATAACCACCACTGCCTGGCGAACCAAATTCCGAAAGCAGGCCAATGCGGCGGACAACCGCGGTGCCACGGTTGCGGTGGATTCCCTGATCAACTACGAGGCGGTTAAGCATTTCAACAACGAAAAGTTTGAGGTCGCGCGCTATGACAAGGCGCTCAAAGCGTACGAGGAGGCGTCCATCAAGGTAACGACCTCGCTGGCCTTCCTAAATTCTGGCCAGAACATGATTTTCTCCAGCGCCCTTGCCGCTATGATGTACCTCGCGGCCAATGGAGTTGCTGCGGGCTCCCTGACCGTCGGCGACCTGGTCATGGTCAATCAACTCGTCTTTCAGCTTTCGGTCCCGCTGAACTTCCTTGGCTCTGTCTATCGCGAGCTGCGCCAGTCCTTGTTGGACATGGAGACCCTGTTCAACCTGCAGAAGGTCAATGTGAACATCAACGAGAAGCTAAACGCGAAGCCGCTTGAGCTTCGGCAGGGTGGCCAGATCCGGTTCGAGAATGTTACCTTTGGCTACCACCCCGAGCGGCCCATCCTGAAGAACGCAAGCTTTACGATCCCGGCTGGTCAGAGGTTTGCGATCGTGGGGCCCAGTGGGTGTGGCAAGTCAACGATCCTGAGGCTGTTGTTCCGATACTACGATGTGCAGCAAGGGCGAATCCTGATTGACGGGCAGGATATCCGCGACGTCACCTTGGAGAGTCTGCGCAAGGCGATCGGTGTTGTCCCCCAGGATACACCCTTATTCAACGACACCATCGCACACAACATCCGCTATGGTAGAATCGACGCGACCGACGATGAAGTCCGCAAGGCCGCGCAACGAGCGCGGATTCACGAGTTGATTGAGCGACTCCCCGACGGGTACAAGACGTCAGTCGGGGAGCGCGGGATGATGATTTCTGGTGGCGAGAAGCAACGGTTGGCCATCTCTCGACTGCTCCTGAAAGACCCGGAGCTCCTATTCTTCGATGAAGCGGTAGGTTCCAGTCCATGTCCTGCGGTGAGAGGAGGAGCGACGAAAACTAAAACTAACCCGTTGAGTGTAGACGTCGGCGCTGGACACCTACACTGAGCAGGCGCTCCTGCAGAATATCAATAGCATTCTGAAGGAGAAGAAACGCACCAGCGTTTTTGTAGCACACCGACTGCGGACTATCTATGATTGTGACCAGATTCTGGTGCTGAAGGAGGGAAGCGTGGCAGAGATGGGGTCGCACCGCGAGCTACTGGAGCTGGGTGGAATCTATTCTGAGCTCTGGAATGGTAAGCAACTAGGGAATATTTTTTTTTTTAATTTATATTCCGATTGGGTGCAAGCTAACGCCGGTTTTCATGCATATATAGCGCAGGAAACGTCACTCGCTCAGGACCAGGAATATGAGCGCAACGCTGAACATGAAGAGACATCAGACGTGCAGAAATAAACCGGTCCTCCTGATCTTTTCCCCCCTTCTTCCCTAGTTACCTTCAATGTAGGTTGTCTAGATAGGTTGATAGAGACGCTAGTTCTTCCTTGTTGCATTGTGGACGGAACCATTGGGTCACTAGTGACAATATATTTCCGTTTAGTCCGAACAACCGGCGAATTCTAAAAGGACACTAAGACGCCATTTCGTGCGACTTTCTCATATTCTCAGAATATTCAGTACTCTGCGGTGATCAGTCGATAGGGCTCTTTGAGGAGATCTATACTCAGAGGATCGAAAGAAAAAAAAAAAAAAACTTCTATACGAATATCGGTCTATCAAGAATCAATAAAGGGAAAGATATCAATAAGACCCCCTGGCTAGTCCCCGCCCAGTTTAGCGGCGTCCCACCATCGGCTAGTTTCCTTCTAGACTCTTTCTCTCGTTCATTCCCCTCGTTCTCCTTTACTTTCTCTGTGCGGACCGTGGTTCCCCCGTTCTACATATTATCTATCTATCGATCGATCGATCGATCAGACCCCTCGTTCTACCCACATTCATTCCTTTGAATTCCTATCACAAACGTTCTTTCGAATCCATCCAATCACTAAAAATCTACTCTTTTACGACAACCGAAACATCCGGATTCCGCTTTTCTCGCTCCTTTCGGTGAATCTGATCCCTGCCACTCCGTTCGTTGGCCCTTCCTTTCCCCAGATCTAGCCTGTCACCCTCCTCTCTTTCACCCCTGGTCTGGCGGACGACGGTTCGGATATCGTTATTGTTTAGTGTTTACCATTCAGGTGCCACCGGCCGCCTCAATTGCTCGGTTGACGAGGTATCTGGCCCCCTCCCCCCCCTGTTGGGAGTGAGACTGTGGTTTGAGACAGGGTTTCTCTTCCAAACCCTTCCTTTTCCTTCATACTCACCTAGCTCTTAGACGTCCCCGACGATCACACCTTTTCCAGCAATCGTGCCTGTGGTGTCGCGAGTCTCAACGACCATCTTGGCGGAGACCTGTGATACGCCTTCCCACTAGCGATCCTTGAGAACCGACAGAACCCTTTCTCTCTCCCTTGAAGCACACACAATGAGTCTCATCGAGAAGTTACGAACAAGTACGTCTCTCTGGCAGAATGCTGTGCTATTCGTTGGCAGCCAGACACTAACAATTTGCCCACCATAGAGATCGAACTCTACCGACTAGAGCAGCGGTATGCACGTCGCAAGCACCGCAGCACGTTTTCGGGGGTCCAATACGTCGACGGTGAATACGTCTATTCCAATGAGTCAAATTCGTCGTCAGGGACCGTCTCCAAGCACTCCACAGGCAGCTACTGGAAATCTTCCACCTGGGGCTCATCTGGAGACTCGCGGTGGCGGTGATGAATCGACTTGAACCCTCGACGCCTTTCTATTTTGTTTTTGTTTTTGACTCTTATATCCTCGACATTATGTCCCACGTGGAGGATGTCACGATTACTTCTTCGTATGCCTTTTATTTCCAAGTCATGGATCAAGATTATTTACCGAGCGGGAAAAGTTCATGAATTCCTTTTTCGGTTTCTTTCTTGGAGGGGCATGACCCCGAACGAGTGAGATGAGACAATTGGAGATAAACCCTTGCTTCGGCGGCAATGTGATCGACAGCCCTGGGAAACAGTATAACGCATATGCGCTCTGGCTGTCGTCACTGCTGCCTTGGACTATGGTGAGTCACTCATTCATGGTGTCGATCTCACGGACCCAACCTTCTTGCCTTTCTACGGTTTATCTCCCGCCCCTATTTTCATTCATCTTCTTCCATATTCAACTCTACTTCTTGGTCTGGTTCCAAGCGAACGTTGGATCTGTTTGATTTTATTCTATTCGTTTTGTATATTTGCGGGCATTAGCGAGCCTTTCATGGCTTCATCTTCATCTTTCTTCTTCTCTCATTCCCTCGCCTAACACGATCTCTACCATCATCAACACTTCTTCGTACATGAATTTCAAATTAGATTTGTCAAGAGAGTTGAAATGAAAAGATTATGATCTCGTTCAACGACATAGCATGGAGAACATTCCCCTCTGTATTATTATCTTCGAGAAATGTGATTTCTTATAATATAACAGGAATTAGTCCTTGCGTATATATACTGGCCACTAACACCGGTCACCTTTTTTCATTACAACTAAACGCATCTACACCTTTTCTTTTCTTTTCTTGCTCTTTTCAAACAATCACCATCATCGTCTAAACTTCTTTCCTCCAATACCCAACCGTCCCAGGTTAGGAAGACTGGATTTATGTCGATGAGAACCACCTAGAATGGACCCTCCCTTCTGAGGGGCCGAATCCCCTGCAGTCGCCCGACCCTCAACACCGCTGACAATCGCACCTCCTGCACCCCCAGTACCGGTGGCTCCTCCGGGTCCGCCACGAGGAGTATCAGGTAGGGTCTTTTCCCTGTGTCGGGCTTGATCGGCAGATAGAGCGGCAGCCAGCGAGGGATTCTGGAAACCCGGGCCAGAGCCGGAGCCGGAGCCCTCCGGGTCGAAGGGGCGTTGAGAGGCTCTTTGGGACCGGCGGGCTTTCTCTTGGACGGACTTGAATTTGTCGAGTAGCTCGACCCAGCGGATGGAGTTCTCGTCGCGTTTGAGACGGCTGCCTGTGGAGCGGTCGTAAGATGATGAGGACGAGTTCGAGGCCGTATTGCTGCTGCTGGTATTCAGGTTTGGTTAGTGAAATGAAATGCACACGGCTGACATGATTCCTGCTTTCAGGTATCTTTGGAAGAGAGACGTACAGTCGAGGCCCGGTGTGGAGAAGTCCAATGTTACTGACGCTGTTGAGGCGGTTTTTCAGGGCCGCGAAGGCTGAACTTTGCGGAAGTAGCATGAGAACGCCGTAAAGGCATTTGTAAAGATACGGGTATCTCTCTGGCTCCAGCAGCTGGAGGCGAAGGTCTAGCCACAGTTTAATATCGGCCTTGGAAAGGAAGAATTCGGCGGAAATGGGACACTCACATGTGAACACGGGGGATTCCAAGAGTTGGACCAGCTTGTCAATTTGAATTAGCATGTTAACCGTCATTTCAAGCTCGGCACTGTGACTCCTGTTAGTACCGTCCGGTAAAAGATGAGGTAAGAAGGCGCTATACTCACAACACTTGAAGAAGGTTATATGCCTGCTCATAGGCTTGAGCAAGGAGGCATAAAGAAAATGTAGACACTGCATTGTGACACCAGGACCTAAACAGAGCCACAAAAAACATTTGGCCCTCCTATCAAGAATATTAGGGCCCATAATCAGATATATGCGAGGAGTATCGCGTACTTTTGAATCTAGATTCCGCAGCCGTTTACGGAGATCTGAAAGCTCAGGCGCAGTGATCAGGTTGTTGTTCAGGTTTTGAACCATGATACTGGCGAATTCAATATCCTATAAATGCAAGAATGAGTAAGTGGTGGACGGCACGTTTCAAGAGCGGGTCTCACCTCTTCTTTCTCCAGACAGTCAGCAAGGGTTCGATATATGCGTTCTGGACTTAGATTCATGCAGAGCTGCCTAATAATAAGGTTGCCACGGACTTCAAGTAGGTTCCGGTCCGTGGAGAATAGTTGAAGCAGGTTAACCATGAACGATTTGAAATAGCTGTCTTCACTATTCCTCGAGATCTGAGAGAGGAGTTGGAGGTCCTTGGTCACAACTGCTTCTGCAGGATCGGATAGTGTTTTGAGCAGCGCAGGAAAGGTTCCGTCATTGAATGCTACCACCTTTTTGGGCGCCTTCCGATGCAGCATTATCAACCAAGAGAGGGCGGCCACCCTGGTAGCCTCGTTCTCATTTAAAAACTGCAGGGTGAGAGAGTTAACAGCCGCGGCATAATCGAGATCTGCAGGCGGCACCGGTGCTGGCGTAGATACGATGCTGCTTCGTGGGGTTTGCTCGGTTGAAGATTCCGGCTGGACAGACTGCTTCCTCGAGTCGGCCGTTGGCACATCAGTAAGTTTGCTGCTGGTGGTAGATGACCTTCTTTCCACGGATTCTCTACTAGATGAAGGGGTCGGCTTCGCGGATGTAGCTTGTTGCGACTCGTCCGACGGCTCTTCCGACAAAGTAACGATGTATTCCAGCAAAGATGTATTTACTCGGTTCGCAGCCTGCCGTACTTGATCCGATCCACTGGACATTGCTGGGAGCACCTGCGTCAAAAGACGTGGGACGAAAGGTAGTATGTCTTCGGGGCTGATTTCGAAGAAGTTATCAATCCAACGCAGCGCAGTTAGTTGCATCTCCTCATCTGCTCTCACCATCAGCAAGGGCTTATGGCACGATAGTGTTTATATTATTTACCGAAAGAGGTATCGACAAAGCCTACGAGAATATCCAGTATCTTGGCGTGATCGATTTGGACATCCTGCCCGGGGATCCAATCCCCGTCGACGTGCAATCCATCCTCGTCAATGGCAGATTCGGATCCCGAATCTTCAACGGCGTTCTCATTATTCTCTGTCTCAACAGCAACAGTCTGAGCTGTTGTTGTGCTGGCGTTGTCACTTGTAGCCGATTGTCTGATATCGCTTCCTTGCCCTTTCCGACTTTCATCGATCCCTTTTTTAAGCCGTGCGATTCTCTTTATTTCCGAAAGAAGCCGGTCAAGTAGACCTTGAGTGGCCACGTTTACGTCCCTGTTTGTGTCACCAAGAAATTTAATTAACCCGCCTAAGAATTCCGGCAAATATGAAACAAGTTCCAAGTCTGGGATCGTGTCCAACAGTGTCAGCCAGGATACCAAGAACATGCGAGTGAACGCGCTGATAACATGTATCCGTTCCTTTAATAAGGGAATAAATTTTTGAAGCGAAAAGGCGGTTGGAAGCTCCGGTTCCTCTAAGGTCTCCGAGTCCACGTTTTGCTTCTCAGAGAGCTGCAGGACTGAAATATAGGAAGCTGCGGACTCCGAAACAATGTCCTTGACAAGTCTATCGAGAAGCTCTGCGCCATTTTTTACTGAAAGTTCCGAATCAGAAGCTAACTGGAAGCTCGTATCAGCAACAGTGTGTATGGAGGATGGCTGGTCCAGATAAGGCCCGAATGAATGATATACGTACTTTGCTAAGCGCATCGAATATATCATTAAAAAACAGTAATATCTCTCCTTTGGCGACTTTAGAAATGTTGTACATGCTCTCACAAGCGTAATATCGGACTCGGGCATCTTGGTCGGAGAAACAGGCTAAGACTGGGGGAACAATTTCCTTCAGATAAGGTGCAACTCCCTCCTAGTATCTTCGTTTCAGCACCCGGCAGTATAAGTACCAGATATTCCCAAGTGGACTCACAGATCCGAGCGCTATTGAAGCCGCGGCCAACCCAATCAAACCACCGTTTCTCGCGTGAGGTTGGTGCACAGCGTAGGCGTAGTCATGGCAAAGCTGATCCACAATTTTTTGGATTTCCTCATGCTCTCCTTTGAAGACGGCATCTCGGACAACTTTCTCGAGCCTATAAGCCGCAGTTCAATTAGACCAGGTTACTCTGAAGCCGGTTTGGTGGTGGTTCTGATTGTCCCTACTCCAAGGCCCCTTGTTTCCTCCGATCGTATAGTTTGTCATTCAACAGACGTTGGATTGAGTGATCCATCGCTCAAATAAACAAACACAAATTGCAATAAGTCACGAGCACTGGGCCGTTGCTAGATAATGCTCATTGTGAATAAGCAATGTCCGACTGAAACGGTTGGTCAAGCTCACAGCTTTTCAGAGCTGTTCCCAGGCCATCGGTTTCAGAAGTAGCACGCAATAATAAACTGATTAAGATACACTGTGAGCTGCTCGAGCCTCTTCAGCAAGTCGATGTAGGGATCGCTCACTGCAGGATGCGTTGGCAGCGTTGGTAGCGTTGGAAAAGTGGTAGTTTGTTTGTGAACGTGGTGTGACGTAGTCAGCAACGACTCGTCTTGGCTTAAACTGCTCGACTAAGTTAGTCCCGTGCCATACTCTCCACTATCTACCAATATCTGTTTAATATCTTATACTTACTTCCATCCAATATATATGTCCCTATACGAACTTGATTTCTAGAGACACTGAGACTTTAGTCTTTTGGATACCGCCGCTTAATGAGGGTACTTAGAGGCTTGCTCAGTGAGCGCTTACACATGGCTCCCTGAGCTGCTCACCCCCCTTTATTTTTGACGGATAGTATGGCACTGGTGCTAAAATAATTATCTCTAAAATGCCCATGTCTGTTTATATGCCCGTAGAAGAGTAACGCAAGTAGAAAACTAATGGGAATTGAATATCTACTAAGTGGTAAAATTACCCAGAGCAAGTATGCACAATCACAGACCTAGTAAACAAACTGTGCATTGTGATTGCGATTGCGATTGCTACGAATCTATAAGTACGCCAATTCTTCTCCCATTTTAAGGACTATGTATTCCACAAGAGCTTAGGATTTTACCAAAATTATTCTCATTATTATCCTTTTATTTGTTCTGCCTTCTCTTCCATGCTATTCTTTTCTTCGCCATTGGCTGACCATGGGTAAAAGATCCTTTTGACGAGATGAAGATGTCCGGAGAAAATGCCGAGATCGCATGGAAAGCGGCTATATTTCGAGAGCTCACCAAGATAAAGACGCTGTAAGAAGCAAACATAATCGTCTTAACAAAGTAAAGAACTGTAACATCAATATATTCTTTTATAGAGTGGGCCATCTTACAAGCGGCTCGCACTATCGGACGTACTAATCTTCTTTTATCAGATTCCGTATAGAAGAAAAATATAAACCAGCTGCCTACAGGTTCAAAGCTAACTGTCCTGCTCCGGATATTGTTTGCATCAAAGATTTCATCCACTGGTATATAGATTTCAGCTGCAGGCCAGGGAGGCTTAGTAAAAACAAAAAGGTGACAATTAGGAGCACTTTGGTATTTGCTGAAAGATTCTTTGGCGGCTTTTTAAGGAAGCTACGATAAGAAAAATCCTGCAAGAAGACCGGTCGGAGATATATTCTGTAGGTATTTCTCTATCGATAAGGAATGCCCGGCTAAAGCTGCTTCAGTGGGTTAAAAAGACATAATAGGAGCTATGCTCGGCATCGTAGCATCGCCCATTACTACATAACAATCCGGTAATCTGGTCATGCGAAAACACCACAGGCATGAATCAGGGCAGAGGAGATGGTGAGAGTTGCTCTACATCACCTTAATGGAGGACAGCGGTGAAGTGAGATGCAAACATCATCTACGCATACCCATACCCCTTTATTCATTAAGACGTTATATTAAATAAGTATATTTAATAGCTCTTGATTAACACATACGACCATAGGGTGTGGGGAACAGGGCTTCCTGTCCGCTTAGCTGTACTTAAACTGCATAATAAACGCGGTTAAATGGTACATGAGCCTTGTATAAATTGCCACTTTATGGGTGAGCGCCGCTGATTGATAATTGATCATTAACAGCCGATCATCGATCATCGCTGATAATTTCTTGGCACTTGTAAAGGTGCGAAATGCCTTGCTATCTAATAACTAGATAGTACACAAAGAGGAATCGCTGAGAGAAAGAAAGTAAAGGGGAAGAAGCGTGCGTCATACTACGAGGGGTCATGTGACTGTAATAAGCGGACCAACCATGTGTGCCGATTGCAGCGAATGCGAAGCTAAGCAATATACAGGCGTAGCCTGGGACAGCACTTAATACAAAAATACGCTGTCTAATTAACTGCTTAAAAACTGCTTATAATATAAAACACCGTGGGAAAAAGGAAAATGAAATTCAATTGTATTAATAAGAAATATAAATAGTTCGCGCGGAAGGATCCTGCTGATTAGTGGTCTTAGCAGTCACATGAAACAGAACTGGTGACGTTGAAACGTTCTAAAGGTGGTGTCACCTTTGTATAACAGATATCGCGTGCTTCTTGCATTGTTTGTACTTACTTATTTACTTCTCCGCATCCCCCGCACTACCTTCTCCCTTTCCCCATGCTTGAAATTCTTGTTAATTAAGATAGCACCAATTTAATCAAGTTGCTCGGCCGTTACATTTGTACACTAGTTGGATTAACTCCGCGGACGTTTATGGTTTATGTAATCAAGACAAATCAGACTCTTAATTAGTTAAACAGCTGCACAAAAGCCTTAATATAAAACAAGTAAATATTGGAATTTGCATGCTTGCTGGACACCATCTAATAAACACTCTGATATATCGTGGAACTCTTAATATAACATTTTCATGTGTCTTCTTCATCTCGGAATTTCTATTAACTGCGGATGGCGTCCTACTTGCTCCCATTTTTATATCGTTGTTATATATTTTCTGTAATAATTCCCTGTAGCAGGCAAGTGAGACTGCTCATTGTAGACACGGTTTGATTTCCGAAATACCTTGCTGTACCTGGCTATGAATCCGCAAAATCCTTATCAGTTAACTGATACAAACCCTTCCCTATCTCTCCATTGATTTTATACTTCTCCCCAACAGCAAGCTCCTCCGGGATTTCAACATTCCGCTGATAGCATGTAGATATATTATTAATATCCATTTCCTCGCCTATTTCAAGACGCCCCTCCCGAATAATATTCTGATAGCCATCCAAGAAAAGTAACCAAGGCTTATTAGTCTTAAATGCTCTCTATCCAAGATTAAAAGCATCGACTAAATAAAGCATGTCTGTAGACTAAGTGCAGTATTCTTAATAAGCCTCTTTGGATCCTCCTTCCACATATTCGGCTTATTCTGCTTCATCGAATATAATAATCACTTAAAGTCTTCTCGTTTAGAACTTATATCTTCCTTATTATAAGGGCATCGTTTGCAGCCGTGCGTAGGACCAGCCACCTCTGGTAAAATGTCGTACATACGCTGCCAGTTAGAGCCAAAAATTAAAAACTCCACATTGTCAAGCAATGCCCAATATTCTGCACTGTAGAATAAATTGCTATCTCTAGTCCATTCCCTTATTCTGGCATCGGCATCATCGTCTGGATTATAATATGTGCGAAGAACAACAGGATATATATCACTAAACATATTGCTTGCTTGCCAACGAATATTATCGTAAGAACGCCAGGGCCGAAGAATAATATTAATTTCTTCCTCTGCTGGCAGACGTGGAGGGGGATCTTCGAAAATTCCCAGGTTTCGGGAATTTCCTCCATCTCAAGAAACTCCTGAATGAGTCGTTGTCGTTGCTGGTTGGGTTCTTCGGACGAGGAATGAGACCAGTTTCTCTACTGAAGTTAGCGACCATATGAAATAGCCTGTTCACATACATGGAGATCCTACAATCAGATATTGTTCGACAATGATTGTGCCCCAAGGAGGCGGATAATCATCAACTTCTTCCTCCCTTATGAGCGTTAAGGGCGGTTGGAAGAGGAAAATAAAAGGAGGATTTCAGGTAATGGGACCGAGCCTAATATCTGACAAATTCAAGGCTCGAAATTTCGCATTGTTCGGTCGATATCTCGAAGGGGATGGGGGAAGCACTGGTAAAAGAGGCTGAGGATTGAATTTAAAGAGCTGTAAGCAGTGCACCCACGTCTGATGCTGATAAGGCAACCATCAATAGGCGGCCTATTTTTTGATATCTCTCGTGCGTAAAAAATTTTCGGAGTTGCTGGTATGGTAAAGACATTTTCTCTATAGCGGGGCTAGGGTATTGATGTAAATCTGGTAGTGGCATCGATTTTAGTACCTGTATCTTTATCAACTGCTTAGCGGTGAAGAAAAGATGGGCAGACAGGACAATGGGTACATAGCTTAAGATAGGTCGTTAATTTTGAACAGAATTAGAGTTCTGATGAAGCAAGCTTGGATAAAAAGAAATAGTGCCATCTCTAACTAATAGGCAGGGAGGGTTTTATAACACATCGCCGGTATAGAATCATTGACTATTGTCATCCTCAGCAGCAAGCCGTCGTTACCATTGGTAGCAAATGGTGAAAAGTGATACAGAGGGATATAATTGCTGGTAAACTAGCATGGTGTACTTTACTGAGGCTACCTGCTCTAATGCCATATTGAAAATAACACTCCATTCGCCATTTGTCCTCAAAAAGAGAACCAAAGACTCAAAATGCATATTCGTCGTAATAATATCCCAAAAACATAAAACAAAGTAAAATAAAAAACAGCAAGCAAAATTAATAAATTAGGCCAACAAGCTTAATGGCTGATGTATTGGAAAACCGCAGAGACATCTTGTTCTCCTGTCTCCTGTCGTATGAGCAAATCCTGGATCTTGCTTAGTTGACCCTTCTCGCCATCATTCACAAAGTGGTTCCAAGAACTAGTGTCACCGTAAAGCATAGCAGGTGCCTTTATATACTGCGTTCCATCTGGCTTGCACCGCTTGCATTTGAAAGTGTCATGCGTGTCACTCCGAGTCTCCGGTTTAAACTGGAATAATTCACGAAGGGACTCCAAAGAAAAGTGTCGTTCCACGTCTTCGGCCGAATCGACGACACAGGACGAAAGAGATTGTTTGTGCGACTGGCGTTGAAATATCTTCTCCTCAATTGATCCGGTTGCGATGAATCGATAAACAAAACAGTCTTTCTTCTGACCGTCTCGCCAAACTCGTGCCAAAGCCTGTTGGTCTGCAGCCGGGTTCCAATCGGGATCGAAGAGAACGAGGCGGTTTGCACCTATCAGATTTAGGCCACATCCACCAGCCTTGCTGCTGAGGAGGAAGACAAACTCTTCCCCATCTGGATTGTTGAATTTGTCGACAAGTTTCTGCCGTTTGTTCACAGTCATGGTACCATCTAATCTTAATGAGCCGTACCCTCTGGACCTGCAGAGCTTCTCGAATAAATCGAGTGTTTGAGTGTAGTTACTAATGAGGACAATTTTGTCGTTGGTGTCCTGGCGTATGCGTGCAAGCATCCTGTCCAAAACCATCATCTTCCCTGAATACCAGGATTTAATATCTCGATCACGCCCTCTTGCTTCAGGTGAAACGTAGTCATCTGGAAATGTGAACTCGCAGCCTGGAAGGTCACTGGAAAGATTCAGTAGGTCCGGATGGTTGCAAAGCTTTTTCAACAGCCCAATTGCCTTCAAAGGCTGGCTTCCTTTGCCCCTGAGCAAGCTTCTAATCTCCGGGCTCTGGATGAAGTGGTTGTATAAGTCGAGTTGGAACGGTGATAGGTTGCAGAAAACGACATGCTCGTACTTGACTGGCAGATATTTCGACAGTATGTCATTTGTGCGGCGGATGATAAATTTGTTGACAATACCGGAAAGCTCTGCCAGCCGCTCGTCGCCTTTTTTTCTGTCCTCTTCTGTTCCTGCTGCATCTCTTCCTCGAAGAATAGGCAATTCAAATCTTTTCCGAAATTCATTTTGTGACCCCAGCAAGTCCGGGTTGGCGAAATTAAGGAGAGCAAAGTACTCTGAAAGGTCGTTCTGGATGGGGGTTCCAGACAGAATAACGCGGCGTTGCACGTTCAAGCTGTTGAGCGCAGTCCAGGTCAGACTGTCTTTGTTCTTGAGCCGATGACCTTCGTCGCATAGAAGTAGCCCAATCGGGCTGTCTTTCAATGCTTCAACGTATAAACGGAGCGTTTCATAGGACACGATGAGCACGGGCCGCACAACAGAACGACCGGAAGCAATGGCCCATTGCTTGATTTGAGAAGTAAGCTCTGTCTTAGAAGCCTTGCCGTCAACTGCAAATGGCGTGGTGGCATCCTTCCCCAACCATTTCCCTATACCGGTCAATAGATCTCGGGCATAAATTGTAATACAGTTTACCTACCTATCTCATTGGCCCAGTTCCCTACCAAGCTCGACGGGCAAGCAATGATACATTTTTGAATAGTGGTCTTTCCTGCTTCTGGGGATTGCTTGAGAAGGGTCCACATTAACGAAATACATTGAAGCTGGCATTGTTAGTTTTGCTACCCTAGAAATGGCCCAGGTCTGTCATACCGTCTTGCCTAATCCCATCCCATCTGCCATGATACAGCCATGTGCGTTCTTATCGACAACTCCAGTGGTGCAACGATAAAGGAACTAGGTACGGCCTAGATCAGCCAATCGTCTCCCTGGTTTGTAGAAGAATATCTTAAAAAACCTTAACGCCTTCAATTTGATGAGGTCGTAAGACCTTTGCCAGTCTCGGATCAATCACTACCGGAACTCTCGGGCGGGATTCAACCTTCTTCTTAAGCCCAAGGATATCTGCCAAACTCTTGTGTACCAATGGCTCATCCAATTTCTGTTTCGTTTCTTCAGGCTGATCCTCTTCTTTTTTTTTCAGCTCATCGACTGGGTCAATATCATCAACAGTCGGATCATACAATACTATCGCAAACTCTCCACTGGGATCGTGCAGAGGTTTCACAACAAACGTCGCCCCCTGTCTCATGCCCAAAGTCGGTGCCGGCCTGCCTGCATCAAAATTGCTCTGTGATTTATTGATTAACGGTATCCTGAACTTTTGTTTAAATGCCGTCTCCTTATCTTTAGCCTTAAATACGGGAAACCTGTTCACGTCCCTAGTTGCGAGAGCAAGTCGGTCTTCGTTGGTGTACGGCTTCGTGCTATCGTCTTGGACACTTCCATCCGCCCCGGCATAGTTCACTTTTCTTCGCTTCCTTGCCGGTTTCTCCGATGTCCTTGTGGGCGTAGCAGAGCCGGGACACTTGAAAGGCTTTGATAGACGGTCAATAGATAAGGATGCATTGGTTTTGGGGTACTTGGACGATGGCGTGCCCTCGCCATCTTGTCTGGAGATTAGTCGCGGTCGATACCTTAAGAGATTAGCATTGATTCCAGGAATAAATTGGAAACGACTGCCTTACATTGAGCAAAGTTTGGAAGTAGGGATAAAAGCTACTGCATCCGGTTTGCGTGAGAAGAATGTAGTTTGCAGTCGCAGTTATCATGCAGCAATTGATGTCAAACGCGTTTCCTCTGATCTGGACGTGTTGGTACTTTCGGCTTAGAACACCAAACTATCGCGAGGCCACGTGATCTAACATTGCCTCGGTGCCCCGCTGCCCCGAAGTGGCGAACTTAGTAGGGGGTAAATAATTAGACAGCCATGGATTGGTATTTACAATTGCTCATTGCTAAGATCGAGCCTCATGTCGTCAGATTTTTGGGCTGGCTACCTTAGCGGAGCCATTGGAATTATCATTGGGAATCCGCTAGATCTCGTCAAAGTTCGACTACAGGCAGGTTGTGCGGAGGCAAATGCATCTTCCCCGCATGTGCATCTGAACCGCTTCGACAATGTTCGCTCTCTGGTGCGAGGTATGCCCATCGTTGTGGAAAGTCTAGACTCTAGAAAAACAAACTACTAACCCTAATAATAGGCGCTGCCGCTCCCATCCTTGGATATGGGGCCCTCAATGCCCTTCTGTTTGTCGCTTATAATCGATCATTGGTGTTTTTGGATAACTCAGTGACTGATCCCACGAATCCCCAAACCACTACGCTCTGTAAGATATGGATTGCTGGTGCAATAGGTGGAGTGGCTAGCTGGGCTGTCTCTTCCCCGACTGAATTTATCAAATGCCGGGCGCAACTTGACACACGGCCTGGAGTTTCTTCTTGGACTGTTGCCAAAGACATCCTCCAAACCCGTGGTTTGAAGGGCCTGTATTATGGGGGTGCAATAACCTGCGCCAGGGATTCCGTTGGATATGGATTTTAGTATGTTATAATTTTTGAGAACGATCCTTCCTCGAACCTCCTGCGCTAGTTCAACATTGACTAACGCAATGCAGTTTCTGGAGTTACGAATATTGCAAACGCTGTATCACATCCGACGACGATGGCGCTAGAAAAGCTGCTCTAAAAATTCTTCTTTGCGGCGGGGTCGCTGGCGTTGCTACATGGGCCTCAGTGTTTCCCTTGGATGTAATTAAGACGAGACTACAGGCGCAGACCATTGCGATACAACCTGAGAATCGCTTATTATTAAGATCCCAACAGGGGGGTCAGCTGCTAAACTCGTTTCAGCTTTTTAGAGAGACATATCGGGCTGAGGGGCTAAGAGTCTTTTACCGTGGCTTAGGAATCTGCAGCGTGAGGGCATTTATTGTAAATGCCGTTCAAGTAAGTCTCCATCGAAACCTATGAAAGCTAATACCGGGAATACTGATTTAACGGACCAGTGGGCAACATATGAATGGCTTATGAAATCCTTGACCAACTCGTGGACACAAGCACCGCTTCAAGGACTTATGAATGAAGTATATGAGACATGACAAAAACATTTGGCCGCTACTAGCAAACATCCTGTCTGCAGTAATATAGCAAATTTATCATTGATCTACACTCGTCGTGCAGTACATATTTATCCAGCTGGCGAGGTTCTATGATGTATATAATGGCTGGGCTGGTAGTGGTTGTACATAGAGAAAATATATTCTGTTCTGAAGTACCAATTTACCCCTAAAAGGGGCTATGCTTGTTATTCCTGATGACAACAACGCAGAAATTCTATATACCTATATTATGTAAACATTTTTGGTTATTTGCCCTGGAATTGCCGAAAATGGGGAGAAGAAGTAACTCGGAATGCCCTCGGTATCTTCGTGGCTTTGATAAGTGAGACTATTTTACGTTCACATGCCTATTAATACTTAGTATTTGAATTCAGCTGAGGTTACAGCCTCTCTCTCTGTATATGCGCGATAGTTGAGCAGCCGGATACAAGGAGAAGGGCTACCACTTAATACTGCATATGCTTCTTAATTACTTCTTTCCACCCACTAATTAGCTTTCAATGGGCAATTTTCCCTAGGCAAGAAGAACAGACCAATAAGACAACGGCAAAAACAAGCAGGATGGATTTAGCCCGTGTATCTGACAATTCAATTGCGTACATTGGCTCTATGGATAGGGTTGTATTATTGCGGCTTGTAAATGAATTTCTTCTTAATGGAGTACAAGTGAGCTGATTTGAGTGGGGCCTTTCTATACATACTCCGAGAAACGGCGCTTTGAAAAGGGTTTCCGTACCACAAACCAGCGTACTCGGTAAATCTGTCGAAGACAGGCGGTTTTCGGCAAAATGTGGTTTCACGTGTTGCCCCAGATTGCGCTGGTTGCTGATTGGATGACAAGTTTGCTATGAGCTCAACCAATCAGATTGCCTTCGAGACAACGACAGCGAGATATACGAAAATTTTTCTTGATGAAGCCTCCTTGTTTTGGCACAGAGCCCTCCCAAACAAGGTGTGAATATCTTCTGCCCCGTAATGAATTCTACCGAAGCAGATGCCTATTAATTATGAGCTGACCCTGGGGATTTATTCCTCCATGTCGACCTCAGGCTCTTTCGAACGTTCACCATTATCTGTGCGCAAACCCACGACAGCTTCAGCGAGTTTTTGTGTATGAGGTTCCTCACGTAGTATGCGGAGTCTGCAATTGATAAAGCAAACGGTTCGAGTTAGCATATAAGACTGCAGGGTAACTATAGCGCAGAACAAAATTACTTGACTCTGAAAACTGACCTTCGTTTATGGTTTTTGCCCTTTCTATGTGCAACTAAGTTGTGCTCGCTTTCAAACCATTTGGAGCACTCAACACAATAATGTTTCCCTAGACCTGGAAGATCTTCCGCATCTTTTGTTGCTTTGTACTGCGACAAATGCTTGGGGGATTCAATATCAGCCCGGACTTGGTCATAACCCCTGCAGACACATTACATGTTGTTAGTGTGATGAAACAGGAAGGATTGAGCGACATAATTGTAAGATAAAATTAGAGCGCAGTACCTAGTCAGACGCTTCGTCTTGATTCTTCTTACAGGTGCCATATTTGATGCCTGTTTTCCAAAAGTGGTCTGAATCAGGTTTGGTGAGAGTCGCCAAACGATTATCACCGATATACGGAATGAAACTGGAGCTTTAGTTGCGAGTGCGGGTCGTCTTGATGGAAATTTCCGCCCGATTGTGCGAAAGAATTTCACGAAACATGTCGCTCGCTATTGGCCACAGCCTGCCTGGTCTTGGTCCCCTGGTCCACGGATGTGCCATCGGTAGGCCTCGGCTCAGACTCGGGTCAGTCCGCACATTGGCGGTCGTACGGTCACCTTTCCGCCCTTCGTAATTTATGACGTTACTACTTTTCGGCACACTACTCCCGTTCAGACTAGGATTACCCATTTGCGTTTCAAGGGAAATAATACAATGGATACACTATTACTACTAGGATTCCAAACATCTGTGTATATATACTGTCATGAATTGCAATGGAATCGAGCAATTTGGGATATCTATGTCATAGTGAGGTTGGAATTCAACGGAGTGTGGATTACCACGAATCCATGATGTAGGTTGGAGTCTCCCTGGGAATAAAAGAATGTAATCATGTGAGCTTGATTGGCCGACTGCATGGCTACCCGCCTCACATGCGCCGGTCCACCCGACAGGGTCAGGTTGGTAACGTTACCATCCACGTATTGCTGGTTGCATGGCTAAATAATGAGTACTCGTACTGTTAATACATCCCTGACGGCATATTGACGGCAAAGGGGCTCCATTGAATTAAGAAACGATCTTACAGCTCCGAGGAATAGCATTCTGTTTATTGGAGAGTAGATTGAATTCCAACCTAGTTTAACAGGGACAATTTTTCTTCTGCGCTTGCTGTCTAGATACTACGGAGTATCAAGTCGCAAAGGAGCAGTCGTGCCGGTTGGGTTGCCCAGCCACACTTCCTTGTCTCCGGGTTGGTAACTGGGTGCCCCGAAAGCGTACAGCTCCTGTATTGTCATGAGCGGTTACGCCGGTTCAGTCAGCCAAAGAATTCTTTCCCACTCTAAAAACACCAAGCTTCCTTTTATCTACTCCATTCCCTTTTATTCTTAAACTCTCCTTCTTTTCTTTCTCTCCCTCTCCACTCCAATCCTGCTGCTTCCACTGATTGAAGCCAGCTTCTTTTGCTGCTTTGAATTAGCTCTCATTGGATGTGTTGAGGCCTTGACCACCTCCCATAGAGAGCTTCCATCATGATCTCCACAAGGCTCGCGCGCATGGGTGCGCTGGTACGTCTCCCCTCCATTTTTGCTCTTATGAGCATGGTAGAGCCCCCCCTACGTTAAGCGGTGACTATTAGCTTGCATGGGCTTGAGGCTTCTGAAACAGTGCTGACTATGTTTTCCTGCAGGCCCCTAAGTCCCGCCTTGTAAGCTCTCTTGCTCGTTCTCCGTAACAGGTGACAAGTGCACTGCGAGAAAATTGCAGCGACCTTGCGCTCCGCTGAGACCAGGTACTGATATGTTATACAGCTCCTTGGGACCCGGGGTCTGGCCACTGTCAGCGATTCGCCCCTCGACAAGAAAGTTGAGATGGCCAATTCGGAGAAGGTGAGTGGTGTCAAATTCCCACCGGTTGTATCTGGATAGGCGGATATTTCCGTATTCGGAAAGCAGCATTTTACTGATGACATTTTTTAGGGCAACTACATTAACTACAAGTATGGTGGAACCTTGATCCTATTTATTCCGTTGGAAGCCTTTCACTCCCCTTTTTTGAAAGGGCTTTATTAAAAAAAAAAAAGAACAAATAATAAGTTGAGAGACAGAATATTGGCTAACATGTTCGTCAAAAATTTAGGAAGATGTCTGAGAACTTGGAAATTGTTCGCCGTCGTCTGAGCCGTCCTCTCACCTACGCCGAGAAGGTCTTGTACTCTCACCTCGACGACCCTCACGGCCAGGATATTCAGCGTGGTACCTCCTACCTTAAGCTGCGCCCCGACCGTGTGGCTTGCCAGGATGCCACCGCTCAGATGGCCATCCTTCAATTCATGTCCGCTGGAATGCCGTCGGTTGCCACCCCTACCACTGTCCACTGCGACCACTTGATTGAAGCTCAGATTGGCGGAGAGAAGGATCTTGCTCGTGCCAATGAAATCAACAAGGAGGTCTATGACTTCCTGGCCTCTGCTACTGCTAAGTACAACATTGGTTTCTGGAAGCCTGGTTCCGGTATCATTCATCAGATCGTTTTGGAGAACTACGCTTTCCCCGGTGGTCTTATGATTGGTACTGACTCCCACACTCCCAATGCTGGCGGTCTTGCCATGGCTGCTATTGGTGTTGGTGGTGCCGACGCTGTCGATGTCATGGCCGGACTTCCTTGGGAATTGAAGGCCCCTAAGGTTATCGGTGTTAAGCTTACCGGTGAGATGTCCGGATGGACTACTCCTAAGGATATCATCCTTAAGGTTGCCGGTCTTCTCACTGTAAAGGGTGGTACTGGTGCCATCATTGAGTATCACGGTCCTGGTGTTAACTCCCTGTCCTGTACTGGTATGGGAACCATCTGTAACATGGGTGCTGAAATCGGTGCCACTACCTCCATGTTCCCCTTTAACGACCGCATGTACGACTACCTGCGTGCCACTAAGCGTCAGCACATTGGCGAGTTCGCTCGTTCGTACGCTAAGGAGCTCCGCGAAGATGAGGGCGCTGAATACGACCAGCTGATTGAGATTAACCTGTCGGAGCTTGAGCCTCATGTCAACGGGCCTTTCACCCCCGATCTCGCTACTCCCATCTCCAAATTCAAGGAGGCCGTGGAGGCCAACAAGTGGCCTGAGGAGCTCAAGGTCGGTCTCATTGGCTCCTGCACCAACTCCTCGTACGAGGATATGTCCCGTGCTGCCTCCATCGCTCGGGATGCCCTTGACCACGGAATCAAGTCCAAGTCTCTTTTCACTGTTACCCCCGGTTCCGAGCAGATTCGTGCCACGATTGAGCGTGACGGCCAGCTGCAGACTTTGGAAGAATTTGGTGGTGTCATTCTCGCCAACGCCTGCGGTCCTTGTATTGGACAGTGGGACCGCAAGGACGTTAAGAAGGGCGAGCCCAACTCCATCATTTCCTCCTACAACCGTAACTTTACCGGCCGTAACGATGCCAACCCTGCCACCCACGCGTTTGTCGCATCTCCCGACCTGGTCGTTGCTATGACCGTTGCGGGGACTCTCAAGTTCAACCCCCTTACAGATAAACTGAAGGATAAGGATGGCAACGAGTTCATGCTCAAGCCTCCCTCCGGTGAGGGTCTTCCTGCTAATGGATATGACCCTGGCCGTGACACCTACCAGGCCCCTCCTGCGGACCGTGCTAGCGTCAATGTTGCTGTCTCTCCCTCTAGCGACCGCCTGCAAGTACTTGCTGGATTCCAGGCTTGGGATGGAAAGGATGCTACCAACATTCCTATCCTGATCAAGTGCCAGGGCAAGACCACCACTGACCACATTTCCATGGCTGGCCCATGGTTAAAGTACCGTGGACATCTTGACAACATCTCCAACAATATGCTGATCGGTGCTATGAACGCCGAGAACGGCGAGGCCAACAAGGTTAAGAACGCCTTTACTGGTGCCTACGATGCTGTCCCCGCTACTGCTCGCGACTACAAGGCTCGTGGTGTTAAGTGGGTTGTTATCGGTGACTGGAACTACGGCGAAGGTAGCTCTCGTGAGCATGCTGCTTTGGAGCCTAGACACCTTGGTGGACTTGCTATTATCACTCGCAGCTTTGCCCGTATTCATGAGACCAACTTGAAGAAGCAGGGTATGCTTCCTCTGACCTTCTCCGACCCCGCCGACTACGACAAGATCCAACCCACCGATACCGTTGATCTGCTCTGTACTGAACTCGAGGTCGGCAAGCCCATGACTCTCCGTGTCCACCCCAAGGACGGCGCTTCCTTCGATGTTAAACTGAGCCACACCTTCAACGAGTCCCAAATACAGTGGTTCAAGGATGGCTCCGCTCTTAACACCATGTCTCGCAAGGCTAGTAACTAAATTAATAGTTACGGCATACACGACGCCTAAGCCTTATTTATTTGGGCTGAAGCTTCGATGTGTAAAATATGATTTATCTGTTTCTATCGATCAAGAGGAGGCATTTCGCCCCAACGACTTACGGGATGCCAGGTGACCCGCACTCGTAGGGGTAGGTGATTAGCTCCCTGCACGTCATCGCACTGGGGATATTAGCGGCTGCTAATGGTATTTCTTTATGATGGGAAATGTGGAGTCGAGTTCAAAAAATTTAACGATCTGCTTATTTATTTGCCTCTGCCTTTGCTTTGTACTCTGAGTTTGGGGACTACATGGATATAGTCTTGGCTTTTTTTTTTTTTATATTTATATCACCTGTATGTTAAGGACTGCATCCATACCATATTTCCTTCTGTTCACCTTGGTTTACTCCGTCCAATTCCTTTCTGCATGGTCAATTGACAGAATATCTTCGTCCGTAGTCCCCTTCGACAACTCAACGACAATGCTTAAACCAATTCATACGTGTGCAGGATCTATGAAGCGCTTAAATCACGAACATTTTGATGTGGCTGACATAAGATTGCGTGCTCTTAACCTAGTACTAACTACCGAGGGACCCGACTCCGCGTGTTTGCCCCGCTTTGTTAGATAGCATCATATCTTGTATGTAGTTTCAATCCCTCGTTTTCCCTCGAGAACTACCCGGCCTGTGAGCTACAGCCGTTCATGAACCACTCTTGAAAGTGCTGTTTGATTTGATTCATGCACGATTGATGCCCAGTTATGGCCACTCAACTCGTTCCTTTACCGGAAGTGGAGAGGCTAAGTGCTTCGGTGGTGAGGATATTAGGTGGAAATCCTGGCAAGGTAGGTTAGCATTATGTCGTTCATGGTCCTACACGAATCCCAGAATCTCTGTCTCTTTCCAGATCTTTCGTAGCGCAGAGAGAGATGGGAGTGATTTTCTTTTTCCTTTTCCTTTTCTTTTTCTTTTTCTCTTCCCCCCCCCTTTTTGTCCACATGCTGAACCCCAGCAATAGTTCACGCTCCAAGGTAGACCTTTTCATACCCGTGTTTTCGGGATCTCACGACCTGACGTACATTTATCTAGGAACGAACACATACCTGATCGGTCGAGGGCATCAACGGATTCTCATTGACACAGGTGAAGGCAAACCTACCTGGGCATCTCAACTTCAAGCCATACTATCGCAAGAAAATGCGACGGTGCACAAGGCGCTCCTTACACATTGGCACGGCGACCATGTCAATGGAATTCCAGACCTGCTGAAGATTTGCCCCAAAGTAACTGTTTACAAACGCCAACCGGAAGAAGGACAGGAAGACATTGAAGACGGTCAGGTCTTCAGTGTTGAAGGAGCCACTCTGAGAGCTTTTCATACACCCGGTCATACGGTTGATCATATGGCGTTTATCCTCGAGGAGGAAGATGCCCTCTTTACAGGGGATAGTAAGTCGTGTTTTTGTCTCTTTCTTTTTCTTTTTCTTTTCTTTTTCTTTCTTTTTCTTCCTTTCTTTCCTTTTCCTTTCTGGTCTAGATTAAGTAGATTATGGACTAATTTTACTTCTCGCTAGATGTTTTGGGGCACGGGACTGCTGTATTTGAAGATTTGAAAGTCTACTTGAACAGCCTGCAACGAATGCAGAACCGGGTTGCTGGACGCGCGTATCCCGGCCATGGGGCAGTGATTGAGAACGCCACCACAAGGGTTACCGAATACATCAAGCATCGACAACAGCGGGAAGATGAGGTGATTCGGGTCTTGCGATATGGCGGACTGGACGTCAACGATGAACAATCCCCAGAAAGGAAGCCATCCATGTCCCCTATTGAGTTGGTCAAGGTGATTTATCGAGATGTCCCGGAAAGTCTTCACCTGCCTGCGTCGCACGGAATCCTGCAGGTATTGATGAAATTAGAGGCCGAAGGGAGGACAACCCACGACACGAAGACCGGCAAATGGAGATTGGTGGATAAGTCTACACTGTGATTGCACCTAGACGACGCCCACGGTGGCTGGATCTGATGCAGGACACACATAGTGCTGTATGTGCAGGGGGGGAAAGAAAGGGCCGCAATGCATTATAACTCAAGAACAAAGGAAACTAAGGTAAGACGGAGTATGGGGTAGGAATAGATTTATCTCTTTATGAGGAATCAATTGTAGTATTTACTAAATACTAAACAAACCTAAGGTAGTTTTAGTGGCTACTGGTGGGGTCACCGCACTCGCATCTGACCTCATTGCCTAGACTTTCCGCCCAGTACCACCTTCCTTTCATCCCTGCTGCCCCCTCCACTATCACCATCGTCTTGTCTGGCCCCTTCGGACGTCAACTGATCTGCTCATTTCTTTCTTGCCCAATCTCGCCCGGCAAAATTGAAAAGATACATGAAAGGGCACAGGTTTGGTCGATGAGCTTGCTAGTGAAGAGCCTGTATGACCTACCGCTTACCGTATTAGCAACCGTTGTTTTCTTGCTCAGACTTGGATCGCTTTGGTCTACGCGCTTGGCCGACTTCTAGGCTCCGAGTCTGAGGTCACTTACGTCCTATTGTCTCTTTGCCCCCCGGCGGGCTGCCTTGGACAGACAGCTAGCTGTCGCCCCGACCACGGCGAGCTGGTCTTGATTCACGCCGCGTACTCGATTCCCATATCCATCGGTCTTTGCCGGGTATATCGGACCGTACTATTTCTTTCTTCCTTTTTTGACCTGAGTTTGCAACTATTTTCAATTTTGTCTTATTTCCCTGGAGAGATCCTGATTCTTTCTTTGCATCTTTATAGGCACTTGCGAGTTTTCTATTTTCATTTTAAATATTCTTTGTGCATCTAACAGTAGAGTTTGGTATCTGTCCTCGAGCTTAATTCCGCTTGATAATTGCCTGTCTTCGCGGGTTACTATCGCATATACAAGCCTCTGATCCTGTCGCTGAGATGCCGTCCCTTGAAACCTCTACAAAAAATGACGCAAGGCTGCTCCTTGTCTCAAATCGATTACCCATAACCATAAAACGCTCAGAGGATGGCAGGTATGATTTCTCCATGTCATCAGGTGGCTTGGTCAGTGGCCTCAGCGGCCTGTCGAAATCCACGACCTTCCAATGGTACGGTTGGCCCGGGTTGGAGGTTCCCGAAGAGGAGGTTCCTGTTGTCAAACAGCGGTTGAAGGACGAGTACGGGGCCATCCCAGTGTTCATTGATGATGATCTTGCGGATCGCCATTATAATGGCTTTTCTAGTTAGTCCATCTTTTTGCGCTCTGGAGTCCGCAGCACCAATGTTTTCATGGAAAAGCTCGGATTGGGTTTTATGCTGACAAGCTCCTTATATTAAATAGATTCGATTTTGTGGCCCCTTTTCCACTACCACCCAGGTGAAATTACCTTTGACGAATCCGCTTGGGAAGCATACAAGGAGGCCAACCGCCTTTTTGCCAAGGCAGTCGCGAAGGAGGTTCAGGACGGCGACTTGATCTGGGTACACGATTACCACTTGATGCTTCTCCCTGAGATGCTTCGGGAGGAAATTGGAGGCAAAAAGGAGAATGTTAAGATTGGGTTCTTCCTCCACACACCTTTTCCAAGCAGTGAGATTTATAGGATTCTCCCGGTCCGGAATGAACTGTTACTAGGAGTCCTCCACTGCGATCTCATAGGCTTTCATACCTACGATTATACACGACATTTCCTGAGTGCTTGCTCGCGTCTGTTGTACGATGAGTCCCATCTCCGAATTGTCACATATGGCGGCTAACATGGTTTCCTCAGAGGGTTGGCAACAACTCCCAATGGTATAGAGTTCCAAGGCAAGATTATTGCTTGTGGCGCATTCCCGATCGGCATTGACCCGGAAAAATTCCAGGAGGGCCTTAAGAAGGAAAAAGTCCAGAAACGGATTGCAATGCTGGAACAAAAGTTTCAGGGGGTGAAGCTTATGGTTGGCGTTGATCGCCTTGACTATATAAAGGGTGTCCCTCAGAAGCTGCATGCTTTTGAGGTATTCCTTAGTGACCATCCGGAATGGGTGGGGAAAGTTGTCCTGGTGCAGGTCGCGGTGCCTAGCAGACAGGACGTGGAAGAGTATCAAAATTTGAGGGCAGTAGTAAACGAGCTCGTGGGTCGGATCAATGGCAAATTCGGTGGGTTTTAATTAAGATGACTCTCACGAATAATGGCTGACGTGTGACAGGCACGGTTGAATTCATGCCTATTCATTTCCTGCACAAGTCGGTCAATTTTGATGAACTGCTTGCCCTCTATGCTGTGTCAGATGCTTGTATCGTTTCGTCTACTCGAGATGGCATGAACCTTGTTGCCTATGAATATATCGCCGCTCAGCAAAATCGCCATGGTGTTTTGGTGCTCTCGGAATTTGCCGGTGCAGCCCAGAGCCTGAACGGTAGCATAATAATCAATCCTTGGAACACCGAGGAACTTGCTGGGGCTTACCAGGAAGCTGTTACAATGAGTGATGAACAGAGAGCTCTGAATTTCTCTAAGTTGGATAAATACGTCAAAAAGTACACAAGGTACGATTCCATATGGCCTGCATGTAAATCGGGATACGGAGCTAATCCATTCAAGCGCCTTCTGGGGCCAGTCATTTGTCACGGAGTTGACTAGAATTTCGGCCCATTCTGCAGAGAAGTTTCAGTCCAAAAAAGCTGTTACAGGGGACAGTAGCCATGCGGAAGAACATAGTGTTAGTGGTGCAGGAGTTCAAGGAAATGGTATCTTGTCGGCACCGTCAACGTCATGATTCTCCCCGTCCTATTCTCGACTGGGATGCAACGCAAACGTGTGAATGAATAATATCTTAGGTTATGGCCCTCTTTCCTTTTCTGTTACCTTTCTTAATGGCCAACAAGTACTTGGTGCGGCAAAACGTGTTTGCTTTGGCCATCTTTCTCGGTTTCTCCTACGGGATATATGATATTAATTCTAGGTTCTAGTTAGATTGTGTGGATGGGTATTATATAAGGCTCGGTGTTGGTGTTTGTACAAAAAGCATCCTGTTTTTAGCCATATGATTTAACCAAGCAGATATCTCAATTCACGTCGTTTATTATTGAATGGTTTATTGAATGACCCGCAATTACGTTCATATATTTATAAACCTTATGGATCAGGTTCATCGTCCAATGTTTTGTGCAGTACGTGCGTACATATGACCTTGGCTGGGCCGCTGGAATAACTGGTCCATCCGAATCTCCCGATGGAAGTTGCAAACAGTGCAAACACGTTGAGGGAAATTCTTAGTCTTGCTGCGGGTTTGACGGCAACTCCATAACAAGACAGCTCGACCAAATCAACACCCTCGGGTTAGCCTCGCGTTTGAAGGAGTTATTGCCTGGATCTCCTCACCGGTCAATCAGAGATTCCGGCCTTTTCCTGTTTACCGGCTCTAAGGTAGGACTTCAACGGGACTGTTTTCTTTGACAAGATTATTTGTACCTGGGAGGAGCACACGACCGGTTTTTTTTTTTTAAAAAAAAGGGGGGGTTCGCATACACACATATCATGCCTCTGAGAAGCATTCTAAGGGCAATACAGCCCTTGCGATCATCTATCGTCAAATCGGCGACGAATTCAGCACCAGCTACGCACCAACTCCAGTTCTCCAAACCAAGTATCATTTCTGGACTTGCGCTCTTCCGACGATCGAATTCTTCTACTACTTCTGCTAAGCAACAAGAATCGCCATCCACCCCATCTTTTGTCTCTCCTCTCCGCGTCTACCCCTATAAGCTCAAGACCGGCACCGTCGAAACGGTTGGCCGGATGGATCGGACTGTCCGCGTTAGTCACCGACATACCTCCTGGGACCCGCATCTTCGCAAATCCTATCCCAGGTTGACGACATTTATGGTGTCGGATCCGAAAAACTCCCTGCGCGAGGGCGATGTGATTGAGTTCTCCTCCGGATACCCAAAGAGTCGGCATGTGCGTCATGTGGTAGAGCGAATCATTGCGCCCTACGGAACGAATATTGAAGATAGGCCACCAGTGATGACACGCGAAGAGAGAGAGGCCGAGCGAGCGGCCAAGAGGGCAGCCAAGTTGCAGCGTAGGGAAGCCCGGGGTTTGGAGAGTGGTGGTAAGGAGCACGTGGGTCGGATCAAGCGGTTGATCCGCGAGAGAACTGACACCGGCGTGGAATAGATACCAGTTTATTTTCTCATCTCCGTTGTCTAGTTGGCCAGTGTTTCATTAGATGTATGGGATGGAGAAGAAGGCGAGGGTTGAGTGCTTCGTGTCCCGATATTGATGGCTCCTGTGTATATTATACTGTCATTATGCATACTCATGCTGCTGTTTTAATCTATCTTGTCTATTGTATAGCCGGCACATGTCATAGCGAGGTGACATTATTGACTCATCATAGGCTGCTATAGAAAATGTTATACACACATTAAGAGCTGGGCGGTGAGAACAAGAGGGACGGTGGAATACTGCCGGATAATGGGCGCCAAGCCCGCTCTTTGGGTCGCGAAGTCACCCCAGCGACTTGTCGGTTGTTTACTCTCTCCGACTTCCACTCTTTCAACGGTCTTGCTAGCTTTATCACCAACTCACCCCACCTCTCACTACCTGGTGCCATAATATCTTGAACATCCGAAAGCTGGACACCTCACTGCGCCGATATAAACACCGTTCTCTGCATTGGATGTCCGTCGTTCTCTTCACACACTATCCCCTGCCCGACCATACGCAAGATCTGCAAACATCTGCAAGCCTAAGGTATGTATATATATGAATGCATACAGTAAATAGTCCCACCACTGTCAGATGTGTTATGCTCGTTACCTAAATCTCTGAAGTGGTGACCTCGACAATTTGTATTCAACCGTCTTTAGTAGCGCTGAGAGCTCATACTGCATTGATATTCCCTTTTTTGAGTCCGAGCTAATCATTGCCCATCCCCCTTTCTAGTCATCTTAAGACATCATAATGGGTGACGGAGAAGAGGATTTCTCTTCTTTGCCATTGCCGGACCGGTTCTCGCATAAGGTTAGCTCTGTGGGGGTTGTTTACGTTGGGTACACACGAATGCTAATTTCTTACCGCCAAATTTCAGAACTGGAAAGTCAGAAAGGAGGGTTACGAGGATGCCAAACAGCAGTTTGAGAAATCACCCGATGAATCTGATCCCGTATTCACACCGTTTTTACAAGATCCCGGCTTATGGAAAGGAGCTGTCGCAGACTCCAATGTTGCGGCCCAACAAGAGGGCCTCGGGACGTACTGCTCCTTTTTAAAATTTGGTGGTGTCCAGGCTTGTACTAGGTATGTTTCTTGATTTTTGAGAGTTGGCTTCTATTCTCTTTCCTTTGTAGCTGACAGCTCGGTTGCGAAGAACCCGCGCACACACCGTCTTCCCCATCGTCGAAAAGGGTCTTCCGTCTACGAGACCAGCAGCGAAGGCAAATGCGCTCGAGGCCCTGTTATTATGTGTCGAGATGGATAAGGCGGACCCAGTGATTGAAGAAATGCTGCCCGGGTTGTCACACAAAGTTCCTAAAGTGATTGTTGCGACATTGGTTGGGGTGAAGACCATTTACCATAATTTCGGCTGCAAAATCGTCGATCCTAAGCCAGTGCTGAAGGCCCTACCCAAAGTTTTTGGGCATGCGGACAAGAATGTCCGCGCGGAAGCGCAGAACCTCACAGTGGAACTGTATCGGTGGTTGAAAGAAGCCATCAAGCCCCTCTTCTGGGGGGATTTGAAAACAGTTCAGCAACAGGATTTGGATAAATTGTTCGAAGGCGTAAAGCAAGAGCCACCACCAAAACAAGAGCGATTTACTAAAGCACAGCAAGATGCGATGGCAGCCGCCAGTGCTGCCCCTGAGGGCGGCGAAACCGTTGAAGGAGAGCAATATGAAGATGATGGTGACGAAGTTGACGGTTTTGATCTTGCAGAACCAGTGGAAATCTTGCCCAAGGTCCCCAATGACCTTCTAGATCAATTATCGTCATCGAAGTGGAAAGACAGAAAGGATGCCCTGGACGCACTGTACACGGCACTAAACGTGCCAAAAATCAAGGACGGCCCATATGATGACATAGTCCGTGCGCTGGCCAAATGCATGAAAGATGCCAACATTGCAGTGGTGACCGTGGCTGCCAACTGCATTGGTTTATTTGCAAAAGGTCTTCGAAGCGGCTTTTCCAAATACCGTCAGACGGTCTTATCGCCCATGATGGAGCGTTTGAAGGAGAAAAAGCAAAGTGTAGCGGATGCCCTAGGCCAAGCGCTGGACTCTGTTTTTATTTCCACCAACTTGTCAGAATGCCTGGAGGAAATCCTCGGTTTTCTCACGCATAAGAACCCCCAGGTGAAGCAGGAAACACTCAAATTCCTTATTCGCTGCCTCCGTACTACCAGGGATATTCCAGCCAAACCAGAAGTAAAGTTGATTGCTGAGGCAGGCACAAAACTCCTGACTGAATCTAGTGAAGTTAATCGTGCAGGTGGAGCAGAGGTCCTTGGTACGCTGATGAAGATAATGGGTGAGCGGGCGATGAATCCCTACCTTGATGGACTAGACGATATCCGCAAGACGAAAATCAGGGAATACTTCGAAACCGCTCAAGTCAAAGCAAAGGATAGGCCTAAGCCAGTTGTTGGCCCACCCAAGGCTGCGCCTGGAGCAGCAGCTGGGAAGAAAGTAGTTGGGGGAAAGAAACCAGCCTTGGGAATTAAAAAACCTACTCCCGCGTCGGCTCCGCTTGCTGCCGAAGAGCCAGCATCAGCTCCTTCTCCCTCCAAACCTGCCATCAAATCAATCCCATCAAAACTGGGAGGCGCGAGGTCTGGCGGTCTTCCTCCGCCTGGGTCAGGCCTGAAACTGCAAAAGAAACTGGGCGGCCCGGGAGGACTCGCATCGCCGCAACAACGGCGGGTTGTTTCACCACCTTCAGAAGACCAACCCCCCGCCCCTGCTGCTCCTAAGTTTGGCCTTACGAGGGGACTTGCGGGCCGGCCAATAACTAAACCAGTGGCTACCAGTGAGCCTAACCCTACACCGGCAGCCACCCCGCAAATAAGTGAAATGTCTGCCGCTGAACGGGCTGAATTAGAAGAATTACGTCTCGAGAAAGAACGATTCATCAAGATGGTGGAAGATTTGAAGTCGGAGAGGAGCAAACTTAGCTTACAAGTGACTGAGTTACAAAACCAGAATGCGCAGCTCATCGAAGATCATACAAGAGATGTGCTTGGTATCAAGGCCAAGGAAACCCAGCTAGTTCGGGCACGAAGTGATGCGGAAACTGCCGAGCAGACTGTGCAGAAGCAGCAGCGAGAAATTGAGCGCCTGAAGCGAGAGCTTGCAAGGGCACTCCGTGCAAGCGCGATGAGTCCTCCCAATACAATTCCAGACAGCATCAACCTCCCTATTCCGGAAACAGCCTCGGTATACCAAGACCCAAGTAGCAACGCCCATGGGGCGATGTCACGAGGTGGTTTGCATATGGGATCACGCTTCGATAGTTCACGACCACGGAGCTATGCATCGGCTAGCCCCAGCGAAGAAAAGGAAAACAATGGCCTGGACTCTCCAGGACTAAGCAGCCGAGATGGCGGCTTTGGTCGACGCAAGCTTAGCCCTACGTTTGGCACCGCTTATTCCGGTATGGGCAGCCCGACCCGATCATCGATGTTAGGTTCCAGCAATGCCTCTGGAGAGGAACAATCCAGAAGCACAGAACCGGCGGAGAACTGGAAGAGAGCCGCGGAAGTCACGAGCCAACTCAAAGCGAGAATTGAGCAAATGAAGGTTTGTCATTCCCTTCTATTGCTTATGTAGTTATCGTGACTAATATGGAGTGAAATATTTAGGCCAAACAAGGACTTTCACGAACACCTGCGCAGCGCTAATGACCGGATGAACTACAATTGTTGTGATTTCTGCTACATTTTTCATATCCTTTGCATTTTATACTCTGTTTCTACCTTGTTTGATGTTACCCCTTTTGCGTGTTTTCTACTAAACCGACACCTATTCGTTTGGCGAGAGTTTGATATGCTCAGGCGGGCTGGTTAGCTGCTTTTTATTTCTTGTTATTAATACCTTTATGCTTTTCTTTTCCTTTTTTTTTTTTTTTTGTCTCTTCTTCCCTTGGGTACATCGGGGCTTTGTCTGTGAAGGCAATCAAGGTTTTATTAAAATGGGGAATTGCCATTTGGTTTTTGCATGTCGGCTCATGGTTCATACCCCTACACTTTTTATGTATAGACGTTGCTGCATTGGACCATGCTTCTGTATGCGTTATATTGTATAATGGGGACAGGACTGCAGCTAATGAGAACTTGCTGTGGGAAGGTCTGCTCAGTTTGCCTAGAACTGTCTAGACATGGACCTTTTTGGTTTTAATTTGTTACAATGTGTGCACCGATTTCGTATTAATGTTGACTAATTCTCCTACTGAGCAGACTTCACATGAATGCTTAATTGTCACAATGACCTACGGAGTGCTCTGCTGAGTGATGTGTGAAATGCATTCATGGGTATCTGCGAGGTATACATAAGGTAATGAAAGAAACAAAGAGGACCATTCAACATGGATTGGGATTTAGGATACGGTGCCAAAGGTCTTCCATCCATCTAAGCTAAAATGTCTGTCAACAAGTCAACTGAAGCCTTAGAACACCTTCCCAATAACTTGATATTTTTGATTAATCCCACTTTTAGATTGTTGTAGCCTATCCTGCTGAGGGAAGACCGCAATGTCATTAAGATCGTTGCAAATCCGTCAACCCGAATCTAAACTATTTCTAGTTTAGACACGGATGGCAGCCTCAGCGGCCTTGCGTTTCTTCTCCTGGCGAGCGACGGCCTTGGAACCCATGATACCACCACCCCAGTGGCGGCGGGAGTCCTCGAACTTGTCGGTGTAGCCCTCCTTGATGGCAGAGAGGAGCTTGGAGAACTCGGCCTTGTCCTCGGAGCGAACCTCGGTGAGAGCGAGGACAGCGGACGTCTGCAGATGGATTAAGTCAGTCGGGTGTTTCATGAGAAAGGGGCTGCGTCCTGAAAGAGGGGGGATTACCTTCTTGTGGACAACGGTACCGAGACGAGCCTTGCCCTTGACAATGGCATAGGGTACACCCATCTTGCGGCAGAGAGCAGGGAGGAAGACAACCAGCTCAATGGGGTCAACATCGTGAGCGATCAGAACAAGGGAAGCCTTCTTGTTCTCAACGAGACCAACAACGTGGTTGAGACCGTACTTGACGTGGTAGGGCTTCTTGGAAACATCCTCCTTCTTCTTGCCCTCGGAGACGGCGGTGGCCTCGGTGTGGAGACGCTCCTTCTTCTCGACCTTGGTCTCAGGGCGGTACTTGTTGAGGAGCTTGAAAGTCTGGGCAGCGGTGTTGCGGTCCAGGGTGTTCTGGAACTGAGCAATGGAAGGAGGAACCTTCAGGCGGAGGTTCAGGATCTTCTTCTGGCGCTGCAGACGGACATATTCGGGCCACTTGACGAAGCGGGACAAGTTACGCTTGGGCTGGATGTCCTGGCCAATACCGAAGTTACGGGGGCGCTTCTCGATGAGAGGGTTCTATGAGCAGTTAGTATCGACGTCGACCAATCAATTCGGAAGGTAAGAAAACTTCTATTCAGACATACCTTGGGGCCCTTCTTGCTAGCGCCAGCCTTGCCCTGGGGGTAAGGGAGGGGAGCAGCTTTTTTTCCGGACTTGGCAGGCTGTCATTGAGAAAAGAAGATCAGCAAATCGTGTCCACCATGTGCTGTATCTTCCTTGAACTCTAGAGAGACCCCAAGGCAATTGGAAACATTACGCTTCCAATTACCTTGCGGCTCCAGCCAGATCATCACTGGTGCTCGCATCTTGCGGGAGCAAAAATTGTGCGACCAGTGGAATATGCTTCTTCAACATCTCTGCAAAATGGGGTAGGCGATTCTCGTCTTACCCCAAGTTGCAAGAGATGGTCGAAAGCATCTTGTTTTATTTTCTCTATTTCAAGAAAGAGAGGTTTAATCTCTTTTGGATGTTAAGGGCTTACCATTTTGTCGACTTGGATCCTCGGCGGTGCTGGTTGACGGTATTGACGGAGAGGAAGAAGAGAAGATTGAATTAAATTTCTCACCAAAGAAGTTCGTGCGGTCCGCTAGTTCGGAAAAACTGCTCTTGCCGGTTCCGAGCGTTGAATGTTCACATGACATAGGGCTAGCCCTTGAATGCCCAATGGCCAATCATTTGATCTGCCTTGGCTCCTCCTGGATTCTCCATCCAAACCACCGCCGGTCTATACTCTGTATACTATTTGCAATACCCCAGAGTCCAGACATGCATCAACCAGGTTAAGGCTCTCAGATTCATGGAGTTAATTGGATAGTATAAAATCAACTGCTCATATTGCCAGCATGAGTCATCACTGGTGGATTCATTTTAGGCAAGTACATTTCTACGCCACTAAACGGCGTGCATTGAGGTATTCATAGTCTGGCATGGCCTCCCTGACCCTCTGCTCAATCTTCTTGGCTATCTCTTCGCCAAATTCGTCCTTCCACTTGGCCACTTCCAGACCAATATCCACTTTCTCGGGGGTCTTGGACTTGACGAGCCCAGATGACCCCGTCAGGGTCGATACCATAATCTTGGTGGCCTCTGGATTGAACAAGCCCCTCTGTTCAGTCCGTTGACGAGCATAGGCACCCGTTCCTTTATTGCTCGACGTGTGGTCCCACTCAAATTTCAACTTGCTGGAGTCTAGTCCAGCCTGATCACAGTACTGAGCCACAACCTCGGGGTGATGGATCACGTCGTAGGCATCCAAGATCACAGGCCTCGCTTCCGGGTCATTTTGTTCTAGACACCAGTCGTACAGCATCCGTGAGAATCGTAGAGTCATATTGGATATAGCGATACCTTCGAAATTTTGCTCGGTAATGATACCAAGAGGCAGCATCTTGCTCATCGCGCGATGGAACGACGGGAACATTAACGCAGGATGGCGGATGATGAACGTCATGCGGAAGGTCCTCAGGTACTCATCTGGAAAGATGGTGTAATTGCGGGCGGAGAAGGTCGGAGACGTCGTATAAGTGCTGGGGATTTGCAGGCGGAATGGGAAGGCGTCATCTACGTCTCCATTTCCCCCGTGGTTGTCATTTTCATTCAGCGACAGAATATCTTTCAGTGCCAGAGGGTCAAAGAGCCAGGGGGAATGTTCCTTGGCAAAGAAGATCTTGCTTTCCTGACTGGCGCGAGTGGTGAACTCCTCGAGCTGGTCGAAGCTTTGTTGAAAGGCTGCCTGGACGTCGGCGCGATCTTGCTCGGTCCATTGGTCGAAGGGCCGGCAGATACGGTTGTTGGACGAAGTAGCTACGAAAGACGGGAAGAAGTAATAACCCCCTTGGTCGTTGGAGAGGACATTCGGCTGGTCAGGCAAATCCAAGATCTTCAGCAGGAGGTTTGAAGCCGTTCGAGGGCTGCTGACCAGCAAGATCCGACGTGGAGGAGCCATCAGAAGTATGGTGCTAGCACGAGTAGGCTAAAAACGCTTAACTGGGAAGGAATCAATCAGAGGTAAGAATGATGAGATCCCGAGGGGCGATGATGTGATCTGAGGTCATGAGTATGTTTATATATCCTTCGGTCCAACTCCACCGCCCGCTTTATCTCTCCTTCACCGGCAGCACTTCCACTTCTGCTAATCTACGTATTACTATTAGTGATGCATGGGTGAAGACCAATCAGTCTTTGCTTCCCCATTGCCCTCCCTTTATCTCTAACGTGGACGGTCATGTCGCGTCCAACGAGAGAGTAAGAAAGGGTAGATGGCAGCGAATTCCCCAGACAACGCAGCGTGCTTTCGGAACTTTCGCGCTCATCCAAATGCCGATTTCGAGTGATGTTGGTTCGTTATTGGTGGCTCAAGACATCTAGCTGCAGAAGAACATCTCCACCATGCGCGGATCCCAAGAGGGGCTGTCAAAAAGTCCGTCGGGTGTGCGCGGATATTGATCGGCACATCCTATCTTGCTCCTGCTTGATGTCAAAGGTAGAGGACTTGACACCATGCATGCTGATGAATTCACACGTTGAATCCCACAGTTGGTCTCACAAAAAGCCAAGATAAGAAGACAAAACAAGGATGTTGCATATGCCGGTCCACTGAGCAGTCATTTGACATCGAAGAGTAGAAACTATAATGGACATAGTCTACAAGATACGCGTGTCTCGGCCCCCCCTTCCCACCGGGGAAAATCGCAGCCTCTAACCCAAACATGTCCATAATCCTCTCCACATTTGTGTGGCAATGTCTTCACGCTTTCCGGCTTGGTGTAAAAGGCAGGCATGGGTGGAAATATCGTTGCCCCGTACTTGGCAAATCCCATGATTTTTTCTAGGTGAATGCAACTGAGATGGTTCTCTCGAACCACTAGAACCAGCTTCTTCTTCTCCTTAAGGGTTACATCGGCCGCTCTGCAGATCAAGTCATCAGCAAATCCAGTCCGCACGGCGCTAAGCGTTCTCATGCTGCGTGGTACGATAATCATCCCATGGTCTGAAAGGATCCGCGTGGCACGGCCGCGCTGGCACCATTTACGGGATACGTCCGGGATGCAAGAGCACGGACTTGCGTGACTGTATAGTTGGTTTCGTATTTGATTGTCTCGGTGGCCCACCGTCTGATGATGAGATGGTTTTCAACATCGAGCGCCCGGAGTCGTTCGAGAAGTCGGATACCAAGTATTGCGCCTGTCGCACAGGTCATTGCAACGATTATGGAAGTGGATGTCTTGGTGAGTGTTAGTGATAATGCTGTGGGGGCATTGTGGAGGAAGGACTCGCCGCGTGGTTTGCGCTGAAGACTTTAGGTATGCGAATGACAGGAAGTGCCCTACCAGGTAAAGCAGAGTACAGACAAGAACGACGACGGTAATGCCTACCACGCTTATCCTTCCTTCTAGTCGCGATGGTTGTAATGCCTGCTATGGGGCGACTTGGAGGTTAACCAGTCTTCCTTTTATGCATTTATATACATAACATGTATGGAGAGTGCAGAGGCACAGCTGGCCATGTAGGGATAGGGAGAGATTTCATTCCCCAATTTCGTACAGGTCGGTTCCGTCGCGTACTATCTCTGGCCTGCGGTTTTACAAATTTTGAAACCCACACTTCTAATATATATTAAATTAGACTGCATTTTGTTACTTATACAAAACAACAAACCACTAGGGGAACTGCATTAAATATATAGGCAATAGTAATGTTAAATACAGGCTACTAGCCATTTGACTATTGGGAATGACTGCATAGTGATTTCGGAATTCTTTCTTGTCAGTAGATAATTCCCAAAATCTCAACTGCGTGCTCGAGTTGTGTGACATGCCCCTGTAATCCTCAAATTGGAGACAATTGCGGTATTCTCGTTATACATCATGGCCACAGGTACATCTTGTGTGACGACTTCAGGCGGATATAAAATGGCCAGGGAGGACCTATCTCCTGGATATGCTCCCTAGAAGTACCTATCACTCCTATGAAAATGGAGGACGACATTTCGGCAGCAAGAGATCACCGCCAGTTTCTTCAAGAACTAGATGACGAAGGGGAGCTTCTGACCATCACCAAAGAAGTTGATTCGGATGTAGAGTTGGTAGCTATTGTGCGAAGGGTATATGAACTAGAAGAGCGAGCTCTACTGTTCAACAACCTGAAGGGTTGTGAGATGCTGGATTATTTCTTGTCATTGGGGCCCCGGTATGCCGTTTTGTCGCATTGCAAAACCCCTTGGACATCCTTCAGCTACAGGGCGTGATATCATCTCCAGAATCAACGAAGCGAAGACGAAAGACCCGACATCATGTCAAAAACTTCTGACAGGCTCTGTCAAGGAACACATTATTCGCGGAGATGACATTGATTTGACGGCACTTCCCATACCGTTTCTGCACGAGGATGACGGTGGGAAAGTTCCTGTAAACGTTTGGCATGCATGCTGTGCAAACCCAGGATAGGAAATGGACCAACTGGTCTATTACTCGGGGCTCGGTCTTAGAGAGAACCGGCTGGTCCGGTGATTCCCAAACAGGACATCGGGGTAATCTTTGATCTGTGGAAGGAGAAAGTCGAAGACATGCCCTGGGCTTTATGTTTTGGGGTGCCCTCCGCCTCCGCGGCCAGAATGGTCTGCGGCATGCCCATTCCGAAATGGACGAACGAGCCCGAGTTTATCAGTACCTTGACCAATGCCCCTGTAAATGTCAAATGTGAGACGAATGATCTCTGGGTCCCCACCAACGCAGAAATTGTCTTCGAAGGCATCATTTCGATTCAAGAAACTGCCCCGGAGGGCATACGGCCGAATATCACGGATTGTTCTTCCTCCGGGCGGCAGCGTGAATGGCGCATCTTCAAGGTCAACGTAATTACCTACTGACACGACCTTATTCTGCCCATCTCCATTGCCGGACGTGCAACGGAGGAGATCCATACGGTCTGGGGGGTAATGCAAGTTGCAGAGATCTTGAACATTTGTCAGAAGGCAGGACCCCCGGTTTAAATGGCGTGGTGTCCACATTTGAATCCAACGGTCTGTGGTTTGCCCTCCAGATCAACAGCGCAAAGCTATTGGAACTGCGTACTAATATGGAAGAGTATTGCTGGAATTAGGCCACATCGTTTTGGGCCCCAAGCCGGGATGATATATTACCAAAGTCTTCCTAGTCGGCGAAGACATCGACCCCACCAACCTTGATTTTACCTGCGCAGAGGCGATCCGCTGCGAGCCTGGGAGATACGAGTTTGTTTTCTCGGAGTACTCCAATATCCCTCTGATTCGCTTCGTCACGCATGGATTGCCACCCCCACCCCACGGGTTCAGTGGGAAAATTGAAATGCTGTATGCTGCCGCAGGAGTTTGTCGCGGAAAAGATGCCATGGAAGGAGGCATCGTTTGAAGATGCATATGCATATCCCGTGAGGGTGAACTAGAAGGTGATCGAGGATTGGACTGTGTATGGGTATGCCGCTGTATGATTATGCTGGATGTCTTCTTGGTCTGTCATTGCAGCTGAATTAATGGCAAGAAGTCGTAGTCATTTTGTAAAGAATGTATATGCTCCAGCCATGATTTTGTTTCTCATATTGGATGACTTTCAAGGATGACTGCCTTCTTGAGTGGCACAAGTTCGCGAAAGTGTGATCAGGACTCACAGGATTAAAAATCATCCAGTTTACTTCAACTATGCACTATAAGTGACACCATACCCATAGATGAGGCCAAGATGCTCGTAAACCCATAATATAATGAAAACAACCCATGTAAGACCCAGTCCAAACTCTCATCTTAGACGCCATTTTAAGCCCACAGAATATAATTCGCATCCATACGAAATCACCATCATAAAACCAGGGGAAATTGAATTACCTCCATCCCCCTAACCCGGGGATCCCACCGCGCCCAACCCCAGCCGCGCTTGCTGCCTGAATAGCCCTTTTTTTCCCTAGAGATCCCTCCTGTTCTCGCACCGCCGCTACAATCTTCTCGAGATTCGTTTCTACCACCACACCGCCGACAATCATCTCACTCAACACCGCATGCATCGTCTCGTATCCAAAGATGAGGTCTAGCTCGCATACATTCTCGAACATGCGGTCCAGCGCCTCCACGAATACCTGGATCAGGTCGATAAGCGCAAGAGGCGACTCGGTCGACGTGGAGATCATGATGAATGACAGCGTGGCGTACGTGCGGTAGGTGATTTGGGTGGGCGCGTCGGAGGGGCCATTCTCGACGTTGGAGCGCGCTCCCTGCGAGAGAAGCGGAGGGAGTGGAAGGAAGTTGCAGGCGCTTGGGGGCCGCTGCGAAACGAGTTTATAGATCTGGCCGATCAGCGATTGCTTTGTTTGGGTGTCCTGGTGGTTAAGGCTGGTTAGTTTCCGGCGTCATCGCTTTTTGACCGCCATGGGAGGAGTATTGGTTAGTAACTGACGATCTGAGTGTAGAACTTGGTCAGACGTGGCTGCCCAGCATTGTTGAATACAAGAACGGCGTTGATCATATTGGAGACGGGGAGATGGTGATAGGAAGATCGATAAAATAGATCGATATATCATCAGTAGTGGATTTGGCGGGGCGGAGACTCCGCAGACATTCCCTCTCGGGAAGGTTTCCTGTCCGAAATCATGTTTTCTCTAACGAATGAAGAGAAATAATCCATATTTTCAACGCGAGACCGTTCGCCATGCAGAACAGGTTTCCCATCTGCACATCATGTCTACAACTTAGGCGTCTTCCACTTTCCCCTCTCCGACGAACTCTCTCCTCGGCCGTTTCGCTGTCCAAGTCTAACTCCAATAAAGTCCAGCTGCGCGACCTAGCTCCGTCAGATATTTCATATTACTGGGATACAAAAGTCCCCGATGAACCCAGACTAGCCTACGCCGACAAGTTCTTCAGCCCGTCGCGTCACTCCCCTATTAAACTATGGTCCGCGAGCAAATTCCGCACGACTCCGTTGTCCTCCGTGGAACCGGAGGTCGCTTTCCTGGGGCGATCGAACGCTGGAAAAAGCTCCCTGCTGAATGCGGTCATGGGGAAGGAGGTCTGTTGGACGTCATCAAAACCGGGAAGAACAAGGGAAATGAATGCGTTTGGGATTGGTGGGACGAAAGGAGGGGAGTCGAAGATCGTATTACTAGATATGCCAGGATATGGAAAAGCGAGTCGAGCGGAATGGGGCATTGAGATTATGAAGTACCTCCAAGGGAGAAGACAGTGAGTTCAACTCCCCCCTGTGTTTAACCTTCGAATACAGTATTGAAAATCACGCAAAAGCTAACAGTATCATGCCTTAGACTCCGACGCGCCTTCCTCCTCATAGACAGCCTTCACGGAATCAAGAAAACAGACGAGGAAATTCTCAGGTTGTTTCGGAGCTACGCGATCCCGCATCAAATCGTGCTATCGAAAGTTGACAAAGTCTTAGCGAAGAAGAGGAGCAAGGTCAAGAGCGGCGTATCAGCAGACAACGTTGCCTCTCTTCAAAACATGCTGCAGGGGTTGAGACCAGTCATCCAACCGGACGGCCATGTAGAGGGCCCCGGGGCTCTAGGAGAGATTCTGACCTGCAGCGCAGAGACAATGATGGGACGGGGACGAGCGTTAGGGGTCAGCGCGCTCCGCTGGGCCATTCTTTCGGCCGCTGGTTTTGACGCGAACGTAGAGGTGAAATCCGAGCCCGTCTCGCTTGTTTCTACTATATCGACAGCTACACCGTGATACAAATGTGGTGTCGGAGCATATACGGTCTTTATCTGTTGTTATACAACTTAACCCATGGGCCAATACTCACGACCGTGCCAGTGTGAATAGTTAGATCCTAAACAGCTAATGTTATCAAAGCGTGTCGATTCTAGGTCGCGCCACCAATCTAGTCCCTAACTTCGGCACGGCTGAAGATAACAAGTCCTTCAAAAGACCATCTCTTGATGACTGACTCAATCCCCCAAAGCCATACTTGACGATGCGGACAACGGCAAGATCTTCTGACCATACATGACAAAAAATGCCATGTTCTTTTTGGGGGGGGGACTGATATATCGCCTTTCCGAAGGCTACACCATACAAGGTGTATACACTAAATTCATACCAAAATGTGTGCTCCATACTATATACATCATGAGTTTTACAGCCATCTAAGAGAACTGATCTAGTCGCATCTATATACCGAAGTCTCGGAAACGGTATATATCGCTTATGTTCTTTAAGCCCTAATGTTCGAAAGAAACCCGGAACAATCAAACAATGACAAGTGCTACTCTAAAGCTGGCACTGGAATTTAAAGCGTATTGCGAATAGGATGCAACTGGATCTTATCAACACATGCGATCAGGATGCTAGAGGGGGTACAGAGTATATAAAATGGAATAGATAGGCTCATGCACCCAAATTCTGGTCGTACAGTTCGATGGTATGCGAAGGGAACATTAGAAGAATGTGGAAGGCAGGAGGCCAGGGCTTTAAATATAATAAATAATGTAAATGGACACCATGAGATGGATAAATAATAACCCTTTTGGATGCGAAGACGCCTTGTCTGTTATAATAAACTGCATGTCAAATCTGCCAACCTCGCTATGCAAATCCACGTAATGAGAAGGACAATTCCGTGAGAGTGGGTATCGTGATGTTTCATGACCTCAACAAATCAATAACAAGGGAAAAAAAGTCATTTGTCAAATCGACCCATGCAGGAGTGAATCAAATCCGAACAATGATCACTGGGGCTCAGAATCTGGATCAGGCATCAGACAGATCATAATCTTCGTCGGCGTCGCTGACTTCTTGGCCCCAACGGTTGACAACAATGCGTCTTCCTAATTGATCCTCGGGAGTGCCATCGCGCGAAGCACCAAAGTCGAGAACCTATGAGAAATCAGTGACCTAGATATTAGAGTTGTACTGTTGTTGTGCTCACCTCAATATAAGTCAAGCTATCACGCTGCACTGCAGCGACACACCTTCGGTCATTGAACTTGACCTGCCATACTCCGCTAAGGTCGGTGAGAAGATCCCGAACACATTGGCCAGTTCGCACATCCCACATCTTTAACGTCCTATCAGATCCCGACACGACTTTCTGACCATCATGCTGGAAGCATGTTATTGCACCCGTATGAGCGCTTAACATGTTCTTACATTGTCCAGTTTCCGGGTCCCATATTCTTAGAGTGGAGTCCGCAGCTGCCGAGACCAGACGATCGCATTTCAGGTCTAGTAGGCCGACCAGGGACGTATGACCTTCAAGATTGTACAAGACAGACCCGGTTTCCAATGACCACACTTTCACCATATTATCCATGGACCCGCTGATACAACGGTTTCGTTTGTGGTCTAGGACAACACTGTACACCTTCAAAGTATGACCTTGGAGTCTGTGTAAAGTCTCCCCAGTAGATATTTTCCATACTCGTACCGTGCAGTCATAACTTCCGCTTACTAGTGTGTCACCATGGGCAGCGATTGCACGAACTGAATGCTGGTGGCCGGTTAGAACACGGACGAAGTACGGGCAATCAGTATCATCGACCTGAGGTCCACTCTGGTAGTAGCCTGGATCACCAGGTTTTGGTAGCTTCCATACTCGCAGGTTTGAGTCCCGAGACCCTGTAATGATCAACGGCTCTTTTGGCATCATTTCCGGGGTGCCATTCGCCTTTCTTCCAACTTCTACTGGTAATACAATTTGCAAGCATCGCACTGTGGAAGTATGACCGTGAAAGATTTGTGTGCACCTTGCCCTCTCAATATCCCAGACTCTAACTGATCTATCAGTCGACCCAGAAACAAGGGTGTTGCCATGGTATTCAAGCGCCCAGACACCACCTTCATGGCCCTCGAGTGTCGCCTTTAGGACACCAGTTTTCGTGTCGTACACGTTGATGTTGGTGTCATCACTCCCGGTCAATACCTTCTCCGTGTCAAATTGGAGACATGTAACTACATGACGATCGTGGGCACGAAAAGCAATATGTCTTGGCTTGACATTAGGCTTCATCCAAGCTTTATGAATGGAATAGTGGCGCTGATAGAGGGATTTGTAAAGATGAAGGCCCTGAAGGGAAGGCAAACCGATACCTGGATATGGCACGGCGGCGGCAGCGGCATTAGCTGCAGCATACGGGCCCTCGGTTGCAGAAACTTCCTTCCTCCAGTCCGCAGACTCGGAGTGGTCCGTTCCGCTGGATGATATCTTCCGTTTCGCAAGTTTTCGGGAGGATACACGTGTGCAAGCCTTCCTTTTTGGCCGACGATGTACTGATGGAGACCTATCACTTGGTCCAGCCAGTAATGGTAAGGTAGAAGGAGAAGCGGACTCGGGATCGGGCTTTATGAAGGTAGACATGCCGAGATCTTTCTCCCAGTCCTCACTCCCATTAGGGAATTGCCATCCCCAGCCTTCCTTGATGGAACGATCCAGCTCGCCTTCAGGAAGAACAAATCCATCTCTGTCAAATAGTTCTTTCCAGCTCTTTTCATCAGAATTGATAATATGCCTCCATTTCTTAGACACTTGGGCCGCACGGCACATAGTGAGAGCGTCGAAATACTTCACAATATTTAGGCTAAGTTCAAGAGGCAGAAGTGCTAGGAAATCGCACTTTAATGCGGGGTTGACGACATCAGCGACAAAATGTAGCGTCGGTTTAGGGCAGCGCCTCAAAAGTTGGTACATGAGGTAAGTCTTTACTCCATCGGGGACAGAATCGAAGAATTCCAACACATTGGGAATATCCATCAATGAAGACGGTCGTGGAATGTCAGAGCCCGGTACCAGGCTAGTGGATTTAGACGGCCCATTAATCTTCGCGTCTCCTATATGCAATGAACTCAGGAGTTGAGGCTCGTTGTGATCAAAACTTGAATCCGTATCCATTTCAGGTTCCTCAGCCGAATCGAACGACGAATCGGCGTTCAGTGCATTCATGGCTGCAACTGGAGACAGGCTGGGGCTGGGCAAGCACATATCCTGGGCAGCAACACTGCCGACACTTGGGACTTGGGATAGTGACCCGGCGGATAGTTGCTGAGAAACCTCCTCCGAGGTGTCATAGGTGGTATCTTGGCTTGCACCTGGTGTCACTGACGCGTCACCGGGTCTAATCTCTGTTTCGGCACCTGGCAACTTGTGGTCTGGGCGCCCCAGCCGTTTGTTTCTTTCGGAAACCACAGTCCTGGTACGCAGTAATTCTCTCTTTGGGGCAGAAGCCTGCGAGCTATCTTGAGACTCAACCTCGGAAGAAAGAGGTGAGCGTAATAATGTCTCTCTGCGGGGGATATATGCACTGTGAATCCGTCTTCGAGACGGTATGCTTTCATTGGCATTATAACTATTGCTTTCCGTCTCGGGAGTGGCCAGCCCAGGTGCTATCAGATGCGTTGGGGTAGATCCATGAGAACGAGTGGAACGAAGTGAAGGCTCTGACGGAATCCTGTTGGCATGTAGGTGCAAGGAGTTCTGATGGGACTCTGGGGCGGGTAACGGGCGACGCTTAGAAATAGACGGACGCGCAGATGGTTGGTTCGATACCCTTGGAGTGCCGAAATGTCGCGGTAACTGGGCGTCATCTGAACTAAATGAAGTCACAGATCGAACGAGTCCATTGGAGGCTTTCAACGCATTATTCTTCTCATTGAGCTGGGCAAGTCAGATTTCCAGAACTTCGACGGACAATCCCAAGACACTTAACCAAGGCTCCTGGGTATTCAGAAACCAACAAGCCTCGACTTACCTCATTAAGAGTTCCTGTGGTATCCTCAGATTCGTTGAATACAACGGGCTTTCCCCCGAGGTCGAACTGGAAGTTCCTTAACGACGACGGAGTCGGTGATGATGCCAAAGGATATACCTTTGGGTCTAGATCTTGCATTGTGCGGGGCGGTTTAATAAACAGTGGAGGGAAAGTGGTGGTTGTCGTGGTTGTAGTGGTCACTACCGTGGTTCTCGTGGCAGGAGCAAAGGAAAATTGACCGATAGAACAGTTCGCTGCTCCTTGGTTAAGCCCACCATGACTGTCTTGATCACTCATGTTGTATTCTAGGAACAATAATATCAAAGGACCAGATGAGTCAGGGTAGGATGGTGGAGGGGGGTGTAGAGGACGCGTTTTCGTGTGCTGACAACAGGCCAAGGAAGCGCGATCTGGATATATAGGGAAATTCAGAGGTCGTTGCAAATCATCACAAGCAGATAACAATAGAAACCAAGAGATAAATGCTATCTAAGGGCGCCGTTAAACCTCAGGCGGCCAGAAAATGCGAATCAGTATGAACAAGGGCGTCAGCACCACTGTACGGGTCTACAGGAACCATCTGACAACCCAAAAGGGACCAAGTAAGAGTGGCTAGAACATGGCCAAAATGATGATGTGAACTTGAGAAATAGAATGAAAGAGAGGGACCAGGAATAGGAGGCACGACAGAGGGGGAAGTGTGAGAATTAGAAAACAGGAGCCGTGGCGTGTTCTGCTGACAAGGAGAGATGTTGGGCGGAGAGCAATCGAGGGAGCTGGAGGTGGTTGGTCGTCCTGGCGGAGTCGCCGTGGTGGATGTATTGGGTTAGCCCGATTTGGCAGACTCCCGGGGCTGGTCTCCCCGCAGCAAATAATACTATGTGAATGCCCTAGACTGACTGGGTCTAGGCAGAGGAAAGATTTCGAGGAAGTTGGGAAAAGTCCGAGTAGTGGGAATTTAGGTACTTGGTTGAGAGGGAATAAGGGAAGTTAGAAACAGGGTACCAATGAACTTTCATGAAAGGAAAAAATTTTTTTTGGGTGAAGCCACGGGGTAAAACTTTACTGTACAGAGGCAAGGCGGGATCTGAATTTGCCGTTCTTCCTGCAGTCGGGCTATAGGTAGGACCTGTCAACCCAATCATGATAAATCTATTGTGTCGATAGGGAATACCTATGTACTCTCTCACCAGTGGGAGCTATTTTTATATCGTTTTTGCGCATTTTTGTTTTCTTTTTGCCAATTATTTTGCATTTCTTCTTCTAGATATACTTACGATTATACATAGTATTAGACCGATATAGGTACATACATACATAATAGTATATAGAAATTTTATCCAGTACCATGAGAGCCTCCAATCACTGCTTGGAATCTATATGGTGGCATTATTGACCTCGGACTACATCTACCCATCTCCTAATAGTATCGCCTATTCTATCTTTTTTTTATTCCACTCCCCTGACCTCCCACTAGATTCATTCTTGCAGACTTATGTTTTATGTACTCTGTACTCCGTACTCCGTACTACCTGTAACACAAATACTATGTCTTAGCAGGATGCAATATACAGAATATATCTGTTGGTCTTCCTGTTTTCGCCACCTTTCTTGATGCACGTGATATAGTGGGGCTTATCCTAGGAGTGAAGTATGTCGGTGTTTGGATGTATCAACTTCGCAGCTCAAGAGTAGCTAATAAAAGAGACCTATGGATGCCTGCTTAGTATGGATATCATAAATCTCCCGAATATCTAGTGTACTCCGTTGGTTGATACATCGGCTTCACTAGGATATCATTCACTTGATTGTAGTGGGCAGATTGCGGGGAACCAGTGGATTGGGTATCTAACCAACCTGTACTCCGTAATTTTATTTACCATGGAACCTAGACCTATTGGAGTATCTGTTTGTCTCGAAGAGTGTTTCGAACCAGTGTGATACCTATTCCAATCCAAGGAGACTTTGTTGCTAAATTACGGTGCAATACCAAACCCCTTTGGAGTGATGAAATCTTACTCTCAGAAGGTCTGGTTTTTCATAGGTTTTGTGGTAAGATGCGCGATCACGTGACATTGTGTTGGAATGCATTTGCCAAGCCAAATTGACATCAGAATTCCTCTGCATGGACCCACTCGAAGATGCTTGCGAGAAACTGCTGGTGAGCAATTGACGGAGGACTACGGAGTACGGAGTACCCAAATCCAAATAAGGCCTCATCAAGGAAACCTTTTCATCGAAGGAACCCTATTTCTGTGTTCTAGAGGCCAACATTCCTGTGGGATAGGTTCTTTACTGCTGAGGAAATGCTTCACATCCATATACTCCGCGTCCAGAACATTTCCCCTTACTTTCTGAGGGGCTCCACTGCTTAATGTGTATCACTCAGGTAGAGTCAAGTCGTCCAGATTTGGCACTGCCCCACACAGTCAAGGAACTCCCGAAAAATTGCCGTAGATGCATTGATGCATTCCTCATCATTTCCCCCTCAAATCCAGGAAATAACTCTTTCCGTCATTCTGGATAACGTCTCAGTGTCCTCTCAATGAAGGCATAACTTGAAAGTCCTATAGTATACTTATAGTGCCCTAGTAATTGTAAAATTAGTGCCTATGAAAGGACATATATCTAACGATATAACTAAGTGGTATATGTGGTGATAGAAAAAGTACACCCGATAGGCAAGTATACCTGTCTAATAATGAAGCGGTATATTTCTGCAATACATGCTCTGCAACACCTGGGCACTGGGAATCGAGCATTGTAAACGGGTAGAGTACTTAAGTAATACTACAATGATTAACTAGCTATTACTTTCGAACCTTATATAGTATTAGTTCACAAAAAGAATGCAGTACGATACCTGTTCATATGAAATTATTACTTTGCAGGTATCTGTCAAATAGTGTGAAGTGTTGCGAGAAAGGGAATATAGATTATAGGTAGCTCTGTCAGGCAGACTGAAACTGCCAGTAAACTTTCAATGCCAAATCAGAAGAGCCCCTCCCGTGACCATGCTCTGGGCTGTCCTTCCTGCTTCATCAATTCGACACGGCCACAATACCGAATATTCCCTAACCCAATCAATTTTTTGCTGAAGGGTGTATCATGCCAAATCACCAAGAGCTCTCTCATCCATCATCTGGACGCCACACTCAGTGCAGATTTTTGTTCCTTAACTGATCCATATGGTTCGCATTAAATTCACTGGGCCGTCATCAACGGTTCAGCAGTCTGCTCGAACTTTCAACGAACTCATTTCAGAGAGCAAGACACAAACTGAAAATGCGATTGTGTCGAAGTCAGATATACAGGAACAGTTATGCCTAACGCAACAGCAGAGCCTGCAGATCGTACAGATCATGCTACATGTCTCGGTTAGTATTCTCTGAGTCCCACTATGGCGCATGCTTCTGATGATTTGCGTACATATATAGTTTGGAACGTTGTTCTATCTTCGGTAGGCCAGATCTGATCGCATGTTCCTTCCCCAGTCTTTCTCATTTATACCTAGAGAGCTCTTGCCGCTTCCATGCTTTGACGATCGGGATTTAAAAGAAGCCCAGCGGGAACATACACATACCGTCTCATATCGAACATTTGTTGGGGAAAGCCCCCATGTAGGGAGTGAGCCCGATGTCCCATTTGGAAAAGGCAAGAGAGGGCAGCCCTTGAAGATCATAGTTCGAGGCTCTGATCCCAAGGCAAACACTATCCTCGATATCTTGGTTTGTTCTATTTCTGCCGCCACAAATAATTTCACTAACAAGGCGCAGGAAAATGGTGTCTTCGATGCTCTCAGTAAGAACGTTCTGGAAGCTCTTCAATTAACCATTTTTGTCGATAAGGATTCTCCAGATAACGTATTGGAGACTTACACATTTTCATTCCGATACACTGGAGGCTCTGGAGATGTGAACCGTCGGCTAGAAAGCTTGTCTATAGACAACGTGGGATTTGTCGCTGACATGAAATACGCACAAACAGCCAGGATAGGATTGGAAACGATAATCCGACGCTTGATAACACTAAGCACATTCCTTCCAACATTGCCAAGTACCTTGCCTAACCCAAATGCTGACCTAAATGGCAACTGATGTCTGTACAGATAAGCGAAATTTGGGAATTCACCTGTTTTACACCGAGGACTGTCCTCCTGAATATGAGCCTCCTGGTTTTACCACAGCACGCAACGATACTCTTACATACCCCCGCGATGGGAACTGGAGGAAGGAATCGCAGTCGTGTGGCACGATGGACAGCGGGTGGCATACGTGAGTTTATCATATTCCACTGAATCGCTCGAGGCTAAATATTGAATAGGGTTGGTCTTAATGTGACCTCCCTCAAATGGACTGGACCATACCCCCACGAGCCAGACGCTATACCAAAGATACCTCCCCAGCTCGAGTACACAGAAGTGGTGAAGAGAACGGAGGATATTGGCTTCTCTGAAAGTACTTTTCACAGTGCAGAAAGTGGCAAAAGTACTAGTAGCAGGGATGATTCGCACTCGGACCAAGACCAGTCATCGATGGCGTGTGATGATAGGAACAGTCTTGTTGAAGAAGCGACACAAGATATTGTTGAAAGACAGAAACTGCAAATGATGATGACGGTGAGTGCTGTACGGTTGGCCCAAGAAATACAATAAAACCATTGCGGGAAGGGGTCCAAAATGCGAGTAAAAAATTGTATACGACGTCTGACAACATTAGACACAGGGAACAGCTTCTCCTTCAGGCAACGATCTCGTTCCAACACAACCTATCAACTCTGATGCAACAGCTTGCAATAGTTTTCCGACTCAACAAAAAAACATTGGAGGATTTTCTCTATCTCCAGAGAAGATCATCGAAATTAGGGAATTTCGTGCATCACATAATCTACACATATCTACTGACTCGAACAGCCAGGATGTGGGACTTATCAGATGCCAGTGTGGCTGGGAAGGTGAAGAAGCGGATATGGTAAGTAAACATTTGATGCCTTAGATGATACTACATCCGCTGAGATAAACGTAGGTTCAGTGTGACTTCTGCTTCACACGTCAGCACTTGGTATGCTATGGATTTGACGGTACAACCCTGAGGGTTCCTGATATCCACGCTTGTTATCAGTGCTTACTTGAACCGAACGAATCCCAAGTTCTCCGTGAGATGAATAGCCTTGCTCTCTTGAGAAGAGCTGTAAGGATCATCTTAAATGAGGGGTTCCCTAATAAAACATCGATATTTACACAGAAGCTTCGTAAGCAAAGCAACGAAATTGGCTTGATACGGGCCTGACAAAATGCAGATTGCAATGGCCAAACAGTTCTCCAAATAACGGACCTTTTGAGAAAACAAAGGTTCTTGCAACCCACCCCCGGATATAAAGCCAAAGGGTTCTTGCGAAAGGGACTGCCGAAATTCAGCATTCCTCCCTCTGAAGATGTCCGCCAGAGGCTATGTAGGGAGATTCTAGACCCAATGGTAAAAGTCAGACATCATGTGAGTACTTCTATTGAGGTTTAGTACCATTTAGAGCTGACATGGTTGCAGTATGTATTCCGAGACTCATATGAGAGTAAAACGCAACAAGCAGCGGCCGACAAAGCAACCAGCTGTATTGATCAGATTTATGCTGACAATACAAGAGCTCCATTCAATGCAAATAGAGAATCGGACAGAGGGCTAAGAGTTAATGAAGACGGGGTTGTCGGTGTATTGAACACAAGACAAACTCGCAAGAGAAAGTCGCCACCAGAAATTTACGAGAGCGAATCTCGCGAGACCGATTCTAAAGGGAATGATCAGGCTACACAGGAACAACCAGTGGCTAGTCTTCTGAGCAAGGATGTTGAAGGGAACAGACGCTTGCCTGAGAGCAGTACTGAACTTAAGATGAGTACGCCCAAACATATGTCACCCCGTCAGACGCTACAGGGAGAACTTCGACGCAGCAGTAGGAAAAGGCCCAAGGCCAGTAACTATGCAAAGCCTATTGACGTGGGAGCCGAAACCAGTGGGCATGAGAGTCCCTGAGAAAAAGGTTACCGGCTTTCAGATATGTCTGAACATGTGTTCCACTCATTCGACTTGATGTATATGAATTAATGCACACGCCGGAGCATCGGGGATTTGGGAAGGATATGTCTATGAGTATTACTTACATGCCGATGTCTTTCTGCTGTATATCGGTCAAGTGCTAGCTGGTACCAGTATGGAAGGGCAGCCTCCTTCTTTTTCCTTTCTTTCTTTGTCCTCAAGAAATCGTTTTCTTTTCAAGGATTACACCTTCCTCGGTCATCCCATTACGCCATATCCATGTTCCTTGTATCTTTACCAAGATGTATATCTAACTCCGTGAATATGATTATGAGTGGACAAGAGTCTGTCCCTGTCGTGGGATCACATTTATGTAGTAATAGAACCAATAGTATATTTAGCGATAGATCTCGATACGTTGATTGAGGAAGGCGTTGAGCCGTTGTTGTCACAATACTCTACAGGACCAAAAGTGTTTCAGCTGTCTCCAGTGTTTGCAACGGTGAGTCTCACTGTAGGTACACAAAGCGGCTTTGGACAACCCGGTTGAGCATGATTTATATAATATATTTCTCCAAAAGATAGACATTTTCTGGGTAACGTCCCCGCTAGCTTGTTTATGATAGATTGTAATAGAAAGATATGATGGGAAACACACGATATCTTCTAGGCTCTATGGAGAAAAAAGTAGGTAGATCCTTGTTGGACAGCATCTATAAGGGGGATGCATTGTTTAGGATTCTTGACTATATGTAAAGAGCTGGAGCCAGTTTGACCTCGGGGGCTAATTGACCCCGTTGTCCTTATGGGCCCTGTTGGCCCCATTGGCCCTCGATGACCTACAACACGTTGCTTTCCTCCCTTTCCCTCTTTCTTTCCTTCTTCAACTATTCCATTTTCTACATAGCCTATTATACAGGTTAGACGGGTTCAGCCCCTGACACTATATTCTAAACAAAGATCAGTTGTCCCTGATAGAGCTGGAGAATGGAGTTATTAATGTCGCAAGATGTTATTTATATCAGGGTCAAAGCAAATAGCAAAGTAGGGGATATTCCATACTAACAAGTATTCGCAGAGGTCTTGACTTAGCTAGAGTTAAAATATATAGACCGTGTGTCTTGCCGTATGACTGACTGAAAATGAAAGTGTCATGAGAAAAGGATGTTTAAAAATGTTGAAATCATCAGTCTGTTAGTTACGGAATGTGATTTCCTGAATGGAGGATCGAAGAAGATAACTGTGGTTTCTCTTTCGTACGTGGGATAGTTTTGGAAGGTGTGAGAGGATATGTAAAAAATTAGTAGATAGGCCTAAATACTCCGTATAGTATGTAGAGATTAAGGGGAGGTGTAATAAAAAAAAGTCTGGTGATTCATCACCTCAATCGATCTTAAGGATTGAAATGTCCTGAAAGCAGGCTCCTGTATTTGACGCCTGCAATGCTCTTGGGCAAGTTGGTCATTTCTTTCTTACTTTAGCTATTGATTATCTAAAAAAGTGAAACTAAAGGACAATCCTTTGTGAGCTTTCTGTGAGTAGATCGAGGTACCAGACTAAGTGGACAAAAATTCTTGTGGTTGCTGGAGATTGCTCTGTTAAAGGGCCAATATTTCAGATCACCAGGTTAATTTAGAACAACCCCTCTTTTCTGAACCTTTGCTTTTCATATCTTTTCCTGATCACTGATACTATATTAGCAGGACAATGAACTTTAAATGAATATGATATACTATCACATCGTAACTCCTGTGTCTATTCTCAGCGTTTAATATGTAGCCAACGGTCTCACATTCATTCAAGGACTCAGGTATCAATTGAAGCACTACGTAAGGCCGGAAAGTAGTGGAAGATCTACCTAAGCGGCAGACAACGGAGCGGCATGTTGTAGGGAGCTTCCATAGTGAGATATGTCCAGCTTCTTCGCACGAGAAACCGGATTCCTTCCGAAGAGGTTGTTGATCCAGCGAGAATCGCAGAGTTAATTTACGAGGGGGGGAAGAGGCATAGTTGGCAGAAAAGGTAACCCAAAATATGGTTCACCGATAATAGACCATTGTTGTTCAAGGACCAAGGGATGCTGAGTACTCGATACGAAGTACTCCATAGGTGGGAACTGATTAAGCTCTGCAAAGTGTATCAGAGTGCTCTCTTTTATGCCGCTTGACGGGTACAAAAGCAACGGGACAAGCCGATTCAGTGATTTATTTCATGGTATGTGGACTGCCTGGGGTAGATAGTTATTTTGAGATTTGGAGTAAATGGATCGAAGCTTGTCGATCACCTCATCTCAAAAAGGGGTACGATTGAGGCTACCAAAGCCCTGGTGCCCATGCATCTGCGCTTTGCATAGAAAACTGAATCAGAATCGACTTATGCTAATAGCTATTCCATAGTAAATGGGTAGATGGCACGTATCCCGTACTTGTGTAGTATATCATCTCTCACGCGACCGACAGTCTGAACTGCCGAACTTGGTAGGTGAAGTTCCCTTTACTCCGCTCATAATTTGGACTAGGCGCTTGATATGAAACACTAGGTAATTTGTCATGTCCAGGTCCATCCCCTATTTTGGTCCTGGGGGAACGTCCCGCACCCTGTAACCGGCTCCAACTGTGGTCGGTAAACAGACTGAGCAAATCGGACAGCAAGTGTTGGGGGCGCTTGGCAAGTGATCTGCGGACAAGATCGATCCACGTTAGCAAGAACTAGCATCCGAGGCATCATTTAATTCTCCCAGACAAAGTATACATAGAGATGCTAGTATGTAGTATAGAGTATGCATTACCGGGTTTGGAGTCGTCAAGACTGTCCATCATGTGATATACCTCGACTCCGCAGATGAAGTCTAACCCACCTTTGACGTCGTGCACCAAAAGAGAAGATCTAGAGTATCTACTGTACTCCCTAGGTACATTCTGATCTTCAAAGATCTGAAATTGAAACACAAAACTATTTCACGGAAAGACCCTCAATGACTATGTTGACTATCGACGGCGATCACGCAAGTGCAGTAAGTTTGCCCTGCGGAGTACAATGGATGAAGAATGATCATGGAAGAGTATCTAGATCATGACTATTGGTTTAAATGTTGTTAGCGCCATGTAGCCCCTCCGCTCACCAGCATCAGTGGGGGACAGAAAGCTGGGACATACTCATTGCCTTCCAAATAAAGTACAGGTGGATAGTCTCCTGCACTGTCTGTTCTGTGACTCCACTCCCTAGAGAGATGGGTAAGCGGGATGATGATCAGCATCAGTTGGACTTCTCATTGGGACGAAGCTCAAGGGACGGCTGGACGGTCGGGATTTCTGCGCGAAACCCCTCGATCGAGTGAGTGTGTAATGCTCACATAAGTATCTCGGAGTACGGGGTAGAAGCTGAGGAGAAAGGTTGTGCCCCTTAAAATTAGATATCTAGATATTTAGAAAATGTTCCGTCAGAGTAAGATTTTAGGGAGCTGTCAACAGGATCCGAACAGGTACAAACTGGCGTGGGACAAAGTCGGAAAGGATGGGTACTATTCATCTGGCGCCGTAAGGGGGAGATACTACTCCGTATATGGATAGATAGATCCTCCGAGTAGATAGATAGATGGGTATGGACTTCGGAAGGAAGAATTATTGACAGGCCAAAGGAATTGTTGGATTCCTCGCGTGGGTCGCCATCCTCCGACACGTGGTTTGGGCCTGTGCAGGATCCTGATCCTGAATGATGATGATGGTTATTATTAGTAGTGGACCACGGAGTACTAATTGATGGTCCACTGCCTAGAAATTCTGCTGGACACAAGTGAAATGGAAGTGATGGGAGAAAGATACGCGACTATTGTCTAGTTGTCCTCTGGGCTATTGACCGATTGCTTCAATTCCCTTGTCCGATAATATCTGAGACTGTGTGGGAAGAGCTTAGTCACATTCCAATCACCGCCACTGTAGACGTTCTTCCTCTTTTTTGTACGGAGTATTAATCTTCTCATTATGGTTGCCTCTTCATTTCCATCTGTAATAAATTAATCACCGAGTAATAAAACTGTAAAATATACAAATCTCCCCCCTGAGATGAGATGACGAGGCCAAACCAGCCGCCGCCAATCACCACCCAGAACGTCCTTCTGGGCGCCTAAGCCCACTCGACTTTCCAAGGTTGCTAGGGACCACTCTATGATCAAAGGAACCATGGTTGAGTGCCTGTCGATGATTACTATTGTTGTCCGAGCTGCAATGGCACTACTGCGTTGCTATGCTTTTGACACGAAATCTTAACTTGATCTGTTTGGCTGTGTCAGGATCCTCGACGCAATCTCCTCTGCCACCTGTCGACTGCTCATCCTCGACCTCCCTTCTCCACACCCGCGGAAACTACGGTATAAGTACGCTCTCGGTGCGGATCGCTCTTGTGAGTTCTGGGGAAGATCGTTTTCCTACACTTGGACTAATATCATCCTGTGCTCTAGATTGTTCTCCCCCCAGTCTGCAGCCGGTTCGATGTAATTATCCCTAATAGCACCAGACAAGTATTTAGGCTCGCACGGACGGATCCTTAGATTCCGATCTGTTCCTCGACTACTGTCCTAATATATCATTAAAGGAGCTCCGCTGACCAAAAATTCAAGTGCGTGCTCGACGATTCTTTCATAATTTCCCCTCGTCACCTCTCATCATCTGTACCTCCTCCACCTTCCCCTCCCCCCGACGTCGACTCCTAGGAGACCTCAATTTTCGTCTCCCTGATTATCCTCCCTGCATATTCACGATTGGTTGAGAATTACAAAGTTGGTCGTGGCTGATCCTGTAACCCCCAGGGTATTGTTCACTGCTCTAGTGTGGAGGCATGCTCATTTCCTTTGTCCTAGGATCAAGAATAGTCGAAAAAACGGAGCCCTCCCTCCGAAATTGTCGAAATACGTTGCCTTGTGTCCTTGGATGCTCTGTCATTCGAAATACGCGGCCGACCCTGTTCTATTCCTACAAAGAGGGCACCAACAATAGTTAAGGATTTTAGCCGAATGCGACTTTGATAATGCCTCAGCAGCCCTTGAACATACCTTTGAGGACATCCAGCGCCAATGCTGTGCAGGGTGGGTTACTTTCGGGAGAGAATAGTAGGGAGGAAGTGAGACTCGAAAGTACGTCGAAAGCTCAAAAAATCTTGGGCACCAGAGGCATTCCTTTTCACCAAGACAACCAAAAACGGGAAGATAAAAAGAGAGGGCATCGGCCCAGTTTTATGAAAACTTCGGAAACAAAATCAAAGAAAGTAGGCAATTTTGTTCCCTTCCCAGCATCGATTGCCGAAAATTCTCTATCACCTCAGCACCTGCGGGTCCGAGCATCCTCTCCTCTCTTGGGTCAAGAGTATCGGACGCAAGATCAATCACCGCCACCGGTGCCCAGAATTCCAAAGATCCATCACTCTGGCTCTGCCTCAACCCTATATTCCTATTTCACTTCTCGAGATTCTTCTGCAGATACGAACAAGGCCACTGGAAACGCTACGAAAGATCTCGATCCATCTACGGATGGAAGCAACGAATCACAACAAAATGCCGGGGGAAGCTCGGGGCTTAAACAACCTGCAGGGTTTATGAAAGAATCGAAACGGAAGATGCGTCCTCCTAGGATTGATCTTTCTTTGCTATTTCCTAAGCCACGAGAAAGTGCTGCCCCCCTTCTGTCACCCCAGCGAATGGTCAAATCTCCTTCAGCAATTTCATTGGCTTCGGAATATTCCGCCCCGCCCTCCAAGAAGACCGACAGCCATGCAACTGGGAAGCGACTCACGAAATTACCGCCTTCCTCGAGGCGTTCAGCTCGCAGACCAAGTGGCCTTCAATCAATCAGCGATGCTGGCGAGTCTTTGACACCCTATGACGCACATAATACGAATTGGACGGATCCCACTCTTGAAAGAGCAGTACCTACGAGTGAAATGGATTTGGCCTTGGAAAGGTATAGCGATGTACAGCAAGCGTCCCCATCCGCTGCACGGTCTCTACCGAACCGGTTACACTTGCGGACGAGAAACCGAGAAGAGCTGCCTGGTAGGAATGATTCACAACCGCCGAACAGTTCTTTACAGAAAGCTCCATCGATCAGCTCTTCAGGGGCCTGGAGCAAAGAAACATATCTTTCACCTAAGAACTGTTCGCGTCCCAGGGACAATCGTGTGTCAAATTCACCGGACGCTCGACGTATCCAATTTCAAGGGAAACCACCCACCCCAGAGGACTATTCAATGTCGAGGAAGAGTAGTAAAAGCACGTTGACAAACTCTGACCTCAACAATCTCAGCGTCCTTTGTCTTTCCTCGTCGGAGGATGAGAACGAGGAAGATGAGGAACGTGAGCCTACTAAAGGCAAACCTGAACTGGACAAGGGTGTGAGAGATAGCATAGCCACGTACGACGACTTCGAACCAGAAATCTGCACGGCATCTGCGGCGCAAGCTACTAGGGGCTCCGTGAGACAGGTGGACCGTTCGATTTCGACCAGCAGTCGGGGGTCTCGTCCTGTTCAGCGCCAGCAATCACTTCTTCGGAACCCATCAATGTCATCAGCAGGGCGCTCATCCGTGGAAACTCGCAAAAGCCAATCCCGACGTTCGGGTGGGATTCCAACTATTTCGGAACCTGAATTCATTCACGGCGACCCCATTTTTAGTCAGCTAGGGAATTCTGCTCTCTATCAGAACAGGAACTCTGGCCTGTCTCAAAAAGAAATGAATAGGCGAAGCCGAGTTATAGCTGTGACTAGGCAGGAAGAGAGCTTTCTAGAAGCAATGAGAGAACGGGAAGGCAAAATCACCCCCAGTCTCTTCCAAGAATCCCGCTACAACGCACAAGAACCCGACCGGAATTCGATGCTTTCTGTAGCGCCATCGCGGGACTCATTCTACGGTTCTGGCATGTCCTTTCTACGACTAAGCCCAGGCTTCCCGCCTAACCGAGCTCGAATAGACCAAGGTGCTGTTTCTGATACGGAGCAGAAAACCATCAACTCGAGTGCATCTCCTCGAGCTAGCCTGGTATATTCGGAGAGTCTTTCGTCACCCGCGACCAGTGCGGCGTCTCCAATGACACCGACCCTTCCCATTCATCGATTCTCGCCGCTTCCATCGCAAAAGCCGACTCCACGTCGCCCTCCCCCCACTATCCCAGACGCTCAAAAGCGGCATTCGCGGCGTCGCACTGATAGTAGCGAGGCCATTGTTTTGGACGACACTGAAGAACTCAAAGAAAAAAATGAGTTTCCTCTTTGGGCCGTGGGGTGGAATAGTGAAGGTGCTAGTTTGACGGCAGTGCATTGAGAGAATGGCTGCATGTCATGACCATTCATACATCTTTATATTTAACCTCGGATGGCTTTGAGCCTCACTATTATTTCCCTTTTCTTTCCCCCTCTCGGACATCACGCAGTATAGGCGGATGCGTATTTCTTTCTTTTAGCGCTCATATCCACTACACAGTGTCTGGCCTTCTAGCCATGTCTCCTATATAGTACTGTATTTACTCTTATTATTGGTCCCAGCAAAGATGCATATGAGGCGGACAATTTGGATAGTATTTTAATTCAATATGATATCTCTTACCCCATAGCGTCTCTATTCGCCGGGGAAGTGTATAATGAATATGCTGCCTTAGAAATGACGGTGCCTAATTGATGCGGGACTGAGCGCGTATTTTTTTTTTTTTTTTTTTTTTTTTTTGGGGGGGGGGGGGGGTTACCTACAACCACCTTACATGAATATTTTATGTATATGTAGGCTGCCCCTCGTTGGGCTGCCGGGGGCTTGCCAAGCAGCAGCAACCGAAGTATGCTTGCCCAAGAGGCATCGAATAAAGGACACGGACTCCTGACGTCAGTTTGCTTCATGGAAATGGATCAAGAAAGAGATCTTTTTTGGATGGCTGGGACACTCCCGTGATCCATAGATCCACACCGCCCCTCGCCAGTCAATCATCGACAATTCGTACTTAGTCTGAGTCTATACCCCGGACGCCTATTCCATTCAGTCCCTAGCACACACTCCCGCCGGTTGCCACTCTCGATATTCTTCAAGCACCTTGTCAGCCCTCAGACTCCTGATTTTCATCTATTCCTTGGAGAATTGGTCTCCCAAGTCGCCCTGCCCTTCTTCTCCACGCTCGACCTCCAGTGGGCCTGATTTCGTTTGGATTTCCCCTCAGAATTGGCACACGCACTTATCGAATGCAACATCCTCGGCAAATCACAGAAACCAGTCCCTTGTCAGCTCACGGCCCAGTGTGCCCATTCTGAGATTCTATAAGCTGGTTGATCGCCTAGTTGGTTTCTCGTGACAGAGAAAAGGGCCTCGTTCGTCTTCTAGCAGGAAATCGCCACCATCCACCATGGGGGGAAACACAAAACAGCCGTCACCGGGACTGGGGACTTGCGTGAAACAATTCTCGTGGATCCTGGTGAGAGACCCTTGGTCCTGCGACACAGTACAATAGATCCAGGGCTCTCTGCTAAATATTGATCTGCTTGCTACAGTTGACAGCGCAATATACGGCATTTGTGCTGGTATGTGGAGTGCATCTTGCTAAATGGCGACTATCTTCACTGACACTGGCTCTTGATTTAGCTGTTGCATTATTCTAGGGTGATGCCACCCTCCAACGGAAAGCTGTACATCGCATCCACGGCCGTCTTCTTTAACGAGGTTATCAAACTTGCGATATCCTTGACCATAGCCCTATACGAGGTGTCAAAAACCGCCCCTCCAACGGTTCCTGCGACATCTCTTTTCTTTGCCCTTACCGCCGCCGTTTTCTCGGGCGACAGCTGGAAGCTGGCAATCCCCGCCGGCCTCTATACCATTGCTAATACGTTACAATATATTGCTCTTTCGAACCTACCGGCGGCAACTTTCCAGGTGACATACCAAATGAAACTTGTCGTGACAACTGTATTTAGCCTCATATTGTTTAGGAAGACCGTTCCCCTACGTAAATGGGGCCTACTGCTGCTGCTTTTGGTAGGTGTCTGTCTCGTTCAGATGCCCGATGGCAGCTCCGACCAGGAGTCACTCCAAGATCAGACGACGCACCCTGCCTTTCCGCGATCCCTGGAGGAATGGAAAGCGGTCAAGCTGGAGCGTCCAAACTTGCATAAGCGTTCTGCGACGTACGAGGGTATTCAGGAAGACATAATGACTGCATTTCCGCGAATGAATGGAACCATCGGTCTCCTAGCTACCATTGGTTCCTGTATGGCTTCCGGGCTGGCCAGTGTTTACTTGGAAAAAGTGCTGAAGGACAGTGCAAAATCAACATCACTTTGGGTTCGCAATGTTCAATTGGCCGTCTATTCTGTCTTCCCAGCACTTTTTATTGGTGTCATATTTTTGGATGGCGAAAAGATCGCCGCGAACGGGTTTTTTGAGGGGTATAACTGGGCTGTATGGTCCACCGTTGCTGTCCAGGCGGTCGGAGGCATTGCGGCGTCGTTCTATATTGGATCCGCTTACCGGGATGCGAAGAATGTGGCCACAGCCACGAGCATAACGCTCAGCACCTTGGGGAGCATCGGGCTGTTTGAATTCGAGCCCACTGCTAACGTGAGTCGTGCTGGTCGTTCCAATCGGTTTGATATTCTCATTCTTGCGTGAAGTACTGACAATGTCACGCATGTAGTTTCTCCTTGGGACCTTTGCAGTGCTCGTGGCTACGTATCTTTATGAGGATTCGAGCGTTGGGCTTGGCCAAGGCAAACGCCAAGGGCCTCGCCCACCACCAATTCGAATTGACCGATACGAGAAATGCTCCAACAGTGACGGGGTCTCGCCTGCGTCGGCATCACCTCCAAATGAAATTTCTATCAAACTCCCTGGGACGCCCTTCCTGTCCGATGCCGGTATATCAACTTCCCGGCCTACGTCGCCAGGCCATCCGAGAGCTAACTCCGCTCGTAATACGAGCGGTGGCTATTTCGACAAGCATTAACGAGATCCGAGATTATGTTGATTTGACACGACCTCATTTACTGTGATCAATCGTCTCGTACGGTGCACTGTATAATGGCTCACGGAAGTAAATACGTATGAATAGAAGCGAAGTCCTATGTTCTTTTTCATTTATATGCAGCTACTCTTGTATTTTATCATTCGATTTTATTCCGCATTTTGACCGATAGCATCTTGACAGGCGGGTTTGCTTAGAACATGTTGAAGGCTTCAATCTACTCTAGCACCACCATACCATTGCTTAAACACACATATGTGTTTAAGATCGACTAAGTTAGGGCGTTGAAGCAACTCGAGGGATCTATCGACCAGGAGATTGACTGGCTTGCGAACTCTTTTATAGTAGTATCTTTATTTCGTATTTGAAGATATCCACGTGCTCACTCCAGCAGGTGATCTGACCGCTTTCCAAACGGCTCAAGAGTCCTCGGCTTGGTGATACACTTCATCGAAGTTTATAAGAGATAATTGATTTCTCTCCGTCATTGAGCTCTTTAATCACCATGCTGAGGAAAGGCCATCAGCACTTGCCCATATCTGGCTATCATCCCTCCACAAGACAAGGAACTGACGCTCTGTCCCCACTCTCGCAATTTAACGCGAAAAATATCATTAACCAAAGACTTATTGAAGGGCCTCAAAGCTCGCCCTTAGCGAGTGCACCCCGTAGAATAGAACACGAGGCTTACCTTCCTACGTTAAGGTCCCCTCCCGCTGATGATTTGCAATATGATGCGTTCGGTGAGTACAAGTCAGCTGTGGGTGATACCTGGACTATAGCTAATGCCAGTGGGTTTAGACCTAGAATTACTTGCCCAGTCAGAGGAACCAGTGAACAACCAACAATCTACACTGTACAGTGCCGAAAACCACACCTTATTTTATGATAGACTGCGAGCCAATGGCCCTGCGCAAGTCTCTCGTTTCTTTCGTGGTAGGTCCAGTTAGCTATGCAATTCTGTGTTTGTGATTGAGACACTGATTAAACAGCAGTAGACTCGCATGCCACACCTCACAGAATCTTGGATTCCAACTCATCCGATCCTGGTGTACGATCACCTTCTAGCCCATTGGCTAGATTCCAGCCTGGGGGAACAGTGTCGTTGCAATGGCAGAAGAACAAGGCCAGGAGAGACTCTCAAACATACGGCATGGAATCCCACAGGCCTGAAGAGTCATCATCGAGATCCAGTTATGAAGAAACGGGATACTCTTCCCCGAATAAGTCGACCCCTTTTCAGAATATTCCTATGTCGGCTCGAGGCGTTGTTCTCGTGTCACTCCGTGAACTCCCTGACAATTATCGTTCAGTGTTTCACTTCCCTGTTTTCAACGCCGTCCAGTCAAAATGTTTTCAGCCTGTCTACAAAACAGACGACAACATTGTGCTTGCGGCGCCTACTGGAAGCGGTAAAACAGTAGTTATGGAATTGGCGATCTGCCGCTTGCTCAACAATCTGCAAAACGAGCGGTTCAAGGTCGTTTACCAAGCTCCTACCAAATCTCTTTGCTCGGAGCGATTTCGCGATTGGAATAGAAAGTTCCGTGCTTTGGGCCTTCAGTGCGCGGAGCTAACCGGCGATACAGATTATACACAGATGAGAAGTGTGCAGAATAGCCAGATAATCATCACCACGCCAGAAAAGTGGGATAGCATGACTCGAAAATGGAAAGACCACACCCGGCTGATGCAAATGGTTAAGCTGTTTCTTATCGACGAGGTCCATATTCTGAAGGAAGCTCGCGGGGCAACACTGGAAGCTGTTGTGTCTCGGATGAAAGCGATTGGGTCGAATGTCCGCTTTGTTGCTCTGAGTGCTACAATTCCAAATTCAGAGGATATCGCCACTTGGCTGGGCAAGAATACAACGAATCAGCATGTACCTGCGCATAGAGAACACTTTGGAGAGGAGTTTCGTCCTGTAAAACTGCAGAAATTTGTATACGGCTATCAATCGCATGGCAACGATTTTGCGTTCGACAAGATGTGCAGCTCAAAGTATGGCTAGAATGTCTTTACTCATTTTAGATGCTAACAGTACACTTTTCAGACTCCCTGATGTCATCGCTACGCATTCATGTAAGAAGCCAGTTATGATATTTTGCTGCACAAGAAATTCGTCTGTTTCAACTGCAAAGGAGCTTGTTCGATTATGGTCAATGTCCAATCCACCGGCGAGGCTGTGGAAAGGACCAAACAAACATATGGAGGTCCATAATATAGATCTAAAAGGCATGCAAATATCGTCTCCCTAGGTATAACAGGGCGTTTCTAACGTTATTTATTAACGAGGTAAAGCTACTATCATCGCAGGAGTCGCGTTCCACCATGCAGGTCTTGACCCCAATGACCGACACACTGTTGAAACTGGATTTTTGCAAGGGCAAATCAGCATAATATGCTGCACTTCCACGCTTGCAATTGGTGTGAACCTTCCATGCCATCTTGTCATAATAAAAAACACAGTAGGATGGCAAGACGGCGGCTGCAGAGAATACTCCGACCTCGAAATCATACAGATGCTTGGCCGAGCTGGTCGACCCCAATTCGATGACACCTCCACTGCTGTCATTTTGACACGGAAAGAACGCGTAGGTTATTATGAAAAACTAGTTTCTGGGACTGAGAGCCTTGAAAGCTGCTTGCATCTGAACCTTATCGACCATTTGAACGCTGAGATAGGGTTAGGTAATGTCACAGATATTGAATCTGCTATCAGATGGCTTGCTAGCACATTCCTATTTGTGAGACTAAGGAGAAACCCGACGTACTACCACCTCAAAGAGGGAGCCAATAAGAATGATGAAGATGAAATGCTTCGACAAATTTGTGAGAAAGACATTAGGTCTCTGCGGGAGTGTGGCTTGATTGCCACAGAACAACTCAGATCTACGCAGTTTGGTGATGCAATGGCTAGATATTATGTGCGGTTTGAAACAATGAAGACGTTCCTAACATTGAAAAAACAGGCTTCCACCTCTGAAGTTGTAAGTGGAAAAAATGAAAAAAGGGAATTTGAGGGAGCTAATTATATATAGCTTTCCGTTGTTGCGCAAGCAGAGGAGTTTCGTGAAATTCGTCTCAAGGCAGGCGAGAAATCGCTGTACAGAGAAATCAATCGCGCGGGTGGCATATGGTTCCCAATCAAGGTGGACCTAGCTCTTCCTGCCCATAAAATTTCACTCCTCATTCAATCTGAATTGGGTGCTGTGGACTTTCCGGACAGCGAACAATTCCAAAAGCATAAATTTTCTTTTCAGCAAGACAAAAGCTTCGTATTCTCTCACATAAATCGACTCATCCGTTGTATTATAGATTGTCAAATTACCCTTGCGGACTCCGTCGCTGTTAAGAATGCTCTAGACCTTGCAAGAAGCTTTGGAGCGAAGGTTTGGGATGGTTCTCCGCTTCAGATAAAGCAGATCGACCAGGTCGGTGTCGTTACTGTTAGAAAACTAACGGCTGCAGGAATTACCAGCCTCGAGGCCTTGGAACAGACAGAACCTCATCGGATTGATATGATCCTGAGCAAGAATCCTCCCTTTGGGATGAAACTACTTGGTCGCCTTGCAGACTTTCCGAAGCTTCGGGTATCTGTCAAGAAAACAGGGAGGGTACGCTGATCAACCTATCCTTGAGATTCCTCTAACGTCTTTATAGGATATTAACCCTGGAGCTCCGGTAAAAGTCCGATTCAAAGCCGATGTTGCGTTTATGAATGAGAAGTGTCCGATTTCTTTCCAACGACGCCCAGTATACGTTTGCTTCTTAGCGGAGACCTCAGACGGACGTTTGATTGATTTCCGGCGTATCAGGTGCGTCAGCAATCATTTGTATATAGAAAAACCGAGACTTACAAGTTTCAGTGCGAGCAAGCTTCAGAGTAACCACGAGATAACATTGACCGCTGAAATCAAAGGTCCAGATCAGCTAATAAGATGTCATGTAATGTGTGACGACATTGGTATGAGCCGCGTCTCTTGACAGTGCCCAAGGCTACTAGTATTATTGCTAATAATGTGAAGCTGGAACTTTGAGGTCTGCAGAAATACAAGCAGATCTTCCTCCTTCCCTGTTTCCAGGCCGTTCAAGTAGCGGCAAAACAGTGGTCTGCCAGAACCAACCGACTCAGATGAATATATCACGCCAACGCAGCAATAATTCTTCCCAGTCTAGAATGGATATTTCTCGAAAAGCAGATACTTTTGATTATGATGACTTCATATTCGATGACCTTTTAGAAATGGGTACGTGTTTTCCTACTCATACCTCGATCGTGTATTCTAAGCCAATATGTAGACATACTGACGAATACCCCGCCACCTGACATTGAAGTACCAAAAGCACATCCAAACGAAAAACCCACTGGAGATATCTCGGGACACGATGAGTCCGAGCCAACCCGTTTAGACAACGGTAAATGGGCATGCAACCATAGATGCAAAGACAAGAAATTGTAATGAAGTAGGATTTGACCGCAGCGAAACAACAGCACTAATGATCTTATAGGTGTAAACACTTCTGCTGCCGAGACGGACTAGACAAACCTCCGAAAGCGAGCAAGAAACAATCTGGTGCTGTGAGCCAGAAAACAGATAAGTTCAGCCAGATGACACTTTCTGCCAGCGTTGCGAAGAAAAAGGCACCAATGACTTCTAGTCATGGCCAGCAACATACTACAAATGGGTCTGAATCTTTGACCACAGAGCAGGAGCAATGCCCATCTCTTATTACGTTTGACCCGAGTTCTGTCAGCTCAGATTTCGGTCCCGGTAATGATACGAGCAATCCTAGTGTTCTCAATGGTGATTATTCAAGCGATTATGGAGATGATAGTCTGGATGATTTGCCCTCACCGTCCGCGTTGCTACTTGGGATGGTTGTCCGAACTACAAGTCCAGATAATGGCAAGAGCATAAGGGTGTCCAATGCAGAAGAGGACATGTTTATAGGAGATGATTGGCTTTTCACTGATGAGCCTCTCCACCTGACCCAGGCTGCTCCATTGGCTAAATCCCCACAACGAAGCAGGGGCGATGGGCAACGCTCAGTAGGTGGTGACAAAATAGAAGGGTCAACCAAAGAAGCATTGCAAAAAGATGCCCTTGAACCACGAAACAATATAAGAGACAAAAATGCTCAAGAGCATAGTGATACAGCCGTCTTGGCTAGAGCTCTGAGTCTGGATGACTCAGGTGGAACGAAGAGAAAGCTTGCAGCGACAGATCCAAACCAGCAAAGCAAGGACAGAGAAGGGAGACCAAAAAGAAACAAGACAGAGACATCAACCCACAATAGCTCTCCACACCACCAAGAAGATGATGACAATGCTACTGAGCAGTCAAATGGGGGACATCCAGATCGCCAATATATGGACATATCAGGTCCATCTGCAATGCCAGCAGACTGGGAAGGCATTGACCCTACACTCCTGAATGAGTTCAAAGACATTATTGATTTCTTTTAAGGGTTGAATTATCTCAGACAGATTGATGAATGCCTGCTTGAAGGGCCAATGGTAAAATGGATGAAACATCAATTCTTTGTTGATAGATGTACTCTTGTTCTTGCACTTTCTCTCACTAACTTATTGATAATAGAAAGAGTCGATGATGGAACCGGGACTTTACTCATAAAACACTATGATAATGCATATTTAGCATACTTTATAAATCGGTGATATGTTAGAGCGTGAATGCAAGAGGCTTACCAATCGGAGGACAAAGCGTATGTTCAGTTAGGGTTGTTCCTAAGAATCCATAACAAGACAAAAGACTTAGTGAATCCAAAGCGCCTGTTCAAGAGCTCGCTTAAGCCATAAAATACTGCCTGTCTGGAAACAGAAGATGTATGATCACGCTTCCTTTCAGCACCTTTCTCTCTTCTCCCATCTACGCGTCCACTGGTACCGCTGTCATAGTTGCATGGCTATTTAAAGAACTCAAGAAGACAGTATGTATAAGAACCAGCGTTTCTCTATATTAGAACCCTTTTTCACCATTCTAGCGCTAATAAAGACATCTTACTCCAGGTGCTGCGACCACAGTAACATACCTTTTGCTCTTTGTTCCCATTTTTCTTTGATCAACTGATACGTCTATATCTTGTCACCTGAAGTAAGTATACTGTCTGTACAATACTGCATCGCCTGGCTATGTAAATATCTGAGAGGAGTTGTGTCTTCTGTGGTTCCTACGGCCACTCGTTGTTGATCAACACGGTCGGCCTGTTCCTTTGTAAACAGTCTTTGCACACCCTTCCTGAAACATGTGATCAATACTCATTGTCTTGGGTACTAACGAGTGATTATCCAGAGGATAGGCAATAATTTATCACTCCTCAAAATGGGGAAATTGAATTACTCAGCGGTAAGTCCTGGTTTCTTGTCTGTAGTCACTCAGCCCATGTTGATTATGATCGTTCACTATAGAGAAGGATCACCGGTGTTAAAGCGGCACAGGTGGTATCCAAAGACCTGGTATGTACTCCTGTGTTGTTGATGTGCTCCTAGACATTATGCTAATGGTTTCTGCAGAGAAAACGGATCCCTCCAGGTATCCACTCCAAAGCTGCCGCCAGAGACCCGACTTTGGAGATCGATGTCTCTGGCAAGGAACTGGCCAATGAAGGCCTTGCCCAGTTTATTGATGACCTGATTGAATGTTCCAAGTACCGTGATGCAGATCATACTGAGGGTCTGGCCAAAGTGACTGAGATTCATCTTTCGGGGAACAAGCTCACCGCGCAGTCCCTGGTCAAGCTGGGCGATGTGGTTGCTCTCAACAGTGGTGAACTTCGGGAGTTCGACCTTTCCAATAATGATATCCAGATCAATACTCCCGAGGAGAAAGAAAGTTGGTACAAGTTCCTGAACTCCTTCTCAAACTGCTACATGTTGAAGAAGCTTGACCTCGGAAGCAATCCGCTTGGTCCTGCAGGGATGGAAATCCTTGCTCGTGTTTACATCAAAAGTGACCTGGATTTCCTTGAGGACGATGCCGATATCATTATTGGGCCTAAGAGCGATGAAGAAGAAGTTCTTGCCGATGGCATCGAGGCGCTGAAGATCAAGGCGGGCAAGGATCATGATGGTCAGAAGTCTGGCTGCTGTAAAAAGTCTCCGCACAAGGGAAAGTTTTTGAAACAAAGTAGTATGTCTTTCCTTATCTTCATCAAAAGAACCACGTATGACTCTGACACATTGTGCTCTTCCAGGTCGCATCCACGTCGTCTCGGCCACCGCCAAAGCCAATACTCCAACTGAGCTGAAGCGCTTTGCGTGTACCAGAGGGCTCCGCTCCATCCCCTATCTGATCCTTTCAAATACTTCCATTACCAATGGCGGAGCCGTCCATCTCGCTAGCATGCTAGAGATACAGCGAACGCCCGAGCAACTTCTAGCATTCCTTCCCGCCGGTAAAATTTTGGCCTTGCCTGACACCGCCCAGTCTTGCAAGGGAATAATTTGGAAAGAGAATGGCAATCTGGTGCCGTATGCAAAGCGACTGCTCGAGGTTGCTGAGGTAGTACGTGACTATAAAGCCATCTCAAACTCAGACGAAGAAAGCCTAGACGGTGAAGAGGATCTGGACGGTACCAATGGGCAGAACAACGATCATCATCACAATAACCACAAGATGGACACCATCATGCAGTGGAAGATGCAGAACAAAACAGACATCGAGTTCACCCGACTTGCTAAGAGAGTTCGTATGGAAGCCTTGAAAACCGAAGGTATCCACAGCATGGACATTTGGATTACTGCTTTGCGTATGATCCTCGTGTCCCGGGCATTACTATTGGAAGACAAAGATCGCATGGGTGACACTCCATCAGAGGATGAGACCTTGCCTGCCGAAGTCGAGGAAGAGCCCTCTGAGGAGTCTGCTGAGGAGATGCTTGTTGAGGAGCCCGTCGACAATGATATCGCCGAGCCATTCTCTGACCCGGTCGAACCCGCGGAATTAAATATGCTTCATATGCCCTCCGGACCTTTTCACCCTGCAGCCGAGTCTTTCGAAGCTGACTTCCCTGCTTTACAGTCCGTCTCTAACGGTAAAAACGAGGTAGCACCGGAGACCAAGTGCAACTCTCCTTTGTTCCCCCCCGTTCAGGCTACACGCTCGGGTAAGGGTCACCCTAGGGCGACCGGTGGAACTCGATCCCCTTGCAAGAATATGTGGCGATATGGCCTTCCATTCGAGCTCTGGCGCCGAATCATCGCAGATGCAGTGGGGGCACATGATATTTTGGACTTGCAGCAGCAGGAACGGATCATGCGCTATGCTTCAGATTGGAACACCTTTAGTTATGAGATGACTATTACTGGCGCAGAGCATCATCAGCAGATCTGGAAGATCCTGGAGACCGTCAACTGCTTCACCTACAGTCCTCTGGAGTGACCATAGGGCATTAATGGCGTTTATTTTCCATCTGGTCTCAGTGAGAACATGATCTAGCTTCATATTTAACCCGTAAATCAGGAAGTTAACTTGAGAAACACACACACACACAAAAAAAAAGAAAGAAAGAAAGAAAGAAAGAAAAAGGAATGAGAGACGAATCACTACAGTAATTAGGATACAGCTTGACGGGGCGTTTGGGTACGGACTTGGAGACCATTCATGTTTTTGATCATGTATGTAGCAGGCTCGAAGTCTGAAGGATTGGGCCGGACCCAATTGCCCAGATAGCTGGTTAAGCAGCAATCCGATCCCATATTGCATCAATGAATGAATGAATGAATGAGGATGGATGGATTGATGGAACTATTGAGATGGGAATGACAAGTAGGCACGTGATCTGGGACATCCCCCGCGGGATTCCTTTGTCTAGAGTACAGAACTCAAGAGTAAGATATCATACCTTAACTAGTCTAGGGTCCATTCCTACGCTTTCATATCATCCTCAGACATTGATAGACCGTACGCTCTAGGTCAAACTGAGCATTATTCTCTCCGCCGTCGAAATGAATATGATGCGCACCAAACGTACTAACACGGCTCCGTTGGAAGACGCCTCCACGGCTCCAGCGACCTTCAACGACGGCCTGCCGCTACCAAAGCTGATCGCCTTTGATCTGGACTATACTCTGTGGCCTTTCTGGGTTGACACGCATGTCAGTGCCCCCGTCAAGTCGCGCGACAACAACTCCCGCTGTACAGACCGGTTCGGCCATTCCATCCATTCCCCTGTATTTCTCCCCAGTACCAAAATATTAATTTATAAATATAAAAACAGATGGAACGAATCTTTCGCCTTCTATCCCGCCGTATCTTCTATCATCTACGCGTGTAAAAGCCGCGCAATCCCCCTGGCATTGGCTTCCCGCACACATGCCCCGGATCTCGCTCGCGACATGCTCAAGGCCCTTCACATCATCCCCACGTTCTCGGATAATCTATCAACGAAGACCAAGTCCATCCGCGCGCTTGATTACTTCGATCATGTCCAGATCTTTCCCGGGAACAAGACCCAGCATTTTGCTAGGATCCATCAGACTAGCGGGGTGCAGTACGAGGAAATGCTCTTCTTCGATGACGAAGCACGGAACCGCAATGTCGAGACGGAGCTGGGAGTGACGTTTTGTATGATTAGGGATGGTATGACCCGGGATGAGGTAGATCGGGGAGTGTGGGCATGGCGGAAGAGGAATGGAATTAAACGGGAGAATGGGGAGAGGAATTGAATAGACGGGGCTCAGACGACGAGCGGTTTGGGTCTGAAGACGATATATAGCTTGCGTATGGTGAGAAGGGATTTGCTACTTTCTTGCTTTGATATGAAGGGACTATGAGACTATGATTTGACTTGCGATGGTTAGAGATACCCAGATAGGACGAGGGAATTAAATTAGACATGGATATGCCTGGGACAATACAAGTCCAATATCAATATCAACATCAATACTCTATAGATAGACACTCTTATGTGCGTTGGATGCCACCATCTCCAACCTCCACTGGCCCAAGCTTGCTCTCCGCCTAACATCAAACTCACCGTCAATACTCTTTCATTCATTCATCACCACTACCACCAGTCAATTATCTCACTCCATCCATCCATATCGCCTCACCTCCTAGAAAGCATACCATGGAATCTCCGCGAAAGTCACAAACACACCTAAAACCGCCTCCGCACCACCAACCACGCCGATCATCCACATCCACAACCACAACCACAACCACATCAACACCGGCAACACCGCGAGCCCCCGTCATGGCACACCCAACGGCAACGATCGCCGAAACTGCCATATTTCAAGGCACGCACGCGGTATCGATTGGCGCAGGGACCGTAATCCATCCGCGCACGCGCATCTACTCGTTCTCTGGACCGGTGATCATCGACGAGGCGTGCATTATTGGCGAAAAGAGCGTGATCGGGGTCGCAGCACCACCCAGTTCGAGCGGGGAGGGATCCTCAAATGGTGCAAAATTGGACTCGGTGGAGGGGATTCCCATCCGGTTTTCATCCTCCGTGACGGTTGGACCGACGGTGACGATCCTCCCCGGGGTGCGCGTGCACTCCGGGGCGTCGATTGAGGCGCTAGCGACGATCAAGGACCGCGTGTCGATTGGAGCGCATGCTAGGATCTGTGCCGGGTGTGAGGTATCGGAGAATACGGTGATTCGGGACTGGATGGTAGTTTGGGGGTCAGGGGTGGGAATGGGACAGAGGCGGAGGATACGGGCCCGGGGGAAGATGAGCTCAACGACGGCGGTGGCGCAGGGGATACAATCGTTGGAGGCCAGGGTGATGGAGGATGCCAGGTTGGCGGTACTGCAGAAGGAGAGGGAGGCGCTTTCTCGGTTGATTGGGGCGTCGAGTTCAGGACGACGAAAGTGATGAAGATTCTCCCCCTATGGAGGCGGCGATGGTGATGATAATGACGATGTGATGAAATCCACTCGCTTTACGGTTCAGTGTTCGCGATACTGCATATAATACCCAAGATATAGACAGAAATCTACCGTTACTTCAACTTGGGATAGGTGGGAATCAAAATGTCCAGTGTAGAATTAGCTATGACCTGTGCATGATGCTCTCAAAAAGAACAGAAAGGCAGAAGGACGGAAAGACAGAACGAAATGGAAACGAAAACGGAATAACGTCTTGATAAAAGTGCAACAAAAGAAATATATGAGACGTTTTTAGGCCATGGCAGGAGCTAGATGTTGATGAAAACGCTTAATCAAATATATCAAGTCACAAACATACAAAAACGAAAATACACAGAATTCCAAGATCTGGCCCATTCGAGATTTAAGATCCTCCTCGAGCATGACCGCCGCCTCTCATTCGCTTCCCACCACTGGTTCCCCCTTCGTTTGCACCTTCGCTACCATCCTCCCGGGCTCGTTTGTTTCCTTGGGGGACGAATTGGCGGGCATGGGCGTTTAAGCTACCTCGTCCTCCACCGGGGCTAGATTGACCCTGTCCCTGTGGTACATTGGCAGTCTGGACGTTCTGATGTCCACCCCGGCCGCCGCCCCGTCCTCCACGACCACGAGGGGGGGCGCCACCACGCTGACTCTGGGACTGCGCTTGTTGCTGACCCTGTGGCTGCTGCTGGCCCTGTGAACCAAACGGATTGTGTTGTGGGCCGCCACCACGGGCACCGCCTCGGCTACCTCGTGCGACTGGAAGGCCAGACTGAAGTGCTCGGAGCACACCTGTGCCAGAACCAGCCGGGGGCTTGCTGGGCAACGAAGCGGGTTGCTTGCTTTGGAGGGGGGCAAACGGGCTTCCGGGAGCATTACCTGCAACGGGAGCCGTGGTCAAAGCACTGATAGTTGGCTGTTGTCCATCCGATTGGGCCACGGGCTCGACCGTAGCAGCCTCTGGAGCCTGGTCAGCTTGTGTCTCCGGAGGTCCTTGTGGTTGATTTTGCTGTTGGCTTTGGATCGCGGGCGTGGGTGCGGTTGCCGGGGCCGGGGACGGCACAGTGGCAGGCTGTGCCGCTGCCGAAGTAGGAGTGGGAGTTTGCTGTGCTGGTGAAGCTGTAGGCTTGGACCCTTGAGAAACAGCAGGTGCTGCCTTTGCCGTTTTGGCCACTTCCCATACTTCGACGACGGCCTTCTGCGGAGTTTCAGTGGCCGCCTTTTGAACTACCTCGATCTTAGCCTGGGCAGTCCTCAACCGAGTATCAAGCATGCTGATCTTGACCAGTGTTTTCTTATCAGACAACTCAACCGCTGACTTGATCTTTTCTTCTAAGCCCTCCTCGTGAGCCTTTCTAAGAGCCTCTTTAAGTGCCTCTCTTTCCTGGTTGAATTTCTGCTCCAGGGATAACAGGGCATCCTGGTTGGCTTCGGCAGACGACTGCGCTTCCTGCTTGTCCTTCTCCTTCTCCTTAGCAACCATTGCTCGGATGTTGCTTCGAACAATATTCCGGATAGTTTCGTTCTTAGCGACCAGTGCCCTCGCTTGGGCGTCTGTGAGCTCAGGGAGCTCGCCGGATTTGGAAGGAGTTGCAGGGGCTTGGTCGGGTTTGGATCCTGGCGTGCTTGACTCCTGAGGGGCGACTTGTTGATCTGACCTCAGTTGCTCTATTTCTTGTCGATGGCTGGCTTTAACTTCGGCTATTTTACTGTTGAAGGTCTCCTTGAGTTTGTCTGCTCGTTCCTTGACCTTCGCCTCATGCTCAGCATCCTTAGCGGCTATAGCAGCCTCCTTTTCAGCAAGAGCAGCTTCCAGACGGTGTACCTTGTCCTCCAGCGTCTTCACCCTTTCATCATCACTGGGCGCAACGACTTGCGTGGTTGATGCAGGTAACTGAGCTGCAGGAGTCGAGTCAACACCGGATGTACCGGATGGTTCTTCTGCCACAGGAACAGCGGGCTTCTCGGCCATCCTTATCTTGAGTTCATTCAGCTCTTCTTTAGTTGTCTTCAGCTCCTCCTGTAGCACCTCCTTCTCTTGGACAACCGAATTTAATTCCACTTGCTTGGCATTAATACGCCCAGTAAGCTCCTTCGATCGAGCCTTGAACTGTTCGGTAAGTTTAGCACGCAAGTCCTGCACCCTTTCATCACCGTGTTTCTTCAGTTGCTCCGGGAATGCAGCAATCTCCGCTTGCAAAGCATCCCGGGCTGACACAGCTTTGTCTCTTTCATTCTCCAATGTTGCGAGCTTCTCTTTTAGTCCTTCCATTTCAGCCGGATCCACACGGTCATACTTCTGCAGGATATTTTGGGTGCGCTGCTGCCAACGGTCGCGGTCCGCCTGCAGAAGTTGCATCTCACCATCTTTTGTTTCCACCATATTTTCAAGCTCCCTGATCTTAGTTTCGAGGGGTTCGATTTGCAGTACGAGCTCATCGACGCGTGCTGATTTCTCAGCTAGAGCTGTCTCTGTTTGCTTGACTTGGCTGCGTAGCGTAACACTGCTTTCCCGGAAAAGATTTAGCTCGTTCAACGTTTCCATTAGCTTGTTGTGGCTCAGAGCGGAGTGCTCGCTGTCCGCAGTTTCACGACGTTGCTGCTCGAGTTTGAGGCGCGCCTCATCTAGTTGAGATTGGGTGTATTCAAACTGCTGTCGGAGGCGTTTGCTTTCTTGTGTAGACAAGTGGTATTGAACATCCACGATTTCCTTCTCGCGGCGCAAAAACTTGATAACTTCCTGAAGCTTTTCCAGATCTGGCGCCATTGCCTCTCCCTGCTCATCCTCAAGGACGTTTGCACGACCCCGTTGCAGGGCTGAAATCTGGTTCGTGATATTTTCAAGTTGAGTATGAAGCAGGGAGTTCTGTTGGAGGACTTCCTCGCGGCGCTTATGCAATTCTGCAAGCTCACTTTCGTATCTATCCTTCAATTCACTCCAGCTTTCTTCCTTTTGGGAGAGGTCCTTTTTATACATGTCTGCTTTAGCCCGCATCTCAGCAAGCTCAAGCTTCAACTGATTAGCCTCAGAGCGAACCAGTTGCAGGTTCTTCGCAGCTTCGGCATGCTTAACCAGTTCGCTCTCGTAATTTTGTTGAGCATGCTGTGTAATCTCTGCTTGGGCCTTCAGATCATCTTGGTGGAACTGAGAGGTGGCAATTTGGCGTTCGGTCTCATCCTTCAGTCTAGTGATTTCGCTTTCCAGTGCAGACTTTTGCTCCTCCAGGCGTCGTGCAGTCTCCCCTTGTTCATCTCGAATCTTCGACAGCTCAGTATTAGTAGTGGAGAGCTCAGAGGAGATTTCCTCAATCCGTTTCTCAAGATCTTGAATCTTCTTTTCCTTCTCCTCAACCAGGCGTTCAGTATCCTCACGATACTGTTCATGAGTCTCTGTAACAGACTGCAGTCTTTCCTCAGTTGCTTGACTGATAGCCTTGTAATCCTCAACTTGTTCCTTCGCATGCTCAAGCTCGCCCTTGGCCAGGTCCAGATCACGCTTCAACTCAGCGACCTGCATGCCCAATTCTTGTTCACGGGTCAAGCCGCTCTCCTGCCCGCTCACCTCGGTCGCTACAGGCTCCTCAGCAGCTGGAGCGGAAGCACTCGGTCGAGTCTGAACCACTTGGAGGCGCTCCTCAGCACTTCGGAGCTCGACGGTGAGTTCGTCCACCCTGGACTGTAGATGATCCCTGGTTGTTTTTGTGGCAACCAGCTCCTCTCTGACGGAGCTCAAGCTTGTAACTAAGTCGTCGATCCGCTTTTGACTTTGTTCATGGTCGTACTCCCTCCGCAAGGTTGCCTTCTTCGACTCCTCAATTTCATCGTTTAGCTTCCGTTTTGTCGATTGTAGTTCGGATTCAAGGGATTCGACGCTGATCTGCAAGCGGCGGCTTCTCTCAGAATCAGTGTGTTCACGCTCGTTCAGGATCGTCTGCAGGTTAGCGTTCAGAGCATCAAGGCGCCCCCGCTCATTCCGTAGTGTCTCGTTGTCCTCGATAAGTCTCTTCTCGATGTTCTTCCAGAGAGCTTTCTCCGCTTTCAGGTTCGCATTCTCCCGTTGAAGGCTTTCGACAAGACCCTTTGTTTCAACTAGATCCTCTGCCGCTTGTTGAGTCCTAAGATCTTGTTTGTTTGCATTCTCCAGAAGCGCGGCATAGCGTTTCTGGAGCTCCGAGTTTTCATTCTTAAGCATAGTGAAATTGCTTTGGAGCAGTTCTGCTCGCTGAGTGGCGGCACCGAGCTGGCTGTTGGATCGGCTTATCTCGCTTAGTAGCTCACTGTTCTTCCGCGAAAGGTCGTTGACTTGTTGCTTGAGGGCAGAATGATCGGTGGCAGATTCCTCGCGGAAGCTGTCAAAGTGTGCTTGCACCTTGCGCAGCAAATCGGCATAATCAGGAGCATCCTTGGCCTGTTCGTCAGCAGTTGGCGGAACAGCCCCGAGAGGAAGCGATTGAGAGAAGACTGATGAATCCCCGACTGTTTGACGTCGGCGGGTCAGCATGCTGCGGAAGGTATCCCGTTCCTTGACGTAGCTCTTCGTCTGGGCAACAAGATTGGCGATCTCATCGCGATACGTCTGTACGCGGATTCTCAATTCCTTTAGTTCTTCCTGTTCTTGTTGACGAACAGCGTCCTTCTCACGAGCCTCCACCCCTTCCATCTTATCACCCAGCTCTCTCAACATACGCCTGAGAGTAATGTTTTGCTCCTGGAGCTCATGAAGATCCTTAAATGTCATCAAATTTTGGCTAATGAAGCGCCCTGTTGGAGTGAGATCCGCAGCAGATTCGTCAATTTCCTTGCGGGCGACCTTCTCAAGCTCCTCCCTGTCGTAGCTACTCTCGCCTTCCTTCAGGATTGCGACTTCCAGCACCAAAACCTTAACTTGAGCACTTAGGTCTCTTAGTTGTTGGCGCAAGATGTCTCCCTCACGTGCCAATCCTTCCACCTGGCCTTGGAACTTCCTTGCTTCCTTCGTTGCATCATCCCTCTCCTTCCCAGAAGTTTCAAGAATGTCAGACATTTCAACAACCGCATCCTGTAGTCTTGAGTTTTCAGTTCTCAGTTCATCGATTTCAGGCTTGCATACTTCGAGATCCTGAACCATTTCATCGAGAGTGGATCTCAGCTCCTGGCTAGTCTTCTGCTCCGCAGATAAGAGTGTCCTCATTTTGTCGTACTCAGTATACATCTGCGTGAGAGTGAGACCACCCTTTCCACGAGAGGCCCTAGGCGAGAATGTGGCGGCCGGAGTTCCACCGCGTACAGGTGTACTAGGCCCTCCGTTCAGTCCATGGGCTGGGCTTATGGATCTCCTGCCAGCAACGCCATCTGATTCAAGCCGGCTGATGGAAAGTTCAAGTTCGGTGACACGACGTTCAGCCGCCTCCTTATCAGTATGTTCAGTCTCCACCTCCACACGAAGTCTTGATATCTCCTCCGCCGCATCGTCCCTTGCTTTTTCAAGGGCCAGTTGACACTCCTGCACACGCTGCTTGGCAGTTTCTGCAGCATTACCCTGCAGTTCAGCCAGTCGATTCGCACTATCAAGTTCGATCCTAAACGACTCGGCCGCCTGGATAGCGTCCTCTTTGAGTTGCTGGATATTAGAGAGAGATTCTTCGTAGCGCTGCTCTACCTCGTCGAGACGACTCTTTAGTGCGTTCTCACTACGTCTTAAAGAATCAATCGCAGAATTAGCTTCTTCATTTTCACGTTGAAGCTCCGAAATTCGAGCCGTTTTTTCTTTGCGGAACTTCAAATACTCCGCGGACTTTGTCTTTAACTCCGTCTCAAACCATTCGTTGTTCTTCTTTGTCAGATCTAAATCTTGCTCGAGGCTCTGCTCACGAAACCGGGCACTAGCAGAGGCGGAGTTCGCGGCTTGAAGGTTTTGCTCGGCGGTCGAAAGCTCACGTCTCAGTTCGATTATCTTCTTGTGCTGTGTGGAAAGCTCCTCGGCTAGCTTGTCGTATGCTGCGGACTTGGATTCCAAAAGGGAAAGGGTATCTCTGTTGGAGGCTTCGAGAGAGGTGATGCGCGACTTCAAGGAGCTGACTTCGGATTCATTGGACGTAGATGATGACTTGAGCGAAGCAATCTCAGATTCCAAGTTGGACCGAGCATTTTCTGCAACAGGTGAGCAAACGCGCTGGAACCAGGTGGGCGGTACATACCCGACTCGTGTAGTTTCTTTCTTGTCTCCTCAACCTCCGCGTGCCCCTTGTCAACGGAGTTCTTCAAAACCTTGATCTTGGAGCTGCTGCTGCGAACGGCATTTTCGAGCTCCACCTCCAAACGCAGCTTATCCGACTTGAGCTCGTCATATTCCCGAGCCTTTTTCGTGATAGCCTCCAAGAGCTGATTAACCAGTTCGATGGTAGGATTTTGCAAAAGAGTAGAGAGTGTCGACTCCTCAATGGAGTAATGCGACGCGAGGTAAGGCAATTCAATCGTAGCGGTGGCCATGATGGCTATGGTCTGTACGACAGCTGCGGCAGAAAGCTGCCTAGCCTCACTGTTTTGGGATCACTGTACTCAATTTTCCGATGAGCAATCTATGTCATGACGAGATATAAATAGGAATTTCTGAAACGGACGTCACAAAGGGGAGAAATGAAAAGCTCTCGTCGACCGAAGAGAGAGACAGACTCCAAGGGTGAAAGAATGTCTGGAATGGATGATGCTGCTTTGCGGCTCCCGACGCGGTTAGCTCAGGGAGGGGCACGTGACGACTCTCTCGCTATCTCTAGATGGCAACGCTACACGGGTCCGCAGAAACGACCATAAAAGAGAGCATCTGCCTTATCCCTCGACCACTTCTGGCTGTTGGCAGCCATATCTTGTTCCGTTGCGTTTCCAGTGCAGGAGATCGCCTCGTTGTGCCGATCTCAAAGCTGCTGCCGATCTTTCATGAGTCGCAACTGTCTATATCTTTGCGATCCCTGGTGAACCGAGTCCCGCCGCATCAGACTAACTCCATTTACGTCTCCCACACTACTCTACCAGCTACAGTCTTGCCTCTAACTGGAATCTCACAATCATGTCGCATCTTCAGCAACAGCTCAAGAACTTCAACGCCGGCGTTGTCGACTATGCAAATCGAATGCCCCAGCAGAGGCGATTCGTCCATAACAGCTCTGCGAGCAGTTCCCAGGTGCCATCTTCAACCTCCACACCCACCCCGGGTGGTGACCCTCGACGGAAAAGGCACGATGCGGACATCGTTTATTCGCAACCTGCCAACACAGGTACGGGCAAGGATATCATGACCCAGGTGATCTTTGCGATCGAGCATATGAAATCCAAGGGTATCCCGCTCAAGTTCGCCGATATCGTCTCCTACCTGTCTCTACAGCACCGGGCCAATGATCAGGGCTACGTTCAGGCTCTCCGCAGTATTCTTCAGATGCACGAGAAGGTGCAATACGACCCCAATGGCGCCAATGGGGAAGGCACATTTGCCTTTCGTCCGCCCCATAATATCCGTTCGGCTGAGCAACTACTCCAGAAATTACAGTCCCAATCAACAGGTGCTGGGATGAGTGTCCGCGAGCTTCGGGAAGGATGGCCAAACGTGGAAGAGACGATCAATAGTCTGGAAAAAGAAGGGAAACTTCTTGTTACCCGGAACAAGAAGGACGACCATGCCAAAATGGTCTGGGCCAATGACCCCTCCTTGATCCAGCATTTCGACGATGAGTTTCGTCAGATTTGGGAGAAGATCAGGGTTCCTGACCCGCAGACCGTCAAGGAAGAGCTAGAAAAGGCCGGGATCACACCCACGAACAAAAACAAGGTTGTCAAAGCGCGGCCAAAGGTAGAACAGAAAAAGGTCAAGAAGCCTCGTCGAAGTGGCAAAACAACAAACACTCATATGATGGGTATCCTGAGAGACTACTCCCATCTTAAGCGATGATTTCATTACATCTCACCACACCGTCAGTTTTGCCTTGGCCGCTTTTCATGGTGAACTGGTTCGTCATTCTTACATTGCATCATAGCGGCGTTCAAGGGGATCCACACACTTGGATCCATATTTTATCAGATTGGTTTGTTCTTTAGACATTGCAGGCATGTCTTCCATGCAACACTCTTTTCCTCGTTGATGAATACTGTATTTGTAAGATATAGTGAAAATAGATACCCAAGACAATTTGGTGGAGTTATTATTACACTGGCTACTGCTTTTTCTACTCTGCAAATATCCATGTATGCTTGAAATTGTCATCCCGTAGTAATCTTCTGACATGCTGTATCATATCCTTTTCATATACCATGTAAATAATCCATTTCTGTTCTATTCTTATTTCTAGTAACCCTCGCTAGAAACCTGGGAACCCAAAACACGGCCAGAATCGCACGGCTATTCACGAAACGGATAAGGAGAGAAAAAAGAGAGAAGAATAAATGAGAGAAGGAATATAAAGACAGAAAACGAACAGAAGAAGAAGAAAAAAAACAGGCATATAAACAAGGAAGGGAAAACAAAAAAAACCCAGCGTCAGAAGAGTCGTAAGTATAAAGAGCTCAGTCATGCCATATACAAGACAGGTAAGGCCTTAAGAAGCCTTAGGAAATGGGAACAACGGAGTGGAGTAGAGTAGAGGAACAATAAAAAGTGATAAGGTGAAACACAGACGCCATGCTAAGCACTATTCAGTGTTTCCCGTTCGTCCCAACAGAGACAACATCCTCTGTCTTCTTGACATACGCAACAAGGTCCTCGATCGTACAGACCTTAATTCCCCATTTCTTCCCAAATTTCAGACACCCATCGCGCCTCATCATGCCATTGTTTCCACCGATTTCCGGAACCCCATCGATCCATTCACCATCTTCTACTAATTCGGCAATGACAGCGGCCGGTGATTTCCCAGCCAGACGGCAGAATTCCACCGCTGCTTCCGTATGACCCCTCCTCTCGCGCACGCCACCCGCTTTGGCCTGGAGAGGAATGATGTGGCCCGGTCTTCGGAAGTCCTCAACACGGGATGAAGGTGAAGCGAGCTTTCGGCATGCGAGAGCACGGTCGTAAGCGGATATACCGGTTGTAACGGACGGGTCGCTCGAATCAATGGAGATCGTGTATGCAGTTCCCTTCGGGTCGGTGCTTTCAACCACCATCTGAGGTAAGGCGAGACGGCTGGTGATTTCCGGGGTGATGGGTGCGCAAATTAAACCACTGCGAGGGTGTCAAACGTATTAGAAATCGCGATCGAATAAGAAATGTCGCATTTAATTCAGATCTTTATGGGAGAGAAAGCGCAGGGCCGGGCGTATCCAACCTTGAATAGCGAACCAGGAAAGCCATCTGAGCATCGGTGATTGACTCGGCGGCGATTATAAGGTCCCCCTCATTTTCACGGTCTTGGGAGTCAAGAACAATAATAAACTCTCCATTCTCTATGTTGCAATTGCAGTTGCTTTAGTCAGCACTAGTTAGAACAGGTGAGGTATGTCACAGCATGGTATACTCACTAAAGGCGCTGATTGTGTCTTCAATGGAGTCGAATTGATGAATAGGCTCGGTTGGAGAAGGCATGATGAGTCCGTGAAGCGCGATAGAACAACCCCTCGCTAGGCGTGGGGCTCAATTGGCAAGCAAATATCAGGGTGATGCAGTAAGAAAGCAACAAGGTGCCCACAGCGTAGGGAGGATATCTGCAGCTTCAATAACAAAGTCCAATGTCGGACAATTGAGTTTGCCGTGGCGAGGGTTGGATGAGTCAAGAACGTGGGTAGGAGCGGAGGTGAGCGGAGTTGAGCAGGAGGTACGGAGTACTTCTAACCGCCTAGATTTAATCTCCTAAGGTTATACTGGTGATGCTCGAAGAAAGAACCATCGGTGTCTTAGAAGAAAGAAAGGAGACCCCGAGAGAAAGAAACAGAATCAATCGACACAGGCCAGATCACTAATGGTTTGTCATGATTTCTTTACCCACCGACCGTGGTTCTCACCAGCCGACGCCGACCCTGCCGAGTCAACTCCGAAAAGCTATCCTGTCTCCTGCTAAATCTGAGGAATATTTTCTTCAAATAATTTAGTGGTTATAGATAGACCGACGAGGAAGAATGGTCGACTGACAGGGATTGTATGGCATCTATCATTCGTTTATGCAACGATGAGAAGGAGTAAAAAGGAAACCAACGCCAGCATGAGAGTATGTACAACAATGTACTGGATATTTTGGTATACCGCTCGCTACCTCCTAGTAGATCTTGAAACATTATCAAGTCGTACGAACTTTACCTGGTAGAGACATAATAAAAGATCATCACCATCATCATCATCATCATAAAAAAGGGCACGAACATCACTGCCCTAAATCGCCTATCCGCCGTACTTCGTCGGCCTGTCTTTCCAACGCTCTACGCATGATGCTAGAATATTCGGTCTCCCGACGTCGCTGTTCACGCTTGCGTTTTCGTATCTTGTCACGGGTAGCATCATCAACCTCTCCTTCGAGTAATAACTCATCATCTTCTTCTTCCTCCTCACTATCCTGGGATCCAAGGTCGCCAGAAAACTTTAAACGGCCAATACGCTCTCCCGTCCAGATGAGAAGCTCATCCCCTGTCAGGTTACCTCCGGTGGGAAGAACCTTCCGAGCAACTTCCCCGTCACTGCGAGAGCGAGACGAATCACCCCAAAGGCCACGAATGTCATTGTCATGTTGGCCATGATGGCTGTTATCAGCGGATCCTTCAATTCGTGGTTCCTGCGAAGTTCTGCCATGCCGCTTGTATGTGTTGATGTTGAAACGACGGATTTCGCTCCGTCCATCTCTCTCAGACCATTTAACGTTGCCATCTCCGTCGGAGTAAACGATGCGTGTTCCATGGGACTCAACTGATAGCACTTTCGAACTTGCGGCGCTCTGTCGGTTTTGATGCACGACTGACAAAGTGGATGACCACCCTGACGGGTCATTGTTGCTATTTCTTGCCGAAGGGATCAGGTTGTATAGTTCAAGGGAACCTCGGCCTTTGTACTCTCCGCAAGCTACCACCTGATGTGAACTAGGCCATGCTGTACCAGAGACAACTGGGAACCGCGGTGCAGGAACGGAAGCGAGGCCGCATAGCCGACCTCCAGAGTGGATAGTACTCTGCAACCGAGGGAAAAAGCGCCGATCATACTGCAAGATGCTTGGAAACCGTCCGGCAAGGAAGATAGAGTTCACATGGGGGGCTGGAGGATGTAGGAGAGAAAGAGGACCTGGCTGAAATAATGGTGCGTAGTTGTCGTTTGGTTCCGATGGGTCGGGGCTCCGTATACGATGAGGCGGTCGACCATTGGGCTGTAGTTGTAATACTGGCGAGTCCGGAGGGGCATAGAGTTGCGACCTTGGTACTAAAGAGGGTGTGGGCTTTTCGCAGCGCAAGTTCATGGCCTCTTCTTCCTCTATTGCAGACATTCTGCCGTCATATATGTGCATACTCAACGTCGTAGCCAAAGTCAATGGAACCGAATAATCAGTCTCCTGGGACAGAGCAAAAACGGACCAGGGATAGCGTAGTTGTGAAATAATCCTAAGCGTTTCTAAGTCGACCTCATTCAAAATATTTCCAACCGCCAGGTATGCCCTTCGACGCATTGAATCCACACTCACACATTCTCCTAGATTGATAAATTCCAACGCCAGCTTCGCCGTGGAGTTGTCCTTCCTTCGAGATGCATCGGCCGTCAAGATTCCAGGGTCACTAATCCCAAGAATTCTTCCTTTGGTATTTTGTGACCCAATAGAATGCGAATGGTTGAGGTCCCAAATGCAAACACTGCCATCATCCAGCGGCGCAATGATTTTGTTCTCCCGTGCAGAGCTCCAATCCCTGAGCAGCCCCATGCCCTTAGCCTCACGGTAAACCCTTTTCTTGCCTTCATCCCTGGTGAATGGGCGTTGGATCCAATTGAATGAAATCGGTCCATTCCGAGCTATATATTCCGAATACCAGTCAACATTCTCGCCCTCATACGAAGGGTCCCATACGGCCGCCGCTCTTGACCGTTCTGCAAAGGTCGGAGATTGGTGAGGATTGCATCCCTCGAAAGGAGCAGTATGTGGTTGAATGAGGGATCGCAAAGACGTCTGCCCTAATACACTAAGAGTGGCAGTGGAGTTTGTAGCAAGACTTCCAGATGCCCGGTTGGTTGCGCGAAAGATATCTGCGGCGGCCCATGACTTCTCATAGCTGTGAAGCCTCCAGAGGGTATCGTCACGAGCAATGCTGAAAAGTCGCTTCGAAACAGATTGGAGTTGCACCTGCTCCTGTGGGGTGAGGACTGTTTATAAATGTCGCATTCATCAGCTCTGCCATTGGTACCTTAGCATGTCGGCACCGCCGACAAATAATGTGGGGTATACAATTTGTGGACTCTTCTTACAGTCAATTATTTTGGAGACAATCTCCACCGGTAGCTTTTCCATGAGCGACTCCGTTGAACAACACCATCGAGAGACGGTTGATCAGGAGAATAAACGCCGTCCCTCGTCTACTGCAAAGCCTTGAATCATTTGTTCTTCCCCGCGGTCAGCAAAGTCTAGACTGACGTCACGTGTCGGCGTGTGAGGGTTTTCGATCGTCTTCTACGATTCTATCGACCTGAGTCTTTAAAGATCCACTGGAATATTGGAACAGTTGGTGGATGACCTGGGGTCACAAACAAGGAAATATCGAGATCCATTAAAGCAAAAGAACCGTACTAATCAAAAAACATAAAAATTCCTAATTATTGATGTTCCTATTCCCGCTCATCTATCCTCTTCCAATCAATCATAAATTGCATTAATCGTACACAATAGTCGAATTGAAGAAAAGGAAAAAAAAAAAAAAAAAAAAAAAAAAAAAAAAAAAAAAAAAAAAAAAAAAAAAAAAAGAAAGAAAGAGAATGATGCGAGGATAGAATTTTAAAATTTTCTAGGCCACCCTCCTACCCTTCTGGTATGAAAACGGCATCTTTACAAAGTATAGCCGCCTTCTTGAAGAAGCGTCGCCATTCGAGGGGGTCACCTTTCACTTTCATAAATTCAATTTCAAATAGACCCTCCGAAACACATTCGATGATAACCTTCCCCTGTAAGATGCACATTCTACCATCCCTTGTAACAATGCGGATCATGGCAGACGTGTCTCCGGCAGAAACTGCGGGAACTGAAGGAACAGGGACTCCTAAACGATGCAGAGCTTCGCAGATGAGAGGGACCAACAATTTGAGTTCCCACGTAGAAAAGAACCGCGTCATGGGACGCGATGGCACAATATCATGAAACCGTTGAGCTTTCTGGGTTCTGCTGAGCGGCACCGACGGATGGGGTGAGAATTGAGACATGGACGGTTCATCTTCAAGGGCGTCGGCCACTAGAGCGTCGTCGGTAGAACGAGGCTCTCCGCTAGGTTGGGTTGATGAAAAAACATCAGTCAAATGGGGGATATCCCAGTCAACTAGCATATCTCCTCTTGGCATCTCAGGCTGTGTCGATGAAATCCGGTGATCATCTTCTCCCATATCCATATCCATGCGATCGGGACCGAAACTGCCGCCATTCGATCGCAAAGGGAGTGGATCTTGGGAGAAGTCGATGTGCAGTGATTCAAACATGGTTGTGGCCAGGTTAATCTGGTCTCGAAGTCTTCCATCCGGGGATAGAAATCTGTTTTGTCGCGTATACCAGGGGTGTCGTCGTACATCCTCCAACGAAAACCGGCTTCCGGGATCAATATTCAGCATGCCGCGAAGTAACGATAGTGTTGCCGCAGGCAATTTCTGCCATAGTTCATCACTCGTGCGTGCATTTGTCGCAACGTATTCGTGAAACTCGTAGCTATTTTCCGTCGGGCTATCCCAAGGGGTATTGCCTGCCAGAAGGACGAAAAGGACGATTCCGCAGGACCAAATGTCTACCAGGTCTGGTTGGTAGCCCGAACCCTTGATTTGACTCTTGCTACTGCACGAAATGACCTCTGGGGCAATATACGGAGGGCTGCCGCAAAAAGTGGTGGAAAGCTTGGTCACCCCCTTGTACTCGAACAAGGTTGCTAGGCCAAAATCAGCGATTTTCAGGTTTCCATCGGCAGTTAAGAGAATGTTCTCTGGCTTGATATCTCGATGGCCCACCCCCTTCGAATGCATATAGCCCACAGCACTTATGAGTTGCGTAAAATATACATGGGCGATATCCTCGCCTACCCCTTCATCTGCTTCGATCTTGTCAAAAAGATCTCCACCTTCGGCCAGCTCCATGGCAATCCATCGCCAAATATCATCTTCGCCCGTCTGAAAGAATGATATGATATTATAGTGGTCGCCGATATGTTTATGTACCGTCGCTTCCATTTGCAACTGTCGTGCACTAATCTTCCCATGTCGAGCGGCGTACTCTTTGTGGATGAACTTGACTGCGAAGACAGGATTATCTGCGTGCGAAGGACACGCTTTTTTAATACTACAGGGTACAGTAAAAGCCAATTAGAAATACGGGGACCCCATGATAGCAAGCAGAAGAGGCGTACCATGCATAAGCACCCTGGCCGATTGTCTTCGAGACAATCCGAAAGGGCAGATCCTCTGGAAGCGGGGCTAGTTGGGAATGGTGCATCGTGAAAGGGAGTTCACATAGATGCAGATGGGAAGCAATTCTAGCAAGGACAAGTTAACTTCGAGTACTGGACATGAATAATGAATTTTTTTTCGCTCCATCATCTCGTGGCGTAAAAGGCAAAAAGCAAGGATTGCTGACTGGGACGAAGGCCCGGGAAACGCGTTGAGCCGGCTGGACGCGAGAGCCACTTTATCCTCTTTAGATAATCTGTTGATCTGCGTCCAGCCAGGACCAACATAACACCAACACTAAAGATGGCGCTAACTTGGCTTCGTTTTAGATCAATGGTGCTGAATTAGCGAGTGGGAGAAAATGGAAATTGAGATGAACACAGTAAGGGCCAACAGCGCCAGTATCCTTGGGTTTTTATTAGATTGAAAGTATGCAACTGAACATAGATAATCGATTAACTGCAGAAGTATTTAAAGGCGGCTGCTTCATGCCGGTCATGCTCCTCACGCCTCATACGCCTTCAAAATACCCGCAACAGGAATTGCTACCAATAGGGGGTTTTACTTGTCCGCTGTCATTTTGATGAACAATGGTTGGTGACCAATGTGTGTATTTTTAGACGCCTGTGTTCATTGATTGTAGCCTCCTGTGGTTTAAGACGAGACAACAAAAATCTTAAATTCGAAGAGAACAAAGCCATCCATTTAAAAGCAAGATCTGATGAACGAGTTAGAGTTAGACTGCAAGATCTAGCGGGGCCTTCAAGTTACTAGCTAGTAACTGTTGTCAGCGTTGCCCGGGCGCGTTTTCCCTCTATAGTGGAGTAAACAAAGAGACGGTTTCTTCTCTTGTTCGCAGCCACTTTTCAGTTCTCACGTTAGATGTCTCCCTACTACAGAAGACTTTCGTTTTCCTACTTTACTCTCCCCTCCACTACCATCTATCTATCCATCCACCTCCCATTGCTCGTTCCATCCTTTTTCTGATTCCGATCTTCTGGGGTTCCCCAAGTGGGTCGATCATCCATTCCAGCCAACAGTTGAGCTGCATTCGGTTCCGTCATCATTCTACTCCGGAGTAGACAGCAACCTTTTCTTGCTAGCTATTGTTGCGGACATTCCAACCTTCCCGGAACCTCTTCGTTCTCCGGTTCAAAAACTGCCCAAATCATTCCTATCTCCCTCTCACTCCTCTCTGGTTCATCACTATGGACTACACAATGGAGGATACCCAGAACGCCGCCCCCGATATGCTGGAGACGTCCAAGTTAAACTCGGGCGCTCAGAAGAATGACAGTCAGAGCGTCACCAAACGGTTCGTGAGGAGTGTTTTTTACTTGCTTTGCATCAGATCGGTTGTTTTGGAGAAGACTAACATGCGTCTTTTATCGATAGCCTTCAAGCTGAGCTGATGCAACTTATGCTCTCTCCTTCCCCTGGTATCTCCGCCTTCCCAGACGCAGACGGCAACCTTCTTTCCTGGACTGCCACCATCTCCGGACCGACCGAAACGCCATATGAAGGACTAAAATTCAAGCTGTCGTTTGTTTTCCCGAACAACTATCCTTATGCTCCGCCCACTGTCCTCTTCAAGACGCCTATCTACCACCCTAATGTCGACTTCTCCGGTCGCATCTGCCTGGATATCCTGAAAGACAAGTGGAGCGCCGTGTACAATGTTCAGAGTGTGCTTCTCAGTCTGCAGAGCTTGCTCGGGGAGCCAAACAAGTAGGGAGCCTATTCCAAAGTCCACACGGGCTATCTCACTGACTCTCAACAGCGCGAGTCCTTTGAATGCTCAAGCAGCTGATCTGTGGAGCGCAGACCACGAGGAATACAAGCGCCACGTCCTCGCGAGGCATCGCGACGTTGACGATATTGAATAAAGTATAATTTTTTGGAGGCTGTCGCCTGGCGTTAAGGACAGACCGAGTTTCTTTTAAATGCATTGCATGGTCGGGGTCTGTGCGTCGTTTTGGGGGCGTCTTAAGACATCTGGGCTGCATTCCGGCTCCAGGTACGGTTCAATGCATACTGGGGATATACCTTCTGGAGTTCAATAGTTGGGGTTCTTGTTTTCTTATTGGGACCACGGAATCACAGTACAGGAAAGCACGCGTCCCTGGAAATATAAATATCCTGTTTTCAATTGTCGTCTTGATTTCATTGCTACCGCTGCCACTTTGTGATATCTCCTGTTTCTTCACTACCATACTAGGATAGTCTCTTCTGGGTGGTCAATCACTCATTTTTATCGAAATATGTCGCTGAGCCGATCTTTCAGGGACGGAACCCCCATGATGCTATCATTAAACATTCCCAACAGCGTTGATATCAATATGAAATCACGACGCGAGTTATTACTGATGGTAAAATGTCCCCAGGAACTTACAGTTTTCACAAGCTGTCTAATCATGTGGGCTCCTCTCTTTCACTCCTTGTGGAATAATTTGGGTCGTCTACGTTGAGTGTTTCCTCTCACCTGAAATAGGAGCCCTGACAAACTTTGAAGTATTTGCCCAAGTAACTAGAAAACGCGTTACGACAACCATCGCATGTTCTGCAATAATGGATGGGATATCGACATAGAATCTCCTACTAATAGTTTAATCCCTTCGGCACTTGTGTATTTCCTACGCCTTGCCTTTATAAATCCTATCTGACTCATCTTAGTTATATATTTCATGATAAAAAACTTGCTAAATCTCCTCTCGATATCATTAAGAATTTTTTAGAGTTTGGAGAGTTCACCGAGCATGGTCAGCTATTGCACCACGCCTCGATGCAAGAAGATCCCAATGAATCAGATGTTTGAAATATCTGCGCGATAAAGATCCGTGAATTATAGAACGTGCTAATTCTCTTTTAGGTGAGGGATATCCGCAGTTCACAATGAATTACCGGTTTGGACTCTGTGCCCCCATTCAGTATTTTGAGTGTGCTGGCTCATTGCAATCTGTGAAAATCCTGTTGGCGTGAGGAGGGGATCCATGGCATTTAGATCCCTACAGGAGGTTGGTATTATGTTATGCTGTCTACCATGAGCATGAATTGGTGTGGCAATACTTCGACAATTTGAAAATGTAAAGCTATATAATGATGTAAACCAGGTAGTTCTTAATGTTATGAACCAATTTGTAGGCGTCAGAACCTTCTCTGATCCTTATCTTCGCTACACTTTGGAACTTCGGATATCTTTACTTCTTGTGAAACGAAAGTCCTTCTCCCTTTGGAGAATTGCCAGGAACTCACTCAATTCATTTGTTCACGGGCACGGTTCTCGGCAGCCAATAGATCATTTGTTGGGACAATATGGCGCCTTTCTTCGAAACAAATATGACAGCAGTGCAGCCGTTTAAATTACTAGCTCCGAACACTCTCTGTGGACCATAGGTGTTCAAATGAAATGAAGCCTGCTTTATTCATCAGTACATGGGGAGTTTACATGTACAACACTGTCTAGCTGGTAATGACTGCGAGGCTGGCGGCACTGCTTGTTGTTCTATTTGGTAGAAAATATGGACCATGGTTGAGAAATAGATCCTGGCTGACGGCTGCTTATTACCAAAATAGTAAATTGATAACAGCCCAGCTAATTAGCACAATCACCATACCGCTAGATCAGACCTTTAGTGCCCTTCAAAAGTAGGTACATACGAACAGAGTGGATATTTCCTTTTCAATACAGCTAGCTAAATTAAAACCCGTAAATAAGCCGGCCCGCAAATGACTCATACTACACATGCTAGATAGTTCTTTTAAACAGTCTTCGAATGCAATATACATTTCTTCACCTTCATCATGAAAATTGCTCCTCATTCGTGATAAGAAGCCCTGCAATTGATGCACTGGTAAAGGTACTAATCGCACCCGTGACCATGGCACTGACTGCGACACGAGACACGTCCCCAGCACGGCTGGGGGCTAATTGCGCCAGGACACCAATCTGATTTCCCAGGGAACCAATGTTGGCAAACCCGCAGAGCGCGTATGTTGCAATCAAGCGGGAACGAGGAGAGAGGGTCTGATATTCCGCGTTGTGTTGAAGTGCATCATATGCGATGAACTCGTTCTAAGGACAGGGGGGGTTTACCTGTTAGCAGGGACTTCCTGTCTTCATTTTGGAAGGTGCGGTTCGGGAAGCAGACTTACCATGACGAGTTTCATACCGATGAGCTTTCCGACTTTCAGAAGATCTCCATCGCGGGAGACGCCGAGAAGGAAAGCGATTGGGTAGCAGACGTAGCCGAGAATGAGCTGGATGGTCAAATCGGGGTCGTTGATACTCAGGTACCGACCCCACCATGTCAACAGTCCGTTGACCAGGCCAACGAGAGAAATGATACAAAGCAGGGTGGCGGAGATCATGCCAGCGATCTTAATACCCAGCCAAGCTCCGTTGGAGAAGGCATGGAGAGCGTTGGCGGCTTTGTTCTCCTCGTCCTCGGGAACAACGACCCGACCCGCAGTCAGGGTTTCCTCTTCCTCGGGCCATCGCAACTTAGAGACTGCCAGTGATGCGGGAATACTCATCACACACGATGAGACCAGGGCTTGCGCATTAACGTTCATTCCAATGTACGCCACCAACACGGAGCCCGCAATCGTGGCGTATCCGGAACACATGACTTGGTGGATTTCAGCCATCGTCAGGTACGGAATGAAGGGCTTGATAAGCATTGCAGATTCGCCTTGTCCGATGAAAGGTGAAGCAGCAGCGACCACAGCTTCGGCGCCCGACACGCGCATGCACCAGAAGAAGAAGACAGCGAACTTGGCAACGGCCCACTGGAGGACGCCACTGTAATAAAGGAGTTGGACGAGAGATACGAAGAATATAATGGCTGGAATGACGGTAACAAGGAACCAGGCGCTATGTTTTGCTGCAAATTCGGTCTCAACCAAGAAGTCCACACCCTGTCCTGCAAAGCCCAGAAGCTTTCTGGCCAACGTGGAAATAAAATTAAAGATGTCATATCCTGCTTTAGTCCGGAGCACAAAGAGGGCAATGATGAACTGCACAAGCATCCCCACAATGACGGTGTGCCAGACAATCTTCTTCCGGTCCCTTGAAGTCAACCATAGAACGAAGAGGAACACGACTAGCCCGAAAAGACTAACGGCCCGATTTGCTCTGGTATTATCCTTAGTTTCCTCCGACGCGAACGCTCCGATAAGGATGACTGCAATTGTCAGCAAGGCAGCACTTGGGATTCGTAGATTCTGCGGAATAAGCTCGACAAAACGTGAGGCGGTTTGATTCCACACCCAGAATACGGGCCTAGTAACAACTGAGACGGGAACATAAAGGAAAAGTATCCGCAAAGTGATTGCCAGATACAGCAGGAATGGAATCAGCCAGCCCAGGTCATATCGATGGAGGATAAGACCAGCAATCCACCATCTAGGAAGCAAAGCAATGAGTTACGGTGGATCCAAGATACCTCGCAAGCAATGAACGGCTTACCCAGTGAATAAGAGCCAGATGAAAGCAAAGACGATATGTTTCGAGTACCGTGAATATCGCCGATAGAAGGACCGCGTCGGGTAGCTTTCTCCCGTCTCCTCGTCCTTCTTGCCTTGCTTCTGCTCCGCGCTGTCTACCGAACTGGATTCCTGTATCGCTCGCTTCTCGGTGTGTACATCTTTGGTATAGATGATATCATCTTCGGGGGTAATGTGCGGACCGTTATTGCGCTGATCCGCCTGAGTTACATCTTCTGCATCAGGCTTGTCAGATGCCTCCAACGTCTTTTCGTCTGCCATCTTCTCGAGACAAAATTTGTTCAAAACCGAGTTTCCCTTGGATAATCCAAGGAATCCCGAAACCCCAGAGGGATACTAAAGAATAATGGGGAAAGCGAAGGCCGCAGTCAGCAAGGCCAGCCAATGAAAAAATTAAGGAATGGATGGACGACAATTGACAGATGGGCGTGGCTTTAAATCTGCTGGGAAATAGAAAGATGGTGAGATAGAAGATGCATGGAAGGAAGAGACTCGAATTCAGTTTCAACCTAGGCCATAGCCCTGACCACCTGAGATATGGTCATAATGGACTTTTTTTTGATCCACGATTGAGCATATCAGTTGACAAGTGTGTGCGGGGATAATTACATTCTTTTCGGGTCCTAAGCTATTCCTAAACTAGTGGCCATGCGGACATGTCTGATAAGGTTTTTTTTAAAAAAAAAAAAAAAGAAAAAATTAATAATAATAATAATAGTTGCAACTCAAGTACTCCGTACCTACGCTATTTTACTATAATCTATTCTCAATATCATAATACTTTTATCTCTTTGTCCATGTCCTGCTGGGTGAACGCTGTGAACGCAATCAACCCCAATGAAATATCAATGGAAAATGTTAGTGGCTGGGTATTTTATGCACCCTGTGACGGCGCTAAGACAAGGGGCAAAAAAAAATAAAAATAAAACCCTAACACTAATTAGTGAACCGGAAGACAAACTCTCCCACTATTGGAGAATAGCGATAAGACAGTTGCAACACTAAAGTCTGGATCCAACGAGGATTGGCGGTCGATCAATAATGAGGGTTTCTAGTTGGGCTGGTCTCCGCACAAGGAATTCGGTCGTGTGCCGTCCTATCGTCGAAGAGGCAAGACACACGGCAAAGGATCCTGTTAAGAACAAGAGACAAGAGCAGAGCGTTACATCGCCTACCATGCGTGGCTTGGAGGGATATGGAGTTTGTGTTTTTTTTTTTTTTTTTTTTTTTTTTTCCTTGTTATGAATTAACGGCAGTAGGGAGAAGACAGCAATTCTTATCTGAGATTGATCTCGACCTGCTGCTGCCATGTGTGCTAATAGCGAGTTTAATTCTGCTAGCTTACCCTTCGAATTTTACCCACTCTTCTAGTAGTGTCAGTAGTTTCAGTTCTGGCATGGCGAGACGTGCCATGTGCACACAACAACGGCATTTACTAAATGGAATTGAATTTTTTTTTTTTTTTTTCTCTCCCCTCACCAACACTCAATTACTTGGGTGGGAAAATAATTAGTGCCGACACTAACCGAACAAGAATAAGCTCGGTGGCCATTATCAATTGATATGCCAATCTGTAAGTGGCACAAATCGAAAAATAGCACTAGGTAGAGTCCGAGATAATAAAGGCATGTTATTGGTTTCTTCCACAAGAACGGAGAACTCCGAGTATCTTTTTAGCGTCCTAATTCCTACTTGTTCTCTTCCCCGGAGAATACCTGGACCTATCAGGCATGCTAAACGCGCATCCCCAAGTCACCCTGAATATGAATTGCATGACGCTACTTCGTACATGCTAAGCCTTCATTTGTACAAAGCTGAATGGGTTATTATCGGTCGTGGTTTGACCCCATGTCCTATTTTGCCAGTAGTTGGACATAAATTATTACATAAAGAGTACTCCGGAGTATACCGTTGGAACGACCATCTGGAAATCAAATACTATCAGCTTTCCATTCTTGATTGTGTTGTATAGTTGGAATATATTGGTTAGCCAGTCTGTTAGTAGGGAGATTTTCCTGCTATAGCCAATAGAGTCAGCGGCTGATATTAGACGTTTTTGGGTTCGAAGGAGAATTAGTGTTATTGACGGTATCTTTTTATTTTCCCTCCGTCGGGTACCTTTGGCTCGTATCGAGGGAAAAGAAGCCTTCATGTGATTAGGCTGTGCTACAAGCATCCTTTCCTGTAGTTGTTGTGCCAATCCGGGGCTGCGATACGCCATACTCGGTAATACTAGTATGCCCCTTAATAAGAAAGGTTAAGGTTAAAATTGCGCCGGATGGGGCTATCGTAAGTTCCCTACGGCGCGGGGTCAAGCTCCGGTCCGCGCTTCTCTCCGATCGTCAACCGGACTAGATACTATCGCCCCAACTCCGATAGCTTAGCCAGGGTGTGTTATATTCTACAATGGAAGCGGCCGATATCGAATGGGAGCTCGAAGAGGGAATCCCACAGGTTGATGACCCTTTCATCCAACAGTATCTGAAGGGCCGGGATTCTCTCATCCTGGAGGAGCAGAAGCAGCGTCATGGTAGGTCACCACGAAGTAGTTCGCTAGGAACTAAGCAGAGCTAACCCTTTCGGACCAGACTCTAATCTTCGCAAGACCCTAACGCCAATAGCCGCGACAGCATGCAAGATCGTGTCAAAGGTCCGCGACCGGGGGTTGACGTCTATAGGGTCCACGACGTTGAACGATGATTCCCATACGTCAGAGGCTCTAGGTCCCAGTGAGATGTTGCACCAAGCTAGGGATCGAATGAAAAACACCGAGCTATGGAAAATCCTACAGAAGATGCCAAAAGGCTCCCTTTTACACGCCCACATGGATACTATGCTTGATGCAGACTTCATAGTCAACCAGGCGTTCACCACGGCTGGCATTCACATATGCGCGCCTAGCGCCTTGGTTACTCAAAAAGACTTCGAAGAAGCACCTTTCTTTTTCCAGTATTCTTCTCGTTCCACGGAATCGGAAAACGAGCCACCTTTATGGACATCCAACTACAAACCCCAGACTTTGATCCCCTTACAAAAAGCGGCGTCTTCCTTCCCGAATGGCAGCGAAGCTGGTTTCCGCAATTGGCTTACAAGCCGCTGTATTGTGATACCAGAGATTTCGGGTCGTCATCAAAACTGCAGAGCCAATAAGATCTGGGATGTCTATACCCGTGCTATGACTGTTATCAACTCTCTCCTCAGCTATGAGCCCATTCTACGATCTTGTCTACGCCACATGTTCTCACAATTTGCCACCGATGGGATTAGGTACGTGGAACTTCGAAATGTATTTCTTTTCCCGTACAGGCGAACAGGAAGCGAGACACCAGAAGAAAGCTATAGTGAATGGTGCAGTGTGTTCCAAGACGAGCTCGAGAGTTTCAAGAACACTGAAGAAGGCAAAGCATTCTACGGGGCACGTGTGATATGGACAAGTGCGCGCATATTGTCCAACAAAGACATGGCGGAGAGTATGATGAACTGCATCTTGGCAAAGAAAGATTTCCCCGACGTGATCTGCGGGTTTGACATAGTAGGGCAAGACTATCGTACCAGACGGCTTGGCGATTTCGTGCCGATTATGTTTTGGTTCCGGAAGCTTTGCGTCGAGGAAGGAGTCGACATACCTTTCCTTTTCCACGCAACGGAATGTCAGTTATATGGAGTCCCATCCAGTCACAGTTTATTTGATGCCGTGCTGCTGGGTACTCGGCGAATTGGTGATGGGATGTTGCTTCATGATCACCCTTTGCTAACTGAGTTGGTTAAAGAGAAAAGGATCCTACTCGAACGTTGTCCCATTTCGAGTGGAAGCAGGGAGCTTGCAAATTCGATCGGCTGTCCTTCTCTTGGTTCCTTGTTGTCCCGAGGTGTCCCCGTCTCGCTTTCCAATGATGTCTTCGGATACGGCTGGAATGGGTTGACGCCTGAGCTTTGGCATGCACTTCAGGGGCCAGAGGCTTTGGAAGTCACGGACATTGCGATGATGATTGAGAACTCAGTCCGGTGGAGCTGCTATGAAGATCAATCAACAGCGGAATGGCTGTCCGGAATTCGGGAAGGGGTTCTCGGCAAAGGAGTAAAGGCAAACCGTTTGCGGGAATGGTATGCAGATTTTCAGAGGTTCTGCGAGTGGATAGCACTGGAATATGCGGAGCTAGATGTTGACGACTGAATCCTAATCGTGGCTGAAATGATCATTTTAAATTGGAATCAATACAATAGACTAATCACTAATCAGGAACGAAATGAGGGCGTTCTAACTAGTTAGTTAACTACAGACTATAGCTTACTAATATTTAATACATTGGCATAATTAGTAATACAAATAATACCCAGTATTATCCACCGTCTCCACCATCACAATGTAACAATTTCCTCAATTCTATTTCGATATCTTGCACGTAACGATTAATAGGTGATGTCTTTAGAAGGCTGTATAAATATGCAGGTTTTCTATATTATATGTTTTCTCTAGAAAGTAGAGAATAGTATGCCTTCCTGCTGCAGGCAGTTGACAAGACTATCACAAAGCTGCCAAGACTGAGTTATACAGGAGCGAAGGGTCAAATATTGCCATATTGAATGCATGCAAGTTTTGCATCAAATATGGCTATTAGGTATGATGCAGTAGCCCCCTTAGGTGAAGTTGTATTACCGTTGATTAGGGTCTAGAGATACATAGGAGAGCTATGATGTAAGTGTGGTTGATTTACTTATCAAAAACTATGTGGAGAATTCCTGCTCATATCATGTCTCCACGGCCATGATAGACCTAAATTCTAATTTATTTCATAAGCATTTTGCAATACTGAATCTGGGGTACGTCTAGCGATCGAAAGTCTCGACGTAAATGTGCGTTGGCATGGTGTGATTTGGTTTCCCCAAGCTCCGCCTGACTATTGCGGTTGATCCTCGCTATCTACCTAACTAGCGCTTCGTTTCCCGCACGTCATCCTACACTGCACTTCTTCATCCCTCTGTACCAGGGGGACGACTTGTCTTAGACTTACACTAATAACACATCCTCCAAAGCAGTCGTCTTCTTATTATGCTCCATCCCCGATGATATTTGCAATAATTAAATGAGCCCCGGTCGGCTCTTTGTGCCCAACCATGGCCTACTTCTTGCCTTCATTCTTCCAGAAACGGCTGCTCCGATATGCCTTGTCTCGCCTGGAGCTTGTTGATACCGAGGCACTGGATCTTGACAGCCTTGGCATTCGCTGGGGTCAACGGAGCACAGTTGAACTACGGGATATAGGCTTGAAGCTCGAGGTAAGTGACGAGTTCCTGCAGCCTTGGCTTTAGGTACCCCCGTGTGCTAATACCCTTGGGCTTCTCTCTCAGAAACTAGCCTCACTACTTCATCTTCCTCCCTCCAGCGAACTTCTCAGCGCTCGAGTCCAGTTTTTGAAACTCACGGTACCTGCCGATATCTATAGCAGTGGCATCATTTGCCAAGCAAGCGGGATCGACGTACACCTAAGGCTACCGTCGGAGGAAACATGCCGTGCCGGCGGGAGCAGCAAAGATACCGAGCAGGAAGCTTCATCACCATCATACAGTGATGATGGCTTTTCTCATGAGCCGATTCTTCCCAATCCAACCGACCTTGCACAGTCATTCCTTAAGGCCGAGCCGAAAGAAGAAAAAGAGGAGCTGCAGGCCGCTATCTCATCCCGGTCTCAAGTCCTACAGCGCACCTCATCATCTTTCAGCGATGATGAAGAGGAGGTCGGCCTGGGAAGTGAAGGTGTTTCATTGCCGAGCTTTGTTGCTGCATTCTTGAAGGGTGTCGCAGAGCGCCTGGAGGTTCAAATCGACGACATCTCTGTGAGGTTGGAGATGGAGACGAAACAAGAGGGGCCTTTGAAGAGACAGCCAGAAGAGAAGCCAGATTCAATAACAGGCCTACTGAGCATTCGCCAAGTTAGGGTGAATGCGGTGTCTTCTTCCGAGTCCGATGAAGCCCTTGCATGGACGGGGAAGCGATTGGTTTCTCTTTCAGATATTAACTTGGCCTTGATATCTGAGCCTATAGTTTTCTCAAACTATGCCCACTTCACGGAACCACACGTGTCCCCTTCTACTCCCGTACAGCCAAAATCCAGCTTTCCTCCGAGTAGAACCGCATCACCTCCCCGTGCAACATTATCTTCAAGCTCTGTGCTTGACTTGTCCAGATCAACTATTTTTGAACGACCACCGGAGGTTGCTATGTCTGTTTTGGGTGATCGCAGCGAACCTGAAATGGGAGGGTCCGTTTACACCTATGACGGTCGGTTCTCGGATGCGGATACGGAGGAAGAGACTAGGAGTTATGGTTACCTTGAAGACTCCCAAAATCTCTCAGATGGTGATAAATTATTGGACAACCCTGCTTATCTTGACTCTGTCATTGATGCTCAATTACATGATGCTGACATCGAATGGCCGGGTAATCTACAGCCCAAAGACAGCCAATCCAATTTAAGCAACAGAGAAATATCACAGCCCCATAGCCCTGAGTTTCAGATCACTGGGTCCGCATTCCAGTACAATGCCGCACAGAAGGCTTTGATTTCCACTGGTTATGAATCGGAGCTGAACAGTCATGTGTCTCCAAGCGATAGTCATCATTATCATTCAGAATCTGGTACGAGTTCTACTCGGCAAACACGACCTGAAACTACATCAAATGACACGCCACAATTTGATGAACATGAGCTGAGGGCCCGTATCTCTGCACCTCCATCTGAAGCTGATAGTACAAGCACGGCTTCTGGCTCTTTTCAGGATGCCGACCTTTCGGAATCCAAATTGTTCTCTAATGAGGAGGCTCAAAGTATGTACATGAGTGCAATCAGCCAAGGATCGACTTCGAGAACCTTTGTACCCAATATCCCAGGTGCTTGGGACTCGCCCGAGTCTACGATCACAAAAGATCATAGTGTCTATGGGCTATATACAACTATTGAAGACGACGAAAAAATTGGATATGAAGATGACAGGCACAGTGAAACAATTACAACCCCAAAACTCATTGCTCAAGCAGCACCACATTTTTCACAGAGGCACTCAGTCGACAGTGGCTCAACAGCAAACCCCGAAACGGCTGATAAAGGATCAACTGAATATTCACCAGGGCTGAATAAACCACCGGATGTTGCAAAAAAGTTTTTTAGTGTTGACAAGATATTAATATGGTTACCCTCATCTGATGCAGATGGAGAGTTCTCGGAGAGAGCGTCACCAGTACCTGGAGGAATGGAAAGTGATAGCTTTAAGAAACCAGCTGCTCAGTTGGGAGAATATGGATCCGAGAATGACTTGTATGCATCAAGGGCCCACATATCTACAAGAAATCGTGGAGATTCCGTTGGGTCGTCCCTCCATCCTGAATGTATTGAATCGGGGTATATACGCAGACCGGAAGAGAAGGATCGAGAGTCATACTCCAGTGATAAGCGAAACGACATAGAAGTGGAGATATACTCGGTCGAAGTACAGTTTGACATCGCCATTGGGTGGCTTATAGTGAAATTTGGCCAAAAGATCCTCTATACTTTTGATCAAGACGGTAATTCGGTCCCTTCGAAGACGCATTTGCAAAAGGACGTACAAAGACGAAAAGCTCTCAGCCTGTCACTAAGGAAGTTTTCCATCAAATTTATCGAGCATGTGCCGGGACACGCATACCCTTTCGAAGACTCACAATTGCATTCTCCTACACTCTTTAGTCTCCTCCATGAAGACATTGTACTACAAACCACAGCGTCAGGCTTGAGAGCCTACTGCTCGTCAGAAAATGATAGGACAATATTCCGCTTAGACGTTACCAAATTTACGCTCGGATTTGCCTCTGAAAACCTACTTTCGTTTAGTGAGGACTTAAAAATGCGCGAATCTACAAGGGATGTCTTTTCACCTGTAGATGGTGATATTTCCCTCTCATTGACCAAATCGCCGGAGTTTGCAAGTGCCAACCTCACTACTCTTCCCCTTCACCTCAATGTCAACGCACAACGCTTGGAGGAAGTTGTTGGTTGGTTTGGTGGGCTGAGTACCATTCTGGATCTCGGGAGCTCGATTTCATCAATTTCGGCCACAAAAGCGTCGAAGAAGGACTCAGCAAAGCGAACTCGTGGCGTACGCTTCGAGACTTCACCCTCAACTCCAGCTCCGAAGGCATCCCAAAGTGACTCGGTGTCATGGAAGGTAAACACTCGTATAGGCGGTATGGCAGTCGATGTCGCTGGAGAAACTCACTACATAAAGTTAAGATCTACAGCGGTCAAACTAGTCAGCAGGTCTGAAGGAATCGGAATCCAAATAGACAAAGCTAAATTAAGTGGGCCGCTGCCTCTTGATGATGATGCGAGAGATGCACCTGCCAAAATAAATCTGAGTAACATCCGAGTTGAATACCTCTACACTCCTAAGGAGACAGATTTGGACCGTCTTCTCTCATTGATAACGCCTTCCAATGATAAGTATGACGAAGACGATGACATTATGCTGGACACTCTTTTCCGCCAGCGGAGGCAGGGCTCTGTGCTTCGTACTACAGTCGCTGGGGCTAAAACTGTGGTGGCTCGTACGGCTGACTTGGAAGCCTTGCTTCAACTTGGAGATGAGGTGGGAAGGCTGTCCAATGTTACCAAATATTTGCCTGAGGATGATCGCCCTGGAATTCTGACCCTCACTCTGATTCGTGAACTCGAGACCCAGATACATATAGGAGGGAATGTGGGAAAGTTGACCGCACGCATAAGCAACGCTGAAGCGGCTTATATTAGCCTTCCGTCGCTTGTCGCAGCCCAATTAGGATCAATACTAGTCGTCAGGAACGGCAATGAGGAGCTCATAGGCGAAGCACTGCACTTGGGAAAGGGGCAAACTCTAACTTCTCAGTCAGAGAACCCAATCCTAATGGCTCGGTTTATTGCCGACGAGATGGAGCCTACTATCAAGGTCAAATTGCATAATTTACGAGCAGAGTACACCTTATCGTCGATAGTTGCATTCCTAGGGCTTGGTGATGATCTGACTACTGGGGACGTTGCTTCTAACATGGCAACTTCGCTGGTCAACCTTACTGAATTCCGGTCTTCACAGCACGACGTTCAAAACTCAGTGGAGGCACAAACCCCCAAGACTCCTCCAAAGCCTACCAAGTTGGCGGTTGCTTTGCGGGACTGTATTATTGGTCTTAATCCCCGTGGAACGTCTGCAAAAGGTTTGGTTGTTCTCACGAATGCCAACTTTTCTGGCACTATTCATGACAATATATCCTCGGAAGCCCTTCTAGACCTTCGGAAGGCATCGGTGATGATCATTGATGACGTGAAGAATGTGGGATTCGCAGATACCCAGCATCACAGAAGCTCAACTGCTCCACGGAGTGATCAAATCCAGAACCTCATTGATATGGGTTTCGTGTCTGTGTGTTCAATGTCTTCAGCAACAGCTACTACAAGAGTAATGCGCCCTAGCGTTGATGCCGCCAAATCACTCGATGTGGAGCTGAAAGACCTGTTCGTTATTCTTGAGACCTGTGCAGATTCAACGCAAAGCCTCATAAGCATTGTGAATGGACTGCAGCCCCCGACTCCACTTAGCGCTGTTGTCAAATATCGGACTGAAGTTCTCCCAATTCAGGACATGCTAGCGTCGTTCTCTGGGGATGCATTTGTTACCTCTCCAGCCTCGGGGGCAGGAGAGACTTCTGAAGCCAACCATGACCAGACAGGACCACACCATAGCGGGAAAGAACATATAGAAGATGAGCTGGAGTACGTCAGCGATTTTTATCCAGTGAATCCAGGGCCGGAGTATGGCTCTCTGCATGAAGGAATGATGGACTCAGGGTCAAATGACCTTCTTGATAGTTTTCATTCGCAGTATTACGTATCCTCTAGTGTTTCTGACTTAGAGTTCCGCGACGACCACTTTGCTCAGCAATCTGCTGTTGGAGGAACAGCGCACAGATGGGACTCAACCGAAAACACATACGGGCTTTCCGACGACACAAAACTCCAGAAAAGTCCTTTGAGGATCAGGGTCCGCGACGCACATGTTATATGGAATCTTTTCGATGGATATGACTGGCAGCGAACGAGAGACACAATATCGAAGGCTGTGAAAGATGTGGAGAAAAAAGTCACGGAACGGCGTACTAGGGCTGGTTCTCACGCATCACCTGGCTTTGACGAGGACGAGGAGTCTGTCATTGGCGACTGCCTATTCAACTCTATATATATTGGTATCCCGGCAAACAAGGATCCACGGGATCTCCGCAACGATATCAATCGCAACATTGATGATCTTGTTAGTGAGACTGGGAGCTATGCAACTACTACCACGGTCACCGGAGCCACGGTACGGCAAAACCAACCATCCTCGTCGAGAAAAAGACTGCGTCTATCCCGAAGCAAATATCATAAAATGACGTTCGAACTAAAGGGCATCTGCGCAGACCTGGTCGTCTTCCCACCTGAGTCTGGAGAGACACAAAGTTCCTTAGATGTTCGAATCAACGACTTGGAAATATTTGATCATGTTTCGACATCAACCTGGAAGAAATTCGCCACTTACATGCACGAAGCGGGTGAGAAAGAAAGCGGGACCAGCATGATACATCTGGAAATACTGACCGTGAGACCTGTGCCCGAGCTGGCTGCAGCTGAGATTGTTCTCAAGGTAAGCAAGCGAATCAGACACAAGCCCGTTTATGTTTTTTTTTAGGTTCTTGTTAACGCCGAAATATCACTAGGCAACTATCCTTCCTCTTCGGTTGCATGTCGATCAAGATGCACTGGACTTCATGTGCCGGTTTTTTGAGTTCCGCGACGACTCTGCTCCCGCTCCTAGTGCGCCAGAGGATATCCCTTTTCTACAGCGAGTCGAGGTCAATGCGATTCCAGTCAAGCTCGATTTCAAGCCCAAACGAGTCGACTACGCTGGTCTTCGATCAGGTCGCACGACAGAGTTCATGAATTTCTTTGTGCTGGATGGGGCTGATATGGTCATGCGACATGTCATTATCTATGGCGTCTCTGGCTTTGATAAGCTGGGGCAGACACTTAATGATATATGGATGCCCGATATTAAGAGAAATCAACTGCCAAGCGTGCTGGCCGGTCTAGCTCCCATCAGGTCCCTAGTCAATGTCGGAGGAGGAGTGAAAGATTTGGTCGTCGTTCCCATGCGCGAGTACCGAAAGGATGGTCGTATCGTAAGGAGCATTCAAAAGGGCGCGCTTGCATTTGCGAAAACGACGTCGAATGAATTGATCAAGCTAGGGGCCAAACTCGCCATTGGCACGCAAACCGTTTTACAGGGTGCGGAAGATCTACTAACCACTCCCAGTGCACCGTTAGTGGGCATGGAAGAGGATATAGCAGATGAAGAGGAGGCGAAGAGAATCTCTCTTTACGCTGACCAGCCGGTGGGAGTGGTGCAGGGCCTTCGCGGTGCTTTTAGGGGTTTAGAACGCGATCTGCTCCTGACTCGAGATGCCATTGTGGCCGTTCCAGGAGAAGTAGTGGAGAGTGGCAGCGCCAAGGCGGCCGCGAAGGCCGTGTGGAAGCGTGCCCCTACTGTTGTGCTGCGACCTGCGATTGGAGTATCGAAAGCCGTGGGACAGACGCTCCTGGGAGCTGGGAATACGTTGGATCCCAGTAATCGGCGGAAAATGGAGGATGTAAGTTCTTATACTTTGTTCTTCCATTTACATGTCGTTTCATAGATGCTAACTTTGGGATCTACTTTGCTAGAAATACAAACGCCATTGAAGATATCATTCTTTTTGCTGATTTGCAATAGGGGCGTATCATTATACCATTGGGTTGCATTTATGACGCCTGTTCTCTTTCAATTTCTTTTCTTTTCTTTTCTTTTCTTTTTTTTGAGCTCTCCCTTCTCTGTGCCCTTACAAGTATGGGTTACTACATGGTGACCTGGTACATAATCTCATATATTGACAAGCAGTCAGGTTCTTGGAATAGGGCTAACTTGTCTATATTTGGCTGATGATAATGATTTGAACGAACCTGTTTATTTATTCTTTTTTTTTTTTTTTTCTCTTTTGGCTTTATTGATCCAGGTTATCTACCCTGCACGCATGAGGCGGTGTTTGGATACTGAAATTGGTCTTTTTGAAGAATGTTGATATCCACACGTGACTGACGATACCGATGAATGGCTTATTGATTGATTAGGTAAATCTGGTTCATAGACTGAATGACAATGCAACTGTATCTAGCTTGAGACACAATCCCTGTTCTTAACATATAATGTTGTCTGCCGATGAAAAGAGAGTGTTGGGCGAGTCAGCTGACAGGATGAGACTCTTATACGTTGCCCTCTCTTTCTCCCAAACACTGGGTTACACGGAACAGGAGCATCACCAATGCGGCTGGGAGAGAAACAAAGCGAGGGATGAATGAGGAACTTCAAGGCTCGGACAAACCCCAAGGCTGAGTTGAGATGAGATGACTCGCCACCGATGTACTGCGTAGAAGGGTGAGGGGTGGAGGAAGGTGCCTTCGGTCATGATGAAACCATCCCTTCCTGAACTATAGACAGCCATCGGAATATATATATTAAATAAAAGGTAATATCTAAGTGGATAATCGATAAAATGGTTTCTTTTTATATAGAAACCCTCCCCTGAAAAGACGAACAAATCAGACGCCCGGATGCCATCCCTCCCGATTCGTCATGAAACCGACAATCTGCATGATGATCAATCAGATCCCGACAATGATCACCTGGATGTGGTGCCCGACCGAACACCAACGGGGGGGCTGACTGACGCTCCTTTTTATTTTTCTATTCTTTTTTTGGGTGTCGTTGTGGCTGCAGGATGGGACACCGAACTGGTCATGCGAGTGATTCGCTGGGAGTTCTGCACGTCAACAGACCATCTTTCGGGAGGGGATGCCATTGTGACATGTCTTTCTTTGGGGTCTCTTTTTCCCCTTTCCTATTTGGGTTCGGCATGTGTCTGTCCGTTTTCTTGTTTCTACTTCTTTATGGCCGGTTTTGGTAGTTCCTAGGTTTCTTGGTGTGGCGTTCTGACGAATTAATAGATATATGATGTCTGCTACTGCGACTGTGACTGCGGCTACTTGGGAAACAAGGTAGTGGTCATGCCTTAGATGGTGGGTTATTCGAGGACTACGGATATTGCATCCCATCGTGGCCATTTACTCTCGTTTTCGGTTTATCTCTTTTTTTGTTTGTTTTTTATCTCGCTTTGTTGAGCGTCTCCATGGACCTCAGAGACGTTTGTGCTGGATATCCAGCCACAAGCCATGAAACCCTTCATCTACAGCGCGTGGACACCGTCGCCCCCGTTTGTACATCTCCTCCTTCTCTGTCTCAGTCCTCATCACCAAGTCCGGCCATGAGCATTTCGGGATATCCCAGGGTCTCGTCACTGCACAGCTATCGCAGACACCTCTCACACGGGCAGTCGTCAACGGAGGTTGAAGGCCATGACGGTAAGAAGCTCAGGCGGAAGCACGCTACATTGAACTTGAACCAGATGCCAACATGTGGTGAGCATCATTCTGTCTCTCCCTTATCTATCTCATCGCCCGCATCAAGTCCACCGCCGCTGTCGCCGTCTTCGTCGCCGAGTGCGATGAGTGAGCAGGGCCCCGAGAGTCTCGATGGATTCCTTTGTAAGTTCGCGGACTCCGTATCCGTGTAGATATACTGACTGACGCGTTGGGGGCTTAGTATCGCCTAGTCCGGTGGACTTGAGTATTCCCTGCGAACGGTTTGGGAACAGACGGAATCCGTACAAAATCCTGGTACGTACTGTATCTCCCTTTAATCATCAGATAAATAACTGATGAACAGTCGATGATAGGATACCTTCCGCGATAGACTCGAGAAGTATCCGGATCCAGATCCAGCTTCTTCAATCTGCGGACACAGCAAGACCTACTCCGACTCTGTGCTCTTCAACGTGAACAAAAATCCAACCGCGACCATCGTCAACCACAACGGCACCTCGTTCGAGATCCTTAACCCTCACGAATCGTTGCGCTTTGCGCGCATCGTCTCCTACATTGAAGACGTGGATACCTACTCATCCCGCGATTCATCCCGCAACCACCGAGACTCGTACCGCTCTGACGATGCTATTCCGGAATTTGAGACCTCGTCCATCGACAGGGGCGACCCATGTGGAGAAAAAGTTGAGGTCGAAGCCCAGAAAGTTCATCACGATCTTGTCGGCGATTGTCCGCATCTTCCCATGCCGTCGATCTCCGAGCGATTAGAGAAAACTAACGCGGGCTCAATCTACACCTCTGACTGCCATCGTAGTCCCATACCTCGGAGTTCATCGAGGTTGTGGACTGCGCAGTCATACGGCAGCGGCGAGCTGGGTGAGCCAGGATCTCCAATCTACGATGACGATCTCCCTTCATCCCATAACCTCTGGCCCAAGACTACCGACTACAGCCAGTTCTTGCAGACGGGATATCCTGAGACGGAAATACAGTGTCAACGGCGTTCGACTCGGCGTTCAACAAGTAATCGCAGGAAACGAACAAATAAGGGACCGTTTCGGCGATTGTGTGGGTTTGCGACTGCGTTGCGCAAAAGACGTCTCTTCCGGGGAGAAGCGATGGCACATTAAGGGCCCCTTTTTGGGGGGGGAGGGGAGGGGTGATAGATGAGATGGCCGTGCCTTTTCGCGAAGTGGTTGTGACTGTGTTTCTGGGAAATACACGGACTAGACAAGGGATCTTAAATTCTTTTCTTTATTTTTACTTCTCCTCTGTGGCCATTATGGCAATTTTAGTATAAGTATAGACCACTTGTAACAGACGGAGGCCGTTCCTATTACGACGCCGTCAATTCATTCAAATATATATACAAAATAGAGAGTAGACAAGACATTGGACCTGTTCGAACGGAAGGAAAACATTGTATACATTCTGGGTATCTACCTTTTTAACAGAGCAAAGTAATAATTCAGAAAAAAAAAAATGAAAAAAAAAAAGAATATGTACAATAACTGGGAATGGAAATATAAAATAATAGGAAAGGAATTTTCTTTCTCATTCCGGAGTACATGGCCGCTTCTCAACCAAAGAAGCTAATGCTGCACTCACGAGGCTCTTCCGTCGCAGCCCCTGTTCACTCTTGCGCATGTCTCGACCAGTCAACGAAGGGTAGTTCTTTTCGATCCGGTAAGACTGCACCACGCCAGAGCTGCTTTTCCGTCTACCACGCGACTCGATAGCAGCGGGTTCCATGAGGCTTGAGGCAGAATTTTGGGGTTGGAACCGACTTCGCTGACGAGTGACGGCATTTCGTCGAGGAGACTTTTGCGGCGGGAGCGAGCTGGGGTGACAGTCATCCTCACCGGATTCTAGGTCTAGGTTTATGTTTAACGCATCATCCTCTGAAAGGAGAGCCTGGCGGATGGCTTCAATATCTGAGGGATTGCACTGCAGACGGGAGATATGTTGCCGCTGGACGCGAACATTCCAGCTGTCAGGGAACGAGAAGTCCGGGGTCCCGCCCTCAGCTTGATGATCGAGCGGGACGGAAGTCGGACTAAGAAAGGGGGATTGTGGTTGAGGCGAGAGTGAAGGAGACGTGAGGGATGAGGAATCAAAAAAACCCTCATCGTCATGGTCGGTATCCGGGGGCGTCAAGACGTACCCCGGAAACCTTACAGAACCGAGGTCAGCCGTCGGGGACGTGGGACTCTCTAGTTGTGTATCATCACGAGATGAATTCTGGATGGTATGCTCGTGGAGCTTTCTGGTCAGGGTCGCGATTGACAGACGCTTGTGGTCATAGGCGGACAACGGAACGGAGGTGGGAGCCTGATGCGAGCGAAAGTAGGAGGACCGAGAACGAGTGGACCTTCGGGGAAAGCGCTGAGATGTGGAGGACCTAGGGGACGGACACCGTGAAGAGAGAGGCGAGATCAGAGTACTGTCACAATCGACCATGAGGCGATCATCCCCATCACCCGCCAGGTGGGATGGCCGGGTGGACGAGGGGGATGAGAAGGAGAAATCCTCGAACATGGTGGGGCGATGCCAGATCCCACCGGCGAACGAGCGAGTGAGCGACCTGTCTGTCTTTCCTCCGCAATAGAATAAAACGCACACGAATTTACTGACAGACGTGTGAATTTGTAGAAGATAATGATGAAAAAATGGTCAAAGTGGAAGAATGCGTTCCTGGCAGGATACTAGGGGGTCTGGTTTATCCGGTGGCCAATTTCCAGCACAAAGAAAAAGGTTTTTATTTTTTTTATTTTTTTTTTCGGGCCTTTGGTCCCTTGCCCGGCGCGTAGAGGGACCACCCAAAGTCTGGGGGGGCAAATCGAAACGATCCCGATGGTCGCAGAGAATCCAAGGCTCAACGGTTGGGTCCGTTCAATCAGGATGCCGTGGGTTCATGACAAGTCAGGAGAAGCATGCATGGGAAAAAGGGAAAGAGAGGAAGAGAAAAGAAACAAGCAGGGTCCAATACAAATATATGATCCATCCATGAGCCTGTTCATTTCCCCCTGAACTTGTCTCTCTTCTCTCTCTTGGGTGAAGAGCCAGCCGGTTCTCCGTGCACTTTTTCTCAGGGGGGCAACCTGCTGACTCAGATCCACAGACAAACCCAACAAACGTCTGCAGGATTCCCACGTGGAATTAATTAGTTACTAGTATTGAACTCTCCACTGCACTTCAGCGGTTATTCAGGAGTATCGGAGTTTTTCTATCACCAGTATTTCTATCACCAGTAAACTATCGAGACAAAATAAGGGAGGAGACTTCACTGCAGATATAATACGGAGTAGTGATCAGTCCCACAAGTCCTGGTTGATAGTGATATATTCTAGTGCATCTAGCGTGGAAGATGGGTTTTGTGGTATTAAACAGATGACGATGTTGATAATACTGGCTAGCCTGTGGACTAGGTACATACGACTCCTCTGTACGGACTACGGACTACGGAGGACTACTAGTAGATTCTAGACTGCGTCTCTCCACTGGTAAATGTATCGTGCTCCATTGCTAGGGAAAGAGCCTGCACAGCGATTTAGTACAGGACATACATCTATTCATCCGCGGTTATTCAAGTTCCTAACAGTATGGAGTAGATTCAACAGTCCTTAGAGGGTTTGAGTTGCTCATATTGATATCTCTTCAGATTTACCAGTATCATGACTTTATGAAATATAAGACTCTATGAAAGTCCTACCTGCTTAATTTCCCCTCTTAACAAGTCCTTACTAGATCTTTGTATCGAAACAGCCCCTAAGGCCCCTAAATTCTTGGAACAAAGTTAAAACAACGAAAAACATCTTCCTGATTCCATTCTCAGTGCAGCTGGCTTGGATGCCAAACGAGGTAGTCTCATCATATCGCTTATCGCTAGTGGAATCGGCTGCTCCCGAAGGTTTCCCCGCATGACAACAAATCGTCATCCTGTAACGTCGACCACGACAACCCCTCGATCCTAAATACATGACATCCAGTCCTCTCTCATCCAGTAGCGGTCCACCACTATGGCTTCTCTATTGAAAAAGCCATTGAAGTTAGCCTTGGTGCAGCTTGCCTCCGGTGCGTCTGGCTCGTTAGGAGCTTCATCGATCTCCAATCCCTTGATTTGGCCATCTCAGTGTATGCTAAGACGAGGTGACCCTATGACAGGTACGGACAAAGCTGTCAATCTCTCCCATGCACGAAGCAAAGTCCTTGAGGCGGCAAAGGCAGGAGCCAAGCTCATCGTCCTCCCTGAATGCTTCAATTCGCCATACGGGACGCAATACTTCCCCAAATATGCGGAGACCCTTCTCCCCTCGCCCCCCACGAAGGAACAGTCTCCTTCATACCACGCCCTATCGGCTATTGCGGCAGAGGCCAAGGCCTACCTTGTGGGCGGAAGTATTCCTGAACTGGAGCCCACAACCAACAAGTTTTACAACACCTCCCTGGTCTTCTCGCCGACAGGCGCTCTGATCGGCACCCACCGCAAGGTCCATCTATTTGACATTGATATCCCTGGGAAGATCACGTTCAAGGAGAGTGAGGTACTGTCACCTGGAAATCAGCTGACTATGGTTGACCTCCCGGAGTATGGAAAGATCGGTCTGGCTATCTGCTACGATATCCGTTTTCCGGAGCTGGCCATGATTGCCGCGCGCAAGGATGCATTTATACTCATCTACCCGGGCGCCTTCAACCTGACCACGGGTCCAATGCACTGGTCACTTTTGGCACGCGCCCGTGCTGTGGATAACCAGGTTTATGTGGCATTGTGTAGCCCTGCGCGAGACATGGATGCCACCTACAACGCATACGGTCATACTCTAATCACAAACCCTCTCGCGGAGATTCTGGGGGAGGCAGAAGATAAGGAGGAAATCATCTACGCTGATTTAGAAAATGATTCGATCCAGAACACAAGGAAGGGAATCCCAGTCTACACTCAGCGTCGCTTTGACTTGTATCCTGATGTGACCCTTGGTGCTGCCGCCCCTCGTTTACGGCGAAGAGACACATAACACGCACGAGGCCTGTTCATTCACCAGAAGATATCATAGTCACATTCCATGAATTATACTGCGAGCAGCCAACACCTCTCTAAATTGCCGGAGATCAGTTATGTAGATGTTCCTAGCAAAGTACTTGTGATAGATAGTGACGAAGTGGCCTTGGTGCCTTGGTATAATATCACGTGACTATAAATCCACCAATCATAGTGCGGATCTTCGATAAGCGAGCCACACTGGAATTTCATCCACCCAAAAAAAAACCATCTCGAAATCTGTGTTTTTACGACTTCGACCATTCCGCCAACGACAGCCAACGCCCACTGTCAACCCCATTCAGTGAGCTTCACCCCCGTTCTTTCTTCAGTTTCTGCTATCTCAGTTCTATCAGCTGTGGGTTTGACTAACCGTGATCTCTCCGTTAGAAATGTCCAACGTCCAGACCAGCAAGAAGCAGCGCTCGGCCATCGCCGACGTTGTGTCGCGCGAGTACACCATCCACCTGCACAAGAGAGTACGTTGAACATATGGATCCTTAGACCCCTGTTATACACACCTTCGCGATCAATCCCGAAAGGGTCGATCATGCCATGAAGAACCCAGCTTTTCGAACATGAGGCATGGATGGAGAACTGGACCACAAAAAGAATTTGTGCAAGAGGAGGAAAGTAAAGCCCAAGAATATGAGTTTCAAACGAAAAAAGAAGAATTGGTTTTATGAAGTCCACCTCTATGGCCGCATTAGCATCTTCACAGATCTACTTCTTGCAAAATGGCATTTGGGCGGAAGACTGATTTCTACTTCTTTTTCGGTTTTGTAGATGCACGGTGTTACCTTCAAGAAGCGCGCTCCTCGTGCTATCAAGGAGATCCGCGCCTTTGCTGAGAGGGCCATGGTAAGTTCGACATTCCCCTTCCTACCTCTGTCGAATTCTCATTGCTGACCACCCCGTCTCCGTAATACCAGGGTACCAAGGACGTCCGTCTTGACCCCCAGTTGAACAAGAAGGTCTGGGAGGCTGGCATCAAGGGCGTTCCATACCGTCTGCGTGTCCGCATCTCCCGCAAGCGTAACGACGAGGAGGGTGCTAAGGAGAAGCTGTACTCCATGGTCTACGCCGTCAACGTCAAGGAGCCCAAGGGTCTCCACACTGCTGTCGTTGATGACGAGTAAATGGTTCCATCCCATAGGACGAGTCACGGAAGTCCTTTTTTCTCTGGTTGGGCCGTCTTACTCCGGTTGAGTTGGTACATGTGAAGTAGTCAAAAGATAAAAAAAAAAATCCGAAATTTGTAACTTCGATAGTTAGAAGTTTTCTATTCGGTTCCCGCGAATCGCTTTAAGGCAGGGAATTATGTATGCCGAATGACATGATGGAATCAGCCGAATAGCAATTTTTCCAGCGTCGAATGTTGATGAAATATTTGCATACGATTAAAAAAGTTTTCAATTCACTAAATACCCTAGTCCTTTCAAGTCAGTTACTACAACATAGGCTAGTGTGCATTTATCTCGACTGGATAGTCTTCGGTTATCTTGCGCAAATGGACTGTGCTGGTCCCATTGTAATGTACCTATGCACATAGTAGAAACCCGTCCCGTGCTTGGATAGAAGCACGGGGACCAACTTCTCGGGACCAAACTTCTCGGAAGTGAAGTCACTAGCTTGAGTATCCATCTACCGCTGGCATTACTCCTTCTATACCACTCGCTAGGCTAAGAATACCTACCAACTTGGCCGTTTATAAACTTGGATCTTATTTAATACTGCCTGAACCTGGGGGGGGAAATTTCAAAGGATTGAAGGGATTATCTCTGTCTGGACGTATTAAGAGTGTTGTTCTACTACTACTGTGAGGCCATATGTTGACCGGGTTAGAGCCCATTCGAAAAGCATCTGTGTCTTTGATATTTGTGAGAGAAGACAGAAATTAGTAACATCTCGCCCGGAATTCAGACATATCTACCAATACAACAGAACTGCGAACAAATAATGCGAACGACATATTGAAGGTAGTTGAAAGCACGAAGTACGGATACCCGGCCAATGGATGCATGACCCGAAGGAGGTGGAAGAGAAGATTAATTCTCATTATTCTGGAGTACTGTCACGGTCAAGCTGGGGAAGTGGGGGGTTCTCGATAATCACTTCAGTTTCCACATGGACCCTCTTAGATGCCCTGCCTCCAACCCATTGATTTGTGAAGCCGGCTGAACAACAAGTAGGATGCGATGCCCATCCAGCGCTGTCTCATGCTCCTCTTCCAGGAAGCGCATTTCATAAAGCTTAACCATTGAGGAGCTATTCATGAATGTCTTGTCCAAGTCCGCTAGAGAACTGAGGCACTGGGGGGGATACCCGCCCAGAGAGATACGTTAGAATATCAGCACCAACTTGATAAATCTTCCGAAGACCCCAGTATCCTCTTCCTTCTTTTCTGGTGTCTATAGCATTCGCAGGAGAAACCGGAGAGGGTCACTTTCTAGAAGCCCCTTTGTAACACCACGAAGGGCAGCAGTACGACGATCTTGGATGTACTGCCCAAACGTGATGACTTGGATTTGATTAGGATTTTGTGCATTGGCGAGATGCATGGTTTTCGTCTTCCAAAACGACGCTCTTCCTGAATTGGCTGTGGAGTACATATGCAGGCTAGAATATTCTACATGGTGTTGTTGCAGATTAGAGCCACTACAGAGTTAAATGGAACAGGGGCCATAAAGGTTTCTTCGGTACTCCGATTCCGGGAACTGAGCTGATACTGTCGTCTAGAAGGTGGCTTTAAATCGGAGTTCAGCTCCTCGCCATACGTACGAGACAGACTTCAAGAGCTGTTAAGTGAATACACTAGTCTCCCTGTTAATACTCCGAATAAGCAGTTCGTATCGCCTTTCCATTCAGCTGCGCCAGCTAACACTGAACTTTCTATGCAACTGTTAGTCGCAATGGGCACAGCCTTGATGGGAGGACAAGGCCCACCCCCCCTCCGGCCGGTAGTGCTGGAGACATTAGGGGATTAAGACAGTCCAACTAGGGAATCCTTCGCACAGATATGCCAATTATGCTACGATAGTTTCTTGTTAGGGTCTTGAAAAGGCTTGCCAGTTCCCCTTGCTCTGCGTGTACTATTCAGCTGACGGATTGGGATCTTTTTCACCTCAAAGAATCAAAGATACACTAGCGATTTCCGATTTCCAACAATTTCCACCCAGATGCTCCATTTCACACCCGATTCTTCGATCATGCAGTCGAGATTTTCGGGTGTGACTTAACCCCTCCTACTGTCATGGCCGAAACAGGTAGGTCATATTCAAACCAACAGCGCTCATTCATCATAGACAAAAAAGACTTACCCAATTCAAATAGTAATGTCATGCAAAGGTGTAATCGCCCGCAATCTCACTAACGTCGATATGACCGAGTACCCAGGACATGATATTTTAGGCGGGCAAGTCTCTACGCTGGAAGTGACCATAGATATGGCCCATAACGCTGACTCAGGTTATGCGTTATTTGCTGCACACCTACAAGGGACAGAAGTTGGAAGGAAAGCATTCATTCTAGCAAGGGAATAAAGTAGTTTTTTTTTTGTGTTACACTGTATTTCTTTCTTTCATTTTTGATTTATAGGCTGGAGCGTCCCTTGATAGATTGACTATACACCACTTAGAAGGCTTCGGTATCGGCCTTTGGCATTAATAACTACAGTACATATTCCCAAGACTTAAACCTATGCATAGTTATGTACATACATACATACTGATATCTTAGTTAATGAAACTGACAATCGTCATGAAGTATCCTACTACATCTCGAATCAAATTCCAGAGCACTTCTCAGTGAATAATCATATCACGCGCTTTCTTCCCAAGTTAAGGGTTCCCTTCATGGATGGGCATATATGCATGTGAGATACCTATCTGGCTTCCGTATGGGCCTATTTAAGGTAGGCGCTGGTTTACCTTGCTCTCCTTGCTTCGACCGTTTCGGCTAATGTGCCGACATTTGGTTGTTGGCTTGGGTTGGGCTAACACAGGTAATAAATATAATTAGTTAGATTAATTGCTTTATAGATCACTTCCTTTCCTTCGTGACTAGACAAGATAGAATGCAGGAAACAAGTGTAGTTCGATGGAGAAATAACCATGGCTGGCTTTTATTGTAAGCTTTAAAACCACAACTGATGAAGTCTATCGGAGACCCGGGTATGTATGTACAACAAAAGAACAAAGACACAATAGTCAAATCAAAGAATTGGTCCAACAGCGTTTGCCACTGGGTTCAATTTATTGATGGGGAAAAAAAAGGGAAATAAATAATAAGCTCCCTGTAGAGGAAGCATGCCTCAGTTGTAAATCATCATCTGACCGGAGACGTAGAAGGTGACGGTTCAGAGACGAGACACAACTGGGGCGATTACAGGAAAGGTGCTGGAGAAAAATAGCAGAAGAAATTACCCAAATAGACAGTCTGACGCTCGAAACCGGGTGAAAGGGTTGCTCAGCCATGGCTCAGTAATCCGTGAAGTCAAAAATACAGATGAGAAGGGGAATTATCTCAGGCCAATCTGCTAGAATGCCTAGATTGGCCACACGAATGGAAAGAAGCGAAATCTCAAAAATGAACAATGCAGCAGATGGTGTAGATGATGAACATGTCCAAGCTATCGCTTTTAAGAGAACAGGACAGCATGCTAGAAGAAAACAGGAGCAGAAAGAAAATCATAATACATCACCAGGCCGTTGTTGAAAGCCAGGAAAAGAGAAAGTTCATCATGAAGCTGTTGACATGCATCCAATGTAATACGCCGGTTCATAAAAACAGTGACAATCACGCTGCTGGTGGACTAATTCTTAGTCTCTTCAATTGCAGTCGCCAGTCGCTGGACTTCCTCTTTCTTGACTCGGACGGCCCACTGTTCGGGTGCGCCATCGGCCTTCGGCACAAGGAACTGTACACTGGTTCCAGAGACAGTGTACTTGATTTGCTTCATCAAAGCTGTATTCAATACGATATTCCCACTTGGATCAGCTCGAAGGAGAAGACGGCCACGAGATGTGGTACGATCTTTCAAAATACGAAGGAATCCAATACCTCGGCTCTCCCACGCATCTCCGCTGGAGGAAATGATCATCCCACGTGCACGCAACTCCAGGACAACATCTTCATTCTCTTCACCAGCACCGCTTCGAGCAAGATCAATCTGAGGCAATGCCTCCGCTGCATCTGCGTCGCCAGACTCTTCGGCTCCCGTGTCAGAAGTAACACCAGGGGTAGAAGAGCGGCTGGCAGCTGACGAACTGACAGCGGAGGGACCGAAGACACTTTGCGACTGCGATGGGCCTCCAAAAGAAAAGCCGAGAGACTGAGTACCAGATGCGGAAGATTTGGGTCCTGCAGATGCTGCCCCAAAGAGAGTGGAGAAGGGCTTCGAGGGATCAGCCGTTGACGTTGTGGCTGCAGAGTCGGATTTCGGAGCTGTGGAACCGGCCGACTCTGTCGCAAACTTGATGGGAGAATTCAGTTTCCAAGTGTTGTCCATAGGAGCCTTTGGGGCGTTCTGGCTAGGAGCAAAGATCGACGGCGTGCTCCCGCCCGAGTTTGAAGGAGAGCCGAAAAGCCCACTGGTCGTACTCACGGAACCAAAAATACTGGGACTTGCAGGTTTGGAGGCAGGGGTGTCAACTTCGTCGGCTTGTGGTTTGTTTGCAGGAGCGAATGGATTTGGTGTGGAGGTGGGTGAATTAAACGAGGATGCGTATTTCGAAGAATTGAAAAATGTAGACAGTTTGCTTTCTTCTTCGCCTTGTCGCTTCAGCTTCCCTTCTTGATTATACTCCACGCGATCAAATAGACTACGACCGCCGGCACTTGAATCCGACTGCCCATTCATCGTGGGTTTGCTCGCGGGAGCTTGCTTTGACTTCTGAAGAGCCTTAGCAAAGTCGCCATCGTCGCTGCTTTCAGTCGCAACAGATTCAGCGCCACTGCCTGAAATCACCTTGGGTTCAGCTTGACTCGTCTCTACAGAACGGCTGGCCTCATCCTCACTAGTCGATATGGCAGATGCATCCTTTGACGTTTCCTCCTTGCTGTCGCCGGCGGCCGATGCTTCTTCGGTGTCATCCGAAGAATCATGGTCCTCTGCCTCAGACGGAGTTGCCGACAAATGACCGAATATGTTGCTGGATGTGGCAGGAGATTTGCTCTTGGCATCGAAGATCGACGCGCTACTGCTAGTAGCAGTACCAGGAATTCCGTCAGGCTTTTGGTCGGTGCTGGGATTGCTTTCATCTTCAAAAACGAACCCCTTCCCTGGAACGAACTTGGGTCGTTTATGAGCCCGAGACTCGATTTTCTCCCGCTTCATACGCTGTTCTTCTGCATCTTTTCGTTCCCAATCAGCTTCATCTTCCTCGTCCGAGTCAAAATCTTCAGCCTTGCGCTTGGCTTTTTCCTTCTCAGCATTTTTATCAGCCTGGGCCTTGAATTGAGCAAAGAAATTGGTCGTTCCGGAGCCAAATTTTGGAACGCCGAGTGCGGGCTCCGTGTTTTTATCGCCAGATGGCTTGAGGACAAAAGGGTTAGCTGTAGTACTAGCACTTTTGGTTGGGCCGGTGAATGTGGGCTTGGAGATGGATGCGCCCTGAGAAAAGAGCGATGGAACAGAACTTTCACTGGCCTTAGCCGGAGTGGCGAACTCAGGCTTTGAGGGAGATGAAAGAAGTGCAGTGGAGGGCGTGGAAGGCTTGTTGGAGTCTGGAGCAGTTGGTTTAAATGGGGACGAAGCGGGCAACTTCGCCGATTCCAAGGTGGCCGGTTCTCTGTCCGATTCTGAAGACTTCGATTTGGAAAATGACTGTGCAAATATGTTTGCCGTGGTAGAATCTCCGTTGATGCGCTTCCCTGGGTGGCCTTTGTCATCTTCATCACCAGCCGACTTCCTCTTATTGCCAGATGGAGGGGTCTGGCTTGTCCCAGGAACCTGAGCAGGAGAAGTCATCGCTGGATTGGTAGCAGTCAAATCCGGAGTGAACGAAGGTCCTTTGCTTTGGGTCTCTTCGTGAACACCGAAAGTTCTTGTCTGTTTAGCAGGCTTCTCATCGGCAGTTGCACCTTCATCATCTTGCATCTTGCGTCTGAGTTTGCGGTCTTCTGCTGGTGCCCCAATGGTTTCACGGACACGCAAGTAATACTGAATAACAAGGTCTAAGTCATCTGTTTTAGGGTCCAAACGAGTAATTTCACGCTGAAAGCATTCGTTTAGCATACGAATACGGTGCAGCATTTCAACTTCCCCTTTTGTAGCCTCTTTCAGATCAGTAGAAAGACCAGAAGGCTGTAGTTTTTCGAAACTTATACTTCCAGCTTTCTCGGCGGTAGGTAATAATGACGTTGATGGCGCTGCAGTTGCATTGTTGACTTTGAACGGGCTCTGCGAAGATACAGAAGGAGTGGTAATAGTCGGCTGTGTCGAAAACAACGACGGCTGTGGTGTAAATGGAGCAGAAGGTGTAGACCAATTGGTATTGGGAGAAGGAGCAGAGAAAACAGGCCCAGGGGTCGCTGGTTTCTTTTGCTCATTTGTCTTGGCCTCCTGACTAGATGCCCCAGGGGCAGACACAGAAGCGATTGGAGTGTTGGATTTCTCCGGGCTGGTTGTTTTAACTTCCCCACTTAGAGTACTGGGTTTGGGAACAAAAAAGTTACTGAAAGGAGTCGAAGATGGCAGCGGTTTCTGTTCCGTGGCAGGCTTGCTTGGGGTCGCCGGTTTTGGTGTGAATAGGCTGCTAAAGGGGTTCCCCTCTGCAGGCTTTGGTTTATCCTGCTCCGCAGCGACAGGCTTGGGGGCAAATACGTTGCCTGTCGACGGGGGTTGAAACAAGCCACTTGCTGGAGCTGTAGGGGCGACAGAAGTCTCACTCTTTGAGAGCAATGAGGGTCCGCTAGCAGTAGACGGCGTGAACTGGAACCCACTATTCGATTTTGGCTCTTCAATCTTCTTTGCTTCTTTATCTTTGACTTCAGAGGCCGTTGGTGTAGCCGATTGGCTAGGCATCCCCGAGAATAAGTTCGTAGACTGAAATGGAGATTTAAGTGGAGTCGAGGTTTTAGTCGGGGACGCAACGCCAAAGACTGAAGTTTTTGGCGCAGCAGTAGCAGTGGAGGCTGACAAAGCAGCTCCAGCAGAACTAGATTGGGCAGCAGCACCAAAAAGAGGCGTAGAGGGAGTAGGTACCTCAGTAGATGCCACGCCAAACAGTGGTTTGGACAGAGTCTCTGCAGCTGTAGAAGGTGCACCTCCGAACAGAGCGCCAGTCCCGGGACTAGCGAAGTTGAAAGCAGGCTGAGATACACCGAAGGCAGGTGACTTGGGCTCGGCGGCATTGCTTTTAGCATCAGGAGACGTCTGCATTATTGAGTCCCCAAACGGAGCAGATTGAGAAAGCGGGGAAGGCTTGTCTGTGGCCGGGCGACCGAAAATGTTGGTCGGAGGAGCACTGCTAGTTGTGTTGTTCTGTCCGAAAACAGTGCTTGTGGTGGTAGGAGTAGCGGCTCCAGTTGGGCCGGATGGTGCACTAGTAGTATTATTTCCGAAAAGACCTCCACTTGTATTATTTTGCAGCGAACCGCTTCCGAATAATCCTCCAGAGGGTAGAGGTTGCTGGGCTGGTGCTGGACTAGCGGGTGGAAGGCTAAACATATTACCCTTAAAGCCGGAAAAATCACTTCCTGCGGGCTGTTGACTAGCTCCTGTGCTCATACTGGCAAAAGGGTTGTTGGTGTTTGATGTTTGTCCCCCGAAAGATGAAGAAAAATTGAACGAGCCGCCGCCTCCAGCACCGAAGGAAAAAGGGGACCCTCCGGATTGAGAAGGCTGACTAGGATTTGAGCTAGCACCTGGAAAGCTTTGAGATTGGCCGAAAGAAAAGCCGTTGGTCGCCGGTTGAGAACCAGCCGATGTAGAAATTGTATTGGGAACAAGAGAGTTAAATGGGCCACCGAGCGACGCCCCGGTAGCAGAACCAGGAGAAGCAGTACTAGGACGAGTTCGCCTTCGAACGTCTTTAATCCTGCACAGTCTGTTAGAGATTGCTCAGGTTTATATGAAGGTAATTGTGGAAAGAATTATCGACAGGATGATAGAGGGTTGACAACATGAAGGCAGGGTAAGTAGGAAAAGGGAAAGGAAAAAAGTGAGGGGCGATTGGAGAGCTCCATAATAAACAGAAATCCGGAAAACAATTTCTGGTTCACACTCATATGGCGCAGAATGATGCAGGAGGCTGGTCGCAAAAGGTCGGTCTGTATTGACTTACTTTCTCTGCGCCAACTGTGCGGCTGTCGCCCGCTGCGGCTTGTCATCTGGTGTACTCGACATGTTGAACGCAAATAAATCTATGTCTTTCTCCCCTTGAGGGCCCTGAGCTCCTCTTTTAGACATTTATTGCACCCACACCTCTCCGCCTGGAGCTTCAATGCCGTCAACCTTCTAGTCAGAACGGCTGGTGAGCAACCCCTTCTTAAACCACGTTTGGAGCAACGCTCTCTAACTCAGCCCTTCCCATTCAAATTCCCAAGGCCAGGGAGTAGTGAAAAAAAAAAAAATTATCTCCGGTAAAATTACAATTTCTTATCGGTTATAATCGATAATCCAACCCCGGTTGTCACAGGGCCCTTGAAGGCACTTATTGTGCAAGAAACGTTGAAATGGGAATGCGTTCGTAACGTCCAAAAACTGCGAAAGTACCAAAATTGTGTTCTTGCTACTTGCTAATGCTCCAAGAAGCAGACGTTATTATTATTTGTTCATAGGAAGATGTCAAAGGGGTGCTCACGCGCTTGTTCTGTGCCCCGGAGATAAATCGCGAAAGCGCGAGAGGCAGCTGCAGCGACGAGACGAAGAACTCTAAGGTGATAACAGAGAAAATAGATAGAACAAAAGAAATAAACTGAATTTTTTTGAGATGGAAAGGGACAGGCTGTTCCTTTTGCTATGTACTGTCTGTGACAGTGATAGGAGGTGGTTGATGAAGCTGCTGCCTCTTGGTCTGGAATTGACGGCTCGCGACCTTTTTTTTTTTTTTTTTTTGGCAGAGGGCGAGAGGTTCAGCTGGCAGGAAAACAGTGTCACGTGACAATATGCAAGGCAATTCTTGGCGGGGTGCCGTCTAAGCAAGATATGCTCATTGGAGGCTAGGGAGGCCCATGCCACTTGATAATGGGGAAAGTTACGTCCATGCAATGGTTCCTATGCATTCGCTAGTACAAACTTCAAGTTGGTGTGCTTTCTGGCATATTCCATTAGGCCCCTCTGTATTCGCTACAGGTGGCCGGTTCTACAGACAGAAAGAGTTGTGGGGCAAAAGACCTGCTGTAATAATACACAGTATTCGATACTACCCTGCCTTGTCTCCATTGCAAGCAAGTACGTACATATGCAGGCGGTGTGTTTGACATCTCGATGTCAATGATCTGCAGCAAAGGGAGAATTTGAAGAGTAGGTCGAGAGGTGGTTTTACATACAACAGGGAGTATGAAAAGCACAGAACTAAGTACTGTCGGGGTTGGTTAAAGTACGAAATAAGTGCCACCATGCAGGCTAGATCCAAGACTACAACTGGTAAGTATTCCTAAGCTGTAGACAAAATATATAATTCGAAAGACTTCTCGTAGGTGATATTGGTTCTTCTTTTTCTTTTATCTAGGATTTAAAAGTATTCAGATCATAGACGCTGTTTACACTTGTTGCAAAATTCTTCAAGTATACTCTACTATCTGTCGTACGATTTAAGTCATTAGTCACTGATACTCGACAGAAAGCATCAAGAAGCCAGAGAGGAAAAGGAAGAGAAAAAACGCATGTTCGTTATATAGTCGGAATACATTTTCAAAAAAAAAAAAAAACAAATATAAAATACACGTAACCGGGTATCTATAGCTTGGCCTTGCCCTGAGCCTTCTTCAAGATGGGTTCCATCTTAGTCGCCTTCATGATGTTACCCTTAATCTTGAGCTTGCCTCCCATGAAAAGTCGCTGGGCGTTGGCCTTTCCAGAAACCAGGGAAGCAAAATCTTCATCAGAGAGAGAGAGGGTCACTGTTTACCATCGTCAGATATGAGCACTCGGCCTGTTCTCTCAATAAAAAGTAGCAAGAGGTTTGGTTTACTGACCATCCGCTTTTCCACCGGAAGGGGCAGCGCCTTTCCCCACCACACCCTTTTCCTTGAGGTCCAAATACCAGCTCTCTTCCTGTCCCTTGGAGTTCTTGAGGTTGAAAGCGACGACGACCTTGGCCTTGTCGACAGCGTCCTTGCGCTCGGCAGCGTCACCCTGAAGGGTAGATTGGATCACATCGAAGGCGGCGGAGGAAGGGAAGGAATCTGAGAGTTTCAAATTGTTATTAGCCGACCGCCTCGTGGGACTGCTGGAGTGGTTAATGAGAGAATAAACGTACCGTTTTTGAGAGACATGGCGAATGTGGTTTACTATACTGAATGAGCTATGACAAGATAATGGTTATACGTTAGATTTGAGATAAAGAGAAGTTCAGATCAGATCAAGGGGAGGTTGAGTGTGACAGATGTTAAATATATCCCGGGGTTCAGGGCAGCTTCCCCGGAGATTTCGGGGGCATGTGACTGGTTATGGTCGGTGGCATTTGGGCCGAGGCTGGTAGGAGCCCTGTGATCCCAGATTTTAGGGATAATTAGCTGACCGCGGTACATAGTATTGAATTTACCACAGCACGAAGGATCTGTAAAATATTATTCTTCTTTGGTATTTTTTGGTATACTTAAGTATTAGGATACTTATGTAGCTTGAAATTAGGGTATATATTCTTTTTATCTTTATTTAGGGATCTGAATTGAGCTTATATGAAGATTGAGTTGTGCTTTAGAATATGGAGACTGTGTGTCCTATTATGGTTAGTAATAATTACTGTACCCCCATAAAATGAGGAGATTTGGGCATCTCCGCTCTTTCTCTCATCTTAATGTCTATCCTATACTCCACATACATTTTAACCCAATACGGTAAGCATTGCGCAAAAATCCCCCTCCCCCAGCATACCAATAGCCGATACCACATGAATCAGTCTGATTAGTCGTCGTTAGGACTCTTGTGCCTCGTTCCCAGCCTAGAGTTCTTCTGTCTAGCGAACGGCTAGTTAATAAATAGATATGACGGGTGAATATGGTTGCATCGGCTCTTTTTTACTGAGTCGAACCTTGGACAGGGCTCCTCCTCTTTTTTGTGAAGCTGAATATAAGTAGACTGAATGAGTACCCTTTATATTTTAGGCAACGTTATATCTAGGTAGTCAAGTCCTCGAGCATGATGATTACGATGTCACTTTTCTTGTTCAGCCGAATCCAGAACCTACTAGTAGACTATCAATCTGGACTAATTGCTTAGATGAGTTGCGTCCCCAGGCACTAATGAAAGGCCAGGCTATTTCTCTGGATAGATATACTAATACACCTGGGGTAAGGTTGTCTCTGTTTTATCGTTAGCAACATTCAACCGAGTTTGCTTATTATAATACTATTTCTTGCTTGTATATGTGGAGCTTTTTATGGTTAAAATATACCTAAAAGTGACCAATGAAAGCAAGGTACAATATGGTTCGTTCATAGCCATAAACACCAATGGCGTGCTTATAATAGGGTCTTATTTATAATATAGATATCTTTTTCTTAGTCTGCAAGCATTCATCTCCCTACAAGAGCGGCTTTTTAATATAGATATGGTTTACGGAGTTATATACCACACTACCTCTTAGCTTAAGTATTTAAGTTGCTACTGATGGCTGGTGCCTACTAGAAACAAGTATGACCCTAACCCCCAAGATTCTAAACATTGCTGCAATGACGGCCATACTTCGTGGTTCCTCACTGCCTCCGGAAGGTAGCGAGGAAATGAATTAGTACTGTTATTGCCGACTTGTTCTCTATAAGGAACGACTCTAATTGAACATTTTCTTAGTGTTCCCACCCTCTTTTTTCATATTTCTTAGGCTGATGAATTTAACCTATCCTAAACCAAGAACTGTCGTACGCACAGCTACTGATTGGGTTACATGTTAGAGTAGGACTGTTTCGGCAATAAATACCTCACACTCTAAAATACCACACACTAGGGGAGAAACGGCATGGCTTACTGTTAACCACCATACTTGATTATTTCGGCGGCGGATGGTGCATACTCCAGTGGACGGGACAGGAAGAGCCCCGCGCGAATTTTATTCTAGCCATTATACACTGGAGACGAGCCTTGATGAATACAACAAAGAGAGAAAGTTTCATAGTTAACTCTGCGGCAAGGCCAATTGTCTGTCACGGCATCGATGACAGCACTAGGGGTATCACCTTGGCGTAAAGTCAGTCTTCAAGTCAATGACCAAGCACGCTTTAAATCTAGAAAATTTAACCTCTAAAATCCAAGCCTTTTGTTTCTGAAGCTGCTGATGATACAGTTATAGATAGGATAGAAATGACTACATACCATCCATGTACATGAATCCATTCCTAGCCACTTAGGATATATGTATACACGCCTAGCTATGCGCTAGACATCTAGGATTCAACTCTCAGAAAAGAAGAGCCAGACAACCAACTCGGCGGCAACATCGATCGGCCACCATTGCATGAGAACTTCAATGGGGTGTCATATTCCGGTGCCGAGCGTCAAGTCATGAACCAAGTATAGAATGCATAGCCAGGTTTCACTCATGGCATTTTCAAAAGAACTTGAGCTGTGTTGGACGGAATATTTAATCAACCTGGATGGTCTCCAAGTTCAAACGCTTTTCACCAGAATATACCGTTTTTCTAGCATCCCTACTGCTTTATATACATTTCACATACCAGAGATACAATGCTTCACTGCTTCGATTGTCGGCTTTTTGTTTCATGTCGAATTTAAAGCAGATACAGAGTGTCCAAGTGCCTCTGTCTCAGTAATATACCACCAGGAAACCACGTCCGTGATTCGAGTAGGTTCTTTTCAAGAGTTTGGAAGCACTGTTTGCGTGATAGTGGTTAGTACAGTAATGCTGAAAGCAGATTGTGTTGTATCTCAGATCTGGCCTGAGACGCGTACAAACTTTGCCATAACCGTGGCCGGTCAAGGCAAAACGTCGCATAGCCAGAGTTCTCTTGCACTGAATACTCTGGAAGGAGAGAGGTTAGAGATCAGAGAAGGAGATGCATATGTCGCAGTTAACTGCGAGACTGTTTATTTAAGAGTTGGCTATCCCTTTAGACCTGGCAGTTTTGATTTTGGGTTTATTTTATTTTCCAGACAGCTTCTTTCATTTGTTCCTGAATGTTTAACGGATGAGTTTATGCATGTTTAATCTGACGCAATGATTATATATGTAACTAATCTCTTAATTCTGTTGACAAATACAGTAAACCTACTCAGTAAACCTACTAAGGTGTCTCATAAATGAGAAACTCGGTGTCCGATACTCACCATAGCCAGGGAGCACGAAGGCTAGATTGGAACATCGGGGTCAATTTCCATTACCCAAGTTTTAAAATAATACTTAATTTATATTAACTTAATACTCCGCAAAGAGTGTTTATCTGGTCTCTTTTCAACTCCATTCTAGAAAAGCTACAAAAAGAAGTGTAACTCATTGCCCAGCAGCTACAAAAGGCTTTAATTCAGTTTATGCCTCATGGTTACTCGAAAATGAAATATTCCTAATCCAGTCGGGTGAGTATATGATTCCTTTTCTCTCTATCTCTTCTCGTTCCCTGGTGGCGGCTCGATTTGAGCCAGAAAATTGGACCTGAATCGAGACTTGACTTTCCTTCTGAGCCATTCCATATCCTTGGGGTTCTCTTGCATATACTCAAGCTCTCTATCGGGAATGCTCTCTGCCCTATGGAATCTTGTTTTGACGGTATCTCGCATTGGGGGCCTCTCGTAGCTCGGCTTGCACTTCCTTAGATTGGAGTAGCTGTGGCATAGGCGTGCTATAAACTGAATATTAATAAAGGAGGCTCCGCTGGGAGGGAGGATATGAATCATCATTCAAAGACTCTCCTGTCCACTCGTGGCACAAAATTGGTACGTCATCGTCATTAGAGGAGCTTCCATCATTGACAACAAAGTATCAGCCTCTATTGTTATAGCCAAAATCAACAACGTATGAATAATATCGGTGCAAATTAGGCTCAAACCCACAGTTCCTGTGGTGCTTGCACATACAGCCGAGCGATATAAGTTTCTCACTGTACGGGTCTTTCTCCGGAGCCACACATCTGACGGAACTAGGTGTGCCAGTGTTTTGACCAATATGCGAGCTGGACAGGGTTGAGGAAGTGGTAGTTTCGGGTCTTCGGCTTTGTTTGAAGTTCCATGACTGTTGATAGAATTAAGACGAAAGGAGGGTCGGGAGGATGGCCCAGATAGTGGGAATCACGGCGACAAAGAGCTGTACAGGGGCGAGATGGGCAGTTTGAGAGAAAGATGCCACAATACTTTGTAGATGGCAAAATGTTGGTGTCTTGCTATATTTGATTTTATATCAATGAGAATAGCTATGAATACTCTTCTCAGCAACCAAATTGTTTGCGCAGCTACAAGGATGAAATGATTTGCCATGATATGCTGAGTTGAGCATTTATTTCTTATATTCTGTACATAGGAGGGTTGATCCGCCGATCTACCCCACCACCTAAGCACCTGGAAGTGCTGAGATGGTACTAATTATAATGCTTTGACAAGTGTAGCCTATCTGGTGAAAATATGCTCAGCGTTTCAAAGTATATGATTACAGCCCGTCGTATTTGCAACATATGCATAGTGCATCATCCTAGGCCACTGCAGCTTGTCATTTTGCGAACCCCCCCCAGCGAAGTGCCCAAACCACACTACATTTACTTGCATATATTGCCTTATTTACGAGGTGGGATGCCAGCTATTGTCAGTTACTGCCATCATAACGCGCCTCATTTGAACAATATCAAGGTGGCAGAGAAGCTGACGTAGCTACCTGTGCTTGAGTAATATCATTCAAGAGTCTGAAATATTTTTAGCAGTCAGTTGAGTAGCTGTAATGGAAATGCCTCCTGATTATTTACATCTATATCTGGGGCCTTTGGTGGTTCAAGTCCTTTTTGAAATATATCCATGCACATACTCTAAATGGGCGCAGTAAGCTACCAATTTGTGTTAAACACATGAAGGATAGCCAGACTTTTGTTCTTCAAGCGCTAAAACAGGATTTTACGCTGCTAAAGAAAAACCCTTCTTTCACTCCATCTTTATTTGTCACACGTGGGTACTCGATAATGAGCAAAAGAACTCAGATCAAGACCCAAGCTGAGACCATCAGAAAAGATATGATGAATGCAATGGATAAAGAAAGCGCATGACGAACGAAAAAGGGAGACAAAAAAAATAAAAGAAACAAGGAAAAAGGAAGAAAAAAGTGATATATCGCGGGAAACCCCGTGACTCGGCCTAAACACGGATTTTCCCCTGATGAAATCAACAACAGTCAATTTTACGAGTCCGCCTGAGGCCCGAATATTCACCATCACCTTTGGTCTTCTCATCTTTTCCTCATTAAACCCACTTCCCCTTTGTCTTCTGGGTTGGAATGACTGTCTTATAATAGTTCCTCTCCCTTGTCACCTTTCGTCATCGTTTCTTAACATTCGCCAAGAGTGATCATCGGTCCGTTTATCTACCGTATGCCACTTTGAATCTCTTTAAACTACTAAGCTATGGCTTCCCCGGAAGACACGTCCATCGAGGACGTTTTGGATGACCTTCAGTTAAATCATGTCATCTTGGAAAGCTTAAACGAGGAACGACCTGATGCGGTTGCTGAAATACAAGAGATTCGCGACACCATAAAAGGGCTAGAAGCGCGTCTGACACAATTACGCGGTCACCCGTCGGGAAGTCAACAGAGTCATCCTCCCTCTTCATATCAAACAACCAGCAATACAAGCGTGGCTCGGGCACAGTTAGATGGCGGATCTGAACCACTGACAGCCGCTCGTCTCTCGGGACAGTCTGACATGTCTCCTCCCCCACGACCATCTCGGCTAGTTCAGCGATCAGAATCACCTCCTTATATGACGACCGCGTTTACTCGGAAGCGTCAGCATTATTATGGTGACGATTCCGAAACAGATTTCACCGACGACCTGGAGTTCCCGGCTAAACGAGTGCGAACTAACCAACTTTCAGAATCTTCTAGTCCTGGGGTGCGGTCCAGTGGAAATGTGTCGACGGATGGCCTGGAAGAAGGTTTAGGTGATGCTAACGACGAGTTGCAGAAAATCTTGGGTTTGGATAGTCGCGACACCTTACTTGCTCTTCAGGATGAGCAGAGAATGGCAGAGCAATGGCTTGAAGAGCGCAAGGAACAAGAGCGTCGAGACGCGGAGTTTGCCCGTACGCTTATGGATGGCGCTCAAGCACCGCATCGACCCTCATCCGCTTGGAGCAGCTCTACTCATTATTCAGGGACTTGTATTCCTTTCCCTGCATCATCTCAAGCTTCCAGGGAGGGACAACGGAACACGCATCGATTTCCCGGTAATACTTCCTCGGCGCAAACCACAACTGCTGCTCGCCCTGTTTTTGGAGAGCCGTCGTTTCCAGCTAGAGCTGAACCTGCCTACATTATTCAAGATAGCGATGATAGCGACATTGCAGAGATCACTGCGAATGATTTTCGACGTCATGCTCGCCCTGGCCACTCAAACCATTTCACCGGCGGTATGCATCCCCCCTGGATGAATAACTGTTCAGAGGGGCAGCCTTTCAGGGATTCATCGGCTGCACTGAGGGGTCCATCTGACCCCAACGGTATTGGTCCTGGTCTTATGTACGGGCCAAGCGTGCTGCAAAATACTTGGGCCAGGCTCAATGCAGGAAGACAGTTGCTTGAACATGCAGGGCGGTCCATGATTGGGGGGATTCCGAATCCATTTACAGCAAACTGTGGGCCACTACCAATCCCTGACTCACTAGGCCGTGAATATAGCCAATATCAGGATCTCTTGAGGTGAGTTGTCCTGAATACTTACGCCTGAACACTTCTCTAATTTTTTAATAATCTAGTGACATCTACGAGCAAGCGGATGATCCCAAGAAAGTCAACCAGGAGATAAAGCAGCTGATTGAGAGCATCAGACCTGATTCAGATATCTCTAAGGAGAATCGTGAAGGCACCCCCGAAGCCCTCAGATTTGCATTGATGGAGCATCAGAAGCTGGGGCTGTCGTGGATGAAGTCATTGGAGGAACAAGATCAGAAGGGCGGTATTCTCGCAGATGACATGGGATTGGGCAAAACAGTGCAGGCCATTGCTCTTATAGTGTCCCGGCCGTCTATGGACCCGGAACGGAAGCCAACACTCGTTATTGCACCTGTTGCATTGATGCAGCAGTGGAAACGAGAAATCCAGAGAATTCTGAGACCAGGCAAGTATCAACTTACTGTCTACGTTTTACATGGCGATAAGCGATCTGTGGGCTTTAGGGACCTGAAAAACTATGATGTCGTCCTAACTACATTTGGAACTCTATCTTCTGAGTTGAAGCGCAAAGAAAGGTATGATGAATTGCAAAAGTCTGGCGCGAATGAACCTACCCTGTCTAGAGAACTTCTCAAATCACTGCCGTGTCTCGGACCAACCAGCAAGTGGCATCGCGTTATTATAGACGAAGCGCAGTGCATCAAAAACAGGAATACGAAGGCCGCCATTGCATGTTGCCGACTTAATTCTACTTACCGCTGGTGTATGAGTGGAACGCCTATGATGAATAGCGTTGAGGAGCTGCACTCTCTGTTGAGGTTTTTACGCATACGACCTTACAGTAGCTTGGAAAGGTTCAATCATGTGAGTATATTTTGTCCCCTGTTCTATGCCAAACTAACAAAGACAACCAGGACTTTACGCGACCGTTAAAGAGTGGTAGTGCTAGTGCACAGGATAAGGCAATGACACAACTGCAAGTTTTACTGAAGGCCGTTCTCCTGAGACGAACAAAGGAGTCAAAAATCGACGGCAAGCCAATTCTACAACTGCCGCCTAGAATTTCCGAAAAAGTACATGCTGTTTTTAGCGAAGACGAGCAGGAACTATATTCAGCACTCGAAGCTCAGACTCAACTCCAGTTCAACAGGTATCTCGAAGCTGGCACTGTTGGACGGAACTACTCGAACATTCTTGTGTTGCTCCTTCGACTTCGACAAGCATGCTGTCATCCTCACCTGATCAAAGATTACGGCGTGAAGCTTAATGCGAATACAGATGAGTTCGATATGATTGCAAATGCGAAGGCTTTCGGTAAGGAGGTTGTAATTCGGCTGAAGGACAATAACGAACTCGAATGTCCCATCTGTATCGATGCCGTTGATAACCCAATTATCTTCTTTCCATGTGGTCATAGCACCTGTGCAGAATGCTTCTCGAGAATTTCGGACCCCGCTCTCTCTGTACAACAGGGCCATGATGGCTCCGTTGAAGTCAAATGTCCGAACTGTCGCGCCAAGATCGATCCCAAAAAAGTCACCGACCACCTCTCTTTCAAAAAGGTTCATTTCCCAGGGACATCTGATGATTCTGCAGAGTTGGAGGCACCTGACCCAATTGAAGAAGAGGAAGGAGACAGTGACGAAAGCGATCAAGAGAGTCTGTCTCGATTTATTGTTAACGATGGAGAAGATGAAGGCCCTTCGAAGTCAAGTAAACGGAAGGAGAAGGGCAAAATGCCGCAAAGGTCCAAGAAAACCCTTGCAGAGCTGAAGAAGGAAGCATCAAAGAACCAGAAGTCCAAACGCAAGTACTTGCGTCGACTGGAGAAGACATGGATGTCGAGTGCGAAGATTGACAAAGCTATGGAAATATTAGCAAACATTCAAGACGGAGAGTCAAACGAGAAGACCATTATTTTCAGCCAATTTACCTCTCTGCTTGACCTGCTTGAGGTTCCAATTATGCGTCGAGGCTGGGGCTACAGACGATACGATGGTAGTATGAGACCTGCGGACAGGAACACGGCAGTGCTAGATTTCACAGACAACCCTGACTGCAGGATTATGTTAGTGTCCTTGAAAGCTGGTAATGCCGGCTTGAATCTTGTCGCCGCTTCTCAGGTTATCATTTTTGATCCGTTCTGGAACCCCTACATCGAAGAGCAGGCGATCGACCGTGCTCACCGAATCGGCCAGGTGCGACAAGTGCAGATTCATCGAATCTTGGTGGAACAAACCGTCGAGGACCGGATTCTCGAACTCCAGGATAAGAAACGAGAGCTTATCGAAGGAGCTCTAGACGAGAAGGCCTCGAGCAATGTCTCCAGATTGGGAACAAGAGAGTTAGCCTACTTATTTGTATGTGCACCAAGTCCACCTCATAATTATACTAGGCAAGAACTAACTTTATTGCTTAGGGTGTTCATTAAAATTTCTCACCGCACCACGATATGGCGCCCAGCGGATTTCTGCAGTTTGATCATTTTCATTTTATTCTACCTATCAAATCCTAGATACCCCTGCCACGATACCCCCAGCATTTCCAATTTCTGGCCCTTTTTACTTCTATTTTACTGCGCTTATTTTGTTTCGCTCCTTCTGCCCTTTTCGTTCATATTAATTTATAGACTAGATAGGATACATGCATTTCAAAAGAAGTTGCTTTTGCACCTATTCACCCACCGAGCACGTTTCATCATTTTTTTCTATGGGATTCTCGTCATAAGAGTGAGCCGAGAACTTTCCTGTATCATAAATCAATCTCGAGGCTTTCGATGGATCTAATGCATGCAATAGAGAAAGAAAGCTTTTGATTAGTCCTGCCTAATGCACGTCTTCCCTTTTAATATTAGCCCAACCCAACCCTATCACATTTCTTGTGCCAGTAACTAAAACCGTAGTGGCCTATATCACATTGTAGTTATATAATGGGCCTACATCTATTTGTGTTACATCTGCCAGACACCGAACGATGTTGATGACGTCACCCACAATGCCCGTTATTTCCATGTTCCTGATCCATGGAAACAATCAAAATTTGTGATGTTTGTAAACACGAGACCTTTTTTTGGGAAAAAGAAAATTGCAAAAAAGCGGAACTTCTTTTTTCTTCCAACGACTATCATAAGAGGCTGCCATCGACGGCTTGGGATTTGCCGCTAGATATTTTAAAAGCAAGATTAGGAACAGAGAGAGAAGGTTAAAAAAAAAAAAAAAACAAAACTTTGTGGAGGTAAGGAGTCTAGACTACTATTTGTAAGATTGCAAACGCATAATCATGCCGACCGTTCTCGGGTCAATCCACCGACCGCTATCATTGTATCGTAATTCGAGACTTTGCATAACGAAACAAACATGTTGGGAGAGATACCCGCCATGACCATATGGCTGATGTCAGCTCCCAAGCTTTCATTGACCCTACGCTCACAGGTCCGCATCCTCCTCGTCGGGCAGAGGCATCTGGGCGGCAGCATCCATCTCCCTTTGGTACTGTTCAAGAACTTCGGGGTTTACCTGCACCTCGGGGGGAGCAAGAGCAGGAGCGGCAACGAATTCCTGGAAGAATATGTCAGCAGACAATATTAGAGATCTACAAGCCACGAGATTCTTACCAGCTGAGGATTGCCGACCAGCTTGCGAGCGAGCCAGAGGAAAGGCTTCTCAAAATTGTAGTTGGACTTGGCAGAGATATCATAGTACTGGAGGTTCTTCTTGCGGTGGAAGGTGATGGTCTTAGCCTTCACCTTACGCTCCTTCACGTCGACCTTGTTACCGCAGAGTACAATGGGGATACCCTCGCAGACACGGACGAGATCACCTAACACCGGATTGTCAACGGTTGTAACGAAGCAGTCGTGCTAGATGTTATAAACTTACGGTGCCAGTTAGGGACGTTCTTGTAGGTGATACGCGAGGTAACATCGAACATGATGATACCGCACTGGCCGTTGATATAGTAACCATCTCTCAGACCACCGAACTTCTCCTGACCGGCCGTGTCCCACACGTCAAACTGGATCGTTCCCAGGTTCTGCCACAGAGGTTAGTCGAGAGAAAACAGAGGCGATGGAATGACCAAAGCGGGGCCACTGGCGGGGCATACGGTGCTGAAAGTAAGAGGGTGCACTTCGACACCGAGAGTTGCGATATACTTCTTCTCGAACTCGCCAGTCAGATGGCGCTTGACGAAGGTGGTCTGTAGCGGAGATGGGTTAGCGATATTCTGTCGCTGGTTGGTAGACGGAAGAAATTTTTTTTTTTTTTTGTTGACACGGCGGGGAAAGGGAGAGATAAACAAATATGTTTCAGTAGACGATTCCATCATCGATAATAGCGACAAGGACTCATATCTGATCATATAAATAGGTAACTGAATAAAGTAGATTCAACTTGCCTTTCCAGTGCCACCATCGCCGACCAGGACAAGCTTGAAGGTTGGTGGGGCCTGCTGCTGCTCAGCCATGGTGATGTTTTATGTGAGGTGAAAAAAAAGAAAAATAAATAAATAAATAAAAACAAAAAGGAGAGATGGAGGTAAAGTGGATTCAGGAACACAAAATTCGTGTATCAGAAGTCGTCAAATTAAGGCGACTGATGGAGAAGGATGGGAGAAGAGGTGTTCAACAGAACAGCGTAGGATAGGGAGGAGCAGAATGAAAGGCGACTCTGGTGATGGAATTTTTGCCCCGAGTCGGTCACCAGAGGCTGCGCGGTCACGTGTATATGCCTCAGGCATCAAATCAGGCATGCATGCCTCGCGGGGATGGTGGGCGCAATGCAAGCAACTTGGTAGTATTCTACGAAAGGGCGGTGCTTTCTCTCCATTTCACTGTTTCATTGTCAGAGGAACCCAGAAATAGCGCCCTCTGTATGCATTATCTTTTCCAGCAACAAAAAAATAAGGACCCTTATTGCAGTACAGTGTTTCACATCCCCTGCCGGAGGCAAAAGGCATCACAAAGGAGAGGACAAATATATATAAATACTAAATAAAATGAGGTTCAGGAAAATTAGAACCAATATACCAACTTAAATGCCAACTGGAGCCATTCTTGACATCCCGTCAGAGAGGAACAAGGTGACAGCCCAATAGACCACGACCGCCCCAGTTTCGGCGTGGAGTAAGCTGCAAATCTAATTCCGCACTGCCACCCAACTCATCTTTTCGGATTACTTTGACAGTGAGAGTGCGCTAAATTGTGTCAGAGGTGTTGATATCATGATGTTGGAGCTCAGAACCCGCCAATAGGATAGGACGTGATGGAGTCGGAGAGGGGGATTGCTTACACCTTCATTCTGTTGAACGAGGTCTGCGACCTTGGTGAGACGTTCATGGTTCATCCAATTCACGTTCCCAAAATTGCAAATTGTATCGCCGGTTTTCAGCCCAGCTTGGTCAGCGGGACTTGCGGACACAACACTGTTCACCGTCGCAAACGGTAGCCCATGTCCTCGAGCATTCGATACGGAATTGTCAGACAAGCCGGCCTGAGCGACAGTACCTTCATTGGGAGTTTCGGGAGGAGATGTAATAATCTGCGCGCGGTGGAGATTGGTAAAATGATCGTGGACCTTCTTCTCAAGATGGGTCATAGCTTCCTTGTGATCATTGCGAAGTCGAATGATTTTAGATCGGATCGTGCGGACTGACGTAGAGCTTAGCATATATAACGGAGCAAGGGCGAGAATTTTACTTTGAGCGACATCGATATCGTCTCGAGGGTATCCATCAAAGGTTGTTAACGAGGTATTCATGTTTACGCCATGCTGGAGAAATGTATTGTCAGTCCATAGCAACGCGATAGACGGGAGGCACAGAAAACAAGGAAAGTAGACGCACAGAGCTGAGGACACTGCTGAGGGCCGAAAGTTCCTCTTCAATACGTTCTTTTTCTTGCATCAAGTCGACCAAAGAAAGTGTGGCCAAGTCGCGAGGGGCCTCTCCGGACGTAGGCCCGGAGGACACCGTGGGAGCGTGGATGTTATCGTCCATGGGAATTCCCATACTAAGGAGAGCTAAAGGATGAGTAGTTCATGATCAAGCGTTGGCTAAAGTGCAAAAGACACTATGTAAAGGAGGATGACTTTGGCAGTTATCGGAGTGGTGGTGGGGGAGTAAATCTGGGGAGTTGCTAGTTGCTGGGCTTGGCATGTCTGGTTTAAAGAGCCATGTTCCGCTTAATATAACGATGCTGCATACATGCTATCAACATACACAAAGTAGGCACAATGGACTTATCAATTCAAGAAAATCTACCGCAGGATAAGTAGGTATATTTGTATCTTGTTTCTATGCTCATTCCATGTTGAAAAAACTTTCATGGTTCCCTTTTGCAGCCGGTGTCTTTGACTGAGGCATTCAGCCGCCCTGCTTCCTGCCATTTTAGGCATCGTCTATTTCAATCCATCGCGACTTCCATTCTCATGTTTCCTATTGTCCGGTGATCTCATCAGGGTCACTGCGCTAGGCAAAAAAATATGGCTTGCTTTCCTATCATTAGCCGACTACGATCTTTCTTTGATGCATTGTGGTATCGGCCAGTTCATCAGCAATGATGGAGGAACTCAAGGAGACCGCTGAGAAGCTATTTCCTGTCGCAGGGAGCTCCAGTCCCGGGACGCAGCATATAGACCCAAAAGAGCTCTTAGAATCGACAGATGGACTGACTAGCTTTCTCCCGTTTAAGCGATGGGTGAGAAGCCTTCGTGCTAAGAAAGGTTCCCGCTATCAGCAGTATCAAAGATATGTTGAGGGCTGGAGTGACATCTCACCAAACCGGTATGAGAACACATTGAACCTGTCATTCGGTAGTGGAACACAGGACCAGCAATGGGAAAGCTTTTCGGCGCATTCGTCTCATCTCAGCACGGTGAAAACAAGTACGCTGAGCATTGCAAGCCAGAGCATTGTGAGATCAAGGGGGACAACCCAGAGTACAGCAAATCAGAGCATAGGATCGGAAAACCGTGCATCGACGGAGAGCTCAAGACCGGCGAGTTCGCATATTGATACCGACGCGCAGAACCGAGCTATCAGAAGACTTCAGGCACTTCGGGAGTTAATAACAACTGAGTCAGATTACGTTTTTGGTTTAAAAGCTCTGACTGATGTATGGCTAGTATGCAATATTGCCCTGAGCTTTTGACTGAATCAATTTATAGGTCCTTCTTCTTTTCTCAACAAGACTGGAGATTTACCACAACCTACAACAAATTCGCGGAACACACGTTGCCTTTCTGGTGCAGATACGGAATACCATACCGACGTGTAGTTTTGCTGGGGCCGAAGTCAATTGCTTGACGCCCAACAGGTTGCCCAAACATTCTAGCTCAGTTGATTTGGGTCTCAAGGCTCTTCACCATAGGCCTTTGAGAACACACAATCCCACGAAAGGATTCAATCACCGTCACAGAAAATTCACTGCGGATGCCAGTGAAGCATTAGAAGCTGCCTATGAGATTGGCAAGTTGGTAGGTCTAAGCCCGCTTAACCACACGCTAGAGTTAACCATTTGAAGTCAATGTCCTTCACAGCCTACAGAGAATTTTGCAGCCACTACGAACAACTCATGCAGGACATGGATCTTTTCCGTAAGTCAGTACCAAATTGGCCAATATTCGAGCAGGGCATTGAAGCTCTGTCCAAGTCTGTGGCATCCATGGAGAGTCGAACACTAGCGCCAAATAAATCAATGTGTATAAGCGATCTTCTCATAAAGGTTTGAATGGCACCACCTAATAGAAGCACCTTTACCTTCTGACAGACTTTCAGCCCATCCAAAGGCTTTGTAAGTACCCGCTACTGCTTCAAGAATTGCTGAAATGCACCCCGATCCAAGATGATCCATCGGCCCATGATGGAATAAGAGAGATTTTGGAAAGTGTGCGCAACATAGTCGCCCAAATTAACGACTACCCTGGTAATCCCATAAACAAGAAGCTCACCCAGCAGACTCTCCTGCTCCAGGGGATGCTTGAGCTCCCTAAATCGGTAAGACCACCACAGCTTCCCCCTTCCCTTTTGGGGAATGTGTGAATACTAAATGAACACAATTAAAAGGCCATAGTACACGATATTTACAATCAGCTGGGACCAATAAACCTTTGCGGCGTGCTTCATGTGACATATCAGTCTCTAAGACACCTTACTGGCGGTTATATGGTCTGTGTCTTATTCAAGAATCATTTCCTTCTTGCTAAAGTACATGATGATTATCGAAATCTTCAAGCAGTGCTGTGCTTGTATACTTGTGATGTGAAGATTGATACGCCGAGAAATGGAAAGGGTAAGGTATATATTACCGTCCACTCTGTCGTATACTAAGCAGTGGATAGGTCTATATTGCGACAAATGCTATTTTTCGTGGAAGTTGGTTTTCCAACACGAGGGCAACAAATTCGAACTGGTTTTGAGTGCTTCATGTGCAAATGAAGAAAAGCTATGGAAGACAGGGCTGTTAAAGTCCGCAGCAGCATCGGCCGATATGCAAAGCCCAGTCTCATCGGAACAGAGTCGATACTCATTTCTGTCCCTGGATTTAAGCCCTCTGGACAGCCCTTTTCGCTCTGTGGCTACATTGTCCCACAGACCGTCGGTTCACTCGTTGGCATTCTCGCGGGCCGAGCGCAATTTGCAACACGTAATTATCAAGAAGACGCACTGTCCTCATAAGCTCTGGCAGACAGCGACTGATGGCGTCGGGGAAATTGAGCGGCCGAAGATACCCTCATCGTCGCCCTTAGTATTAACAAGCAGGAGACAAGAGCGCGTACGGCTAGAGCGTGTTATTTCGCCCATATATACTCGCGAATCACTCCCTTATCCTGGGATGGTATTAAAAGCAGGCGATATATTCCTACGTCCTGGCTCCGTCATGAGGCGGCTTACCCTCCATCCAGGATTACACAGGCGATCTAGCTCGGCCAACTTGCCTAGTCGCCGGCCAACCGAAGAACCTTATGAAACGATGAAAAATATCGACATCGGTAGTAAGAGCGAAATAGTGCGACGTAGGTCGGAGGTTGATGGCGAGAAAGGGCACATTCTAGCGGGTTATAACCTGGGAACAATTGGGCGGAGCAAGACATTAAGACAGAAGAGTGGCCTGAAGCAACCTTCCAGCGCAGATGTGCAACTTTCTGGCAGGAGAGAGAGAAGTTGCGAGCACACCGAAAGTCCTTTAATGAGGTCATCTTTTCGAACGATGTTCAATTCGGTGTCATTGAGAAGGGCATGGAGAAATCCCCGCGAGGGCTTGGCCAATGGAGGGGGATGATGCGGCCGGTATGGAGACAGTTGCAGCATTGCATTAGGGGCATAGCATGAAGGGCAGGAGAGGTTAATATTTTATTCATGCTAATTCGATGGCGGCGGTGGGAGGTGGACTGATCATGTGGTTGGTACCTGGCAAGACGTATTATGATTGATTGACTACCACTCTGGATGGCCGAGGGTCTCCGGACTCCAAACCGAGAAAGACTTCCACCACCAGATATGCAGTGGAAGGAAATACATGGTCCGTTGGGTGGTTTAGGCCCAATCCCTTGTAGGAGACTGCTTAATGCCCGGTTGAAGGCTATGACAAAGGTCAAGGGTAACTTGAAAGACACTTTTAGACGTCTCTATTTAAAGGAAGTCTTCCCAAACAGAAGTTGAGACAGTCATTGTCATAAGTAATATTCCAGATTCTAGGTCCTTTTGAATTACTATTTCCTTTCGGCCAAAACCTATCAGTGCTCTGTTCTCCGAAACTCTGTGATTGTAGTAATATATACTCCCCACCTGATTGGTGACGTCATCACCTTTTCATACTTAACCACCGACGCAGGCTTCCCTGGACTCCCAATCCTCCCCTCTTCTTCTTGATTGCCTAGAAAGACAAAAACATTGAAACTATTGTCATTCTTCCAAATACAACAGACGCCTGTCCTCCCACATTCAAGATGGTTCGCGCCAATGGGCCTAGCAACAAGATCTTCTACAAGGGTGCCTCTGAGGACTTCATCGTCTTCGTTGATGATTACCAAGCCCTGGAAAAGTGGCGTACCGACCGATCGATTCCCCTGTCCGACGTGCTGAACGGTTGGAAGATCTTTGTCACCCACAGGTATGTGATCGGTCACCTTTCATACTCGAACAAAAAGTAACGCAACAACCCTAGGCATGGTTCTCAAGGCGTCCTTGACGGAGCCAGCAAGGGCACCCTTCAGAACGAATTCGGTACCAGTAATGAAGATCAATGCATTATCAAAATCCTGGAAAAAGGTGACTACCAGACATATAGTGTATGTTATTTCCCCTTTCCCTTGGGTCTTGTTCGTTTTGCGACTCTGCTAATAGGGTGTGTGCGTATATAGCAAAAGCCACATCAGGGAGATACGAACATTATGAATGGCCCCGCTATGCTTACACATTGATAGTATTTGGTGCAGCGGAATGGAGTCTGCAGGTTTTCTATAGGAGGTATGATGAGCTAAGCTCTGAGCACTGTTTGTAGTTATCTCATGGTTGTACCTTAGGAATAGGGATGTAGATTTGCATCAATTATTACTACTTGACATCTACTAGTGCACGTACTTTCTTTCCCTTGTATGATTTCTGGTTTTATGTATGCCTGTATAAGTGTCAATCTCTATTGTGTCAAGTTGAGGTCTAAACCATCTTGTGTTTTCATCGCTTCTCGTCTACTAACCACCCACTTTCCGAGTTCATTCCATACAGCTTCTTTCTGTGCCATGGTCATCCCAGCTGCCAATCCACTCGTAGTCGTCGCTACAAACACCGGCGCTCCTTTCCACCCGTCTGTCTGTCCCATATTCTCCGACTCGTCCTGCCATCCGTATCGGAACTCTTCTTTCCGGATCGCTCTCCCCCTTCGCACCCTCCACACTGCCTCCCAAATACTCTTTCCAACCAGACATACCGCCTCCGGTCGCTGTGAGGCCACCTTCGCTTCCAGCACGGGCACCCCCGCGTCCATCTCCGCCTTGCTCAGCATGCTGGCATCCCGCGTCGGACGTTCTACGATATTCGTGTTTCCCACGTTATACAGCTCCGGCAGTCGATACGTGTCTGACGGCGGGTGTCGGATCGTCGTAATGCCGGACGAATGGAGTAATTTCCAGAAGAGGTTCGATGGGTGTGCGTAGGCGTACCCGGTCACCCCTGTCATGACGCCCGGGTTGACACCTACTAAGAGAAGGGTCAGGTTCGGAGGAATCGTGTCGCGGAGAAGGGAATCAGTAGAGGAAGTTGGGGGTGTGGGTGTGGATGTACGAGAAGACGGTGGTCGACGTCGAGATCGAGGACGGGGGGGCGAACTGTCTGCTGATGGCTGGGTGATAGGGGATTGTGATTCACGTTGCGTGGTGACTGGTGATGACGTGTCCGATTGAGAACGGGTGACTCGTGTGGGACGGAGAGGATTTGGGACGCCCTTTCTCCTTCGTTTGGAAGTTGGTTCGGAATGTGATTCATCGTTGTTGCTTGGGTCTGACGACGATGTTGATTCTGGTTTTCGCTTCGGTTCAGACGGTAGGATGATACCTTGTGTCACGGTAGCAGCGATGTTGTTGCTGATATGCTTGGACGTGTGGAAGTATTGGTTCAGTCGGCCGTTGAAACTGGTCTGTTTGTTCACGGGGACGTCGTCGTCTCCTTCCTGCATAGTGTAGGTAGAAGCAGATGGCATTTCTGCTCTCCAGATGGCGATTGCGTCCTGTCTGATGTTGGATTAGTGGTGGGTATGATTAGTCCATGAAATGTGTATGTGTGCTGATATGGCTGTGAAGGAAATGTTTTCTTATAAAATGTCGAGAGTTTGTTCTTTGGCCACTTCTTGTTGGTGTTCCTCGTGTTGGATGTCAAGAATACTAAACTCGATTTGGAAATATAAGATTAGTTATGAATAGAATAGCTGCTTATTCAGATTTTGCATAAGTAAGCATACCTGTTGCTACTCGTTTTAAGAATTAATTTGGTAGATTTATTCTAATTTCTTCATGATATATATAAAAAAACGAATGTTTTTAGTCTTTACTATCCTTCTTTATTGGCCTATGTCAAGTAGGGCTAGTTTGCAACTGTCTTCAGAATGCACATCATATCGACTAGCCAAACAACATATTTTAAGTCTGGCTATCAACAAAACTGTAATAAAGCCATGCAAGACCCTGCATAGTCAATGCTTAAGTAGCTTGTCTAAGTAATATAGTATTCGATATGGAAGTACTATGCTCCGCTATAATACACTGCAGTTTCATGGACCAAGTTGGCCATCCTGCATTGTAGTTGTCAATGCTGACATCCGTAACGCCGTCCGTTTCCCACACCAGTAGTCGCTAAAATAAATCATGTTTTATGTCATTCAGATCGTGAAGGCCGTAATTCAAGATACATTTGCGCGGATATAGGCCCTCATACCTTGAAGGCCCTCCGCTTTGGTAAAGTCCATGGTTCTGCACATACAACCTGGCTGGGAGATCAGCAAAAAACACTTGACATTGTAGAAGACTAGATCCACGAACCTCGCCCTCACTGTATGCCCAGAAGTATACAGCAATCCCAACCAAGTAATAGATCGCGGCGTCCGTTCCTTGATAGAGAAGCGCTGAAAGAAGCGCACTGAGAGGGTATAGGATAAGTCGCACTTCGATGCTGCGGTGTGGCATGGTGCCGGCAAAATACTTCAGAGGCCATTCCCATGCGAGGCCAAGTAAGCCCGTGAGCAGGTTGAGGATCTGAAGCACAGGGATAGGCTTTACGGCGCCGTTGAGGTTTTTGGTCATGAAATCCCAGAATACTTTCGGCCAGATGAAACCCTCGATGGCACTGCCTACTTGATCTGGGGATCCGGGATTGTTGATTAGCTTCGCCTTCGGCTAGAAAGGGGAGTGTGGGAATTCGTACACGATGCAGCGGTGAGAATAACCAGACGGGCCCAGTGGTTTTTAATTAGCCTTCCCATGGTGAGGTACAGTATTGAGCAGCAATCTTTCGTCCAGCGAAAGATCTTTCTCAGCAGTGATGGAAATGCGTTGTCTTCGCTATGGAGGACGTATGATCGATGCGAATGAATGAGATTCTTCAGTCGCTCGTCTTGTCAATGGAGGTGGCATGCAGGAGGATCTTCGACAGGGACATGGCAGTTTGAGTATTCTGATGACGTTGGGTAGATGATTTCCTGGATGATGCGGTCTGGCGTGAAAACACACGCACAAGAGGTAAGACGTTTGGGATCACGGCAATCACACTCGCACAGACGATCAATACGATCAAATCGACGAGGATCGAGCGTCAGCGATCCAGAGGAATCATATCATATTCTAGACCTTTTTTTTTCAGTTCAAGGTGGAGGTTGAATAGTGGAGGAGACGGAGGATTACATAGCTCTTTCGCCCTGTCTCTTTTCTCTTTGCCAGCGCCAACAGAGGGACTCCACCTCACCTGATTGGGAAGCCCGTGACACGCAGATGCCTCTCGTCTTTTCAACCGCTCCACGCTGAGTTTACCAATGACGAGCGACAAACTAGCGTATTCCCTCTTGGCCTCTTCAAACATTCAGAGCTTCCCGAGCCTTTGATTGGATTTTGCCGCGTATGAGACGGAATGACATGATTCCCCGAAGTTCAAAATTCAAATCCTCCTCCCGTGGTTGGGCGCTACTTGGATGCACGACGACTTGGGATACAACAAATGAGAGCGCTGGATGCAGGGGACAGTGTGCAGTAGCGACGTGACGGACAATGCAGGAGATTTGCGGGAATACACGCTAGTGGCCGATTCATTTGTATCACTTCCACGTTCTGATTGACAGACAGAGGCATTCTTGTGAAGACTCGATGAGTGGGGATTCGGAGACGGCTCTGTTTCTGTTTTTATCCTCCCTGGTCGTGATGTCCCCATCGTGATGCTACTGTGCCATCTATAATTGCCTCGCATGGGCATCAAGATTCCCAAAAAAATGTAACGACAAAAGAAAAAAAAAAATTACGATACATTCATTCCTTAAACTCTTCAGCCTGAAATCCTGCTTCTCCTCACCTACGCTGGAAACATCGTCACCGTTTATCTCATGAGATCGCGATGATGTGCTCCATAGGGCCAAGATGCTGAACGAACTTCTACTAAATGTGATGAGAATTCAATCCTGCAGGGCAAAGTGGGCCTAAGATCCTCTGCATCCATCTCGGATTTATTCGACCTCCTTCGACGCCAAGGACCCAGGGACCAACCACGAGCATATACCACCGTCCGCCCGGACATGGTTTCTGCTTTGAACTCACCCAGCATAGTGCAGTGACCAACAATCCCGGATAAAAATCTAAATTTGGCAAATGGATTTAGCATCATTCCCCCTCCTCCAGCTAGCTGCAGTGTTGCAAAGCACTAGACTAGGTTGCTGGGGTTGCACTTAGACCGTGTGACTGCATGCGCGCTTGCAGAACGTTTCTCATAGGACACAATCCTCTGGGGGTGGCCGAAACTCCACTCTCCACAAAGCAAATCATAGGTCTTGATGGGATAAGGATTCGCAAGCTACAGTCAGCCAAGAGGCCTTTGGGCCTCATTGTATCGTCTCATCCAGCTATCCTAGAACCACATGGTTCACCCATGGAATCACTGGGGTATGAGAAGGCTAAAAGAAGATGGAGAGAAATAGTCGGGCAACCTGTGAGCCAGCTCTTAGCCTGTCACTATTCTTGACCTACGTGCTGGCTGGAATAGCCGCTTGAAGCAGAAGCCCAAGATCTAAGGTCGGGGAGGATGGGGTCGTCCATCTTGGCTTGATGTGACGAGTTGATAATGATCCATCTGATCGGAGTAGAGGAAAGAAACGAGCCAAGATAGCCCATCGTACGATTTGAGGGTACGGTGACTCTTTTCAAAGGATCATCGTGAACTTACTCCGAAGTATACCTATCGTACAGAGTCAGTAAGACTGCAGACATTGAGTAACGGGCGGCTGGTCGTGGACTTCCTTGGAGCAATCAATCCAATCGGTCGGTCAATTGTCAGGAAATAAATATAGCAGTCGACTAGTTGCTGCTATTTAGGGCGTTTCCCCTCCTCTCCGTGGACTTCCCTGCTCGCTCGCCTGCACCCCAAACCATTCCTCCGGGATCGTCGACGCCAGCCGGTCGAGTTTTCATCGTCAAACCCCACATGCCTCGTCTTGCTCGAAAGTAAACGATGTTCCGAATCTCTCGTCTTGGCCCCCAATTGACCCGTGGCGTTGCCTTTTGATCCATCCCTCTCTCGGTCAGTCGGTTGCCTTTCGGGCGGTTTACTACGGAGACCTTGGCCATTCTCCAAGGGCCAGACCAGACCAGAAATCCTCGTTCAACCCATTTGGTATTCATAAATCCCAATTCCAAAAAGAAAAGTCACATCACGGTACAGCATCTTGTATCTTCAATTCGGGATCCCGAACCCCTCGCACCTTATGCCATCATTGTTGAACATACCCTCCCGACATCAACCTCAATCATCTCTAGTTTTTCTGGCAACACACAGTGGCTGGGTGCGTACAAAGACGTCGAAGCTGTAGGCAAAACAGCCGGTTTCATGGAGTAGCCGAATTTGAATCCTCGAAGTCATTCCTTTCACTTGTACGGCGCGGCGTCACCCCAGAGACGGGTCTCTAAAAGAATCAGAATACATTTGATAAATCGGTGTTGCTGTCTTTCGCTGTGCGGGTCATCGCTGGCCGATGTCCTAGGCCTTGATCTTTACTAAACTGTTAGTCCACCCAGGCTCTTCTCCATCACTATGGAGCATGCCTGGGGCTCCTATTTTACGGGGTCAAAACTTTGGTTCTATTTCGTATTCTGGGGCATACACATTGCTATATTTGCAGGAGGGTGGTATGTCGTGCTCTATCTGACGGGGAGGGAAAATTTGCTGACATTTCCTAGGTATGTGCAGGCATCGGACTCCAGACTAGACGCTCTTAATACGCTGGAGTATTCGGTTTGGTTTTCTAGAGGCGCCGGCTTGGTCCTGACAATTGATGGGACTCTTATTCTGCTACCAATGTGTAGGAACATCATCAAATGCATCAGGCCTAGGATACGGTGGCTACCTTTGGACGAGACAGCCTGGTTCCATCGACAGGTGGCGTACGCTCTGCTGGTGTTTACGGTTATACACACGGCCTCACATTATGTTAAGTAAGGAAACCACCTGCCCAATTAACTTTGGAGGTCTAACTTCAGGCAGCTTTTTCAACATCGAGAAACACCAGACTAGGCCGGTGACGGCAGTGGAGATACACTTCACAGAAGCAGGTGGTATAACGGGCCACGTAATGCTGTTTTGCATGATGTTGATCTATACCACTGCCCATAATAGAATTCGTCAACAGTCATTTGAGACTTTCTGGTACATCCATCACTTGTTTGTGCCGTTCATGTTGGCCCTCTACACACATGCCACGGGCTGCTTTGTTCGAGACACGGCCGACCCAATCTCACCCCTTGACGGGGACAAGTTCTGGAGACACTGCCTTGGCTATGAAGGATGGAGATGGGAGTTGGTTGGAGGTGGCCTTTATCTTCTTGAGAGGCTCTATCGCGAGGTCCGAGCCAGACGTCAAACTGTGATAACGAAAGTTATCCGTCACCCATATGGTATGTGCCCCCTCGCAGCAGCAAAGCTCATGCGAACCTCACTGACGGCACTAAGATGCAATGGAGATCCAGTTTCAGAAAGACAGCTTGAAATATAAAGCTGGACAATGGCTCTTTATCCAAGTGCCGGAGGTGTCGAGCTCGCAGTGGCATCCGTTCACGATAACCTCCTGTCCCTTTGATCCCTATATCAGTGTCCATGTTCGTCAAGTGGGAGACTTCACCCGCGCCCTGGGTGACGCTCTGGGATGTGGACCAGCACAGGCCCGTGATCTAGAAGGTCTGGATCCCCTGGGAATGTACGAAGTTGCTCTCCAAAATGGACAAAAGATGCCCAGTCTCCGCGTTGACGGCCCTTACGGAGCGCCTGCTGAAGATGTCTTTGAGAACGAAATTGCCGTTTTGATTGGTACTGGCATCGGTGTCACACCGTGGGCCTCCATCCTGAAGAACATCTGGCATCTTCGGTCAGGCCCTAACCCGCCTCGACGTCTCCGTCGTGTCGAATTTATTTGGGTCTGCAAGGATACCTCCTCGTTTGAATGGTTCCAGGCTCTCTTATCCTCTTTGGAATCCCAGTCAGCCGCCGCCGCCGCAAGCGAGGGACGGGCTGAGTTCCTGCGCATTCACACCTACCTCACACAGCGACTGGACGACGACACTGCAGCTAATATCTACTTGAACTCCGTGGGCCAGGATCTCGACCCCCTGACTGAATTGAGAAGTCGGACGAACTTCGGTCGTCCGGATTTCAAGCGCCTCTTCACTGCTATGTGTGAGGGACTGCAGGATCAAACCTATATGGCTGGTTTATATGGAAGCTTGAACCGGACTGAAATCGGGGTGTATTTCTGCGGGCCGAATTCAGCGGCCAGACAGATCCGGGAGGCTGCCGTCACGACGTCAACCAAGGATATCAAGTTCAAGTTCTGGAAGGAACACTTCTGATCACCCTGCCATGTTTGTTCATCTACGACAGAATCTAGACAGCTAATATGCATACAAAAGGGATGTGGTAATCCTACCTGACCTGATGAGTTATGACTTGTTTGATTTGCAGTACTTTGTTTTCCTTTCCTTTCCTTACCTTTTTTTTTTTTGCCCGATTCCAAATATTGCTTTGATTTATTGTTATTATACCTCTGGAATGACCCTGCAATGTTCTGTACTATAGTTTTAGTATTTAGTCACATTGAATCCCTACGAGTAACAATATCTGAGATGTAGCCATCTATGTGGCTTGTTATTGAGTACGGGAATCCCAAATTCCCAAGCAACACTCATACTATGCATATACAGACAGTAAAGTCATCAAACCTGCGTAGGGTTATCATAACTCTCGACATCCTCCGGCATGGAGAAGGGAATTCCCAACGCCACAGACCGACCCTGCATCTTTGTCACAAGTTCATCTAACTGATTCTCGATGTCCACATGGACACGCAACTCCTTCTCGACCAGTACATTGTACACGCGTCGTAGCTCGTCAAATCCCATTCCCTCGCCATTCCACGAAGAACCCGAGTAGCGTTCTTGGATACTATCTGTGCGAAGGTGACTAAATGCAAGCATGATGAGCTCTTTGGACCACGGACAAGCACGCATACCACGATAGAACACGTCTTTCGCGCGGTGGATGTTGTTATGGGATAGTTCGAAGAGGAGGTAGAGTTTCCAGAGGGTGAGGTTGGAGCGGGCATTGGAGGAAGAAGAAGAGGATGTGGTAGAGGAGGGAAGGGTGTCCTGTCCAGTGATGGCCTTCTCAAAGGCCGCTCGTACAGAATGGGACGTGGAGCCCGCATAGACCGGGCGACTGAGTTCGGTGTAGATCGAAAACAGATGAGACGTAACTGGAACCTGAGCCTCAGCCGAGGTGAGGGTGAGGTTGGCGCTCGTTTGGGGCTTGGTGGTTATGTCTCGCAGGGTGTCTCGGACGCGCTCTTCAATGCGGATGCGAGATTCGTTCCAGGCAAATAGGGAAAGGAACATTGTATTGTGCGGGAACAATGATATGCTTTCCATTAGCAGGGTGCGAATGTCGGATGGCTTGTAGATGCTGCTTGTTTGGACGTGGTGGTAGAGTAGCCTTGCGCGGGATTGATGCAGAAGCTCGGTGGTGAAAGATCGGAAGGTCTTGGCCTGAGATGGCATCACAGCGAGCCTGTTGATCGCATTGCAGTATGCCTCTTGGGACTTGTTCAGATCCAGTGAGTGAACAAGATATTGTAAGATAGCCAGGCAGTTGGTGCAGGCGACGAAGACGTTGGCATTGCTGGCTGCGAGTACGGTTTCCTGTGTTTCGGATAGGTACTAGGGATGTTAGTGCGATGGCTAATGCGTATTGAAGGGGCTCAACTTACACTCTGAACTTTCAGCAAGCCAGTTGGGCTGAATGCTGGCTGACTGGACGCATCCGGGAGCGTCTTAAGATCAACGCTATTCTCCGGCATGGAAAGCAAAAGGTGGGACGCACGGGCTATATTCCGAGCTTCCAGAGACTCCCAGATCCACATATGCCATAACAGAACAGCTTTAGTCCTGTCGTTCCCCGGCAACATTATACTCATAGAGAGAGAGGTCGCCCAGACGTGGTCGGCAGCTGCAAGATTGCCCGATCGCTGTTCCATAAGAGCGTAAGAGTTGTAGAGCCGTAAGCTAGAAGGACGCTTTTTAAGCAATGACTTTGCGTACTTCTTGGCTTCCCTGCTGTTACATGCAAATTCCACAGCGAGAGTGTATTCAGCCAAGTCCTCGTTCAGCGGCATGGCTTCTACCAACAACCTCAGAACCCGCCGAACCCAATCAGGGTCAAGATCGGATCGCAAACGGGAGGTGATCTGCGTCCAAGCTCTGAAGGAGTAAAACCACGTCTCCTGATTTGCAAAGAGCGCTTGAGTGGTGTGGATGAAGTTCTGATGAGGGAAGAAGATTGGCAATTCGGCACTTCCAATGTGCTGCCTGGGGAGCCAATCATCAAGCGTTGAATAGGTACTGTTTGTGAAATAATTTTGCAAGAAACTGTCACCCGCCCAGCGACCCGTCATTCCCGAATTTTGGGGGGATACAAGAGGTGGGAGACTGCAGAAATACAAAAAGCTGTCGATTAGTTCGTCGGCCGCATCGGGGTCCCAGACTAGTGATATGATTTCTCGAAGATCAGACGATAGGATAACCCGAAAGGGGTCATCGTCTTCCGACTCATCTAAACTGCGGCAAGGGAGTCGGGCAGCGAACATTCGTTCCCTTTCACAGGTCTCCCAGGATGCAAAGATCGATCTGGGGTTCACACGGGCGCCTGGCGAAAAGACCTTGGGATTTGGGGCAGCACCGCCGCCGTTTCGCCAACCTTTCGCACCAGTCTCGCCAATACGAGTGACCTCCGATTCCCAGAAATCCATGAGGGCCGACAGGATTGCCTCCCTGTCCGTATTATCGTCCAGCGTTGGTGGTCGGAAAAATGTAAGCTCAAGCATAGCCTGCCAGAGGCCCACAGCCTGCTCTGTAAATCCTGCTTCCCGAATAAACGCCGTCATACGGAGAAACAGATAAACCTGGACGTGAAGCTTGCCGGGAGTATCTGGCGCCGTCTTATTTAGCCTCAGGCAGTCAAGGAAGGTGGCTAAACACCGTTCGTAGGTAAAGTCAAGGAATTCGGTTTGTCGGAAGTCCAGATACTTCACCCACAAGCTAATGAAATGGGCATTCGACTTCAACACCGCCTGCCATTGTGTCGACAGCTTCTTTGTGTCCCACAACTTCGCACCTTCTTCCAGCATGCCAAGGAGGAGGCGATCCCGCGAAGGACACTGACCAGCCAGTTTGAGTGCCTTTTGGTATAGGGAGAGCTTGACATCGGCCAAACTCTTCTTCTCCGCGGATGTCAAGGAGGCGGATTCCCGTTCAGAGCCCCTCAGCAGCGACTCCTGGTGATCGATAAGCTGCAGCCAGGATCCAACATCAGAAGGATTCTTATCAACTCTCCGGGTAAGGTCAACGTTCCGCTGTTTAATGGCCTGGTCGGGGTCGACGCGGGCTACCTCGTCACCACTGGATTCGTCCGACACGGCCTCGAAATCGCTAGGAAGGTCGTCCTCCGGCTTCGCTTTACCATGAATCGAACGATACGCATAATTTTCATCATCCGATCCGAGATCACCTAGAGACCGTTGACGTCGACTACGGGAGCATTCGAGGGGTAGATAATCCTTCATAGCATCAGCGTCAGCGTCCGATGGGGATGGTTGCCGTATCCGAAGTAGCTTTGTCTGTTGTTTGTTTAGACCTGCAAGGACTCTCTTCACTTTCGTTCGAGCAGCATCGGTACGTCCGGCATCGGGCTTTATCACCAACGCATCTCCCTCGACGGTATCGCGCTGGATTTTGTAGCTCCGAGGAAGTCCGAGCACATTCCCTCGACCCACACGGTGATAGAGGGGAATGTTGTAACGGTGGATGGTGCCATAGATAACGTTGTATTTGTCGCCTTTTCGATCAATCACGTACAAGTCTGACTCCTCGTGCTCTGATTCTTTCGGTACGCTTTTCGTCAATGAGCGGGATTCGCGGATGGGTTCCCGAAGGGCGAACTCCCGACGGTCCTGTTCTGCCTCTTTGTGGACATGGCGATGTTCCCTGTGATCCCTGCGATGCCCTCTTGACCGTGAGCGATCGCGATGACCTCTGTGTCGCGAATGATGCTTGGAGCGATGTCGGGACCTGTCTTCGTCCTGGCGACTCGGCGGTGGACGATCCGCTGTGGGCGGAGGCGCAGGAAGAGGTTTAAAGCTGGCGAAGCGCGGGATGGACTTTTTCTCCTGGGAAATCGATGGACGTTAGTAACCGAGAAGATGAGATGAACCGAAAGAGACTCACCTGGGAGGATGAGGAATCCATGCTCCTGGATGCATCTCTAACGACTCTATTCTAGATAGAAGGTTTGGCTGGAAAAACTCCGCTCCCGCTTCCCGCGATTATTTCTGGATGGGGAAAAGCGGCGGCAAAAAAAAAAAAAAAGTTGCTTCTACTCCACGTTTGTTCATTCAATTCTCGTCGGAGTGCAAGAATCGGAGTGCTTAGGGGAATGGATGCTTTGTATCTCTGTGGTTAAGAAGCATTTTCCCTTGAAAATATGGCCTCCTCTTCCCTCGCGGCACAGTTGTCGCAGATTGCGGCCAAATCCACGAACCAGTTGAATTTGCGGGCGCAGAGGATCCTACATTCGCAGTCGTTGATTTTCGACAGGCAAGTGGCCGGATCTCAGGATTTTCAGACCATCTATGAAATTTGCTACGAAGGGTTCCAAGAACTATGTCAGTTGGACCCGCGGTTTGCGCAGTTCGAGCGCACCATCTTCAGCGAACAGAGCCAGGCCGAAGAACGAACGGAGATGACGGCGGCTCAGAACAAAGAACTGGATACGGTTCTGGAGGCTTTTCTGGCTCTTGTGGGAGGGAGACTGCTGTTGAGTCCCGCTGTCAAAGCAGTTGACTGGCTGATCCGGCGCTTTCGGTGTGATCTTACGTACAGGACAGACTTTTCGTCGTGGCTAACCGAGTATACAGGATCCATGAGTACAATACCGCGTTCACCATCCTCACCTTCCTACCGTACTATACGACTCCTCTCTTTTTGAACCTCCTGGCCATCCTCCCGGAGGATCTGACCCCGGCGTTCAAAATCCTCAACCCGTACAAGAAAGGCCTCGTCAACCCTCCCCGTCACCCTCTGGTCCATAGTGCGACAACCAACAAGCTATTCCTGGCTGCGATCAATAACTATACCCTCCAGGTGGGCCGACAACGGGCAGGCCACCATGCACTTCTGTCCTTCTGGGCGGGAATCATGACCGAAGCCGTTGCGGGAATGTTGGATGCAGCCCGCTCCGGTAGACGGGCGGTCGAGAAACAACAACACGACGATATCATACTCCGGGTGCTTCCGGTGCTGAATGACGGGTTGGCCTTGAAGGAAGTCTCGGAACTGGTGATCGGCTGCTACATGGTCTGCGTGATTCTTGCACAGAAGGCCGCGTTGCAGGATAAGGTCCTCGATGGTCTGATGGAGGCAGTTGCAGGTTCCTGGACCGAAGAGACGGTGAGCTCGGCCCTAATTTGCTTGTCCGTCCTAGCACAGCAGAAGCCCGACGCAACGATACCCAAGCACGTCTTCAAGGCGATCCTTCGACTTGACAACCCCATTCAGCTGCTGTCGGAAACATCGGCACAGTACAAGACGACTCACCTGTTCCTTGGGCTTGTGGCTGGCTGCGTCGAAGATCTTCACCAGCAGAAGGATTTGACTCGCCTGGAATTTTTGTCGCTTATGTTTGAGAGCCAGCTGTTCAAAGAGGACGAAATTGGCAAGGCAATGGCGCTGGTGTTGACGGCTTCCAGCAATGCCCACAAGGACGGCGTGATCTCGTTGGACGTTCAGACCCATCTGGCGGATTTGGTCCAGCATTTCAGCCGTTTAGAGTCCCTCCGGCCCATCTTCCAGAAGACCATTGCCGAATCATCTCTTGATACTACCGCCCTGGAACACAATCTGCAGACCGTCCTTGAATCGGCACCGTCGCCCAAGGCCGTGGAGGATGTGGAGATGGAGAATGCAAAGGAGGAAACCGGTCCAGATGCTTTCCATTCGGCTCTTGAACCCCTGGCAGGGGAGATCTTGTTCAAGTCCTCGTTCCTTGGTGCCCAATCTATCACAGTGTTCGACCGTCTTGTCCAGGCCTTTGCACTTGGGGTTGGATCCCAGGAGAAGCTTGATTCTTTCTCCGATTTGGTGGTCCTTGGAAAAGCTGAAGCCACCAAAGCACCCCAGTATCTGTCATTCTTTGTCCGAGTCTTCTCCGGCCCGTATCCCATCGGCACCAGGGCGACAGCATTGAGCATGGTCACTGCGCTACTCAACTCCGCCTCGTCAAAGGACATTGATTTCCAGGCCCTGTTGCCCTTCCTATTCATTGCACTTGCCGATCAATCAGAGAGAATCCGTCGCGAGGCCGCCGGGGGCTTAGCTGTTCTCGGTGGATTATACAAGAAGAGCAAAAAGGTGGAGAGCCAAGTAACATGGGCTCGGGACACACTCTACGGACAAGGAAAGCAGTCAAAGGACATCTACTGGCTGCCTAGCCGGGAGGCGCACAAGATCCTGGAGCGCGCATTCCTCCCAGGGTTGGAAGAATGCATTCTAGATCCAGCGCATATTGGCCGTGTTCTCGAGGCGACATTGCGGGGCGGCCCCGGGCCTGATTCGGGAGCCTCCGAGATCAAGAAGTCCATGCGACTGAGTCTTTTCACTTTCCTTTGCTCTCATGCCGTTCAGCTGCCGCTGTTGGCACCGAAGCTTGAGTTGCTAAAACTGCTCAGCCGGATCGACAAGGCGGGTGGCACTACTCGCACCAAGGAGCTCGAATCGTTGTTGAAATCGTGGCGCGATCTGAGCGAGCCCCAAGCCAAGGAAGCTTGCGACAAGGAGCGGATCTCCCTGTCGGAGATGGAGGGCCAGGTGGTTGCTATCGTCACGCCGAAGGAGAAGGATGCCGTGACACTCCTTCTGTCTCACATTAGCCCTTACTCCGAGTCCCTCAGCTCCTCCTTTGTTCAGGCTGTCTTAGGACGCATGAGGGACATTTGGGCCAAAGTCCCAGAGGATCGGCAGGTTGCGGCCGCCCAGCAAATGTTTGAAATCTCTACGACGCAATCAGAATCACCCCTTGTCAGCGGTTGTAGGGATGTGCTTCGCGGCGTCGAGCTCCCCGGGCCTGTGCTTCTCAATTTCCTGCAGAAAATTCCTGCCTCGGTCGTGGACATGGAGTCTCTGGGACCCGCGCCGAAGAGGAGACGCACCAGCCAGAATAACATGGTTGCGATGACTGTCAAAGATGAAGCCAACCTGAGTAAGGTCATGGAGATGGTGACGTTTATCCTGGAATTGGTAGACAGTTCGACCCCGGAGACTCATCCGGAGCTGGCCGATGGCTTGTTCCAGACCTTGGCTGCTCTTCATCATCTGAAGTCGCAGATCCAGTCTGGAATGAGCTACCTTTTGAGCCTGGCCCTGGGCAGCCTTTTGGCTATCGTCAACCGGTCCAAGGGCAACGCGAAGCCGTCGTTCGACACTTCCGTGATCCGGGCCGATCTGGTCGTGGATTGCGTTCGCACCACGGACAGTCCTCAGGTGCAGAATGTCGCCCTCCTTCTAGTAGCAGGGCTATCCGTCATTGCGCCGGAACTGGTGCTACATAGCGTGATGCCCATCTTCACATTCATGGGATCGAGCGTATTGAGGAAAGACGACGAGTACTCGGTTTCCGTGATCGATCAGACTATCGACCAAGTCGTGCCAGCTCTCATCCAGTCATTGCGTAACCAGAAGCGTGATGTCGTGTCGGGCACATCAGAGTTGCTGCTCAGCTTTACCGCTGCGTTTGAGCATATCCCGTCGCATCGACGCCTGCGACTTTTCCATGCTCTGATTACCAAGCTTGGCACAACGGACTTCCTGTTCGCTGTTCTGGCCATGCTCGCCAACCGGTACTCGATGGATAAGGATGTGCTGATCCTGATGACTGGGCTGGTGTCCGATGCGGACGCGCCGGTCGAGCTTAGCGTAGGTTTCCGTTGCTACATTCTGATACATATATTGCTGACGATATTGCAGACATACAACAAGTACCTCGACCTAGTCATCGATTCGTTCCAGTCGAAGCCCGGTGTCTCGCAGGTGCTCCTCGGCATCGGAAGTGACGACGGGCGAGAGCCTCAAAAAGTGGCAGTGGATCTGTTGCGAGCATTGGCTTATCTGCTGCGACACTCGTCGCTGAAGGTGAAGATGGCCCAAGCCTTTGAATCGGAGGCAAGCGAGGCACCAGGTCAAATCCGCGATCTGTTCTCCCGTATCCTGGAACAGGTATTGGGCATTGGAGACTCCATGCGGAACGTGAAGCCAGTCAACCAGGCCAGTGGCGAGGTTCTCAGCGCGCTGTTTGGCACGCTGTCGCTGGCTGATTTCCTTGACACCATCGAGGTCCTGCTTCAACGGCGCAATGACGAACTTCGCCGAAAGGTGCTCCGGCTCCTGGAAGGCCGGCTGCGTCAGAACCCCGAACGGGACAGCACATCGCAGAACCGGATGCTGGACTTCCTGCCGACGCTGGTCGAGATCGTGGAGTCGTCGCCCGACATCCTTCTCAAGCACGCGGCGGTGGCCTGTATCGATCGCATCGCCGACAAGTACGGCAAGAAGGACCCGTCCAAGGTCATCCCCGCGGCTACCGTGGTGGCCAGTGAGACGTGCATTGGTCAAGATGACGACCGCATCCGCATCATGGGTGTGCTCTGCTTAGCCTCGATGGCCGAGGTTCTCGGACAGGCGATGATTCCAGCGTTACCCGGAGCACTCAGTCGATCCCTGGCTCTGCTGGAGCTCAGCATGCAGGATGGCCAGGAGAACCCTCGACTGCATGACGCCGTCTACTCCCTCCTCTCGGCATTGTTCGTGCATCTCCCTTACATGCTGTCTGCGTCGCACCTGGACCAGATCCTCCTCCTCTCGTTCCGATCGGCAGCTTCCGCAGAGAACGAGGGCGACAACCGGCAGGAAGCGCTGCGATTGATGGCGCGAAAGATCGACATGGCCGCGACACTGGGGGCAGTGGATCGCAACTGGCAGCAGGCCACGGCAGCAGGACCGGAGGCGACGAAGGAGGTTCTACAGATGATCGGACTCGCGATCGAGAAACATCCGAAGTCAGCGATCGTGAAGAACCTGTCAGTTCTAACTACGTTGCTATTCAAGACCTTCGACCTACGACGGGAGCAACTGTCCCTAGGATCAAAGGCGACGTTCGACGTGTCGGACGTAGACGAGGTCGAGGACCGCATCAACGAAGTGACGATCAAGATGATCTACAAGCTGAACGACACAGCGTTCCGACCGATCTTTGTCCGGATGATGGACTGGGCGCACACGGGGGTTTCGAAGAAAGATACGCAGGGCAACGTGGCGCGACTGACGACGTTTTACAAGTTCCTGCAGGTATTCTTTGGGACACTTCAAGTAGGTTCTCACCTCTCGTTTAATAGATGGGACGGATAGTAATTGATGCAATGCAGTCTATTGTGACGGGCTATGCTAGCTATATTATGGAGAGTGTTGTTTCGGTTCTGAGCCGAGCCAGACCATCAGATCAACATACGAAGACTCTTTGGTTGGCGACGATGCGCATGCTTCGCAACGCGTTCGAACATGACCAAGATGGTACTTCCCCTCCCTTCCTCCCCTCTTCTCTGACTAGCTAGGATACTTACCGGTGATAGAATTTTGGCAATCCCCATCCCACCTCAGCGCCATCTCGCAACCGCTGATCTCGCAGCTGGGCCACGCGACGAACTCCCACAGCGCCAATCTGGTGATGGGCGAGGCGGTGCCGACAATCACGGAGCTGGCGGTGGCGGCCGACTCGACGGACAACCACAAGGAGATCAACACGGCTCTGATGCAGTTCCTGCGTGCGTCCGCCGACGAAGGAGACAGCGCTTTGACACGACTGGCGGCGTTGAAGGCGGAGCAGGCGCTGACGGAGCAGCTGGGGGAGGAGTGGTTGGCGCTGTTGCCGGAGATGTTGCCGTATATCAGCGAGTTGATGGAGGATGAGGATGAGAGGGTGGAACGGGAGGTGAGGAAATGGGTGAAGCAGATTGAGGGGGTATTGGGGGAGAGATTGGATGATATGTTGACATGATATATTATTCGTCATGATATATCAATTGATTAGTATTTATTGATTAAAGAGTAATAAAAACTAACAGGTATTACAGGATGGTGCGCCCATGTAAAGTTATGTATATCAGATCAAGGATCCATCGTGCTTGACGTATTAGATAATCGATAGAATAGAATTGAAATAGAAATAGACTATAGACATCAATGTTCATTAATTAAGTATTACCATAACAGAACCGGGTATACAAACGCCTTATCCTTCTCTTTTCTTTCTCCTGTCTTTTTATCCTCTTTCCTTCCTATTTTTAATAAGCCCTCACAGAAGACACCAAATCCGTCGACCGATCCGGCGACAACGCCATCCTCACCTCCGAATACTCTGGCGGCCGTCCCTCCTCTGTCTCAGCGTCTTCCTGAGTCTCTACCTGTATCTGATGGGATATAACTCCCCTCGGACGAAAAAACTCTTCCACCTCCTCCTGAGAAACCTCAATCTCACGCACCTGAGCCCTAGCCCTCTCCTTCAAGGAGACAGCGTCCCGCACCGCACAGGTGATCTGCACCGGGAGACGCAGGGAAGCCGAGGGCGTCACGATGGTCGCGTTGGGCGGGTGATATGAGACGCGCAGATCGAGGGCGTAGACGCGAGACACGAGACACGAGTGGAATGAGGGCACGAAGGCGAGGTTTTTATCTGTGGGGAGGGAAATAGGCACCATGATGGATGCCGTGTAGTAGGTTTTTCCCGTGTAGGCGGATGATGGGTCTATACTTCCTGATCTGGAAGATCCTGAGGTAGAGGTAGAGGAGGAAGAGGAAGAGGAAGAGGAAGAGCATCGACGAGGCGACGAGTCAGAATCATCGATTGAAGGAGAATCAGAATGAACAGTCCATGAAGATGAGGCGACGCAACGCGACGACAGAGGAACCGTATCGGTGTAACCGCCACGGCCGGATGCCCACATCAACGCATTCGCAGGCGACGGATAATCCGGCCAGGGTTCCGCGGCGAAGAAAGTCGACACACGCAGATGGCTCGACACGGTGCCTAGACGTGGCGGGGGCTCATCACCCACGGGATCGAACCGGAGATGAAGCGTCGTAGATGTGCTGATGGCATTCTTTTCTTGTTCCTCACCCTGGTTTGGGGTTGGGAGGAGTTGCAACGGCTTCGGCTGCGAGGCGACTAACACTAAGCGACCCAGTTTGCCTCGTAGAAGACCGCGCTTGACGTCCTTTTCCTTGCGAGCGCAGTAGTCGTCCTCGTGGTCGGCCAGGTTCAAAGGCGGTTCTTCAGCAACGGCGGGGATGATGCGGACTTTTTTGGCGACAGAGACGAGAGTTTTCGTCGACGAGGGAGAAGAAGAAGAAACATCACGACGCAACACCGAGACCCGGATCAGGTAGGCGATGCGACACATATCCGGAGTCAGATCGTCCAGCAGCGACTTGCCATCGGGGGCCAGCATGGCGTCACCCAGCGTCGGAGGCAATAGAGTGTGCGACAGCTCCAGATGTCGGTGGGATTTGGGGTGACTGCAGGCATGGGGCAAGAGACGATCGGGTACGACAAAGGTAAAAGGGAAGATGTAACGACGACCGGGCTCCAGCAGACGCGGCATGGGATAGTCGGAGTCTGGGATGGGTTGCCGCAGACGCAGGAAGGTCTGATATGCGCCGGTGCGGCCAGGCAGGGCGACGCGCTCGACGGAGGTGCGCGTGGTGCCTTCAAAGGTAATCTCCAGCTCGTCGAACCGCACATCGCGAGTGACGGTGATGCTCACGGCGCCGTCGATGCGGTCGCCGGTGGTGTAGAGGTTGACCAGGCCATCATTCTGGCCGTCAAGGTCAATGGAGATGGTGGGTTGAGCGCGCGAGGTAAAGGCTTCGAGGGAGCTGGAACCGAGGGAGGCCATAGATAGTATTCAGCGAAGAGAGGAGACAGGGAGGAATAAACGAGGAAAAGAAGAGAATGAAAGAGAGAGGGATGAGCCTTTTAAAGGCATTGCATTGGGCAATGGAATGGTGGATCCTTGATATAGTTGATGCATGGGAATGGAGAAGTGGATTTGGATCCAGGACTCTGTGAATGACCATAATTAATCAAGGAGAATGAGTCAACACTGACTCAGTTATTCATTCATTGAAATTCGTATATAGTATAGATGTGACGAATCGAAGGACGCCCTATGACAAGCACGCCCTTGTTTCTACGCCCTGCGATGTCGGACTTAGTAAGCTATCTAGCGGTGATACACCAACTCCTACGGAGTAATAACTAAGTTAATAACTAACTAACTTTAACTAATTACTATTGAATTAGTTAATAATCAAACTAAACGTTAAATTCTCCATGTTGCCCTAACCGATGTTACCCGACGCTACCCGTTCTATACGATTTCTCATATAGTCTACAGATCACCCCATACATGATCCAACATCATAGATCAGACCCATCGAGTAATGCGGTGCCTGCATACAAGCCGATCCATCATCCCACCAATCCTCCAGTAGATCCAACAGCGCCCGTCCTCGGCCCACCGCGCCTGAGAAACTGCGTCGAATGACCGGCTTCAACTCTGGATTCCCATTCAAAATATCCGTCTGCAACCCGGCCATGAAAACCGGATAATGCACGGCTTGTGCCATCACCCCATCTTTTCCCTCGGAAATGGAATCTCCTCCTCGACCGGTTGCATCGACGTGGCTGAGGATCCGCACCACCAGCACCTCGGTCGATGGCTGCCTCTTATCCTGCATACACCTCGGACTCCCCGCACGCAAGGGACCGTATGAACTGCATCGCACAGTGAGAACTCCCGCCAGTCGATAGGCTTCCCACAGCTGACACTGCAGCAGAGTACCCTTGGTCCCCGGCCAGTTCCAGAAATCGTCCTCGGTGGTGCCACCCTGCCCCTCTCCGATACAGGAAAAGAGATCCAGCAGGGACCGTGGCAGGCCGCTGACGACTTCCACGCGATGAGGATTTCGCGGGTGACGATTCCGACAGTATCGTCGCCAGACCCCCAGGGATGGGTTCATTCCGCCCACCCTACAGGTCGGGAGATCCATCACCCCCATGACGTCGAGTAGATGCGCGCGCAATCCGGTCGGTGGATCGGGGGTGTCGATTTCATGGAGCTGGAGAATGTGGTGCATTTCCTGGAGATGCGTGGCCCAGGGAAGTCCATGCATCATCTGCTTTATTAGATTGAGAGATGCGAGTATACGGAGTACAAAGGAGGAGACATACCCCCGTACTGCAAAGGAGTAATCCCGCAGTAAATGTTCCATCCTTGAGAACCGTGGCGCTGCGAAGTTCCGAGCGGAATAGATTCACCGCTGCATCGAAGGACCGTAGGAACTGCAGCTTGGACGAGAGGGAGACTTGATGCGCCAGACAGACGGCATACAATGCTTTCGACTGTTCGCACAGCGCCGGGAGTGTGGATCGGAGATTTTCTTCGCGAAGCGTCGCCGAATGCAGGATATCAATTCCGGATGAGAGGACTGTCTTGTCAGTAAGGACCAAGTGAGAGAATCAGAGGACTTGCATTCTTGGAATAGTCTCTCCTCCTCGGTACGCGTCATCCCAGCAGGGTCCGGTGCAGAGAGATTCCTCTCTAATGTATCAGCTGCAGCAAGGGATTGACTCTGTCGTGCGCCCTTGGGGATTGATGTCACCACCGGGACTTTAGCGCCAGTGAAGCGACCGCGCGAGGCAATGCCAGTACCCCAGCGCAGTCGCACCTCGTAGCCTTCACATGTCAGCCCGCGTTGGTGACAGGCTTGACACGTTGGGCGCGCACGATCACATTTGCGATGGCGCGCTTTACAGGTCCAGCATCCGTCGTGGGAGCGATGGTGCATTCTGATCGAAGGAGATGGTAATTCATGATAGGAATCGTGGATATCATGAATTTAGGAGAATTTATGGCTCTGAAAGTCTGAGGGGGAGGCAATTCTTGTCCCTTTTCGGCCTATCAGAAGCCGTGGGGTTACCGAATCTGGTAGTCATCGTCCAAGGGAGAAGATTATAAGAGGGATTTATTTAAGATTATGCAGAGGATCTTTACTTCCGTATTTCATCTGTTTCTATATTACAAACTCAAGTAGAACAAAGAGACTAGGACGGTCTCTTTCAGGACAAGTAACAAAGTCCAGATTTCCGTTCTTTCCACCTATTGAGGAGTATACGGTTCCCACATGTATTAAATACACGAAATCTCGCTCTGTGCTGTCGGTAGTATTGCCATATGTTTTCAATTCGAAAACTAGGTGCCTTAGATGTCCTTAAAGGCTCTTTTCCACGCAGCGCGTCATATGGTTTCTAATTTGATGGTGATCCTCAAGGATGTTACCACGAACAGCCTTTTCATGTATTTATTGTCCGACTCTGCGCCCCTTGCACATTTAATATTGTCTTGCCAATCTCTCGAAAGGAGCAACCTGATGTTCCCTATCAGCTGGGGGTCTCAAGTCGACGTTCTAGCTTTTGGGAATGCTCTAGGTCGTGGACAATTTCCAACAGAGAATTGACGTGGTCATTTGCTATTACTCTCTTCTGGCCGTGTCCATGATTGTGTCAACCGGAGAAAAGAGTCTCAGTAAATTTTCTGGGCTAAAAGCGACCAAGGTCCCTAATCAGCTAGGTAATCTCTGAAATATTGACCAGAGGCAAAGTACACCATGGTTACCGACCGTCAGAACAAACTTTCACCGCTAGAAACTTACTAGTCTCTCTAGCTCACGATTCATGAGAACTCGGGGATTCGTCGCTCAGTTTAGTTGCAGACCGGCTGGGTTCATCCTTGCAAAGTATAGCTGAGAATGACAGCAGAGGTGATCAAAGGAGGGGAGACAGCCGAGGATTGCAGAAGATAATCGTTGTTCCTGATTATATTCTACTGTTCTTTCAGCCAACTATGTGAGAAGAAGAGTATGTGGATGGAAGGGTCCTCGTTACCACGTATATGAAAAGCAGCAGTACGCTTGGAAAGCAACAAGAATACTTCAGCTCTTTCCTGTAGTTTCATTCCCATCTAGACAAGGAGTAGAAGAGGAAGGAATGGTTGTCTCGTATATTCATCTGTTCCTCCATCTAGGCCTATGCCCTCTATCTACGTACTATTCACTTCCATCATCTCATTCATCTTCAATTTCACTGGTCTACCCTTCCCTACGTATACTATCTCGTCAGCCCATTCACTCTTTGCACAGATCCGTACTACATGTACCCCCGCATCCTTCAGGCAAAGTGGAACATCCTGCGTCGAACTACAGAGTTTTCAATAGACTCTTCTGATGGAATTCCCGATCTGCTTGAGACGCTGCTTCGCAGTTTAGGCATTTTTGGATGCAGTCCTAAGAGTTTTAATTATAGTATGAAGGGTCAACCCTCCTGTACGGCCTAGGTTGAAAAGCTCTGCAGTTTCCACAAGAAATATTGATCAACGTATCGCAGATTCCTGAGCCAGCATGCTTGATTCAATTTGTTGGATATCAAGCCAGACCAGATGCCAATTGCTATTTTGGCCGACGTATTGGCCCCTGTATGGAATGATTGCCATCGGAATCCATTTCTACAAAATGTGAACTATGTCGATATCGTCTTCTGGCCAGACGCAGATCAGAACTGGTAAGCATCTAAAGGCGATGTCAAGCTTTCTGAGATTATCTGACTAACTGGGTATTATATATATGATTTTCAAAGATGTCGTCAAGCAGTCTGGCTTCTATGGCAGTTTAGCCACTCAAGTTTGAAAGTTGCATAGAGAAGCCGGACCTTTCACTCTACCTACAAATCTTGATCTCATTATGGCGCAATCTTAGGCGGTAGTGCAAGGCGCATCTCTAGAATCAGTGCGATACTGTCGAGTAGGTAGCTCCAGAGGTATCCTAATGTTATACATCCCGGATTGCGGCCGCTTCAGGAAAGAGTCGACCACTTTTGGTTGAACATCCTGAGTCTTCCCTCTGAGGGGGAGGAATCTTCTGTCCTACAAGGTAGGATGTTCCAGGCAAATGGACTTGTGACTAATATTCGTCAGAATACCATGCACAAGGTCATCATTGTCGAGGCCAAGCGGTTCCACTCCTTATTTCCAGTGGATTGAGAGCTTTATACTTTCGGTATCAAAGGCAAGCTGCGAGAACGGCATGACAGAATCAGCGTTGTACCCTAAGCACATCGTCGACACCGTAGATCTGATCAAATTTTGACGGGCAAAGGCGTCCCGGTCGAGGGAGATGAGGCTATCAGAGACAGTCAGACGCCATTAAATAACAGATGATTCGTCTGTACATACACTAGAGATAGATGGGTAAGTCATTCAGGTTCCCCGTTTGGTGGCTCTCCTGGAATTAATAGAATACTTAGGGTCCGATTCCTCGCATCTACTTCTTCTCCCGCGAGGGTAGCAGCTCGAATACCGACCTTTCGAGAAAGAAGAGGACGGACTCCGGGATGGTGATTGCTATTCGGTCCCGTCAAAAGTGGATCGTCAGAGCTGGATTGATTGAGCAGCACATGGATGAACTTCTGAGTCTCTGATTCGACACCTTCCCTCTGTTCTGAAGCGTCATGAGACTACATTTACCCATGGTAATCTATACAGGGAGAATATCCTTGCGAGAAAGTGGAAAGTTTCACAGCTTATACTGCGCATGAAGTTGTGGCGAATATTGATTGGGAACCGCTGGATGGTATACGTCATACTGGGAGTACGCCTATATATTTCCTCTTTCCCAGTGGATTGATGATTGGCCTCTGAGTGTCGACAGGATACTCGATCCCAGTGTCTCGCCGGGGATGTATTCCATGATGTACTGCTTGTTCGCGCGGCGATACATCGCGCATAGTCCTGGTGATGGGATAGACGGCAGATTCTGCTCGATGAATCATCGTAATGCGTGGTCTTTGTTTTCAGAGATGTAAGTTTCACGACGTATAGGCCCTAGTCACGACGAGACGGCCGCCGCAGTCTGCGTCGCGGATGGTGGGGAGGATTCATACTGCTGAGTCGATTTCGTGTTGCGTTGAAAGATAGCTGGTCTGGGTGTCAGGACTATGGGAGATTAAAAGACAATGTAATGAGAATTTGAACACTTTCTCGAGACTAGGATGATTTGGTTGTTTGCTCGCTGTCAAGGATGAAAGAAATACTGCAAGCCCCGGTCTAAGTATCGAAGTTGCTAGTTAAGTAATTTCCATGGTTCTGTTCAATTATGTGGATAGGATTGTCTGTATAAACTATCGTCGGGTTCTTCAATGGTGACAATACACGCCCTATAGTTCTGACTGATTAGTGTGGGTGTGGTCATATGGATATCTCGGTCGGAAGAAATATCTGCAGCATTCAATACGCATATCTAAATGCAGACGCGCGTGTACTGCGTTTTCTCATGTCGCAGCCCATTCTGTGCCGCCTTTTCCATCTTCTCCAGCGCCTCGTATCAGATCGTCTAAGAAAGCCAAGTCTATATCCTGGAATACACAATCATCAACCCCGCCTACCATCCCAGGGTATTCAAACCTGCTGCATGGGGTCATCGGAGAGGACTTCTGAGAACAGGGGCGCAAAGAGAGCGGTTACGCTGTTGCTGTTGTTGCTACTAGGAGCTGGCCATCTCCATGGATATCATGTCATATTATACCGAAATCAAGCCTCTCTCCCCAGCCATTGCCCAGTAGTCAAAGCAAACGTAATCCACTTCAGTTGCTGCACCAGCTCTTCATGCTTGGGAATCATTTCGGAAGGGCGCTTCGAACCTCCGTGCTTTCAGTGAGGCGATTTCAAACCCATCAGGGTACATCCCAGCATCACCCCAGACGATAAGCCAAACTTCCCATCAGGGCCTAAGATTAAGTTGCCGACTATTCGCAGACCGGAAGGCCACGAAAGCCCTACTAACCTTTTCTCAAGATAACTGGCATAGACGGCTTTCCAGGGGAAGCAGCCAGGGAAGTAGACCTGGCCGTAAGAGATAATCCCGGAGGCCTAAATTAGTGGAGGAGGTAGAACGCGGCGGTGAAGGGTAGCAAAGAGGGCCGCTTAGGCATGCCTGGGAAAGGCCTTAGAGGCAATGAATACCGAGGAGAGGGGGTTCGGGCGAGGAAAATGGACTAGAATGATTACTACAAAGATAGAAGGGGCTCCTAAGGCCCCTAAGGAACACCTGTAGACAGTGGCTTTAGGCCACTGCCGAGGAGCATGTGTCTGTCATAGCCAAAGGCTCCATATGGACGTTAAAACTTTAATAATAATACTAATAATCTGCGGCATGCTTTATATAAGTGGAGCTGCTGTGCTAACAACGTATTAAAAAGCTTCTCGCTGCGTCTGTCCCTATTGTGGTTTACGCAAGTGACTAAAACGATACTTGCGATACCACTCGTTCTTCCGGCGTATTATTATTGCATGCCATTATATGTACGAGTGACCCAGCATTCATGGTGAACATAATTCGTAGTATCGTTTCATACCCGAGGCTTCCTCAGTGTGGCAAGAGTAGCAGCAACAAGGAGCACTCAAACGCCGAGGTGCTACTATCCGATCCGCTGTCTCCAAGTCTTGCTCTCAGAGACTTGGGCCAGGAAGTCATGAACCAACAGGCAGCCTTTTGACAACCGCCTCTTTCAGCCCATCAACATTGTCCACCATTTCAACCCCAAATTTCCTGCATACAATTTGTACATTTCCTCTCTTCCAGTACCCCTCTGGACAGACAGTGATAACTTTGCCCGGAACCCGCGCCCAGATCTCAAACTCAAGCAGACTAACAGGCGCTTGCGTAGCTGGGTGGAAGTGAATAACGACAATGTCGGCCTTGTCCTGCTTGTCGAGCTCCCACTCCACTTGTTTGCGGTAAGGAGCAAAATTGATGTCCTCGCGCCATGAGCTGTCCCAATCAGCGCGGTACGGATCGTATATCGTCACCGGCACGTCGGAGAGGGAGGCGGATAGGGTCTCGCGCCAGTCGCTCATGTCAATTTTGCTGGTGGTGCCGGCGAGAAAGACGGACTTCAAGCCGCGGGAGGCTTCATCAGAAAGCGCGTAGATGAGCTGATTCCGTGGCTGACATTCTCGAGGACGAAAACGTATTCTTGGGAGTCTTTTGAAGGAGAAAAGCATGAAACCAAAAACAGAGAACTCTCTCTACTAGGCCTTTTTAATTCTACGGTCTTCTCTTTCTAACATAAAAAAAGGTTGGGTGGTTTTGGGCACAGTAAAACAATAAATTAGTTTAAATCCAGTACAAGAAAGAGAATGCCGATTCTTTAATCATCAGTAAAGTAAGATACAGTCGAATACAATATATCTTAGCCCTTTTTCACCCTGTGAAGCGAGGAAAATAAATCTACTCATCATACAGTACACCGTGGTTAAGCAACTGGCTCAACTAATCCAGCGCCATAGTACTGTAGACGTGTTTGCCGGGGTGGGTCAAGTCGTCGGTTTGTGGCTCTTCGGTCTCGGCGGCTTGCACGCTTACGCTTTGGGCGCTTTGGAGGTTGCCTTCGGCCGCCTTGGCCTCGATGGCGAGTAAGCGGCGCAGCAACCGAGCACTCCGTTCACTTAGGGCGTCGGTATTTAGACGGTTGAGCTCGTCCATGTTTTCTTGGGCCTGTTCGATCATGGCGCGGTCGCCTAAGTATTGGGCAGCGAGGAATTGTCGGCCTGCTCGGAGCGGTGACTGTCGAGGTGGGCCAGCAGCAGGATTATGGCAGCCATCAGGGTGGTGAAGTCGATGGTGCGGCAACTAAAGGCCACTCGACTCCAGCGGCGTAGCATGATGAAGCGGGACAGGGTCTCTCGTGAGGCGTTGACGCAAGTGATTCGGGAGTAATCGTATCGGCGCTCGACCGAGTCGCGAAGCATGTAGGGCAGGTGAAGCTGGTTGAGAAGATTGTAATAGGATAATTGTTCTGAAAATCGCCGCATTTCCCAGAAGAAAAGCCTGCGAGTCGTTCTTCTCGCCACGGAGGTTCGGGATCAGCCACCATCGGCTTGGCAAGCTCCGGGCCGATCGCTGCAGCTCCTTGTCGAGGTTCTGCGTCCAGGTATAGTCATAGCCTGCCGGGTCGGATTCGTTGCGCTCCAAAATTCGCGATGCGATAACACAATGGATTCGCTCCAGACGACCGCCGGGTGAGTCCTTGGCGAGCATCGCGCTGGACGCCATGCTCCGATCGAGGGTCCCCTGCGGCATGCCGAGCAAGAGACACATCTGCCGATCGTAAAAGACAATGCGGAACCACATGAAATGCGGGTAGGCCTTGGTCTCCGGGTGGAGGACCTTGTACTGAACCCGGCCTCCCAATCGGTGAAAGCCCATTGACTGTGCAATGGCCATCGCTCGCCGCGCGGTCATCCAGCTTCGTCGCAGAATCCGCAATTGGCTTGATATAGACTCTCGATCATGATGCATTCTAGAAATTCGATACTGCCCACGAACTTGTCACTGGAGGTCACCAGACTGATCGCCATCTATGCCAGTCGATCGCGCATGATCTGTGGGGGTTCCGAGAGACCCCGGATCTCCTCATGGAGATCGGCGTGCAGGTGCTGTAGGAAGCTCGCGAGATGCAACATGTGGCGCGCTATCAGAACCGGGTGTACGTTCGGGCCCGGGATCTCGAGCAGGCGATTTTGCGATCGGAGGCTATCCCGATCGAGAATGTAGGGTGTGGTCAGGATTTCATGGAATGGAATGGAATGGTGACCGCTGGCCTTACAGTTGCTGGCGGTATCTTGTCGCGAGGGCAAGGAATCGTAAAGAGCCCGGGACAATGCATCGAACACGCCTGAATCTCCGCTTACCACGGCAGCGGACGGATGCCGGTCAGGGCTGAGATTGTCATGACGGAGATGGTCATGACGATGCTCGTCCCCGACGGGGGCGTCGACGGCCTGATGCGATGCAGGAGATGCACTGGGGGGACACTTGCATATTGCTAGCACGCGCGACGGCTCCGTGGAGGCCGGAAGCCGATGCCCTGGTCAGGTGATCGGCGAGCCTTGCTATCCGATCCAGAACCCGGCCCGTCGCCGGCCGTTGTTGTCGTTCCCCGCGAACCGGAGAAATTGGTGGAGTCTCGACTCCACTCGTCGCAGACGATCGCGCAGCCGGCGGCTGCTGTCCAAAGGGGCCGACACTTCCTCCGGGAACTCCTGGCTCACGCATTTGGTCCAACGTCGGTGACAGCCAATGCAGACCGCGTCATCGGGACTGTCAAACACGCATTTCATCTTCCGTCGCTTGCATTCCCAGCAGCTGCGAGTTCCCCTTCGGACTTTCTTGCACTTCACCGGGGGTGCTGAATGCCAACCATCCGGGTCGTCGGCGGGATTCCTGCGGTTCGGTACGCCATGTCGGGCAGAGGCAGCGTCCATGGTCGGTCTCTCTGTTACACGTTGACGGACACGAGGAGGAGATCGTAGCCCGGCGAGTTCTCTTGCCGCGCAGATTTATCAGTATACCAGCGGTCCTGCTGCAGATGATTCAGGTACACACCCAGGGATTGGTCTTGGATCCAGATAGGCTTGGACATGAGGCCGGCGCGGCTGGGGAATCCCTTCATAATTATAAGATCCCCACAGGGTTACGAGCTGGCTGTTCAGCCGGACCCTCGGCGGAGCAGACGTGGGTTAGCCATCCAACTTCTGGCCCGCCATGACAGCGGCGGTCGAGCTGATTCCTGCATGATCATCCAAGGTATCCATGTTCGTCCGCCGCAAATGGTTTCTGGGCTGCACCCTTTACGGGTATATATACTGGTGCCGTCAATTGGGTTGAAAATGGCAGTGGACAGCGCCAGGATGCCTCTACTGCCACCACGCAGATACGTCCAATATGTCGGCCCCCATTTCCAGTCCGGAATCCAACAAGAACGAAGCAGGCCATTTGCCTGACGCGGCCAGCCTCCCAGACAAGGAGCGAGGAGGCGACGATACTGAGGGGACTGCTGACCAGGACCTGGAGTACGCGACACCCCTCCGCTTGATCATTGGCATGTGCACCTTGAGTCTCAGTACTCTAATCGCAGCTTTGGACCTGGTCAGTATCATCCACGCCTGGACGATTCCCCTTTGATGGTACTAACGCAGTCAATTCAGTCGGCAGGGTATCGTTGCCACCGCTATCGCGAAGATCACCAGCGATTTCCATGCACTCGACGGGCCTACAACTTCCGAACTGTTAGTATCTCTCATTGACCTACTCCTTCGGAGTCCTACTATTTCCCTCTCATTTAATATTAAAATAAAGTAAGAAGGCCTTTGGGGGAAATATTTTGATAAATATAATCACGCGATTAAAAATCTTTTAGAAAAATAAAAAGCTTTCGAAACATTTCAATTTTGGCTTGAAATTTCGAAATTTGAAGTTTTTTCTCACATCTCTAGCTCCGAGCCTCCAGCAGTATTCCTTGACCCCGTGATCCGCGTTAGTAATCCCGGGGCACGTGGCAAGAAGCAAACAACTGTGCGGAGAAACACGGGGCAAAATGTGCGATTCCCGACTCCGAAAGTATCCTTGCCCATATCTAGACAATGGCCGAGGAGGTGCCGGGAGAATTGGCTGCGGAGCAAAGCTCAGGTTCAAGCAGATACAGCAACTATGTTCGGTCACCGTTGCCCACGCGTGTCAGCAGCGCATGTGAGAGATGTCGTCGCCACAAGACCCGGGTATAACCACTTTGCTTTAGCTTGGTCGCACTAGTTTCGCCCCAGGTGCTAATACCGTTGAGTCTTCCCTTCATAGTGTGACCCATTTCGACCATGCTCACTGTGCGTGAGAGCCAAGGTTGATTGCAGACCAGTTCCTGCTGGCCAGACGCGGAAGGATAGCTTTCGAAAGTAAGCCGCATAGCAGACCCATTGCTACATCTCTCTGTTCCGCGTGGGTCACGTAGTAATATATCTGACGCCCATCAGTTCCAAACGTATCCTGAGGAACCGCCAACAGCAGTCAAATTCCTCAGTAGCTGATACTGCCAACGAGTTGCAAGATATCGATTGCCTCGGCAATCACAGCCCAGCTGCAGGAGAAGGTCGCAACATCGCCCACGGATGCACAGACGTGCATAGTTCGCGGCCATCCATCGACTGTGACGAATCAGAGTCTGCTATTGGAATTGCTCAAAAACTTTTTGAGCTTGGCCGCCAGCATATTGATGAACAAGCCACTTCTGCCATCCCAGGTTACCGGGCCAGCACTGGTGCTGTCGGTGGGCGCACGGCAACAGTCGGCCAACGCCTTCCAATATCTTCGATACTTGCCGCGCAGTTGCCTCCAGTCGAGCTTGTGTATGTTTTACTAGAAGATTACTTTGACGCAATACATTGGTTCTCCCTCGCAGTCTATGAACCGAAATTCCGCAAGAGGCTTCAATCCATTGCAGATGGCTTTGCGTATCCCTCTGAGAAACCGTTTCTCTTACTGCTGGCCGTCATGCTAGGGATGGGTGCGTGGTATCGATCACAGCGGAGTACCACTGGCCCGGCTGCCGACGATATCGACTGGCGGACATGGAGTGCGGACTTGTTGAAACTCGTGGAATCAAACGTGGTGGAGTTGATGGACCAACCTTCAGTCACAGCAGCCCAGACCTGCATTCTCTTAGGGTCACATCATGTCTATCATGGTCGTCCCAATTTCTCCTTTTCTTTATTGGGTGCGACCATCAAGATATCCCAAGCTTCGGGATTACATCGAGAACCGGCTCGGGGGAACTTCGAGGATATTGAGGAGAGGAAGCGAGTCTGGTGGACGATCTACACATGGGACCGGTTCGCCTCAATTACATATGGAAGGCCGTTAGGGATTAACGACAAGGATTGCAACCTCAACATGCCGGCTGACGTATTAGAAAACCCATATTTTATTGCTCCGCGGTCTGATCGGGGATACACCGTCTGCTACTCCACGTACCAGAGGGAGTTGAACCGGCTCTATCTGATTACTTCGTCAGCCCTGGAGGCCATCTTCGGCTCGCGCACGTCAGGATCGTCTAAGGAGTTGGCCGGAGACGCATATCTTGCAATGGTCAGGGACACCACTCAAAAACTCCAGAGGTGGCGAAGTCAGCTTCCGGACCATTTAGTTTTGGATCCGCAGCGAGACTTTGAACCTACCAGCAGCTTAGATTTGAGAGCACATGCCCTGCAGTCACTATCATTGGATTTAACGTACAACAATCTTCTTATTGTGCTCCACCGACCTTTGCTCGCAAGACAGGTCGATCATATATCGACGAGTACGCAGTCGCCTGGGAGAAGCGAAGCCGATTCTCCCATCTGTCGTTCAACCGCTGCTTCATCTGGTCCAACAAACATACCTTTCGAAGCCGTACCTTCACGCACACCCATTGCAAGTTCAGTCTACTGGTTGAATGCTGCTCTGAGAACTTCGCAAGTGACAGAGTTGCCCGTGCTTGCTCAGCTTGCCACGGATAGCCACCTTGTCGCGTTTCTTGCCATTAACCTATTCAATGCGGCGATTGTATTGGCAGTTATAGCTCTGTCAGATCCTCTCTCGGATACAGCACAGGCTGTGAAGCGTACAATGACTCGCATATTGCGTTTGCAGGACGTACTTGGAAAGCGGTCTGCACTGTCGAAACAGAGCGTAACCGTCCTGAGAAATGTTGTCACCCTCCTCCTCCGTCGCGAAACAGATGCGATACTTGGCCCAATCACTGGGACTGACCAACACATGAGTCACCAAGCCCTGGCGGGTACTCCGCTCTTGTCGGTGGAAGACACCCTCCGACTGCCGCTTGATGCGATGTTGGATGTATCTGATCCCCTGGCAGGACGGCAAGCATGGCCAGACCTCGACCGGGCTCATCGTCTCAACGACAGCTTAACATCGGTACAGTATGGTAAGCGGGCCTCTCTCCTTGTCATTGCTTTTTGACCTAGCTAAAATCCTGGCCTTATCTCCCAGCCTTGCGCCCGGGCGACGACCGCTCTTTTAATTTGCATGCCGGTGGAGACGGCTATCGGCCTCGTGAGGTACTTCAAGAAAGCATGAGGCCCGACGATGTATGGCAGCTGTCAGCGGAGCACGACTCTAATCACCCGGATGTTCCTCCAGTGGCGATAGAAAATAACTATGACGGAAATGGCGAGCGTGGACTATACTGGCTATGGGACTTGGCGTGGAATGGAGTGGATATGTAAGCTTCGAGAATGACCATGGCATGTCTATGGGCATGGGGGAGGAGGTTACATGGGCGGTGTCCCTTACAAGTGACGCATAAGACTCGAACTGAATCTATAACAACAAGCATGGACTTCCTAGTCTAAACACCTTTTGGCTAATTTCTCGTCTACATCGGGCCCGTAAATTACGCTTTTAATCCCAGCACGACTGGCGACATTTTTGAACGCACACTCCACCTGTGAAAAAAGAAACTCGTGAGTGATGAGGCCATCTAAGCTGATTCTCTGGGAGTTCAGCAGGCCGATGGCCAATTTGAAGTCTCCCGGGCCATACCGGAAGCTCCCCTTCAACACGATCTCTTTGTCACAAATTTGACCGACAGGAAGGGAAACATTCGGTTTGCCCAGTCCCACCTGGACAAACGTTCCACCAGGGGCGAGTGCGAATATGCCGCAGCTCATGCAGGGCTCCGCTCCGGTCGCATCCAGAACGATATCAGCGCCCGCCTCCAATCCAGCCGTGGCTGAAAGGTCTCCTGCATTCTGTTCCGGTGACGCTGAGGTCATTTGATATGTGTGTGTGGCCCCGAAGCTGCTCGCAGAACTGAGGCGACTTGTTACGAGGTCAACGACGACCACTGTTGATGCCCCGAACGCGCGCGCAACGGCACAGCATAGCAAGCCGACCGGCCCGGCACCAAATATGACCACTGATTGCTCCTGCATCGCTCCAGCTAACCTACAGCTGTGCACAGCTACACTCAGAGGTTCGATCAGCGCGCCATCTCGCAGCGACACATGTGACGGCAGCTTATAACAACACTCCGATGGTACGCGGTAGTACGTCGACAGCGATCCGTCGTAGGGTGGTGTTGCAGCAAAGCGCATGGCATCGCAAAGATTGTAGCGGCCCGCGCGGCAATGGTGGCAGGTGTTGCAAGATATGCCAGGCTCCAGAGCCACTCGATCGCCCACAGCGACGTCCTTGACGTCGCTCCCACAACTTATCACGACCCCTGCGGACTCGTGACCAAGGACGATGGGCTTTTCAACGACATATCGCCCGATCCGGCCGTGCTGCCAATAGTGTACCTGTGTCCAGCAGCTTGTGTTATTCTTCTCCCTTCCACAACAAGGATTCCGGGAGGGGGGAAGCTTTTCTACTTACATCTGAGCCACAGAGGCCGGTTGCTATGATTCGAACCAGGACATCTCTAGTGGATTGGAGCGTAGGCATACCACGTTCTTCATAGGCAAATGAGCCTCCAGGATGCAGAACACAGACTTGGTTGACAGCCTACGCGATTTTAAGGGTGAGCAGGCACGACGCACAAGGCAAACAAGAGAACCAACCTGAGCTGTTTCTGGGAGAGTCATCGTCGTGGTTCCTTAGTTCTGAGGAAACTTGCACAGGGTTCCCTAATGTTTTAAAGATAATGAATACGAAAACTCGGGGCTGTAGCTAGGTCTTTGCATTTTGAAATGGCATGACGACATGTAGGCTGATGCCTCGGTTCCGTATAGACGGTTCCGGCGGAAGTCGTTTTCTTGATCCAAGCGGGAAGCCGAGTGGGACCACAGGAACAACCAAAGCCAAAGCCTGATCCTCATGATAAACGGAAATTAGAGCAGGACTCCTTGTTGCTTTTCCCGACCACGATTCTTCACACGTCATAAAACGGTCATTCTGCCAATGAATCCGGCGATGAGCAGCGGACCACCGTGGCCCTCCATGGTGCTGGTCACATGAAATCCTCCACAGCATGGAACAAAGGGTCCTGTCTGCGATGGTTAAAAACCTGCCAAAAAAGGACATATTGTGCCCTCGTCCCCAAAGCCAAGTAGATTTTCCGCCCAAGTACAAACCCCCTTGCGAGCCTTCGGAACCGGGGCAGTTCCGGAACCATGCTAAAAAAAGGGTAGTCGAGGGGTGACCCAGAGTATCTCGACTGCCCTGGCGGAAATCGCAGCGTCAATGGTTCACGGAACGCTTCCAGAACACTTTGCGGACCCACACGGTTCCGAGTGCCAGGAGTAGACTGATACTCACTCCACTACGGTCAAATCAGTACGAGTGCAAAGCTCCCATATCGGATCACTTTGGTTCCACTTTCCCCGCCTTCGTGGAAAAGGGCTATTTTTCCCCATGGGTTGGAGTTCTGGGGCAGAAATAGACGCGCTGCCCCCCCTCCTGGTCTCTTCAATCTACCAGACAGACATCTATTGCTTGAGTTTGAGTCCTTCGGGTCGCCATGGGCAGCAGAGGACCTTCCGCTTCAACGCGCAACGCCGCTATCAGGGAATGCTCCCTCTCTGTTGCCGCCCAGCTGGCGGAGCAGGAGAGCTGGCTGGAGAAGAAGCTCAAGCCCAAGAAAGTCACCGGTAGATACCCATTCAAAGGCGCGCCACTGCTGTATGCGACCTGTGCCTTTGGAAGCCTGGGGGATGCGCTTTTCGGGTATAACTCCGGTACGACTACATGATTGTAGCTATGAAGGTCGTCTCTAACAGAGATAGGTATCATGTCCGGCTTGCTGGTCAACCCGGTCTTCGTGTCCCGTTTCTTCCAAAACTATGGGGGAGCCGACGGTACGACGGCCTCGGTCGACCCGTCCATCACTGGCATCTCTGTTGCGTGTTTGCAGGCGTCTGCAGCGGTGGGGGCACTCATCGCGGGGAGACTTGGAGACATCGTCGGCCGAAAGAAGTGTGTCCGCATTGGGGGATTCATCTACTTCATCAGTGCGTTTATTCAGATATTCGCCCCTGGGTTCGCAGCGTTTATTGTGGGACGCACCATCCAAGGGTTGGGCGTTGGGTTCCTCTCCATGACTGTTCCTATTATCCAAACGGAGATTGCGGCCCCCCATCGAAGAGGCTTGATGGTTGGGATCGAGTACACCTTCCTCATTGCTGGATACATGCTGTCATGCTGGGTGGACTATGGCTTTAATTTCCTGCTACCCAGCGAGATGTCATGGCGGGGTCCGTTTATTGTGCAAATCGGTCTCTCGTTCATCTTACTGGCGATGTCTTTTTTCCTCCCCGAAACTCCGCGTTGGCTGGCGAAAAGCGGATTTATGCAGGAAAGCCTTCAAACAGTGGCAGACTTGCATTCCGACGGGAATACGGAAGCGGAGCATGTGCAGCAGGTTTTCCTCGAAATCCAAGAAGCGGTGGTTTATGAAACCAACCTAGGGAGTTCGAGTTGGATGGTAGGTTGTGTTCCCAGGCTTCTCTCATATTCCATGTTCGTCAGGGCTGATGGCCTATTCCAGGAAATGTTTACTACGTATCGCAAACGGACCATTGTTGGCATCACAGTCCAAATGTTCGCCCAGCTCAATGGAATCAACATCATCTCATTCTACCTTCCGAGTACTCTAGCAGCCGCTGGGTTTGACGAACGCAAATCGCTGCTGTACACTGCGGCGAACGCTCTTCCCTATACTGCTGCAACGGTCGTCACGTGGTGGCTAGCGGACCGATGGGGCCGGAAGCCTTTGCTCATCCTTGGAGGTACGTTTTCCCACGAGATATCGAGAATAAGGAGCGTTCTAGTTCACTAAGCTGTGAAATCTAGGTCTTGTCATGGCAGTGCTGTTGGGCGTTGTCTGCGCCTTCACTGAGGCCAACCTGGGAGTTCAGGTCAAAGCGAGCGGTCAGTACGCCTTTGTCATGCTGTACAACGTTGTATATGGATTCACCTGGGGCCCGATGCCGTGGCTGCTGCCGGCTGAAATCTTTCCTCTCCGCGGCCGCAGCAAAGGCATGGCACTGGCCACTACCAGCAATTGGGTTTTCAATTTCATCATCGGTATGGTTTCGCCAGACGCTTTCGCCGGCATCCATGGGTACTTTTACGTGGTTATTGCGGGATTCTGTCTCTTCTCGGCCGGCCTAGTACACTTCTACTACGTCGAGACCTCGAACCACACCCTCGAAGAGATTGCTGTAGCATTTGGCGACAAAGCATTTGCGGATGATGATGCGGATGTCATGGAAGCTGCCGATGCAAAGAGCGAATCGGGAAAGATCTCAGTGTGATTGGGAGACTGAAGCCGGTTTGAAGGCGTTGACGTGCCGTATTGCAGGAATTTAATTCATACGCAGCAATGAGAGAATCTCACGCAGTATTGGCAGATACTAGATATAGCGTATGATGCTAACAAATAGTTTCACCTTGGAAAGAGCATCTGTAGTACACCATAGTTATAATTCGGCCCACATTTATGACGTGGCAGCAACTATTCATCCCGGAAATATCATCCCTGCCAACAAATACTAGGAATGTTCCGCCCAGGACCACAGCTCTATTGTGATTAGACTAAGAGAAGTTAGATAGTTTGTGTGTATTCGAGGCACGCTAGATGAAACTTAGAAATATTACTATACTGCGCAACGTAGATCTCCGTACATATCCTTAGAGAAACAACTAGAGATGGCTTTTGTGTGAAACCAAGAACATGGAATGAGCACAACGTCCTCACACCGTGGGGATGTTGGTCTCAATCCCCCTTCATATTTCTTGGACTCTTCAATTTCTCCCACGGCGTTGACTTGAATTCTTCACTTCCCCACAGGTAGGCGGTAGGCCGTAACAGGTTCATACAGGTTTTATCTACTTTGGGGTCTATAATCGTTCTTTGTTGACTCACAGTGGACTCTGGTAGTGGGATTAATACTGCCCACCCTGTATAGTGTGTTGATTCCATTCGAAAGCATGTTTGATCAACAATGCCAATGTATGCACTTCTTTCTCCACATCCCGCGTATCTGGCCAGGCTCAACAAGCTTTCTGGGGACACCAGATACAATGAGGTCATGATCCGATTCTATTATTTGGACAGAGCTCCCTGGACAGGGGCGCGGTATGTGCCATCTGCAACCCGTTCAAGGCTTGCGAGATCGATATGACGAACAACTTCGAGCCGATTAATAGAACGCGAGCTTTATCTACTAGTCTCCGTCTCAATAATGTGAGGATTGCGACTGCTGAACAGCCCACTGATTTCTCTCTTCCAGAATATCTTCAACAATGGGTACACCTAAATGACGTGCGAGGCTCTGCCCTCGACCAAGTAACTCCCAATAAGTTACTAGCTGCTCTAAGCCCGACTTTAATATCTGCCTGAGGTCAAAGAGTTCCAGTTGAGTGTCAGAATGATAGAATAGAAGGTTTATGTTGCAGGCAGGTATTTCTGTATCCCGCGTGGCACCAGGAGCCGTGTGGTCACGACATATCCGGAAGAGTAGCTCAGTATGCGCGTGTCACTGGCGATTTTGGATTTGACATGCACAGAACAGTTTACTGTATGTATAGTTTCTTCGTGGAAGTCAGAAATATATGACACGAAATGGCGAAGGGACCACACAAAGACTTTGTGCCGTAACCGATATTTTGGAGTCCCTTATGGCGTTCAAGTGACCACAGCCCACAGTCCAAATCCCGTTGTCAGCTATTAAATAGTGCCTATATGGCGACAGGGTCCGGTTGACACATGGGCTTTGGGAGCAAAATAGAATGTAGCGCGGTGAAGGAATTTCTTGCCCGGTCCCCAAACATTATTTACACGGCCGGTGTATGCCAATCGCCTAGATTGTTGAAACTTGAATGGGATTAACCAGGCTTCGGCAGTATTGACTATTTGGGTATTTTAGGCTTCTTTTAATCAACATTCTTGGTTTCTGTCACCTGTATACTGTTACCCACCGTCCTATATCTTTTGATCGGTTATCGTCCCCACATAAGGTCCGCCCCCCAAGTGTACTTTTCACCGGTTTCGCCTAATCTCAGCGGCTTACCCTTCGCTTGCCTGATAAACACCCAGCAGTTTCAATGAAATGGACAGTAGTAGCCCAAAATACCGACAAGGCAGGATACTCAACCCAGAACGCTATTGACTGCAAGACTGTACTGCGAAGATCCACACAGGTCGCTCGAATTAACGCAAATCGATGACAGCAGTGCGTCAACGGTCCAGGTAATAGGGTTTAACCAGTTGCGTGGGCATAACGTCGTGACCAGTAGCATGGAAATTATCAAAAGCTCGTTGCCTGGAAGCCTACAATAGTTTAGTCCGAGTCCTGGATTGTCCTGAATATGAAGAGTGTTCTACCCAGCTGTGTAATGGGAGGCATTGATTAACACAGGCTGTGGCATTTGGTTGAGGTATGAGAACTATATGAACCCTATAACTCTCCCGAAACTCATCCTAAACTCTATGCATGGTTGGTTATCTTGGTTTTGCACTCCATAATCGGAGGAGACAGCAGTTGAACCCAGGGCACAGACCAAGGTGATATGGGTTGACCGGGGTTATATGACGTTTTTATGGTTTGCTAAATAATACAGGCTCACTATCACTTGGGCAAAACATGATCTCGTATGGACGGTAAGCTATGGCTGCCGTTAGTATCTTGAGACATGTAGATTATCGGGTCTAAAGCCTCCTTGAATAATAAATATAATCAGCCCTTATAGTAACTTGATGCGATGCCTCCAAAAGTTTCTTGTTAAAAACGACACCTCGGTCTTCATCTATCTAACATTAGTTAACCTATAATCACCTTAGCCAAAATGAACACACGTGCGACTATTTGTCGATTCAGCCCTGCTCTACGCCGGCAACATCCACACCATGCAGCGCATCAAGCGGGGCTGCCTCGAGACCAGAACTTACATTCAGTGAATGTGTTATCAGTAAGGCTTCTATTAATAATGCTCTTGGTGTCGAAGCTAACTGTTAGAAGCCACGCTATAAATTATCACCAGTCAGCCCCTCGAGCCGGCTGATACAGTCCCTGCTAGATGGATATAACCCAACCTTTCGGCCTCACTATGTGGGCTAGGAAGCATAGGCGGTTCTCAGGCTGGCTCCGCAACAGCAAATGTGCTACTACAATGGAAAGCTGTTCGGCGGTAATCTGACCCTTTTGCTGGATCAAATTCTGGCGAACTGCTGCCAACCAGCCGTCACGGCCAGCCCGAGCATGGTCTTCAAACACTCGGTTCCGCCACATGCTCTGATTCGCCTTCGTGCATGGTCGGAAAAGGTTGAAGGCCGAAAGATTTCCAGCAAGGTTCTGCCGAAATTTTAGGTGACAACGGGGAAACCACTCAAGCTGTGCATGCCAATGCTTTGTTTATACAGCCTAGACAATAGAGCCTGTAGCTGGTGCTGAGAATGGGTTACGATCAGACGGAGCTGAGGTATTTTATCTATAGATTAGTTTTGCGGCCCCCAACATACCACCAGCACTTCTAGGTATCCCTACAATGAATGAGAACCTTCTCCTGACCTTCAAGAGCAATCTCCAATGATCCCATCCCTACGGAAAAGGCAAAAGCTCTGGAACACCCCGATACGTTCTCTCTGCGAAATGGCGGCGGCAGGAACTGCTCCCAAATCCAGCTGCCTACATCATCACCTCTGATATCAGCAGGTGAATTTTCAACGCCGAAACGAACCCTACCCTGTCCAACCACCCTAGCGCACATTGCCATCGTCTCGTCCGATCCCACCGTGTGTCAAATGCCCCGGCTATCTTCCGGCCCTGGAATGCATTCTGCAAATCAGCTACCGTGGTCGAACTGTGCGAGTCCAGTACTTTCCCAGCACCGGACTCTCGAACGTATGAAAGTTCTAGGGAAAGGTCGTCGTGATGACCTCTCATGCTGCAGCCGCGGCCGGCTGGATGGCATTGCATCTGACAGAATTGGTGCCTCCCCAGACCAGAAGGAGATCCCAGTCCTCTCTTGGGGTCGGAGGACGGTTGAGAGATGGACTGGGGAGGTTCAAATGCTGCTGTTGGAACAACCCTGCCGACGCAGTACACACTGCAGCTGCAGATGGGGGAACAGCAGCATGCTTGAAAGATAGGGTGCTCGAGATAGACGCGGCGAGGCAGGAGGGGATGACCCTATAAGTTTGGAATCCTGCATGACGCGTACTCCCCCGTGGTGGAATAGATGGCAAATCCGAGAGCGACCCCCCCATTTGAATCGAGTCTCCTGGCTACTCACGCGGGCGACAGTGCCAGCCACGTCGTCGGCCTCCATAGGAGACGTCGTATGTTGTCATCTTCGTCATCGTTCCATCTGTCAGCACCCACCCAGTCCTTATTAATCTTGCTGATCGCCACCACCGCGTTCTTCGCAACTTTTTCAGTCCTTGAGATTGAGATCGAAAGGACAACGGAACCTGTTGACCCGAAGGTCTTCTGATCGATACCATAAATTCTATGGTATATTGCCATTGGCAGACATATACGATTTATAGGTATGATATAATGACAACAGATGTCTGTTTATCGTCAATATACTGCTGTTAATTGCGAAGATTAAATACAAGGTAGCTCGGACGCTGCTCTATCCGAGAAGGGTGGGGCTAGGTTCGAATTGAACTGGCTTCTGGATGTCTCAATTGATGCAAGAAAATGTTGTTCGAAGTTCTGACGAGGGAATAATTTCTGTGGCGGGAAAAGATAGCTTAAAAGGCTTCACTTCACAAGCTTGTTAATCACCTTGTGGTTTACCCTGATGGGGCTTATCTAGATCTGATGCATCTAAGCTTCTCCATGTACGAACTCTAAAGCATGACCAAATGTTTGGTGAGTTAAAGTAGCTGTATCAGTTTTCACATTCAACCTATCGAGTAATACTCTACAATCTGTCCCGACGCATAAATTACGATTCCCATCCGTAGCATCCGGAGAGAATCGTACTCAAAGATCGTCGAGGGCGTCAACCCTGTTCTCGTCCCATACAGGATGCACTATAAAGTACATGCTGCATCCAGCTCAAGATCATCCGAATGAAGCGGAAGACCGAGCGAGGCAAGAGACTCTCGGCTTACTGGTCCACAAAACGGTGTACATCACGCACATACCATATAGGTACTTAATTAATGGGTATCTAGGAACCCTAATACAAAATAAGCCCTGCTTAGATGCCGGTTCCATCCCAATCAGTACGCCACCCTGGTCCGCATATCCTATCCAGTAATTAGTCCCGGTCTGAAAACTGTGCGCTGGGTACTGTCAACACTTACCGAGATCTTCCGTTCAATCTCCCGGACGGAACGATCCAACTCTGCGGCAATCATCATCTTCGTATCACTAGGAAGTAAGAAATACGTTTCGCACAGATCCCCGTCGATGACCCCCTTCACGGGGGCATAGTAACTTCGGTAGATCAGATGGTCCCGTCCGGCCAGGGGAGGGTTCTGGGATGCCAGCTGCATTTCCAGATTCTGGAAGAAGTCAACATCCTCGCGGCCGACGAATGGCACATACATGCCGATCGTGCCCTGGAATCCCGTCCACACAAGGATGTCCCGTCCTCCAGCCACGAGTTGCGCCTTGTGTACGCTGGTCGGGATGTCCTGGGCATACCCATGAATCATAAGCTCCAGCCGATTGGGTGTTCCGTGGAGATAGCCTCGCTCGTGGATCAGGTGTGCACCCGATCCCTCCTCGTCCGCCTCTTCCGAGATCTTTTTCGGGCATCGCAGCAACCACAGGTTACCAAACTTATCGCCGCCAGCGACGGTCTCGTAATCCACCATCGTGGTTGCGGTTGTCCATCGGGAAACTGAGTCATCCACAAAAGGGATGAGGACGTTCTCCTGGTATTTGTACACGACGTAGGTAACACTCTCGCGGACGTCACTCACGACGATTCGGCTGCCTTGGGTTTGAAGTCCCACGATGGTCTTCGGAACCACATGCGCCTGACATTTCCGAAGAAGTTGCTTCATACCCAAATCGTAGACCCGAAGCATCGGTCCAATGCCAGCAACAAGGCGGCCTTGGAACCCGAGAAGAGCAAGGGGTGGCTCGTCGACCTTGGTCTTGTGGATAAACTCCAGCTCCTTACCGTCCTCCTGGAACCGGTATATGTGGATAAAGCCTCCTTCGGAGGATGGTGGGTTGACGATCATATCTTTGGCCGTTCCTACCACTAAGAAAGTCTCATCGTCCTGACTGGTAAACGACACGGCCGCAATGCTGACCGCAGCTTCGTTCTCCTCGAGCTCAATGGTCGAAATTACCGCTTTGGCATCTACAGGGTCTACCACTTGAATGCATGAGGCCCAGTGCCCGGTGCCCCGAGGGTACCCAAACTCTTCAGGAGGTAGAACCGTTGTGTCACCGTTTCGAGTCTTGGAATCCTCAATTAGTGTGGCCCGAGTGGTCGGTGACAGAACATTGTTGTCAGATTCGACGACATAGAACAACGGCTGCTCGGGATGCTTTAAGAAACGACGGGGAGTATATGAGAGAGGGATAGACTGTTGTAACATATTGTTGTCCAGTTTCTCGATGGAGAATATCCTATATGTACCAATTAGTCAGAGCCACAGAACAGACACTGGCAGAAAATTGGTGTGACGAGCTTGATCTCAGTAGGAACAATTGGAGATATAACTTTATAAGTACATTCCACATAGATATTCGGATTCGAATTTCTCATCATGCGATCGTATCAAATTGGATGGATGAAAGGGAAAGACAGATCGAAACATACCGCAGGTTTTGTCCTTGGATACCGACCATACCCTCCACGCACTGTTCACTCGAGAAATTCCAGCCCCATTCAAGGGGTACATAGTCCAATGGTGTGAGCATAAACCCTTTGGTCTGGATGTCCGAATAACCCAGCCAGGGACGGGAACTGAGGGCAAGAACAGCCGTCTGTCCTTTGACGGAAACCTGGAACAGCTTAACAGGCTTCGATCCCAAGAACCTTGTGCGGGTGTCAGAGAGTTCGCCAGTTACTTCATCCAAAACCGTCCGGAGATAGACACCGGAATAAAGGCCAATGTGCAAATAAAGTGTAGTGCCTCCAGAGCTAGAATCAGCCATCGAGATGATCTCGAGGGCAGACGGAGCGGCAGTGAGCGCTTGAACAGACTTGTTCTCCAGCGTAGAGTCTGGATCCAAGCTCAGTATACGGACCGTCGAATCGTCACATCCAACGGCCAAAAACGAACTGCGAACTCGGCCCTCGGGGACCTCACCCAGGCTGAGGGAGGTGACAGTGCCAGACATCTGGCGCCGTTCATCGTACTCGGCAAGCGACCCATCGGCGTCCATCTCGAAATACACGATTTCGCCTGAACTTAGAGCGATAGCGACTTGGCGCTCATTGGTAGCCGCCGCAACAATTGAGCGATGCTGCGGGGCTGGCCACTCATTCACCCGACGATCCACCATGATATGACGGATACCGCGGGGATGGATCTGGAGCAGAGAATCCTCTCCAAGTTGTTGAATTGCAAGCGTAGGTGCCGTAGAGAGGAAGCCGGTATCCGTAACTTCCTCTACAGTCTCACCAATGCTCAGAACGAGGGTGCCGTTAGCGAATGACAAAACAATGTAGGCATGGAATTCATCAGCCCGAGTCAATTTTGTCGTCCATACAGCGGAAGGCACGCTGGGAAGCTCCGATTCAACTATCTCCGAGACCTCTAAGCCATGTTTAAGGGTTCTCAGACTGCTGCGGGCCCCGGTGCCCGAAATCGTATAAATCTGGGGGGCATCGTCATCCGAGAGGTTGACAATCTTGCTGTCGATCAGAGGATTGACGGAATTGATGGTCTCTACAAGATTGAGGTTCTCTGCACCCCTTGGTTGGAAGTAGATGGCCTCGTACGGAACAGACGGATCTGCTGAATAAGAGTCGCTGTTGAATTCAATCTCTTCATCGTCATCACCCAGCTTTTCAAACTGATAAAAGTGATGGTTACCAGACTCACTGGCGACAAAGAGGAAACCGCTTTTCAAGATCAGCAAGCTGGAAGCAATGGGGACGGTGTCAAAGTATTTGATCTTCAGCCGCCTCACTTCACCGGTTAACTGCCCATTGTCATCCTCAACCATGTCGATCGTAATTTTGAAAAGATCTCCGTCGTCAGTCTGAAGAAGGAAGAAGAAGGCACCCCGCATTTTGTGCATTACCCCGGCGACGACGGTCCGTTTCCGCTCGGGGTTTTCTGTAGGACCGCGACGCCGAGGAATGGGAACTCGAAAGGCATCCTGGTTTGAGTGTCGGTAGGTAATGTTGTCTTCTGCACATACCAGGACACCACTGGGCCCGTCTGCACCTCCAGGCACTTGGAACAGCATCGATGCGGTACGGTCGACCGGATCCGCCCATTTGCGGACAACATGATTCAGGCCGAGGTCGAGTTCATAGTACACCAGTAGCTTCTCGATCTCTTCGAAAGCTTGCCCCGTAGGATCCTGGTCCGACTCGGAATAGTCCACCTCCAGAGCCGCGAATATCGGGTTTTCATACCCAACATCCAAGGCGGTCACATTAAATACCAAGGTCTGGGGTTTGTGGGCTTCGAGAGGAGATGAAATTGTCAGCTCAGCCTGTGAGTTCCGATTCAACACATAGACAAGCTTGTTCTTCTCGAGCGATGCAATGAGGCATGCTCTGCCTTTCGGGTCAACAGCCAAATATTGACCGGGGATCACACGACGAACACCGGACTTGCCGAAAGTCTCAAGGTGAATTCGGTTGAAACGGTTTTGAGACGGCACATATTCAATGATGGTAATACGTCCCGAGTCAGAGCCGATGATGATATAATCTATAGGCAATATTTCAGTACAGTTCTAAGACTAAACGTGCCAGCTTCAACGTCACCAACCGGGGCACGTCCCGCTTCTTAGGGGACCGCCTCGGCCGATTGGGATCGTGCTGCCCGGCAAGCTTGACGAATCACTATAATGATCTTGGAATTCCGTAATGGGGGGTCATCAAACATACCTTTGCTGCTACCTGCAAGACGGAAGGCAGCCAGAGAGCGGATAATGCCAAAGACATCTTGGGAGAAAATAGGAGTGACCTTTCCCTGGGCCGGATCGGGGCGATGGATTGTGAGCCTCGAGCCCGACGCCGTGACGATCTGTTGCTCTTTGGTACCCGCAAATTGGCCCAAAATAGCCTGAGTGACCGCAGAAGGGGCCTGGATCGTCAGGGAGTACATGAACATATGTGAAGTGGTGGCCATGGTGGGCAACTAGGCTCTCAACAACAGAGAGAGCCCACACCAGAGACGTTGTGCTTGTTTACAAGGCGAGTGCAGTCGGGATGACTCTAGAATGAAACCATTCCCATTGCTGCAGATTCCTGGAGTCGAGAAAGAGGACTCTCGAGAACGAGTGTCCTCGCAATTGCGTTGCGTGGAAAGCCTTGGGATGCAGGCTCAACAACAGATGTGGCCGACCGTGTTTCTTGTGCTTTGGATAGTGAGGAGAAAAAAAGGTGAAAATTCGCGTACGGGAAGAAAAGAGAAGCAGCTTGTTTGGCCTGTTTGCCTGGCGGTCAGGTGACACATACTTTTATACTCAGTGCATTAATTAGGTTAACTAGTTATTAGCTATAATACCGTACTGCGGTAGTGGTCTGTACCGCCTCTCCGAAAGGCGGACGATGGGTTTCTGCCAGCTTCTCCCTTTTCCGGTTACGCTATCAGGCCGACTGGATGACTTGCCTGTTCGAGATGAAGGCGATTCGTTGTTTCTCCAATTCTTCCGTCTACTCTGCTACCTCGTACTAACAACCTCGACTGGTAACCTCCATCCTTGAGATATTGCTCGTTCATTTCCTCACTCGTCGTAGGTTGTGTGACGTGGGATTTTTGTTTTTTTTTATTTGTCCTCAAATCCCCTGTGCCTTTTTTACCGTACCCCTCCCCACACCTTAATACTTCTACATTATCATTATGGCCGATGATACCGCCACGGCGGAGGATTCGCCCATTACTTTCACCATCAAAGCGTCGAACGATGCCAAGTTCACTCTCACTCTTCCATTATCGACACTGGTGTCGGACTTGAAGGAAAATCTCTCTACCTCCGAGTATGCCGATACCCCCGCGGACCGTCAGCGTCTGATCTATTCCGGACGGGTGTTGAAGGACAACGAGACCTTGGCTACATATAAGATTAAGGATGGCCACACCATTCATCTTGTGAAAAGTGCGGCCAGCAACCAGCAACAAGGCGCTGCTTCTGCTGCTTCGCACAGCACTGCTCCTTCTGCGTCAACCACAGGCGCTGGGACTGCGAATCCATCGGCAGCGGGTGTTCCCACGAACATAGCTGCCGGTACGGGCAACAACCCTCTCGCTGGTTTGACAGGTGCCCGATATGCGGGATTTGCGCAGCTTCCAGGTGCTGGGATGTTTGGTCCTGATGGTGGGGTAAGTGTTTTGTTGCATTGCGCCCAGGACGTTGTTTTCATTGTGTCGTACGCTAATCTGCCGATGCTTAGATGGGACCTCCTCCCGATACCGACAGCATGCTTAACATGCTTGAAAACCCTCAATTCCAATCCACTATCAACGAAGCTTTGCAGAATCCAGCCATGATCGACATGATGATCCAGCAGAACCCTATGCTACGCGAGATGGGTCCCGGAGTGCGACAAATGATGCAGAGTCCCGAATTTCGTCGCATGCTCACTGATCCTAACTCCCTTCGCCATATGATGCAGATGCAAAGAGCCATGGGTGGCGGTGGATTAGGCGGTGGCAGCGCTTTTCCGGCCCCTGGTGTCACAAACACGACTCCTGAACAGAATCGGGACGCTCAGAACAACGGCAATAACAACACCAGTAATGCGACACCAGCCGCAGGTGTGCCCCGGATGATGCCTATGATGCCCCCAGGTCTTGGTGCGGGGAACCCTTTCGCCGCGCTTTTCGGTGGCAATCCCATGGGCGCGAATGTACCTAATAGATTTGCACCCGCCAGCAACACAGGTACCGGGCAAACCGATACTGCACAGAGGGCGGCTGGAACGAGTGGGACCGAGGAAACAACTGCAGGAGAGGGTCAGAATCAGCAGGCTACCCAAAACCCATTTAGTCTTTTCATGAACCCTGCACTGTTTGGGGCACCAGGTGGTCAGGCTGGTCTGGATCCCTACAACCCGCAACAGAATCCATTCCTCCGCGACCCAGCTCTGCTCCAGCAAGTGATGCAGTCGATGGGTGCTCCGGGAGAAGGTGGTGCCGACGGAGTCAATCCGTTGGCTGCACTCCTTGGAGGCGGCGGTGGATTTGGGGGTCCCGCCCCTCCTCCAGATAACCGTCCGCCTGAGGAACGATACGCCGAGCAGCTCCGGCAACTGAATGACATGGGATTCTATGAATTCGAGAGAAATATTGAAGCTCTCCGTCGGACTGGTGGAAGTGTTCAGGGTGCCGTGGAGTATTTGCTAAGCCATTCATCTTGAGTATGTTATTTGATTTCTCCTGGGAGAGAAACCTTCATGTTGCCGATGCGAAATGATAGGCTCCATTGATGGTCTTTGTTTTTATGATTATCCTCTTCATGTTCTTTCCTTACAATGTGAAATAGGAGAATAATGACTTGGAAAGCTTTCGTGTAACTAATCATTACCAGTAGTTAGCTAGCGACTTACCAGAACGGGCGATATCAGAGCAACTCTCTTTTTTTTTTATGTTTTTAATGTTTATCATATGTTTTTTCCCTATCATGCAATCCTTTATGAAGGAAAATGGTTCCAGAGAGATGTTCCATTGATTATTGATTGTATGTCCTCTATCCTGAGGTGGACTGAAAACGGGTTAACTAGGCGGTCTTAATAGTAGTGTGTGGAATGTCCACTAAACTCCTTCCCAGCCCACTCTAGACTCTAGACTCTTTAGTCTCTTCTGCTTCCGTGGCCGTTCATCTTCAATAAGTACAGCACATTTATCATCGTCATCATCACCATCATCATCATTACTTTCTCACTTATCTCTTCCTTTTCAGGGCAATCGATGCCTGTGACATTCGTTAGATCTTCCTAAATTAATTGTTTCTCCCTTTGAATACCCCTTTCTCCGTCGCATCCTTGCTAGAGTCCGCTTCTTCCTGCTGTACCGCCTACAACAGCGCTCTTCCTTTTTAATTGTGTCTTGGATGAAATTATCTTCTGTTCTATTTATATCTGGCCATCTCTCCCTCATCTTTCCCTCTCTTTTGTCCTTCTTTTTCGGTCTCCCTCCCTTGCATACAGTTTTTTTTTAATTCACCTGGCCAGCCCAACCTTAAGAGGGAAATTAGCGACTATTAATTAACATTCTTGATCTAACCGCCACGTACGATTCATTTTCCTCGCATATCAGTGCATGTCTCTTTGCTTTTCGCGAGGCGTGGGCTCATCTCTCCCTTCCACACCGTAGACGATGGCGTGGGGATGGTTTGGGAGCCCTCGTCAGTGGGCGCTCTGGCTGTTGTTTGCTTCCTACTCCTGTGCCTTCTACATTCCCGGTAGGTTCCCTCCCTGCGACGCCTCCCCTTATCGGCAGTACTCAGCTTACAGACTGGCGATTCGAACGATAGGCTACTCGGTCAAACGCTACAATGACAATGAGCATATCCCTCTCCAGGTGAACAAGATCTTTTCCGACCATACCCAGCTCCAGTATGCCTACTACAACCTGCCTTTTGTGTGTCCTCCCAGTGGAAGAACACATGGCGGCTCTCCTTTCGGCTCGGGTCAGAGTGTGTCGTTGAACCTAGGGGAAATCCTGCGTGGCGACCGTATCATGACCTCTGATTTTGAACTCCGGATGGGTAAGAATGTGGAATGCCAGGCGCTTTGTACTCAGGAAGTCGGGCGCAAAGATGTCAAATGGGGCCGTCAGCTCATAAGAGAGGGATATGTGGCCGAATGGATCGCAGATAACTTGCCTGGCGCAACGAGCTTTGTCACCGTCGACCGCAGCCGCAAATACTATGCCACCGGCTTTAAATTGGGCTTCAAGGACTTCTCCTCCATTGATGGAAAACAGCGTTACTATATCAATAACCACTTCACCATTGTAATTCGCTGGCGCTCCGCAAACGAAGGGGGTAAAGTCATCGTTGGCTTCGAGATCTATCCGAAAAGTATCCGAGCGGAGGACCATGAGCAGAATGGATGCCCTAAACAGGTTCACGAACAGCACGAAGGCTTAGAGTTGTACATTCCCCCTAATACGGCGAGGCTGAAGGAGATGTACCCCGGATCGTCCTACATACCCGAAGACGATGACGACGCCGACGATGGAGCCACCCTCAAAATCCCGTACACATACTCAGTATATTTCAAGGAAGAAAATAGCGTCGAATGGCAAAGTCGGTGGGACCTGTATTTTAACAACCAGGAAGAAGGCTCGATGACGCATTGGCTTGCGATTCTGAACTCTTTGACCATCTGCGGCGTTCTTGGAGTTGCTGTCTACGTCATCTGGGGTCGAACAGTGCAGGGAGATATCAAGGGCCGCGGAGATGGAGCGATGGATGAGGCCAAACTGAAGGCACGAAATGCCGCCAAGCTGAAGGGTCTAGAGATACTGGACCAGGGGTCAGATGTGGAGCGTGATGCGGACCTTTCGTCCGATGATGGTCTAGAAGATGTGAGCGGGTGGAAACTCCTTCACGGCGACGTCTTCCGTGTGCCCGAGTACAGCGGCTTACTGGCTCCCCTCGTCGGCTCCGGAACGCAGCTCCTGTTCATGGCATCGGGGTTACTTCTCCTCAGCTGTCTCGGCGTGTTGAATCCCAGCTTCCGCGGCGGTTTTGTCAGTGTTGGCATGGGGCTGTTTGTCTTCGCTGGTTTGTTCTCTGGATACTTTTCAGGGAGACTATACAAGACATTCGGCGGCGTGAGTTGGAGGAAGAATACATTAATCGTAAGTGTTTGTACTAATCACTAATTGCGGGCCCATGACTGACTTGTATCAGACGGCTCTCTTCTTCCCTGGATTGGCGTTTTCCCTCGTATTCATCTTAAACCTCTTTGTCTGGGCACAGGCGTCCAGCACAGCGATTCCATTTGGCACATTGATTGGCCTTCTCGCGCTGTGGTTGCTCATCCAAGTGCCACTAGTATATATTGGCAGCTGGTTCGGTTATATGCGAGCGACCGCGTGGGAACATCCAACCAAGACCACATCGATCCCGCGTCAGATTCCGCCGCAGCCGTGGTATCTACATAGCATTCATGGAACCGTCCTGACGGGGTTGGCACCGTTTGCGGTCCTATTCATTGAGCTATTGTTCGTGTTCAAGAACCTGTGGCAGGATAAGAGTGGTTATTACTACGTGTTTGGATTCCTGAGCACTGTATCATCCATTCTGATCGTCACGGTCAGCGAGGTGACAATCATCGCGACCTACAGTCAGCTATGCGCCGAGGTATGTGATGTAGAACAGGCACGAGAACAAGAGTCTGGGATGATCCGAGGCTAATTAGATCCTAGAACTACCATTGGTGGTGGCAGAGTTTCTTGACAGGTGGCAGCAGTGCGTTCTGGGTGTTCGCATACTGCATTTGGTATTACTTCTTCCATCTACATATCACCAGCTTTGTGTCGAGCCTCCTTTTCTTCAGCTACAGTTTTCTTGCATGCGCCGTCTACGGCTTGTTAACGGGGACGGTTGGATTCTTGACGGCGTATGCCTTTGTCCGGCGGATTTACAGGTAGGTGATACGAACACCGGAGGAGGGGGGTTTTCAGACTCAAACTAATTACGACACAGTGCTATCAAGGTTGATTGATCGGCATTCTACGGATCAGCTATTTGCAATAGGACGATGCAGGACGGTTTTCCGACGGCGGTCCCTGATCCGATCTTCACGAGAAACGGCAATCCATGCATGCATTCCTAGGCTTGGTTTCTGTCAGTCTGTTTGTTTATTTTCTCTGAAATAGCCAGTGGTCTGGTAGATAGAGATGGTGGCAGCGCCGGTGTTTATATATACTCTTAGTTAGCGGGTTCATAATGTTGAATATGTTTTCCTCTTGGTATGCTCTTGTATGAGCATTTGTAAGACGATAGAACATAGTGACCCCTAGGCATGCTGATGAGGTCCGATCCCCTACCAGCTGCATATATCCCCGGAAATAAAGAATAAAGCAGACGGCACCTAGAGTACCTAGTGCCTAAAGAATAAATGACCATGAAGACAAGCCGATTGTCCAGAAGAATAAATAAAATAAGGCCATGGAGATCCGCATATCATCTCAGACAAATGAGCTCCTCGATGGCCATATTCTTGCATCACTATCTACCAGAAGTATCTAGTTTAAGTCTCTATTAGTACATCCGGAATAAAATAAGGATTAACCTGAGTCGTCTACTATAGTGAATATTTCAAGTGAACATTGTTTGATCACTTTTTCATTTTGAGAAAGAGCCAGAATATGATATTTCTGACGTAACATTAGCCTTTAACATGAGTTTTTTTGCCGGGCAGGAGACAGAAGGGACGTACCACGGCCATGTGTTGTCTGTAATCCTCCTAAAACGGATCCAGCCCCAGCTCCATTAGATATTTAAACGATTCCACGTATTCCTCATCGTTCGGAGCAAATAGGTTCGCGGCAAACGCGGTTGCGTAACCATCATGGCTACACAGCAGCTTGGTGAACAGATGTAGGAGATTTTCGGATGCAGAGAGATGGCTGATTAGGTTTTCTGTGGAATCAAGCAACCGTTCTGGGTAGGATGGCACGACGCTACACACGGTATATAGAAGTGTTTGACCGCAGTAGTTCCTGGCTGTGAGGGGAATGCCTGTTTTCAGGAGCAGGTATGTGAAGGATGTGGATGACTTGTAGCCGTCTTTCATTAAGCAATGGAACAGAGTGTCCCCATCATAATTCACAAGCAACTGGTCAGCTCCTTCATCCAATAGATAGTGGAGAGCATCTACTTCTCAGTTGGACTTGCAAACCAAATGCAAAACGCCGTTCCCTTGTAGTCTGTTGCGTGAAAGTTGGATCCAAGGTCAAGGATTTCTTTCAGTGTTTCACAACCATAGGTACGAGAGCTTCTCTGGACAAAAAAAAGGAAGATCGTTTGACCTCAATTATCCTTGGCCTCCAATTCCGCCCCGACGGCGAGAGAGCCAGCGACATCTCTGGAATAGTCGGTCATGTGCATTGCGACATCGCCTTTGTAGTTCCGGCAGTTAGGATCTGCGCCCATGCGGGACAACTGTGGGAGGAGCTCAGGGATCGACTTCAGCAGGCAGTGTATGTGTCAGGAGTTTGTGGCCAACCGTCCTTTTGAAGTTCCGCACTTTGGTGGAGGATAGTTGCATGCCTTGCCATCATTGGGCTGACTCGGCATCAACGAGCGCCTGGACGACCTGATGATAATTCGACTAAGCCGCATAATGAAGCGTCTTCGTACCGTACAGGCACGACTTGTCTGGTTGTGCTCCGTGCCCCGGCAAAAGAATGGCTATTTCAACGTACCCATCGCTGGCTGCGATAATGGAGTTCGGATCTGCTTATCCGTGGCGTTACAATCGTGCCCTGTGCGCAAAAGCTCTTTGGCATAGCTGGTGATGCCGGTACGGGCAGCGGAGAGAAGCGGTGTTGTTGACTCTACGGAGTAATTAATGGTAGACTCCAACCATACCAGATATGCCTGGTTGTCAGCCCTCACGAAGTGGTGGAGCCCCTCGAGGAGGTCGACATCCACGTCAGACAAACGCCGGACGTGAACGTACGAGTTCTTTGCTGCATACTCAAGAAAAGTGCACTGCAAGTAGGACGTTTTTATATCACTTCTCTCACTTTATATGTGGAGAAACAGTCAGGCCGGGAGGTATCTAACGCAGATCAAAGCCAGGATGTGTTGGTCTCTACTGGATCAATAACCGGGAATATGTGGCTGTTGGGGTCAGAAGCAGCTTGGCCCGTCCGCGCAGCATTTGTCAAAAATCCCGTAAACGAATGGTGGATAATAGAGGCGGTCTCATCCAGCAAGATCTCCTAAAGCCCACAAGACGTCCGGGAGCGGTTTTTGTACCGCTATATTGGATTTTTCCACTGTCCACACCCAGAAAGTCTAGGACTGTTGCGATTTCAAGAAGACGTAGCGGTCGGCTAGAAGCTGAAGAATCAGTACTTGTCTCTGCAAAGGGCTAGATGCGAGTTGAGCGTGGTCGTATAGCATTTAGTAATACGTATCCTCCAGGCTTAGCGGTAATGTGTGCTGGGCGCCGTTCACAGACTCCAGCCTCACGGTTTCACTTGGCGCTCGACGAGAAGCTCGTTAAGCATGAGACGAGCGTGTAAAAAGGATGGTTGCACTTCATCTCGCACAGGAAGACTTAGATGAGTTGCTTGAGACACGGCTCATCAAAAAGTGCGATGTCGTGGTTGACTTGTCGACAACACTTTCTAGATTTGGGGAAATGGGCGACTAGTCATTACTAGCTTAATGCGGTCTGCATATTTCCTTCCAAGGGCCACCAAATGCTGCAAGAAGCCGTGTGTGTGGTCCCGGTCCAGCTCGTCCAAAGCAGCCACGAAGCAATACACCTTTTCTAGTAAAGGAATAGCATGCAGGATGCTCTGCCAGAGTTCTTTGAATCCAATGTCCTTTGCTTGTCGATTTCCCTTGCGGAGCCCCTCCAGTCGGGCCTGTTACGGGGTGTGGAATACTCAAGCAATAGGGTCATCCAGTCTCGCACCAACACGTGCGGATCATGATTTGCCGTAATGAACTGATGGAAGAAGAAAAAAAGAATCGCCACTGGCTCTCCATTTCTTGTGACAGCGATATCAGACGCGCGGTCAATACACTTTTCGCTGCTCCGGCCACCACAGAGCACCATGGGAGGATGAATCATGCCACTGCTGAAATTGATGGGTCTGGAGAGTCCAGATCCCTGTGCCAGGGACATGTGCGTTGAGGTGTTTTTGGAATTCGCTTGATTCCCAATAATTCGGTTTCATCGTTGTCCGACATGTTGGGCCATTTCCTTTCTGGAAACGTTTGCAGGACAGCGAGATGGTAAGCGTGGTGAGGAGAGGAAGTGCGTACTTTATATAAGACCAGTCCAGTGACTTTGGTATCACCCGCGGGAATAGCATCGCTTAGGCAGGCAAATGACTGTCGAGGGTTAGCGCCTCCCCCTCTTGGTGCTTCCATATATTCGAGGAGTACATCTCATCATGCAGGAAAGCATTCTAATAACAGATATAGCCTTGAAATTATTAGAGTGTCTATAGTTCTTTATCCTAAAATTCGGCTGCGTTCCAGATCAGTTTCTGGATCAGTGCAGAATAGTAGAACTAGAAACTGTCTATGCTTTCTACCTACTTTATTTCTTAACATATTTATTCTTTTCTCCTACTAGAAGTCTAGATTATAAATCCCGTTCTTCATAATTATTAAATATCTTTCTATTTCTCTATTTTCCTTGCTTACTAATCATATAGTAATCTCGGAGTTAAAAAGCAATAATAGACGGAGATAATATACGAATTACTAATCATCACTAGCCAGATCCCTGAAGTCTAGTTATCCAAGTATCTAATGGTACGTCCTGGAATAATAAGGGCCATTGTAGTGTGCAGTAGTGAGCTGTCAGATCGGGTGGCTTGAGTCGGTCTGCTTGGCTGGATGCCGAGAACTCGAAGATCCCTGTAGATCGTATGGAGATATTCGGATATTATGGACTTTTGATAGGGTATGTCCGGAATCATCCAAATGGAAAGCCGTCTGGTCGCTTGTTTCGGCCATTTAGTCACACTGAAACATGTTTGGAGGAAAGCTGAATTAACTTGGGGATCGCATATACTGTGTAGTCAGGCCTACCGGTGGACCGGGTTTCAGCTTCATCTGGGCATAACGTAACCGGTAAGCGAGATTTTGAGACCCCAATATCTCAACAATAAAGCATCTAGAGGGAATAAAATTTAATATATTCAGTGCAATATAATACTATGTTTATATATATTAAGCAGAGAGATTTCAATAATAGATACTTCTCTAGATAAGGTAAATTACAGCTGTATTTTGTATTTTTTCAGTTGTCCGTGTCAAGGGCTGAACCCATAGAACCTACAAGATAGGTTATGTACAAGAAGGAATCGTTGAAGAAGGGAAGAAAGGAAGAAAGGAAGAAAGGAAGAGGAAACAAGCGGTAAACAAACAAGGTGGGGAGTCACGTGACATCGATCGAGGGCCAATGGGCCAAAAGGGTCAGTAGGGACAGTAGGGACAGTAGGGACAGTAGGGACAGTAGGGACAGTAGGGACAGTAGGGACAATAGGGACAATAGGGACAATAGGGACAACGGGGACAATAGGGACAATAGGGACAACGGGGACAGTAGGGACAATAGGGACAACGGGGACAGTAGGGACATTGGCCCGAGAGGTCAAACGGGCTCTAGCCCTTTACACTACTCCCTCCCTACCGGTTCTTTGGCTTTTGGTGTTGGGCCGCTCATCCAACAATAGTGTTCCCATTGACTGGAGTGCGAAGCGTGGGGAGAAATGGATCCATGGCTCCGCCATGGATCAACTTCTGTGGGGGACACCGTCTGCCCATGTGACGCACTTCCGAGCTGGACGTATGTTGGGGCGTAGGGCCCCTAATATTTGGCTTTCCTTTTCGGTTTCTTTTTGGCTTCTTCTTCTTCGGCTTCTGTGGCGGTTGGGGTGATCCTTTCGCCAGCGGTCAAGTGCTTCGGTGTCCTCCATTGCATCAGCGTGATTCCATTCAGGTTGCTGGTAACCGGTGTATTTAACTAGGAACTCATGGCGAAAACCTCGTCCTACACGTGCAAACCGTTCGTCTAGGATTTCCTGTACCAGATATTCTTCTTCACCGTCGACTAGCTGGGGAGGGGCTGGTAGTCGTCATTTTGCTGGCTCGGGAAAGGGTTAGAATTGGCAGGTCGTAGTAACATGACATGGAAAACATTATGAATTCCGGGAGGAGTGTTAAGCCGATAGGCGTGTGAGCCTACTTTCTCAATAATTGTATACTTGGCATTTCGGATATCTAGTTTCTTGCTTGGTCGTTCCGTGCGTATATTACGTAGGTCAAGCCATACTTTATCACCCACACGGTAAGCCGGTGCGGATGTACGGTGGCGATTAGTATAAGCTTCATATTTTGCTGCGCAGCGGCGAGCTCGGCCTTAGCAATATCCAGTGCGTGAGCTAATTTAGTCACAATATCATGTCCTTGTTGAGCTTTGGTCCGTTGGGTTTCTGTGGGCACTAGATTTGTATCCTGTGTATTATCCAGCTGAATTGTCTCCATGTCGTACCCATGGTCTAAGAAGAAAGGGCTAATTCCAGTGGCTGTAGCGTTTCTCCCGTTAACTGCGAGTTGAGCTATGGGGGACAGGGAGGCCCAATTAGTTTGTGTACGGTCACAAAAGGACCTGAGATAGGCTTCAATTGTCGCATTCATGCGTTCAGTCTGTCCATCGGTCTCCGGGTGGTAAGCAGTAGATAGACGTCGTCGAATTCCTAGTTGTTTGCAAAAGTTTTCCCACATATCGCTGACAAATTGGGCACCGCGGTCAGACGTAATAGCGCTTGGAATACCATGGTATCCAATAAAGTGTTGGATAAGTTTAGTAGTAACAGTGGGCGTATCTATCTGCTCGCAGGGTATTAATATAACACCTTTCCCTAGGCGATCAACAATAACCATAAGATTCTGGCAGCCATTAGACTCAGGCAGCTTCTCAATAAAATCAATAGCTATTTCTCTCCATTTTCTGTCGGGTATCGGCAAGGGTTTTAGTACTCCATGGCGGCGATCTCTCCATATTTTATTGGCATTGCATTTGTCGCAATTTTCCACAAA